ATACATGATGTTACTTGAAAACGATGGGACAAAGGTAAGTAATTGAAGAACATGATTTTCCACAGCAATTGTTGATTCGTTGCGTTTCGCTACAAATTGTTTACCATTTCATATTGTTTCTATCGCTGTGATACACAATTGATATCATGGATTAGCATTCAAGATCCATTTAAATTGCGCTGATCAGTCTTAAGATTTTTTAATTAAAACCAATTAACAGGTCAATTCATAGTCGGTCCATCAGTTGAGTTAATTGGATACTCAGTGAGTGATTGGGTCGGAAACGTTGCTCCTCGGAATTCAGATGCTGGATATATGTTCCTCTTTAATCAAAATCCTCTCACATCAATTTCCAAACACCAGCGGAGATTGCTCTTGCTTTTATGTGAAACTGAATACATCACACGAAGAAGAACTCAAAAATGCTGTGTTACAAATGCAGGTCGTCAAGTCCATTGCTACAAGATTCGAAATCCAATTGCATGACGCGACAACAATACTTTTACCAACTTTGCTACCCTTCCCATTACTCACAGAGCGCCAGGCATAAATAAATTAGTTATCTCCTTAAAAGGGAGTAGTGCAACTTTGCGGTTTCAGTTGAAATAGATGATAGTAAAAGTAATGCTGCTGGGCTTTTCAAGAAAGCGCTAAGCGCTCAAGTGTTCAAAAACCGTAATAGATAGCTTCAAAAGATGAATTGCAGATAGTTTTGCTTTGGAGTTTAGGTAGCTTTGGTTGTATTTGATTATTATTGTTTGCTTAGTTCCATGTTAGATAAGCTATATTGTGGTTATATTATTGAGTGAAGAACAGCTGCTAAATTATTTCTACAAAAGAAAGAATTTGATAGTATTAATGGGTTTCTATTCATTTTACAAACGATTAACTTGTTACTATAAAATACTGAATTTCAATTTGAGTTGCTTACCATTTGATTATTCAGTTTTGTATTGTCGTTTAACATGTGATTTCATTCAGGAGTATATGATTCAAGCCTGCACAATGATGCAGTGAAATGGATATTCGCAACCAAAAAGGTAACAAAATAAGCAGTAACATTCTTCCGCACCCAGCCGTGCATGTCCGGAAGCATCCTTGCTTCAACTTTTAGAAGGCGCTTCGTAGTGCATCGGACATGCCTGTATTTAACATCACCCATTTTTCGCACCCCAAAATGATTCCTTGTGGAAAGCGGTGGTTGGGATAGGAACGCACTTCATTGCACACGTGAACCAATCCGTCGGAAACATCAATTGCATTCCAGGGTTGTAACCGCTCCGCCAACTTCAACGGTCGCTTGCAGCTTCAATAAGAACTTTAAATTCAATGACCGGTTCGAGTGAAATCAGGCCACTGCCATAAATGGGGCTGCGGTGAGGCACTCGGAGGTTTACATTCGGTCCGTTGCTGTGTGTAAATGACTTGCGTTTGTGGCGCTCTGCAATTTAACCAAGTCGGCTGATCAATAAGATGGTGATTTGTATTACGTTTCCCCTTCTTATATAGTTGGTCACCAAATATATTATGAGCGAATAGAGACAACACCCCGTTGTATTATACGCCGTAGCGAATGTCCAAGCGATCGATGATTTATATTGAAAAAATGAATATTATTGAAAGTGAAAGATTGAAGAGGCCGATAGCCAGCTTTTAAAGATCTGATTTAGAATTGCCAACGTCACAAGAAAACAATGACGACAGTAGCAAGGCTCAAGACATATCCACCATGAACCGTAAGCAACCTCTGACAATCAGGTAAATCAACACGAACTATTAAGATAATTCGCCAACCACAGACCGTGTTTACCGAGCGGTTATCAAGTGCGAGTGGCATAGATGATCTCCACGGATCGGCTCACCGGCAGTGGAATGGGTTCGAATCACAACAACCGCCATTTAAAAGGTAGTGTTTTGAAGTGAGAACATGGTAGTACTGAAATACTCCCATGAGAGTTGCAAAAGGAGGGCTTTTGCAATCTTTCAAGCAAGGAGGCGTTGGGAGTTCCTTCGCTTTGTGCGTGAAGAAGGTTTTCCGGCCAGTTTGGTTCATTGTTCTCTGCAAACACCCACTTCCTTAGGCGACAGATAAGGCAACACTCAAAGCATCGAATATAAAATGAAACGGATAATAGCAATACCACAGAAAATGATTCTCAGAATATGCAAATCAACTGATCCACCAAATACGTTATTATACCAAGTAATAGAGCTGATACTTGAACTACAGATTTTTTAATATCATCAAAATGAAACCGGTCTAGAAAAAATATAACTACACTTAGTCAGAGAAATGTATTACAATTATATAGCATAACAATGGAGAAGTCAAACAACCAATAACAATCAATTGAACCCAAAGCGACCTAAGCACCAAACCAAGACTATCATCGAATATACCATTCAAATAATTAAATAAAAAATTTGAACACAGAATCACTTGGCACCTTAGGGAGCACATGCCCAACATTGCTGTTATTATCGACTGTTGCAAAAGTAACAGCAAGATTGCGGACCCATTTCATTAGATGATAGCAGATTAAATTAATCTTTGGTCTGTTGGGTTTGGAGACTTGGATAGGCAAGTTGATAGCTGAGTTGTTCCACGTGATATAATTGGTTTTCCAAATTTCGACCAATATATCTGATATCCTCCATCACGAACACTGCTACTCCAATGCTCCGAGGTGAGATGTATTCGGCGTCACAGATCTGCCAGGCAACTGAGGGCTGATTCATGCAGTTCCTTTTAACGGGCTTCTGATTAATAAAGAGCTTATGACCACAAACAATACTTCGATCATCAATGTCTCCCGCCAAAAAATTGTCGGAGCATGCAAATAACTCAACCATGTTCACAGCGTTCGAAAGAGCAGCTAATTGATTTGAATAGAGTTAACGTGGCTTTTTTCCAGCACAGCTTAGATGGATATTTCGTGGTGCACTCAGCTATTAACTGAATTGCCCCGCACCAAAAGAAAATCACAACCTAATCAACCGGCAGCAAAATTCAATGGTACAAAATTTGATCTGTACAAGGATAGTTGTCCAGTATCCAGCTGGGACCCATCATTTGTTAATCGCTCCTTCTGTTGATTTATCATCATAGCTGTAGCTAGCAAAAACCCTGATTCACTATAAGCTGTTGACCAATTAATCTGACGAAGGTCTTGATAGGAAGCAAATGCATAACCTACTGTCAGCAGCTTCCAGTCCAGGATAGCGAGCCAGAATCACTCCAAGTTGTTCCATTATCACCAACGAACGTCAAAATCATTTCCCAAGCTTCGCCATTGAATCTGATGATCCGGCAATAAACTGTTCATCGACAAGTAATGGAACAATGGAATGGCGGTTGCTTTAAGAAAAATATAAATCACCAGGAGTAGCGGAACTTCATTGGAACCCGTTAGATTAGAAAGCATTAACCATTCTCCTGTACCGTCATAAAACCCGACTGCTGGATTTTATTGAGTGAATTGTGCAACGATCCATTAATCGGACGATTCGTTCATCTAATGAAGCTAAAAGATCTTTTAATGAAAATTGCAACGTCGAAATCACCACAAGGGAGGGCAGTTGTCAGCTCTATTTGTTGATCCTACAATTACTTTCAAGCTGTAGCAGCAAGAAAAACTTTAATAATTTCATACCTAGTTACTGGACTAAATGTGTGCGAAAAATCAATCGATTCAACTGCAGAAAAGCTTTGAACAACTAGTGTGGCTTTAGGAAAATAACCAGTTGTTGCTAAATTCAATGTAAACACTGAAAGCATCCAACTGCTCCTATTCCACCGGTATGGGTACCCAACAAATACGAATTGAACACAAGCATCGCCTGCAGTATTGATTCACAAGCAACTGAACGCATCGTCTCCGCAAAACTATGATCAACAGTGGTAGCAATGCATAAGGGTAGCAGTCATAGAAGTCACCGGTGTCTTGGTTTCAAGGGTATCTTTTAACTCATTTGTGTAGCATATTACTACATTAAAACGTCATCAATGTCTTCTTGACGAACGTATTCGGACGCACCAAATTGGACATCACCACATTCAGCCCCAGTGTTAGCATCAGTAACTTGATCAAGATCATCACTTGATGCAACTGATTCTTTTCATCCAATTGATTGTCATCCACACCATCTTTCGATTCATCAACAGACCTGATCTCCACTTACACATCATTTTCATTTGACTTATAGATTGATGTATTTTCTAGGGCAATTCCAGTTGGGTTATGTTTGATATTGTTAGCGGTGAAAAGATTTCCCCTCAAATCTCCTGGTGTAGTTAGTGCAGCTGCAAGAGCAAGCGAAGTATTTGGCCTAATCAGCGCAAATATTCGATCATTGAAAAGAAACATGGCTTTATCAAAGCTACGGAAACGGCTGACAGTCAGCCAACAGACATGGGGTTTGCACACATTGGCGGCCATTATACTTATGCCGTAACAAATAAAACCACAGCGGAAACATGTCATTTATGTCCATCGGTCAGATTAGTTTGTGGATCATGGGATAAGCAGCACATCCAAGCGCTGCAACATGAGAGCAATTGATTTTGATTCATAATATAATTCAAAAAGAGGAGGGATCAGAGCTTCCTGCTTGGTGGGAATCATATTCACTAAAATCTCTTCACATAACCCACTTTCATTCCACAAGTAATAAGAAACATTTGCTTCAATTAACATTGCGGTGGGTTTTGCACCATTGTCTTTTGCCAACGGTCACCGACCCCATTTTGAAGAGGACAAAAATGAATTGACTTTTCATCTTCGATTTTTTCGTACTGTCAAAAAGGTTTTGAACAGCTGATATGCAATTGGGCTATCAGAACGGACAGTATAAAACGTTTCATCAAATATTTGTTCATCAATATCAATTTGATATTTCATTTTCGGAATTCTTATTCATCGAGCAGAAAATCGAGCAACGACGACATATCATGAGTTGTCATCTACAATGGTGCAAAAACATCAATTATCTCCAATATCAACAATGAGAAAAGCACCGCAATATCAACATGAAGCATACCAAGATTAGTGGTTACCTCTCTTGCAGACGATTCATTAATAATCTTTTGTCGGTTTTCTCCCAAGAATCTGCTTTTGAGCTGCCCGCAACAGACATGCCGCGATTTGGCTATATCTTTTGCAGCATTCACAGCTGGATGCCTTATACGTTTATGCCAATTTGTAGTCATTAACGCAGCAGCAGAAAGAGAAGGAGTAATTCATATAATCTTAAAACGGCTCTGTTACCTGCCAATGCAATATTCAAATGAACACAATTATTTTTGACAGACAAGCAGGCCCTTGAATTCCAGCGGCTGAGTTTGAAATCCAATTACGACCATAGGGAGCATAAAGAACATGTTCCAATGATTCACTATTAACAATCAACACTGAACCTGTACCATGGCCATCAACATTAGCTTCGCTGATGCCAGCAATCTCATTTGAATCAATTGATCAGTTGCTGAACAAATAGAGGTTAGGCAAAGAATCTTAGGAAGTGCCCCAATCAAAATGGAATACTTTCGAGTATATCATGAGGTTCCTAGTTACCTTCACGAACTCAACAAACAGCGACTCATTAACTTGGTGGGCATGCCGAAGTGCCACAGCAGCCCAAGCGTCGGCTGGAACTGATGATCAAGCAAAATCTAGACGTCGTTTAAATCACTCACTATCTAAATGTCTGATTGAGAACAACGACTGCATGTTATCTTTCACTGTTTTGCCTTGTTGAGGAGTTCCTGACAAACACATTCAAACACTGTTCAGCCGGAGCCACCAGTAAACGCATCATTTCCAAGATGACTTGCCAAGGCCTTTCCATCAGAAAACGGATTTTGGCAAGTGTCTATCAATTGAATAAGACCCATCTCAGCGTAGGATTTATCAAAGGGAAAATCAGCATAAAAAGTAGATGTTTCTTGATTTGCATTGTAGCCCAAGAGAATATTGGAATAGAACTTATTAAACAATTTTTTGTAATGGCTTTCATTATAAAATGAACTTTGCCACTATTCCGAAATGAGTGACCTACTTTTAGTAGCAGCAACTTTACCACCGATAGAACAATGAAAGACTCCAAGTTGTCTGATACACGAGGGCGATTTTATCCAATGTGCGGCACCCCTTCCAATACAGCGGAAACAATTTTCCATTAGCCAACGTATGGGGAAAGGAACCAAAATCAACTGCGGCTTTGTTTGAATCAACATCATCAGCAAATATAAAAGGTTCCTCGATAAAAGATTGAGCCAACCGAACAAACTTAACCGCTTTGAATCTGCAGGCAGAAGCCCAAATAATATTGTTTGCTCCATTCATTGGTATCCCAGATTTTTGCGACGGAACGTTCCCAATTTGGATGATAACAACTTAAGGCAAATCCACGATAATATATGAAGTTGTTGAGATCTATAAAAAAATGAAAAAAAGAGATCGCCAGCATTTTATATAGAGAAGTGGTTTCGTGACCCTCTTGTATGTCTTCATTTGGCTGCTCAGTGTTGCACACTGGCAGCATTGGTGACGACCTCTGATCCAATTAGTTTCTAATAAATGAGGATGCCCATCTCGTTTAAGTTCTGCTTTCTTATGTAGCTATTCACTCTGATATATTCTATTGGATTCGCTAGGACAAATATGAGTCAAATTATGAATGTTCGCTGGCAGAAAAAAAAATACTAATAGATGTTGCTTACTGTACCACTTCACCCTCGGTCTTAATCTTCAATGCTGCTCAGTTCGGTCCGTTGTTTGAAGCATAAACAAAAATGTCATATTGATGCTGTTGAGGTCCGTTCAGTCATAGATAAGGTTCTTCTAGCCTCAATTGTCCATACGTCAGTTAGTAGTTGATCCGCTTTTTGCTGAATTAAAAAAACAGCTATACACTGGAAGCTATGGCCGTCAGGTATCCGCCATCTTCCGATAACTTCATGGAACTACCGGTGCTGAGGCCGCTGTGATGACCATCAAGTGATTCACTTTGTGAAAGTGGCGAAAAACATTATCCAGGAAAAACACCAACAAAAAAGTCTTAATGAATTCTATTCTGATATTCACCAGTTCTATAACGGTAATTGATTTCCCGTTATTTTTTACGCTGTGTCGGTTTTGCAGACATCAACACCGATAGGATTCTAACTCAATTTGGAGCCACTCATGAAATATGATTTACTGACCAAAACGTTTTGACATATCAACCTCGAGAAGGTGCATTTGCTGGTGACTCAGATTCAACAGTGTTAATTTCATTTAGTTACGAACAATTCAACATCCCAAATCGGAAAGATTGACATAGGATGGTTCCCCCAAAGAAGGACATTTGGCTAGTGGGTGTTTCTCACTACTGTCACTTCCCGCTGGATCGTTCATTTCAGCCAATCCTGTTCCTGCTCCGGCTACTCAGGTTGCCCCTCAAGACGATCACTCGCTGGTTGCGTGGTCGTTAAAAGTAACAAGAACGCGCATGTCCCATTCGAAGATAATATATTTCGATTGTGGTGCTTCCCAACATATTTGTGCTGACGTTGATTAGTTCAGGCATCTATCCTCTCATTCATGTCCGATTTCTGGTTTTGGTGACACTATCGTTGTTGTCAAAAATATTGAAACTGCGATGCCTATTGATGGTGGATGAATAAACAGTGATCTTCCTGCTCTCCATGAAAACAATTCATCTTCAATTACTGCTACAAAAATTAAAGACGGCTAGTGCTCATTCAAAATGATTGTCGTTAATTGAATAGTGCATTAGCCGATGAACAAGAAGCGTAAAAAATTACAATAATCTCTCTTAGCCCGAGTTGCTGCTGTGTCAATTGCCACAAAGTCCCATAAAGATTTGGGGCATTGAGCTGAGATTGGTATGAGACATAGAGCTAGAATCTATGAAACTTCTGTTGCTGGTGGTTAAAAAGTATTTCTGGTCACAAAAGAAAAGCCAACAAAATTGTTAAGAAATTGCGTAAAAGACGGGCCACCGCTGATCGTCCGGCTTCTCATTCTAATATTGTGGCGCCAATGAAAAGTGTTGCTGTTGAATAGAGTGGTTATTCTTTCGCGTTTGTTCACGATTACACAAGAAAAACCGTTCTTCCTCCAGTTGCCACACGATCATCAGCAGTTGTGAGATTAGAATATCATATAAAGTTTGCCAAACGTCAATTGGCAAAAATTGTTCTTACTTTCAAATCTGATAAAGAGTTTTCATCCAGAATGTTCAAAGATTTTTGTCATTCAGACGGAAACAAACAAGAATTGTCAGTTTCTTATGAGTTTTATCAAACAGGGGTGGCTCAGCGTTGGCAAAGAACCAACGTCACAAACGCCGGACAATGGGAATTGAGGCTAATCTGTCCAACTATTTGTGAAACGATGATGACATTTGTGCAGCGTTCTTTGATGAACTTCATTGCCAGCAAACAAGGTGCTTAGTTGACTACTAGTCCTTAAATGCCTCATGCAACAAAAATCAACTGCTGTGATATGGAAGGTGTTTGGATGTTCTCCTTGTGCCATCATCCCCAAACAAATCAGCAAACCAAAAATAGGTGTTACAAATTTCTTCTGTGCATTTGTCTGTTAGGACATAAATAGAGTGGCTTACTTAGTGTGCAGGTTTTTTAACTGCCTCCCTGTTGTCTGGTTTTTATGTCTTATTGATAAAACAAAATTTTTTCTGAATGAAACATTATTTGCTGCCATTTAATAAACTATTTCGTCTCCCGTTAAATTTACAGCTTCTCTTGCTCGTGTTATAGGGTGAAATCAGTTTACTGATATTAGTAACAAAAATAACAAAATTGCAGTTCCTTCAGATGATAGAGCAAATGATAACGATAATGAGAATGCTAAATATTTGGGCATCAGCTCAAATGATAAGGAGGCAGACGGTGTCAAAAACAATGAATTGCATTGAAAAACATCGGTTGCATGTTGTAAAGATAATCATCAAGCCGCTGATCTTATCACTAGTGCTAAATCAGTAAAGGACAAATGTCCCAATGCTTACACTGGTTCTTAATCCGATAAGTACCAACTTGCTGGAGCGAAACGAAGTCCTCGAAAGAATCTTTGGAACACTGAAAATCTACATCAATGGTATACAGATGACTAAACAAAAACAGCTCTAGACAAGTCTCCTCTAATACATTCGGCTGCGGGTCTCTTTGCCGTTGCCAGTCTTAACCAAATTCTGCAGGCCCAATCTGCAACGTTGTTGTCAATCATAGCTCTAACCAGTGCTTGAAAACAAACACTACATGTTGATTGGTCTTTCCAATGAGAAAGTCTTATTAGCCGCTGATGGGTGTTTACAATGAAGCCATCTACAACTAGTGCTTTTCTTAATGCAAGACTAGTTGCTCAAAGGTTTTCTCGGCTTGACAAAATTGATTATTCAGGAGCAAACTGTCCAGTAATTAAGTATGAAAATGATAGTGAATCATCTGCTGCTCAACCATCAAAGTCATTTAAATTCTTCAAATGGATGTGAACAGTGCAATCCTTCAAGCGCATATTCATACCGAAATTTACAAGAATATTCTTTCTGGACCGGTTGATGGTGCATATCATCTGAAAATCTGTAAGATACAAAATAATTTATGGACCCAAGCAATCTCTTATTCCTCGATACAAAAAATTGGTTAATGCTCCCAGTCGTTTGCGATTCATAGAGCTTCGTCTGAACACTGTGTGTTGTATTTCAAACAAAACACAAACCATTGTATTCCAGAACTATATGTGGATAATCATTTATTGCCACATCATCAGTTGCAGTGGTCCGGCTGGTGAAATCGTATGTCAGCACTTTGGTTAAAAAAAAAGACCTTGCAATAACTCAGGTTGTTTTCTGGACTTCTTGTTGGTGAAATTAAAAGCCAAATAACGGTGGCTGTAAACACTTTCGTCACAATCATGGCTCAGCAGTTTCAACAAGATGAGCCGAATTGCCAGGCTTCACCAATGACGACTGACGAATACAAGGTCCTACTTGATTGAGACGGCCCTAAGGAGCATGCTGAAAAATCATCACTTTGTAGATAAATTGTTCCTGAATTGGTTTTCATCCAAATTGTTTACGGCGCAGAATTAGTTTGCTGCTCGGATACTTACCCAAAATTTTATGAACGAGCCAACACAATTAAATTCTGTTAAAAGAATGCTGGAATATTAAGACTCGAACTCATTATTGGTGCATTACAATGCTGCATGATCAATTACTCTCGCTTAATGCGTTGACACAGTTTCGGCCGCACAGATTGGTGACCAAATATCAATTGGTGCTCAGCAGATTATCGTCAACCAGAACCCTGTTTCTTCAATCTCAACGACTAGACATTAGGGGTCCTGCTCAATTGCGATGCTCAGTACATTTCATTCACTATAGCAGTCAAAAACCCTCTGTGGGAATTCATGGTTGTAAATATATCAAACGTGAAGTTAATAAAGCAATTCCATCAGTTGACAACAATTCTGCTATAAAAATGGCTAACCATCCTAACAAACTCAGAAACTCCACACATAATTCAGTCACTTGCTACATTATAAGGACGATGAAAAATGTTCCGTGTTAACCTTTAAAAGTAGAAACTAAAGGTCATGTTAATAATATTTTGACTAGATCCCTGAATTTTAGAATTTTCAAAGGTCCCAAAAAATTGTTTCAATAATTGCATTGATGTTGGGTTTGGTTTTCATGTTAACCTCAAGTTGGATCTATCTCATTATTGTTGGTCGGTTAATTGCTGTTGGTTATGCTACGGGATTGTCATACTTTTCTTTCATTAAGTGTATTATTACAATTGTTACAACTCAAACATCTGGATTGTGCAACTGGTATTATTATCATTTTAGAAAATGATGCGGTTGATAATAAACAGCACTTGCTGTTGCAGTTCATTTGCTTATTCATTGAAGCTCTTAGTCCTCTTTTTATTTTCACCGTTTGAAGTTAAAGAAGTCCTTGATTGTAGCGGATCCAGTGGTGCCAAAAATTGGTTGTCCCCAATCAAGCAAACTAACAAACAGCGAGGGAAACAGTGGTGAGGAACAAAGCGGAGCACCTCCCCATGCCTTACTGCTTGCGAAGTTAATAAAGCATTGCCAGTGCAACGCACATGACATGACTTCACTAGCATCCAAATGTTCCATCACGTCATGATCTCTTCAAGATGGCCTTTGTTCAGATTTGATCCCATTTCACCGCGCCCGCATCCGACCTCTAGAGACCATAATTGGTATTTTCATCTGGTAACTGTTTGCCCAACGCGAACGGAGATTTGCAGGTCAAGTCAAGTCTTTGATTACATCAACCCAAATGCGTAAAGAGTGGCCACTGAGTTGAAGGAAGCTCTTGTGAGCGTCCCAGATGACTACATTTGAACCCACGCTGTCGGTCACTGGTCTACTTTTATGATACTCTGTGATTAAACATCAATCCCCATAAAGGGGGCCGACAATTTATTCTACCTTTTTCATTTTCATATTCATCTACCCTTCAATATTTTATTATTGATTTGCTGCAAGACGTTATCCGCTAAACTGCAAATTTTTGCTTCTAAGAATCAGTGATACAAATCAGTGAAACGAATGAACACCTCCGACTTTACATTTGGGCTTCGGTCTTCAATGCCAAAACGGCTCAGCTTGGTCTGTTCGTCTAGTGCATCCTCAATAAAGCGGTTATTCTTACTGATGACGTTCATTCAAAAAATTTAAAGTTGCATCAGATTCCATTTGCCATAGGTTGGATAGGGGTGGATTACGACCCACTCTATTAAAGAAGATGCTAAGTACTAGATGGTATCGCCGTGAGGTATCAGTGAACTTCGAAAAACTTCGAGTTATTCTCCTGATTGAGGCCGCTGTGATGATGGTCTAGACACTCTCTTTTAGTGAATGGCGTCATACAGTATCCAAAAATGAGCATAACAAAAAAGCCCTTAATTACTTCTATTCAAATATTTTCCATCTCTACAATGCTAATTGATTCGCAGGATAATTCTACGCTGTAATTGTGTTGCAACCATTTACTTCAAATTGGTTCGTAATCAAACAGGGGAGTTAAACAACAATTAAGTGACCGGCGAACGTGTCTTGGCCGATGATGTAAGTGACGATGCACTTCCTGCTGAATAAGCCTCCACACCGTGAGTGTCAGTTAGTAAAGAACTATTAAAAGGCGAAAACAAAAATGAATGACATGCTCTCTTTGTGCAAAGAGGACATTTGCTCAGTGAGTGTTTGGTGCTACGTCCAGCTCCTGCAGCATCATCAGCTGTACCCGATTCATCGGCCGCTGTGGCTGCTTTGGAAAACCCCAAACTTCATCAAAGCAGGTCTGTTCAGTGGTTCAAAGTAACTACTAAGCAAATGAATAATTATAACCGGTTCTATGTCAGGTCTGGTGATCCCAACAAATTCCTGCAATTAAAACTTGCTAAAGCCGCTGAGCACCTCATTCAACTCATATTAAAGTGTTGGTGACACTATCGTTCATGAAACATGTACTGGCGGTGACATTCGATAGAGTGGTGGTTTATCAGTGAATCAAGCCAGTGATCCTCATGATACAAATAAAATATCATTTTCGGCAGAGGCAAATAGACGGTCCATGCTTTCAATAATGGATAATTGTAACTTTCTCAAAGATGCATTACTAGGTACAAGGGCCGCATCAAGATAGTATCAATGGCTTGCGGCCCCCTCTGCTGTTGAACTAATCATAACAAAACTGCACGAACAATTAGGTGATTGTAGAGAGACTGTCGCAACCGATAGAGCCAAATTCGATTGCAACTTTGATGATTTTTCATTGCAACTGTGAGACGTGTCACGAAGGGAAAGCGACAAACATTAAGAATAGTCGCCCACACAACAAGCCACCGCTGCAGTTGAACTTCCTGATGATGTTGTTGGCCCAATGCCTGTTGTCGCTGCCGGTGAAAATAATGATTTTCATACCGCTAATGATTCTGTCTCAAAATATGTCGTGCGGATTCATTTGCCAGACCATCAATAGTTGTTGCAAATTTTCTCTATTATAATAATCTTACTCAACGAGTAGCGAATATAGGACTTACTAAGTGGGATCAGTTAACGTGCTTGCTTCCAAGCCGCTCATTAGCTGATGTCAATCCAAAGGAACCGAACATCAAATGTCAGTTCCATTTGATTCTCATTAATATCGGTCTGCCAATTGTTGGCAAACACTTATCGGGAACAACCCTACTACGATGCTAACCGAAAGAAATGTTCTTCATTATTTGCAGAATAGAGCTGTGATCTGCGCAGCACTGGCGATGAATCTGATAGCCACCAAGCATTCGTGTGCGTTAGCCAGTCCCTTTGAATTACTCTACAGAACACAACTCAGTGCTGTTATGTTTCTGTATTTGGGATCTGCTGCATAGGTTGCATTTCTCAAATAAATCAGCAAAACCAAGTTGGGAGATTCATGGGTCCTCCTGGCGTTCACGGGCAACGATACCAGATGCAACGCAACGGACTGCACAACACCCATAACAACTGTGTCGTTGTCAATATCCCTTGTCGCATTGTTGGAATCAGTTCATTTTCAATGATCCATCACTGGCCGCGGATCAAAACCAATTTCATCCGCTGTGGAAATGCTCCAACTGCTTCTGGTGATCCGACGAGAAATCGGTCCACCTCTTTGAACGTCAAACATAACACACTTCAACTTCTTCACATTCTGTATCAAATTGTAGCTCCAAAGTCGATGATGAGTATAGTAACATCAACGAAGATGAAAGAACCCAATGTTGTGTGAATGTCAATGAAATTGATTTAAACACGATTGTCGCGTCTCGCAATGATAGACATGACGTTGTTGATGCTCACTGCGGAATGGCAACTGACGTCCAGAGGACCTCGATAACATGAAAGCTGAGCTTTGATGACCTTCGACTCATTAGCGCACAATATCAATGACTCTTCTCATTGCAGAAGTTTGGATTCCGTCATTATTGCTGCGTTAACTGCTGAACCAACATGCGCAAACATCATCTCGAATCATGTACGTACAGCACAGCTGCGGACATTCTTCAGAACAATACTTATGTGATTGGACGTTTATTTTCATGGTAATCACTTATCAGCTGCCGCTGAGTGCCCACAATGAACGGAGCAGCAGAGCGCGATTTGCGCAATGACAGACCAGTACTGCAACTATGTTCGCTTCTTAGCCTTCCAAATGCTGCTGAAACAACCTGTTATATATTTTCTTATAAAGGTGCTTTCAATTCTTCTGCTGTTGCAGAAATAATGCCACTCATAATCCATCATATGAATCTGACAAGTTGGTTCCACAACAGAGCTATCGAACTCAATTCTGTGATGCCGCAGCCTGCCACAGCCTTTGGCATCAATTAACCAATAAATAATTTGTTGCTGCGCAATCAAATTTGCCACATAAACAATTAAGTTGTGGGGAAGGCAAATGAATTTGTATTGTCCACAGTCGTTGTGCGTTTCAATACCGGTCGGTGGCACATGGTCGGCTTAAGCTCTCAACAGCCAAACACCAATTCAGGCATTGACTACAGGTCGCTAATCATTCGCTTGCGGCTTCCTCAGGAACAATGGCCATGGAGGTAAATTCAAAAATCAGCTGCATGAATATGACCAAACAACCCGCAGGAGCGCCTGGTCATTTTTCTTCACTTCTTGTTAATGAGAAAATCGTTTCTACATTTTCATTTCTTGACGCTGACGAGAAAACGGAGGCCCAGAAATATTAGATGGAAGCTGCTCATCCACGGCCACACAAATAATGCCGACTCGTACATTGTGCTTGATAAAGCTCAGCGGTGTGGGGCCAACGCTGAAACATATTTAGTCAAATAATTAATTGGCGGATCGCCATTTGTCGCTGTTAAGTGCTTACAATATAGAATGGTCACTTTTAAAGGGTACCTTATTGAATTGAATGGAAATATCTGACTCGCTTATACCCCAATCAAATAGGAGGTGCTACTCATTGCACAATATTGACTATCTGGTGATGGCAAAGCATCTTGGTCAGTCGGGTAAGCCCGATTCTTTTTCAATAAATTGCCTGAAGATTATGGAGTCCATGCATTAGTTGGAAGTTATCCGTTCTAGAATACTCAGCACCCAGTTGCTTGAAACTCCCAAAAAGCAGACTTCAGTGGCCTTGCCGGCATGTAAAACTGAGTAGATTTAACTTGCGCAAACAGTCAAGGAAGCAGTGTTGCAAAGGCAGATTTTTAGATATAATCTTACGGATGGTGATAACCAAATTATTTACTGCGGTAACAGATCGGCTATCGTGTTGCCTAACCATATTACCAATGACTGAATCACCAAGCACATTTTGATGTCAGTCTCCCAAATGTCTACAGTTGGTCGCTCGGTGTCGCTCACCGGTCTGCGCCGGTGGCGCTCTGAGATCTAACCCAGTTGCCCATAAAAGGGGTGGCGATCACTTCTTCGATCTTCTTTCGTATATGCTGCTTTATTGTAATATATTACTATGGATTCGCTACAACAGCCGCAACAAAGAATAATTGTTGTTGTTCGTTTTGTCAAGCGAGTGGTTATTTGTCGGACTATTTTTTCCTGCAGATATCCGTATCCAGGATTGGAATACGTAGTGTCCGGTTGGAATAGACCATCTGCACAGTTACCACAAATCATGTCAGCCCTTATAAGGTGTGGCGTATGTGATTGTTTTACTGTAGTGTTTTCTTTTACACCGCCACTCCTACGTTTGTTTGCTGATCAATGGGTGGGTTAATAAAAGTTAATAATCTTACCCCCAGCTGTGTCATTTGACCAATTTAGAAATTAATAAAGATGCAAACTATTGTTGACAGAAATAATAAGTTTGATTTTTAACTAGCAGGGTTAACTGGCTTTTAACAATTATAATGTCAGAAAAAGTTTTTCAAATCAAAAATTATACTCCAAAAGTGTATCTCAATTCTTTGGGAGGGCCGAATCTGACAGCCCTTGAATTATTGGATGAAGAGCAGAATAAAATCCCAAAACAAAAACGTTGCAGAACAAGCAAAGCTTGTGATGGATGTCGAAAAAAAAAAATAAAATGTAATGGCGAAACACCATGCTCTAACTGTATTGATTACATCTGCAATTGTTCCTATGACTATGTTCCTAAAAAGAGACTGGTTGTTCGCAAACGAATTTCTTCCACTTTTGGGAACAAAAGACATCCAAAGAAGCCCACTCTCAAGCAATTAAATGAAAAATTAACCTCCATCGAAGGCTTGTTGGTTAATATAAATGAAAAACTAACTCAAACGAACGTGAATACTACTCCTTTCACTGTTGAAACAACTGATTTATCCATTAATCGAGAAAATGAACAGGAGTTCCCCAACCAAGAACTTGTTCCATTTGATTTAAAATCTAATTCTTCAAATGCTTCAAAATATAAAAGGGAAGCTATTCAAGAAGAAAAAATTCAATCCGTTAATGATTTTTCCACAGAACAATCTGATCAGAGCGAACAGTTTTTGAAAATACATGTCCCAAATAACTCTGATTCTTCAACAATGCTTAATAAATTAACGAAAACTTTGCACCCTTATCACATTTCATCGTTATATTCTGATGACCCATTTTTCATTTTTAACTCCAGATGGTCAAAATGGATTCAAAACACTCTTCCAGGCACAATTAATTTTACAGGGATATTCAAGGATTTATCCTTGAGCATTCAAAATATCATTATTTCCCAGTCAAAACATTGGACAGAACCAATTAGCTCTTCTTCCATAAAACCCTTACCAAATCAATCTACCGCTTTTTCTTTATTGCTAATATTAAAAGATCTTCCATTTCCATTTTATATTGTGGATAAAGATGAAGTCCTCTCTTTGTTTCATCTGTATTATGCCAATGAACCTGAAAAGAAGCTCAATTACTCCGAGTTATTGCTAATGAATTTGGTACTATCAATGGCAACTTCAGTTTTGTTGAATTCAAAATCAAAAGAGGAGATATTGTTGTTTTTCAATAATCAATATCAGATTTTAGATTTGAAATTGATGAAACATTCTTATTTCCTAAACTCCATTTATTACTTTCATTGTGTTTGCATCTTTTGTGAAGGTATTGAAACAATAAAAGCTTTATTATTATTGGCCATTTTTAACGATAATACTTTTCTTTCAAAGATAAATTATATGTTGTTATCTACTGCTGTTAGGTTTGCCCAACAAATTGGCCTTGATAGAAAAGAGAATTATAAAGGAATTGATGAAAAAACTGCCTTAAAAAAGAAATTTATTTGGTTTCTTTGTTTGAGTTTAGACTCTTCATTTTCTTTGAGATCAGGTAGACCCCCCATCATCAATATTAGTAATGTTACAATGAGTTCCAAGCAAGAATACTTAGATATTATGACTAAATTATTTAAATTAGAAAGCAATTTAAACAATTGTGAAGAAGCACTTTTGTCTGAATACTTGAATAAGTTTTTTATGGTTAATCATTTTTCTTCAAAATTAGTAATCTCATTTTTATACAGTTCCTTAGATGAAATATCATCGCTGGCATACGAAAATCTTTTAGGTGCAAAAGCCTTAGGAAACAAATCGTTAAAAGATGTAATGGATATTGCAGATAACTTAATCAAAAAGCTTGAAACCTGGAGAAAATTCAACCCCGACCTTATAAAACCAGGAACAGAGATTCACTTATCACTGTTTAAAAATAATGACAGAAACCAAGTTAAATCCTATGAGCTATATTATCATGTCTTGATGACCCATCAGAAGTATTATTTCTTAGTCATGTCCATTAATTTAATTGTTATTAGGCATCGAACAAATGTGATATACTCCACAAATAGTTCAACTGCCGGTGAAATGCCAATAAATTCCAATAATGGCAAAGGGTTTGCAAAATCCGACCCTGGTCATTCTTTGTATATTAACACTTCAACAGCTGCGAGAAAGCTTTTGATTATTTTTCAGAAATTTGACCGAAACCTTGTGCTATCGGCCAATTGGATGTTAATATATCCAATGATTTCATTTCTGGTGTTGTTTTGCTCAATTTTAGCGGTGCCTAAGTCAGAAACGGCCAAAAATGATATCCAGATATTAATAAACTACCACAAACTGTTTTTTTCCAAATTTGATCCGGAATGTTGTGATGAAAGATTCAAAGTTCTTGATGATTTATTGAGAACCATAGTCAAAATCAGCATCAATGTCTACAACTATAAAAATAAGGAAAATCGTGGCCAGAACTTTTGGAAATTTTCAGTCAGTCCATCTGCTTCAAACACTAAATTATATTCAAATGGGGAATCGACCAATAAAACCATTTCAAAAGACTGGGTTGATCAGCGAACAAGTAATAATACTCAAAATGCCGCTAAACCTGATCTTCACAGAAGTGATAAAAAACATACACTGGTTGGCAAAGTTTGTAATGAAGATGATATTGATCAGGAAAAACTGGGCTTTTGTAATAAGGATAATATTTGTAGTCCCTCAGATTCATTTACTTCAGACAACTGTTTTGATGAAATGACTACCGGGCTTATGTTTGAATCAGTTTTTGGATTTCCTTCATTTTTGGCTGATTTTGAAAGGTAAACTTTAACAAGTCAAGCAACTGCTGTATTAGCTAAAATAAAAGATAGAATGATATTTATTATCGTATGAAATCCACCATCAAAACAAGATGATAAAGATTAGAGGATAATGGGGTTTGGTGGATCATCAGGTTTTAAGGCGTGGGTTAGATAGAAATAAACTTTGGTTGATACTGGAGAGCATTTTGGAGTTTTATGTCTAAAAGAAATTTGAAAGGCCCTATCTTTAGATGAGGTTCTCTAGTTAATTTTGTAAACTTTTGTTTTTTTTGCAACCAGTTTAGATATTTCAATTTTTTTGTGTCGAATTGTGTAAATGGATAAAGACGTTAAAAGTGATTTCATATTCTTTGGAAATGGGATGAAATTCGTAGTAATAAGTTTCACCTTTCAAGAAAAGAAAAGGGAAAGACCACAATTAAGCAAATGTACGTTTCTTCGTTAGGGCAAACATAAATAATAACCTTGAGGTGAATATAATTACATTGAGTTGAAGGCACCCAAGGGGTAAAAAGTTTGGTTGGATGTCAAAATCAGCTCATTTTGAAATGCAAACGTTAGTCGAATTCAATTTGACTAGAATTTTAGATCAAACAATGTAAATTTTATAAAAGTGAATACAAACTTCAATAGAGCAGGAGTGTTTGTATATAAGTGAAATCAAATGAACCTGGAATGAATTTTTTTTTGAAGATAGTGATTTTCAAAATCTTTGAGAACGTTGATAATAATTAAAAAAATGAAAGAAGATAATTTTATTGCAGAAATTGATTTATTCTTGAATCATAGGATTCCCTGTCATCTTGAAGAAACTGTTGGATTGAAAAACAGTTTTCCTGAGATCTTTTGCAATAGGTTAATAAGTTATATAAAAGCGATTGGGTATATTAGAACGACCAAGCATTTGAACAACAATAGGTGTTGTGAGTTTGACGATGAAATTGATACATTTTTTTGGAGTTCCTCCAGCTATATAAGCTGGCCCAAAGAGCTTGATGAGGCACTACTTGAGGTGATTGATAAAAACTATACAACGATTGTGTACCATCCAAAGCTAATTGAAAGGGTTCTACTATGGAAGGCAATAAATTATGTGAAAGATTTGAATGATGGTGAAGGAGTCGAAGGTGGTGAGTTAGAGCATATCAGTGGAGATGATTGTAAAAGGGAGAATGAGAATTACATATGGCTCGATGGTTGTGGGTATAAGAAGTTTATGATAAAGTTAAAAAGAAAACTCAGAGAGATCAGTGATATTAAGATGAAAATTGATATTGGAGTTGATATTAATATTAAGATAAATGACATCGAGCCCAAGTGCTTCAAGAACCCAAAAACATATGTCTATTCAATCCCAAGAATTAGTAAACACAGTGATACTAAAATGATAACAGAGCAAATTCCTAAGAGCTTTCCAAACTATGCAGTTGTGATAGAGCTAATAAAATTGAGCAGATTAAGAGAGGAGGAATTTAATGAAAGATATATAAATGGCAAAATAAAAGACAAAATAAGATTAAGAAGTGTTATTGAAGATGTTTTGAAACTCAATGTGATTGAAATGAATCCTAAGGAGCTAATTGAAAGTACGTTAACTATAATTGAAAGGTGGGAGACGAGTGACTCGTTTAATTTATTAAAGGATTACTTTGAGTTTGACTGAGTGGAGGTGTTGGTGAAAAGAGGTATTTGCTAGTGGTAAGTGATAGAAAAAGAGAGTTGACAATTAATTGGTTCAAGACACCACCAAGAAAAAACAGGCAAATTGAAATATAATTCCTTAGAGAGAAATTTTATTAACTTAAATTCCATAGTGATATGAGTTTGTCATAACCCAAGAGGAATAAATCTTACCACATTTTTACAAAAAATATGAGATAAGGAAGACAAATGGAGCAATGGTGGATAAAGTGGACAAGAAAGTGTGTAGAATAATTGTAAAAGCAATTAATAAGTCAAAGTTATTGGATTAGTCGTTATGAAGTTGGTTGAGTAGTGTGTAGTTGAAGAGAATATCAGTTGAAATTCACATTCAATAATTCTTTAACAGTTAACTTTAATTTTGTAGAAGATGGCAGGTGTGTAGTCCAGAGATGTAAGTGAACAATAGAAAGTTTTGAGAATTGGAATTGAAAGTTTTGAGTAAATGATACGATCAGAGTAGTCTGTAGATGTGGTTGAGTGGTGAGAGTTGTAGAGCATTAGCAAGAAAAAATTGATAAGGAAGATTGTTCAATTGGAAGAGAGAGAAAGGTTGCTGAAGCTATTTATGGGTCATTAGAAAAATGTGAAATATGTTATGGTGCAGAGTTGAGAAGCTTTGGAGGTTTGTACGATATATAAGTTTTAAGAAAGGTAAAAGGTTTTAGACATTTTGAGATTAAATTGGGATTTTCAGAAAGTTTTAAAGTGTTTTGCAACAGTGTTGCAAAAGATTTGGAAAAGATTTGAAAAAGGTTTGAAAAAGATTTGAAAAAGATTTGAAAAAGGTTTGGAAAAGATTTGAAAAAGGTTTGGAAAAGGTTTGGAAAAGTTTTTTAGAAAGTAGAGAAATGTTTTAGGAGAGATTCAAGGAAATTTGATCAAAAATTTCGATCAAAACGAAGTTTAATTTGAAGTTATAGAATTTCCATGAAAGGAAGAAGATTGTTACTAATATAAAGAAAATCGAGTAACTATGCAGAGCATGGAAATGTATAAATATATCAGTGGCTGTTCATTTGTGGAAATAACAAAAGGTAGAAAATCAGTCAACTAGAGAAATCGTCAATCAATTAGACAGTCGATTGATGAAATTGAAAAAAAGAAAGACGATGAGTAGTGAATTTAATATACAATTTGAAGTTGACATCGATAGTTTGATAAGTATCATGACCAAGCCGTTGATTGATTCTATCATCCATCATTTGGGATCTAAAGGGGAGATTAAAGGGTTATCACGAAATTTTCTCCAGGAGATTGGGTACTATATCAGGGCAGTAGCCTGTATCAAGACATGTAGTTATATTTTGGTCAAGTTCAACACTATCAGCAAGACAGACAGTGAGATAATTGAGTTCTTTCAAAAGATGATGCTCGACCATGAGTTCCATTATCCCAGTTACTTTGATAGTTTTTTAACGGCATATTTCAGCTTGAAAACAAAAATGGAGAGGAAGTATGCGTCGTGTGTAATCAAGCCAGAGATTACCACGAGGGCGTTGTTGGTGAAGGGCATATACTATGTTGACAAAGTGAGTGAGCTCAAGAGACGACAATTGGCAAACAAGAAAGTGTTGCTTGAAAAAATAATATCGCAGAAGAAGGAGAAACAGGAGGAAGAGAAAAGGAAATATGGAGAGAAGTACGAGAAGGGTAGATCGCCAGAAGAAGCAGAACCCGAAAGCAGCAACTACAATTCCAGCTACAAAGAGATTGAAAACAAGAGTTATTACGACAACGAAGAGGATGAGGATGACAAGTTCAACAACTGTTTCTGGATAGACAAGTTGAGCTTCCTCGAGTTCAAGTTCCAAATCCGAAACAAGCTCAGAAACTTGCACGACTTCAAGTACATCTACTCTGAAGACAAAGCAGAGAATGCCAGCAGTGGGCAGCACCGGAAGGGTGGAGAGGAGAGAGTGATGGCGAACGAGTTGTCGTCGTCGTTGATGCTTGCACAGTGCATCGAGAAGAGTGGAATGCCCAACAGGCCCATCGTGTACCAGCTCCCACTCATTGGCAGCCAGACGCTGATCGAAGAGGTGGTGCGCAACATTCCCAAGAGCTATCCCAGGCTCAACTTTGTCATCTCGTTGTTGGCCTTCTACGACTTGACGGAACAGCAGTACTTGGAGCCCAAGATGCTCAAGACATTTGTGAAGATGGGCCGTCAGTTGGGGCTTCAGTTCCAGCACAGCACCACCGGCGAGCTTTTGCTGCGTGTGAGGAAGATTGTGGTGGAGTGGGAGAACAGTGCCTATAGATGCTATGCCCAGAAATACTTCGAGCTCATCTCACATACAAACGCCACGTAGCAGTAGGATCTTCCTCAGTGCCATCTTCCTCACCAGCACCATCTTATCACCATCCTCCCACCTTCTTATCACCTCTATACTATACTGATAAGCGCTGGAACATCGCGTGGAGCGCTGGGAGGCGTTATCTCGAGCTGGTCTTATCTTGACTCAGCTCGATTTGCCTCCCTCTTTCCATCTCCATACCTATAATATAATCAACCTTCCTCAACCCTTCTCAACACCACTATCGCCAACATCACCAACATCGCCAGACTCCTTTGCAATGCACCACCAAAAGTTCCCTACTTCTTCTGTCTCTATCGTCCCTGCACAGGGCCTAGGCTTCATCAAGCTAGGCTCCTCTTTGTTTTACATTTTGAACAAGCTCTCTCTCTCTCCCTCCAGTGCTTCCACCAACATTGCCATCAAGTTGGCTTCTTCGAAGAAGGCCCTCTTTGAAACTCCCATCGTTTTGTACATTAAAAATTTTGGCTTACGACTCCTTTTCGACCCAATAACACAGTTATTGATCCTCATCGAGATAATAAACTTCAAAAACCTAAACTCCTTGACCTACACCTACTACTCTAACAAAAAATACCACTCGCTCAATAAAAACAACAAAAACCCCTCCTTCAACTTGATATACAACAAGATCTTTGGTCCCACCTATCCTGGCAAGATCTACTCAAACAACAACCAATTCATATACATCTTGAACTATCCTGGCATCTCCTTCAGCTTCAATCTCAATGACAAGTTCATCAAAAACTTGAAGATACACAACATCAATAAACTATCGTCAAAGGACCACGAAAGAATTGTATCAGTTTTATCCAACGACTCCAATAACCAATTCGAGTGCACTTCTTTGATCTTGTACTATCCAAACTTCTTAAAAACATGGGACAACGTACTCAAATCCATTTTCAACAATCACCTAAAAAACTCCTTTACAATTGCCCAAAAACAATTAAAATCAATAAATCTTTTGCAGTTTCAAAATCAACTGCCCCTCGATACAAAAGTGCCATTCAACTTCCTGCCCTTCATCACTACAAATAACAAAATAATCAGAATTGATATCGATTTGCTCAACGGTAATCTTCGTTTGAATTTCAGATTCCCCACAAAAGATTCATCCAATTCCACTACCTATACTGATAAAAACACCATCTCTGACGATAATGGCCTACTAAACAACTTCTTTGTCTTGGAAATCGGCAAATCCTTTCAACAAGATATTCTCTTCAATCTAGGGCCTCCTGATTCCACTTATCTCAAAATTGACTCGCGATACGATATATACAACAATGCCCCAAACTCCTTTCCAAACAAAAAAAATCCCATGCCCAATAACAATAACCAATCTGAAAACATCAACCTGGATACAAGTATCGACAATAACAACATCAATCCCATCTTTCCCAATAATAAAATCTTCCACAACTACTTCCGTTACGGCTTTGATCTACTCTACGACGTCAATAACATTAAGGGCTCAGTCTTGAAGAAAATAATCATCTACAATAACCTACCGAACTCCCTCTTTTTTCAAAAGTATAATAAAGTCAACTGGATCATGAAAGGTTATGATACCAATAACAACACCCATCGAAACTGGGACTGGACCTTAAATCCATCAAAAAACTTGGCCACTTCTGAAATGTACTTTTACGAAATCGACAGCGAGAACTTCAAACGATGCAAAATAAACAACAACTACAACGATAACGACACAGAAAGCACTAGCAACAACTCTCTTGATAGATCTTCAAAATTCGTTCTCATCGATAGAAATGATCTCTTTAATGACTCATGTCTAACCAGTCGCGGTGACACTAATCAATCTAGAAATAAAAACAGTAGAAAATCAACCTCCAGCGCTAACAACTCTAACTTTACCTTTGGCTTTCTTGGAAACAAAAATAAAAATCACATCCTGAACAACACTCCCTACGATTACAATGAACCAGTCTTTATTGATGATGATAACGATTCAATAGAGATTATCGATGACGATATTAATGACATGAACATCAACGACGATTTCAAACAGTTTAGTCATCCCAATGGTCAAATGCAAGATGGAAAAACGCTAAATGAGAAAATTCGTACAAATTCTAACATTAATAATAACAAGGATAATAATCATGACGATTACAACTACACTAGTCAAGAAAGTATTAAAAGCAAAAGTGATAGTGAGAACCAGTCAATAGAGAATCATAACAAATTTGGCATTAGTAAACTATATGGGTTTCGCAGATGTATCTGGGAGGTTTTGATTGAAGATGAATCAATTAGTTCGATTACACTATTTTGATTGAGCTGCTTCGTCTTCCTCTTACAGTTTCTTTTTTTTTTGGTTTTTTATTGAATCTTACGGATTTATAGAGTTTTAATTTTTAAATATTTGATAGTAATTTCCTCCAAAAGTTGTTTCAAGTTCAAAAAATAACACAAAAACTGCTGTCTTTGATTAAAATATTTGAATGATTTTTAGCTTGGGGTTTATGCCTTTCTGGCCAAGTTGGTAAGGCACTTCTCTAGTAATGAGGAGACCCTTAGTTTGAATCTGGCTGAAGGCAGTTAATCGGGTTTTTATTTTTTGATAATTTTCGGGTATTATACTTACATACCCGAACTTGCTTCAGAAAAAAAAAATTTACTTTAAATTTTAATTCATTTAAAAAATAAATAGGATATATTAGTGGTATAAATAATATGTAAAATATTCATGAAAATGATTTCTATAAAAGGTATTATGAAAGTATGATTAAATATGAGCAATATAAGAAAATATTAATGTTTTGAATTAAGCAAGAGGAAATTTAAATTATCATTGTTTAAATTTTCGTGTTGATTGGTATTAAGCAATAGGTTATGAAGCAACTCATTTATATTATTACTATTGTTGATCAAATGGCTTGTGAATTGAGAAGTGGATGATGAGCTACCATGGCCTAGTCTGAATAATATAGAAAAAATATTAGATCCAATAAAATAACCAATTGTTATTGTAGTGCCTAAAAAAAGAGTGGCCAAAGCAGGATTTAAACTTTTTGTCAAATACTTGTAAAAGTAATTGGTCTGATGCCTTTTCTTCTTTTTATTTCCACGTTTATTATCATTTTTACTAGTGGTAAAATCATTGTTAAGAGCATGTAAAGAACTAGAATTATTATCACTGAGATGCAAGGAGGCGATTGGTGTGATAAGTGGTCCATTTGATACGCTATCAACACTCTCCTTGCTCTCATTCAAGGAAACAATATTAGTGTCCAAGTTGGATTTGTTGATACTGATCCACTTATCATTTGAATCTTTGTTAGAGCCATGATTGGAATCTGTCTTTGCAGAAGGTTCAGGATAGCTGAACAAAGAAGATTGATTTAAAAATGAATCGTTCAAGTAGGACTGGTTATTAAGATCAGCCTTCCACTTGTGTAGGTCCTTAGAATTGATGTTGTTCATGGCTACAGAAAGCAATTGGGAGACAAGAGTGATACAAGGAAGAAAAAGCAAGAGAACAGAGAAGAAGAGCAAGTGAACAACACTTTATAACGCTGCTGAGCCCTATTTAACACTCTATCACACTCTAAAACAGGAGAGATCACTATGTAAGAGTATATGTGATAACTGGCACCCACCCCAAAAACGCACCTCCTGCGTTGACACATCCTACATCTGTTCCAGTCCAGTGGATCTAGCACTCAATCAAAGATGCAAAATCAAGCCCCGTCACGTGCACCACGTGCACTATTTGGTGCGCGAGGCTCCGTGCCACGGCAACGGATGTGGTACTCCTGCGCGAGGTTCCATCGCACTCCCAAAATTTTTATTTTTTATTCTGGACAAGAAGGAAGGAAAAGAAAGCTCATCGAGACTATTGCAAAAGAGCTTTGAGAGTGTATCGAAAGTGAAACTGACACTGACACTGAACTGACACTGAAACCGACGTTGTTCCTTCACGAAGAGAGCATTGGTGCTATATAACAGCGATATATGTGCTAAATATTCGACACTGCTGACCACTGCCAATACTATATCTCTGTTATCGTCATACAACCGTATTACTTTAAACTGCTGCCTCCTTATTTCTTACTTCATTCACTGAAAATGTCTGCCGAAAACAACAGTGCCAATTTGGTTCCAGATAAAGATGATTCTGCTTCCACCCAAATTCAATCTCCAATTCCCAAATCAAAGTTCAAATTGGACAGCAGCGAAACTCCCACTACCACAAAGGATGTGAACACTATTCACCACAATCTAAACAGCCTTCGTCTCAGCAACTTATCCAAAATCAGAGATAGATCGTTATCTCCTTTTCAAAAGGATTCCAGTATCCCTTCTTCTGCTGTTTCTTCTAATGGCGGCATTCCATCTTTAGCCTCAAGCAGTAAATATCTGAGCTCAAACGATAAAACCGATATCAAAAAACTATCTCCTCAAGAATTGAAAATTTATAAATTATATGGAAAATTACCTTCCTCAAGTGAGATCTTGAATTCAAAATTAAAACATAAGCAATATTTCGACACCTGTGATTACGCTTTGAACTTTTTCAACATCGATACAAATGACCCAGTCGTAAACGACAATATTAATAATATCAATTATAATTCTTCAATTCATAACCACTCAAGAAAGAATTCGATCAATATATTAAACAGTATTAATGTCAACACCACTTCAACTGATGCTTCAACAAATTCTATTAATAACATTAACACCAACGAGACCTCTGAAATCACTAACGAGGATTTGAACACTCCTCCCGGTTTAACTCACTCACCAACAAACTCCATCTCTTCTTCAATATCTTTATCAAATAACCTACTCCCTCTTCCCAACTTGGAAAAGCTATCCCAATTGAACATTAAGAGAGAAATCAGTAGACATGGGTCCATGGTTAGTGTCAACTCAAAGGAGATCTTAAAGGGGATAATCAATAAAAGTAATTTAGAAAATCAAATTGATTCAGATGCAATTGAATCCGATTATGACACTGATTACTCCTCAATCTCAAATTCAAACCAAAATCCCACTTTAATCAACAAAGAAAAAATCACTTTCAACAACTCTTTTAAATTCAACAACTCTCCTCTGGACTCTCCCAAAATTTCATCTCCATCAATTAATCCATTTTTATCCTCAACAAACACAACTCCGGTCAAATCTAACAGTATCGTTTCTAATTCTAAACCCACTAACAAATAATACACAAACTAATTAAACTATTACTTTTTTCCTTTTTCTCTTATATTTCCTTTTATTTTTATTTTTTATATCTTGGTCTTTTAACTTTTTTATTTTTATTTTTATTCCTTACTCTTTTATGATTTTACTTTTATATTTGTCTTCATTTTATATATATATCTTTATAGTATTCCACTCTCTAAACCTCTATATCCTATTTTATCTCTTATTACTTTATTTACTTGACTACTTTATTTTTTTCTGACTGTATTTTTCACATATTCAATTAACCTATTCAGTGACTTCCCACTCTCGTTTAAAATATGATCTTTATAGGTATACTTGTTGTTTATAATATGTCTTTTTATTTTACTCTAGTAGCTTTTACTTTAGTATCTTTTATTCTACTTCCTATATTTTCAATCCAATAAATATCTGATTATATCATGATACTTTCCACTGGAAGGGTAAATTCTCTCTAAACGAATGATTTTTGCTTCTCCATTAATTTTATTCTTTTTATTCCTATATAAATACATGGAACCACATCGCTGATATTTCATATTTGTACTTTTTTCTTCTTTTTCCTTCTTTTTCCTTCCCTTTTTTCATTTGTTTTTAATTTGTTTAAACTTATAAATTTGATCAAACACTGTTTTATTTTCCAGCGTATATTTAAAATGTCAAGGCTTATGAAGCGAACGAGCTCTAATCTCGATGATGACTATAGAAAAATCAAGCTGGTACCCATAGGTATATCAGAATCAGTCAACACTCTCACTTCTCCAGAATTATTTTCATATTTTGGATCAAACGAAGAACTAGCAAAAGAGAATCAAGCCAATATTGAGTTTTACAAACAATTTAGAAAAAAACCAACTCTATTAAATGAACTAGGTGAAGAGTATTTGGATGATGATTTAATCAATAAAAGAAAATTTTTCCAAGAAAAGTTCATCAAGGATGATAATAATGTTAAATTTTACTCGCTTTTTTTAATTAAATTTATAATTAAATTAGTTATTTTATCGATGATGGGGAATTTTTTTTACTTAATTTCTAAAAATGTTAAAATGATGGATGAAAGTTTCATCAATGTTAACGGAATCAATGAAGGTAATAAAAATATCAATTTAACTTATAAACCCTTTTTAATTATATCCAAATTCTTTAAGAAGATCCCATTTATTGAGAAGCATCTACCAAATTATATATTATCGTCATTCGAGGGTATTCTTTTGGGTATAAACCAACCAATATTCGATTTGATATTTCCAAATTCGTTTTCCATATCGATCTTCAAGTTGATTAATAAAGAAACAAAATCAGACTATGAAAAAGAGAATGCAAACGATTCAAAAAATTATGTATCGATTTCATCAATTTTAAGAACATCTACAGCATTTTTAGGGATTTCATTTGCATTAAGAAAATTAGACTGGAAAAGTTTTGAAGAAAATAATAATTTATTTATTTTATTTAATTTGTTTATTTGGTTGTTATTAGACTCCACTATATCAGGGTTTATAAGCTCGACTTTACTATCGGTATTAACCACTATTTTTGTGTTTATTTTTGATTCGGATTTACATGAATCGATCTTAAAGCAAGAGTATAATCAATATTCAATTGCGCTATGGATTGGTAGTTTCTTCTTTTGTGGGTTAATTTTATTTGGAAAAGTTGGTAGATTTTTATTCATCCACTACTATTAATCTTTATACAAGAGAGAGATGGGATAAATTGCTATAGATATGCTATGATATGCTATGATATACTATGAAATATATATGTAATAAATATATTCTTTGTTTTTGGGTTTTTAATCGAGAAAATGGATAAAATGTAGAAGAAATAGAAAAAAGTTTATTGGATAATTGAAAAAGAAACGAGGAAGTGATGGGGTAAAAATAAGATTTGAAATAGCAAATGAAAGATATAAAAAGAGATGTGAAAGAGCTTTCGCTAGAAGAATTGCATTTGTATTTTTATCAGACAAGTAAGAAGAATTGGATTACAGAATAGAAAAATGAATTGCTTAAGAGGTAAACAGTTTCCTAGTTTAATTAATCAAAACATTAAAAGAATTAATAGCAAGAGATATATTTCGGTGGGTGGCAAATTGAAAGAAGAGATATTATTCGAGGGATCACCTAAGAATGGTGTTTCAATATTGGAGCTCTTGAAGCAAGATAAAGACAGCAAAAGATCTATAATTGTTGGTGTACCAGGAGCTTTTTCACCTGGATGTAGTGAGAAACATATTCCACAATACATTGAAAAGATTTCAAAAATTAATCAAGAAGTAGGTATTAACAAGATCTATGTTATTTCTGTCAACGATTCATTTGTTATGAAAGCATGGAAGGAGAAATTCTTTGGGGAATCTCCAGAGTTGAACGACAAGTTTCGGTTTTTAGCAGATACAAATGGAAAATTTACTGAGAAGAATGAATTGTCATTTGATGCCAGAAACATTTTTGGAAACTATCGATCAAAGAGATACAGTTTAATCGTTGATAACGAGGGAGTGGTTTTACAAAGTTTTATTGAGCCAGATAATGTTGGCATTAACGTTTCATCGGCAGAAAATGTTTTTAAAAACATTAGCAAATAAGAATGGTGCAACCCATTAGTTTTTAATTGGCGATAGGAAATTCAGAGATGTTCTTACAGAAAGAATTAACAGTCTTGAAACATTTATATCTAAAGACATAGTTTATTATTGCCATTATCGTCATGATTAAAATCGGTGTTAATTGTAGGATCAATATATGAAGAACATATTCTTAGATGGATGCATACGTAAAGGGAATCGGTGAAGATTAGTAGAGAGATACGATTGAGAAGTTAATTCAACAGTAAAGATGTGCTGTTATTATAGGTGTGCATCACGTGTTTATGAATAGATTGGGCACGGAAGAAAAAGAGGGAATCAATCCCATTTATTTCTAAAGCAGTTGGTGCATTACAATCAAGAAAGAATAAACAAGATGTCGATGAGTCAATCTATTTCCAATGGGAGCATGAGTCTTGGACTCAAGAAGCAAAATTCAATAGGAGCCAAAAAAGTGAAAGTGAAGAAAAAAGGCAGAGAAGGCAAGGAAAATAGGGACAGCAAAGAGATGAGAGACGGTCAGGAAAATAGAAGCACAGACAACAAAGACAGCAAAGAGAGAGGCCCTGAGACCGGCAGAGAGATGGACAAAGATGAGCAGCAGTTGGAGTTCATCAAGAACATTATCAATTTCAATGTGATTGGGAAGTACGACCCAAAGATTAAGCAGATTTTGCTCCAGACCTATCAGTCAATTTGGTACAAATTCAACGAAACGAAAGCCGAGTGGGAGCAGCTTGAGTATGCCGGTCCGCTTGCTCTTTATCTCCGCAATTACGAGTGGGAGTACTTCAACGATCCTTCTAGAATCGCACAAAGACGTGGGTTGGACGAAGAGACAATAGCACGGGAGTTGAAGCTTCGAGACTGTTACGTGTACGGCTTGATGGTGTTGAACCGGTCCAGTCCCAAAAACCTTTCGCTCGGACTTATTCCACACACCATCACAGACGCTTATCCGGCATTTTACTCTGGTGGATACGAGTTTGAACGGAAGGACGAGCTTCTCATCATCAAGAACTGGCTCGACGAGATTTACGGCGTGTGGATCCATCATCCGCAGGATCGAGAACGCTTTGGCAAGTTGATCGAATACTGTTTGAGCAACCCCCCAATGAGCGTGTAGCAGCGCGCTCGTGTAGGATATGCATCAACTAACGCATTGGAGCATTCCAGCGCTTTGGCTCTAGCGCACCTGACTCTCGGCGCTTATTTTTGAAATGGAAACTAGCAAATATAATCAGATATAATCAAATACACCCAACTGCACTCCACCAGCTACTTGATCCAACTCTTCGGCTGCTCATCAGAGACTCTTTCTGCTTTGCTTCCTTTGGCCTGCAGCTTCTTTGTCGATTGAACAATTGCTCAACTCTGCTTCTGCTTATTGTGCCTGGTGCTGCTCCCTCGATTCTTTGCCATGTCTCTGCCTTACTCTTGCACGAAAGAAACTGTTGTATCATACTATGTTGAATCTCTTTCTCCCATCTTTCATCAAATAGTTTCCAGCATTTATATTGACATCAATAGCACTATAGCTGATTCTTCTTCCGAAACTTCTAACTCGTTTCTTCCTGCCATAACACTTCCCTTAATCAAATACCCAATTCGCGATTCAATTTTTCACTCCTCCTCGCATTTGAAAAAATTAATCGATATCCTATCTAAAGATCAAAATTTAAATGATTCCTATATAAAATTAATCCTAGAGTTTCTCTTTGTCAATTATCTATTAAAGTTTGAGAAAAAAGATTATAATTTATATCTATCTTTAATTCAAAATCACAAATTTAATGATATTTACCTAAATAACGACTATGAATATTCTTCATCAATTGATTCTCGCTCAAATCAACCTCGTTTACATTTCCTTATAAGTGATTCATCTTTAAAAATTGATTTGAAATTAAACGTTTATTCAATCATACTCGATTTATCTAATTTCCTAATCAACATTAAAAAACTACCCTCTTTTGATTTATCTTTTATCTTGATCGAAAAAATCTTTAAATTTAACTCCTTCTATAAAAATTTGAAATTTCTCAATTACTTAAACTCAAGATATTTAAATCTAATCAATTTCATCAATCATATCAATAACTTATCTTATAATATAGGAGATTTATCTTCTCCCTCTCAAAATGACTTAAATACAATAAATAACATAAATTCAAAGAAAAAATATTTATCCTCCTTGATCGGTATTCAGAGACCTGGAAACATCCTATTATTACTATCAAATAATCTAATCTCAAATTTACTTCCTTCAAATGATTATTATAAAACTAATGATATTCTTATAGGTAAAATCTATCTCCTACTAGCCAACTTTTTCAAAATTAATGATCAATTATTTTTATCAATTTCAAAATCTTTTTCTTCTTCCAACAACAATACTAATAATGATTACTACTCTTTTTATAGCTCTTCTTTAACTAGCAATAATAATAAAAACACTCATCAGGACTATTTATCTGTCAAATCTAATAATAATTTGAAAAATTCCTTTTTATCGTTATCTCAAGCACCTTCATTTTCCTCATTACCTTCTTCAGCTCACTCTGTTTTATCTGCCTCTTCAAATTTATCAAATTCAATAATACCAAAATCCTACTCAAGATACTCCAATATTAAAAAATTCATTATTAACCCCTTATCTTTCATACCAATTAAAAAAAAATTATCCTCAGCTTTAAATGATTTAGATTTCTTAATTCTGGATTTCATAAATATCAATATAGAAAGAAGGCATTTAAAGAAAAAGGAAATCTCAAAAAATGACTATAATAACTCAATTAATAATTCTCTATCTCTTTTCAACAATCTAGTTTTTCATAATAATAATAATAATGAAAACATTTCTTCTGTTTTATTAAATTTAGACGATTCTGCATTTTTAAAATTTTTAGTTCAATCTCATAATTTAAATCGAATTTATTTTAATGATTTCCTATATTATAAAAAGAAATTCAATTATTATAATAATAAAAACTTTTATGATACAAATACTTTAATCTCAAATAAATCAGATTATTTAATCCAATGTAATCATGATACAAAATTCATTACTCAAAATTTAATTCAATTTTTCATTCTAGTCAATTTCTTATTAAATATAACTGTTAAACTACAACGTGAAAATATCTCCATATTAACTAAATATTATACATTTTTACCTTGGAATCACACTTTCATTGATAATAAAAATACATCTAAAACTTCTGATACTTTACTGGCTCCATTATCTGAATTAAAAATTAAATCAGTATATCCCTCCGTTTTTACCCCGATTCCTGATCAAGATTTTTTTAATTTATTATATAGACTTAAAAAAACTATTCTAAGTTATTTGTTTGATTATGATAAATCTTTGAATTATTCGATCAAAAACTCTTGTGAGCAAAATGAATTATATTGGTTAGGCTCAAAAATGGTCAAGTTCAAAAATTTTTATGAAATTAACTACCTTTCCTTAAATTTTAAAAACGAAACTAATAATTATAAACTAATCCCAAATTTTTTCGAAAGATGTGTTCTATATCAAATGGGTAATTACAAACTAGCTCAATTATGGAAAAGAGAAATTGGCATTAAAAAACTTCAAAATAACCAAAATTTGAATAAAAAATTCAACAACTTAAACTTTCAAGATAACATCGACACAATTAAACAGGATTATTTGGAACTAGAAGAGAGAATTGATAAATGTACCGATTCATTGAACTCAATTAATCAAAAAATTGAGAAAAAAAGTACTACTTCTAATAACACTAAAACCACTACTACTACTACTACTACTACTACTACTACTACTACTACTAATAATAATAATAATAATAATAATAATAATAATAATAATAATAATAATAATAATAATAATAATAATAATAATAATAATAATAATAATAATAATANTAATAATAATAATAATAATAATAATAATAATAATAATAATAATAATAATAATAATAATAATAATAATAATAATAATAATAATAATAATAATAATAGTGGCGATAACGATAATAGTAAAATTGATAATGTAAATAGTGTTAACACCAATAAAGAAGATAAAAATGATGAAATTATGAAAGTTGCTGATAATACCGATAATATTGAAATCACTAAAGCTACGAAGGATAACAGTATCAATAGTGATGATGGTAGGATTGTTGACAATGAAATGGATTTTGATTTGACGGATAAATATAAATTAGAAACAAATTTGAATAAACTAAAAGATGAAAGAAATTTGAAAAATTGGAAGAATCTTCGAATTTCAAGAAAAAATGGTTATTGGTTAAAATTCGATTTAGTGTCGTCGAAAATTGGATTTAAAGGATTATTTGATAAGTCTCTCATAGAAACGGAAAAAGTAGAACGAATGAGGAAGGAAAAACTTGAAAACAATGTGTTAAAACAGAGACTTCATAAAAAACATTTATTACAAGCAAGATCAAAACAAGTAAAACGAAAATTTGATTATTCTAATAATAATGGCAATATAATTAACAATAGCAATTTCTTGAATCCTAGTTTTAAAAGAAAGAAGATTGGTCACGATAACCCGCATCTTTTGGGTCAATCAGCTCCAAATTCAACAAATGATTCTCAAATAATGAATCTTGAATATTAAATAGTATATCGTAACATTGAATATTCTTATCAGACTTCCAAATGGATTTAATTCTTATTTTGGTTGGGTGCTTTTTTTTTTCTTTTGTATTATTGAAATGTTTATTGTTAGTATCGTTTTATTTTATAAATAGTAGAGCTCTCTTCCAATTACTTTAAAAAATTAGATAAAACTTTGTGTGTTTAGAGATAGAAGCATCAACACTAAATATTCTTTTAAATATTTAATATATCAGTAGATTTACAAAACAAATAAAACCCAAATAATGTGATATATATCAGCTATTATATATATTTATTAAAGTTGAAAATGGTACAATATGAGAGAAATTAAATGACTTGCGTAGCAAATTACTTATGATCTTGGTTTTTCTTTTTTTTCTTTCCACAAAGCCAATAAAGAGACACCAGAGACTTTAACAACTTTGAATCTAACACCTGGAATATCACCCTTAGCTTTACCTTTTCTACCAAAACCAGCCAATAAGACTTCATCATTTTCATCAACATAATTCAAACAACCATCATTTGGAACGAAGGCAGTGACTTTCTTACCATTTTTAATTAATTGAACTCTGACACATTTTCTGATAGCAGAGTTTGGTTGTTTAGCTTCAACACCAATTTTTTCTAAAACAATACCTTTAGCATGAGAAGAACCACCAAATGGAGAAGATTTAAAAGCAGTACCTAATAATCTTGATTTATAAGATTGATCGGCCCAACGACTATTATAATAATTTATGTTAGTATTTTGTTCTTAGAATCACAAGACATTTTGAGTCTTTTCAGGGTTAAAACTTTGTGATTGCTTTTGAAAAACCAATCCAACAATTTCGAAAGATGACAATGAGAAGGATTGAAGTGCATGTTCGGGTGTATTCATGATTTCTAATAGTGATTCAGAAATGTTTTAGTTTTCTTTCTTGTTGCTGTATTATGTTGTGAAAAAGGTAATATTTTGAATTAAACATTATTTCAATTGAGAATTTAGGGAGCCTACAAATTTGAATAGTATTTTAAAAACTACTGCATTTTCAAGTTTTTGAAGATGAAAAGTGTTCAACTAAACAGATTTCAACAGTTATTGAAATTGAAAATCAGTGACAACCCTGCTGTAGTTTAAAATAACAAAGCTCAAACATATTGTATGCATCGTTATTAAATTAAATTACCATTCGGTACATTGATAATATTTATACCAGGTAGAGATTCTTGTTCTAGTTCTTCTCTTTCTTTTCGTTTTAGTTGTTGAAAAATCATCCATTTATTGAATAAATCAAATCTTTTTATCATCCAATTTCTCTTTCAGTTATTGCTTATTGTTTTGTTCCATTAATTGATGTTTGATGTTTCTAACGCTCACTCAATTGATCACTTACTTGTTACGTCTGTGAACTCTTAATTTTCTAGCAGAATTCAATCCTCTTGGTTTGCCTTTACCCATTTTTGATTAATTATAATATATTTTCTATCTTGAAGGTGGTTACTGACAAGTATAAAAACAGCCTGGTGTAAGTCTTCAAGGTTGAGCTCTGAAAAGGTTGCCATACATTTTCACTTTCTGTCAGAGTACGAAAAACAAAATTTGAGGGAAAAGAGCCCTACTAGCATTACACAACCCTACCATATTACACAGTCACAATAATCCATTTCAGACAGCCCTACATACATCCCCATGATATTCACATGTATATTATGTGACCATAGTTGAGGTTTTTCTATTTGCTTTTTGAGTCCAGGTTTGAGGGTTTCTTTTTGTTTGGGAAACATGCCTTTCACTGCAGTGTTATTGCATCTCTAGTGTTAATCTGAAATTTACTTTGGTTATTTTCAAATACTCTATTGATGAATAGATGTTGCGATCAAGAATATTGTAATTGAGATTGTTTTTTCAACTAGATTAGAAACATGCCACTCATGAGATTATTTCTGAAAATCTGCTGTAAGCTATTGGTAAATATTCAGCTATAAATTAGGGAATTATCGAATAGTAAGCATTTGAATAAGCAATTTATTCTAAGACCGATAATAACCTAATTATTTCAAATCAGTAATGCAAATATTTTAATGCAAAAAATTATCAATTACAAACTGGTTAAGAAAATCGTTGCAGGTTTTTAGAACAGTGATTATATAAAAACCAAAGAAATGTTTTATTTGATAGATCTTGAGTTAAATCTTATAATTGATTTTAATTACCACTAATTTTGCTGATATATATTTCTTTGGTTGATTACTGAGTTTACCTATGGAAACCATCATTTTTTTAAAGCTAAACATTACCATTGTAAAAAAGTGTTGCTAATCTCTTTATATGATTACATTTTATCTATTCGTTTGATGATTCAATTAAAATTATGTATTTGAAGAAGACAGATCAAGTATGTGAAATATTATGATTGATTTACCTATACCAATGAACCTTTAAAAGACAATCAAAAAAAAAATATAAAACGCTCAACACCGAAAATAAACCACAATGAAAGAAAATAAAAAAAAATAAAATAAAGTTAAATAAAGTTAGATAAAGCTTAATAAAGTAAAAAGAAAGGGAAGGAAAGCACAAAAAAATAAAAAAATAAAAAAGAAGGCAGAAATAAAAAGCAGAACAATTATTAACAAAAACAACTGCTTTTTTTTGAATTATTTGAAGTATCAATATCAATAAATCCATCATTTAAATTAATTAAATCATCACTCAATATTTTCTTTTTGGCACTCTTCTTAGCGTTTTTGTGATCAACCAATATATCGTTCTCTGTAATAAATAGTTTGCTGGAAATCTTATTAGGAATTAAATCCTCAAATAATTTCAGAATGTTTTTTCCAGTCTTAGCTGAAACATCAATGTATAAGTAATTTTTTTCTTTCACAAACTCATTAATTTCTGTTTGAGAGATGGCCTTGTGGGAATTGGATTTGTTTACCAAATCCATTTTATTACCAACTAATGCAATAATGAAATTGTTCTCATCATCACTGTCATTACCATCAACAACATCGTGACTATTCTCACCACCACTGGTTCTCGTATTATACTTCTGACTGGTACCATTTGTATCGTTGTAAAAGTTGAGCTCATTTATCCAATCCTTTGCCTTTTTGAAAGATTCATGATCTAATAAGTCAAAAACAATTATAGCAATATTTGAATTTCTATAGTACATTGGGGTTAAAGATTTATAACGTTCCTGACCAGCAGTATCCCAAATTTCGTATTTAATCTTCGACACATATCCCTTTTCGATCTGGTTGATCTGAAATATTTTTGTAATGAAAGCAGCACCAATTGTCGCTTCTTGATGTAAATCAAACATATTTTTTGTGAATCTTTGAATGATGGAAGATTTGCCAACATTTGATTCTCCCAACATGACTAATTTGAAGGTGCCAAATCTTTTGGTTAGTGAAGTGTCACTACTAGGTGATTCGTTCAATTGTTCAGACATGTTGATGATAGCTACTAATTGTAATCCAGTTCTGCTGAATTATATCTGTTTTTTGAGTCTCCAGTTAATTAATAGTGACTATTCTCTGCTATTTATTGCGACTCAACTGTAGTTTAGTAGTGCAATAAGTCTTGCAAATGTTTTTACCTTTTGGGGTAGAGGTTCCTATTTCTCAGGATCCAAAAGTTGCCTAACCAGACAGCGCTCGGTTAGTCGTTTAGCGTAAAGTTTGTAAACGCACAACAATAATCCACACGCTGCAAATGCACACGCTAGAAATGCACACAAACGCATACAATGCTATCAGACGCATATGTGCAGCTAAAACCCATACGAATGCTGTGAGCCATGTTACTGAATTTTATTAATTCAATCACGTGACTGTTCAAATATTTATACGTGGAGTTCTAAGATTGCAAGATGCATAATGTTTATAACTATATGCAGAGAACTGCGGATGGTGGATGTGTCCATGGCAGTGGGTGCTATATAGATATGGAAAGAATACTTTCGCGTATTGATAAATGTCTTCAACAGTTTTGGTTTCTTCTCTATCTTGTCAGCTCATTCCAAGGGAAACGAGAAAAAAAAGCTATGAATGTGTCTTTTTGTAATTTCAGAGCTCCCTTTAATTCATACCACACCACTTTCAACACAAATAGGACAAGAAAGAAGGGAAAACCTAGAACAAGAAAAGAGCTCGCTGAATTCATAGATATTTCGTCCTGCATAAGCAAAACCATCAGACCTGTTTCTCATCAAAATAATCTAGAAGCTTCAATTCAAGACTCGGTAGAGAGTCCATTGCCTGTACAAAGAAATATAACGGAACCTCTTCTGTCTAAAAACTCATTGTCTTCAAAAACTCAAATTATATTCAAGTTGCCCATTTTACCACCGCCATCACCTTCTGCCAAAGCAGCAGAAGAGGTTCAAATACCGAAACTTCCTTCAAAAAACTTTCCTTTAAAAATTTCATCTGTACAGAACACCCAGAATACTCAGAATACTCAGAATATTGAAAATGATCAAAATCAATCAAACAATTCCAATCAAGCATTTAAGCCATCGATTAAATTAGACTCATGCCAAAAAAATCTCTCGAAAACTGATATTAACACACAGTCTATGTTGAATAATCAAAAATCATCTAGCTTACCAGTTTTTACCATAAAATCGACATTACCCAATGCCGAGCCTATCAAAAAGAGTAAAAGATGCAATTCTGATGAAACAAGCAATGACTCTTCTGTTCTTGAATTAAATTCATCGCCAATAAAGAGATCTAGAAAACAACATGACCATAATTTAAATATTATCAATTCATCAATTGACTCAAAAAAAGTTTTAAATTTCTACTCCTCGCCAATAAAGCCCTCAAAATCAATTGATACAAATGATTTAATACAAAAACCAAAGCTTAGGCTTTTTAAAAAGGTTTCTAAAAGAGTTATATTTTCTAATAATACTTTTTCATTCAAAAATCAAGAAACTAATATCTCTGAAAAGGGAGTCCTGAGAAATAAATCTCCTTTGAAATCGATTTTAAAACCTTCTCTAAAACCACCAGTTTTCAAAAACAAATCAAAAATTGGTAATCCAAATGCTAACATTTTGAATTCCACTAATTCCAACTCTTTTAATTCTGAAGCTATTACTTCTGTGGCATCCAAACCAAGTATTGATTTATTGACAGATGATCAGGAGGATCAAAGAGATTTCTCAAATGAAAATTACTGGCAACCTGGGGTCATTTTTGAACCAAAAGATTACAAAATAAATAACGTCAAAATTTTGATTAAAGGATGTTTGAAAGTTTTGTTCAATGAAAAAAGTGAAAGGAAATTTGAGATTTATGCCACTTTAAATACTTTACTTAAGAAAACAAAACAACCAGTTATTGTACAGGCGCTTAAAAATAGATCATCTGCAATAATTCAATTTATCAAACGAGATTTTGTTCTTGCAGAGAAAGATATTTTTAAATTCTTGAATCTCGATGAATTCGTATTTGACTCACTTTGTTCTAATTTGTCGACTGGGGACTCAGACACTGCTTTGGTTCGAAAATCACATACATATTTATCTTTAAATAAATCTTTAAACTCAGTGTTTTTCAAACAAACCTCAATATCCGAAAATCCTTCTTCTTCGCAAATTACCAAAATATCTAACGACCCATTTTTGATAAGGATATATGTTCAGATCTTGAAGTTATTTTCATTCTTTTGCTCAAAACCCGAGATGCTATCATCTGATGATTTTAATGATATTGCTTTTATTCTTGATCATATTTGCGATATAATATCGTATTCCAATTCAATTTCTTCAAGCTTTATTTCAAAAACCATTTCTTCCACATACATGCAGTTGTTCAAAGATCTTAAAATACTTGGCAATAATCTCAACTCATCAAATTATAAAGTGTCAAAGACAACTCTAAGTAGCTCTGTTACAAATGTAAATACCGGATCTAGCTTGAAAGTTTCAACATCAAATAATCAACTATCGCTTGAATTGAGCGAGAGATTGTTATTGAATTTATTGAATTTACCCGTTGGCAAATCAGTTTCCCTAATTATTGAAAAAATTTTAGCTATTAAAAACTTCGTGCTCATTTTCCCTAATATGATGATCAAAAATATACAATTTTACTTTAAGTTTTTAATAATTAATTTGTTTGACTTGAATGGGATAATGTATCTAAGGGTTCTTTTGGCTCTAAACTTATGCTTCATGGAAATGTCTCGTGTATTTATTGACAGTAACGTTACATCCTTTTATATTTTTAGAACTTTGAATAATCTAGTCTCATCAGATATGCTTGAAATCTTGCAGGAAAAACAAAAACTTACTCAATCATCTACTGGTGTTGATTCGTATGTTGGTCCTGATGTATTATCAGAGGCCGACCCAAATAAGAAACATATTTTTCTTGGCCTAATCATTCAACAATTATTGATTTTGATTCTGAAAAGAGCCCATAAATTGGCCATGGACATTTGGTGTTCTTTAACTTTATTGATGAATGTGAATAATTTTGACTCCATGCAAAAATCAGTCATGAGAGTATCGTCCTTTGATGATTGGAATAACTTACTAAATTGGGCGAATGTTTTTACTTCATGTATCAATGAAACTAACCTGGAAGCTAAGTCTGCAGCTATTAAATCCTGGAGATGCATGATATATATCAATGGAAATTATTCTAACTTTAATGTCACATCCAGTAATAATAACAATAGAATGATGTTGCAGACAAGAAGCAAATCTTTTTCAAATACATCATCGCCCTCGAAAAACAGCGGATCATTTTCAATTGATATTTATCATAAAAGATTAACAATAATGAATTATCCCTTCACTTCATTAGCTGTATTTAGCAATCTTTCAAATGAAACAAGAGATTTAATACATAACATATTTTTGCTTAATGTTTATTCCGTTATTAACCCAGTTTCTTCAAGCCTATTATTGTCCTTAAAATATTTACTACCACTATGGAATATATTGGTTGAACCGGTTTTAATGCAATTCGTGGATCAAAAATCACCCATCTTTTCAGTTATGTTTGCTATAAAGTTTATAAGCAGAATAATTCAAACTTCTAGCTCATCCATGCATAGCAATTTGGATCCTTTGAGAGTATTGGGGAGCTTTCCTCTATCAATCGATGAAATTGTTTCGTTTCCCTCTAAATGGGTGTATGCCAACAACGGAAAAATATTTAATATTCTAATGCCAATATTCCAAAATAAACATATTTACTTTTCTAGTAAATTGATACTATTGTTTTCTTTCACAAACTCTCTCAAAAGTATATTGAAGAAAGAAAAGGAAATTTCAGATATTTCTGCTTCAATAACAGAAAACATCATAAATCTTCTTCGTTTAACATTTGGTAGTGATTCCATGTTTGTTCAGTGTGAAAAGAAGATTAATCTTAAATTGGATATGGCTAAGAAAATTATCGTAACATTGCTTGATACCTATCTGATTAGTAGTTTGAGCGATAACAGTTTAAACTATAACGCAATTCAAAAAATGTTTGAATATTTTATTCAATATTTTCCTACATATTTGAATGACTTATTAAAAAGCTGTGTCAACCTATTGAGCTTGGAAAAGCAAATCAAATTATTTGAAAGGTTGGTGAGAATAGACAACATAGACATAAACAAGTTTATCATTGCTAATCTTGAAACCAAGATATTTGATAGAAAATTGGAATTTTCTGATTTTGCTTCGATTGGTCTGATATTTAGTTCCTTGCAATCGAATGTTGCTATTATCAACTTTTTTAACTATGTTTTGAGGTTTTATGAGAAAAGAAAGATTTCCAAAATTGTGCTTGCGTTGAATTTGAACAAATGGGAGCCAAATGATTTTATTAATATTTTAGAAATGTTGGATAAATATTATTTCCTCAAACCTTTGATACCGGATCTCATAATAAGAAAGTTTCAAGATTTTGAGGTCGAATACAGTTTGTTCATTTTAAAAAATGTGATTTTGAATCATCCATTAACATATGACATTAGAGATATTATATTGAAACATATAAGTGAAGAAAGTAACGACTTTGCTCTTCCCAATATTATTTACCAACTTCAAGAATTTTTCGTGAAACTTCTAAATGAATTAAGACTGGAACCGAAAACTTTTATTTTAGATTACTTTCTCTCACAGGGGTTATGTTCTTCTAGATTTGCTGTTGTATCTGAAAAATTCATTCTTGATGCTCCTGAGATTTTAGACAGCTTACCCTTGTCTAAAAAGAGATTTCTGAAAAGGTTAAGTAGAGAATCTGCAGAATCAGTAGACGGTATTTCAAATACAATTAGTAATAATATTGATGGAATTAGTCCCAACTTTGCCAAAGAAACAAAATCTAGTGATGATTTGAAACCCAATACAGAGGTGACTTTACTGTTATCAATAGTTGAGAATGTTGTAAAACTGGATGAAAGTAAACTTATTTATGCTTCAAATAATCAACAAAATCAGAATGCAAAAGAGCAAATTACTTGTCCAACTAATGCGAAAGATCGTTCTGATCTTGAACAGGATGAAATGGATGAAGTTTCGAATAAAACTGAAGTGGAAATTTTGAAAGAAAGCCAAAAACAAATTAATCTGATTTCTAATTTAGAATCACCACTACAAGTGCCTGATAATAATTTTTCTCAAAGTTCCACCAGTAATGTTTTTGAAAACCATTTTGATAATAAAAATGAGCTGGTTATTAAAGAGAGCCTGGTAAATAATCAAGAACATGAAAAAAATATTGCCCAGTCTTCTTCCAATAGTGCTGGTATCGCGAAAACTACTGAAATGGAATTTATTCTCAACAAAAATATTGAACATTTCCTGAATGACAAACCTGTATCTTCTGAAAAAATTAACAACCCAGTATCCAGAGTACTTGACCAGGACAAGAATACCGATGACAGGGTTTTAAAGCACAATAATTATATGGTTAATACTGCAGATGTTGGTAAAATGACTTCATCGAGAGTAATGCGAAAAAGACATGCGAATGTACCATCAAATTGCAGAGAGTCAAGTGTGCCTAGTATTAATGCTAGCAATGATCATGGGAACGTTAGGTTATTAAATTCTACAACTTTCAGTCAAAGATTGAGTAGTTTTTATAAACCAAATGAAACAACATTGATTATAGAGATAGAATCAGATGATGAGGATGATGAGGAATATGATCAAGAGGAAGATAGTGGAAACAATGAAAAAGACACTGATGAATTTAAAGAACAAAGTACTTCCTGTGACGAAAAGAATGATAATGAATATCTGGATGATTTGAGTAGTGAAGTTCCAGTACTAGTTGAGGGGCATTTGAGTGAAATTGAAAACAATAATAATGATATACATCAAGAAATGGTGGGAAAACCAGATTATTCCAAGAAAAATGGAACTGAATGTTTAAATAATAATAATGGTGATAATAAAACAAAAACTGAAGATCTAAAGCAAGAAAAAAATAATAATTTGGAGTTGATCATAGGAAATGGTAGAAAAGATTCTAATGATGATTTTTTGCAAAACAAAAAACAAAGATTTTATTCAAAGTATTTTGAGGAAGCCGATTACCATAAAGTTAACAAGAAAAGAAAAAAAAGTAAAGTTAATGGGAGATTGGATAATGACCCATTCATTGGGTTAAAGGAAAAGATTACTGGGGTATTAAAGGGAATTTCAGATGAAGATATTAGTTCATTAAGTAAAGAAGAAAAATTTGATTTGGACACAGAATTGTTGAATTTCAGCAGAAGACTTCGAAACTCATAAAAGTGCGTGGGGCAAAAGATATCGATATCTAAAATTTTCAGCTCGTTTTTATTTTTATTTATCTTTGTATTGTGGTATTTTTTTTGCTTTGGAAGATATTCCAAAAATACATTCACTGCATGAAATTATATTAGATACAATATAATTTGTAAAATTATTTTTTTTTTTTTAATTTCAAGAAATATGTAATATATATAATAAATTTAATAGATACAACAGATTTTTTTTGTTTTGAATCAAATGATTAAGGGGAGAGAATGAAAGATAGTAATTAACTTGAATTTAATTCAAAATTTATTAGACTAGTAATAAATTCCAAACCGATTTTAACGCTGTCAATGAATCGAGCTTTGTTATGGACTGCACTTTGTAGTTTGTGCTCCAAACCAGATAAACCTGCACAGCCCAATAGAATAATTTCAGCATTTTTGTCATTTATCAAGTAGTTTGATTTTTTGACAATTTTACGGAAATTTTTTTCATCACTCAAGCCCAAAACGTTGACATTAGAAGCAATTGTACCGACAAACAAAGGAGGAAATTGGTTTTCATCACCGAAGAACTTCTTTGTGGAATTGTCTAAAATCAATTCCCATGAGTTTGATGAGGTTAAAATTCCAAACCTTTTAGGAGAATTGGCAACTCCAAACAATAATGAAGCTTGAAATATTCCAAGCACGATCTTGGAATAATCTGAATTTTTCAAAAACTCAGATTTTAATTTGGCTATCAATGGATGGTCAGAATAACAACAAATTAAGAAGCCATCATATTTTGGAATAAGAGGAATTAGAACCGGCAAACACACTTGACAACTCAATTCAGAAGTGATTGGATCAGATATTTCTGGAGGAGCAGACAGTGGGGCAGTAAAATAATCCAACTTGTAGCCTAGAGGGGTGACTAATATTTTCTCCAAGTTGTCAGTCATTGAGACTGAAGAATTGGGATTAACAACCAATATCTTTCGAGTCATTTTTGATATAGAAATGGGAGACTGTTTGTAGGCCAGTTGATAGAAAGTGTTAGTGGTTGAGCTTTGGTATTATCTTTCACAGATTGGTGATAAACAAGACAAGATAAGAGATAAGAGGTGGGACGGAACATCAGTTTTGTGGACGGATTAAACCCACAGATGAACAGAAAAAAGCATGGTGGTTCTCTGCAAATAAAAAGCAGTTTTGGAGATTAATTAACTGGGACCAACAACAACAAAAATGAAGTTCAAAAGCAAATTGAATTCAAAAAGTAAAAATATAATACTGTAGTTGGGATATAAAGGTAATACTGAGCAACAAATAAAATGGCAAAAAGAAGGTCGTACCCGGATTCGAACCGGGGTTGTTCGGAAACTTCAGCTGATCAAAACCGAAAGTGATAACCACTACACTATACAACCATCTGTGTGCTCTTTGCGTTTTCCTTGTGCTTTATACAGTATACTTTCGACTTCACACCTGCCTTTACCGGATTGACTTGACGAATCAAGTTTGCTTTTTTGTGGCGCATGCTGTTTGTGGTTCAAAACCTTTCATTCCAGTTGTTTAATCAGGTTTCTGGATACTTTTTTCTCACCAGCACATACATATAATTTCAAAACTAATCTAAAATGTGGGCCCCATGAAACCACTGTCTGTATTCTCAAATCTGAAAAGCAACACTCTTTGCTTTTTGCAATGACAACCATCTCGAACACTCCAAACGAGACCATATTTTTGGCCAAATTGGATTTGGCTCTTTTTCCACTTTAAAGCATTTTCCTATTCGGGCAGGCTAGCGCCTTCTTGTTTGGGATCTCAGAAAGAGAATGAAAATTGCTTTTTTCGGCATCGTCTCATTTTTTTGGTCGCGAAAAAGTGAGAAACAAATCTTTTGAGGTTTGATTTCTTTCAAAAGTTTATGAATAGATACATTAGTGATTCATAAACAAATAATTGATCCACTTTTCTTTCCTCGAGAGCCTTTATACTCAGACTGTTTTGGGTCTTGACCTGATCTTCTCTACCATTACTTTATTTTCTCATAATGGCTGATTCTATTGTTTCTCCTGTGCAGGCAGTTATAAATGCCCATCGTACTATCGAAAATAATGATGAAATCTACGACACAAAAACAAACAAGATACTATTTAAAGTTATAAATTCAAATTTTATCCCAACTATTTTGTTTTTGAAAATAGGCATTCTGAAACCAATCATAAAAATTTTCAAAGACTATTCGAATATGATCCAAATACAAAACTTCAATGATAGTAATTTTATCGAGTTTTATTTTAAAGGCTACAGGCTTTTTCTAACTAATGATTTGACTTTAAGTTTTTTAGTCAACAACTTCTTTTTTACAAAACTATTTGAAATTGATGTCATTATAAAAAACTTATCATTCCTCAACTCAAATTCTTATATTTCAACATTTTTAATTCGATATAATCAGGATGAATGTGATGACAATCAAAAACCAAAAGAAAAGGCAAATGATAATCAAAACTATACTGGAAATCATACTACTATTACAACTAATATTAATACCACTACCACTACCACTACCACTACTATCACTAATAATAATAATAATAACAAGGAAAATAATAAAACAAAAAATGATGACAAAAGTTCTTACTCCAATTCCAAAATTCAGTTTAAAATGCCTCACCACTCAAAAACAAAAGATATAACTATCAGATTCAAAGATGTTTATTTATTAAATGAATTAATTCACCAACAAAAATCCAATAATTCACATCAATTGGCAAATTTATCTTCAAATATATCTCCTGGCTATCATAATACCCTTTCAGATTCATTTCAACATACTTTTCTCCTCCCAATCTCTGAGGTAATTGATAGCTCCTCAAATCAAGAGACAGATAATTCCCATTTGTATTCTACAATTATCTTCAAGTATCATTTGAATTCTTTTATATCGTTCTCAAATATCATGTTTGATTTTCTTCTAAGGGTCTTTCCAAATAATTCGTTATATTATTTACAAAACAATCTTAGCAAATGTGTTATCTTCAGAAATAAAAACCAAAAAATTTTGAATAATTTATCTGATAAATTCACTATACTGCAAATTTCTCCCACAGAAATTATTGAAGCTAAAATTGAGGATTTTTCTCAGCATTATTTAACGGGAAATCTGGTCTCCACTTTTAATCAAAAACATCAAATACAAATGGATCCAAAAGACACTACTACCACGAAAGAAGAACCTCCTCCTATACAATCTCCTAAAAAGGCGGATTCTCATCTTACAAATGAGAAAATTGATATTGATATCAGTGAAGAAGAATATGACGACGATGATGACGATTATGAAGATGATAAAATTAACAATAAAAGAAAAAACCGTAAAAGACTTAGAATTGTATCTGATGATGAATCATTTGAAAATGAGAATGCTGATCATCGAAAACTACAAACATTTTGCTTAGTATTTTTTAAACTCACAACAAATATAACTGTAACTCAAATCGTTTCAACTCATGAAACAATTGAGGAATTTTTAAATACAAAAATCCAAGATCATATTAATACTTTTTTAAGTACTGAAAAGATTTCCACCCAAGAAGGCTCCAATTTAATTTATAAACACAAGGATGTTGAAATTGACGTCTCAAAAGAATCAACAATTCAGAAATTGAATATAAATCATTATGATATTATTGATGTATTTGAGAAAAAATCAAAACAAGTCATTTCAAAAGAACAATTGAATTTGGCTCACAAAAAGATAAATCAACAATTGTTCTCGCAAGTAGACTCATCCTCCTCTAACATCGAAAAATCCGATGATCCTGAAAGCATTAAAAAACACCATCCCAATTCCACTAAGACCAAAGATCTTAATCAAGCTCGTTCCCATAAACAAAATGAAAATTCTTCCGATATTTCACTGACAAAAACCAAGTTGAACGATACAAGTTCGAAGGTCAATAATAACAGCAACGAAAAACAAACATCTAAAATCAAAAACATTCAAAGTCAAACTCCTCTTCATCCAGCAAATGAAACTGTTACAACAGCTGGCCCAAACCAAGTGCTATCCAGCAATGAGTCAAAAGAACATCCAACACTTCCTAGCAAACCAGCCAAAAGTTTGCAAAGTAATGTCAATAAGAATCTCAATCCATTTAGCAGACATAGCTCACCTCATGATTCTCATCCATTCACCTTTGGATTAGGTAATAAAAGTTATGAAATTGCAAACTTGAACATTATTTCCAAGAATAAACCTAAATCTATACCACCATGGGTTCCGGATAAAGAAAAAAGCTCAGACAGACTTTTTCTCAATAGATCTAATTATAATCAACCATCTACAGTTTCTGCAACTAAAAACCCATTTTCTGCCGATCCAAGAAAATCAATTTTTGCTAGTTCGCAGAATCTATTCTCGAAAAGTAACTCACCAAAAGTTTTGCATACTCCTATTATTGCTAATCCTGATAAAAATGCAAATATTAACCATCCTATATTTTCAAATGATTCAAAAAGACTCTCAAATCCTAACATATCAAATAAAAAAAACACAAGTTCTAGTATTTTGCCGAATAAACGCGTCAACACTATTTTCATTCAAGTTACCTACCTGTCCCCCTCAAGAGTTTCAGTCAGGCTTGAGGTAAACAAGAATGCTAAAATTGGGACATCTTTAAAAGATTTTTGCAAGAAAAGTCATTTGAATTTTCAAATAATGAAGATTTTCTTTAATGGTGCTGAAATCAACCAAGATTTTACACCAGATGAACTTGGGCTTGACAATGATGATATTATTAATCTAAAGTTTTTTTACTAAATTTATTTTAAGAAAATCAATAAAGATGTATATTGTTATTTTCACAAAGATTGGATTTTACTGTTATGGTTTCTATATATTATAACGGTTTATGAAAAAACACACTCACTTATTTTTGGTATTTTTATTTTTTTCATTTTTGGCAGTTTTTGAAACCAGATGTTGTTTGCTTATAGCTTTTCAATTTTTGTTTAATTAAATGTCAAATCAATGTTTGTTACTGAAACTTTGAAATATACTCAAGATTGCATCGAGATACTGACTATAAAATTAGCCTTAAAGGACTTTTTGTTGGATTTTTATTTAATTAATGTGTTTATCAATTTCATGAATTAATTATATATAAAGTCTGGAATATGAAATATTTTATATGAAAATTGTAAAATGAAATAATAAAAAAAAAACACAGACAAAAAAACCCCGTACAACCAAAAGAACAGATAAAATAAACTTGAGCCTCCCAAAAAAAGCACTGAACATGGAAAAAATAAATATATAACTGACATATAAAAAAACTAACATATCAAAACCTTTATTTCAGATGATAAATTTTAAAAACCTAAGTTGACTTTTAATGCATATGTTACAACAAATGGAAGACTTACGGTTAAAATTGGATATTGGAATAGTAGACAAATGGCTAGACAGTCTAATTGCAAATGATCATGATGAAAATCTTCTGATGGTAAGGGGCTGAAGAAAGCAGTCAAATAAACCTGAGTTGTAAAAGTTGGCAATCCCCAGTTTAATAAGATGATAAAAGCTGCAAGAATATCATCATCTTTTTCAATATTTAGCCATCCACTTTTTTTCAATCTATTGACCCATAAAACACCAATGATAGGCATTACGCACAATTTTATTAGAGTCAATAAAGAAGCAGCTTTCCAAAATCCAGGAGGAAATTCCTTCACATTTAATCGTGCTAAAGTACTTCCCAATAACAATAGACCAAATGGGACCTGAGCAGCACCTAAATAAGAGGTAAAATCCATGATAAAATTCAAAGGAGGTTGTCCATCTGGAGCATCTGGCATATCAACTGTGGTTTCAACAAATAAGGCTTTTAGCCATGGTGTTAAAGCAATTGTTATAGAGACAATCAAAGACAAGGCAATTGGTCTTAAAAAATTTGTGAGAAAAAATTTGAGACCCTTAACAATGAGTTGACGAACATTTTTTTTGCTTTTCTGGGGTTTATCGCTATTATTTGCGCTGAGGCCATTTAATGTTGAATTATCTTCCATATTGTCATCACTATTATTGGTGTGAATATCATTATTTGAATATTTGGTCGTCAATTTTTTTTCTATTGTTGACGAATTCAAAACTGGTTTCAAGCTATTACAGTATTTACGAGATAAGCTGTATTTGTCCTTGGTAATTTGAGATGCAGAGTTAGTTGGCAAACCGATTTCAGTTGATAGAACCGAAAATGTCTTTGTCAATTTTCCTAGTTTTGAGTCTGTAGCATTAGAAAAGTTGGCATTTGCATTTGATTCGCAAGAATATTCGTTGATAACATCGTCGAGTTCTTGAGGCGGTAATTTTCTTAATTCAATAGCCCTTAGTTTAGTTTTGCTAGAATATACGGATGCTATTGAGGATGTTTTGGCCAATGCTAGATCGTTATTCTGGAATTTGGGGTTATTAGCAGAAGATTGATTAATGAAATAAGGGTTAATAGAGTTGGAGTCTGAATCTGAATCTATAGAATCTATATCTTTATTGTATGTAACGTTTTTAGTGCCAATATCATTAATTCTATTTTTGGTATTGGAGTTTTCATTAATATTTAATCTTGTTTCATTATCATTGTTGTTATAGGTATTCTTTAGGTTGTTTTCTTTATTGCTATTGTCAGTATTATCAGTGCTATTGCTATTATTGTTATTACTTTCTGCATGATTATCATTATGCTCCAAATCCAACTTTTTCTGAGCTTCTAAAAGCTTATCCTTTTTCAAATCATACTCAACTAACCTATAACCGCCTAAGTTAAAACAATAAAGAGTCGTTATGGCGACAAAAATAAATGCAAATGCAATACCTTTATCAATTTGGTTTTCGGAAAAAATAGAAGTTGTAGCCAATGTTTGAATATACGCAATTGGCAAATCACCATTATTGGTGAACATAGAGGCTACTATTGAACCACCTCTCCATCTTCTGGGAATTGGAGTTATTAGGTTGACTAAAAATCCAAATGCCACTCCTGTCAGAGTGATTACAAATGATGATAAGGCAATTAGTCCAATATATTTTATATCAGTGTAGGATATATTAGCAATGACTTTGTTTATGAGAATGCATGGAATCAAAGTAGTCAAGAGGATATCTGATAGATTTCTTGTGGTCTCTACTGATAAAATGTTTCTTTTTGATAAAATAAAACCAACAGCCAAAATAAAATAGATTTTGATAATGGGTTTTACTGCACACCAAATGATGACTCCAATGTCCACTGCCATTTTAGGTTAAGCTATTGTTATTGTCTGTTGTTGTTTATTGTTTATTGCTGATTACTAATTAGGACCTGCAGTAAATTTCCAGCGCTTTTTCTCGATCCTCTGCAACAAGAGGTTATTTGTATGCTTCGATTAGGTGAAGTGTAGCTGGGTTCTATTATTCTTAAATATGGGCAAGTTGCAGTTTCTTATATTGAATAAATATTTGGTAAATGCAAACAAAAAGCTGGGGTTTGCACTTGGACCTGATTTTCCGAAAGAACTGAAATCTAGGTTTGAACATGCAAAAGAATGACTCAAACAAGTGCTTATAAACATACTTCCACATCCAATAGAATTTGCAATGCCAGGCTCATTGAGGTGAAGCTTATTAATAACCTCTTTCGCTGGACGAAACTCTCGAAATTGAAAGACTTTTCTCGACGGCCTTTCCAAAATCAGACGTTGCGCGATTAGCCAAGATACAGTCACCTGATTCATCTACTCAACCTTAGGCCCAGACCGCGTTTTTCAACATATACCTGCAGGTCTTGGTCTTTTTCCATTTTTCAGCCAAGGCGAGACAGAAAGAACTGCTTTATTCACAAGACTAGAAGGAGATGCGCGGCTACTGCCCGATCCGGTGTTTCTTTATATCCTACAGAATTACTCTAATTGGTGCATCATCACACAATACACAATCTTCCACTCAAAGCAAACCTAGCAACTAAAAACCACCAACTTGTGCCACATTTATCCCGAAAGCCTGTTGAGCAAGTCGTCCAAACTCACAGAGCTGTTCGAAGGCATGTTGGTTGTGTTTGTCGATCCGGTTGGATTGTACCCATCATCTCTATTGCTCGTTGTTTCCTGAGTCGAACTCTGATTTTTAGCAATTAGTTTTGCCAATTTCATGAAATCATCATCATTATTATCTCTGTCTGAGATTATATTGCCGGGCATTATGCTTGGTATGAAGGCGTTGCTGCTGTTACTGGTCGGGGTACTGTTCTTAGAATCCTCAATCTTTGGCTTTTTAGCAGAAGTTTCTATCAGGTCGTCGCCGGTATTAACTTTTTCACTTGGTGTGCCAGTTTCTTTATTTTCGGCTGATTTTTCATCACTTTTGTCGGGATCACCATTTAAAGACGTTATTTTCCTTTTATTATTAAGGATATGATTAATATTATCAATGTCTTCATCGTGGTCACTGTTATTGCCATTGCTATCGCTATTGTTATTTATTTGATTATCTTTGCCATTATTATCAATATTCTTATTGCCATTATTATTATCAGCATTATTAGTATTGGCACTATTTATATTATCGCTATTATTATGATGACTATCTACTACCAGCATTCCAAGAGCATTGTTGGAAGATATTTTTGTTTCCGATTTGGGAGCTGATACATTATCAGGCTTTGAACCAGTCTCTGAATCTAAATCCATTTCTGAATCTGAGTCTGAATCTGAATCCGAATCCGAATCCAAGTCTAGGTCGTTTTTGCTGGCTGTAGCCTTTTCAGAATCAGAATCAGAATCAGAATCATTATCATATTTTGGTAACTGGATGTCATCATCTTTAAGATTGCCACTATTTTCTAATTTGATACTTTTACTACTGGTGCCAAACTTGATTTTTCGTATATCCTCCAAATTAATCTTATTCTTTTCAGACTTGTTTTCAACATTAATTGAATTATTTTCAATAATCATTTGTTCCAAGTCTATTTTAGTTTCATTCAATTTCTTTAATTTCAAATCTATTTTTTTCTCATTTAAAATTTTGGCTAGATTGAATCTTGTGGAATTAATTAATTTTAATTTTTCCATTGAAATTACGTTCTCCAAGTTTGAAATTAACGTCTTTTGAAATTTGATATTACTCAAGTATGATTTTTCAAAATCTTTATATTTTTTTAAAATTTCTTGAATCTTATTCAAAAAAATCGTGGGTTCAGGCAAATTGGCATCTTCATGAAAGTACTCGTTGTAAACTAAATCAAAATTTTTATACAATGAGTCAATTTCAAGTTGATTATTGTTAATTGTCCCATAAAGCCTATTAATTTCAATTAAACTTGGGTTATTAAAATCAAAACTATTGCCAATATTATCACTGCCATTACTACTATTGTAATTGTTATTATTATTGTTACTATTATTGTTACTATTATTGTTACTATTATTGTTATTATTATTATTATTATTATTATTATTATTATTATTATTATTATTATTATTATTTAATGAATTATGATTATTACTGGAAAACGTTATCTTATTTCTTTTATCAATATTATCAATTCTTTGTGTAATATCATTTAAAATTTCATCTTTAAATATCTTTCTTTCCTTCCAGACATTAACAACTCTCAAAATTTTTTTCTTGGTATCGCTAGGTACTGAACTGTATGATTTTTCAATTGATTTGGGCAAAATCTTACCAAAGTTTTCTAAAAATTCAGTCTTACGTTTTGCTCTTGCTTGTTGAACAACATCATTTGCTAAATAAATAAAAATGATTTTTTTGTTAATTGGAGCTTCGTTCAAACAAGATGACCAGGTTTTGGCAGTTATTGAAGCAAATCTATGGTAAAATAACACCCATTGAGATAATGATACAATTGAAGCTTGAGTCTCATTTAGTTCCAATAACTTTGTAGTGAATTTTTCCTGAGAATATGACATTTCTAAATTTTATTATTAGATCTAATATAAATGTTGACTTAAAAATTCAAAGATGGATTGTCGATGATATATAATTGAGTTAGATTTATAAATTAAATAGTAAGGTGAAAAAAAGTGGTAGGCGAGATTCCAAAACGAAAATATCTCCCTTGACGAAGATGATAGAACCGGGAAAATACCCCAAACTAAGTTTTTTGGGCGCAAAAGCTAGAACTGCGGAGATAATTGAAGTGTAATGACACGGATTTCGTTGGTATTCGAACTTTAAACGGCTGATGATTGATCATGTTTATTCGGACGAGTAGTATCAAATAAATTTTCGAATCATTGCTTTGAACGGAAGTCGCAGTCCAAAATCGGAAACGACAATTTTTGATATCCACCCCAATGGATCAGCTCTCTATCGGGCAATTCTTTTTCTGCTACTTCTTCACTGTTTTTGCTGTTTTTGTTTCCATACGTAGAATCGCTTATTTAGTTTATATTATTTCTGAAAAATAGGATATTACTATATAACACTAACATTGTATACTTTATAAGAAAAGAATACATTGAATATTAATTGTTTATAATGAAAATTCAGAGTTACAATAAAATAATAAATGGTCAGCTTTACCAAAAGAGATATATAAATGCAAATGTCCTTCTAATTCACAAACTCTGATTCAACAGGTTTCTGCTTCAACCGTATTTCCAGATAAGTCGATTTTATTCCGTATTGAAGCAGGAATATCTTTGGTCCATAAGAGATCTTTTATTGAATTATTACCCAAATCCAAAATCTCAAGATCTAACCAAAAATCACACTCTTTAACACTATCAACAAACTTTATACCCTCAAGGTTGTTGGAAAAAAGAAATAAGTTAATTATATTAGGGAAACATCCATTTTTAATCACAAAGTCTTTCAACAAATTGTGGTTTAGATCCAAAGTTTTAAGACTCTCAAAAATCTCATTTGATTTGTATTTTTCAATTAAATTGGAACTCAATGATAAATTTTTCAACTTTTTTAATGAGGCATATTCATCACTAAATTCGGTTATTTTGTTTCCATCTAATTCTAATGATTCTAAATCAAATAATTCTTTAATATTTTGAACAGCGTTTATATTATTACTATTCAATTTAAGATATTTTAATGTAGATAACTTTGTATCCAAATCTACCAAAAATGTATCAATTTTGTTCATCGAGAGATTTAATGATTGAAGATTCTGAAATAAATTAAATTTGGATGTGTCTTTGATTTCATTGGAGCATAAATCCAATTTTCTAAGGTTTTTCAACTTGAATAAATCTGAAATTTCTTCAATTTTATTGGAAGATAAATTTAAATAAACAATATTTTCAAGTAATGAAATTTCACTTACATCTGATATCTGATTAGACTCAAGGTTTAAATATGTAAGCAGTTTTAAATTTAATAAATTTTCTATCAGTACTAATTCATTACGTGATAAGTCCAAATAGGTTAGTGCAACTAAACTTTCCAATCCTTTTATTTTTTCCAATTCATTTAAAGACAAATTTAAATGTTTCAACTTTGTCAAACTGTCTATATTTTTAATTTCTTTGATTTCATTTTGGTCCAATTTTAATTTTCTTAAATTGATTAAGCTGCTTAAATTTTCTATGTTTTGAATTTGGTTTTTTGATAAATCTAAGATTTCCAAATTAATCAAGCCGTTTAAGTTTTCAATTTTCTGGATATCATTCATCTGAAAAACCAACTTTTTCAAATTAACCAAATATGAGAGAGTTGGAACTGATGTTAAATTGTTTAAAGAGAGATTTAAAAATGTTAAAAATTTTACTTCCACAAATTTATCAAATTGATTGAAAATGGTTGACGAATTTTCTTCAGAGTTTATCGCTAACAAATTTAAATGCGTTAATTTTAAATGAATCTGTTTTTTAACAAGATCATTTATGAATGTAGATTTTTGATACGAAGTATCAGATTCCTCATATTCTTGAAAAGATAAGCCAAATTTTTCTAAGTTTAACGAAGGGGGCAATTTTTTTATAAAAGAAAATTCAGAGCAATTATCTGTGGCAGAGATTTGAAAAGATTGTAAAGTATTTGAGTTTTGAATTAAAAACCCATTTATAAAATCATTAAAGTTTGTTGTTTGACTTCCCAAATTATAAATATTTTTTAATTTAAATACCTTAATACTTTTCATATCTGATGTAATACTACTTAAAATTTTGAGTTGTCTTTTTTTTCCAAACGACCTCCCAAATGATAAAACGAAATGCTTTGAAACTTGAAGGTGTAAACGAAGTAACTTTACATCAATAAAATTGACTAGAACTCCATCTAAAGAATCTGCAAACAGCTGAAGTACTGATTTTTCATAATCTTCAAGACGTTGATCAAACAAAACCACAGAACCAAATAAATGATTTAAAGCTGAGTCTGCAATTACAACATTATCAGTTAAAGTAAATAACCATAGTCTGTCATTAGAAAGAAATGCTATGATTTCTAAAAAAATATCTATTGGTATTTGCTTTTTGAAAAACATGGCCGATTCAACTAATCACTTCTTACTTGTATATTGATGTTTGTAAGCTGTAAAACATTTGGAAAAAAAGACTGAATCTCCATGATTTTATATGAAATTGATTACACTAAAATCTCAGCAGCGGGCACTAATTAATGGAGAGAAGATGTTCTTGCTAAATTTTTAGTAGCTATAGTTTTTTTACTTACTTTGAGTAACATGTCTACACCTCTTTCAGAATCGATTGAGGTACTCCACCACATGAATCAAAAGTAGTAAGCTAAATTATATAAAACCCAGCCATTATTGGAAATTGAGACTAATATCAATCAATCCCATATTATCGCCAAAGAAATGTGATCTTCTTTTGTTTTTAATGCACTATAAGTTTAGTAGGCACTTCTGTTGGTTACTTCTTTCTAGATGAACAAATCTTAATTGAAAGTTAACGATAGCTATAATACCTCTAAAATCGTGTCCATCACAAAACCTAACAAATTTTTCAAAAATAGTGTAAACACAATCGCTCATAGATATAATAAAATCCAATTATCTCAAACTTTAACTTTTCGGTGGTTTTAAAGCCATGTTTTATAATTATCTTGGGTTATTATTATAAACGTATTTCTAAGTTTTTTCAGAAATACAATTATGTCTATAAGCTTATAGCAAGCAGTTATTAATATGGAATCCATTTATTAGAGTCCAAAGTGATAACTAACAATCTTTTTTATCTATGACTTGGATTATTGACTGCTGGAACTATAGATTATAGCATAAAGTAGCCACTGCAATGGGACGGTCTCTAATTGGCCAATTCAGCTCTGATCCTCTGTTTCTGCTTCTTTTGGTTCTTTTGGTTCTTTTGGTTCTTGATCATCTGTATCCAGTTTTTGTATTGTGTATTGTGTATTGTAGTGGTGATATCCACTGACTTGAAAAATATGTTGAATCATTAGCACTCCCAGAGCTGGCAGATGCTGTGAAGTAACAGTTGCAACAGATGGTAGGAGAGAGTTAAACGCCAGTGAATGTCCTCGAGATGGTGTGCTATTCAAGCTGGATCAGAATTACCAGTCTCTATTTGATCCAATTGAATGATTTAGTTGAGCATTACACATTACTCTGAGCGAAAGAACTCACTCTCATATACTCATATATATGCCTCAAATAATGGTTTGATGGTTTGATTACATTAAAGTTTATTAAAGTTAGATCAAAAGTATAAAATGCATCATAAATTATTAATTATATCAAAGTTCGTCTATGGACGAACATAGGAAAAGGAAATCAAAAAGTAATAATAATAATAAAAATAATAAAAATAATAAAAATAAAAATAAAATAAAATAAAAATCTATCACCATGCAAGGAAAAAAACCTATAATTATTCACAAAATAATAAAATCACAAAAATAAAGTCACAGATTTAAAAAATCCAAAAAAAAAATAAAAAAATTAGTCAATTTTAGCTGAGTCTATCCACCATATTGCTAGGTTATCGAGATAGATCAAATCATTTCTTGAAAATTATTATGCTGTTGGTAAACCAAAATAAGCAGCATATTCACCAAATTTTAATATACTTGTTGTAAGCTTGTTGTAAGCGTTTAATGATGACAAAAATTTAATTGCTTTCCAAATCTTGGGACTTTTTCTTGTCTTTTGCTAACGTTGGCATCATGATGGTTCTGATGTGAATGTACGAATTTTCTTCTGTTGACAAGGCATTGAAGGCTATGAAAAATGCTAGGAATGCTGCAATGACACCCAACACACCTCCGGCTCTGGCACAGGAAACTGAGTTTGTGAATTTGGATGTACCGTTGACTGTGAAGACAACAACAACCAACCATAGTAACGAGCAAAAGTAGCAGCTGCCTTTCAAGGTGCAAAGAGCCATCATGAACGTCAAGATTGCCCACGAGATATTGAAGAAACCCATGGCATTGTTGAATTGCTGGACATCATCGCCATAAGCAGATCTGATTCCAAAGGCATCGGTGTGGATGGCACCCCAGGACATCCAAAAACCTCCATACGAGGCAAATGCACAGCAGCCAAAAGTATCACCGGCGATGAATGCTAGGACTCCAGCAACAAATTGAATGAATCCACCATAGAAAAATGCTAGTCCGGCAACGATGTTTTCCTTTTCAACGCCCATGGCTCTGGCATTGGTGAATGAGAATAACAATGTGGTCAAAGCAAACGAACACAATCCCAATGGACCTGGATCTGCAAATCGTGATTTTGATTGTGGTTGTTGTTGTTGTTGTTGAAATTGGTTTTCACTGTTGTTGTGTTCCAAGTATGGGTTACCAGCTGTCAAAGTTTTTGAAAAGCACAAGCTTCTTAGCAAGTCGTCTTTGTTGACTCTTGTTTTGCCGATGTGGATGAAGTTGTCATATTCTTCATGGTCTGTGTCGTAGTAGTCATCATTTTCGTGTAATTTATTGACTGGAATATCTTGTTGTTTTGCGGACATTTTGAGTATTGAAATATTGTATGCTTAAATGAGATAAATAAGATAAGTGAGATAGTAAATTTAGTTGATTGAATGAATTGTATTATAATGATTAATGTTGTATTATATTATACTGTAATGTATAAAATGATAATGATAGAAATAGGTAGACATTGTGGCGATATTTATATATGAGTCTGAATAGTAGTGTATGCTAATGGGAACCTCTGATGGGGTAGTCTAATGAAGGTGATCAATATAGTTATCAGGTATAATTGGCAAAATGTGATATATAGTGATGGTGATGGTGATGGTGTTGTTGGGACTATATTTTGTTTATCTCTACAGTGTTCCGATCATTGATGAAAAGTTTTAGAATTTTAAAAAATAAAAATTTAAAAATTTAAAATGACAAAAACCACAATCGAATAATCAGAAGGTCCATCAGTGATACAAGTGTCGTATTCAGATTTATTCAGAAAAAGAAAATGTCTCAAGTCTGTACGCTCGATAAAAAGAAATAAAGAAAGAAAGAAAGAAAGAAAGAAAGAGAGAGCTAAGCAGCCCAAAAAGATTAAGTTATGTGCGTACATTGAAGCTCTGGGTGCGTTCAGTGCATATAAAAATAGACTGTAGAACTGGAAGAGCAGGGTTATGATTTGTAACCACAACCATAACCATAATTGGACAGTGCACCAACAAGGGCACTATCGTGGGAAAGGCTGAATCAGGATATGTCTAAGAAGACGATCGAAGATGATCGAGACAAGTAAAGCCATTTGTGAGCCAGAATTGCGACAGGCAGGTATTGATCGATGGCAGATGGAGAAGCAAAGTCATGGTCTGACCAACAGCCATTTTGAACAAAGGCGTCTGAGGCATCCCGACCAAACGTGACTCCCAAGAAACCAGAAAAGATGGAGAAGCTCAGAAAGATGGAGAACCCCAAAGAGCTGAGCGACAGCACAAATCAAGTACAACAAGCAAAACGAGCCAAAAAAAAAAAAAAGAGAGAGAAACGAGAAACGAGAAGCGAGAGAAGAGAAGGGGGAACTGTGCTGCTCACCGACACCCATCAGGACTGGCCAAAAAGAAGAGGTGTGGAAATTGAGACGAAAACAATGGTGGGGCCTCCACCCTTGCTGCCTGCAAAATCCCCAGAACCCTCAGAACCCACAGAACCCATGGCTTGCAGGCGTGCAGCTGGAAATCAGCAGCTGGAAATATCATGATTGGCCTGGTCGGGCCTGATTTGACGTGGGTGCGGGCGCGTTGTGCTCGTGGGAAGCAGGGAGTTTTGAGCCACCACAAGCTGCAAAACTCTACTAGCCGTTCCCTGTGTGTTCGTGGGAGCCTTTGGTCGGCCCCACCTTGTTTCCACAAACGGTCAACTGCCCATTTGGCTACTTAACCACCTAGCCTCTCAAACAGTCACCCACTGGGTTGTTGATAGCCAGTAGGCTGTAGCAGCACCTAATAACACTGTTCTAAATATACACAGCACCTTCGCACTGATACACTGATACAATGTGATCTGAAATCTGGATTATATGTTGTTGATTATCTCACTCACATGTTTGGTTTCAACATAATGTGCGGTCTGGTGCTAATGAATGTTTTAATTCAATAGATTTGAAAAGGTGGGTGAATTGAGTGATTTTAATCTCGATATCGATAGGAACACAGATACATATGCAAATCGCCAATAACCACCGCCGTTTCTCAGTGCGCTTGCAAAATAAAGTGCTGAGTAAATTCAGCAGTTGGGTGTGTTAAAGCAAAGCTTTGCTGTTATACAGTTCTATCAGATATTGCAACGTGAGCAATGTGTAGTTGGGTTCTGGAGCAAGATTAGGGTGAATATTTAATATTTAGAGCATGGATAATTGCAGGCAGCTATGGCTGCGCTTTTGGTTCATATTGGGCATGATTTTGAAGGGTTCCGATATATAGTTCAGCAGTCAACTTAAAGTGGCATGCCTGCGTACGTGTGCATGCAATTGGTATTTCAGTGCGTTGTGTTGTGTCTTTAATTATTTCTGACTAAGCGATCCACTTTTTGTTATTTGATTAAAAGAAAACAAAATTATTAATTATTGATTAAATTGCTAATAATTGGTTACCAACATCACTTTCTCATCAATTTAAATTAGATTTTTATTATATTCTGGTTGAATGACCAAGAAAAAGATGGATCAATTTTAAAGTCTTAGTTTTATTAATAGCATTATGAAATAAGGTATCGGTTTGCTAAATGATATTAGTACTTGTTATATAAATATTAGATAGCAATATATTAGATAATAATATAACATATTTCATACATATTGTTGGGGCCAAGATTTTTTGAGCCAAAATTTATTATTATTATTATGTTTATTTTCAGAACATAATAATACTAATCTTTCTGATACTCTCCTATGATTCTAAAAAATCATTTTGAAAACCATGTTTTAGTTAAAACTAACTACAATATCTGATTGATTTGGAAATTTAAGAAAGTCATTATAACTATTCAATATTGATTATTTTGACAAAAAATCTTACCAGAGCATTGATTGATTAAAATTTAACACAAAAAAGACGTTCCAAACCATACACAATTGTGATCTAAAAGATATTTAGGTAATTATCAATTGTTTTAAATGAAATTTGAGTATAAACTTGAAATAAATCCAACAATCCAATGAAAATAAGCAAATAAAAATCAATAACAATAATATATTGTTTAAACCCGATCAATACAACATTTATAAACTATTTTTAATAAATTTCAAATTTTGAAAATTGTTTTATAAGCACAAATTAAAACATAAAAGTTCAACTAAAAAACTTACAATATTTCAATACACTCCGAATAGAGACCAAAATATCAAATTAGTGAGCATCAGTCTAATATTTCAATCAAAACTTACTATCACTAAACACATTTTAAACTTAAGATTGTAAAAAAATTTGTTACTGAAATAAAACACATTTATTTGAGCAACAATAATGAATGGCATATCTAGATGTCATAGTATATAAAAACACAAAACAATTAAACATTAGTTAGAACCAAAACAAAACGGGTTTTGATCAGCAACACAACGCACTGAAATACCAATTGCATGCACACGTACGCAGGCATGCCACTTTAAGTTGACTGCTGAACTATATATCGGAACCCTTCAAAATCATGCCCAATATGAACCAAAAGCGCAGCCATAGCTGCCTGCAATTATCCATGCTCTAAATATTAAATATTCACCCTAATCTTGCTCCAGAACCCAACTACACATTGCTCACGTTGCAATATCTGATAGAACTGTATAACAGCAAAGCTTTGCTTTAACACACCCAACTGCTGAATTTACTCAGCACTTTATTTTGCAAGCGCACTGAGAAACGGCGGTGGTTATTGGCGATTTGCATATGTATCTGTGTTCCTATCGATATCGAGATTAAAATCACTCAATTCACCCACCTTTTCAAATCTATTGAATTAAAACATTCATTAGCACCAGACCGCACATTATGTTGAAACCAAACATGTGAGTGAGATAATCAACAACATATAATCCAGATTTCAGATCACATTGTATCAGTGTATCAGTGCGAAGGTGCTGTGTATATTTAGAACAGTGTTATTAGGTGCTGCTACAGCCTACTGGCTATCAACAACCCAGTGGGTGACTGTTTGAGAGGCTAGGTGGTTAAGTAGCCAAATGGGCAGTTGACCGTTTGTGGAAACAAGGTGGGGCCGACCAAAGGCTCCCACGAACACACAGGGAACGGCTAGTAGAGTTTTGCAGCTTGTGGTGGCTCAAAACTCCCTGCTTCCCACGAGCACAACGCGCCCGCACCCACGTCAAATCAGGCCCGACCAGGCCAATCATGATATTTCCAGCTGCTGATTTCCAGCTGCACGCCTGCAAGCCATGGGTTCTGTGGGTTCTGAGGGTTCTGGGGATTTTGCAGGCAGCAAGGGTGGAGGCCCCACCATTGTTTTCGTCTCAATTTCCACACCTCTTCTTTTTGGCCAGTCCTGATGGGTGTCGGTGAGCAGCACAGTTCCCCCTTCTCTTCTCTCGCTTCTCGTTTCTCGTTTCTCTCTCTTTTTTTTTTTTTTGGCTCGTTTTGCTTGTTGTACTTGATTTGTGCTGTCGCTCAGCTCTTTGGGGTTCTCCATCTTTCTGAGCTTCTCCATCTTTTCTGGTTTCTTGGGAGTCACGTTTGGTCGGGATGCCTCAGACGCCTTTGTTCAAAATGGCTGTTGGTCAGACCATGACTTTGCTTCTCCATCTGCCATCGATCAATACCTGCCTGTCGCAATTCTGGCTCACAAATGGCTTTACTTGTCTCGATCATCTTCGATCGTCTTCTTAGACATATCCTGATTCAGCCTTTCCCACGATAGTGCCCTTGTTGGTGCACTGTCCAATTATGGTTATGGTTGTGGTTACAAATCATAACCCTGCTCTTCCAGTTCTACAGTCTATTTTTATATGCACTGAACGCACCCAGAGCTTCAATGTACGCACATAACTTAATCTTTTTGGGCTGCTTAGCTCTCTCTTTCTTTCTTTCTTTCTTTCTTTCTTTATTTCTTTTTATCGAGCGTACAGACTTGAGACATTTTCTTTTTCTGAATAAATCTGAATACGACACTTGTATCACTGATGGACCTTCTGATTATTCGATTGTGGTTTTTGTCATTTTAAATTTTTAAATTTTTATTTTTTAAAATTCTAAAACTTTTCATCAATGATCGGAACACTGTAGAGATAAACAAAATATAGTCCCAACAACACCATCACCATCACCATCACTATATATCACATTTTGCCAATTATACCTGATAACTATATTGATCACCTTCATTAGACTACCCCATCAGAGGTTCCCATTAGCATACACTACTATTCAGACTCATATATAAATATCGCCACAATGTCTACCTATTTCTATCATTATCATTTTATACATTACAGTATAATATAATACAACATTAATCATTATAATACAATTCATTCAATCAACTAAATTTACTATCTCACTTATCTTATTTATCTCATTTAAGCATACAATATTTCAATACTCAAAATGTCCGCAAAACAACAAGATATTCCAGTCAATAAATTACACGAAAATGATGACTACTACGACACAGACCATGAAGAATATGACAACTTCATCCACATCGGCAAAACAAGAGTCAACAAAGACGACTTGCTAAGAAGCTTGTGCTTTTCAAAAACTTTGACAGCTGGTAACCCATACTTGGAACACAACAACAGTGAAAACCAATTTCAACAACAACAACAACAACCACAATCAAAATCACGATTTGCAGATCCAGGTCCATTGGGATTGTGTTCGTTTGCTTTGACCACATTGTTATTCTCATTCACCAATGCCAGAGCCATGGGCGTTGAAAAGGAAAACATCGTTGCCGGACTAGCATTTTTCTATGGTGGATTCATTCAATTTGTTGCTGGAGTCCTAGCATTCATCGCCGGTGATACTTTTGGCTGCTGTGCATTTGCCTCGTATGGAGGTTTTTGGATGTCCTGGGGTGCCATCCACACCGATGCCTTTGGAATCAGATCTGCTTATGGCGATGATGTCCAGCAATTCAACAATGCCATGGGTTTCTTCAATATCTCGTGGGCAATCTTGACGTTCATGATGGCTCTTTGCACCTTGAAAGGCAGCTGCTACTTTTGCTCGTTACTATGGTTGGTTGTTGTTGTCTTCACAGTCAACGGTACATCCAAATTCACAAACTCAGTTTCCTGTGCCAGAGCCGGAGGTGTGTTGGGTGTCATTGCAGCATTCCTAGCATTTTTCATAGCCTTCAATGCCTTGTCAACAGAAGAAAATTCGTACATTCACATCAGAACCATCATGATGCCAACGTTAGCAAAAGACAAGAAAAAGTCCCAAGATTTGGAAAGCAATTAAATTTTTGTCATCATTAAACGCTTACAACAAGCTTACAACAAGTATATTAAAATTTGGTGAATATGCTGCTTATTTTGGTTTACCAACAGCATAATAATTTTCAAGAAATGATTTGATCTATCTCGATAACCTAGCAATATGGTGGATAGACTCAGCTAAAATTGACTAATTTTTTTATTTTTTTTTTGGATTTTTTAAATCTGTGACTTTATTTTTGTGATTTTATTATTTTGTGAATAATTATAGGTTTTTTTCCTTGCATGGTGATAGATTTTTATTTTATTTTATTTTTATTTTTATTATTTTTATTATTTTTATTATTATTATTACTTTTTGATTTCCTTTTCCTATGTTCGTCCATAGACGAACTTTGATATAATTAATAATTTATGATGCATTTTATACTTTTGATCTAACTTTAATAAACTTTAATGTAATCAAACCATCAAACCATTATTTGAGGCATATATATGAGTATATGAGAGTGAGTTCTTTCGCTCAGAGTAATGTGTAATGCTCAACTAAATCATTCAATTGGATCAAATAGAGACTGGTAATTCTGATCCAGCTTGAATAGCACACCATCTCGAGGACATTCACTGGCGTTTAACTCTCTCCTACCATCTGTTGCAACTGTTACTTCACAGCATCTGCCAGCTCTGGGAGTGCTAATGATTCAACATATTTTTCAAGTCAGTGGATATCACCACTACAATACACAATACACAATACAAAAACTGGATACAGATGATCAAGAACCAAAAGAACCAAAAGAACCAAAAGAAGCAGAAACAGAGGATCAGAGCTGAATTGGCCAATTAGAGACCGTCCCATTGCAGTGGGTATTGCTATTTTATTTTCATTCAGTTTTGATTTTATCTTTGAAGTTCTTACTATTAATTGAAAAATGTTAGATTATGTGAGAAATATATTTTTTGAAGATTTGAAATAGTAACTTTTTCTGAGTAATATAAATAGTATTTATTATAATTATTTAAAAGCAATGAAAATGAACAAAAATTTATATAATACTTTAGCTGTTCTGAAGATATTATTTTATGTTTTAATAATTTAATTTATAAGCCTATAGGCAATCTTTAAAATATTATGAAATTCTGGAATTATAATGATTTTGACAGAGATCTCTTTTCAACTATAAGTGAATGAATTTTTTTATGAAGTAGAAAAGAGCCCAAGGCGACTACAGAAACAATAAAAAATATGATTAATCTTGATGAGGTACTGAAATTCAAAAATGGATAAGGATATGAATCACCATTAGATGGGTCAATTAAATAGTCTAACCAAAACCAATAGGAAACAGATAAAGAGAAAGTAATAAAGAAGACCTTTGAGTTTGAGATTGTGAAATTTGGCAGGAAAAACATATAGTCGATTAATAAAGAGACATAAGGAACAAAATGAATAGAAAAATCAATAGAGAAGGGAAGAGAGCTTAATCCACCATCTGGGATTGTGGTTTCAATATCAATTTCACCAAGATCAGTAAGATCAACGTCTCTTTTATAAGCAATTAAATGGATGAAAAAAAGTTTTAAAGGCCAGTAGATGATAAAAACAATAGACTCCAATATCAAAGCAATTGAATGGACATAATTATTTTTGAAAGAATACAAGGATGGAGAATTGAGCAACTGAGAAACAATTGCAAATAAGTAGTTTATGATTGTTAGCACGCAGGAAATGTTTGTGAGAAACTGTTTATGACCAGCGTTGGACAAGTTGGAGGGCAATTGCAATTTTGTGATGAAGATTAAACCATATGAAGAGATCAAGAGACAGGAAACATTCAACAATAGGGACTTTATATTTTTATGGGATACAGAAGAAGAGTGATTCTGGGGAACAACTCTAGTAGTTGATGAGTCGATGGGTTCTTTGGAAGTAGAGGCCATTTTATGGAATGAATTGGGCGTTGTTAGAGAGTTATTGTGTATGGTAATTGGAATTGCGATTGAAATGGAAAAAAGTGCTGTAATTTTGCTTCCACTTTGCTTCCACTTTAATTGAATGTTTGAATTGAGAAGTATTTATGTTTTCTTATGGGCGGGTTCTCTGGATAGATGGTGTGTAATGGCAGCTGATAAAAACAGCCACAGGGTAACCTAGAGTGGCGGAACGATTTTGTTTGCACGGGGACGCTTATCGGTTATCGGTTATCGGAGGATGACGTCATGGGATTTTGGTGTTGGATGTCTGGGGTAAACAAAAAGCGTGGGTATCAATCAATGAAAACAGCATTTTGTGCATTTAATATATGGACTATAAAAAATGGGGCAAAAGGTTTCATTCAAAGATACAATCTCAATCAACGATTTAATGAGAGCGATTTTACCAGAGAAAACCCGTAATAGAGTGAGATGAACCAAATTATAAGAATATAAGAAATTGAGAAATTAAAAATGTAAAAATGTAAAAATGTAAGAATATAAGTAATTAAAATGGAAAAATCAGATAAATCAGGTTATTAATTTAATATGTGTTTGTGTGTGTTGTTGTTGTTTTTAATTTTTTTGTTAAAATTAAATCAATTCCAAAAATGTTATTGGTTTTTCATTGATTTTGTTTTTAACAGCTAATGAATGTAGTTTTTTATGAATAATAAAAACGATAAAAGATAAATTGCAAACCACCAAGATAATTAAAACATCTAAGAAAATACTTTTAATATTATTATGATTGATTGAGTAAATTAAACTTTGCAAGAAAGGGTAAGGTAAATTTTGATTTAATCCTGTATCAACCAATAGTAGTAAGAAAACATAATAAAAAAAAATCAAAACTGCTATGAGTAAACTGATTAATCTTTTCTTAATTTGGTAGTTTGGCAAGAAAAATAAGAAATCAGTTAATAATAATAAATAAGGTAGAATATGGATGGTGAGTTCAATTAAAAAATTTAATTCATCATAGTTATTGACATTAGATGAAGAAGCAGAAGAGGTTAATGATGAGAGCTGGTTAGATAATATATCCGGAAAAGATTTTGAATTGGATGAAGAATAATAAAGTAAATCTCTGTTATACAATTTCAAAGGCCAATAGATTACGAATATCAAAAATTGGATAATTAAACAGATTGAATGAATGAAGTTGTTTTTAAAATAGTATAAAGAACTGACACTTAGTTTGTCTTTATTATTATTATTATGATTAAGATTGTGATTAATATTAAGATTAAGATTATGATTATGATTACTATTTATTTTGTTCAAGAAAAAACATATAATGGTTATTAGATTATAAACTAAAGTCAATAGACAAATTAAAGTTGATAGAAATTGTTTATTACCAGCCAATTTTAAATTGGATGGCAAGGTTAATTGACATTTATAATATAAAGATATTGAAATCAGTATAAATGAAAATGCGTTTAGATACGAGGAATAAACGTTATCAGGTTTTCGAAGCGACTTTTTGTTTGAATAATTCATTTTGATAATGACTTGAAGATTTATATCTTGAATGAATAAAAACTTTAAAAAGGAAAAGGAAAAAGGAAAAAGGAAAAAGGAAAAAGGAAAAAGGAAAAAAATGAAAGAAAGAAAGAAAAAATGAAAAAATGAAAAATCACAAAAGTTATAAAACTGTTTCAAGTGAGCAAACTATTTATAATTGCACCCAATACAGTTTCGCTTAAAAAGTCATTAGCTAAAAAGATATCATTTTCGTTGAAATGTTTATAATTTCCCAACATCTTTCGATGTTTTTGGGTTAAATTGAAAACAACCAATTGGATGGGACCACTCAGAGGGTAGGATATCGCTGTCGCATGTGATTGCATAGTAGCACATTATGATACATAAGAGCACACATGTATGCGTTGCTGTGTTACTCCACTAACACATGACTTTGCTAGGTAATACACTTTGTCTCAGTTCAACAGGTTTCAGCCCAAATCGTGCTTTAGCCACAAGTACTAATTGCCCCAAATCGAGTATCTATTTGAAAATATAAAAGAGGCAGAAGACAAGAATAATTATAAGAAAAAAGAAATCAAGAAATAAGTTTTAATTCCTTGTTGAATTCCTACTCTTTATATATTGATATTCCTATTAAACTTGGGATGGGGTCTGGTTCAAGAACCGAAACACTATTTGTGGCAAGTCCCTTTTGAATTGATTCTTGCTTTGATTATCTAATCAAATCATGTGCCATAAGAATCGCACACTGGCGAACATAGCTGGATTTGCGAATTTTCGCAGATATTTTCGCGTTTTGGGCCCAGTGGGCTGGTGATTTCGCGCGGCGACGGGCGGTGAGACACAAACACGTTTAGTTTTTTGGCGAAACAAGCAAGAAATCGAGATTTCCTCTGTTTTTTTTTTCTCCTTTTTCTCAGAATTTTTATCTCCAACTCTTGCTCTCACTCCTTTCTTTTCAGCTCAGATATATAGAATCACTCTCATCGAAAAGACTAATCCACTCACCTTTCGAGATGTATTCCATCGTCAACGAAAACAGAAACAACATCTATGGATTGTCCAATGCTAATCAGCTACACCAGGGAGATTCTGCTGGTACCCAAGTAAACTCAAACATCAATTCCAATTCCAATTCCAATCCCAATTCCAATTCCAATCCAAGTCCCAGCTCAAGTTCCAATTCCAATTCAGGCTCTAATTCATTTCATCACCAAAATCAAAATCTATCTCATGCCCTCACTCATGGTCACAATTTAAATACTAGTTTAGGTAATAACTCAAATAGCAGTAGCCATGGCCCTCATAGCTTGCTCAACGTCAACCATGGTCTTCACAACCATAGTCGTAATCTAAACAGCATCACAGGCAACAGTAATAGTTTAAATGTTCAAAATCACATTAGTAGTTCACAGTCTTTAATCCACCAACAAGTTACTCAGTTAAATAGTAATAATCCTAATAATAACTCGAATAGTAATAATGCTAACAAAAACAATAGTAATAACCATAATCATAATCATAACCATAACCATAACCATAACAACGATAGCAAAAACGATTTAAATGCAATGGACAACATATCTGATTCGTTGAATGATAATGTTTCGGAAACCAATATTAATAGTATGAGTAATATTAATATGAATTCCAACAATTCCAACAACTTGAACAATCCAAATTCGAACAATCCAAATGGTTTAAACAATTTGAATTCGAATGCAAATTCTTCAAATAACTCAAATGATGGGAGTAATGAATTAGCCAGCGGTAGTGTCTCGAAATTAATTAAAACTCCTTATACCCATGAACATGTAATCGCTTTAATTGATATCTTTAGTGATTTGACTCATCATGGAACATCCTATGTTAGATCGTCGGGGATTTATACTTTGATTGAGAAAAAGATGAATTCTCGATTTAATGATAAATCCTTTTACGGAGAATCTATTCGTAAGAAATTACTAGATGTTAGAAAAGAATATGATATCTTTAAATTGATTATGTTTAATTCATCACCAAACATTTCAGGAATAAACTGGAAACAAAATGAGGGAAGGTTTAATTTATCGCCTGAGCAAATAACAGAATTAATCCAGCAAATTTCGCTAAGCAATAATAATGATTTGAAAAAAAAGATTAGTTGTGTTAAGAAATTTAGTAAAAAAGGTAATTTTTACATGTATCATTACCACCTTCGGATTGGGGTGTTTGACAGTGCTCAAACATTGTTAACACAGCTTCAGACTGAAGCAGCAACTGTTGCTGCTGCCGCTGCTTCCACCAACCATAATGTCAACTCCTCAATTCCCGAGAATAATTCTTCTATAAACGATTATATTAACAATGCGACTTCTCAAGTATTGCAATCGACATTGCTTTTGAATGGAAATACGAGTTCGAGTAGTATTTCTAGTGGTAATATGAATGGGATTAATAATCTTAATAATCTTAATACTCTTAACAATCTTAATAATCTCAGTAATCTTAATAATCTTGGTAATCTTAACAACCTTAATAATCTTAACAACCTTAATAATCTTAATCTTAGCAATTTTGGTGCCAATATGAATGACAATTTAAGTAATGGTATGAATAATTTAAATAATTTAAATAATTTAAGCCATTCCACTAATTCCACTAATATTAACTCTAAATTAAATAATAATCATACTAATAATAACAACAATAATAGTAATAATAATAATAGTAATGGTAATCATTACAATGGTTTAAAACATAAAGCAGGAAAAATGGATAATTCGTATAAATCATCACTTACTAAATTTTCTATAAAGAATAAATTTCCTTATTTGGTTCCAAATCAATCGGAAATTAAAAACCAAAGCCAAATTTCTAACCATGAACATGGAAATGGAAATAGCCAAAACCTAAATCAAAATTCATTCAGTTTCAGTAAAAATGCCAAGTCGTTGAATAATAATAGTAGTAACGAGAATGAAAATTTGAACGGTCTTTCGGCTTTTAATATTCAAAATCAATTGACGAGCTCCTTAAGCAACTTTTCGTCTTTAAATAATTTATCGTTGCTAAAACAGTTTAAACAAGAGAACAAAGCATTGTCAAAGTTTTTAGTGAGATTGAGGTCTGAAAAGCTCATTAATAAAAAAGGATGGAAAAAACTAATCAATTTAGTCGAAGAAAACAAAATCTTGAGAGAAACATTATTAGACGAAGATTTCACTTTGGAAGAAAAAAAACTAGCAGCGTTGGATTCTTTGGATGATGACGACATAATTAGTAGTGACGATCACAAGCAGAATAATGGCGAGAAGGAAAGTATAAAGGACAATAGTAAAAACATCGAAAATGAAAAGAGTATTAATAATAACAATGACAATAATGATGGTAATGGTGACGGTAATGATATCGATATCGATATGAGCAATAACAATATTTCGTCTAATAATCTCAACGAAAATTCCAGTTTGGGCGCAATGGATAATGGCAGGGAAGGCAATATCGACAATAGCATCAACAAAGAAATCAATGAGATTGATAATGAGATCGATAATGAGATCAGCAATAAGATTAACGACGAGATTAACGACGAGATTAACCGCGATATCGCCCAGGAGATAAATGTGATCAGTGAACTTAGTGAAGAGAACGAGGAAGATAGTGTAAACAACATGAACATTGATATGGAGTTGGACAAAAGCAATGGAAACGCTGATGGCGACGGCAATATCAGCACCGAGCTCACCAACACCCAGGTTAGCACCAACTTGGGAGAAAACGCAGGCTCATTTGATACTGACAACAGCAATATCGACACCGAGTTGACAGGCAAGTCGAGTGGTTGCAAATAAGGGCTGTTGAAGCGTATATTACTCGCTAGGTAGAATTATCTCATGATAGATTTTGGACCTGCAGCTTTTCCTGTTTGAGTTTGGCATCGGCGTCTGCGGTTGCCGAGTCTGATTGGCTGCCGAAACGCACTCGATGCAGAGACAAAAGATCCGGCTGCAACCCCAACGCTAGGGATGGGACCAGCAGCAAGGGCGAAGAACAGCTTTAAGCCCTGGCTCGAAACGTTTCAAGGAAGAATAGACGTGGCTCAGCTGCGGAGGGTGTTTCAGCATCGGAGATTTCTCCAGCACCGCCAGACCCACGCCAGACCCTCTCCAAACCCTTTCACGGGATCTGCTCTGGGGATCTGACTCCATGGGTCTGGGCCCAATCCCAGCAGGAACAGCCTAACGGTAGCGAACCACCTAATCCGTCACTCCTTCTAATAATACCCTAACAGATGTATCTTCAGCCCCAGATGTTATATATATATAAACCTCCCAACCTCCTCCACATTGTTGCCAGTCTTTTCCCTTCATGTATATATCTCTCTTCTGTGTGCTCCAACCCTGTGCTCCAAAATGATCCTTCTGCTTTATGCTCTTCTTGCTGCTCTCTTGCTCAGCTCAGTTTCTTCACTCTATATTCCTGAAAAGAATCGTGCCGATAACTTGACCGAAAATATTTTTCACAACTTTAGATATGAATATTTTCAGCACGAACAGGACATAATCAAATTCGATTTCGACATCCACCAGAAACACGATCTGAGATCTGCCCAGCTCTATAAAAGAGATGGCTACGTTACCTCCATAATCCACAACCAGGACTACTACTACAAGATGTTCTTGTACATTGGTACCCCACCCCAGAAAGTGGGTTTCTTGCTTGACACTGGCTCCTCAGACTTGTGGATCCACTCAACGTCCAATCCTTACTGCTCTAACCAGTCTATAAGTGATTATAAATCTGGCAAGGACACTGGCAGCTACTATCAACTCAGTGGTGATATTGGTGAGGTTAACTGCTCAAGAGAATTGGGTTTATACAACGAATCTGCCTCTTCTACCTGGAACTCATCCAAATTAGAATTCCAAGTCAATTACATGGATACCACCTTTGCCTATGGTATCTATGGAACAGATACTGTTCGTTTAGGCAGAAGGCCTTTTGCTCCACAGATTAAAAACATGTTTATGGGCTTGAGTCAAGAATCTAACTCATCTCAAGCTGTGATGGGCATTGGCTTGAGGAATCTTGTGGGCTACANTGACACCAATTCAAAGACTGGCTCAATCTTATTTGGTGCTATTGATCGCTCAAAGGTTCTTGATGGTTTGGTTACTTTGCCAATTGTTAACCCATATCCTTACATATCACAATCTGTTCATTTCTATGTCAACATGTCTTCATTGTCAATCAATTCGAAAAATGCCGGTCCTTCCTCCTACTCCAATACTGCAAACATAATCGCTCCAAGCTCCTTTGTCTTGCTTGATTCTGGTACTACTTCCATATACGTCCCCACACAATATCTTGAAAACATTGCACAGAAATTCAAACTACCACCATCAATCTCTATCATCCTTTATGATTCTCTGACTTTGTACTATGGAAAATGTCTTGACTTTCGCCTGGTTTTTGCCAACAAAAACTTGTCTTTCAACTTTGGCGAAAAGATCGTCAATGTTCCAATGTCCTCATTAATAGAACAATTTGGATACGAAAATAACGTCTCATACTGCGGTTTAAAACTCTTTGGAGTTGATGGTGACAATTTTATTCTTGGAGACTTGTTTTTAAGATACGCCTATGTGGTATACAATCTAGAGGATTTACAACTATCAATAGGCCAGGCAAATTTCAACTCCACAAAACCTGACATTGTTAAAGTGATCTCATCCACATGATATTATCAATATCATCTTTCTCTTTCATACTTCATCTTCTATTCTTTCTATTTCATTTTATATACAACTTCATCCCATTTTTTTTTTCCTTTACTCTTTTCTTTTTTCATCTTTTTTCGTCTTTTTTCATCTTTTTTCATCTTTTCTCATCTCTTCTCTTTATATTCATTCATTGTTTTTATTATCGATTTTTGGGTATGGGTATTTTTTATTTTTTGTTTAACATCTCATTTGTAATTGAAAAATTAACTAGCATTTCTAAATTGTATTTACATCAACCAATCAATCAAAAACATCTTATAATCCTCATAAATCTCGTAATTCTTATACACCACCATTTGTCAATGTAATTGGGAAATTAATTATAATTGCAATATTTATTCCATCTTAAATAGAATCAAACAATAACAATTCAGAACTCGAACAACCGTAAATCCTTTATCCAGTTATTTGTATTAAAATAAAAATTATATATATATATGTATATATAGAAATATTAGCAAATTTAGAGGCAATTGTTCGTTTTCTTCCGTTTCTCTGAGTCTTTTTACCATTAAATTTCTCCTTTTACGATTGAATCTCTCCTTTAAAATCATTTCTCTTTCTTAATACCTTATTATAATACTAACTTTGCCCAAATGCTTTTTTATAGGCTACTTTTTAGCTGTTAAGGACGAACCATTGCAGTTTCTGTCTCACTGGAAACTAGAAAATAAAGAAAGAAAGAAAGAAAGAAAGATATCAAATTTCACTGAATTTTACTGAATGCACTTCCTCCACTTTGTGAAAGACTAGTCTTTGGTAATTGCTATTTATCTCAAATCAATTTCTACTCAAGTCTTCCACTCAAACTCAAACAAATCATTGTTTTGCAATAATTTGGATGCAAGTTTTGCTGATAACAATATCTGAAAATGACTCTCAATATCAAAAATCTTTAACATTTCCAGCCTTTATTTTCTTTGTAATTTTATTCACGATTCGGGGATTAATCTAATTTTATGAATACAGTGATGATGATGGGTATATATAAATGAAAAATTTCACATTGTTTTTTCTTCTAAAAGCATATCTAATCTGTTTGCTTATCGAGGTTATCGGAATATGCACTGCCTATTCTTAGTTGTCTTGATTTGCTTGATCTGCTCGACCTTCGCTCTCTATATTCCATTCATATCTCGCCAAAACACTTTTCATCACTTCAAATATGAAAAATTTAAAAATGAAAATGATATCATCAACTTTGATTTTGACATTCATACTGAAACTCAACCTCAAAATTTACAAATTGCTAAAAGAGATAAATATTTTACCTCAACTACCTACAATCAAAAATCTTATTACAAAATCCATTTATACCTTGGAACTCCAGCTCAGAAAGTAGGTCTCTTACTTGATACTGGCTCATCCGATTTATGGGTTCACTCAAGTTCTAACCCTTATTGCTCCAAGTAGTCTATAAGGGATTATAAATCAGGTAAAAACATTAATTATCCAGATCTGCTTAGTGGAGATATTGGTGAAATGAATTATTCAGCTGAATTGGGTTTATACAATCAAGCTGCCTCGTCAACTTGGGTTAAATCAAAAACTCCATTTGAAATAAGCTATTTTGATACTACTTTTGCTTCGGGCGTTTATGGAAATGACATTGTTCGTCTAGGAACTCAATCCAACTTTCCACAGATTAAAAACATGTTTATGGGCTTGAGTCAAGAATCTAACTCATCTCAAGCTGTGATGGGCATTGGCTTGAGGAATCTTGTGGGCTACAACAATTTTCCATACAGATTGAAACAGAGTGGTTATATCAACAAAACTTTGTATTCATTATATCTAAATGACACCAATTCAAAGACTGGCTCAATCTTATTTGGTGCTATTGATCGCTCAAAGGTTCTTGATGGTTTGGTTACTTTGCCAATTGTTAACCCATCCTCTTCAAAATCAAAACCTACCCATTTTTATGTTAAGATGACTTCATTATCAATTGAAAATAACAGAGCTAAAAAGATTTTATCTTCTAATAACCCCAATGCAATTGCTCCCAACTCTTTTGTTTTACTAGACTCTGGTACCTCATTAATTCATCTTCCAGTCAAATACCTTTAGAACATTCCAAAAAAATTTAAATTGTCCCAATCCATCGAACTTGTTAATCTTGACAGTTCCTATTTCTTGTATAGGGAATGTAGTGATTTGGAGTCTGCTTTTTCAACAAAAAAATTGTTTTTTATCTTTGGAAAAAAAGTAATCGATGTTCATATGCTGTCATTAATTGGTCAATTATCAAATGAAGATGGAGTTTCGTACTGCAGATTATCAATTATTGGAAATGATCAAAATAAAAGTATCTTGGGTGCCTCATTTTTAAGATATGCCTATGTTCTGTATAATTTAGATGATTTGGAAATATCTTTAGGCCAAGCAAATTTTACCCCCAAAAAACCTGATATTATCAAAATTATCTGATTGTATTAGATTTCTTATGTTTACATTCGTTTTTATGATTCATTAAATTTACTATTGTTTGTTTTTTTGTTTTATTTTTCCTTTAATCGTTTATTTTGGTTGGTTTTTGGTTTTCTATATTTTTTTACTTTCATTAATATCTAAAATATTCTTCTACTTTTGTTAATGTCATAAAGACTTTTTTTTATAAAAACTATTGTTATTTGCTGTTTTCAATCATATATAATCAGCTAAATAAATAAGTTATTAAATGTTCGAATTTATAAAAATAGTATAAGTTAATTTGGTTTATAAGTAAATCTTAATTGCTACTATAAGTGCTAATTCAATAGCAAAAAATGACAAAAAATGACAAAAAATGGAAATGAATGAATGAATGAATGAATGCAGCAAATAAATAAGGCTAAAAAAACCAGAAGCAAACTAAAATTTTATCTAATTTTAGACTAGAAATAAATAAAAAAAAATAGTGCAAAAAGTAATAAAAGCAAAACCCAACTTTTGGGAATATGTAATGTTGAATGCAAGATAATATAAAATGATATAAAATGATATAAAGTAATATAAAATTTCATAAAAATATTAATAAAAAATATGTAACATCATCACTTTAAAAAAATAAAAATCTGATCATTTTCCGAATTGATCAACATGAATGCTTTTAGCCCTATTGCTATTGTTTAAATTAGTAGAACTTGTATTATTGTTTGAGTAGCGAGACTGAAAATTCATCCCGTTGGAATTTTTCATTCCACCAGAATTAAAAAAATTGTTATTCTTTTTATTTTTCCCGTAGTCATTATTCGATTTCTTATCCTGTTTATAGCTCTTGTTAATATTATCAATACTATTGATATTGCTCCCGCCTAAAATGTTATTGATTTTCATATTTTTATCCATAATATTACCGTTGTATGGTGCAAATAGTGAATTATTCACCGATGAAAATGACATGTTCGAAAAATTCATGCTGTTTGGACTATCATTCTGACTATTATTGTTACTGGTGAAACTATAGTTGAATTGATTTTGATTATCAGTATGGTTAGCGTCATGTAAATCCTTTCCCTTTTCATCATCAAAACTTGAACCAGAATTTTGGTAATTATAATTGTTTTGATTTTGATTTTGGTTTTGACCTAATAACCCTTCGTTAATTAGTTGTGCCTTTAATTGAATGACATCACCACTAGAATTACTAACACCTCCCCAAGAAGTGGAGTTTGAATGAAAGTTGGAATTGATCTCATTAGGGGTGTTTCCAATTCCACTAAACTCCATGGTATCGTTAAAACTTGTTTTTCTATCGCTGCGAGCAAACAAATCACTTATGTTAATATACTTTTGAAGCTGTTCTAATGTTATACGATATGGTTGATTACCGTTTTGACTTTCAAATTTTTCAATCTCAGCCTTTTGTTGAATTTTCAAGTCTTTATATTTTGATGACAAGAACTCTCTCAATTTTTCAAAAATTGAAAGGTTTTTAGTGTCCCACGAAGAAACAAATTTCCATAACATATCACTTATGGAATCGTCTGCCAAAATTGCATGTCGAAACTCACTCAAGTCTTCATTTGATGATTTATTACGCATATCACAGTTTTTTATATCCTCATCAACCTCTTTTTGATTGGGAATATTATGAAATATCAAATGATTCAACAATATAATTGAAATCTTAACAAAAGATAAGTCCATCATAGAAATATTTAAGATAAACTTAATTAATGAAAATAAGTTAAAATTATTATCATTTTGCAAATCAAAACTAGCATTGTCCTTGCTAAATTTGATATCGTTATTATCAATTTGAATAAGTTTCTCAATGATTTTGAAAACAAGATTATTATAGATAAAATTGAAAGAGCTTAAATCAAAAAAAATAGAATTAAATTTACTTTGATTGACATTAATAACACCATTGTTAGCAGTAGCAGTAGCAACAACCGATTGATTTGGATTGCTATTAACATTAATTGAGCTCGAGGCAGATTCGGGAGGAGATATATCCTGAAATAGTGTTTTTTCAAAAATAGAACAAAGGTTATCATAGTTGATTGATTTCAAATTGCATTCATCTGAAATCATTAAAACTGTAAAGCAGCTAGTAAAATTGAGTTTAAGAAATTCATCAAATGACTTATAAAATAAGCTATTTAAAATTTCAATATTCTCTGCAGAATTCTCCAGACCCAATGCGTTGCTACCAGGCAGAGCTCCAATAACCTCTCCAAAGGCAATTGGATGATTCAGAAAGTTCGTATCTTTGGGCAAAGAGCCAACAGAGCTTTTTAAAGTAGTGAGTTTACTTTGAATTTCTACTGAGGTATTAAAACATTTTCTGTTGTAGATGCCATTGAAATTAACCCAATTTTTCTTTTCAGTTAGATTGCCTAATAATTTATACAAAATCAACAAACTTAATTCTAAACAGTCATAAATCTTTTTGTAAGTTTGAAGTTTTACGATTTCATCGTTGTCAAATAGATCATCCGTATTTTCATAATCATTAAGAATTGAATTGTTCAAGCTCTTTTTTGGATAAATAAAATTTAGACGCGAGACAGGAGGAATAATTGATAAGTCCATGATATTTTCTTGAAAAAAAGAAGGCAATTTCCTTAAATAATTTAAATCATTTAAAACTTCTCTTGCTAAAATGTAAATTATGTAAACAAATATTGAGATTAAAGATAATGTTGATCCAAATTGACTAAAAATCAAATGCAATTTTATAAAGGGATCTTCAAAATCCTCCAATTTATTTTCATCTTTACCTTCATCATTATTTCCAATCTTATAGCCATCGAAAGATGGGGTTAGGAAATCATTGATTTTAATGAGTGAAATATTTAGCAAATTAATTAGATTGATTTCATAATCGTTGTTAACAAAATTATTATTGGCAAACATTGATTTAAAATTTAAAGTATAATTTTGATCAATAACTTCAAATAGTACTTTAAATTGCAATATTTTTGATTGAAGTAAATTAGTATAAACTGAATTTCCGCTTTCAAATGAATGATACTTATCCAAATAATTTGAGATTAAAGGTTTGATTTTGGAATTTGAATTTTTAAGCAATTCTGAATTTTGAATTAAATTTATAGAGATTGATTCGATTGAATAATGTAGAGATCTCAATATTAGAATATTCAAAGAAGAATTAGAAACATTCAACAAGGATTTATTTTCAAAAAAGGATAAAATAGTTAACAAATTTTCCAAAATAGAAAGCAAGCTTGAATTTGAGTTTGAATTTAAAGCATTAATTGAAAATATTGTTATAAATTCATTGTTGATTTGGGTTTTATCAAATATATTGATTAATTCAATCAAATAATCTAAAAGTTGAGAATTTAATACATTGGTTTTCTTTGGATTTGTTTCATCAGCGATTTGATCGTTATTAAACAAATTTTGATTACTAAATTCATTATTGCCGTTCTTTTTTGGTTTTTTATCAGTGGAGTTATTGGTAGTATTGAAATTCAAGTTTAGGTTTTCTATTTTGTGTGAAAATTTACCGATTTTGTCTTTTTTGAATTTAAGTTTAGTATTATTATGATTTGAAATAAAATATTCAAGAAATGAATTTAAATTTGTTAGGAAGGGAATAAGAGATAAAGAATTGAATAGTATAGACTTTAGAGAATATGGAAATAGATTAGTTAATAATTGGTTTAAAATTTGGTTATTGCCATTATTGTTATCATCAGTACTGTTATCATCAGTATTGGTTTTATTAACTTTATCAGTTGGAATCAAAATAGATAGCATATTAGTGAACCTTTTTGTAATTGTTAAAATTCCAGGATAATAGTTTATATTCAAATTCAGATTGTTTTGAGAACTATTTGAGTTTAATGATTTATTCCATAATTTTGTAAAGATATCGAATTTAATGTTAGTATTTGAATTGAATAGGATTAACAAAGAATTGAAATTATAGTTGTTTGTCGATAAACATTTAAAGACAAAAATTGATAACAAATTTAAAATTAAATTTGAGTTATTCAAATTTAATTTGAATGAGTAGGAGTTTAAAATCAATAAGGGGGATATTAAACTGTTATTAAATAATAAGTTTTTATTGTTGACGTTAGTGTTATTATTGACAAATAAGATTGAAATTAATTTTAAATAGATGCTTAAAATTTTATTGAAATGATTTAGATTAAAAGATGAATTTTTTGAAGAGATCAAATGGTTAATTTTTAAAGAAGAATTCAAGATTAGTAGATTGTTTAATATGGTTAAAATTTCGGAATTGGTTGATCTTAATTGAAAATTGTTATATGAGTTATATTTTATTGATTTTAGATCAAGAGAAATGGTTGGTAAAACAAGTTTATCTGTTTTTCCCTTGACATTTTCATTGCTATTGATTTTAATGTTTAAAAAATCATTTGAACTCATAATATAATCATTTAAATGGGATATTGATTGATGAATCTTTGATAAATTGATTTTATTTGATTTAAATTTAATCAAGTATAGTAGCTCAACTTCATCATAATTTAAAAAATCCAATAAAATATTTAAATTTTCTTCAATTTCCAATTTTTTCGATTTGATTAATTCATTAAACTGATTTTTGTTATTATTATTGTTATTATTGTTATTGCTATTATTGCTGTTATTATTGTTGTTATTTTCATCGTTATCGCTGGTGTTATTAGCGCCTATATTATTGTTATCATCCTTTGTATTACCACTCTCGTTTTTGATTTCTTTTTCGATTGTTTCTTTTTTGGCAGAGGTGAGATTATTATTCAAGCTGTCAGATAAATTGTCAGATAGATCATCATGAAAGATATCATCGAGGTTATCGTCATTTAAAATGTTTACAATATCATTTGTTAAATGGTTTAAAAAGGGATTGTTAGTTTCATCGATTTCTTCCTCGTTATGGATTTGATTCTTATCAATCTTGTTCGAAAGAAAGTTTTGAGTGCTACCGAGATCCATCAAAACATCATCCATTTTAACCAGACTAAATCGAAAAGCAGCAATTGGAATGGAAAAAGACACCTCTTTGTCTCTATTGCAATTGCAAATTTAATAGAGCCAAGTATCAATACTGGCGCTGGTGGGAGAGTATCTGAAAGTCGTAAAAAGGATCGTCGATGCTAAAAAAAGTCAAGGTTTGTCTTCAAACAAAAAAAGAAAAAAAACAGAAAAAGTTCAGAGCCCTACTAGTTGAAGCCCTACTAATTAGAACCCTATTTTTAGAGCCCTTGTGTGATTATGCGCATATGCAGAGTATTGCAGATTACTGCGTGATTACTGTATTAACCATAGGTGTGGATCTGAGTTCACTTGCCACGTCTGCGGCTAGAGTCGTGGCGGAGAAAAGAATTCTGAGAAACGAAAAGAGCTTAGAGAGAACAGATTAAAGAGAACAAAAAAGAACGAGAAACGATATCTGAAACCATTACAGAATGCCACCCAGATCAATTTTGAGCTTGTTGTCCAAAAGAAAGATGTAATTCATGTCATCAGGATTGTCACTGTTTTCATTTACACTCATGAAACGATTGAAGTATGGAATTATTTTGTCTTTAAGACTAGAATAGTATAAATCTTCTATTTTATTAAACGTTGGCAGCACTTGGTCTTCATAAAATGATTTCATGAAATATAAAAAGCGATAGTTGTTTACCATGGTACCATCACGATCAATAAGGAGGGCGTGATAAGAGAGGTAACTAGTCTGTGAATAAAATTCTTGTGTAACTAGATTGAAACAGTTGGAAAAGATTTGTCCCTTTAGTAATTCGTAGTTAACGTTCTTTTGGTTAATATTTTTAAAGTCTTCTATTTCATTATAATCTAATAGGTTTGTGGTATCATATAAATAACTCAACCCCATTTTGATATACCAAACATTAAATACAAAATCGAAGACCTTTAAAAAGTTTTTGAGAATACTGAAGAAAGCCTTTGAATGGTTATCATCATCGTAGTAATAAACAGGAACAATTTGAAGATTGTAAACGTTATTTAGATTAAGACTATTGGCAATTAAATTGTTATTTACGTTATTGGCATTTACATGATTGTTAGTGATGGAAAACTCATTGGAAAATTTGATGTGGAAGTTGTAAAGATTTAAATTTTTTGTTAGTAACCTATCTAATTGATTTAGATCTAGTAAATTGATTATTTTTTTTTGTAAATTATTAAAATTCATAATTGGACTTGAATTAAAATTTACATTAAATTTGATTGAGTTGTTTAGTGTTGATAGATATAGGTATATGTTGTAAAAGAAATAATATATCTGTTTTTTATAGATTTCATCATCATCATTATCACCATTAGTAGCAGTGGTAGTGTTGGTAGTATCATCGATATTGCTATTAGTATTATTGGTGTAAATGTATTTTGCTAAACTATTTTCTGGAGAGACTATGTAATAGTTTTCATCATTATAAATGTTCATCAGGTCCTTTTCAACATTACTAATTTTATCAATATTGTTGATATCGTTAATTACATTAATGTCATTAATGTCGTTTGAATTGTGATTATTGTCATTGAAAAAAATTAGAATGTAGTTATTTGCAAATTTAATATAGTTAGTCAACCAATTTTGAATTTTACCAAGATCGATTAAGGATTCAAATTTATTATTTGTAAGAAAAGTGTTAATATGTTTGGTAACCTTTGAAGTGATTTTTTCTAGAAAATTAATAACTTTTTTATCATTATTATAGCTGTTATTCAACGTAGTGAATGAGGTTGATAAATCGTAACCTTTTAGTAACTGGTTATTTTTAAAGTAATAATCTAAATGATTAGAGATGTTGAAATTCGTCATCTTCTTTTTGTAATATTAAAATAGTGCCTAAGAATCATCTATGGTAAGTGAGCAATAAATATTAACGTATATATGGATATGATTTTTGTTTATGGCTAGCCAGATTAAGCAAGGCCTGAGGAAAAATTGACTGGGCCTGGATCAAGGCGAAAGGTGAACTACACTAAAAGAAGACCAACAAGAGATAATGTAAGAATTTATTCGTAGAATTTTAGAATTGTAGAATTATAGAAATATATATCGATATATATATATTCATATATAGGCAAGGAGGTATATATAAATATACAAAATAGTCTGAAATACTCCAAATTACTCTGAATTACTTTGAAATGGTCAAGTAGTAACACAGTACCGATAAGCCATATAAATTTATAATTATTAGTAAAAACAAAACAAAAACCAAACAAAAAAAAACAACCTTATGAGATTAAAATATAAATATAAATAGGACAAGATAAAATAAAAATATAAAATGGAGAAAAAAAAAATTTGAAATTAAAATGAAATTCGTTATAGTTGATTGAATTGAGCTGTTTTTCGTTTGTTTGTTTAAAAATAATTGATTGAATGAAGTGAATTTAAACTAATCGATTGGCCGATTAATTGATATACTGAAGCATTAGGATATTGAATTAATAGGTTTGTTGAGTGATTCATCGATTATTGTTCACCAAAGGTATTTTCACCTGAATATAAAACATACAAAAAGCCATCATCGTCTTTATGCTCATCGTATATAGTAGACATCAACGCAGCAGTTGGAGGTAATATATCGTTTACAAATATGAAAATGGCCTTCTCAGCAGGAAGTTTGATTCTTTTTCTGATCACATAAACAAACTGACCAACGGTTAAATCACTTGGAACTAAGTATTTTCTTTTGTCAATTTCCTGAATATCAGATTTTTCGACTTTTTCACATATAACAGGAATTCTATCGCTGAACTTTTGGCGGATTCTCATTGCCTCAGCTTTTCTCTTCTCGAAAGGATGTTCGTCCTTGAACTGGGATCTCATTGTAGAGGGAATATAATAAACAGCAAATGCGCAGAAGGAGTACGAAAGATGGCTGACAAAATAACAGTCAGAATTAGAATGCTTTTGTAAAAAGCTGACAGAAAGCAACAAAAGAAACAGCACCAGAAGCAAAATCAAAGGCAAAACAGGAGCAGAAACAGAAGAGAAACAACACAGGCAAGCACTATTTATAACCGCCGACTGTAATCGCAGCGATAAAAGAAGGAGCTGATTTCAAATCGCCACCAGATAAGCACGTGTGCTGGCAAATTTCGATCCGCCAGTGTGGGTCTGTATGCGCGTGTGGGTTTGTGGAAGCAAATATAGGTCATAATTGCATATATGTGAATACGCACTATCACACATGTGTGTGCAGTGCTCAATTTCCACTGTTGCGGATCACACGCTGAGAGCCATGCTTCTTCTCAGGACTCTTACGATTTCCTTTTTGAGCGACAAATATAATCACCATAGCTGCCAGTTTTATCTCATGTGTAGTAGCAGTCGCTGGCAATGTTCTGTGCTGTTCTTTTATTGTTAGCTACGTGCTGTTTGGTTGACGCATTCAATCCGTATGATGACATCTTCTCCTTGCCCAAGTTCCAGATCAACTACATCAACAGTCCCTCCATTTCTCGCAGGGACTCGTTGAAGTTGCTCAGCTCCAACTCGTTGAACTATGAGGTGATAAGGCTTACCAACGCCCACAACGAGGAGGACTCCTATTTGTGCACTCTTCCCAGTCTTGCAGAAATTCATCAAAACGAAAAGAACGATCTTCAATTCAACACAAACACCCATCCCAACAAAATCTTCCGCTACAATGCTGACCCACATTCGAACTCCAACAATGATAACAGCATAAATAACAACGATAATATTGAAAACAACGAAAACAACGGTGCTAGTGATGATGACTATATCAATGAAAATCTTTTGAGAAATAAAAGCATTGAAATTATCAATCAATCTCTAAATGACATCTGTCTATATTATACATCTGGTTATTGGACTTATGAATTTTGCTATAACAACAAAATCACACAGTTTCATAACATCAACCCGTTATACTATAAATCAAGCTATTATAATATTAATATCAACAGGAAAAATAGTCCAAGCAACAATAACAAAAATGATATCACAGCTGATAACTCAAACCAATTTATCCCAAAAATGGATCCAAACATTCCAATTTTTACTTTAGGCAGATTCATGAACAGTACAAAAAACATCAATGCAAACAATAACAATAAAAACAAAATCATCCATAGTCCTAAAAGCTTAATGAATTATTTCCAATTGAATGATTATAATTATTATAACCAAAATAAAAAATCCCTTTCAATCACAATAGATCATGGCTCAAAATGCGATTTAACAAATTTAAACAGAATGATTGACATAATATTTATCTGTAATTCAAACACAAATACTAACAACAAAAATAATAATAAAAATATCAATAATAAAGACGACAGTAATAATAACTTGAATATCAACCAGATCAAAAACTCAGTCAATGACCAGCCTTCAATATTATCAATAAAAGAATACAAAACTTGTCAATACGAAATGCAAATATCAGTTCCAGATCTATGTTCTTTATGCCAATTCAATAACGTTAACCAATTTAATTCAATCAATAAAATCAACTGTCAATTAATCAATAATGATCATAATAATGATAACCAACGTAAGGACAATAACGATAAAAATGTACAAGACAACACTGAAACTAACAATAATAACGATGATAATAAAAAATTCGCTACTGCTGTTGACTTCTTTAAAGATCACAAACTTTATCACAACAAGATAAACTTGCCTGATTATCACCTACTGCCAACAATCAACAATATCTACTTGGGCACAAAGCTTGCAGCTCACGATAACCACCACATCAATGCTCAAATTGAAAATCAAGATATTGAAGACTCTGAAATTGAAAATTCAGAGATTGAATCAATTTTCTTAATCAACGATCCCTTAGTTGATCTAGTATCAATAGTAGAAAATAAAAACAGTATTTTTTCATCAGTTTTAAAAAGTTTATCAATAGCATTCATTAATACTTTAAATTCAAAGAAATTAGTTCTACCCAAATCGCTAAAGTTTGAGAATGGGATTGATAGTGATGTTGGTGCTAACTATTATTTTAAAATTGGCGATCAATTTAAATTTATATCACCAGTTTATGATTACAAAGGTAATTATTTATTCTTTATATCTGTTGGTATGTACAAAGATGGTCGATATACTCTATCTTACGATTTTGATTATCCCTATTTATATTTTGAGAATAATAAAAAAAACTGGGTTTTTTATACAGTATCCAATAACGTGTTTCTAAAGGATGGTATGGGCAAAAACCATGAACAGCAGCAAATTATAATTTATTGATTTAAAAACAAACTAGAAATGATTATTGAACATCTGGTTTTATAGAAATATAGTTATATGTTAATATCAATTTATTTATTTTATATTTTTTCTATAATCGTAACTACAGTTTATAATTTTATTAAATCATTAAAGTGTCATTAAAGTGTCATTAAAATGCCATTAAAGTGTTATTACATTTTTTTTCATTATAATACAAAAAAAGAAAGTGAAAGAAAATGTATCAAATATACAAAATTATAGAGGAAATTAAATTAACTTAATCCATATGAAAAATGATTTTAAAAGAAAAATAAATAAAGGAAAAAGTGACAATGAGAAGAAAGAAATAAAGAAATAAAGAAATAAAGAAAGAGATGAATAACTAATACAAATAAAAAAATGATTGGCAGTTAAAAAGACAAGTAGAGTCAAGTTTAACTGAGAATTAAATTAAATTAAAATATGATAAAATAAAATAAAATTAAATCTAGGAAACCCATTCTAAACTGCAAAGAAAACAATATGAAAAAAAAAGCCTTTTATAAATAAACTTCAACAGTGGCGTTGACTATGTATCAAAATGACTTTATAGTAACTACCATTCTAATTTTAAATAAATTAAGCATAGAAAGAAAATAAAAATACAAATACAAATAAATAAAGAAGTGTTAAGGCAATATAATAAAAAGCAACATTAAAACATAGAAAACAAAAAAAAAGTTCAAAAAAAAAAAGAAATCCATGGAAAAAACCAAACACAAAATAAAAAAAAAATAACAAAAACATAACATAAAAAAAAATTAATGGTTAGAGGCATTGCTTGTTCCTTCATCATAAATGCCTAATTGAAACCATGGATGATTCAAGGCTTCCCAAGCACTGATTCTCTTATGAGGCTCAATTGTCAATAGTTTTATCAAAAGATCAATAAAAAAATACCAAAATGTGAAAGTGTCTTTGTCAACGGGTTTATTCTTATTGTCGAAGTTGATGAAACTTTTGCTGATTTCCTCAATAGAAACTGAAGTGGGTACGGTGGACGACATGTCAAAGGTAGATACGTTATTCTGTAAGTTGGTGTCATTTGTGGTGGGGTTGTTGAACAATAAGGACTCATCAATGTCATAAGAGGTTGAAGAAGATTTTGTATGATTTTTTCTTGGCCTTCCTCTTTTTCTGACTTTTGTAATAGTGCCATTAGACGTGGTTGGAATAGATTTGGATGAAGTTTTTTTAGATGTGGTGACGACAGTATTGGTTAGAATGTTTTTAGTTTTCTTGAGAAGTTTTTGGTACTCATCGTTAAAGTCCAGGCAGTAGGCAAAATACGATTCTTCCAAAGGTAGATCGCTATTGATGTTGATACCGATGGATGAGGAAACCAAAATATCGATTCTTGATATGGAGTTAACAAAGCCCTTTGAAGTTTTTGGGTAATCTCTTGGGAATTTTTGTTTTATAAACCTGCGACCATTTTCGAGAGAGTATTTTTTTTTGAAAGAAGGTTTTCTTTTAACTTTTTCAACAGTCGAATTTTTTCTAGGTCTTCCTCTTCCTCTTTTCTTTGGTGTGGGATCGAGAGAGGCAGATAATAGAAGTGAATTTTCGATTTTTAGGTTTTCATTAAAGCCAGGCAATAAGGAAAAGTTTGTATTTGAGGAAAACAGAGGATTGGTGCTGGTGTCATCATCGGAATCGTCAAAATCGTCGTCATTGTTTAAATTGAAATAGTCATTTCCTCTGCTTGTTAGGAATTTCAAAACCTCTTTACTAACTGTATCAATATTAAATTTTGAGGGAACGGAGCCAAAACCCCTATCGGATTCATCCATCAATTCATCGTCGTCAGATAAAAAGTGTTTTGAATAATTTTTGTAGGGTGTGCGTTTGATTCTCTTTTGTTTTAAATCTTGGGTGAGGCAGCATTTTGAAATGAGGTTTAGATCAATTCTTTTGTTTGTAATTTTTTCCATCATTAGTAGATGTTCAATGTTGTCATGAGTTTTGAAGATGGCTTCACCAACAACCAATTCAGCCAAGATACAGCCTATTGACCATAGATCGCAGTCGTAGGACCAGCCAATGCCAAAGATGATTTCTGGGGCTCTATAATGGCGAGTTGAAACAATTGAGGAGTGGAACTCGTCGTTGAAAATGGCGGAGCCAAAGTCGATGATATTTATGGAGGTATCGATTAGGATTTTTGATTCAAGGGAGGTTTGTTTTGATATGGAGTTAAAGTAATTTTTGTAGATCAAGTTTGAAGTGTTGTTGAGAACAGATAAATTTTTTGGGAATTTATTCTTTTTAAAAAAGTTAAAGTTGTTGAAGATGTCTTTGACGGAGATGTAGTCTGAGTTGATGAGTAGGATATTTTCAGGTTTCAAATCAGTGTGGATGATATTTAGGTCGTGAAGGAAGCAAATGGAGGTTAGGATTTGTTTTGAGAAGGATTGGATGTGGGAGCCAGGGAATTTTCTAAAGTTGTTTTTTTCTAGAAAGTCGAATAAGGAGATGCTTAGTAGATCAGTGATGATACAGATGTGATTTTTGTAGTCGATGAATTCTTTGATGAGGATACAGTTGTAGTAGCTTTCTGGGTCGAATTTTTTGATGGTGGATAAGATTCTTAGTTCAATTTTTGAGGCTTCTCTGTATTTTTTGATTGATTTAATGATTTTAATGGCGATGATTTTGTTGTTGTTGTGGTTATCGATGGCAGAGACAACTTTGCCGTAAGTTCCCTGGCCTAGAAGTTTTTTGAGGGTGAATCTGTTGTTTGCAAAGCTGGAGTTGATGATTTTATTTTGGGATGGTGAAGAGGATTTTTTTTTTGAATTTGCGGTTGTGTTTTTAGATGTGATGAGTTTGTAGTGGCCATCTTTGTCGTCGCAGTTTGAGAGAGAGTTTGGTAGAACTGGGGGAGAGATTTCGTTTAGTTTGTAGGATAGAAGTTTGATGGGGGAGTAGGATAGCGAGGAAGTTTTTTTGAGTTGTGGGAGTTTAATTTTGTGGGAGTTGGTGAGGGAGTTTGAGATGGAGAAGTTTCGATCGTCAAAATATTGAGGGAATTGTAAGGGATCGATAAAGTCGTTATTAATTAGAGTTGTTGATTTAGTGATTTTGTTGTTGATTTTGTTGATTCTGTTGATTTTGTTGTTGATTTTGCCATTGATTTTGTTATTGATTTTGTTATTGATTTTGTCATTGATTTTGTCATTGATCTTGTCATTGATTTCATTATTAATTCCACTATTGATTTCATCATTGATTTCGTTATCGATTTCGTTATCGTTGTCGATTGAATCATTTGGATGGATTGAGGTTGATAGTTTTACTTCGTTTAGGAAGATTATGGAGTCGTCCGAGTTATAGGAGGAGTCGTTGATGGAGAGAGGCTTTTTTTTTGTAATTAAGGAAGTTGTGTTGAGGTAGTTTGTGTGTGGGGTGATATTGATATCGATGTTGAAGTCGTCTTCATAGTTGTTGTTGTTGTTGAAGTTTGAGTAGTGGATGTTTTGAGGATTGATCTGGGAGTTTTCTTCGTCGTCAGAGATGAGAGAGATGAGTTCTGGAGGAGAGAAGTTTATTTTGGTGATGATGTTGTTGTTGTTGTTGTTGTTGTTGTTGTTGTTGTTGTTGTTGTTGTTGTTGTTGTTGATGATGGTGGAAGAGTTTGATAGAAAAGAGGACCATGATGATTGGTTATTGTTGTTGTTGCTGTGGGAGGAGGAGTTATTGTTGTGATTGTTGTTGGAGCCTAGACGATTAGAGGTGGATAGGGAAGAAGTTGAATTCTTCATTAGAGAGTCCAAGTTGGAGTTGAAGTTGTTTTTGGAGTAGATGTTGTTGAGGTTGAGATTGTTGAGGTTGAGGTTGTTGTAATTGTTGATGTTGTTCAAGTCATTCAAGTTGTTGTTTGTGAGAAAGGAGTTGCTCTGGTAGTTGATGTTTGGGTAGTTGCTGTTCAAGGTTAGATTTGAGTTGATGTAGTTTGTGTTGTAATAGTTTTTATTTTGATAAGGTGAGTGAAATGAGTTTGGATAACTGTAGAAGTTGTTAGGATTATTAGTATTAGTATTAGTATTAGTATTAGTATTAGTATTAGTATTAGTATTAGTATTAGTATTATTAGCAGTAGTAATCGTATTATTAGTAATATTATTATTATTGTTGTTGTTGTTGCAGTTGTTGTTGTTGGTATTATTCGTGGCAGTATTGATGGCAGCAAAGGTGGGATTGAGGTTGTTGGTGATGGTGTTGGTGATGGTATTGGTGATGGTGTTGGTGGATAGGGAGGAGTTGATGTTGAGAGGAGAGAAGGAGGAGGAGAGGGAGATGGGAGTTGCTGAGCTGGCCGAGGAGAGGTTGAGCTGGTTTAACAAGGACATTGGAGACGGTGGCGAGGAAGCAGAGGCAGCAGAAACAGCAGAAACAGCAGAAACAGCAGAGGAAGCACAGAAAAGGAGCCAGGAAGCACACACGCACGTGCTCAGCACATGAACAGCACGTGCGCTGGCAAGGGCGCCACAGTTGCCACAGCAGGTTTATAGCGGCGGCGGCAGCGTCGTCTCCAGCAGCAGAGGAAGCAGCTCCAGCACCAGCGCCATGTCTCTCCGCACGCCCCCGCTCTTTCTCCAGGCCCTTGAGCTGCCCAAGCAGCACGCGCCCTACGCCTCTCCCTCCAGCGACAGCAAAGACGCCAGTCCCGAGCCGCCGGCCCCCAGCGCCACCTCCCTCGACGACGACAAGCGCTTTGTGTGCCCCAAGTGCAACCACACCTTCACCCGCAAACACAACTTGAAGTCCCATCTTCTCATCCACTCCAAGGAAAAGCCCTTCATCTGCTCCATCTGCTCCTCCACCTTCCGTCGCTCCCATGACTTGAAGCGCCACGAGAAGTTGCATACCGGTGAAAAGCCCCACCAGTGCTCTAAGTGTGGGCGACGTTTTGCCAGATACGACGCTTTGATCAGACACAACAACTCTCAGTCCGGCTGTGGCAACAAGATCCTCTCCTCCACCATCTCCCACAACTTCATCGTCAACGGCCACGACCTCATCAACCCGGCGCTTCCTCTTCAGTCTTCCTCTGCTGCTTCTGCTGCCGCTTCTTCCTCCGTCACTTCCATGTCTACCTCCAATCGTATTAAAAAGAAAAACTACGAAACGTCCTCCTTCAAACTATTGCCCCAGCAATCTCTAATCAACGCAATAACAACCACCATCAATAATAATAATAATAATAATAATAATAATCACAATAATAATAACAACACTGCTTCTAACGCTAACGCTAGCACTGCTAACGAGAACAACTACTACTCAACCTTTAACGCCATCTCTAATGATACTATCTCCAAACCAACTGTCTACAAACCAACCACCTCCCTACTCTCAAAGTCAATTGCAAACACTATAAACAACAACAAACAAATTTCCCAGAAACCCATCTCCATTGACTCCCAGCTTCCAGACTCTTCTTCTGCTGCTTCTGCTTCCAATTCTGCTTCCTCTTCCTCAATTGACCCAGATTCTCTATCCTCAAACGAACTAAAGCTCTTCAACTGCTTCAAGTCCCTAGAATCAAAATTCGACCATCTCATCAACCTCTTATCCAATCAAACCGCTCCATCCCAAAACAACTCTTCCCTTTCAATCACAAAAAACATTTCTCAAAACTTGCACTGGGAAAACCCAAACTATCCTTCCTCTAATTAATCTCAATTAATCCCAATCAACTCACAATCGACTTAATTTCTTCTCATAGGCCTTTCTTTTCTATCTCTGTAAATTTCAACTAAAAATTACCTCAGAAGTTCACCCTCTTGCAAATTTACACCATCCTTTACTCCATCTTTTACACTATCTTTCACAATTTATCTCAATCTTTTCTTCCTCCCTATCCTTATCCTTATACTTATCCTTTTAAATTTAGATTTTTTTTTTTTTTTCTTTTCTTTTCTTTTCTTTTCTTTTCTTTTCTTTTAAAATGCTTTTTCCTACTGAAAATACGTATGTACTACTAAATATACACTCAACATTATCTTTTATTTAGTTCGAAAATCTTTTTAATTAGCTTTATAATTGATTAAGTTTATAAACAAATTTCTAGCTACTTTCAACCTGCTTTTTCACTCTAAAGCGAAAGCTCATAACTCTTCTCCAGACCTGTCTTTCCACCTTCCCCAGCTCCTGCTCCTGCTTTATTCTCCATAATACCCATCTTCACACCATACTCCTTAATATAATCAATTCCTCCAACACACTCAGCAACTGTCAACTGATCACTTCCAAGCTGTTTCTCAATAATCTCAATCGCTGCATTCACCGTCTTAATATGCCCATCATGCTCCAAAATCAATCCACTTGGAGGCTCTGACTCTTGGATCCATCTCGCAACGTCGTCATAAATCTGCTGCTCAGTTCTCTGGTTCGACATCAACTGCCAGTCAAACGTATCATAGTCCCACAAAACTGACTGTAACCCAAACTGCCTCGCAATGCTTCTCACCCGATTATCAATTCCACCATATGGAGGTCGAAACCACTTGGGAATATGGTGTCCAGTTGCATTCATCGCCCATATCGACCACTCGATCTGAGCTACAATCTGCTCATTGCTCAACGAAGGCAAAAACGGATGCGACCAAGTATGCGACGCCAACAAATGCCCATTCTCTTGAATCTTCTGATAAATGTCTGGAAACCTAACAACGTTCATACCCAACGTGAAAAACGTAGTCTTGTGCTTCAAATGATTCAACAACTTTGGAGTAGCTGGCGATGGCCCATCATCAAACGTCTGAGATAACTTGGGACAACTGAAAACATCATCGTGAGCAACACATTTATAACAATCAAATGAACAACTGTATCGGTCTGGAGGACAAACGCCCATGCTATGAGCTTCAATATCCTTGGGAACCTTCTCAAAATCAATAAAATCCAATGGAATATATGGTGGCTCTAACCCAGGCCACTCTTCTAATCCAGTAAATGCACTCAACCACTCTGGAAATGGTTGCTGCGCTAATATATGAGGGTCATATCCCACTGGTGCTTTATCCTCCTCAAAGTAGTTATTGCTTGTATATGACCTGGCGCTGGGTGAAGATTTCAAGCTTGCAATAGTATTCAAACTTGTTTTAACACCACCACCTAAACTGCTGTTTAATGTTGACGATTTCAACTTGTCAATTCTTCGTCTTAATGAGTGCAATTTGGAATTGGCACCATTCACATTTTGTCCTTCAACTGAAAAAACAAAAATTGAGTTGATTAAGATAACAAGATGAGATATAATCATTGTACTAAAAGGGATTCAAAACGTAGTCTCTTTAATACTTGATTGGAATATAACAGAATTGGAAAGATCTTACTGAAATTTGAATATTAATTGTAAAAAAAACTGCTTATTTATAACTGAGTAGCAGGCTTCAAAATAAAAGTCACAGACAGCTGGAAAGCATTTTGGCTTTGCTTCTTTTGCTTCTTTTGCTACTCTACTCTGTTGCTTTTGTGGTTTGTTTTTCCCCAGCCAAATCAGACAACGAGTAAGTAGTAAGTGGTGAGTGGTGAGCAGTAGAGTAAACAATCTCTACAGCGGGTTGAATATTTTGGAATTGAAGTAAAGTATATTGAATATCTATATTTTAGGTAAGAAATGAATAAAAGTAAAGTGGAATGAAGAATATTTTTCTGAAATTTGTAAACTGTGAATTTTAGAACTAAAGTACCATCGTAAAGTAAGAATGATTGGGATGAAAATTAAAATTAAAATTAAAATGTGGGAAATAATATAAAATAAAAGAGTATAACATAATAAAATATTGAGATAACAAGACAATAAACTAGTGATAAGCAAGTAGAATTGAATCTATAATCTTATTATTTAGTTTTGCAATTGCAATTTTTTCAATTCGTTATGAGTTTGATTCAATTGTTCAGTCAACTCGACTATTTTGTTTTTCAATGTCAAGTTTTCCAACTCGACTGTACTTCCATTATCTTTGGAACAAATTTCAATATTAGTAAACCTTGGAGTTGAGCTTTCGTTATTATTGTTGGTTTGACTATCGACCATCACATTTTCACTATCAACCATTATGTTTTCACTGGCATTGCTTTCATCGAGATTTGCAGTTGTGTCAGTAGAGTCTGGTGGAGACAAGGAATTGGTGGTGGTGGTGGTGGTGTTTAGATTGAAATTGCTCAAACCCGATGGTGTATCATCAGTGGAGATATTTGGAGAAGAAGCAAATCGTTTATTCTTTGAAGGCAAGAAGAAGTTTTTTCTTTTTAGTTTATTCGATTCATAAATGTAATTACTGTTATTCAAATCAGATGAGTCGGCTGAAGATTTTGAGTGGTTTGATAACGATAGCGACAGCGATAACGATAACGATTTTGGAGAATTGGTTGGAGATGATTTTTGTAGTTGGTTCTTTAATTTGTAGTTTTCGTTTTTAAGATGATGAATCTCTTTGATCAATTTCAAAACCATGGCGTCTTGTTCTTGTTCCATCAAGTTTATAATTTCTTCGTTACTTAACTTTCTGGTTTTACAGCCATTTGCAGGAGAAACCGAAGTTGAAGTAGGTGTAGAAGAAGAAAGAGTAGGAGTAGGAGTGGGAGCATTGAAAAGATTTGTGTTGAGAATAGTATTGCTGTTGTTTTTATTGAATATATTGATCGAGGAGGATTGGTTCGATGAAGAAATAGTAGAGGCAACATAACTCAATGAATCGTAGATCTCTGTAGGATTTGCAACAGAATACCTTCTATTTCTATCGACGGTTAATGAGTAGTTGGATGAGGAAGAAGGGTACTTTAACAATTTACCATTTCTACTTCTGCTCATAGAACCACTATTAAAAACGCTATCAATGCTTTTGCTTTTGGATTTGGGTTTGCTATTGTTATCAACAGCAGGATTGTTGGTGTTTGTGTTGATCTTGGAGTTGGTCAATGGTCTTCGCTTAAAGTTGGAAGCAGCAGAGAGATTGTTGGTGTTATTGCCATTGGAATCGAAATCAGTATCAGTGCTTTGAGTTGAAGGAGAGCTATTGATTAGCTGGAAATCACTTTTTCGTTTAATTGGATCAACAGAGTAGTCCTTATCATCCAACTGGTTCTTATTGCTAAGGTCGTCCTTTTTGACATTATAAGTAACAGGAGTAAAGTTGAAAGTAAGTAATTCAATACCAGAGGTCATTTTGATAACTATTTGAGATTTGGAGTATTAGCTAAATAAACAGGAGCAAAATAATAATGATATAATGATATAATGATATAATGATATAATGATATAATGATATAATGATATAATGATAGGATAATAAGATAATAAGATAATAAGATAATAAGATAATAAGATAATAAGATAATAAGATAATAAAACAAATGTAATTGAGGAGAATTAAATGGTTATTTATATGGGATCTGTTTGGTTAGTGTCTTAGATTTACTTGACGTTTTAATTTTAGATCAGAAAGAATTAGCAATTGAAAACTTTAGCAGAGGAATAAATAGAAAAATTAGCTCAGCTAATGTGTTGGTATCAGTAGATATGTCTTTGAAATCTTATCAAGCTAAATGAAATTCTGTTAGGTTTTCTTAGGTTCTCTGAGAGTGTTTTAGTAAATTTTAAATGGATCTGGTATCTTTTCGAAAGTGGTGAAATATGTCAAAAAGAATTGAACCCAAATGATTAAAAATGATTGCAAATGATTGTAAATGGCTTTTGATAGGTTTTTGGCTCGTTTTAGCACAAATCTTAAACACAACAGCAATAGAGACAGAACTAAGGTTAGTTTTCTGGGTTAAGAATCGATAATCTGGGTTTCTTTTGCAGACCAATCCAAGTATCTGTTTTACAAATGTCAGTGCATCAGCGATGCAACAGCAGTTAAAGAATCAATCCACTTGAGTGTGGATCTATTCTCGACACAGATCTCTGTGTGCCAAAAGCAACACAGGCAACAAAGGCCTCAAAAGCAACAACAGATGCACAGAAAACAAAAGCAACAGGCGTCTTTGGGTGTGGTTTTGCTTCAGTTGCTCTGATTTCTTTTTGTTCTCAATGGCTCCACTGTGGTTTTTACAATAACCTCGCTAATTAGCCATGGTAATGATGAGTTGGTGTCCATTTGTTGTTGGTTCTTTCGCAGAGCTCCAGCAGCGGTTACAATGCAAACCAGCTCTCCATCAGTTCGTTGGTAAAAGCAACGTTGTGGTTCAAAACTCTAGTTTTCGAGAGCAGAGAAATGAGCATGTCTAAACTTAAGAAATACCCTTTAAGGATTGGATTCTATTGAATTATTTTCAAATTACTCGCAGGTGTATATAGTTTACTTGAATAGTTTGGCTAATGAAACTGCACCATCGTTGTTCTTGGCCATGACTTTAGCTACAGCCAACTCAAAATCTTCTTGGGTAACATGAATTCTTCTTTCTCTTAAAGCATACATCCCAGCTTCTGTGCAGACACCTTTAACATCGGCTCCTGAGCATCCATTCATTTTTTCTGCAATTTTTTTCAAATTAATGCCTCTGGTCAAGTTCATTGATCTGGAGTGAATTTTCAAGATATCTGTTCTTGCTACAACAGAGGGAGGTGGAAATTCGATTTTTCTATCAATTCTGCCAGGTCTTAATAAAGCAGGATCCAAAATATCTAATCGATTTGTAGCCATTATAATTTTGATATTTTTCGAGCTCTCAAATCCATCCAATTGATTTAGTAATTCCAACATGGTTCTTTGAACTTCACTGTCACCACCACTTGAGCCTTCAACCCTACTGGAACCAATGGAATCAATTTCATCCATGAATATAATGGAGGGGGCATGTTCTCTTGCCATTACGAATAATTCCCTGACCATTCTACTACCTTCGCCGATATATTTCTGAACCAATTCACTACCAGATACCCTTATGAATTTGCACTCAGTATGATGAGCAACAGCTCTTGCCAATAAAGTTTTTCCTGTACCGGGAGGACCATACAATATAACACCCTTTGGTTGGGCTATACCTAGACTTTCAAACAATTCGGGGTGTTTGACAGGTAATTCAATCACCTCTTTGATCTCTTTGATTTGCTTATCCAAACCTCCAACCATATCGTATGTCGAGTCGGGAACTTTTTCAACCATCATTAAACTAACCAAGGGATCTACCTTGTTTGGCAAGATCTTGTGAAGATTATAGGTATCACTTCTTAAACAGACTCTTAAACCTGGAGTTAATTTTTTAATGTCGATTTCGGAGGAAATGTTCACGACATATTTGCCCTCCGGATTTGTTTTAACCAAAACTTTTTTCTTTCCCATTACCTTTACCACCTCGCCAACATACGAAGCCGGCTCTTGCAATAATTTGATCTCATCTTTTAAAGATCGAACTTTGGAATTCAAAGTGTTTCTTTGAGCTTCTAATCTACGTAAATTTTGAGTCTTTTCAGTGATCAAGATTTCAGTGTCTTGAATTTTCTGTTCAAAAAACGGTTTTATACCACCCTGGTGAGCAGTCGCAGTAGCCATTATGGATCAATTGTGTGAGATAGAGAAGATATACCACAGTCAGCAGAAAGACAATAACGTACTTGTTTTGCCATCCAACGACCAACTCAAACTGGAATTGAAAACTAGATTTGGTGCAAGAAAGAACACCCGGTAAGACGGCGACGTGGAAACATGTGATCAAACGTTTGGTCATGTGACCAACGGCTTTAACCAGCAGATAACAAGTGTAGAGAAGAGAAGAGAGGAGAAAGAAGAGAAGGTGTGAGATGATAACAAAAGGACATTTCGCTTTATTTTTCTTTTGCTTTCTTCAAACACGTTGAGAATGAAGGTGCAGTTTATGTTGGTAGTGCTTTTGTCTATTGCGTCGTGTTATGCGTACCAGTCCTATTGCCGGTGCCAATGCAATTCCGATGATAACTATCTTTTGATGGAGATCACTGACGAATTGAAAAATGACATTTTGAAATCAAACGAACAACTGAAAGCAAGCGATCCCTCGCTAACTTTTACAGAAGATTTCAAAAAAGACTGTTCGTTCTGTTCCAAGAAATTGTGCAAAGAAAGCGTAGATAAAGATGGAAATACAATTTGCAAGAAAACAGTGATCAATGAAATTGTCATCAACTGCTTTGAAAGAGAGTCCTTGAAAGATCAAGTTGTTATATACAGCTTTATTATCATAACAATCGTGCTACTTATCTGGGCTTTATTAAGCAGGAATATGTGACGGAAAACAAACAAACAAACAAAACACAACTATTCAAGGGATGCTTCTTAGGGAGTACAAAATTCGAGAAAATTAGTTGGTCATATACTATAGACTGGAATTGAGATATTTGATTACAATTACGATATCTGGGTTGAGTGGTTTGCTCACTGCTAGATTAATATTGATCCAGTTGGACATGAGATATAGATGGGAATCGTGGTGTCCGAGCAGGAGTTAGCTTCAGCTACTGTGTGTTATATTTGATAATTCTACTGTATAGAAATAAAACAAACCAGGGTGTGCTCTTCTTCAATCATGTAATACCATATACAAAACAAAACAGAGAAGCTGACTATTTACAATTGATGAAATAACATTAATGTGTGAGAAAGCAAAAAATAGCCGTAAAAATGGCGCAGAAACACCCGACGTGGGAGTCGAACCCACAATCTTCTGATGACTTAACACTATTAAGTTGTTAGAAGTCAGACGCGTTAACCATTACGCTAGCCAGGCCTTTGAACGTGTGCTGAAACACACTTATTGTATACAAAGCCACATCTCTATTATCGTCTACTGCTTTTTCAGCTATTTGTGATACCATTTTCAGCTCACTGTTGAAAGAACTTCTGATAATCACCAATATATTACCACTGTAATAAAGCATTGCAAAATAAACACCAGCAGGAGCCTATATTCCAAATGTCTGCTTCATTCAATTTTCCCTCTATTTACAATTTTCCTCCTTTTTTCACAAGACAGCCCAACAATCAAGTCTTGAACTCTCAGCTAGCCAATTGGTCCAATCTCATCATCAACTACTGCGAGTTTCACAGGATATGGGTCATCAACAACGCTGGAAACATAGTTTCTAGTGGAAATATAACCAAAAATACACTAGTAGACCTACTATCATCTAATTCCAACGCCTCTTCAAAATCAAATTCAAATTTAGAAGCACAACTAGAACTAGAACTAGAACTAGAACTCGAATTAGAGCTACAATCCAATTCTAATATCACCTCTCAGAAAAGCTCTTCAGGTTCCTTTGATGACGAATTATTCCATAATCACAAAATCAACAGAAAATTAAATAACGAAATGTTTGTTGAAATCTTCAACTACATGCTACAAAACAATTTGATTGAAATATTCAATAATGATATCCTTAATAATTTCAATATTGCCAATACTAATATGAATGTCAACAAGTCAAAGAACTCATCAAAGGTCAATTACATAGTATACTGGAAAAAACCTGAAGAATGGGCACAACTTATCTTAGATTGGGTGGAAAAAAATGGTAAGTCAAACTCGATCTTAACCTTATACGAATTAACCCAAAATCTCTCAATTAAAAAGGAACCATTCTATGGTTTGCATCCTTTTATCTTACTAAAGTCCTTGAAAATTTTATCCTCAGACAACAGAGCAAAACTAATGAAAGATGATAATGGTCAAGTTGTTGGTGTCAAAATTGTCTAACAACCACCATTTCCATCGCCACCTCCATCAATACCCATATTAATGCTCATATTAATAAATTATTTCAGCTGCCCAACTCTTTCTCGCTGTAGAATCCTCCCATATCTTCATCTGCTTGCAAACAGGCTTAACATCCTTTAAAGCCCCTTAACAACCATCTCTCATCTCTCATCTCTCATGAATAATCATATGTTTAAAAACAGAAGCTCTGTTTTTTTCTTTATTCTTTTCTCGTTCGGTGATACTCTAACATACAATCTAACATACAATCTATTGCCATCTCTTATTCCACCTTAAGTATGCCTTTAAAATAAAATCCAAATGTCTCTTAACCTAACCAATCCCCCGAAATACTAATTATAGCAGAATCATGCAAACCTTTACCCTTTACTATTCATGATCTGTACTTAAACACTATAAATCTCGCACACCCTTTATTGTTTAGAGTTAAACGGCTTGAACGTTTCACGTCCAAGAATACAATTGGAGATTCAAATTCCACTCAACTTGTTTATTTTGGCTTGGTTTTATTCACTATTTCCTATCAAAGCTTGAAAATTCTTGTAAAGTCTTGTTTTCTGTACTTTTCTATCAAAAAATAAGACTTCCAAGACAAATTTTTCTTATTCAACTTCACTTATTATTTTAACTGAAAAAGTTATTAATTCCGCAAATGGCCAATAATAACTTGTCTTCAATGAATATAATCACTCTTTTGTTTTGCTTGAATGATCAGCTAGAATTTTAATCCAAAAAACAAAGAAACAGAACAAATAGAAGAAAAAAATGGAAAAAATGGAAAATATATGCCCAAATTAATTCAAAATTCTTTAGAATTTGCCAAAAATGTTTTGGCCCACTAAAAAACAAACGACAATATATGACCTGTGCCTACTATTATCTAAAGAATCAACCCTTTATATTTCAGAATCCCATCTCCTTTTAATTCCTAAACTCACTTACCATGTTTCTATATCCTTTAAAATTAATTCTACAAAATATGTTTTCTTGCGAAAAACAACAAAATCAAAATCAAGACAAACAAAACATGAAATAACAAATAACAAATAACAAATAAGAACAAAAATATATTTTCATATACTTATTAAATTAATCTAAAGTAATAATAAATTATTGCTAGGAATAACAAACCTGCAATAACAGTAATTGGAATAACATCACAAATTATAGACAATGTATAAAAATTCATATATAAACGATTTGATTCACCCTTTAATTTTGAAAATATTATAATTATTACTATTATCTTTATTAAATATCACTTCGATTAGTTAATTATTTATTTAAAAGCTTACGTTTTCTAATCATCTTCATTCAAAAAATTACAATACAAAATTACAAAATTACAAGATCACTAAATCACTAAATCACTAAATTTCAAAATTATCAAGATTTTATCAAATAAATCACAATTTATCAATCGTTATTTATAATACATAACCAGTCAATTACAAGTTACAAGTTGATACTGATACTGATACTGATATTGATATTGATATTGATATTGATACTATTGGCGATATCGTTTTAAAAATGTCAAAGAAGGTTGATTGTGCCACAAGCAATGTTGACAATGTTGACAATGTCGATGGATCATCGATTTTGTCAGACAATTTGAGCACTGGGAACTGCACCCCCCACAGCAGGGACTTCCATGGATGGAGCAAAGTCAAGTTTTTATTGCACTCACCTGGGCGATTTTATCCCACAGTGTCCAATGCTGCCATTGTCACTGAGAAACTAGATGTTACAAAGGTCAATGAGGGCAAGTTGGTGCAAGGGTTGTTGATTCCAAAGGACACTGTTTTTGCCAGGGCATACGACAGAGTCACCGAGGCTGCTGGTAGTGTTTTCATCTTTGTATCCACGTTGGCCATCATCGTTATGTGGGCCATTCTTGGTGGTGTGTACAAGGCGCCTGATAACTGGCAAATTGCAATGCAGGATGGTAGTTCGATCCAAGCATATATTTCGGATTCGCTTTTGATGAGACAGCAACAGAACCAATCCAGGGACTTGCTTCAGTTGATTTCGGAGTTGAGATCAAGAGGAAAGACATACCATGAAGTCTTTACCAAGGTGTACAACGGGAAATTACACAAAATGACAGCAGAGGAAATTGCAGCTGTTGAGAAAAAGGTGTACAGCGAGGTTGGTGATGCTCAGGTTCTTCAATCGTACAACTGGTACGACCAAGTGTCGAATGTTGCTTCTAAGATCTTTGGGTCGATTTATTGTGTCACTGTATTCTGGATCTGTATCTTTGTGTGGGTTGGACTTGGTGCGTTGCCTCATTTGCGGTTTGGAGATAAATGGCAGTTGTACATCAACACAGCAACAGCAGTTGAGATTACGTTGATTTCGATGTTCATCCAGAACATTCGTAAGAGACACATTTTGTATGTGCACAAGAGCATTGGGTTGGTTATTGAGACAGATTACAACATCGAGTACAAATTGAGGACGATGATCGGATCCAACAAGCCCAACAAGAGAGTTTCCATTGCTCCCATGAAGGTGACTAGAGGCGAGAGAGCCATTGAGTACTATGCTGCCATCATTGGAACTGGTATAGGATTGGTGATCAGTGCAGGAGTGTTTGCTACGTGGATAGCCATTGGAGACAGAATGGAATGGTCAGACGACTGGTGGTTGATTATCGGTACATACACTGGGTTGGTTGGGTTCATTGATGGATTCACATTGCGTTCATGCTACTATCGTTGCTACGAGCACATCTACGAGCAGTTCAAGTTGTTGGAGGACGAGGACTCGAAGCTTTTGAGGTATTTGGGAGTGGAAGGCACATTTTGCACACCAGCTCCAGAGCACAGATCGTTCAACTTTCGTGTGAGTGCCATTGTTGGTAGGATATTTTCGAGCACCAAGGCTGTTGGTCTCTCTGTTGTTGTTGTGATCGTGTTGATCTGCATTGCCAGCTACATGAAATGGAGAACCACAGCACAGTTGATCTGCAACACCCCCACCATGATCATTGAGGGATTCTGTTTGTTGGTTTTGCTTGAAGGCCACAACCAAAACAATGCACAGCTTAGGGTGTATGTGCACGACTCATTGCAAAGAAAGTTCTACTTGCAACAGTATGTGGAGACACTTTACCAACACGAAATCAGCAAGGAGCACACCAACGACTCGTGTAGCGAGATTTCCATGAAGAACTGAGAAGAAGAAGAAAAAGAAAAAGAAGAACAGATGGATAGTAAATCGTCCACTGTGAGTGCTGGCATTGCAACAGGCTCCATAGGTTGTGGGCCATTCTAATAGGTTTTGTATTGATTTAGCAATTATTTATATGTTGTTTATTTATGTTGTTTATATATGCTGTTTATTTATGTTGTTTATTTATGTTTATTTATATTGATTTTATTGATTATATCTATCGTTTTAAAATTGTTTATTGTGATTTGCTTTCTTTCACAGCAAATGAATTTTTATTTTGTTTAGATTTCAAGAATAATTAAATTAAATTCCTCTCTTAAAATTGAATGTGAATATCAAAAAATTGAAGAAAAATTAATTTTATAGTATAAAAATAAAAAGAGATATCATAAACAGCATCCTTTTGAATCTACAAATACATTTCAAACCCAGGATTTAATTGATTGATCTTAACAACTTTGTTTTTTTTTAATCCAGAGAATTTTGGAATTATTTATCCATTCTTTTGAAAAAATATAACATTATGACTATCACTATTAGAAATAAATCATAGTTTTTTCAATTTGGGTTTTAACTTAACAATTGTTTTTTTAATAGTTTACCAAGTTCTTTTTACAATGTAAATTCAATGGGATTATAACAGAAAAATACTTCTATCTCGATAATATTTAATTTTAAATCAGCAAAAACTAGTTTGTTTTATTAATAGATAGTCTTGTGTTCATAAGGGGCTACACAAAAGAGTCCAAGTCTATTCTAACATTTTTATGTTTTAATTACAAACTCTTAATTTTCAAATTTGCAGAACAAACCTGAAATGAATTAATTGTGTTATCTCGGTAAAAGTGTTAATGCCTTGCTAATAAATCTTTCACACAAGAATACAAATAATATGGTAGCTCATGAACTTTAAAGAAATATTATTTGTCGTTTCGATTAAAAAAACCCTGGTTCAGTCCTTTAGTGCTTTAATTTTCCAATTTTAAAACCATAGATCTAAAGTTTTGCTTCTTTTTGAAACTTTTGTGTTCATTTTCAGTTTTCTTGTACATTTCTCAGTTGTACAGTTATTTTCTGAAACATAGATATCATTTAAACAATTAATTTTTAAATTTATTGTTTATTTGTAAAACCTTATTGATTAACTCGACTTAAACCAAGTTTAAAACAAGGGTCAAAAAACTGATTAATCTCTCAAAAAATACAAAAAAATTCATTAAGATACCATAATACTATAAAAACACATATCAAATCATATTTCCAGTTATTCATAACTATCTTAAAGCAATCATCAACCGTTCCTCATCTCCTTTGTCCAATTTCAACAATGCAGTGACAACTGGTAAAAGTTGTTGACGTTGATCCTTTTTCTCCAAAAACCCTAACAAAACGTTTTTTATATAAGCAATATTACTATTGTCTGGTGATTCAGAGGTGGTGGACAACTCTGATCTATAAAGTCTTGGTACCTGGGAATTTAATGTCGATAAACTTGGGGTACGATTGTGCATGGATACAATGGAGTTTGATCTTGAAGAAATAGGCGAACTTCCAGGAGAAATGGCTTTGACAGGAGAACTATTGGCATTGTTTCGATTTTTTTCCTTTAAGCTCTTCAATTGGCCAGCAATATACTTATAGTTCTTTGTTAGTCTTTCATTTTTCATTGACAACTCTTCGTTTATTCTTCTAAAGTTAAAGTTGGTTCTTTCATAATCACGCATTTGACTTTCAGACTTGATTAACGATTCACGAAGCTTTTTTATAATCAAAGACATATCTTGCATGGAATTATCTTTCGATACAGAATTAAACGGGGACTCATTGTTTTGATTCAGGAAAGAATAATTATCAGCTGAATAAATTGCTTGACTGGATCTTCTTTTTGCTTTTTTAATATTTTCAAGGTCGGTATTTAATCTCGCCTTTTCTGTTTCCAACATACTAATTCGCTTTTCGAACAAATTGAGTTTTTCTTTTAATTCAAATATCTCGTTCGTTTTCTTTTTCATCATAATCAAGTTGGATGCTTCAAGTTTTTTCAAATCATTTTCATAATTTATTCTCATTTCATTCTTAAGGTGTTCGGTGTCAACAGTCTTATTATTCTCTGAATCGGTTAATAACTTTCTCATTATGTTAGTTTCCCTTGTTCTTTCCTGCAACATCCTAGACGATTCTAATAGCTCATCTTCAAGTGACTCAATTTTGAACTCATGCTCTCTTAATCTCATTAATAATTCTTCTGATTGCTTTTTGAGGTTTTCCATTTGATCAAGGTTTCCCAACTTTGCATCCGAAATACTTTTGTTTTCTTCCTTCAAAGATTCAATACTTTTGCTTAAAAATTTAATCTTGTTTTCAAGTTCATCATTTTTGAAAATGAAGCCTCTGTTTTCTGAATTAAGTGATTCTATTCTTTTATCCAATAAATTCTTAGTTTCATTCAAAGCAGTGTTTGAAACAGATAAACTGTTGTTCTCGATTTTTATCTTGGTTAATTCATCATTAAATTTTTGATTATTTTCTTCAAAAAACTTGATCCTTGAAGTATATTCTTCAATCATCTTATTTTTGTGTCCCAAAGTTGTTTCCAAGGTTACAATTTTCAATTTTAGACTGGTCTCATTGCTCTTAACATCCTTCAATGAATCAACCACATCTTTTAGATTTTGATTTTCTTTTACCAAAAACTCTTTCTCACTGGATAAATTATCAGTTGATGCTTTTAGTTGATCCTTCAACAACTCTATTGTTTTTAATTCCTTTAATCTATTTTCAGCCAAGTTTTTTGTTATTTCAAGTTCAGTAGAAACCAATTTTAGTTTTTGTGTCATCTCGCCTAACTCCTTTTCTTTTTCTTCCAAAGCTTTTTTATTTGTGTTGATTGTTTCCTCCTTGAAAGAATCAGAAACCTTATTCTTTTCTATTTCAACCTTGAAATTCTCAATTTGTTTTTCCAAGTCTTCTATATGGCTATTCAATTTTCCTTTTTCGTCAAGCAAGGTTTTTCTTGTATTTTCATAGTCGGTTATTGAATCAGAATGCTGTATTCTCAAGGTCTCCAACTCACCCTTTAGCGAATCAATTGCCTCTTGACTATTTTTTTTCTCTTCTTCCAATTTTACAGATAATTCCTTGACCTTTTCAGCTTGAGATGTCAAACCATTTAATTTGGTTTTCAATGTTTTGACTTCATTTCTTGATGAGACCAAATCGTCTCCTAAATCTCTCATCATATCCTTTATGTTATCCATTTCTTCAATATTATTTCGTAGAGTGGCTTTATTTTTGGACGAGTCCTTTTGTAATTCTTTATATTTCAATTCAATTTCACACAAATGACTATATTTATGTTTAATTTCATCTAACTCGGACTCAATCTTAAGATTCTTATCCTTGATTATACCATGGAAACCTAAAAGTTCTTCATGTTTTGCCTTGAGCTCAATCAAATTGACAATGTCTTCTACGCTTTCATTTAAAGAAGAGTTGCCGACTTCAGATGATTTCTTATTCTGTTGAACAGTTTTTGATACTGTATTCATTTTCTTTTTCTTTTTTTTGGTTTTATCTAAGTCATCAGTTTTTTGTTTAGATGTAAATTGTATATTTAAGGGTGAAGAAGTCGTAGATAAATCTTCATCTCTTGTTTCAATTTCGGTTTCGACCAGAGCTGTTAATTCATTGATCTTCTTCTTTAAACTTTCAATGACTTTTACACTAACAGAATTTTTTGATTTGAGAACTAAACTATCTTGGTTTAATTTTTTGAGTTCATTTTTATTGTCCAGCAATTTAACATTAAGCTCATCAATTTTGTTTTTAAAATTAGCTTCGAGGTCTGAAATTTGAACCTTATGGGTCTTTTCCAAATTTAGTTTAAACTTGTTGCCCTCAATTTTTTGAGATTCTATCTGAGATTCCAAATTATTTTTTTCATGCAACAAATTATCAAACTCTAATTTTATAGATTTCAAGTGGGCAAGATCTTTAGATAATTTGGCGTTTTGATCCTTGAAAGATTCTAGGTTTTGAATTTGTTTTGATAAATTCTGGTTTTCAACTTTTAATACATCTAAATTTTGAACATCTATTAATAATTTTTGGTTTTCATTTTGCAATATTGTTTTCTCTTCAAGTTCTTTAGATAATTTTTCAATTTGAGTTTCCAATAGGGGTAATTTTTCAAGTTTATTTGACAATTTTTGATTATCGGTTTTCAATAAAGCTAGATCTTCAATTTCTTTTGATAGTTTTTCATTGTCGTTTTTCAAAATATTTAACTCTTCTGTATTTTTCAATAGATTTTCATTTTTAATTTCCAAGTCTTTTATTTTTTTGTTTTCTTGTAATAATTTTTCGTTTTCAAATTTGGTTAGGTTTAAATCATTTGATAATTTATCCTTTTCGATTTTTAATAAGTTTAAGTTTGTATCTAATTTTTTAAATTTTTCCATTTGGGAATTGAGATTTATGAAATTTTTTTGTAAATTGTTAAATTCATTTGATTTTTTCTTGAATTCTTCATTGATTAAGTTGATTTTCAAATTTAAATTTGATAGATAATCTAAAAATTGCTCATATTCAGCAATTGATGAGCAAGGAGTGTTTTCTTGTAAGATTTTTTCAAAATATTTTATGTAAGAAGATTTCAATTTTTCAGATTTATAGGCATTTAACAAAATTGGATATTTTTCTTCATATTTAGATAATTTTTTCAATTTTAATTTCAAGTCGGGAGTGAGTGTGTTATTTATAATCGATTCTGAAGAGTTATTAATATTATTATTTAAGCTAATAGTTGAGCTGTTTAGCGAGGGGCTAATCAATTTTTTAGAATTTGGTGGGTTTGTGGATAAAATATTATTACTATTTTGATCATTATTTAGTACTTTCGATGAGTTCACTATTTTTGGGGGGTTTTGACTGGATATTTCTGGAGAGTTGATTTGGATTTGAATTTTACTTTTTATTTGGTTTGATTCAATATTTGGATCAACCCTAAAAGCGTTTTCGAGCTGTAATGTTGAAGTAGTCGGATCAGTTTTTTCATTAATGGTATTATTATCAGAAGTTGAAACTAATTCATTATTATCAGTATTGTTTTCATGATCATTGGCTGAGCTGATAAGATGTTTTTCATTACTATCATTTTCTGTTTTTGAGTTATTATTTTCATTTCCAATTTGGTTTATATCGCCATTGTTATTGTCATTGTCATTAGAATTATCATTTATATTTTCATTATCATTATTATTGTCATTGTCATTGTCATTGTCATTTTCAGCATTTATGATTATTTCATCCACATCCGGAGTTCTTGAGCTCAAAATCTCCCTTATCTTTTCAGTAGGCAAGTCCTTTACCTGAGGTTTAGCATTATTACGTCTTAAGATGTTTCTGTTACCATTATTATTAGAGCTACCTGCAATGTTACTGTTATTGCTATTGTTGTTTTCACTTAATCTGGTCAATTCCTCTGTGAAGTTCTTGCTCAATTGACCCAACCGAGAAAACATAATCGTTCAGCCTAAAGGAGCTCTATAAAATGCAGTTCCAATAGTGTTTGAGTAGTGCTGTAGAAGCAAATGGCCAGAGAAACAGCAAATACCTCTTCAGATAACAAGATAGATAACAGATCAGTGTCTGTGCTGGAAGAAGAGGAAACATTTAAGTGTTTCCCATTCCAGCACGATGGATCAGAACCAAAGCGGTGGTAAAGACGTTTTTATATGCAGGTCAAAGCAAATCTACATATAATCAATAAAATCAATATAAATAAACATAAATAAACAACATAAATAAACAGCATATATAAACAACATAAATAAACAACATATAAATAATTGCTAAATCAATACAAAACCTATTAGAATGGCCCACAACCTATGGAGCCTGTTGCAATGCCAGCACTCACAGTGGACGATTTACTATCCATCTGTTCTTCTTTTTCTTTTTCTTCTTCTTCTCAGTTCTTCATGGAAATCTCGCTACACGAGTCGTTGGTGTGCTCCTTGCTGATTTCGTGTTGGTAAAGTGTCTCCACATACTGTTGCAAGTAGAACTTTCTTTGCAATGAGTCGTGCACATACACCCTAAGCTGTGCATTGTTTTGGTTGTGGCCTTCAAGCAAAACCAACAAACAGAATCCCTCAATGATCATGGTGGGGGTGTTGCAGATCAACTGTGCTGTGGTTCTCCATTTCATGTAGCTGGCAATGCAGATCAACACGATCACAACAACAACAGAGAGACCAACAGCCTTGGTGCTCGAAAATATCCTACCAACAATGGCACTCACACGAAAGTTGAACGATCTGTGCTCTGGAGCTGGTGTGCAAAATGTGCCTTCCACTCCCAAATACCTCAAAAGCTTCGAGTCCTCGTCCTCCAACAACTTGAACTGCTCGTAGATGTGCTCGTAGCAACGATAGTAGCATGAACGCAATGTGAATCCATCAATGAACCCAACCAACCCAGTGTATGTACCGATAATCAACCACCAGTCGTCTGACCATTCCATTCTGTCTCCAATGGCTATCCACGTAGCAAACACTCCTGCACTGATCACCAATCCTATACCAGTTCCAATGATGGCAGCATAGTACTCAATGGCTCTCTCGCCTCTAGTCACCTTCATGGGAGCAATGGAAACTCTCTTGTTGGGCTTGTTGGATCCGATCATCGTCCTCAATTTGTACTCGATGTTGTAATCTGTCTCAATAACCAACCCAATGCTCTTGTGCACATACAAAATGTGTCTCTTACGAATGTTCTGGATGAACATCGAAATCAACGTAATCTCAACTGCTGTTGCTGTGTTGATGTACAACTGCCATTTATCTCCAAACCGCAAATGAGGCAACGCACCAAGTCCAACCCACACAAAGATACAGATCCAGAATACAGTGACACAATAAATCGACCCAAAGATCTTAGAAGCAACATTCGACACTTGGTCGTACCAGTTGTACGATTGAAGAACCTGAGCATCACCAACCTCGCTGTACACCTTTTTCTCAACAGCTGCAATTTCCTCTGCTGTCATTTTGTGTAATTTCCCGTTGTACACCTTGGTAAAGACTTCATGGTATGTCTTTCCTCTTGATCTCAACTCCGAAATCAACTGAAGCAAGTCCCTGGATTGGTTCTGTTGCTGTCTCATCAAAAGCGAATCCGAAATATATGCTTGGATCGAACTACCATCCTGCATTGCAATTTGCCAGTTATCAGGCGCCTTGTACACACCACCAAGAATGGCCCACATAACGATGATGGCCAACGTGGATACAAAGATGAAAACACTACCAGCAGCCTCGGTGACTCTGTCGTATGCCCTGGCAAAAACAGTGTCCTTTGGAATCAACAACCCTTGCACCAACTTGCCCTCATTGACCTTTGTAACATCTAGTTTCTCAGTGACAATGGCAGCATTGGACACTGTGGGATAAAATCGCCCAGGTGAGTGCAATAAAAACTTGACTTTGCTCCATCCATGGAAGTCCCTGCTGTGGGGGGTGCAGTTCCCAGTGCTCAAATTGTCTGACAAAATCGATGATCCATCGACATTGTCAACATTGTCAACATTGCTTGTGGCACAATCAACCTTCTTTGACATTTTTAAAACGATATCGCCAATAGTATCAATATCAATATCAATATCAATATCAGTATCAGTATCAGTATCAACTTGTAACTTGTAATTGACTGGTTATGTATTATAAATAACGATTGATAAATTGTGATTTATTTGATAATATTATAGTATTTTATTAAGGAATTTGTTATTAATTGGAATTTTAATTATTTCGATAGAGTAAAATCACTGATTAATAATATGAAGGAAAATAAAAAAAAAATTGAAAATAAATCAGAAAAATTAGATTGTATTTATATTTAAATTATAAAGATGCATTTAATCCAAACAATACTAAAAAAGAATACTTTATCAAAATAATCATCCAAACAAGATTTTATTAGTAGTATCCATGTTAGATTAAACCCAATAGTTTACACTTTGAATGAAATAATTAGGAATTTCATAAACTCTTCTAAGTGGAAAATTTCTAGAAGAATAATTTGCTATGTTTAGCTTAAAAATTTTGATATGTGAAATCACAAATTAAATAAAAAACCAATGGGATTAAATTATTTAGTTACAGGTCTTTTTTCTTTGAAGAATACTATTGATTGAAAAAACTATCCAGTTAAATATTTTAATTTGACAAAATATATTATGCTATTCCATTTTTTTGTTCTATTATATCTTATTGCCTCGAACCACATTGTATTTTATTGAATTATGTTGATTTGTATTGATTTGTATACATTTTGCTATTGATGTTGAACTTGCCAAGACTAACCAAATAGAAAATAAGAAAATTTTAAACAAAACCAAGAAAACCAAGATATCAATTATAATAACTGAATTCAATGTCTTGTTTTTTTGCTGGGCTGAAAAAAAACATTAAGACAAATCTTTGAACTTGATGCGATAATTGAGGTAAAAAACAAGATTAATATAATTAAGGCATTTCATTATTATTTTATCATTCTATCGGTTTTTTGACTGATTATTGGCAAATCATATTCTTCAAGTTTTAGTAGCATTTTCTATTGGAATAAATCGTATTTCTTTACTGTAGGTTAGTTAAAATATAAGCATCTTTAACAAGCTTTTATCAAAAATTACTTTAATTCATGGAATTATAAAGCTGCAATCAACAACAGTTATCGAAAATTTAGCACAAGCCTCATGTGCTAAAAGCAGCGTCAAATTTACCGGATTGAAAAGAAACTGAAATCCCACAGAGTAAATTAATTATAACACTTGTCAAACTCAGCATTAATTCTAGCTTTAGCCTCAGGTAGTCTTCAAGAGAACTACAAATAAATCCAGCAAACTCCGTAACACCAGCTGTCTGTTTGGTGAACAAAACCGGTATGCTCTATTCATTCCTTCCATTCACTCTTAATATTTGCCATAATCTGATGTAGGCCAAACAATATCTCGCTGCGAGCATAAAACATTCAACAAACATTCAACAAACATTCAACAAACATTCAATAAATAGCCATTAAGTGCAATTTACAAAACAACAGTGAAATACACAAAAAATGCTTCTACAATTTCCACTCAATTTTCAAAGTCCTTGTGCACGTGATCCACAGCTGTTTTGGGAAGCTCGAAGCGTTGGGCTTTTGGAGCCAGAAATGAAAGCAAAAGAAGACATTTGTAAAGTATTAAAGGATGTAAAAAAACAGTAGTAAATTAAATCTGGAAAAAAATAATGTTTATGGTAGATAGACACTGCAAAATAAATAGAGAGGTGAAGTATAAGTAAATAGATAAGTAAAAGCACACAAAGAACTAGGGAAGAAAAATATAACAAATACGGTATGTAAAAAGATATTAGCTAATTGAAACAAAAAAGTCTTGCCACATTTCTCGCACTCAACAAAGTATTTAAAAAAGTATTTAGAAGATCATTTAAAAAAGCGTAGAATCGTGCTAGGATTGCATTAATTTGACCAAATAATAGAAAAAAATAAAATGAAATTAAAGTGTAGGAAATTCAGAGACTTGATAGTGGGATTTCTCTGCAATGTTTTTCTTCGTTTTAAGCTTACAGCCTGATAGCACTGTTGGATTATTTATTTAGGATCAGCCAATTCCTTCTTAATCGATGGGGTTTCCATCATGGACAGAGTCTCCAAATTAGAAACAGATCCAACTTCAGTGTCAACTGTGGAAATAACACTACTTTTAGTAGATTGCATTTCCAAGACGCTATTGATTTTGATATCCGAGGCAGAATCACTAACAGATATTGGATTAGAACTATGTGTGGTAAGAGGATTACCTGTGTTATTGTGAATATCACCACCAGCATTTCCGGCATTCGCATTATTATTGATCATGACGCTACTGCTTGAACTAATGTTCATTTCGGTCATAAATGCTCTATTAAAATGATTAGATGCACTTTCTCTTGGTTCTAGCCTCATGGATAATTCATATTGAGCATCAATACTTGGACTTTCTTCAAACCAATTGTCAAAGAAACTTTGAACTTCTGGAATTTCTTGGAATGCATATGGTATTGACTGAAATTTGATAACGTTTTTAATAACATCAACAGTTTTAACTCTCTTGCTGAAATTAATCATATTTTGATCTTCATGCAAGTAATCCGAATTTCCGTCAACAATAAATGTCAATTCTGTCAAATAAACACCAAAAAATGGAATGCAAGGGGCACCTTGAACATTACGAAGAACTTCTCTATATTCAGTGAAATTCCTCTGAGGATCCATTAATTTATTGATTCTACCAAGAGAAATGGTTGTTCCTTCACTCACTTGAGCCCATGTTTTTTTCAATCTATGAATTGGTGATGAGGTAAAAGCAGCAAAAATTGCTGTCATTGAAGAGAAATTATTAAATTGACGACATTTTTCTGCTACAGCAACAAAGTACCTAATAATATTAACTCTTTTTCTAATGTCTGCTTTTCTTAAAATCATAAATGAGACAAAATTTGTCAACCTATTAGAATTTGAAATAAATGCAGATATAGCTCGGGAACCACCCATTGAACCATATTTATGACCCCACGCTCTATCAAGACACTGTAATTGAGTAACTTTTGAGTACAATTTTGAATCCTTCAAAGTAATTTGACGAGCAAACTCAACAAAATCAATATCAAGTAATTTGATTCTTTTCAATGATCTTGGCATGATGGGGGTCAAATCATCTTGATTCAACGAAATACTTCCAATTGTACCTGTGATATCACTGATACCGATTAACGACTCTTCTGATACCTCATAATCATCATCATCACTATCATTTTCATTGATATTCGAGTGTTTATGATGTGTTTCGCTTTGACGCTGATGTTTTCTCTTCATTCTTTCCTTCAAAAATGTATTGTAGTCTTTCGTTCTCTGCTCAAGCAAATTCTTGATGGTTTTAGAACTTGGAAAATCTTGCTGTAATAAAAACTTGACAAATGTTGTCAATTTTTCAAACAACTCTTTACTATAATATGTGCTGATCCAGAACTTTTGCAACAACATTCTCATGATATTGATTGATCTTAATTTAATTGGATACGATTTTTTTTTGACCCATATATCGTACTCTTCAAATGTTAATCCCTCAGGCGGATGATTATTAAATCTGTCAATTAATAGCCCTATCAACTCAGAAGGCGACATTATGCTTCTAAATGTCAATAGGAAAATGTTGTTATAATTAGTATCAAGTGAATCATGATGTGTCAAATGTGCAACTAATGCGGTTTTCGTTCCACCTTTTATTTGGCCATTTACATCATATATCAAATCATATTCCTCATCTGCATCCAAGTACCATGGTTGATCTTTGCCACTAGAGTTTCTATTATTTTGATTTTGTTTATTATAGTATGAAGCTGAAGTATGATGAATAGAAGAAATTTGATCGTATGAATCAGTTTTATGAATTATGCTTGCGGTGCTACCAGATCTTTCATTTCTTATCATTTCGATATTTGGGTTGGCTGTGTCCATAACTCTTGTAGCATAATTCAAAATTGTTTCTCTTTCTTCGACCAACTGTCCAACAATATAGTTGATAATATTTAAATTGTTCCTGATACTTTCGATTGAGCTTCTTGTATCTTCATAAGCATCAATGTACAGGCTGTCCAATGTTTCAACATCCTCCAAAACTAAAACTTTTCTCAATTCTTCAGCTAAAATCTCAATCTGTGAAGAACCCACATGGGTTCCGAGGTCTGCAAATGGCGATGTAGTTGGTTCTTCTTTCATGCTTTTAAATACCTCTGGATCATCCAATGTGATCTCCTGTGCACACATTATTAAGCTACTGATAGAATTATGAAGCTCTTGTTTGATTTCAAAAAACTCGATTAAAATGGGATAAGCATACGCAACCATTCCTTTTTTATGGCCATTTGTTTCAATAGTTCCTGTTTCTTCTGGATCTGGAGGTGGAGATTCCGAATGTCTATTGAAAACTCCAAAATCGAACAATTCTAAAACATCCATGATTTTTGCAGCAACCGTTAATGCTTTATAGACGTTAGTTAAGATGGACAAATTAGTCTGGTTGGTCTCGTCAAAGGTTTTATAATCATTGATATCATCTAGGTTTCGTTTTGGTGAATTGAAGTTTTTTATAACATCTGAAATGACATCCAAAATATCCATAAGATTTTTAGTTCTCGAGACTAGTAAGCTTAACGAGTCCTTGTTCAATAGCAAACTGGGTCTATCTTGTTTTTTAGCAGCGAATTTCTGAACATTTGCGGTTTTTTTCTCTGAGGAAATGGAGGTTCTCCTGCTCGTTATATTTCCAGAGACATTTGAAAGAACCTTTTGCAATTTTTCGTTTTCCCTTTCTCTTTGCTTTTCCTTATCAGAATCAGGAACAGGCTCTGAGGGATCAACAAATGGGTTTTCAGGATCAGGGAAAAATGGTGTTTTCCAGTTTCCAGCACTGAAAAACCCTGTAATAAACCTTGGGTAGACTTGGGGAAGTTTGAAATCATCAGTATTGGCCAATTCCGAGGCCATTTTATTGGATCTTTTAGCCAGTGAAGCTGCTTTTGCTTTGTAAAGTTTGTGGAATGTGACAACACAGGCGGAAATGTGTTTCTTCAAAATGTTTGATTCCACCTCTGCTTGATGCAAATACGAAGTTGTGCTTTTAATTTCAACGCCATTGATGTTGGAGTTGTGGTTTGAATCTCCATTTTCAAAATCAATATCAGCGTCAACATTATCGTCTTCTTCTTCTTCTTCTTCAACATCAAAGTCTTCATCGTTGTCATTATCTTGGACATTGTTAACTTTAGGGGTCTCTTCGTCAAGGTTGTCAAGATTACCTTCAGAATTAACTTTTGGTCTCTTTTTTTCTAGTTTCTTTAAATTTTTTTCCTTTCGAAGTTTTTCGGAAGCAGCTGAAGCAGCTAGCTCTTCGTGAAGTTGTTGGACTTCTTGAACGAGTTTGAGTTTGTCGATGGGTGTAAGCTTTTCCTTATTGGAAACATCCTCAACTTCTGCTTCAGTCAAATGTAAGTTACCATTAACACCAATCTGGGCGACAGATCTTGCGATTCTTCTTAATCTTTTTTGTAAGCCAATATCCATTCCAAAAGTTTTCAAATTATTTCTTAGCAATCTTGCCGATAAGTGGATCAAAACACAAATTCTACTTGTGATGTTGAAATAATTTAGAAAATCTTGTCTTTCGTTTTTTCTAAGAGATAGAATACATAAATTGATGAAAAAGAGAGAGCTTTTTTCTAAACCAGCCCAAGTTGTAATATCAGATGGATCATCATAAAAGACGCCAGGTAGCATTAGTAGAGAACCTGCATTAGAAAATGAATTGCTATTTGGCAATGAAGAAATTTTTGATTTTGAAATATTTTTTGAATGTTGTGGATGGCCAAAGACGAGTAGCTCATGGTCGTTGGCTAATTTTTTATGGTCGAATACTAGAGTATTGAAAGTGATTAAAGGAGGAGTTTCAGTAGAAGGAAAGGTGCTTTTTTCATCATTAATGGGTTGAGGTTGAGGTTGAGATTGAGATTGAGATTGAGGCAAAAGTTTGGATTTTGGTTTTGATTTGAATTTTGATTGGGTTTGGGTTTGGGTTTGGGTTTGAGTTTGAGTTTGGTTTGAGGAATAGATTTTCTTTTTAAGAGGAAAATCCATGAAGGGCAATTGATCACAATATAAATTTAGTTCGACGTTATAAAAAATTAAAGAGAGGGATTTGGGGTGTAATCTTGGAATCCAAAATAGAGGTTTTTCAATTGGTAAATAAGTGGAGTTATCATCAAAGAATTTTATGACTTGGTCTTTTGATAGGACTTTTCCTTGAAGAGGTTTTAGGTTTTCTTTTAAAAGAGGATGTAAGATTAATTTTTGGATTGGCTTTGAGTTTTGGTTGGAAATGTGTTTCTTTAGAGATAAAGAGTTTTTAATGTTTTCAAAGGAATGAGAAGAGGTGTGTTTCAAGTTGGCTAGAGGTAGAGATGAGTTTGAGTTGTGGATAAAAGGTTGGTTGATTTCGTTGGGTTCGTTGGTGTCATTTGAGTGAGATCTTTGGATAGAGTGAGAGTTGTTGTGATTGTGGGAGATGAATTGAGTATTTTTGGGGGTGTTTTTGTTGATGTTTTTATTGAGAGCAGAATTGATTGACAAGTTGATTGATTTAGTATAGGATGAAGGAAACCAACCTCTGACAGATTTAATTGATTTGAGGTCCAAGTCGAAATCATTTGAGTTGATGTTGATTGAATTGTTGAGTAGAATGCCATTCCACCAACCTGAGGAGGCCTTTTCAAGAACATAGATGATTTGGTGTTGTTTTAGAGAGAGGATATTTTGTTGGGATGATACATAGTCAAAGGAGACTTCTACAATGTCGACTGGTTTAATGTTTAATATTTTGATGACGTTTATGATTTTTTCATAATTATTGTGAATGGTTTGAGATTGGGATTGGGATTGGGATTGGTTAATTGAGAGTTTATTCTTTGACTGGAGATGAGATGGAAAGGGTTGTTGTATATCTTTTTGATCTTTATTATTATTATTGCTGTTGCTATTGCTATTGCTATTGCTATTATTGTTATTGTTATTGTTATTGTTATTGTTATTGTTATTGTTATTGTTATTGTTATTGTTATTGTTATTGTTATTGTTATTACTGTTATCGATATTGGGATTGATATCATTTGAAATTGATGATATATTCGAAATAATTTTATTTGATAAATTGAGCGGATTTGGATGATTTAGTTTTGAGTGGGAGGATAGTTTTGAATCAATTTTTAATGGTAAACTCGAAGAGGAATTTGAATTTGGACTTGGACTTGGATTTGAATTATTGTGTGAATTATTGTGTGGGTTGTTATTTGAATTTGACGAAAGTTTGTGACTTTTGAGTCTTGAACCCAATAAAGAAGGAGCCATCTTGAAAATTTCAAACAAAAGAGATTAAATTGAAAGAAAACGAGGATTAATAAAGAAAAATTAAAAAAAAAAGAGAAATAAAAAAGAGAAAAAAAAGAGAAAGAAAAAGAGTAGACAAGTAGAGAAATAAAGAAGTGGAAAAAACAAAGTAGTCAGTTGAGCAAATAAACAAATATCAGGCACTAAGTTCAAATATAAGTGGATTCAATGAATTCAGTGAATTAGTGGGCTAATTGAAGTGGGAGGTGGATTTGTAAGGCTGAGGAAAAGGAAGTTAATCGAAAACCAGTTTCAGATAAAGATACTATTGGTGTTTTCAGATGAAGAATATATTGTAACACAGCTGTAGTGATGCAGAGATGGAGCAGTGAGCAAAGAGGAAAGGAAGAAAAGCAGGAGAGAAAGAAGATGTACAGCTAAAGAGACCCAAGAGCTAGAATTGAATGAAAAAATAACGATTCTGACATGAAGTGAAATAATGGAAGGAAACAATTGAAGAGGAATATCTGAATCAGAGGCTTTTGGGAGCAATTCTTTAGGGGAGCTTGGGCCAAAATGAAAGCGGCCGTATTAGACACATTGGAGGGTTAAATTGGACACTTATTGTTCTCTGATAACAACGGCAGCCTTTGTGGCCAACCGCGTCGTGCCCCAGCCCGCCCATAGCAAACAGCGCGGGTCCGATGCAGGCCCAGCGAACGCGCTTAGCGACCGTCCTGCTAGTACGGACTTCCGCTTAAACACACGCACGTCCAACCTCTAACACAACATGAGTCCGTCCACAACAGCCCTGCCGCGCACATCACGCAATTATCTGCGGGTGATGACTATAATGTGTCACACAGCGCATCTCACAGCGTGCTGTGCACTGCTCATGCGCTTCGGATCTATTTGTCCGCAGACTGCCTGCAGAGACTGTTGCATTCTGCCGCGCGCTTATGTGCTAGTCCACGCTGATCCAGAAAACACTGTATGCAGATATGCTCACGTGCAGGAATGGTAAACACTAAACACGCGCAAACAGGTGCTTTGAGACGCATCCATACTGCTGGTCTCTGGCTGTCAAAGCGCTCCTTCCAGCTGCACATGCACCTTCCTGCGGTTGTTCAACTTTGCTACGCCTTAATCATATTGTTGAATAGTCTTATTCAAAAAGTATTCCATAAAAGTATTCCATAATAATAAATCATAAACTAAACATAAATCAAACATAAATAAAAAATTAATAGAACATTAAACAACTGAAACATAAATTAATTTTTTTCTCAGTGTACCATTTTTTTTTGTTTTATTTTTTTCCCAGTTTCCTGAACACTTTTCAACGCCATAAATTCTGTAAATAGCTTCCAGTTCCTCTATATAAACTATAAGCCCTAGACTGGATCTGATTGGCCAAGTTTGCAATTTTGCTTTCTGGTCTCTTGCTCAAATTAGTCCCTAAATAGTAATCAGTGTTCTTTCTGGCCAATTCAACCAATTCTTCTCTTGAGTATCCACGTTCATTACCAACACCATTGTTGTCATTACCATTCCAATAATACTTGATTTGATTGATTTTCTTGTTTACTTCGGTTCCAACTCCACTAGTATCCTTCTTGTCTTCGGTCAACTTGTATCCAAATGAGCTCAAGTAGTTCACCAAGTCGCTTTCCTCCCATGTCTTGAAATCAAAGTAATCGTTCCAGCTGCTTTCTCTATTTGTTGGTGTGGTCTTTGCTCCACTGAAATAACTAAATGGGAAATAGTATTTTATCTGTGTCCAAAAGCTTTCTCCAGTTTTTTTGATCTGCTCTTGTTTTGCACCAACCTCTTCATTAATTGTCTTTTTTAGCTCTTCATTCTTGCTTAGCAAGTCATGGTACAAATTCACACTTCGGTCTAACACTTCTTTGAATGTTCCTTCAGTGCTTTGTTTATTCTCCTTCAAAAACTTTTTCAAATTGTCAACACTCCATCCTTCAAATATCCATTCGTTTCCACTTACACTGTCTTTGCCCCAGTTTGAAAATTTAACTGGCTTGAACTTGTTTTCTTCTACCAACTTGACCAACTCTTTTCTTCTTGTGAATGCACCATAAGAAACACCTCGACTCTTTAAATACAACTTCAATCGATCTTTGGGCCAGTTTTCAACTCCAACCAAAAATGTATCATTAATTAAATTCTCACTCTTGGTTTTGCTTTTGTCCAATCCTCCTTTCCAGTTATTCCACTTGCTCCAATCGCCAAATAGCTTATCCTTATTCTTCAATGCAACTTCAATTAACTGGTCTTTGTTGCGTTGGATTTCCTTTCCACCATCAATCAACCCATTTTCTGACAACCATTTGTAAATATCATCTTTACTCCATAAATCAAAAAAGTCCTTCTTTATATCTTCACTCGTTTTATAAATCGTATCTTTCTGATTTTCCAATGTATTCCAGATTCCTCTTCTACCTTCCTCAGCTTTGTTCGAAACACCCCTTGAAACATCATAGATATTGTCTCTAACGTTCTTAATCAACTCGTCTCTTGATAGTGATTCATCATACGAAATCTTATTCTCATCAAGCCATTGCTTCAACGAGCTTTCATTCCAATAGCTGAATATCCACAGCCCAGCATATTTTCCACTCTTTTTGGATTTCTTTGCAATCTCATCGAAATTGTCCTCAACCATTTTAGCCAACTCATCCTTAGAATCGCGAACTGTATTGGACACTTCGATTCCATTCTTAGTCAAAAAGTTGTACAAGTCATCTTTCGACCATGATTTGAAAAACCAGCTCTTGAATTCTTCTTCCTTATTAGATGGTGAAAACAAATTCCAGTGTAAATTGAAATTGCTGTCAGAATTCAAGTTCTTATTAATCTTATCTCCAGTGGGCGATTTCAAAAATTTCTGTTTTAAATTCTTAGTATCGTAATCATTAACATTACTATTTTCATAGTTTTCGTTATAATAATTCACAATTTTTTCCCATTGTTCGTTGAATTTGTCCTTGATCTCATCAGCACTGCTTTGTTGATTATAAACAACGTTATGGTCACTTAGAAAATCTTTCATATCCTCCAAGTCCCATGTTTTGACAATGCTTTTATAATCATATTCTTTTCGATCTTTTTTATTACCACCAAAAACTTGGAGTCCAATTGAAACCTCGAAAATTGTTAAACAAATAACAATTTGTTTAAGAAACTTCATTTTTATTCGGCAATTTAATAAACTAATAAATAAATTAATAAACTAATAAATTAACAAATTCAATAATTCAATAAATATATATAGTGTATGTAATTGTATCTGGAGTCTTTAATTGAGCAACAGAGATCTTGTTTAACTACTTGTCTTTAAATACAAAATTCAAAAAAATATTTAGCAATTCACTATTAGCAATCTAAATCACAATCGAAAAACAAGATTTACTGTATTTTTCCTTATTTAACTTAGATCTCAATGAATTTCCATTTGTTGTTAATTAATGATGATTCAATACTTAAGAATGCCCTTATTATACTAGGTTTACTACAACTACAACATACATAATTCTAAAATTGCTACTCATATCAACTCAATTTTCCAATGATTCAATTTGTCCAAAAATATCACATTCCCTCATCAATTTCCAACCACTTTCCAATTTATATAATTGCTATCCCATATAAAGTTCTGTTTTTATATATTTGCTTTGCTCCTCCAAATCTCTCATCCCTCAAAAGAAAGTAACTCAAAAGCAAGCTCAAATCCAATTTCGAACAAAAATAGGCAAAAACTAAGCAATAAACAAAGTAGAATTACAAGAAATTACAACAATTCACAATTATTAGTATTACATAAGTTTGGCTGTCAATGCCTCCAAATCTTCTAAGGTCTCTGGCCTCTCAAATTCTACTATACCATCATCATTTTCACTATCATTGATTTCACCTCCAATTTTATTATTCTGAAACCATTTGGGTTTCTTTGATAAGGGTTCTTCACTTTCACTTCCATTCTCTTCATAATCATCTTGATATTCATCTCCATTCTCATCTTCACTGTTTTCACCAAGAACAAACTGCACTCCAGCTCCTAATTTAGAGTCATTTTCATTCAACAAGGCTTGTCTTTCAAGCTCTTTTCTTCTCCTTTTTTTAGCATCTCTTTTATCTTTGGCCACGATTTTGTCTTCTTCATCAGCCCTTTGCATATGCACAGTTTCTTTACTTACAAACTCTTTTTTCTGTTCCATTGCATCTCCCTTTTTGTGGAAATCTTCTTCTTCCTCTAATTCATATATTGCGTGTGAGTTGCCATCGTCATCAAATACTAGTTTTGTTGGATTTCCTCTGTTTTTAGATGAGGCTTTTCTGCTCAATGCTTTCTTAGATGCTCTTTTGGATGTATTGATTTCATTAAATGAAGTTAAATCGTCATTATCATCATCATCTAATTTATGGTCAATTCTTTTGATTTTTAATAAATTGCCATCATCCTCGTCATCATCGCTATCATTATTACCATCATTTTCATTGTTATCTTTATTATCTTGATATTCATAGTTGATATCTTTCAGTTCAGATGTAATTCCCAAGTAATGTTCTGACAAGACATTTTGATTCTGTCTTTCAAACATTTTATCATATTTAGTTCTTGTTTTTTTATTTTTATCCTCGAGGATTTCACCATCATCATTTGCTTTTGATAATTTTAGTAAGTTTCTGGAAGCATTTTTAAGTTGTTTTGATTTTGATATATCATTTTCATTCATATTTTTGAATTTAATTTTAGGTGTTCCTGACAAACCCAAGGATTTTGCAAATTCTTGTGAGGGCAATTGGTCAAATTGAAAAACCTGTTTATCCTTTTGAGTGTAAATTGATTTGAAATATGATATAAAACACTTTTGAGCTAAGTATTTTAATTCTGGATTTTTAAAACATAAACCTTGTAATTCTTTTTGAACAGTTTTTTGCTTTGACGGTTTTATATTCAATTGTTTTATAGTTGTAATGCTTTTTGCTTTCAAGTTGTCGATAAATTTTGATTCTGATGGTAAAAGAAATAACAAAGATTTTCCAGATTTGCCAAATCTAGCAGATCTGCCAACTCTATGGATATAAGTGGAAACATCTTCCGGGCAATCTAGTTGAATAACCCAGTTAACAGATGGAAAATCAATGCCTCTTGCAATGACATCAGTTGCAAAAAGACAGGAATACTGAGCATTTGAAAATTTAAAGGTTGTTTCAGTTCTTGAAGTTTGCTTTTGTCTGCCATGGAGTTTTAATAAAGATATTCCAGGCTGCAATTTTCTAAAAGACTCGTAAACAAAATGGACTTGTTTTGATGTGGAAAAAAACACAATAATTTTTGATTTTAAATGTGATTTTATAAAACTCCATAAGATGTTCAATTTATCCTGCAATTCTGCTATAATGTAGCTCTGTTCTAAAGATTGTGGGGTTGCAGATAGGATTTGATTGTTGTTGTTGGTGGTGGTGGTGGTGTTTTCATTTGTTAAGTTGAGTGGTTTCTGATTTGATAAATTGTCAGTATCAACGTATTGAGGATTAATTAAAGACAATCTAGCTAGGTCAGTAATCGATTTTGTTTGTGTTGCTGAAAAGAGCAAAGTTTGCCTGGTTGGAGGCAAGTGGTTCAAAATACTATCTAAAGCCAGTTTGAAACCCATATCTAGAATTCTATCAGCTTCGTCTAAAACTAGAATTTGTAAATTTGATACATCTAAACCAGCAGATTGATCCAAATGCTGTAAAATTCTACCAGGAGTGGCAATTAAGATGTTCATTTTGTAGATACGATCTTTTTCGAATTTCAAATCTTTACCACCCATAACCAAACCAGCAGAGAATGAGTTGTACTTGCCGATTTTTGTTAGTACTTCGTATGTTTGCATGGCTAGTTCTCTCGTGGGGGATAGAACTAGAGCTCCCAAACCATCATATTCAGTCCATTGGTTCCTGTATAGTTTTTCGATTATAGGAATTAGAAAGGCCAATGTTTTTCCAGAGCCAGTTCTTGCGGAAGCTAGAATATCCAAGTTTTTTAGGGAAACTGGAATTGATTTCTTTTGAATGTCAGTGAGAGACACAAAGCCTGCACTTGTAAGACCTCTGAGAGTTTCCTTTGATATTGGCAACTGAGAGAATTGAGAAATATTTGAGATTGTTAGCGAATCATTTGGATTGAAATCGTTTATTTGAGCTTCAAGATTTTTGATATATTCAATTTCTTTTGCACGCTGGTTTTTTTTTGAGGACAAAGATTGTTTGGAATTTTTATTTTTTCTACCCATTATTATCTATTTTTGTAGATAATGAGATAATGAGATAATGAAATAATGAAATAATGAAATAGTGAGATAGTGAGATAGTGAGAATAAATTTTAGATTTGATGAGTGAACCAAATTTTGAAATTTTCAATAAAATTTTTTGGAGGCCAAAAATGGGGGAGTTCTTTTTTTTTATTTTTTATTTTTTATTTTTATGCAATTTTCTCGGATTTTGATTATGAGTGTATATGGACAACGTTTATTTATTAATAATATATAAATATAGATAGAGATATAGATAGACGTAGATGTTGAGTGGGTTGTTCAAATTATACTGTGATTGAAGATAAGTATTTCTGCTCGTACTGTTTTCTGTATTGGTTGGACAGATCAACAGGCCTATTCAAAGCAACCCACTTGGGTTCATCTTGGAATAGTCTCAAAGCCTTGACATAATTAGTTGAGTCTAGAGTAAAACGATGGAAGATTCCTGAAGGCAATATGAGCAAGTCGTTTTTTTCTACTTTACATCTGATCCATTTCTCGTCGGCGCTTCTGACATCAAAGAAGCCTGAGCCATCGATAATGTATCTGATTTCCTCATCTTCGTGAATGTGCTCTTTGATGAACATGTCGAGTTTTTGTTTTAGATTTTCAGTTTGGGGATTCAATACAATTTGGTCTCTGTTGCGATAGTTTCGCTCTTTAGCAAGGCTGTCAACATCCTTCAAGTCGCTGTAGTTGAAGTAGAGAACGCCTAGGTCATTGAGGTTCTTTTCAGACACAGCAATGCCTGAATCATGGTTATTTTGGTAGTCCGAGAGGTCTTCTTCGTCGTATATATAGGCCTTCATTGTGGTGAGCAGTGAAACAAGTCAAACAATAGCAGAAACAAGTGCAGGCGCAGAGAAAATCAGTATCAACTGCTAGATATTTATACCTGTTGTTGGTAAAAAAAAAGGATAGAAAAAAGTATGGAAGGAGAATAGCAAAAAGTCATTTCTCAGCAGCTCATCGGGCCGGAATGAGACGGAACTCACGTGCATGCCACAGCTGTGGAAAGAGGAGGAGGAAGAGGAAGAGAATGAGAAGAAAGAAAAAGATCAAAAGGATCAAAAGGATGAGACGAAAAAAAAGCGAAAGCAAAGCAAAACACCAAGCGAATGTGTTTTTAAAGCAAGATATCAAGAACGAGGATTTAACCTCTCGAAAGTAATTTACTCGTGTGTGTATGCTGTTATTGTATCGAGGCCTATTTTGCCCAAACAAGCAGGATGGACCAGCAAGCAGCAAAATCTGGACACTGCAGTAATCGAAAAATGGAACTGGTAGTCTTTGGCGCCAATTGTCGTTACTGGGAGTATATCAAGAGCATTTATCTCCTGTTGTTTCTTCTGTTGCTTCCTCTGTTGCTTTTCCAGCAGTTCCTCATTGGGCTTGAAGCCCAGCGACGGCTACTTCCCAAAACGGCGTCTTCAGCTCTAGATCAATCACTTGCCAAATCGGGAAGTACCCCTTGGAGGTATTCTACTAACTTCTTTTGAACTTCTTTTAAACCTCTTCTTTTGGAGACAGAAGATATAATGCCAAAGTCCCAGAGGTGCTACAGAGAGTTTCAAAGTCTGCTATGTGCATACCTTTAGAGTTAGGGTTATCTTTACTTTGGGAATAGTTATAGCTGCTAATCTGGAGAACAAGATAGTAGCTTAACCAGACTGGTCCACCTTTATTTTTGTGATTGCCTTGACCAATATCAGATCAATGCTTGTATTATGGAGCTGTTTCCTCTGGGCTAGCTTGACATGAATCAATTCTGCTAATGAGTGCAACTCCTTATTTTTACTCGTTTGTGTCTATATCCCAAATCATATCTAATCACAGTCCGTATAAATATTTCAGCTTTTCTTCGGTTTTATTTCCACCTCCATTTCCATTCCCTTCTTTTCTTTTCTTCTCTTTATCCTCACTTCAATTGACTGCTAATTCAATTAACCCTTTTCAACCTTACTAGCAACATACTGCTCCTTTCAAATCTTTAAAAATGGCTCAAAAATCTTATCTTTTCCAATCAGTCATTGCTGAAAACCAACCTTTCGTTCTTGGTGGTAGGGGTATTTACTTGACTGTTGAAGACCCTGTTACCCACGAAGTCAGAGAAATTATCGATGGTAACACTTCGGCTTCTGTTGGTTCTTTAGGTCATGGCGACCCAGACATCGTCCAAGCGATGAAAGATGCTGCTGAAGAATGTGCCTACTCTTTCCCTCTAACAACTGAAAACCACAACGCTGAAGATCTAGCTCAATTTATCGTCACTCATTCTCCAAAGGATACCTTTGCTGCCGCTGTCTTTGTTGGTTCTGGTTCCGAAGCCAACGAGAATATGCTAAGACTTGTATACCAATACCACATCGAAAATGGTCAACCACAAAGATCCAGATTTATCTCAAGAAACCAAAGTTACCACGGTTTTACAATCGGCTCAATCTCAATTGCTGACTCAAACAGATTTTACAACTATAAACCAGTTAGCCTTCCAGCAGAACAATGTCTAAAAGTCTCCGAATGCTACGAATACCAAAAGAGAAAACCTGATGAATCCCTTGAACAATATAAAGACAGACTAGTCAAAGAAGTCGAAGACACTTTTATATCTGCTGGTCCCGACACAATTGGCGCCTTTATCTGTGAAACTGTCTCTGGCTCAAGTTTAGGCTGTGCAACTCCTGTTCCAGGCTATTTAGAAGGTATTAGAGACATCTGCCACAAATATGGCGCTTTATTCGTTTTGGATGAAGTTATGTGTGGTATGGGCAGAGCAGGTACCTACCATGCTTGGGAACAATTCTTGCCTCTAAACAAAGGTCCTGACATTCAAACTATTGGCAAGACTTTAGGGTCAGGTTATGTCACAATTGCTGGCGTTTTGGTTTCTCCAGCTGTCAGAGACGTTTTTGTCAACGGTTCTGGTGTAATGCCATCTGCTCACACTTATCAATCTCATTCATTCAACTGTAAAGTCACTTTGGCTGTGCAAAAGAAAATCTTTGAAAACAACTTGATCGAAAACTCCAAAAAAATGGGCGACTACCTCAACGCTTCCTTAAAGGAAAAATTAAAGGACTCAAAAATAATTGGCGATATCAGAGGGGTTGGCACTTTCCAAGGTGTTGAATTGATCAAAGACAAGGCCACAAAAGAACCATTTGATCCAAAATTAAACTTAGGACACAGATTAGCTGACATTTGCTACAAAGATGGTATGCAAATCCTAGGTTTAGATGGTACTGTCGATGGCAAAAAGGGAGACCATATGATGTTTTCTCCAGCATATACTGTAACCAAAGAAGAAATTGACAAAATTGTTTCTGTTTTTGTTCAAGCCTGTGATGAATTGGAAAAAGAACTTGGGTTATAACTTAATCCTACATCCCACTTATCAGACTTATGAGATTTAATCCTCAAAAAAATACCTTTTTTTCAATTTGAAATGTTTTCTTTGTCTTTCTTTGTTCCTTCTTTTTTTTTGTTCCTTCTTTTTTTTTGTTTTTTTTTGTTCTTTTTAATTCCACCTTTAGAGTTATGCCTTTATCTTTTTACATATACAATTATAATAAAAAGGATCATCGTTACCCAGTTCAAAACAATACTATTGTAAATGCATTCGATATCAGATATAAACCTAAAAAGATATATAAAAAAAAAGAAAGTAAATCGATATTCGGAACCAGTCTTAACCAACAAAAACAAAAGTGATCGGCTCAATCAACCAAAAACTATTGAAAGGTATATAAAAGCAACCAGAAGAATGACAATATAAATACGTTGATTTTTGAAAGTAAAGACTATTACAAAGACATGCAATAAATAAATAAATAAATATATAAATAAATAAATAAATAAATAATCAAAAAATAGGTAAATAGGTAAATAAATAAAGGGAAACAAAATTAAAGCAAACAAAAAATTGAAAATTCTAAACAAAAACTTATGATGTAGGAGAAACAGCTAGTTTTTGTAAATGGTTCATAAATGTTTGTAAACTCACATCGTCCGTTAAAACCACAGCAATACCAGAATCTGCCCCATAAGGTTCTTGTGATTGATATGTATTTGAAGGATTCAATTTAGAATATAAAAATCTGGCTTGTGATCCACCTTCTTCGGTATCAATAAATCTAGGTAATGGGAATCTTTCAACTAATAATTCGGCTGCTTCTTTTTTAGGTTCTTCTAAAAATTCCTTAAATGATTCATATTCAGGTAGATCTTGATAGCCCAATTTTCTCCAAGCTGCTATAGTTTCACCGTGATAAATTAAAATATGAAAAAAGGTATCTAATAAAAGAATTCTGTCAGCTTTAATTGAAACTGAATCTAATAATACTGGTTCAGGTTCGTTTTCTAACGTAAATGAGGTTAATGTTGGTTGAATCATAATTAATGAATTGACAGTATCTTCTCTTGTTAATACGTGTCTGTAAAATGCAGTTTCATCTGGAGAATTATTAAAAACTTGTAGAAATTGTGATCTTCTCAAGTAAAACATAAATTGAGGATAAAGAGTAAAATTTGGAGTTAGCCTAAAACTATCAGGTGAATCTTTATCATAATCGGCAAATTTTTGACAAACTCTAATTAACATTCTATCAATCCACCTAAGAACATCAGCGCCATCATCCTGTTCGGCTTTGAATACTGCAATTCTTGACATTAAGACGGCAGCAGCTTCTTGGTCAAAAGAATTCTTTACAACTAGCTCATTCAAGCCAGCTAAAGGTTTTTGCAATGTGGTGACCCTTATTCTAAAAGTACCAGAGGAGTGTTGGTAACTTGTGATGAATTGAATGAAAGAATTTTGAGCACCATTTGAAGGGTTTACATTAGAAATTTCAAAAAAAAGAGCATAAGAATGGTTTGGAGTAATTGAACACATTCTCCATGTGTTGGTGCCACCAATACCGATTTCAGTATCAGCGATGTTGGTACCGGTCTTTTTCAAGGAAGTGGCATGACCAATTAAACCACTAATTTTTAATTCTCTAGATGTTTTCACCTCAAATTGAGCAGCAAAGCCCATTGACAAGAAACCATCATCGTCTTTGTTGAACAATCTCAAAAAAGATTGTTTGAAGATTGCAGTTGTAAAAGCATCAGATAATAGAAGAACACCGCCAGTTAAGGTTGGCAAACTTTTCATTTCGGACATACCAATTTGATCGTAACAACCTGCAAAGATATCAACAACATGTGAGTTACTAGCAATTTTTTCAGCTAAAGCTTCGTAAAATTTAGTGGCTTTTTTGAAATGTTTTGCGGAATCCTTATCGATATCACTATGTGATCTAATTGGTTCTCTTAGTTCCTGACCTACTATTAAACCAGGGTTAAGGGTTCCAGGGCCTGCACTGAACAACATGATTCTGGCACCAAAGCTAGCAAATGAGGATTCCAAAATATTTGCTGCAATTGATAAGGCAGCACCAGTAGCTCTGATAGGTCTTCTGTCGGATTTAACAGGCCAGGGGTCCTTTTGCAAAGATTCCAAAATATTGGTTAATTGGTACTCAATTTTTTCAACGGGACAAAAAAATCTTAATAATTTTGTATTTTGATTTGGTTGGGAATTGTTCAAGGCTAGCATTGATAGAAGTTGGTTTACAGGATAGTCTTTGTCACCTCTAAATATGTAAGTTTTGGGACATGTTTGGTAGGCTAGATCATGCACTTGGACCATGGCACCAAAGGTTATCAAACCAACAAGAGCATTTGGAGGTAAAAGATTTAAAGAAAGAATCAAAGTTTCCTTTAATGCTTCTAAATTATCATCATCTTGACATAAATCAATTAAGAAAAGGAAAACAGGAGGAGTGTATAATTTTCTTTTGGTGATGTATTCAATAGTAGTGGACTGGTTGTTTAATTCGTTTGGGACAAACAGAGGAGATAAATTGTGATAATGGCTTGGTAAGGGGTTTATACGAACACAAAATGGACAAATCCAAGTCTTGGGTCTTAAATCGATCTGACATGAAGGACTTAAAATGGCACCACAATGACACCTAATTGGATCATAATTAACTACAGGCAAGTCTTCTCTTTGTTTCAAGGGAGTGTAAAGACAACCAATGGGCACAACAGTTCTGTTTGCCTCAACTCTTGTGGGAGGAAAAGTGTTCCATGAAAAACGAACCCCATCAATATCTTCAGCAGTTTCGAAATCCTAAACAGCAAAAAAGTTAACAAACGAAAATTAGTAAATAACTCATGAATTAGGCCTAGCAGAGCAGTAGAATTAGATTGCGATGGTCATCGAAAAAGCCACCAAAATCAAATCAATTGACATACCATTATAAGAAAGCACAGAGAGTAAGCAAATGCAAATGCAAATGGAGATGAAGATGGAGGTGGAGATGGAGAGATTCAGCCCTATTAATACCAATTAATACTTCAGCTGGATGATACCTATCTGAAGATGGTTCCTTTGCTGATTGTTGTGTTGTTCAGATCAGTGAAAAGTCCCAGCCGGGTAACAGAGGCAGGATGCTGAGTCAGTGCTGAGAAATACTCCCTCCAGAAGTAGTGTATCCAGATGACACACATGTTAGCCAACGCCCCCGCTGAAACAAAGCATTTCTGTTTCTGCACGTGATACTGCATATCCGGGACAAGCGTCACTATCCGAGGTCATCATCCGAGCAGAGTAAACGAGGTTGAGATCATTGCTATGATAGTGCTGGGAGATGGGGAACCACTCCACAGATATAAGACTGTTCTTCTCAGCTTGGACTGTGCCCTTTTTGTTATCACTTTGGTTGTAACCCAGACTGCTAGATGGTTATAACTGCTGCCTTTGTCTGATCTAGAGATGTTGTTTTCGACACTGCTGCTATTGCATTTGGGATTTTTCTTTCTATGGGGCTTGCAGCTCATGTTGGCTGGGGCTTCTCCTCTAGTCAAGAGAAGAGCTGCGTCGTCTGAGGACATGAAAGCCAGTGTCTTCAATCCCAATTTGAATTTGTTTAATACTGATCCCTTTGAGGGCATTGACATGAACCAAGTTCATCTTCAAAACCAACTATTACAAAACAAGAATGACGACGAGGACGAGAACCGGGACCAAGGTAATAATTATAACACCAAGAATAAATTTCGTTATTCCAAATTGCCCCCTATATTGTCAAGTCCAAACGCAACTCAAAGAACAATCAAACCTGGCGAAATTCCGAGCTATGTGCTAGAGTATTGTCCATTTGTTCATTTATACTCAGAAGAGAGATACCTTCCCTACGATGTTAATGAGTTTGTTTCGAACTTCCATTTAACGTTTTTCAATGGCACAAACCTAACAGACCACGATAAACTAAACGGAAGCCCATTGACGTTGAAAGAGTTGGCGAATTACGCAAAATTATCCCAAGTCGAAGAGGTCTATTTAACTTCCAATGAAGATTTCAGTAAAGATCCAAAGTGGCTAACTGGCTTGAAAAACAAACCATCGTTAGAAACTGGCTTGATCAAAAATGCCCCTGCTATACTAATAGTAGTAGATAAAGGCAATGGATGGTTAGACTCGTTTTGGTTTTATTTCTATAGTTTCAACTTGGGTCCTTTTGTAATGGGCCATGGTCCCTATGGTAATCATGTTGGTGATTGGGAACACTCTTTGGTTCGTTTTTACAACAAAAAGCCAATGCTATTATGGATGTCTTCTCATGGTGGTGGCGATGGTTACATATTCAATGCTATTGAAAAATTTAACCATTATCCAAACAAATTGCAAAAAAACAGAAGACGTCAAAAGGAAAATAAAACCTACGATCCAAGAAATAAAAGACCTATCATCTTCAGCGCAAGAGGCACCCATGCCAATTACGCTTCTGTGGGCCAGCATGCTCACGACATTCCTTATTCCATATTGAGTGACTTTACTGACAGAGGCCCATTATGGGATCCTTCATTAAACTTCTTGGGCTACACATATGATTCTAATGACAATCTAACTCCTCAAAATGGTTCCCACTATCCTGAGTCAACCTATGGTGATTGGTTGAAATTCAGAGGCCATTGGGGTGATAAAAAGATCCCACCAAGCGATAGTAGACAGGTTTGGTCTCCCTGGGAATGGAAATACATTGATGGTCCAAGAGGTCCCTTGAATAAAAATTTGATCAGAACAATAACATGTCAAAGATTTAAATGGTGGAACTTTTGGAATGGCTGCAAAATAAACACCTACATCAAAATGGGCGATGGTGTTGAAAGTGAAGGAGCAGCAAACTGTAGAGTTTTAAATAATAAAATTCAAAATGATTTTTTCAGGTTTATTTTAACTTATGTTAGTTATGGAGGATGGTTGTGTTACTTTATTGATTATTTCTGGGGCTAATTAGCAATTTTCATGACTTTTAACTTTGTTTTTTCTTGTTTTTTATTCAGTATTATTGAATTCCATTTAATTTAATTCAATTTCTTTCAATTTAGTTTCATTTCTTGTTATCTTTTGTCAATTTCTACTCTATATTATAAATTTTTGTTATCTACTCTAAATTTTATCAATTATCATTTACATATAAAGTTAAAGTATTTAAATCTATACTAAAAAATAAATAAATAACAATAACTACTTCAATTTTACATATCATTCGCCCGCTCAAAAGATTTCCTCTCCAAATTACTACTAAAAATGATAAAGATTTACAGATTAAAGACTTGAGATCCTGGTTGTAAAACAATCCAGAATTTCGTGTAATTTTTAGTTGAGCATGCATTTATCAGTTTTTCATAAGGAACAAAGAATATTATAATCAAAAAAAAAAAAAAAATAAAATAAAATAAAATAAAAGAAAATAAAATAAAATAAAATAAAAGAATAAAAGAATAACAAAAAAACGAAAGGAAAAACAAAATAATAAACAAAATAATAAATAAATGATAACAATTGATGAAACATGATGAAAAAAATATCTAAATTATTGAAACAAAACTTGCCAAAAAAAAATGTGATGATTAAACAAAAACGACATAATCAAAATTATAATAAAAATTATAATAAAAATAAAAGTAATAACAATTATCAAAAAATCAGAAAGCAATAGTGACTTTTAAAACTAATACAATTGAAGATTAATTATAACTAGTTCTTATAATTAGGTTTTGAGGGTTCCTATATTATCCAATTTCAGTTCTAGTCTGACTAAAAGTTGATTTTGTAATTGTATCATTTGAAGAAATTGATATTGAATGAAAAATAAAATCAAAATCATGAAAAATAATACAAAAAATATAGATAATAAATTAAATGTTCTTGGTTCTTTGTTGAATTTATTCTTAATTTCTTGTATTTCCTTTTCTTTAGCTTCTTTGTATTTAGCTTCCATTTGCTTTTTAAGTGAGTTGACTGACGATTTTTTGGAAGGTTTTCTCTTAGTCTTCTTTTTGGTGACATTATCAGCAGGTTCATTGAGTAATTTACCTCTACTGTAATATTCTTTTATTTTGGCTGAATTTTGTTTAATATCTGTTTGTAACATTTCAGTGAAATCATCTGCAGCTTTTTGTTGGCCACTTAGAGTACTTTTCTCAATCATACTTTTTATCCAGCTACGACCAGACCAATTAATTTTATAAGAAATTGCCAATTTTGTCTTGTTATTTTCAGCCCAAGCAAATTGATATCTTGTATCAACGTCAAATACACCACCACTTGGAACATCGGGCGTCATGACTTTTAGAATGATATCGCAGTTCTGATTCAAGTCAAAGTTGTTAATATACTCGATAGCTTTAACTTGAGTTGATTTGGGGCCAATAGCAAAATTCAATGCTTTTAAATATTGATAGCTTCTTTCTTTTCTATTTTTTTCTTTGTTCAATATAAAATTTCCATACTCAGTGATTTCAGAAGAGTCTTGAGATTTTAAAAAATTTTTATGAAATGTTATATCGGTTTCACCAAATGATAAATCAACAATATAGCCTAGTGGAGCATCTAATATGACATCCTTTTTCAATATAATTTCATTATTATCATCAGAATTAACAAAAAATTCAGTTGGTTGATGAATAACAGGACCTGAAAAGGGTAAGTCTGTTAAGGAGCCATTAGCAAGAGGCAGAGAAATAGAAGATCTGCTGTGTCTCTCAAAGTCAAATGTGTCATCATGATGGTTTCCATTACTTGAAGAATCCTCGTCATCGTCATCATAGCCAGCATCATCCTCGTCATCGTCTTCTTCGTCTTCTTCATCTTCTTCGTCAAAATCAGACTCATCGTCAACACTTAGAATTTGCTTTTGAATTGAGTCAAGACTATTGTTGGTACTATGTCTTTTATTGCTATTGTTTTTATCGTTAGAGGTAGTATTGCCATTTGGTAATAAAGAACCGTTGTGATCTATTTCACTATTGTTTGAGGCCTGCCTTATAATGGTGCTACTACTGTTACTCAAGGTTAGGGATCGATCCAAGTTATTGTTGTCGTTGGCATGCTCATTATCTGTCGTTTTATTATTATTATTATTATTATTATTATTATTATTATTATTGGTGGTGGTGGTAGTTGTGGTGTCATTATTATTGATATTTTGAGAATTTTGATTATTTGTGAATAGATTGTTCGAGGAACTATTGGACCCATTGGAACCATTTGAAGAGTCGTCATTGATGAGTTTATTTGTCATGTATGCTTTCCAGATGATATCAAAGAATTCGTAACTTGAATCTCTTGATATGAAGGTAGCAAAATAATGTTTTGAGAAAGTTGTTTGGATGGCTATTCCGTTGGGAAATAGGCCAGCAGTTGAGGTTTTTTCGAAGCCTACAACGTCATCAAAGGAGATGACCAAGTTGGTTACCCAACCTAGTAGTCTTGAATTGAAACAGATGCTGTTATTTGAAATGTATATTCTGCCTTGAAGTAGGATTTCTCTGCTCAAGGCGCAAGAAAAATCGTCGATCAATCTATCGTCTGTTGAGATTGATTTGAAAATTTCGTGAAATTCCTGGTTTCTTTTTAGAGAGGCGAATCTATATTTTGTGGAAAGAGCTTTTTCGTCAATGTAGTGTTTTTTGTTGTAGCGTTCATTTATGTCGTTATTGTTATTGTTATTGTTATTGTTGTTATTGATACTGTTGCTGTTGTTGATGCTGTTAAGACTTCCATCACTGCTGTTGATGTTAGCAGGAATGCTGTGTCTTTGTAGTAAAGACTTTTGTTGGGAGTCTTTAAGCAACATTGGGGCAGAGGATAGGAAATCGTTCGAGGGCTTTAGCTGGGAAGGAGAGTGAATTGAGTTGGAGACTTTTCTACCACGACGGTAGGAGAGCATGTTTGGAGTAGCGGTTATTCCATCTGAGTCAAAAGCGTTTGTGTCATTTGTAATGGAGTAATTGGATTGGAATATGGGAGCCGATGGAGCTCTTTTATGGTGGTTAAAGGGGGAAGATAGGTTTTGAGAGTCGTTGATTGAAAGCTGGGAATCATTGTCGTTGTCATTGGAATTGGGATTGGTATTGTTGTTGTTATTTTTGAATGTTTTTTGAAAGGTGGTTGATATTGAGGAGGCAGTGGCACTGAATACAGATGAGAAGAAGGTGGTGGAGTTGTTATTGTTTGGGATGTTGTTTGTTGTTTCATTTGAGTCGACGTTGACAAGGTTGCTGTTGCTGCTTGACTGGTCGTTGTTAAGAGAAGAGTACCTCTTGTTGGTAGAATTGGGGTTTGGGCTGTTGGCATTGAGGTCTGAAGCCAAGTTTGATAAGGATTGAAGAGCATCTTTGGGAGTGATGGTTTTGTTTCTGTCACGAAAAGTGCTGTGGACACTTTGAGAGTCGTGGTGGGAGTCAACAGTTGGGTTGTTGTTATTTAAGGTGGAGCTGGCATTGGTGAGAGTGTAGGAGAGGTTGGCAGACAAGTTTGAGTTTTTGATTGTGTTTGAGTTAGTGTTGAAGGTTGTGTCATTGAGATTATCGTCAGAGTAGTTCTGGATGGACTTTGATGAAAAACTTCTTCTAACTGAGACAATTGACTCCACATCAGTTTTAGTTGTGTGAGGATCGGCAGGGGTAGATTTGATGTAGGCACTGTTGGCCAACGATATGCTGGAGGGAAAGCTGCTTATGTTGTTGTTGGTGTTTGTGTGGGTGGAGGTATTATCATTTATGGTCAGATTATTGTTCATGTTGATATTTTTTGAAATTGAAATTGAACTAGGAATTTGGTTTTGGTTTTGGTTTTGGTTTTGGTTTTGATTTGAATTTGAAGAGGATATGGAAGATGAAGAAAGGTTTGATTTTGAGTTTGTTGAGATATCTAGTATTGTGATTGATTTGGCAGGGCTGTTATTGTACAAAGAGTTGTTGAAGGAGGTGGAGTTTCTTCTTTCAATTTCATGATAAATCAAACGTTCTTGATTTTGGTAGAGACTGTTGTTGTTTGTAATTGAGGTGTTGATGCTGAAGTTGCTAGGAATTGGAGGAGATAGAGATTTCAGAGAGGCACTGTCGCTGAAGTCCACAGAAAACTTTGGCTTTGGCTTTGGAATGTTGATGTTCCTTGACTGATCTTGAGACATGATCTATATGAAATTTCTTGTGTTTGAGTGGATGAAATGCAATGGGAGAGCAAGGTGATATAAATAGGGCTGAATAGAGTTGAATCTGGTTGGATTTTGTTCAAGTGCAGAAAGAAAGTGGAAAAAAAGTGGCAAAGAGCAGACCAAACAGGAGTATAAACAGGAGCAAGAGCAGACCACAGGAGTGAGATCAACAGGAAAGACGATTTGGCCAGAAAAGACAAGACCTGGTTATTTAAATGTTTAAATAAGAAGCAAAGTGTCAGCAAAAAGTTGTTGGATTTTGCTTCCACTTCACTTCGTTTTGGAGCTGGAGTAAGGAAAAAGACAAAAGCTTATTCCGAGGGCACAGCGACGACGGCCACAGAGACACGGCGGCCGATAGCCAGACGCACACGTGGAAGTTCATATCGGAAATCTAAACGAGGCGTCGAAGCGCATATCGGGACTGTTCCGGCCCAGTGGTGCGAAATCCGGGCAGCAGCAGAGGAAGCAGAGAAAGAGGCGTCTGTGCTCTGCAAAACGCTACTGGTGGTGCTTCTCAGGGCTGTTGTCACTGCTGTTGTCGCTGCTTCCTTTGCTGGAGATGAAGCTGGAGAGCTGGAACTTATCGTAATAGAAATTGTGTTCTTTGGCAGACTTCTCGAGGTCGAACCTGCTGGCCTTTGCTTTGCAATTGGGCTTCTTCTGGCTTTTGAGGGCTGGCAGCAGACTCTGCTGCTCTAGCTTCTTGAGCAGGGGCATCTCGCTGTTGGCCATGTACTCGTCTTTTTTGCGAATCTGATGCACAATGTTATGGATCGTTTTGATGTTGAGAAAGTTGATGTCGTCCTTTAGCAAATGGCAGCTGCCATAGTTTGCAAAGTAGGTTCTGGGCTGGCTGCTCTTGTTGTTGTTGTTGGGAGAGTCTGCTTTGGTCATCTTCTTCAATCCATCTCGAATCAAAAGGGGACTGTACCCTTTCATCGCCTCATGCTCGATCAATTGCTTCAACAATGGAGAGATCTTATGGAAATCAGAGTGTTTGATGGAGTGGTTGTGGCCTCCTGGACTTTGCACTAGCGAGTATCTGTCGTGGTACTCGGTGACAAACAATTTAGCAGGACAGTTGTACTCATTGGAATTTCTAAATTCCTTTTTTCTTTTCTTCTGATTGCCATTCTTATTGCCATTCTTATCGCCATGCTCATTGACAATGTTGTTGATCAACGAAATGTTGAAAAACTCATCAATACTGTTCATGTTGTCACTGCCACCATTACCAGTACTATTAATGTTACTATTACTATTACTATTACTATTACTGTTGCTATTACTATCAGCTTTGTTATTGTTCCCACTACTAATTTCCCCATTCTTGCGATTTTCATTTCCACACATCTTGTGCCTCTTATTTCCATCAAATCGTTTCCCTGCTAATCGGCACTCATACCTTAGCTTTCTGGAGTTTTTCTTATTAAAGGGTTTCTTCCCTCCACTTTGGAACCGGTATATGTTATTGACACTCTGTAAAATATTCTCGCCGGCTTCGTCTCGATAGATAATCAACGTCTCGTTATCGTTGTCTTTATTCAAATTGAAAATCCGGTTTCTATTATTGATCAATTCTCGGAGCTTTTCCTCCTCAAAAAAGGGCTCCATCACAATTTTCTTCTTCTACTTTCTTCCAACCTTGCTAGTCAATTCAACTCTTGCCGAAAACTTCAAGCTCATCGTTCCAAAACAGTGCCCTTCAAACACCTGTGTCTATTCTATGACTGCTTTTTCTGCTTTGGGATTGGCTCCACAGAAACACAACCCACCCCAATCCTGGCTCCAGCATTTTACACGCGTGCCAGCGCATGACTCCTGTGTTGCTATGCATTTATCGCAGAGAAAGCCATCACGGCCGGGTAATATCTTTGTTAGCCACGTTGTGCACGGTATATTGCATATATATGCACACAGCCGCCTCATTAGATGCGTCTACCACAGTCCTGGCCGAAATCCAATCCCAAAATCTTATTTGGATCTGAATAAGATCTTATTCATCACTTACTCTGTCTTAGTAATTGTGTTTGTTTTTAGCTCTCTTTCCCAGTTTACTTCCAATAGAAATACCTCCTCAACCTCCTGTTTTTCTCTTCACTTCTTGATTCAATCAACATCTTCCCTATTGTTCATATCGAATCATCTTTCAACTCAATTCCTATCCAAAAATGGCCCCCAAAGTCGCAATCGTCTACTACTCCTTATATAACCACATCTTCACTTTGGCTAAAGAAGCTAAAAAGGGAATTACTGCTGCTGGTGGTGTTGCTGATTTATTCCAAGTCCCAGAAACTTTGTCTCCCGAAATATTGACTGCTATGCATGCTCCACCGAAACCAGCAGACATCCCAATTGCAACAAACGAAACTTTGCAATCTTACGATGCTTTCTTATTCGGTATTCCAACAAGATATGGTAACTTCCCAGCTCAATGGAAGGCCTTCTGGGATGCCACTGGTGGTTTATGGGCTTCTGGGGCTTTACACCACAAACCTGCTGGAATCTTTNTCTCCACTGGTACTCCAGGTGGTGGTCAAGAAGTCACTGCTTTAAATGCTTTGTCCACTTTAACTCACCACGGCTTGATCTATGTTCCATTAGGCTACAAGAACAATTTTGGTCTACTCACCAACCTTGATGAAGTCCATGGTGGCTCTCCTTGGGGTGCTGGTACCTATGCTGGTGCTGATGGTTCCAGACAACCAACTAAATTAGAATTGGAAGTTGCTTTCATTCAAGGTAAAACCTTTTACGAAACCATCCAAAGATTCTAATCTTCCTGTTATAAACAATTCATATAAAAATTATATAAACAATTCATATAAAAGTTATATAAAAATCATATATAAATCATAGATTATCAATTGCTCAATAAAAATAACAAACAAGAAATTACTAATATCTGTTAACGACTACTCCTTCCTTGTCTAGCTTCCATCATTTTTAGGTTGGGTATACCATTACAAATCCTCTGAAAGTCATGCCTCGTTCTATATTTCATCAAAAACAGAAAAAAACTCGTTTTCTGTTTGAATATATCTATTATTACCAGCTCAATTATCCCAACTATTCCAATTGTTCCACTTTCTCCAATTTTCTTATTGGATTTTCTTAATTCCACCTTTTATTCCACCCCAAAACTTAAATCTGCGACCCCCACCGCTGGCCTCGAAAACACAAAAAAAATCGAGTGAAAAAAATTATAAGTGAAAATTTCACTATCACCATCATGCTGATATCATTAAAGGCTTCTTTAATATAGGCTCCCATTTTCAAATCACACACCAATATCAACAAGATTATCATGATCAGAGCATCAATAAGTTGTCCTAGAAACCCTATACCAAGAGTCTTTTCTCTCGGAAACTTTTCAAAGATTTATAATCTCCACTTGTTCAGCACCAAAAGTATATGCCATCAGCAATCAGAATTAGAATCAGAATTTCAAGATCCGAAAAACACAAACCCCAAAGATTCCAATTATCGCCAAAATAACCCAGAAATTGATATTCTTAATGATCATGCTATTGAATCTCGCCAATTAACCTCTCACAAAAATTATACTGCCTATAAACACTCAAATACTCGTGAAAATGCTCGCCTCAAACCTACTTTAAAATCTTTTAAATATACTAAAGACTCTAAAAGTGATCAAGATTTTGATAAACGTGATGAAATATTTAATAGAAGCGATAGAAGTGATAGAAGTGATAGAAGATTTGATAGAACTAATAATTTTGAGAGAAATAGGAGTTTTGACAGAAGTGATAGAAATGACAGAAATAATAGAAAATTTGATAGAAAATTTGATAGAAAATTTGATAGAAAATTTGATAGAAAATTTGATAGAAAATTTGATAGAAAATTTGATAGGAGTGATAGGAGTGATAGGAGTGATAGGAGTGATAGGAGTGATAGGAGTGATAGGAGTAATAGAAATGACAGGAAATTTGATAGAAATGATAGAAAATTTGACAGAACAAATAAAGGTTTCGATAAATACAACAATGAGTTTGATTTCAATACTACAGATTCAAAAAAATATGAAAAAAATTTTGAATCCAGAAGCAAAACTAGTAAAAAATTTTCCTCTGATGAAAAAATATCACAAACATATCAAAAAGATGCAACTTTGAAAAATGACCAACTATCCTCTTTAGGAAATAAAATCAAAATTAGCAATTCAAAAATCAAAGAAAACTATTTTGATTCATTAACTTATCGAATTGGCGATAAAAATAAACTCTATAATAATAATCCAAAAAAATCTGAATTTTCAAATCTAGAAACAGTATTAAGAAAGTTCAATCCATTATTCACTAATAGTTTCAAATTTTATGAAATAGATAATTTACTATTAAACTTGATGAACAAAAATTTTCCCAATGTTGCTGCTCCAACTTTATCTCAACGAAGAATATTATCGGTTTTGAAATATAAGAAAAGCTATGGGAAAGCTCTATCATTATTCAGAAATGAACAAGGAAATGGAAATTCTTTTATATTATTACTCAATGCTTTGAATGATCACATAAGAATATATAAAAAGAATCCTTCCTCTAAAGTTTTCTCGACAATAATTATCGCTAATTCAACAGCATCTGTAATAAATTATCAAAATGAATTTAATAAATTGATGAATAATAAAGTGATTATCGAAAAAAGTGATGATAAACTGGATAACAATGAAATTAACAAAGAAATTATCAAAGAGAATAATAATGAAAACAACAAAGAAATTATCAACGAAAAAAATGAAAATAATAATGAAAATAATAATGAAAATAATAATGAAAATAATAATGAAAATAATAATGAAAATAATAATGAAAATAAGGATAATAATACTGAACATGATAAAAATAAGGAAAAAAATAAAAATAATATAGAAAATTCACTAGACAATAATGACAATGCTATACTAAACGAAATCATTAAAAATAATCATGTTCAATTTATATATAGATCAACTTTAGAAGAAGAATCTGCACAAAAAGAGCGTTTCACCAAAAATTGTCCATCCATTTTAATAACAACACCAACGAGATTGTTGGACATATTTTCCAGCTTTAACGAAAATCCTTCAGAGTTATTCAAGACTTTTCCTATTGGGGAATTGGAAAATATATTCATTGATGACGCTGATATTCAATTAATCAATCACCAGAAAACAGTAACAAATACTGGAAAAAACAAAAGAGCCAAGTCTAATAAAAACAAACTTGAGCCTTGTTTAGTACTATTGAATTTCTTTCTATCTAATAATTTGAATATTGTAAATAAACTTAAGCATGTTGTATTTATAAATTCAGTTGACTATACAGATGCATTATACTCTTTAGTTGAAGGCATTAAAAAAAAGAATAATAAAAAGGAGAAAATAATGTGTTCCAACAACTTTTTTGAGAGTATCGTTATTGGGAAACCCTTATATTCAGATTTTGAGCAGAGTTTAGTTAAAAAATTGAATGATTTAATCAGATTCAAAGCAATGAGTATAGATAATAATGACTCCAGTAAGGAGTTTGAAAACCTAAATATCCCTGTCATTCCTAAAAATGAAGAATTGTATAATGAGTTAAACATGGAAGAATCAACACATTTTGAAAATTTTTATTTAAAGAGAAGAATAACACTTTCTCAAAAGACTACAAATGCTTTAACTCATAATTATATATATCATGGGTTTGAGAAGTTTTTCAATAATAAAGTCAATAAAGGTTTGAAATTCTTAGTTTTAATACCCAGTGGATGTTCGATATATCTGGTTAAGGAAAAATTTGAAAATTTTTGTTTAGATAAAAAAATAAGCGTTATTTCTGGAAGGGAAGATTTTGATAATATAGAAAAGGCAGATATATTTTTAAGCAAATCATCAGTTATAAATTCTTTAAAGTTTTCTTCAAGAATTTTTGATAAAGTGATATTTTTTGGTATTGATACAATAACAGATTTAAATAACATTGTGATAATGGGATCAAAGTTAATTAGAAATAAAAATGGATTATCTGTAAATGATAACGATGAAAAAATTGATGATGTATACATTCAATCTCTAAAAAAAATTGATAATGAATTTGAACACCAAAAGCAGAAGATATTAAAAGAAAATAAACAAGAAATGAAAGAAATAGCGCAGATAACGACAGAGATTCAAGAGATTGAAGAAGAATTGAAAAACTACTTGAATATAGATCCTGATGTGGAAATGAGTATTACCAAATATAAGAAATTGATTGAAAATAAGCACATTCTAGTGACAGAATCCAAAACAATAACCAAAGAAAACAACAGGATAATTTCATTTTCGTTGACATCAATTAATGATAAAATGGAGAACGAAATGAAAACTCAAAGCAGGCTGATAAAGACACTCAAAAAGTTGATAAAAATGGGGCAGCTTAAGAAGGAAAAAGAAAAGAAGAAGGATGAGTTGGAAAGCAAATTGGAAGAACTTGAAGAAATAAGAAAGCAGAAGATAGCAGCTGCTACATTAAAGAAACAAGAAAGGGTAGAAAAAGAAAAGGAGCTAAAAGCAATTGAGAATAGTAAAATCCCAAACCAGAAAGTGAAAAAGGTACGTGAGACCAAAAAACCCAAGGAGATGATACTTATGGTTCCTAAATCTGAAAGCAGCGAGTTTGACATAATGTATGTCTACAGGACTGTCATCAAACTAGGTCTATCTGGGCTTGACTAGACCCTTGAAGAGGCCCCATTGGATGTAAATAGGTTTCTGCTACTATCATAAATAGCTAGAAGGCAGAATAGAAAGCAGAATAGAACTGGACATAGAAAGGGTTTCTTCTCACACCCTCGTAAAGTGAAAATGCACACCCAAAGCAGGATACACACCTCTTGTAGCTGTACGGCATTCTGTTTATAGAGGTGTTTCCCCCTTTGGGGCGAGCATTGTCCTGATAGTGAGGGTGTGTCTAAGATGTTTCCATTCTTCGGTTTTGTTTTAAAAAGCAGTTATTCAAAGCTGATTTAAGTTGGAAAGATACAACCTTCTAGTGTTATCAAAAAACCACACCCTTTTAGAGTTGTTACTGATGTCTGTCCAATTCCTCTAGTGCTGCCTTGGTATCATTGCAAAATATTCTTTTCAGATTTGTTCTAGATTTTTGTTTCATTTATAAAAGTTAAAATCTCTTTCACTCACAAGATTTCTGCTATTTGAGAAACATAGATTTCCACTTGGCCACCAAGCAGCTCTATATCTTAACAATGATGCAAAATGAGAGCAACAGTTCCAGTGAGAGTGATATTGATATTGATATCGATATCAGTGATTTTAGCGATCCTGTAAGTGCAAGGAGAAGATACACCTTTCAGACTGCTGATTTAGAAGAAGTGCCCAAGGGAATAAGAAGACAAGCTAGATCTTTGGAAAATTACAAATTTCCCACTCATCACTTGCAAAAAGAATTGATTGACCCAAACAAAATCCCTTTGGTTATTGTTTGTTGTGGTTCATTTTCTCCAGTCACCTATTTGCACTTGAGAATCTTTGAAATGGCGTTGGACTCGATTAGAGAAGATACAAACTATGAAGTCGTTGGTGGTTACTATTCTCCAGTCTCTGATTATTATAATAAAAAGGGTTTAGCTAGTGCTCCTCATAGAGTAAGAATGTGTGAATTGGCATGCGAGAGGACAAGTAGTTGGTTAATGGTCGATGCCTGGGAATCCTTGCAACCCAAATATACTAGAACTGCTTTAGTCTTTGATCATTTTAATGAAGAAATTAATATAAAAAGAGAGGGGATTTATAACTCAAAAATAGAGAAAAAGATTAATGTCAAAATAATGCTATTAGCTGGTGGCGATTTAATTGAAAGTATGGGTGAGCCTGATCTTTGGGATGATAGTGATTTAACTCACATCTTGGGAAACTATGGCTGCTTGATTGTTGAGAGAACTGGATCTGATGTTAGAAGTTTTCTTTTAGGTCATGATATATTGTACCAACACCGTAAAAATATCTTGGTCATAAAACAATTGATTTATAACGATATTAGCTCAACCAAAGTTCGACTTTTTTTAAGAAGGAATATGTCAGTAAGATATCTTTTACCAAATTCAGTCATCAAATACATTAGAAAACATCACTTATATGTCAATGAGTCCGAGCCTGTTAGTCAGGTTTTAGATAAAAGAAATAGGAGTTATATTTGAAGTTAATATATTTATTATTTCTTGTTTTTCCTTTCCTTGGTAAACCGCTGGTTTTTTTGTTTATTCAATTTAATCATAAAATTTTAATTCAGAAACTGAAATTATGAAAACAAAAAAAAAAATAAAATAAGAGAAATTAAAATTAAAATTGAAATTAAAATTAAAATTAAAATCTACAGAATTTTAGTTTGACTGTAAAATATCGTGTTAAAATGAAAAATAATGAACCACATAACATAAGCAAACTAATGAAAACAACGAACCAATCATATTGAGATTTTGAACCCTTTCCAATGATCAAACCACCTAGTGGAATTGCAGCTAGTTGAGCAAATGAAACAAAAAAGTACATTGTGCTATACCTTTTACCAAATTCTTCAACCCTGGATATTTGGCCCACGCAAACTGGAGTTAAACTCAAAACTGAAGCAGAAGAGAAGCCATAAAAGCTTGCAAAGCAATATAATCCATTTAACTTATTTCCAAATGGTAACCAAATCACAAGACAGAATACGCCTGCTAAGAAAACCATTATTATCATAATATTAAATTTACCCAATTTATCAGATAAAAGGCCACAAACAAGTCTGCCCCCTATGCCAGTCAAATTAACTAAAGTAATTAAGAAATACGCAGTGTTTTCATTGATGCCTTGATGGATCGTATAAGATGCGAAATATGTTGAAGCAGTTGTCAAGCCAGATTCAGCAAACAAAATTCCCATTACACAAGCCATGAATCTGTGATCAGTAATTGCAGATCTGAAATCAAAGCTTCCTTTCAAGTAATTCCAAAAAGAAATTAACTTCCTTGTGGATTTGGAAAGATTATTATCAACTGGGTTTTTTCTATAAATTTGTTTCAATTCATTATGAGAGATTCTTGGTTTCAATAAAGCTAAAGCAATTAAATAGCAAGTGCAACAAATTAAAGCAAAAATTCTCATTGCCCATATGAAACCAACTTTAGTATAAAGAGTTCTCAATATGATGGGGAAAATACAACCACCAACAGAACCACCAATACTTGCAAATGAAGTCGCCATGCCTCTTCTTTTATCAAAATAATGAGATATTATTCCGATCAATGGTGCAATACCAATGGCAACACCTAATGCAGTAACTACACCAAATGATAAAATGAATTGGTAGATGGTTTCTGAATTTCCTGTTAATATGAGACCAGTAGTTGTTAATATTGTACCGATAATCAATGGGAGTCTAGGACCATTTTTATCAAATAACTCGCCAGATAAAATACTGCCATTCAAAGTGACCATTAAATGGATGGAAAACACCCAACCAACAGTTGAGGTATCAACACTTTTTAATTGATGTTTTGCGATGTAAGCTTCAAGGGCACCCAATGAGTTTGTAAGACCAAAATTGACTATCAAACCAAAAAATGAACCTAAAACGACCAACCAGGCTGCCAAACCACCATCAGGATAATCATCGAACAATAAAGGCCGGTTGTTGTTTGAGTTATTTGAATTAACTGATTCAATGCCAATAACTCGAGGAGAGCCTAAAGAGTTTTGAGCATTGTCATGGCTATTATTGCTTTGATTGACATGACTTGAGATAGAAATGTTGTCTGTTAATGATAAATTCGAGCGAGTTACAGTGTTGAAGTTTGAAATGGATTTCTTAATGGAAATTGGAGCCAAGTTTGTTAGAGCTATAGTGCTCAGTCCTGATATTTGACTCATTATTAGCAAATAATTTTGTTTTGGCAAAAGCTGGGAAAGAAAATATTTGAGATCCAAAAGAGTGAAATGAAAAAGAGCAAGTTAAATTCAAATCTATTGGAAGGAAACACGATTTCCAACGATTTCTGGTGAGAAATGGTATTTGTGAGATCTCTAATCAACAAAATTAACAATCAAGCTCCATTAATAAGCCTCTTATCAAAAAGTACTGTCGGTAAATGAAATATACAGTCTTCGGCAAAAGAACGGAAGCGCGCGGGTGATTTGACTCATTATATCTGGGTTTTGCAGCTGAAGAACTTGGTGACTTTGCAACTGAAATTAATACTTGTTTTTTCATAGCTAGTGTTTGGGTTTTGAAAATCCAAGACTTAGAGCAATAAATTGCTATGAAACCAAACAAGACATATGTTTTTTAAAAAATAAGCAGCTACTCGAAAGCTAATAAAATGAAACCCTCCTGTCAATCGATGTGAAACTATTTAGTTAAGCTTAACCCAATGGAATTGAAACCTGCTTGATTTCAGTGGACGGGGTTAAAGAACTCAATAATCTGAATATACAAAACACACACAAGTACTATCAACAATTATTAATCCGACTTCCGGTTTAGATTATTATATTTACAGCCGTTCAATAGGTTCTGGATAAAAGAAGTAGAAATGATATTTAAAATTAGTACTTTTATTACTTTCCATTTTTCCTTGGTAAACTCTGGGATTTTCGTTTATTCAATTTAAAATCTACAGATTTTTAGCCTGACTGTAAAATATCATGAAGACAAAAAAAATGAACCATCATCGGAATAATCCTCGAGCAATAGAGGCTGGTTATTGTTTGAATTATTTGAATGAATAAGTCGGTTAATGCTATAGTTTTCAGTCCAAATGATTGATTCATTATCTTCAATTATCTTCAATTGCTTTTTTTGTCAGCCACATTTATTTAAGAAAGTGGTTTTGTTGAAGTGAAATGAGAAGAGAAGGGTTTTGATCAAATTTATGAAAATAAAAATGAATTCCAAGCATTCCACGCCAGGAATAATATTAGTCATTACTGTTATTGAAAAATTAACAACCAAATACAGTTCCTAAAGTTCATAACACGAAAAGACACTGAACAATGAAATATAGCTGGACTGATTAAATGGCTTTTGCAATCTTCAGTGGTAATAACTTCATTTTAGCATTTTGAGACCAACTAATATCGAGGTTCTTGAGATAGAGCTACAGCCATTGGATATGCTTTCCTCAATTCGACAAACCGAACCTGTTCAGCTGTGTAGCAATAGCTCTGGCTGAGGGCGATATTCTCAAAGAAACAACTATAGGCTTGAGAGAAAACCACTGGGGTATAGGCCATAATGGCGTCTGCACAAATATGCGCAGGCTTTTCGAAAACCAAAGGGAAACTGCTGAATTACGCAGCATTGGATCGGGGGTCCTATTTCCGCCCGCTAATTGGTTGCAAACCCACAGGGACGTTTTATGCCTGTTTCTTCCATTCACGTTTGAAAACCCGGAGAGGATCTCGGCTTTGGAAGGAAAAACCGGTTATTTCGTGCTGATTTGAATCTTTGGTGCGAATTATCAGTGCAAACTGTTGATTTGCATTATTAATTAGGGATTTGTGTGAGCTATTGATGTGAGTCATTTGTTTTAACCAGTGGTTTAATCAGTTGTGATAGGATTTATCATTGGGAAAAATCGTTATTTCACGTTTTTGCAAATGAAAAGTAATGTCTGTTTTTCGTTTCCCTTCGTTTTGTTTTTATATGCAACACCAACAATCAATCACTCGTTAGCAAATGGTTTTGAGAGAGAAAAGCAAAAGTAGCTTCACTGAACATGAGTCGAAAGAAATCCTTATATCAAAACACAAAAGTGCACCAGTAGAAAACAGAAAACTGCCACTGTCAAAGTTGACAGCTTGGGACGTTTCTCGAAACTCAGTGGTGTCTGATAACACTCCTGGAATTAATGATAATGATAATGATAATGATGCTGATGGCAAAAAACAAGATAGCTTCTCCGTAAAGGACTCGAATTCTAAAAATGGGTATGACAATATAATGAACCAATTCGATATGCTAGATCCTCCTCCTGATGGAGGTTATGGGTGGGTCTGTGCGATTTGTGTTCACTTGATTAATCTTTCATCATGGGGAGGAAACTGTTCATTTGGCGTGTTTCTATCTCATTACTTGGAATCAGATTCCTTTCATGGGGCAGATAAATTTGATTTTGCCCTAGTTGGTACTATTGCTATCTTTTTGTCAATGTTTTTAGTTCCATTAGTTTTGATTTTAAATGACTATTTAAATATTCAAACCGTTGTGTTCATTGGAGCTATTTGCCAAACAGTTGCTTATATCGGTGCATCGTTTTCAACAAAGCTTTATCAATTGTATTTAAGTCAGGGCCTACTTATGGGCATATCGTATGCTCTACTATTAAGCCCAGCTTGTATTGTATTGCCAACCTGGTTTCTTAAAAAGAGATCACTAGCATTTAGTATTGGTGTTGCTGGTACTGGTCTTGGTGGTGCAATATTCAACGTCAGTGCTCAAGCCTTGATAGATAAAACCAACGATCACAGATGGGCCTTGAGGATGATTGGAATTGTCACTGGAGTATTGTGCTTAGTCTCTGCAGTTTTAATCAGAACAAGAAAACCTTTGCTAATTGTCAATGATAATGATAGCACCAGTAACGATCCTCTTATTCAGAAGAAATCCTTTCAAGCATCTTTTTCAAAAATTTTCGATTTAGCCATTTGGAAAAACAAGCATTTGTTTTTAGTGAGTATTTGGTTTTCCTTGTGTGGTTGTTTGGGGTATGTCTCAATCAACTATTCTTTATCAAACTATGGCATTTCCATTGGTTTAACACCTTACCAGGCTTCTATTTGTGTCACAATATTTGATGCTGGCCAGGTTTTCGGAAGACCACTAATTGGGTATCTATCTGATCGATATGGAAGAGTTAATATGGCAATACTCTTTTGTTTTCTAACGTTTTTGTTGACCTATTGCTTTTGGATTCCTGCCACCACTTATGCTTCTCTATTGGTCTTTTCATTTGTAGCAGGTTTTGTTGTATGTGTTCCCTGGACTTCTTATGTTCCCTTGGGCTCCGATATTGTTGGTGCAGTTAATTTTCCTTCTGCTTTTAGTATTTTGAACGTAATCAGTTCTGGTTTTGCATTGGTTGCTGAAATCATCACTTTAGAATTGAGGGACTATTCTATCAGCAAACCATTTCTTTGGTGCCAGATTTATATTGGTCTTCTTTATTTAACCAGTATTATTTTTCTAATTCCTATCAGAGAGTATAAAGTCAGACTCTTACTAAATGCAAAAGGACCAGAGAATAGTAGACTTTTGAAGTCTGATCTTAAATCATACTTCAAAAGAGTAATATATAACACAATTGTTTAACCAAACCCACTCCATCTCTTTGTTTTTATTTATCTTCTGCTTTTTTTTATTGGAGTTTTCGGCTAATTATAATCTTGTATTAAATAGTATTCGGGTTGAGCTCATCCCCTATTTTTTTATGCTATTTATCATGCTATTTTCTTACACTTTCCTTTCGATCAGTTCATCTCTCAGCCAGTTTCACACTTTCAAGCTAAGTTCTTCAATACAGGTTGTAGACCACTGAAGTTGCTCTCTTTAAGCAGGAAATGGACGAAATACACAGTAAAAATCGTATTTAAGCTCGGTTCAATCGATGAATTCTTTGAACATAATTTCATTACTCAGAACTAGCAAAATAATATCTCAAACATTAAATCCTCCCGATTTTGTGATTCGATAATAATATAAACTGGAGAAACTATTGCTCCAGTTTATGATCTTCATTTAAAAATGGGGATCACAGTAAACTTATCAGAAGCCAAAGTAATAGCAAAAATACAACTTTTTAAATAAACTACTAAAACACTAAAACACTAATATACAAATATACTAATATACTAATATACTAATATACTAATCTACAGAAATACTCAAAATTACCCAAATCAACCAGATTACTCCAATCTCAAACAAGTTTATGGTATAAATAATCAAAAATATTCCCAAATGCTTGTTGTCAGCGAAATGGAATCAAAAGGTTTGGCTAATACTCTATAATCAAAATGAGCTCAAAGAAATCACTATTAGATATTCGTTTGGCTGTTGAGCCAGTCGATAAAACGACTTTCAGAAATCTTGGAGATCTAAAAGTTCCTGGTTCAGAGATTGGGATCTATGGGGGAGCATTGGTTGCCCAATCATTAATTGCAGCACTAAAGACAATTGATAATGGGCAAACTCCATTGAAAGATTCTAGTAACCAGTTCAAACCACATAGTATGCACAACTATTTTCTTCTTGGTGGTGATCCAAAAAAGGAATTAACTTATAAAGTAATAAATATCAGAGATGGAAAAAATTTTAAAACAAAGCAAGTTCATGCAATTCAAAATGATAAGATTATATTTATATCGATAATTTCATTTAGAAATTATTTGGTGAAAGATGGTGAGCAGTATGTTTTGGATAATCCATTTGAAAAAAAATTGGGAAAACAATTGAAGTATCAGCCTGATTTTGAGAAAACTGTCAAGACATATGGTATTAAGAACCAAGAGGATTGTACAAATAACGAGGAAGTGTATTTGACCAAGTTGGTCCCAATTAGAGACAATTTTTTGAAAGAAAAAAATGGTGGTAAAATTGATAAAAAGACAGCTAGATATCTCAAAGCAATTGATGAAGAGATTAAGAGTTCATATCTTACTGATCCAATGGAAACGAGGTTTCCACCCAATTATTTTGATTTAAGCACACCCAAAATCTATGGTAAAGACCAGCCAGTCTCAGAAAGAGTGTGCTACTATTATTCAAGAATTAAGCCCAATACTGGAAAATTAAATAAAACATTGGATAGAGAAGTTGGCCTTTCATACTTGAGTGATCAGTTTTTTTTGTTGGGACTAATGCCATTAAATAATAGAAGATTTTTCAGTGCCTTTTTCTCAAGAAGTTTGGATCATTCAATTTATTTTTGTAATGAGGTTGAGTATGACATTTGCGATTGGTTATGTTTTGTTATTAGTAGTTCAAGAAGTTCGGGAGATGGGCTAAGTCTAATGGAAGGGAAAATATTTAACAAAGATGGAAGGTTGGTAGCAGTTATGGTTCAAGAAGGATTGGTGACGGTTGATAATCGAAAATCAAAGTTGTGAGCTTAAAAAGTTATGAATATATATAAATGATATATAGATAGATAGATATGTAGTGGGATCGAAGCAAAGTATAGTACCAATAATATATTTACAGTAAAGAAGAATTCAATAAATAAAACAATTGAAAGAAATTTGATTATTAATTCCATTATTAATTTTATTTAACCTTGACATAAGCTCTATTGGCAATAGCTACTTTGTGCATTTCAGCTCTTCTTTGGTAACCAGTAGATTTACCACCATAAGCTGCTATAATTTCTTCACCCAATCTGATCCCGAAATCTCTAGAAGGTCTCTTTCTAGCACCATCCAATAACCAAAGAAAAGCAATTCTTCTTCTTTTTTTTTCGGGTAAAGGAATTGGTAATAACACTGACTTAGCAGTACCATCCTTGAAAGTTGTGGTCGTAACTAGAGGAGCTAGTGATATTAATGTTTTTTTGAATACTCTTATAGGATCCAACTTCAAAGTCAACTTGGTGAGATAAAGAGCCTTGGCCAAGTTTCTTCTTGCGACTTCTTTCTTCCCATCTCTCATCATCAAATTGACACAATGAGAGAGAATATCATCTTGCAAAATGGGGATTCTCAAATCTTTCACAGTTTTGTATTGGTCCCATTGTTCTTGGGTGGGCTTGAAGTCAGGAAAATTTGGCAAAACAGGCTTGTCTTCTTTGGAGTCGAAATAACGACTAGCCTCGAATAGGCCCTCAGGATTTTGATCGAACTCTGTTCTAACGTCTTGTATGGCCTTCAACCAGTCGTCTATCTGATGGTTCAAGCTGTTAGGATCGACGCCATTGCGAGCAAACTGGTTTTCAGCACCTGAGTTGTCGATTGTAGTAGATCCAGAGGAGTTGAAACGATAGGATTGTTGGCTGAAAACTGGATATTTGCTGAGTCTGAGGCTGACTGAACGAGCAGCCCAGAGCAAGCCTCTGCTGAGTAACTGACTTCTTGACATGCTTCACACTGGCTCTGATGCTTCTGCTTCTTTTGCTTCCAGTGCTTCTTCGGCTTCTCTGCTGATTTTTTTACACGCGACTTTCACGTGAACATGCTGAACAGCATGTGATATAGCCCTCCAGAAGTGGGACATGCGTAGGTCATAAAGATTCTGCTTCTTCTGCTGTTTTTGCTGTTTTTGCTGTTTCTACTTCTTCTCCAGCAAAGATGAATGCCCACCAAACCTTGATAAAACACTATCGCCAGGCATGTCTTGCCTGCCGCTTCACCTTTTTGAACTCCATAAACTCAGCTGAAGAGTTTTCCTATGTCTTCAACAATCTCAACAAGTTTGGCCATATTGTCAAATTCAACGATATCCATCTCGATGATCTTCATTCCAACAAAACTATGCAAAAGATATCATCTTCTCAGCTGAACCAGATAAAAAAATTCACTTCTGGCTCGAAACAGCATGAAAATTCAGTCTGGTTGAAAAATTATCAAAAACTTTACAACATCAAAGAATTGGATCAAAATCTCAATAACGATGTATTGAATATTTCAAAGGTCTACAACTCGATTTTTAACTCCACTTTACAGAAAAACTTCACCGAATTATTTGTCATTTTTTCAATTGATCCTTATTTAGCAGATATCAATGAAGGACATTTTAATAAATTTAATGCTGATAAATTAACTCTAATGAAAAATTTATCCGATCTACGAGGAATGCCAAAATTGATAGAATATTCAAAATTATTCATCCCAACACCAAAAAATCAAAATATAAATAAAGACAATCAAAATCCCTTAAAAACAAATGTTTTCAAAAACAAAAAATCTTCCATAAAAACTGACTATCAAGACTACCTAATTAATGGAATAAAACCAAGGTTAAGTGATAACTCTTCAAACGTTAATTTAACAATTGCAACAAGAGAATCTCCCTTTTTTTTTGTTCAAAATGATGATAAAAACAACAATAGTGGCAAAAAGTCAAGAAATCTAACATTTGACTACTCGAAATCTTATTCAATAAAAACAAAATTTATTAATGAAAATGATGAAGATTTCTCTCAACTTTTTAGAAATGAGTTTCTTTATGACACTGATGATTTAGATCATAGTATTTTTAATAATAATAATAAAAATAAAAATAATAACAACAACAATATTAATAATATTAATAAAAAAAATAACAATATAGAGAAAAAATTAAACTCAATTCTTCTCAGTTTTTATAAATAATTAAGAAGTTGTCAAATTGTATTACTTCCGTAATTTTTTTTATTTCGGTCCTAAAAATCCATTCTTTTTTCCCTTTCTTTATTAATTTTTATCACTAAATTGCTAATGCCCATTCGATCTGCTATCCTACTAGCTGCAATTAATCCCTTATCTTCTTTGATCTCATAAATCATTTCGTTAGCCTTTCCAATCTCTTCATTTACACAATATTTACCAAATAACTTTAATAAACATCGATCAAACTCAACATTTAATTTTTGCAAGAGTTCTTTATTCTCATCTTCTTTATTTCCATCACTATTATTTCTCTTGTAATATTTCCAATTGAATTCAATATTCCCATTTTCTTCATCAATAATATCAATCTCATCATCAGATATATTCACATCAACTTTATTTCCTGTCAACATTGTATCCAATACTCCTCGTCTTTTCCTGATATAAAAATCCTTTATTTTTTTCTTCATTTGAATTTCAAATTGTCTATCTCTCATTATTGATTCACTCACTAGTTGCCCCATTATTTTATTCTTAATCATATCCTCCTCCATTTCTTTATCTTTTTTTCTTTCTTCATCTTCGACTAAATCTTCATCTTCACTAATATCACTTTCATTAACATTTAAATCGATATCATCTTCATTATCTTCAACATCTCCCTCAACTATAAAATTATCTTTTTGTTTCTCTTTAGCCTTTTTCTTAATCGCCTTCACATCGATATTATTAAAAATAGGAATCTTCAATTTAATATCAGTATGAATTGGTAAGGGGACACCTCCATAATATTTATTGACTGAATCTTTAAATAGTATACATTGAAAATTGTCATCTTTGATACATATCCCAATATAATTTAAATTATCCTTTGAAACTAAAATTTCATTAAAGTTTAATAATGGTATTAAAATACCCTGTGATGATCTTCTCCATTTACTTAAACAATAAATATTATTGCAATTATCAATTAAACAAGGGTCATTCAAATTATTAAAAAATAATCCTTTTAAAAGAAAATCGGGATACTGTTTTAATTTTTTTTCTTGATTTCGTTGTATTCTTAAAAATTCAAAATCATCTTCTTCACTTATCTTATTACCATCATTTAAAGTCTCCTCATAATCTGCAATTGTTTGTTCATTGAGTATATAATTTGGCAAATATTCAATAGGCAATGGATTACTCTTTTGAAGAAAATTTAATGATTTCCTTGAAGTTATTAAATCTCTTATACTATAATAAAATTCATCACCTTTATGATTAGTTTCAATTGTAAATAATATTTTTTCATTCGCAATCGATGAAATCACTGGTAAATCCTTTTCAATTTTGACTAACAAGCCAAATTTCGAATAAACTCTTGTGTATCCCATATTTGTGAAAACAAAAATCAAGTTTTTTGATAATGATATTGAGGTTAAAAATTCTTTATGGTTTATATTATTGATAATGTGAAAATTATTTTTCTTTTTATCTTTTTCATTGTTAAAAATTTTTGGGTTATTGATTTTATAATCATTAAATATATCCAATTCTAGTTCCCATATTGAGTTTGGATCATTATCGTGAGTTCTAAAGGATATCATTGCAGACTTATAATCATTTGAATCTTCTGGTTTTTTGAAATCAGTTACAAAATTGATATTTTTAAGATTCTTGGAATAATAAGCAGACCGTGCTAATAGTAAACCATTTTTGGTTAAATAAGCTAAATCATAACCGTTATCATCAACAAAAAAATAATTCTTATTTGAATTTGATTCTTGAAAAAAAATTACAGTAATTTTTTGGGAATTCTCTTCAATTTGAGATTTTTCACAATAAACATAGCCAATTGAGTTTATATTCAAGTATCTTTTATTATTTAACCAAGGTGATAAGCCAGGGGTATAGGGTTTGGGATAATAGTTTGGATCAAGTTTTGATATTTCAGCTAACTTTGAGTCACCAAATTGATAATCATCATTTAAAAAATTATTGTCGAGAGCTTCAGCATCCATAAAATCATCTTCATTGCCCATATTGCTTCTTTTTTTATTACTGTTAATATTGTTATTATTATTATTATTATTATTATTATTATTATTATTATTATTATTGAGGTTATTGAGATTATTGAGATTAAACGTGAGATTTTCTTCTTCAAATTCTTTTCTTGTACGTTTGTTATTTTGCTTGGATAGTAAATCATCATCAATAATATCATCATCCTCTATAAAATCATAACCATCTTTTTGAACAATCTTAGGAAGGTTATCAGTAGGTTTTTGAGTTTCGGTAAAAGAGGCGTCACTGAAAAGATCATTGTCAAATAATGATGAAATGTTTGTATTGAAAGTGGCATTGTTGTTGGTAGTAGATTTACCGTTAATGAGATTGTTATTGTTGTTATTAGTATTATTAGTATTGGACTGAATCTTTTCAGCAAACAATATATTCTGAAATATTAGGATATCACCTTGGAAGGTGCCTAAAGCTAGGTTAACTTTTGAAGGATTATTAAAATTAAGACCCCAGGTTATGTTTGTTATTTTATAATCATTTGATAAGTTTTTAGTTATTAATTTTTGTCGTTTAGTTAGGTCCCAAATGACAAGAGAGTTGTCCAAAGCAACGGAAGCTAAATAGTTTGAATTAAATGGACACCATTTAATCTCGATTATGGCAGCATTATGACAGTTTAATAAGGTGAAGACATTGTTGTAATTAATCGAATCAAAAATTCTAATTTCTCTCGTTTTGCAAGGAATAGCAAATTGAGAGCCATTAATTGGATTCCATTCAATGTTATTTCGAATTATATCGTCTTCAGTTAGCTCTTCTTGCAAAATTTCGCCAATATCCAAATCAGCTTGGTAAACTAACGAGGAAAAGTAACCATTGAGAGTTTTGAGCAAAGTTGGTCTTTGAGCATTAATTTCGTTGTCGTTGTAGTCATCGTTTTTGTTTCCATTATTCAAGGCAATAGAAGTGTTTTCGTTAACTTCATAAAATTGGATATCGCCCTTTGATAGCGTAACAGAGAACACGTTTGTAAATTGGTTGTAAGATAAGGAATGAACTGTATCAGGCAATTGCAATTTGATAATATTCAAGTCCTCAATTTCGAAAAACTCAAGGTTAAAATTGAAAGACAATAAGACTAGATCGAGATTATCACCAGCTGCTATGATTTTGTAACTATTTCCCACTTCTTTGATAATTTTCAAGTCCCTCAAGGGCTCAGAGTTCCTGTAAAGTTTCTTTTGGTACTGGAGATTCTTGAGAGAGTCTGTGAGGGCATAGATTTCCAACTCTCCAGTGACGTTGATAACCGAAAGCAAGCTGTTGGACTTGGAGATATCAAAATTGGTGGCATCGTCGATGATTTCAAAGTCGTCGTGGTCTTTCTGAGGCAAGTCCAAGATTCTGAGAGCACCAGTCTTCTTCAATACCAAAATCTTCGAGTGGTCGCTGGAATAGAGAGGAAGCACTTTGCCTGAAGAAGCAATGGTCTGAATCAAGGCACCAGAGTCATCGCTGGGCATATTGGGCTTTAGGCAAGTAAAGTTGTCTTCTGGAGATGATCCAACAAAAGCAGAAACAACAGAAAAAACAGAAACAGCAAAGCTGTGTCTCTTTTCGGAATCAGCCACGAAACTTTTCAAAACGCGTCAATTTTTTTTTTGTTTTCGCATTTTGTTCCACTTTCGTGTTTTATTGAATTGTTATATCGTTATTATATCACTTATAGATTATTTTATTTATGGATATCAATTTTGTATTATATCACTTATATACCATGTATACTATGTTATTGCTCAGCTATTATAGCACTTTACTGATCCTTTTTATTCGTTTTCACACTGTTAGCAATACTTCGACCAAAATAGGTCACTCCTCTGATATATCCAAAGACGATATTAGAGATGAATATCCAGAGAAATAAGCACAAAACTGATTTCAATCCAATAGGCTCGATTAACGAGTTGACAAAATCTCCCAAAATATGGGCAACCAAGCTTGATGATCCATCTATGTACTCGGGATTTCGATTTAAACACCTCTTCCACTCTAAACAGTCATTGATCAATGCTGGCACAACTTTTTCGGGTTCGCAGTGATTTCTTATATAATTGTTAAGACAGATTTCCTTTGAAAGCAACAATTTCTCCTTTTTTTCCTGAAGTTGTATCATCATATCAGATTTAATGCTCTGGTAAAGTTTTAGTCCTAAAAAGAGGATAAATCCTGTTGTCAAGAAATTGCAAAAAAACTGCAAATATGAAGATAATACATAAGGTAAATGATACTTGGGAGCTGATGAGGATTTCCATGGTTGGGGAAGATTTTCAATATTGCTCAAGCTATCATACTCTTGTCTATAACCTATTATCTCATGGGCATGTTTATCTATATTACTGATTTCATTTGAATGATTTAATTCATTGGAATAGCTCATTTCATTTTTCTGTAAACTTTGGATGTTTCTATTCACTGGATCTTTAGAATTGTAGTAATAGTGATTGTGAATTTGAAACGAGGGATTTGAAACCAACTCAGGTTGATTAGGAAACAAATTGGAGTTATCGCTAGGGCTCAATTGAAAGGTGGAATTGACATTATCATTGTTGTACTTATTGAAAAAATTGTTATTGTTATAATTGAACTTTTTATTACCATTAAAGTTACCAATATAGCCGTTATTGTTATCATTATCATTATTATGATTATTATAGTCATAATTATTGCTTTGATTAAAATCATCACCACTTTCTGGCTCTTCTACAAAATATTGCCCAGAAGATGAGAAGAGTGATTGACTGAAATTGTTATAAACCCCAGCCCCTCTACCATTGTTGTCGTCAACATCATTATCATTATTATGAATATGATCATTATAAGTAGGATTGTTCAATTTCACAATTTGATTATTTATTTGGTTATTTATTTGATTATTTACTGATTCATCTTTTTGGTTTTCATTTATAAATCTTATTTTATTTTCCTTCTTATTTCTATTATTATTATCCTCTACTGGGTATTCAATCATCAATCTACTGACCGGTTTCTGATTTAAAGCCAACTTAACTCCTATCTTTGTGGGACTCAAAATTAGTTTGCTATTATTCTTAATAATTGTCAAAATAGATTGATTTTCACTCTTTGGGCTAATAATGATGTCTTCAACCTCTTCTTTAGACTGATATTGATAGCTGTATTTATAACTGGGATCATTGGGATCTATCTCTCGTATCTCATCATTTTCATCTTCAAGCATTATAACATCATCGTCCTCATCAAGTAAATCAAATCTAAGTTGGTGGGAATCTTGATGGTTTCTATCTTGCTCTCCTGACCCATTATAATTCTGATCAAACTCATCTCTTATGGATAGCATATGAATCAAGTTTTCTATTTCGTTCGACATTTTTCCTCTTGCAATCAAACCAATTAACAAATATTCACTCAATAATTACTATGTTCTTTTTGTCTCTGTTTTGAAATTTGAATTGTTACAGAATCAAAAAAATACAAAAAAAAAGCGTGGGCTGAAACTTAAATCGAGTGTTTATCTCTAAAATGAACTGCTGTTTCTTTAAACAATACAATAAAGAACTATCTAATTAGCTGCTATTTTAAAGAAGAAATCTTGCTCTCGACAATAAAAGACACCTACAGCATTAGTAGAATCACTCGTAGTCTATGTTTAGTATATTGTGGGCGTAATTTCGAATATATTAAATGCAGAAAGAATGATATAGTTGAGTAAAGAAATAATGATAATAGAATTAAGTACTTTCGATTGGAATATAAATTTATATAAGGAAATAAAAATGAAAGAAAAAAAGAATATACCTAGAACTCCAATTCAGGATGTTTTGATAAATAATCGCCTAGATCAATTGGTTCAAGAGATGAAAAGTTTTGATTGGTTTCGTTATCATAAAATGGGGAATTTTCGTTCTCAAACAAATGAGAAAAGTCATTATAGCCTAACGAAGTATTTGTATAAAAAGTCATTCTGTTATAGGGATTCAATTTCAAATTGTTGAATAATCTTAAATTAAGATCAGGGTTTGAAGTGGAATATCGTCCACACCCAATTAAAGTTCTATTGTTTGAGTTTATATGGGCCTTAAGGGTTTTGAAATTTGTTTCCTGATAATTATCAAAATATGATGAGGATCTTAATACGATGCCATTTTTATAATAACTATAAATCCAATCGTTGCTTTGAGTTGAGTTTTCACTTGAGCTATGAATATTCTTAATTCGTGGTTCAATAATTGAGATATATGCTAATTTTAAATTTTTTTTATTAAAATGATTTAAAATGAAAGAAATTTGGATTCTATTCAAAAACCCAAATCTTAAAGCAAACTTTTCAATTGAAACTTTGCCAATAATTTGGTCACATAATTTCAAAAAGGATTGGATTACTTTCAAATTGTTATTTAATGATTTATCATTTTGGAAACAAGGTAAGTTCAAAGAATTAACTAGTAAAAGATAATGGTAAACCGAAATTTCAATACCATCAGCACCAGCTAAAATTGCATTTTGAGCAGCAATGAAATAATATCTGTTATACAATTGGAATTTTAAATCATTTGGTAAGTTTGACCAATCGGTATTTGAATTTAAATCATTCAATTTATTTAATGGCTGAATTTTTCCATGACCTTGTAATTGGATAAAAAAAAAACAATTGTTTTTGTGAATCTTGGAAATGATTTTAGACCATAAATAAATTTGTCTTTCATTATAAATTCCAGGATTATGATCAGTGCCACCAATATTGAGAGAAATTGAAGTTGCTTCACTGATTATTAAAGTGCCGGGAGTTAAAGATCTTTGAATATAATGGTGATACATTAGATTTGAGGGAAGGTTATCAACTGTTGCTCTGCATCTTGATAAGGGACAAATAACCAAACGAGTTTGTAATAACATATTACCAACTTGTATTGGATTAAAGAGATTTGAATCAGCTAAACCATAATTAAGACTAACTTTGTTATTATCATTATTTTTATTATTTTTATTATTTTTATCTTTACTTGCAATTTTCTTTTCAGTATCAGTATGATTGTAATTGTACTTGCAATTGTATTTATATTTATAAATGTGGCTATTATTTTCAGTAGTATTTGATTGTTTAATAGTGTTATTTGAAAGTTGAATATCACCGACTAAAGTTGAAATTTTATTTGAGAAATTCTTCTCATTTGAAAATATTTGGCTAGACAATTTTATGTTCATTATCGTATGAATAAAAGTACCAGGAGCTTTATTTCTATTGTTCTTAGTATTAATGAATAAAATAAAAGATGGTAAAAAATAATAAAGAATTATAAAAATAAATAGAATGAAACAAGAACATTTATAACATTTATATAAATTACAGGTAAATAATATTCTATGAATATAAATGAATTAAAACTATGATTAAATAAAAGGTTTTATTTCCTTTTGAATTTAATTAATCGGTTTTAAGTGGATTAGCCTATTACAGTAATTCGAATAATATTAGTAATATTTAATAAAATAAATTGTCATTTAATCAAACGATATTAGTTTTAAGCCCAGCGGAGATAAGAGTGTGTAAAATCCTGCAATGTCCTTCATATTAAAAACCAGTAAAGAAGAGAAATTTAACTTTTTCCAACCTCCAAAGAGTTTTGTAAAGACACACGATCTCGCCCCATGATTTTAATTGAAAAAAGTCAGCTCTTATATTCTTACAGAGCAAATCTCAAGGCCGAGAAACTCGAAATGCAGTTGCAAAGACATTTTTTTTACAGAGAAAAAGGAAATAAAAAATTCAATTAAATCACAAAAAAAGCAAAAGCAATGCAAATCGAGAACCAAAAGAGAAATATCCAACACAAACCAATCCAAACACAAAAAACGCAGTTATGCCCAATTCGGATAAATGCATAAATACGAGAAAAACCGTTTAAAATGCATACTAGCGCACACTTTGCAGAAGACGCTGAGTTATCTCGTATTTGTGCACCAATAGGATATAACCAATTTAAAAGCACGTGTACATACACGTGCATAGCCGTTTTTCTGAATCTTGTTTTCTATTGTTAGTGAAGGACTTAAAGGGAGGACGTAAAGGAGGACGTAAAAGTCGGACATAAAAGAAGAATGAGGAAAAATAAACCAAGACGATATAAACTTGTTTCACCCTGGTTGGAGATGCTGTTAGAGCGATTGCTACTTTTTGCGACATCTTTTCTACGTTTTTCTAGATTGTTTCAAGCCTTTTCTGTGTTGTGTTGCTTCATTCTATTTTTTGTGGGACAGTACCTGACTGTTCTTCCAAGAGCATGCTTTATCTTGGAATTCTCTCACTAAATAGGATTTAACCGGGACGTGAGAAGGAAAAGGAAATATTCTATGAGATGGTGAGGTATCTCTTTGTGTTACAACAAGAATAACATTCAAACATTGATAACACTTGCATTATCGCTTTTATTTCGGGATTCGCTTTGCAATTTAGCTTTTTTGAAGGTAATCTGCTGTAGTTTCGGTATTCCAATGGATCACTTTTCCCGCTTAATGTACATCACTGAGGCTGAACCACAATAGGGTATGATTATCTAATTATCAAAGAGTAGTAATACTCTGAAAATACTTCAGTTATCATATGTTTTACCTCTGAAAACAAAAAGAGTCTTTTTGATGCGGATGATGTGGGAGCAGTAATTCATTACAATACGCTAACTACAGTTGATGTCTCCTATTGTATCTCAAGTTTTGTTTTTACCATTTTCCAAACTCAATTCCACATATTTAAATTTCAGCTAAGCTTTTCAATCTTCAACCAGTTTTACGATTATCGAGCCTGAATTGGTAGAAACCTTTAACAAAGGGGAATTAAGGAGAAAAAAGAAACGAATAGAAAATATTGTTTACTGAAAAGGGTGTTATATACTCAACATATTTATTAAAACATATTAAAAGAAAAACCATAACTGTATTAAGTTGAATTAAATTGAATCAAATTAAATTAAAAAATTCATAAATAACGTCAATCAATAATATTTATAGCAGCGATAACAGCAACAATATTGTTCAATACTTATAAATGACAGCTTTTAAAATTTCTAAAAAGCGATAACTCATTTTCAAAAAACTAAACCGATAAACTGAAGCAAAACGGATGACTCAAAAAGAAAATAACCACCAGATTTGGAATATATTGGAATAATTAGTTGATAAAACCCAAGAATAAAAAACTAAAAATAAAGTTAACAGAGTAAATAAAAGATTAATTATATCACAATACTAAAATAATAAAACAAAAACAAAAAGAGAATATAAAAAAACCAAATTGAAAACACAAATTAAGTTATCAGTAGTAATATGATAAGAAAATAACTAACAAAAAAAAAACTATAATAAAACCAAATCACAATCGTTAATTGGAAACAAACAAAATTAAACAAATTGAATTAAAAAAAAAAATATTATAATAATAAAAATAATTTTAATCACACCCTCAGCAATCAATTGATTTATTCAAGTTATTTGATTAAAATAAATCAAAATATCCAACTAATTGAATATTCGATTCAAATCATAATCTAAAAACTTTTTAAACTACCATAATCATCATTCGTCCTAGTAAAATTGTTATTAGCATTATTAATGCTACTATTTGTATTAATATTATTAATATTACTATGATTGTTATTATGAGTACTACTATTACTAGCCAATGCATTTCCTGACGAATAATAAGTTTTTAAACTGACTAAATCATCATTATTTAAATTAACGTTTAAGCTACTGCTTATTGAATAATGGTTACTTCTTAATATCGTAAATGTATCTGAACTTAAAGTTTGAGATATCTCGCTATTATTATTATTATTATTATTATTATCATTGTTATTATGATTATGATTATGATTATCAATATCGACATTATGACCGTTATTATTAGTGTTATTGTTATGGTCATGATTTTCTTCTGCCAGGCTGTGAGTCTCGTTTCTAGCCGTGGAGTCGTTAGAAATTGTATTAGAAAGTAGATCTTCTTCTTCGACTGTGCTTGTAGATGTGATATTATTGTCATTCGTGTTATTAGTTGGTGTGTTGCTTGGAATGTTACTCAGATAATAATTGCTTTGATAGTTCAATCGTTCAAATATACTTGAAGGTGGAATACCGACAGTAGATGAATTGAATGTTTCAATAGATCTTCTTGATGATCTTGATCTATATAAAATGTTTCTTGATGATGAGGCCAACGTGATTATAGAAGATGAGTCAATTTGATTCCCATTTGTTGTCATTGATGCAGCCGTTGAATGAGCTTGTGATCCATTAACAATAGCGTTTCTTAACGGATTTGAATATGTATAATTATTATTTGTACTGCTATTAGAATAATAGTGGTAGCTTTGGATTGTAGCTGACGAAATTGACGTTGCAGGAGTGTATCCAAATTCATCATCAGAGTCATAGCCAATACTATTCACAGTCAAACTGCTTCCATTCTTTAGACTATTAGTAGTACTCTGATGGTAATTAGTATTGGTATTATTATTATTATTATTATTAGTAATAGTATTTGTGTTAGTGTTAATGATAGTATTTGCATTTGTATTTGTATTTGTATTAGTATTGTTGTTGAAAGAATTATGTCGATTATTATTGTGATTGTTGTTGTAATGTAAGAAATTTCCGTTAATGACTGTTTTCAAGTTACGATTCAAGATGGAATTTCTATCAAAAATAGACGGTTCTTTGTAAGATGATATTGAAGTCATTATTGAGCCTTTCATTGATTTTATGTTTGATTGTGAGGAATTTAAAGATAAAATATGATGATCTATTTCGTCTAGGTTACTTTGAGTTTGAGTTATATTATCATCGTCTTCCAAATCTATATTTCCATCATTGTTATTGTTTTGATTAGAGTCAGCAAGGCAAGTAATAATATTACCGTTATCCCTTTCATTTTCATTTTCATTTTCATTTTCATTTTTATTTTTATTTTTATTTTTATTTTTATTTTCAATTGCGTTTTCATATTCGTTCTGATTTTGATTAATTTCAATACTGGCATCGATATCCATTTTAATATCATCATTATGATGATTAGTATTATCGTTATGATTTTGGCTATTAAAATCAATGATTTTTTGAGAATCTTGATCCAAGATAATTTTTTCATTGTTCAAAATTGAGCTGTTATCATTTATGGAATCATTGTTATCAAACAAAAAGGAAGAATGTCTAGGAATATTAACTATCATACTCGAGTTTTCAAAAGGTTCATCGTTTTCAATGGAAATCGATTTTGCATTATCAAAGGAAGATATTAGAGATTTTACATCATTATTTCTGAAACTATTGTTGTTATTATTATTATTATTATTGTTATTGTTATTGTTATTGTTATTGTTATTGTTATTGTTATTGTTATTGTTATTGTTATTGTTGTTTTGTGAGTTTGTGTAGGCGTTTATCAAATTGTTTGTGAAATTTGAAGTTATACCAGAAGAGTTTAAAGTCAAAGTTGAGTGAGTTGATGAAAGAGAATTATTGTTGTTGTTATTGTGATTAAGATTATGATTAATGAGATAGTTTTGATAGTTTTCATTTAAACTAAAAGTATCGTTGTTTATCGAGTTAATGTCATGATAATACAAGTAATAGTTATAATTTGTGTTGTTACCAATACTATGGTTATAGTTGTTATTAAAGTTGCTATAATTGAAACTGTTTATAGTATTGGGGATTGATTTAATTGATTTGATGGAATTTGGATATCTTGGAGCTTTATAAATGTTGTTTATGTTAGTATTGTTAATATTAGTAGTGCTTTGAGCAGAAGATTTTTGATTTAAAATAATTTTTCTATTTTTCCTGTGTTTGTTTCCATTTCTTGTGGATTTCGGATTACTTGAATTTGTATTTTTATTATTATTACTATTATTATTAGGAGTATGAGTGGCAGTATTTTTATTGTTATTATTATGACGATGGTGATGATGACGATTGTTGGGACTATTAGCAGTATTATTTCTGCAGCTGCTTTTATGGTAATTATCGACATTGTTTGTAGATTGAGAAGTTCTCAAGTATGGGTTATGATTGGAAGAGCTAGAGATGTTTGACAAAGGAGGGATGTGTTTCTTCGTGGTTGAAGATAATCTGTTGGACTGGATGATTTTCTTGACCCAAGCAAATCTACCAGATTTGATCTGATTATTATTGGAGACATCGTGAGAGTTGTTGTTGTTACTATTGCTGCCATTGTTGGTGGTGGGTGTATTGGCCTGTACATTGATTGGATGGTTTTTATGAGCGTTTTTCTTGGTGTTGATGTTGATATTGGTAGTAGCAGTGGTGCTGGTGCTGGCAAAGAGATTCGACAAGGTGGAGGGATCAGTGGTATCCATATTACGATGGTTGGAGGTGGTGAGCTCAAAGCTAGCTCTGTTTCGTGGAGTCTTTATGGTGGATTGAGAGTGGGAAGGAAGAACGCTTTGAGAGGAGTGCAGAGAATTGGCAAAAGAGCTTAGGTGGCTGAGGGGATATTTATAGGTGTTGTTGGGATTACCAATTGACTTAGATCTTGGTCTTGTTTTCTTTGGTGGCTGTTTTCTGGCATCATCCAAAGTGTTTCTGTTGGAAGATTTGTTGGATTTGTTACCGAGATTGTTTGGACTGGTGTTGCTTGGTTCTGCCATGGTGCACAGGCCTGGAGCCAACTTGGGCTGAATAGAGGAAGTCTCGGACGAGGTAGATAGAGGGTGATGGTCGCTGGGAGCAAAAGCAAGAAGATGGTAAAGCAGAGAAGGAAGAAGAAGATGGTGAAGAAGAAGATGGTGAAGAAGAAGATGAAGATGAAGATGAGGGCGTTTAGCGCCCACTTTCCGAGAACCAGCACTAGACACACATGGTTGCGGGTGCAGTGCTGGACTGTGTTTCTGCGTGACTTTCACGTGGGGTACCGGCAGTTTTGAGCCAGCGCTGTGGGTCGAAAAGAGAGGTAAACAAAAACACTAAAGCATTCACTAAACACAAGAGATGGGTATCGATATCAGCAGCACATAAGCAAGCACAAAGCCTATTCACACAACACCCCGTACCTCAGCGTTCTTGATCAACGTGTTGAATTCCTTGATAACCTGTTTGTTCTGCTGGATGAGATCCACCATTTTTAGCAACACCTGGGTGTCTGATATGAGGCCTTTGCCAAAGACCTTGATGTTCTCTCGCTGGAACTGGCTTCTTTCAATCGATGAACTCCCAGAACTGGAGTCCACGTCCTCTTCATCATCGTCCTCGTCACCAGCATTGCTGGGGAATATCCAGTTCAGATTCTGTGAATTGGCCTGGCCCCTTTTATTGAGGTAGCTGAGACATTTGAGGTAGCATTTGCTCCATCGGTTTTCATATCCTTTGAGTGCTTCTTTGTACTCACTCACTTCTTTTTTCGAATTTGGTATGTTGTTTTTATTGCTAGAAATGAAAATATCCGGTATGCTAGGCTCTTTCAATTTACTAAAAAGCCTGTCGATGTTCAGACATAATTCTTCACTTGACACTCTTCTTATTTTTTTATTTATTCTATTATTCTTCCCCACTGTATTCAAATTCATATCAAATTTCATCCTGGGAATAGTTTTATTCACTGGCATACTTAGATTGTCAATTTGTTCATTTTTTGACTTGTCCATCTTAGAGAAAAAACTAGTAGTGTTATTATTATTATTTGTATTATTATTATTGGTAGTGGTAGTGGTAGTGGTAGTAGTAGTAATAGTAGGGGGAATGGTGGTAGTATTATCTCGGTTTTCTTTATTCTTCTCATTGCTACTACCATTATCTTTATCGTTAAACATCAAATTCATACTTTTCATATCAAAATTATTTGAAAACATCTTTCTATTAATCTCATCTAATACAATGCCTTTATCTTTCCCCCCTGTTTCCTCTTTCAATATCTCCATGATTATCTCTTTTCCGCTTTTAAATGAATTCGGTTTTTTTACATTTCGAGTATCAATAATTTCATCGATATCAGAATCAACATCTGGATCATACTCGTTCATTAACACATCATCTTGTTCAAAATTTGTATTCTTCGTCTTCTCTTGATAATCTTCCTCTTCATTTGCATTTGCATTTGCATTTGCATTTGCATCTGCATCATCAATTTTCAATTTATTGTTTCTATGTGTTGCATTATGTATATCGTTACTTGTATACGCCCTTCTTAAACCTGATATCCTGATTTCATCACTTTCAGAATCAGTATCCGAATCAGATATGTTCACAATATCTTTTTCATTAACATTGATCTCATTAATTTCAATTTTCTTATTACTATTGTTATTAAAGACATCATCATTCAATTTGTCTGTTTCAAGTTTGGAAAATTCATTAGGTAAATTTCCAACAATATTCATATTTTTCATATTCTTCTTTACTGATATTGGTACTTTTATTTCTTTATCTTTCCTAAAAAAATTTAATACATCAACTTTTTCTTCCTCTGATATGGCATCCAAGTAATCTGTAGATACTTCCTCTTCAATATCGGTTCTAAATGCTCTACCTGAATCCCCTTTTCTTTTCTTCAGATTACTACCGTTGTTATTATTGCCATTAAAAAGTCTATTGTCCTTTTCAATGCCACCAATAATCTCTGAAATACCTAATCTATTTTTTAATTTTTCCAGACTACTATTTGAATTTCCCTTTAATATAGTTTCCTTAGATATTGGTTTAAAATAATCTGTTATATCAATATTTGGAGAATTCATACCATTTTTGCCATTCTTCGCGTTATTATTGTTATTATTGTTATTACTGTCATTATTATTACCATTGCCATCAATTTTATTTCCAGTTTTTGAAAGATGATTATCATCTTTTTTATTAGGAGCATTATTCCTACTAAAATCAACACTAATATTACTAGTACTAGTACTACTATTATTTTTTTTCTTGGTTGATTTCTTGGATTTATTTGTCGAAACTATAGTATCGCTATCGGATGATTCAATCTCAATATAAGCTAGCGCTTCTTCTCTTAGACTTGGAGCTTTTGAAGCTGAGCGAGTTCTATATCTATTTGGATTTCTTTGTTTATGGAGATTTCTAGTTCTACTAAATAATGACGATCTTGGTGACTTCTTCTCCGAGCTTTTGTTATTGTTTTTATTAATTGAATGGTTGTTCACAGCTTCACCTTTATATGAAAAGATGTTTGATGTCGTTGAATTGGACAGAGTAGGTTTTTGTTTTTTAGTGGCAGAATGGTCATTGGTGCTCGTTTCATTAGATCTCTTGACATTTTTTTTCAAAGAAAGCTCAGATTCATCTACAGAAGAATCTTCATCAGAATCAATAACTACGGGTTTTGAAGGTGAATTTTCGTTAATTATATTGTCTTCATTTTCATTTTCATTTTCATTTTCATTTCCATTTTTATTTCCATTTTCATTTCCATTTGCTGTTTCTTTTTTCTCTTGATTGGGATTGAAAGCAGGTTCATCTTCATTGGAATATAAACTAAAACCCTTTTTCTTTTTGGTATTGTGATTAAAAAGTTTACCTTTTTTGTGATTAGTCTTAGTATTATTAGTTTGAGATTGAAATTCCGTGTCTTTTTGATTTTTGTAGTTGTTATAAAAAGAAGAAAAATTACTCGAATAAGGATTTGGATTTGGATTTGGATTTGAAGTGTTATTACTGCTATCGTCGTTATTATTATTAATGTCGTTATTCTTATTATTTTTATTGTTCTTATTATTCTTATTGTTTTTATTATTATGAGGTTTTGGATGGCTTTGTTTATGGGAAGCATTTGAATTTGAGGCATTATAATCAGCTTGAGTAGGAGGATTTGTATTTCTAGAGTTTTGATAACTTTGTTGAAATGGAGTATTCGCTGGATTTTGAAAATTGGGAAAAGGATTTGAAAAAGTATTTTGAAAACTTCTAAAGCTAAAATTCTGACTGGCATTTGGGAATGAATCACTGGAATTACTATTATTAATATTACCATCATCAAAGAGTGGGTTTGGATTTGGATTCGGATTTACGTTAGTTTCAGCGAAGAAAGGATAAGTATATGGAGGTTGGCCGTATAAATTGCTAAAGAAGGAAGAGTAAGATTGACCAAAATTAGGAAATTGAGGTTCGAATTGCTGCGATTGTTGATAACTTTGATGTTGTTGACGTCTTCTAGCATTGTGAGAATTTGGAGGATTTGGAGGATTAAAATAATGAATTGAATTTCTGTCATATTCAGAACGTCTAGTTGTATCACTTAAAACATGGTAGGAATCGACAATTGATTTAAATAAATCAGCAGCTTCCTTTGAAGGATTTTTATCGGGGTGATATTTTAAAGCCAATTTTCTGTATGATTTTTTAATCTCGGATTCTGAAGCATTTCTATCGACACCTAGGATAGAGTAATGATCTGGAGCAACTTTAGGATTTCGATTCATTTTACCAAAAGTTTTATTTCAAATGAATAGGAAAATGATAGAATAACTTAAACAGTAGCTCAAGAACTGGAAAAAAAATTTAGGCTGAATCCTTTTATTTTAGTTTGATTATTGAAAAAAAAAAGAATTCAAAAAAAAAAGAAAAAATTACACAAGTAATTGTAAAAACAGAGACTAACAAGAAAGTAAAAAAATAAGATAATTGAGATTTTAAATAATGAAAATCAGTATAAATATATTTTTATGGAATAAATAAGAGAATAAACGAACAAAAGTAAAATAAAATAAAATGACAGATGAGAAGAGGAAAAAAAAGAATACCACTCAAAGAACTATAATCAATCAAAGAGTATAAACAGAGATAAAAAAAAGAATTGAAACAATCAGCACGTGACTTAAACCGCTAAATAAAGACAGGAAACAGAAATGCAACGAAGACGCGCTTTATCACGCCAAACAATAGTAGGTAAGCAAGCCTGTAGTTACATAAGGATGAAATTGTTATGTAATCAATACAACTGAATAGTATTACGTCAGAGAATGTGCCTGAATTGGAATAATGTGCATTATCAAGTATTGAGTATTGAGTATTATTAAAGTTATATCACAGTTTAGTTTAAGACTAAAAACAGCATAAAAAAAGTATAAAAAGGTACAAAAAAGTAAAAATGAGTAAAAAACAGTAAAAAAAATAATCTAGTGGAAATATGAAATTATAAAACAAGATTCTGTAGATAAAGATGAAAAAAAAAGATAAGAGAAAAATATAAGATGATTCATCAATGGGGGAGGATAAAAGATAAAGATCTAGATAAAGATTAAGATCGAGATTAGGATAAACAGGGCCAAGGGAACAAAGGAAAAATTCATTATTCTGGTTTTTTAATAATTATCATGAAATATTGATATGGTAATTAATTATCAGTTTGATAATATTTAACAGTTTCATCTATTGATTGTGCAACATATTCGACATTTGAGTCATTTAAACCAGCAATAGAAATTCTACCAGATGAGATCAAGTAGACGCCATGTTCAGAGGCTAATCTTTCGACCTGTTTTGGGTTTAAACCTGTAAAGGAGAACATACCGATTTGATCAGTGATGTGATTCCAAGTACCAGGAGTATTCAGTTTTTCCAAATAGATTCTTAGTTTCAATCTCATTTCTGTAATTCTTGAGGACATTGTTATTAGGTCATCATGCCATTGGTCTAGCAATTTTGGAGTGGATAATATTTTAGACACGATTTTAGCACCGTAAGCAGGAGGATTTGATAGTTCTGATCTTGTTATCTTTTTGAATTGAGAAGCAATTGAATTTTTCAAAAACTCGTTATCCTTTTCAGATTCAGACAAGATTAAATGAACTACACCGACTCTTTCACCATACATTCCAGTATTTTTAGCAAAAGATTGGCAAATTATTATGGGGGTGTTGAGGATTTCAATACCTTTTCTTAGCGCCCAAGCATCTCTTTCCAAGTCACCAGATGCAAAGCCTTGATAAGCAGTATCGAAGATAACAAAATGATTTTTTGAGTTGATGTGGTTTAAGATTTCTAGCCACTGTTCAGGAGATGGGTCTAAACCAGTTGGATTATGGGCACAAGAGTGAAGAACAAAGATTGAACCATTTGGTGCGTTATTAATATCGTTCAAATAATTTTGGAAATCTAAGGATTTATTTGAAGGATCCCAGTACCTGTAAAAATCAACGTTAAAACCAGAGGATTCAAAAATTTGAATATGATTAGCCCAAGTTGGTTTTGATACATAAACAGTAGCTCTATTGTTGTTTGATATCACTAAATCTTTTGATGCGTTATTAACATTTCCAGTATAAAATTGAGATAGGAATTTAGCAGATAAATGTAGAGCACCGGTACCAGAGAGAGATTGAATAGAGACGATTCTGTTTTGGTCAAAGACAATTGAATCTTCACCGAGAGCAATTTTAGCAGCGTTTAAATTAAGAGATTTGAAACCTTCAATTGGCAAGTATTCGTGGTTGTAAGTGGGATCTGACTTGATTGATTCTTCGGCAGATTTGACAGAAGGCAATATCCATGGTTTACCATTATTATCTCTATAAGCACCCAACACCAAGTCAACTTTATTGGTTCTCTTATCAGCTTTGCAACGAGAAGCAACACCGAATAAAGGATCAGGAGGTAATTGGTAAATATTTGAGAAAGCAGTAGACATTGTGGATTAATAAAGTGTAATTAAAGATGTAAATATGAAGATGTTGATGTTTGAGAAAGAATATAAATTGGTTATTAAAAGTAGATTGATGATTATTAGAAGTGGATGTATTGAAATTGGAATTGGAATAGGATGGAATATATTTATATTTATAGTTGATTTAATAAATGTTTATATTTATATTATCTTTATAATAGAAAAAGAAATTCTAAAGATTTAGCGATAAAATAGTGATTTACCAAATAGGATGGAAAGCGTATAAGGTTGAAAATAAAGTTTGGAAAAATAAAGTTATAGATAGTCGTGAGTTGATAGCTGATGGCTAACAGTTGATTGAGAAAAACTGGTTAAATGTTTGTGGTGAATGATTTGTGATTTTTGGGTGAAAAAAAAAATAGGTAGGAGACTATTCTTTTATCGAGTGGATATTTAAGATAATAAATATTATAAAGAAATAAAAATATAAGAAAATAGATGAAAGAGAGGTGAAGTGCAAGGAATTTATATGAATTTTATTATACTGAGGTAAAGAGACATGAGCAAAGTATGAAAGAAAATTATATAAGAAAAAAGATAGGCATGTGAGGGACTGTGGGAAAGAAGAAAAATAGAATTTAATCATAAAAAAGAGAAGGTGAGTAATTAAACAACGAGAGAAAGCAAAGTAAGAAAAAGTAAATAAAATTAATAAGATTGGTAAAAATGGGTCTAGTTAATGTTAAGCAATGGAAGAATGAGGAAGAGTTTTCACAAAGCTCAGATCGAAGACTAGAGATTACTGGATCGGGAAAGGACTATTGAGTTGGCTGGAGAAGCAAGGTGAAGATTTGGTAAGATGTTATTAAGCACAGTGCCAAATCCAGATATCGTTGATACCAAAGACACCATCTTCGAAAGCGCTCGAGAAATATAGAGAGCTGCACTCGCGACAGAGCAAACAACAGACAATAGCAACTTCGATCGCGGTCGCATCGTAACTGGACCGCACCCTGAGTGGCACGGGCAGTGGCACCAGTTTGTCGCACACTTGAAGGTCTACATCCGCACAGAGACTGCTGCCAACAGTGTGCCGCCCGCTAACGAAGGGAAGACCTCGAGCCGGTTTTCCACATTGGACGAACCGCAGACGTGGAAATAACCCCGACAAGTTGCACCCGTCTGGAGCGACCAAGCAGTGGCGGTGAAGGAGATACAGCTCCGCCGGCAGTTAGCGCACGCAGGGACGGGCCGACCGTCAGCTGGTGGGGCACGCGCACTCGCCGAGCTCGAACAAGCCGAGCATCAGCACGAGCGCAGCGATCTGAGATGTATCTCCTGGTGAGCACGAGGTATTTTTAGCACGCCCGCGATAGCGACCCCTCCTTTAGTCAGCCATGGCAGCACAGCGGGCGGACGCTCAGAACCTGGATTGTTGGTTCGTTGGCTCGTTGGCGTTTGTTTCGCATCTAAATTATCCCATTCGACATCCAAACTCCCTTGAAAAGCTCGCCCACACCCGTACACCACTACCACACTGACTCACGGGGTGATGCCTTCATCACCCATTTTCCAATGAAGATATGAGCAACTTTTTGCCTTTCTCCTTTCGCTTTTCTGATGGTGAGAAGCGGGACATGTATCGCCGGTGTCGTATCTCGCCATACCCTGATGATCCATTCGAATACTGTCACCGCCAGCATAACCCGTAGACAAACCGGATCCAAAATCTATTCCAGTCTCAACTACTCCCGGGATTCCATTTTGCACCTCTGTAGATCAAATCCTGCAAAACTATCTAATAGACCTTTTTTAAAATAAAAGTTATGTACCACATGACTTATTTACTCTTGTGATATATGATGTCCCATATACATTTGTCTAGACGGGCGTGTAGCGCAGTTGGTAGCGCGTCTGCTTAGCGTGCAGAAGGTCTTGGGTTCAATTCCCAACTCGTCCATATATTTTTTTGTTGTTTCTTGTTATTAGTGTTTCATCACGTGTATCTGCATATTTTTTCCTTTCTTTGAATTCTGTATCAGCTCAGTGTAATTGATAACAAATAGATCACTACTCAACTGTAGTAGTTAATTATTACAAATTACAATAGATAAATACTAAAATGGAAAAATATTCAAATTGGAGGGATAAAGGAACTGGGATTGCTCCTTTCATACCAATTATCAATTCAAATGAGTTATTTTATTACGAAAACAACCAGGCGTATTACTATTTAATCAAATTATTTCAATTTATCAATTTTTCAATCAAATTTCCACTTTTCATTTTATTAAATTTAACTTATTTAATAATAGTTTTTCCGCTATCGATTGTGTTAAATATAAACAATTATTCGCAATACTATATATTAAATTTCAATTTCAACTTTCTCTTTTCTTCGAATTTTTGTTTTTTCTTTTCAACTAATTTCCAAAACTTAATTGCTATAAGAATTAATGATTACAATAAGAAGACAATTTACTTGAATGGTAGTTCAATCTTGAATCAGAATCTACCTGCCAAGAATAAGAAATATTTAGTTAATTTAACCAATCCATTGGATTTCATTATATTATTTTTAATAACCAAAATTAAGGATAATCAAAAAATAATTTATCTCTTTAATGTTAATGATAAGCCGGATGGTGAGGGCTATTTGGTTGAATTATCGTTATTTGAATCTATTTTATACTCAATTGCCAATCCGTTGTCGTATAAGATTAAGAATAAGGATATGATTAGATTTAATGATTTGAGTAACAAATTTAAAGATAAGGTGATCTTTATCTTTCCAGAGGGTACCACAAGTAATGGCAAATCGATTTTATCCTTTAATAATTTATTCAATAATGCTGATGAGAATCAATTGGAAAAGTTGAATATAATTTCTGTTAAAATCATACCAAATTATCTAACTACTCCAATCCCAGTTGATAAATTTTTTTATTTGTATTCTTTATTATCTAATCTATCGTCGATTAAATTTAATATTAAGATTCTTAATGTTAATCATTACATTGATGCTTCTGATAGTTCTGGTAAACGTAATTTGGAAGAAGAAGTTAGAAAATTGTTTTGCAATGATGGCAAAATCAGGTTTGTTAGTAATGAGTTGAATTTAAACAGTAAAAAAAAGTTTTTAGTGAAATATTTTAATAAAAGAAGGTAAATTATTAATCTTTTCTTTTTTTTTTTCGTTTTCGTTTTCCTTATCGTTATCTTTATTGAGATAATTTTTAGTAGTATTTAAGAAATGATTTTCACTTTTCTTTTTAAATAAAATTGGATTGAAATTTTCAATAAACTCTAAATCGATATCGCCTTTATCGCCGGAAAATTTAGCATATTCATTGAATATGCCACTTAAAGACCAGTTTTGCAATAGTTTTCTTAATATGCCAACCAAGACCCCAATTCGATGTTTGCCCTTATTTGAGTGAATCAAGATCGGATAATTTTGAGGATTCAATATTAGGTTGATGGTTTTGATTATAATTTTGGAATCGTTCATTAAAAAAGGTTCCTTGCATGATTTGAATTTAAAATAGTAGAAATTCAATCCGTTTTTTCGCTTTTTCTCTTCCTTAATCCACTTGTAATACAAATAGTTGTCCTCTTTGTCTCCTATATAAATTATCGTCTTTAGATTCAATTTCTTCAAGAATTTGAAATTGATCGGTACTGGATGTCCCGACCTGTAGATTGAGTCCTCAATCAATGAAAAATTTAATGGAGGAACATAAACCTGTCTTTCTCTTTTCTTACTAGCATTAGTGGCAGTAATGGCATTAGTAGTGATATCGGCGGTATCACTATAGTCATTTAGCTCGTTCAATTCATCATCATATTCATCGTAATTCTCATAGTTATAAATATCATCAACGTCATACGGCTCGTAAGGCTCATAATGTCGATCGAGCTGATATAGCCCAGGAGATTTGCTAGAAGCATCTACTGCAGCGCCATTTGTAGAAGCGATGTTGCTGTCCATTTCGAGTGAGCCTGAAATTTGTCCTTGTGAGTTAATTCTATTTGAAAAATGATACGAGATTGGTGATGATCAATCTCTTCTGAGCATGAAAACAACTGGATTAATTTGCAATGGGTGAAGAGGCGTTCAAAGTTGCGGGCCCACCGTCAGGTGTCTGCATCAGATATGCGGGTTTCACGTGCTTCAGCTGCATAGTGCGGCAGTGATGCATGGTCGGTACAGTTGCACTTTTTTGCTGTGTTACACTGCGCTGTGTCTGCGCCGGGTCTGCACCGTGGCAGCATTGCGCAACTACACACGTGTGTCCGCGGTACTATTTATAGCATTTCGAGACCCAAAGCACGGTAAACGGACTCATTTCTGTGGCAATGCAGCTGGCAGAGCGCAGCTGCGTGCTTTTAGACGCGAAAGCAAGGCGGGACAGTGCCAGGTCTGCGACTCTGCGGTCAGAACTCGAGCCTGGATGGAACATTTCATGCAGCGAGGCCTGAGCGACGTGAGAAACTTTGGGCACGACTGGGCCAGCCTATTGGAAACGCACTGGCAAACGCACTGCGAAACACAGAGCAATCGCAGTGGATAGCGTCCTGAATAGCGTTCTGCACGCAGCAAAAGCCTGGAAGAAAAACGAAACCACTCTCAGCACTTTTCTTCAACACTTTTGCATGGAGTCTATTGTGTTCATCCTGTGCTCTGGCCTATATATAGCTATATCACTATATCTCTATATATCTCCAGTATATCTCTCCCAGATACCCTTGCACCTCTTTCTCTCAATTCCTCAAAGCGTTTGATACTCCAGCTGCCATCCTACTTCATCTTATACATCCTCTTCCTTTGGAATTTGATCTCTATCTTTCTCTCTCTCATTTTTTTTCCACTGTCTTAGTGTTTTACTGTTTTTCTTTCTCTCTGTACATCAATACCTATTCATTCACACCATGGCCACTGAGCTCCTAGGCTTTGATTTAGACTCTCCATTGTTTCAACTTAGGCAGAGACATCCTCGTCACTTGCTTCGTAAAAGAGAAACAGCAGATTCTGCTGAAAATACTGCCAACGCTGAGGCAAACCCTACTACTACTCTTGATGACTCCAATATTACTACAGATGCCCAGGGTGCTGACTCAACTGGCTTTGTTCAAGCAATTTCAGACACAACAAGCGATTCGCCAAATCTGTCCACAAGCAACTTGCCAACGTTATCAACTGTCTCTATTCCCTCAGCTGTTGTAACGATTCCTTCTTCTAATGACAACCCCTTCATCCTACGATCTAACAATCCTTCTGGCATGGCTTTCATAGTGGTTGGAATAATAATGGCCGTATTTGCTTTCATTGTGTTTGTTTACTTTTTGATTAATATTTATATTGCCAACAGACTAGTCAAGGAAAACAGCAAATTCATGGCTAAAAATGACCCAGAATCCTCAAAACTATTGATGGATTCAAACAATAATCTATCCCACAACAATTTAAGCTCCAATAACCTAAACACCAATAACAGATCCAGCTTTGATTATTCAATTATAAACCACGACAACTCTCTAAATGATCTAAGCAATTCAAATCCTTCCATCCCACAGAGACTATCCGTTATACCTGATCCCTCGAACAACGACCACAGAAAATCATCAAAATCAATGTTTATATCTCCAACCGCCGACATCTTAAACCAGTCAAAATACAAAAAATCTGTTGATTATGAAAACTCTCTAACCATTCCAGGAACTATCTCAAGAACTGCATCTTATTCAAACCTATCCTCTGTTTTAAACCCATTCAATAGAAATACCACCGGTGGTTCAAATGCCACCTCAACCTATTTTGCTCAAATTAACTCTCTCAACGATTCAAACAACTTCCATAATAACGACCCTTCTAATCCAAATAACTACCAATTTGATTCGCCCATCAGTCCAAATGAACAATTTGCTAGCCGATCCAACTCTTACACCAACCTATCATATAACACTTTGCAACTACCCAAGGCCAATTCAGGTCAAAACAACACTGGTGTTAAACAAAGACCACCAAGTGCTTATTTGGAATCCCTCTTTGATGAAAAAAAACTCGGCGATTAGTCAAAATAATCGATTAATCTCATTCTTTATTTCATCATCAACCAATGATTCATATTTAAACTATACTAAATTTTATATCTTTTTGTAAATTTGTTTGCTATAGCTTTTTTTTTTATCTCATCTTTTTATATTTGTTTTATTTGTTATTTTTATATTTTTTTATTATTATCTTATTATCTATTTTTTTTTACCCGTTTTGTGTGTTTTAATTATTAATGCTCATCAAACCATTAATTATTTCTATTCGTTTTTTCTCTACATATTTCATCAAAAACCATTAAAAATGTCTCTTTATATAATATAATATACATCATTCACTCTAAATCTGTTTACCAATTTCAAATTCAAAAAGCAAAAATTTAAAAATACTGTTTTCCTTCACCTATATTCTAATTATAAACCAAGGTATGGGCAAATGAGCTAAAACCAAAACCAAAACCAAAACCAAATCATTAATTCATCAAACCATTAAACTTCTTAAACCTACTCAGGTTATTGCTCTTTCTCTTTCACTTAAACTTCTTCTCAAAGGTTCCATTCAACTTTTACATACCAACTGCTTCTCATCGCTTGATCTGTTTGCTCTTTTCTATTTTAATCTCCATGCTCTTTATTTAACCGCTGGGTCGAGCTCCGTTTCCTTTCCCGTTTCCACTCAACGTTATAATATCCTTCCGATAAATGGACGATGCTATCTCGAAATCACTACAAGTTCCATATCCAAAACGACAGGTTATCAGCAAGATACAGCGTAAGGCCTTTTTTTCCACTCACCACTAATCTTGCAATCTACATTTATCGTCTTTCTTTGGATTTCCTCCAAAATGACTGCCCCTGAAACGTTCTTCTTTGCTCTACTAAGAATATCCATAATTCACATATTGAAAAGCGTGGGCTTCAACAAATCTTCTCCAGAGACGATAGACGTCTTAGTAGATATCTATTTGAGATACTTGAAGCTACTAGCATGCACTTCCATTCAATTTGCCAACATCGACAACAGAGAAAATGATCAATTAACAATCCAAGATATCTCTCAGGCTTTTGTGCAGCTAAATTTTATCAAACCAAATTCAATTTTAGATTGCCATGACACTGAAGGGAGCAATCTATTGGGAATGCAGTATTTCAAGAATTGGATCAAAAACGATCCAAATTCAATCTCAGTTGAACCCCTAAATAAAATTTACAACAATTCTAAAATTATCTCAAAACCAAGTTTGGAAATGGTCCAAAACTTGAAAAATGAATTGAATAAAAATAATATGCCAATTTTATCAAACTATGAAACAATCGCTATAAACTATTACAACAAAGCTGTTAATAAAAGCATAAGCCATAGCGGTACCTATAATAATAATAACAGTGGAAGCAATGTTCATTTTCAGTATCCAAATCTATCAAATCTATCCAGATCCGTTCAAACTTCAGTGATGAATTTAAACCAATTGAATAATACCAACTACAATAGTCAAATCAACAGCCAGATCAACAGCCAGATTAATACACCAGGCTCAACTCCTTTTGTTAACAACTTTAACAGCTTGAGTTTCAACCATAGCCATTTAGACCATCTTCTTAATAATGCTCATAGCCATCATAATAATAATAACGAAGATGACGATAACGAAAATGACGATAACGAAGAGAGTGATGGCAATGAAAATGACCTGGATATAGCCAATGATTGGATTAAATTTCTATTAAAATCTCAATCAAAGTCTCTAAGTAACAATTTCAAAGAAAAATATAGCTCGACATTACTAAACATCAATAATTATATTACAAATGACTCAATTCATTCAATTCATTCAAATAATAACAAAATAATCAAAATAACGAAAACAATCAAAATAAAAAATAAAAACAACAGAAATAGTAATGCTATAATGACGAATATCAATATCAGTAACATCAATAATAACAATGGCAATGAAAACGAAAATGAAAACGAAAACGAAAATGAAAACGAAAACGAGAATAAAATAAAAGAATCTATGAATGTGGAAAAATACAATGCATTTCAAATATACGGAGATGCTCCTAATTATTTACTTGACTACTTGCCCTGTGCTGAAATTTTGAAACAGAAAAATATCGATGGTTTTGACGACTTTATTGCCGGACAAGAAAATAATGATCTTAATGAAGATGACCTAAACCATTTCAACAGTAATAATAATAAAAACAATGAACTGGATACAGATATTGAATTCATTGGAACTCTTAGTGGTAATCTATTTTCTAGTAAATAAAAGATTATAATATAAATTAAGTTATTAAATTATTAAATTTTTTTTTATTTTTTTTCATTTATTTGTCGTTTTATCTTCATATTTATATATATAAAATGATATACAAATTACTAAAAAATGGTTGTAATTAACGTAAAAAAGTAAAAAAGTAAAAAAGTGAAAAAAAAAAAGAAAGGTGAACATTGAAATGAATTATAATTTATAAAAGAATATGTAATAATTTTGATAACTTTCTTTAAATTAAAAAACTAACATTGGGTTGTTTAAGATTAAATTAGATCGAAAAAAAAATTAAATTTTTCCTTCTTTCTGGGCCTGTTTGAAAGCAGATACACTACTGGTATCTTCAAACAAGGGACGATACAATGGTTTTTTCTTTAAATGAATTTGATCTGCTTCTTTAACCCCAGGGATTTTCTTTTCCAATTTCAAATTATCAAAGACGCACTTGTTGAATAAAATTTCGGCCTTTCTGCAGTTCTTAAATTCGTGGTTGCTATCTTCAAGACATTTCCAATGCAATTTGAAAGATTCTGAACAGTAGGTATTTAAATCTTGTATAACACTAGAGGCACATCTTGTCACTCTTCGACCTTCTTTGAGACAATCAAACTCAGGGTTCCCAGTGCTCGATTGACTTTTGCACAACATGAAGTCGTCGTTATATGGCTGGCATCTGGCACCAATGAAGTAGGCAGCAGAGGTCAAAGGAGCAGAAGAAGCACCAACTTCTTTGACCTTGGGAATGGCATCAGGCAATGGAGTGGGATCGACTTCGCGAGAAACAGATAAATGTGGTTCTTGAGCATACACCATTTCGGAATTCTGAGAAAAAGCAGATAGTGAGGCTGTTTTATGTGCTCTAGATGAATATTTCAGCAAATGTTCCCACTATGCTCAATAGCAGTGGAAACATAACCTCTATTTGAAAAACGGAGCCTTTGGTTGGTGCTGGTATTTACACGCTTCTACGGGTTGTACCTCGGTGACACGTGTAATATTCATACTGAAAATCACATGCACACCACACATTTGTCACGTGTGTATAAGAGACCACAAAGTTAGAGCTCTTTCTAAAAGAAGAAATATGAAACTTCTGCTTTGGGCGGGTCTTAAAGAGAGGACTTATTCCCCAGCTATTGTTAAATTGGCTATTGTATAACCGTTAGATGATCGCTTTATTGATTACAGAGGTTGTGTTAATCACTCCATTGATCACTCCATTGATTACTACCACTATATTCGTTACACTGAGTATCACTGGGTCTGTTGCTGGCGTGCTCGACGTTTTCTGACCTTTTTCTTTGACTTGGACTGGATACCTCTCGTCAGTTGCTGGATGAAGGACTTTACTTTCTTATTTCCTTACTCCTCTGTTGAACCTTAATCCCATACAGGTTTTTGTAATTATTAGATAATTCTTACCAATATTTATTCCCTAACTAACGTTGCGCATTACATGAACACCAGACAATATGATCTCGGTTTTCTCAACAACCAGATCATAATAAGAGAAACTGTTTGGAAACTGAAAGCAGTTTGAAAACTGTTTTATTATCAGGCATATTGCGTTTACATGCTCTTCCATGTGCAGTTTCGTCTTTGCTATTAGCTAATAAGATGGCTCAACTATCTTTTCACTTGATAAAATTTAAAGGCATTTGCAACTTTCCATTCACAACCTTGAATTTCATCTTTTCAATGTTGTTGTCCTTTCAATTCACACCACCTTTCCCATCTTTTGTTTAATCTTCCTATGTATTTTATCTTAAAACCATCTCTTTCACCAATACTCACTTATCATTTGCCATAGGCTTTCGTCTTTCTTTATTGTCTCCCATGTCTCTGTGATCTTATAATCATAATTTCCTCAAGATGTTTCGATTCTCTATTCTTGAGCTCCAATACTTGATATTTAGATCAACTTTATCGTTTCACATTGCACATTGTCAGTAATTTTTCTCACTAAAAAAGCTTGATAAAGGAATCTGATCTTTGCCATTAATAAATTAATTTGATCAATTTAAGTCCTAATCAATTAAAACAAAAAACAACACACAAACTAATAAATAAATAATTCAATCTACTTTACTTATAAGTTTATTTTCATTAAACAAACATAATATGCAAAATCTCTTTTAATTCTATTTAAATTCACCCAATAAATCACTTCAATGATTCCTATTACTTATTTCACCCATCCAATCATTCCTCCTAAATTTTAAAACTTATTACTATATCAATTTATTTATTTTTAACTTCTATTTTTTTAATACACTGGCTATTCTTTATGCTTTTCATCATACACCTTTCACCTTTCATCTTTCATATTTTTAATGTTTAATTTATGATTTAAAACTTGATTGAATTTAATTCAAAATCCTTCATTTCTTTTTCCTCCACTTATTCCTATCGGATTTATCACTGAATCGAGTTGCCTTAAACTCTCAACTCATATCATATTTTTTAATCTAATTTCTTTTATTTTTTTATTCTTTATTCTTTAAACAAATTATATTCTTCAAATTACAAATAGTGCCATTATTTATCTGCTTTTAATCTCTTATTTCGCAAATATCGCCATAAACGATTTATTCCTTTTTTTAAACCATACTCCATTTAATTCCATTAAATAATTATTTAACAAATTTAATATCTTTAATCTTTTGTATTTTTTTAATCTTTTTTATTTTTTGCTTTTCTTTTTGAATAATTCGTCAATTTTTTCAATGTTTTTTGTTTGGTTTTTGCTTTTGCTTTCTTTTGCCTTTGATATTGTCTTTTCTTTTCAAATATGTTTTAATCCAATACCAAGCTTTTATCCAATAAACTTATTTATTTTTTTTTTTTTTCATTTCCTTTCTTTCATTATATAAAAGCAATAATTCCAATTCAATTTACACCCTGATTTTTTTTTGAAATATATTTAATGGATTTTATTAATATTTTGACATTATTGTTCTGATAAAAAAAATTGGTTATTTCATATTTACTATGTGTGGTTATTATTATGCAGTTAGAAAAGGTATATATACTTCCATTTTCCTTTCATGTTTTTTTATTTTTCTTCACTTGAATGATATAGGGAAATAAATAAAAAAAAATACTTGATTGATTTATTTATTCATTCAATTGATTTTTTTTATCTTTATTTCTTTATCTTTTTATCTCTTTATCTGTCCATCTCTTTATCTTTCCATCATGATCTCTTACTAATATATCATTATCACTTCTATCAATAGGTTTTAGACCCGGAGTTTATCCAACATGGAATGAATTGATGCAACAAATTGCTGGTTATCATGGCGCTGACTATAAAATATTTGATTCCTCTGAAGAAGCTTGGAAATTTGTTTTATCGAGTCCGAATTAAGCTATTGATAAATTAAGAGAAATTATGAATTCAATCAAAATGTTAATTCATTTAATTATAATTGTTTAATTATTAATGTTTAATCATCAATCATTGACTATTAATTTTTGTTCTTTATTTATCATCAGTCACTTCCGACTCATCGGTTATCATTTATTGTCTATCACTTATCGTCTATCACTTATTGGCTATCACTTATTTGGTTATTTAAAAAATTATAAACTTTTATTTTGAACAATAACAAAAAAGAAAAAAAAATATAAAAACAACACAAACACTTTCAATTTATTTGCTCCAAAAGCTATTAAAAATCACTATTGCTTTGACTGGATAATTTTTTCAATCATTATTGATTAATGAACCAAAAAATTAGATTCAAAACTTATAATCTGTACAATAAATTTATTTCTTAATTTCCAATTATTTTTTTTTTTTTTGCTATGCTATGCTATGCTTTTTCAGGATTAAGCTAATTGCTATTTTTGTTTTATCACATTGAGTTATCTATTTTATATTTATTATTCGGTTCATCATATTTTTTTAAAAAAAGCAACAACCTCATTATCTTAACTCTTCATTTATTAATTATTTCTTTATATATTTATATATTTTATACCTTTATCCTTTTCTTCCTTTATAATTTATAATTTTTTTTCACTTCTTTATTTCTTTTTCTTTGTTTAAATAATAATTTGTTTTTTTAACAATTTAAATTTTTATTGATTGATTATACTGTCATTCAATTTTTTCCCCAATTTTATAAAAACCTCTATTAAAATATAATAAACCCCCAGTTTTGTTATCGTTCTGGTTAGTATTATTTAGATTATTAATATCGTTAGTATTGATATTAGTATTAATTTTAAAATTTTTATTAATTAGAATATCTCTGACTTCAGCTATCCAAATTTCATGATCGAAAACTCTAAAGATGTTTTTCTTGAAACAAATGAAGATTCTTTCAGAATTGATTAGAATTGGAATATTTAGATTGTTTTTTTTAAACAATGAATGAATTGTATGGTTTTGGTTGTTTAAACTTTTAAATTGATTGTTTATAGTTTGACTTAGGTTGTTTGAATTCAATAGGTTATATATATTATTATGAAGATGATTATTTAGGGAATTATTTGGAAAGTATGAGTTAATTTGGTTGTAAATCGAGTCATTGGTGTTGTTTATGAAATCTTTGACATTATCATTTATGTTATCATTCTTGTTATTGTCATTATTATTGTCATTATTATTGTCATTGTTATTGACATTATTGGTATTTAAATAATCAATAAAGAATGAATATTCATTATTATTCAAATTTGAAAATGGTTTTGTTTGACTAATATTATTATTAGTTTTATTATTAAGATATTTTGAACCTTTGCTAAATAGGTTTGCCAATTTAACCGAATTTTGATTTGGAGGTAGTAAGTGGATAGCAAACCATTTATTTTTATGCAAAGTCTGGCTTGTAAAAGAAGGGAGCTGTAAGTTGAATTGAATTAAAGTGGTTGGGTTGACAGATAGCGAAACAACAGAGGATAAAGTCATACCATGAAATGAGTCTATATGGTTGTGTAGTTGGTTATCATTTTGAGGTAAAGTGAAGGAAGAGGTTAGGATCATTGTTTGTTGAGATAATCTGGACATACTTTCTTTGTAGACATTTTGATGGAGCTTTAAAGAGGATAAACTGGAATTAAATCTTTTTGTTATGAGGTTGAGGTTGTTGATAGGATTAAACCTTAGTGTATGGATAGAGCTATTGGATCGAAGCATGGTTGGGTATGTCTTTTAAAATAGTTAAATCAAATCAGTGAAATAAAAATTTTGTTTCGGGGTAAGATTTTAGTTTGGAGAGAGTTGATTGGTTTAGACGGAAAGAAGATTTTGGATTGAAAGAATAACGTTTGATGAATATTTGTATTAAATGATTATTTGAGTATTTATATAATTGCTATAATATATATATATATATATATATATATATGGTAGTGCTTTCATTTGATGAAATTTTTAAAAGATATTTTAAAACCAGACTCGAAATAAACTTCTTGACAATCGTCATTTGGAATGCCATTTTCATGAATTAAAACAGCAAAATCGATATGATCCGATTGGTTTAAATAGGTGTTGTTTAGGTTTGATAGGGCTATCATTGGAGCATGCCATGTGTTTGAGTTGTAAGTAACAGCCTGGTTATTTTTGCAAATAAAGACCTTGATTGAATTCAAATCAGGTAGTTTTGTATCATCTTGGTCATTATCGAGATCTTGAGCAACAACTACAACGTAACCGTATTCTATTGAAGTTGATCTCCCCATTGGTAGAAATGTCTGAGAACTGTAAGGATGTCTTTCTAAAACCTTTGTCAAGTAGGTAAAGGTGGAGCTTAACAGATCATATTGCATCAAGTGGTTTTGAGGGAAACATCTGAAGATGTTCCAATTGAGGGACTCTTTTTTTCTGGAGCTGCTTTGAGGAAACAAGTTCTGGATTTGAGATACCTGTTTGAATTTAATAGCAGTGCCATAGTTTGCCTGCTCAAAGACGCCTTTGTCGTTGTGGGACCTCACTAGCTCTTCGTCAGGCGAAATGATGGAGCCAAAAGGCCTAAATGCTTCGATAGTCAAGGGCTCTGCTTGAATAACAGGAAAGGACAGCAAGTCAATGTTGTACGTCTTCAAGGGCATAACGAGGAAGCTGGAGGTGGAAATGAAGATCAAATAAACAGAGCATCTCGAGCTGTGTGCATTTATACTTAAAGATAGATGTAAACACAAAATTCACAACCGACTTTTTCGGGAACACGTGACCTTATCGTTATCTTATCGGAAAACGACGCGCGGTGCACTTCGCCGAAAAAAAGCGGAGAGGTTATATCCGCGTGGCTGATGCACAGCATGCCGCCGCATAAGTGTGTCATGCCATGCACACGTGTCTGTGCGCGTGTGTGCGCAATTTATGTATGCACATATGCGTTGATCCTCAGCTCTGGCTCGCTTGGTACTGCACACGTGTTAAGATATCCGGCAGAGATCCGAGACCGACCCCAGAGAAACTGTGACATGAAAGGAACTGTTTACTTGTTACTCTGAAATAATTTACCAAACATCAACCCATTTTCTTTGCCAGAAGTATGAACAATTATTGCTCTCTTTACATCCTCTTCCTTTTCTGTCTTTAATTCTCTGTCTGCTATGAACAACCTTTTGGAAAAGTTTCTGCCTGGCACCCAATTGACTGTTGGCTCCCATAAAGTCGTCATATTGAAGTACATTGCTGAGGGTGGATTTGCTCACATCTATAAAGTCAGAATCTCTCCCGCCATTAAAAGCAATTCTTTGAATAATAACGACCTTAATATAAACATCACCAGTAACAACAAAACTACAGCAAATCCCAATAGCTACACCACCCCTGCTAGTTCAAATGGCCCAAGCAACCTCTCCAACAATTTCGAATATACCGATATCGCCTGTCTTAAAAGAGTCCTCGTTAAAGATAAAGCAGGTTTAAACCAGTTAAGAAATGAAGTCGATGTCATGAAAAAATTAATCGATTCTCCATATATCGTTAAATATATCGATTCTCATGCTTCAAAACTATCCTCAAATACCTCCTACTATCAGGTCTTTGTTCTAATGGAATATTGCTCAAATAATTCTCTATTAGATTTCATGAATTTACACATTAAATCTAAGCTAAATGAATATCAAATCACAAAAATCTTTTACCAAATTTGCTTAGCGATATCCTACATGCATTATCTATCCCCACCACTTATCCATAGAGATATCAAAATCGAAAACGTCCTTATAGACTCAAACTTTACGTTTAAAATTTGCGATTTTGGTTCAACTTCCGAAATCATAAATCCTCCAAATAGTCAACAGCAATTCTACGATTTACAATCAATAATTTTTAATCAAACAACTCCCCAATATAGATCCCCAGAAATGATTAATCTATACTCAAATTACCCAATTAACGAAAAATCAGATATTTGGGCTTTAGGTATCCTATTATACAAATTATGTTACTATATAACTCCCTTTGAAAACTACTCAAATAACGAAATGGCTATATTGCAAAGCTACTACTCATTCCCAGCTTTACCAGTTTTTTCTAAAAACTTGAAAAATCTAATAATTATCCTACTACAAAAAGACCCTATCAAGAGACCAAATATTTACCAAATAATCCATTATCTATCCTTATCCCAAAAAATTAATTGTCCAATAGTCGATAAATATTATTCCGGCCCTTATAATTTTAATAATCTAAATACGCAACATATTCCACACAACCCACTTAGTCAAAGTACTCCAAATATTCAAAACATCCAAAATATCCAAAATAACAAAATTTACAACCAATTTCAATCTCAACTACAAACTCAAATGCAAACTCAATCCCAATCTCAATCTCAGTTAAAATTACAAACTCAAACTCAATCAAATTCTTTGAATTATTACCAGAAAAATTATCCTCTGCAATACCCAAATAATTCCCACAATTCTCGTAACTCACATATATCCAATAACGATATCGATGATACAAATACTTATTTGTCAAATTACGAAAGCTCCTTCGACAATAATATCGAACTAACTAATGATGACAACCATTATAACTCTGAAAAAAATACAATAAAATTTATTAATAACACCAATAACAATGAATCTTATCTTGATGATTATAATTTGAAATATCCTCTGGTAGAACAGTTATCAAAATCATTTCCGGCTTTACCAATAAATAGCAACGCCGACAACAATAATGATAATAATATTATTATTATTACCAATACTACCAATACTGCTAATGATAATTATGACTATGACTATGGCTATGATTATAGTCATAACTACAATAATACAGATACAAGTAAATCTCCCAATAAATTAAAACCTTCAAATAAAATTTCCTCAAAAAAACAACTTAAAAATTCTTCTTCCAGAAAATCTCTTTTAAACCAAAATCCCGATCTATTATTTTCTTCTTTTCCTGACATTGATGATATCAATTCTAATACAAATACAAATACCCAAAGCTCGGTATATAAGAGTCCCTTTAGGTATGAATTTGAAAATGAGAATGAATTTGATAAATCATTATCAAATAGTCCAATCATTTCTCCAATAAATATCAATAACAATCCGAAAAAGAATGCCAACTTAAATGTCTTTCCTTCAAATTTCAATAAATCATCCTTATCAGTCTATAGTTCAAATTCTGCATTGTCTGGGTCAGATTTATCGAAGATTAACCACCCAAATTCTAGGCCAAATTCATTTATTGACCCAAATAATTTGAACATTAATTTTGACTATTATAATTCGAATATTAATTCAAGTATTAATCCAAATATTAATCCAAATAGTATACCTAATCTTAACCCTAATCTTAATTTCAATTCCAATTTAGATTTAAGTAGTAGTTCATCAGAGTCGGATAATGATGAATTTAGAAAGAAATTTTTCAAATCATCATCGGCAGCATTTTCATCAAATATTAACAACAGTATTATCAAACCTGTTGATCTATCGCCCTCAAAGAGTAGTTCAAGTTTAAAACACATAAACAAAAATCCATTCCCAACATTAATTGATTTTGAAACAAATATAAATTCAAATACTGCTCAAATTAAGAATAATAACAACAACAACAACAATAACAATAATAATAATATTCTAGATTTTGACAATAATAACTTATATATAAATAAGAAGGAGAACCAAAAAATTGATAAACCTACAATTGAAATGAGTTCTAAAATAACTAAACCCAGCGAGATTAGGAATCCTTGGGCAAGTTATCAAGATGATTCAGCATTCATAAACAATTCTAATAGTCTCAATATTGCAAAAGATTTAATGAATGTGGAGAATAAAAAAGCTATTAATAATATTTTGAATACCAAGAAATTAATATTTGAAAATTCGAATGCGGTAAATAGTTATGATATTTACGATTTATCGTCGGATAATGATGTGATTGATAATACGTTGAGAAGTGTTGATCTGAAGGCGTATTCGATGAATTCATCCAAGAGTTCGAAAAAACTTGGTGGTATTTATAATAGTAACCAAGATAATTTGTTGGTTGATTTACTTGATGATGATTTGAATAAGCTTGATTTAAAGCGAAAGACGGGCGGAAGTGAAGTTCAAAGTGAAGGTGAAAACAGTTTTAAAAAAGATAATGATGAATGTAATGATGAACGTAATGATAGGCATAATGATAGTAATGATAATGATAATGATAATGATAATGATGATGATAATGATAATGATAATGATAATGATAATGATAATGATAATGATAATGATAATGATAATGATAATGATAATAATAATGATAATAATAATGATAGTGACAATAAGAATCAGAATCGGAATAAGAATCAGAATAAGAATAAGAATAAGAATATAGAAATATTATTAGATTTTAAGAATGATAATGTTGAGTATAACAATAATAATCAGTTATCGAGTCAGTTATTAAATGAGGATTTGAAGTTTAACCCAAGTCCAATTAAAAACCTGAATAACGATATGGAAAAGGATTTATTAGATTTAAGTGATGAAAATCATAAGGAAATTATCAATGAGAAATTTCAAGATAAGAATGACAAAGTCAATGGAGAAGTTGTTGAACATCATTTATTGAAGAAAGATATCGGCAAAGCAATTGAGAAGTTTGATAGGAATTATGCGTATTCTAAAATCAATATTGATTCTATTAATAGCGATGTTGTTGATAGTAATAATAATATTAATAATATTAATAATAATAATGATAATAGCAATAATAATAATAATAATAGTGGAAAACCATTAAAAGTGAACAACTCTAAAGTTTTATTGGAGTTGATCAGTAAAGTGGGACAAGGAGAAGGCCAAGAAGAGTTGATATTATCGGATGATGATGATAACAATGATAATGATAATAAGAATGATAATAAGAATAATGATAAGAATAATGATAATGATAGGCACAAAAAGGCTGATGTGAATATTAATATTAATAGTGGTATGAGTAATAACAGTAATAGCGTTCATATTAACCATAGTATCAAGAACAATTTAAATAATCTTAAAAACAAAAACCGGATTTTATTTTCTAAAAACTTGCATAGTCATCCATTTAACCATTCCAGGAGCCGGTCGTATAATAATATGGTTAGCATTAGTGTTGATGAAGATCATATTGCTGAAGAAAAAGAAGACCGATTTGAGTTCAAGTTTGGAGAAGGCAGTGTTAAGGATAAAGATTGGGAAAAAGAAAGAGAGAGAGAAAGAGAAAAAGAGAAGGAAAAATATAAAGATAAAGCCAGAATTGTAACCAGTAAGTATCTTAATACTAAGGATGAGAAATTGGAAGAGAGTAGACTTGATAGAAGCAATAGCAAAAAATATGTGCATCGTAGAGCCAGCAGCAGGAGAGAGAAAGTGAAGTCTATTTTCGGTGGATTCAAGAATGATAATTAGTATCAGTAGCATTTTATTTCGGCAAGTCATGATTTATTATATTTTGTTGAGTTGTAATAACTTTTATATAGATAATCACTACATTAATTTATTTATTTTTTTCTTAGTTTTTTAGTTTCGTTAATATTGCATTTAAAAAGAAAATACATTCATTTATTATGAGAAAACTGCTTCGAATTAAAATCAACAAGAACTAAAAAGAAAAAGACATTAAAAAGAATGGAAATTAAGATGAGTTAGATTTCGGAGAACAGAAAATAAGAAAGATAAAAATACAAAGACAAAAATAGTTCTATAAAGTGTAATTACAAAAGGTCAGAGAGATTGAGCGATTTGAATAGGACTTTGAAGTCGTTGCCAGTCAAGTAGTAGTAGCTTCTGGAGATAAAGTAGAAGATGTAGGAGGGCAAGTAGGCACAGGTGCCGTAGATGATGAGAGAAAAGAACAAGAGCATGAAGGAGTGGATGAAAAAGGCTTCACCAGAGGTCATCAAGTAGAAGGGGAAGTGGATGTAGTAGGCCCAGCAGAGTCTGTCGAAGAGCGAGAGAGTGTGTCTGGGATACTCCTCAGGCTTAAAGGAGGAGGTTCTGTGCGAGGAAGAAACAGCCATTGAGAAACAGTAGCAGCAGCAGCAATTCCAGTAGTTCCAGCAGTTCAGCTTCTGATAACACCAAAGCTTCTGATAACACCTCACCTTCGCTCTCCTCCACAAAGCCATTATATCGTCGTCCAAAAGGGGAAGTCTCGTGACCTTCCGCACAAACAGAAGCAGCACAAGCAGCACAAACACCACAAGCAGCAGAAGCAGCACCACACTCACGTCATGGACAGCGATGACGACCTTCGGGCTAAGCTCAGCTATCTCGAGCACTACGTCAGAACTGCCTCTGAACAACCCTCCGAAAGTGTTTCCTTCGACCCAGGTCTCATCATCCACCACGAACAGCCCTTGCAACACCAGCAGCTAGAGCCTCTTCTGACAAAATCTGTCCAGAATGGCTTCCACAAAGACCTCACTCCCCAGCTCCAATTAAACTATTTCGCCCAGACCAGCCAGTCGAAGCTTGCAATCAACAATCTCATCCACGACTATAACACAAACCTCGAAGACTACTCCAATGACCACTCTGACGACACAACCTCCTTACAGCCCAGTAGCAATATCGACACCACAGAACAGCAAAATTTCGCAGCCGAGGACCAACTTTCAGCTGAAGGAAGCATAGTGTCCCCTGCCACGAGAAAAATTAAGCAAGCACCATTACTTACCAACAAATTTAACAACAAACTTAACAGCAAGTTTACCAACACCCACGAAATCAACAGGCTATACACTCTAAATTTGAATGTCTCAATCTTCTCTTATCGTCCAGTTATTCACAATACAGAATTAGCCACCAAGTACGAAAATTTTAAAAGGATCATCAATAACAATGTCATTGATAACAACGAAATGTTTAAAAAACAACTTGATGAATTGTTTGTAAATTCAACTGTCAACATCAATAATACTCCCAACAACATTACAAATATCAAGAAAAACATATTCTTCAATGAATTCACTTTGCCCTTAAATCCAGCCAATTCTCTACTATTATTTCCTCACTGGCTTCAAACTAATTACGGTATAGCAAATTACTATTACTACCAAGACAACAACAAATTATTCGCAGTTGATATATCAAACATTAGATTTCTTAACATTTCAGATTACCAAAACTACTTTTCAATTTACGATTCCGTTAACCCAATCAGAATTTTCGACCAAAAGACAACTTTAAACACTTTTTTAAACCAATTAATGCTCAAAAATAGAAACTTCTATTACCATGAAAACTTGAATTTGTTTGATCTAAACCAAATCCTATTCTCAAAACTCAAAAACTCAATCTTAATATTGGAAGAGTATCTCTACCAAAACTTAAAATTCCTCTACAATAACCAGCTACTATCCTTCAAAATTGCCAAAAGAAGTGAACCCCTCTTGTCAAATAACTTTCTAATGTCAAATCACTCCTATCACTACCTTCTAACAAACTATATCAATATATATCTATGTCTCAATAACAGACTTTTTAGAAAACATTCAACGAACCCGATTATCATTCGCTTGAATCTAATAGTCAAATTACTACCTTTGAATTATCAGTCTTTAATAAATCGACCCATCACTTTTTATATCAATCTTAATAATATTTTACAAAAAATAAACAATAATGAATTTGAAAATAAAATCGAAAATCAAAATCAACAACTCTCTCCCGACTTATCTTATTATACCTTTCACCTCAATAACTCCAATCTTTCTTTCTCCCTAAGCAATTCAAACATAAACACTGAGTTAGATATTTTAACTCTAAGTCTAAAGAATGACTTAACTTTAAATCCTGGTGTTATAATCAAAAATCTAGAAAATCAAAATCTAACTTTCGAGATAGTAGTACCAGAAATTTTTAAAAAAAAAAACTATCGTCAAAAATCAAGAATAGAAAAATCCTTGGAAATGAAATTCAACTATAAATATCATAATAATAATAATAATAATAATAATAATAATAATAATAATAATAATTACAAAAATTCATCAGATCTAAATGAAAATCAAATTGTCGATAAGGACAATTCACTTGATACAATTCCAGAAAAATGCAAAGAAAATAGTAATGATGACAATATTGATAACAATAATAATTATGTTGAAAAACACAATGAAAATTTAGACGAAGAATATCTAAAAAGTCGCAGAAAAAATTGGGATCAAGGTCAAGATCAAAATGAACACCAAGATCAGGATCAATACCTGTATCAAGATTGGAACCGAAATCAAAATCTGTTCTCATCAAGAAGATTAAGAAAAAGATTGTTAAATTTCGATTATTCCTCAAATAACAAGAAAACAAAAGAAAATGATGAAAATCCATACTCTATATTGGAAGAATCTACTATGGAAAAAATAAATCAAAGAAGAAAAAGAGCTTTAAGAAGGCATGGTCAACTTCAAAATCCAGGTGAAGTGATAGAAATTGAAGATTCTGAAGATGATTCAGATGAGTATTTTGATGAATATAATACAATAACGTCAGAAAATACACAAAATAAGTTACAATCAGAAATTGAAAATGTAGAAAAAAATGAAATTAATAAAAAAAATGAAAAAAATGAAATTAATCATCAGAGTAATCATAAAATTCTCGAAATTGAAGATAGTGGTAAAACCGCAACTGCCTTAGATATAGATTTTGAAATACTAGATGAATTAATTCGAGAGTGAAAACCCTGTATATTACTGTAAATTATTAAATACTATTTTATTATCAGGATTGTTCATTGATATGGTGGTAACTCAATGATAATTTAATTATTTCACTATTATTCATATATTTTATCCATTTCAAATTTTTTAAGCAACGATGATTCCAATGCAGCAATTGGTAAATATCGACTAATGGAAACATACGTCCCAGCAAGATGTCCTTCAAAAATTTGGAAATCATTTGGACCTGACTTGGTTAATTTGTCAATTACTCTTTGAGCATAAACATTTGGTTCCATTGCCTTGCCATCTTTTAAGACTTTCTTTCTCATATAGAAACTATTTCTACCTGCTTCAGTATTAAAAATTGAAGTTTCAGGAAATGGGGTGGGATCACTTAGATCTGTATTTACAGCTCCAGTTACAACATTTATAACTCTGACACCGAAACCTTTGACTTCTAAATGCAATACTCTAGCATATTGGTTCAATGCTGCTTTTGAGGCAGAATAAGTAGCACCAAATGGCATTGGTAACTCACCAGTAACTGAGCCAGTGAAGGCAATGATTCCTTTCGCCTTTATAACCAATTCAAAAAATTCAGTTACCATTCTTACACAGCCAAAGAAATTGACATCAAAAACTCTGGCTAATTGCTCATCATTAATGTCAGTTACAGGAGCCGATGAAGCCACTCCAGCATTATTGTAAAGAATGTCAATTTTTTCAATTTTGTAATCGTCGATTAAAATTTGTTTCAATTTCCTGATTTCTTCTACTTTTGCAACATTGCAATATAAAGGAGTAACATTTCCATTTGGGTTATTGGTTAAAAATGGATTCTTATCCTTGTTGTTGATATTCTCGTTTGAGAATACAATATCAGTTGCGAAAACTTTATAACCACGCACAGCAAATTCATTAACTAAAGCGTTTCCAATTCCAGTGGCAGAACCAGAAATTAAAACTACCTTTCCATCCAACTTACTCATTTTCTAGTAGTGGTAAAAGAAGAAAGGGCAACAGAGAACAAAAAAAGGAATTATAACAAGCCGGTGAAGTTTTAAATTTAAATGCATTTTTATGCGTTTTGAGACAAAGCGATCCAAAAAAAGTTTCTGATTCGTATTACGGATATAAGATCACGGAAGCGTTACGACACAAGCGTCTATTGCGGTGGAAAAAAAATGTAAATGTTTTCGTAATAAGCCGTCGTAATCACTCGAAAAGAATCAAAAAAATCAAAAAGACGTATTTCGTCGGAAGTTCTGTGCTGCCGAAATTCAATTGCAAGATTTTCCGTAATCGACAATCAACGGCACTCAACAAGACAATAATAGAATATTAAAATAGTTCATTTTGGTTAAACCATTGGAGGAATTATTTCAATTTTGTTTTCATTTATCCAGAGTTCTCCCAAAGTCATTAATCTCAAAGCAGATGGACTAGATTTAATAAAATTTTTAGTAAATTCAAATGCAATAAATTTTAGTAATTTTTCGGCTTGTCTCCCAAAAGCATTTAAAAATTCAGTTGCACAACCGTCCCACCAATTACCCAAAATAAAGAAGTGGGTATCAGTGATTAAACTTTCGTCTTGAATGTTTAGAATTTTTGCTACCATTGTCCAACCATCATTTATCGTGATTGGTAGTTTATCATAAGTTATATTAGAATACATTGGGTCTCTTAAGAGTGATATTCTTGTTAGAACTGCATATAATGAAAAGATACCACCAACTCTTTCATTATATCTTTCTAAAGATTCAAAAGCAGAACTGGATTTATTTGGTTTTTTCCAGCCCATTAAGAGTCTGCCATTTTCAGTATCAATTGGACATGTGAAACCAATGATGAAGGGGCATTTTTTAATAAATTTTGCCATCATAATTTGACGGAATTCAGGGATTTCAATTAAAACGTAGTAACATAGAGTTGCAAGAGGTAAAGTCGAGTTGAAAGATGGACCTATTTCAGTTTCAGCTTGTTTTATAAAACATTTTGAGGTGAAATGTAACAACCAATTAAAGGATATGCTATTTGGGTCATTTGATTTTGAATTTAATAAGATATCAATTAGTTCGTTTTTGATATTAATGAGTTTGGTTAAAGAGTTTGTTAATTGACCGAATTTTGGGTTGATTTTAATTTTTTTCATGAAACAATAGGATTTGATTGATTTTAAGCTTGGGTCATTTTTAACTTTTAATTTAATTTCGTTTCTATATTGAAGACAAATTTCACGGTTTTTCATTAAAATTGAAATTGAAGTTGAAGTTGAAGTTGAAGATTGGTGGTTTGAGAGATTTAATTGGTTGATATCTTTTTCATTTTGAATTTTCTGTTTTAATAATTGATTTGCTTGTTCTTTTTTCAAAGATTCCTGTTTTTCTTTTTCTATTCTTAATTGTTCGGCTTTTCTTTGTAGTTCTCTTTTTTCTAATTCAGCTTTTCTTTCTAGTTCAGCTTTTCTTTTCTGTTCCTGTTCCTGTTCTTGTTGTTCTTTTAATAATTTTTCTTGCAACTGTTTTTTTTTAAGAATTTCATTTTGAATTCTTTCTTTTTCTAATCTTTTTAATTCCAATTGTCTTGCTATTTCTTGGTCTCTTTTTGATATTTCTAATTTTTTTTTATTTTTATCAATTTGGATATTATTCAATAACGAGTTTATTTTGTTGTTATTTGAGAGGATTCTTGTTTGAATTTGATTTAAGTTTGAATCAAAGGAAAGTATTGAGGTATTGTTATGATAATAATTATTGTTACTGTTATTGTTATTGCTATTGTTATTGCTATTGTTAGTATCATAATGATTAATTTGTAGATTATTGAACAAGTTATCAAAATTTCTTAGTGATTTTTTGAAATTAAAAGCTCTTAAGTTGAAAGTTTTGTTTTGATCATGATCGAGATCCTTAAAAGCTAGAGTATTCAATTGCAAAGACATTTTTAATTTAAAAAATTAGGAACTAAATTCACTATAGATGATATCAAATAGTGGAAATTTTTTTGATAAATAGTGAATTGAGTCACGTTATCATGGAAGGATGTGGCAGCATACGGAAGTACACAGAAGCTCACGGAAGCACACGGAAGCGAATAAAGCGGATTTCGACCAAAGGAGTAAAATGGTGGGTTCGAGTCGGAAGCAGGAAGTTGTCTTTTTTGTTTTTCTGTGGAAGGCGGAGATGGAGATGAAAAGCCGGTAAAGGAAAAGAGCCGCGTAGACGGAGTCCTGTTTGGAAGGCGAGGATCCTGGCCAGATACGAACGGTAAGATTAGAACATCTTGCTGCAGGAATTCAAAACAAAGAGAGAAATAAGATTTTGTGATTTATTATTAGTAAGGACGATCAGTGGAATATAGGACAAGCAGAGATTGGATTTGGGGTGGGTGTTCAGTTTGAAATAGCGGAAGAAATAGAAAAGCCAGAGGTGTGGTGCACTCCGTATCTACAGAAAATGTACAGTGGATGGAGTGTATATGGACCCGTCTTAGTCGGACCTCACGCGACGCACACCGCTGTAGGGACACAAAAGCCGAGATTAGGGCTTCAAGCCGGAAGATAGTGGAATAATACATTAGAGAGAGCGGGTATAAAAGAATATATTGATTTGACAGCTCTTGAGAGCTTGTGTAGAGGCATGAGTTGGGGTGAAGCTGATAATAAAGATAGAACAGAGCTTGTAAAGGACTGGAAGAACAGATTCAATGATCATTGTAGCAGCATGAATATTGGATAGCTTCAGTTAGCACAAAGCAAATTAGATATTCAGATATACTCAGATATACTCAGATGCGAATAAATTTTTGCAATGCGAAATGAATAAGCTTTTCAATGTTGAATACACTTTTCAAATCTAATCTGGAGAAAAAAAAATATTAAAGTCAGTTTATGGGTCTTTGGGTGTGAAATGAATATCAAATTCCTGGATTTGAGATAAACTTGCTTTTTCGTTGAATATATTCTGCCATAATGTTTTGCCAACCACAACAGACAAAATTGAAATCGACACAAGAGCAGAACAGAGACAATAATTGGTGAATTAGTGGATTAGCAAGTTTTGGTGTTACAAGATTACAGTAAAGAGAAAGCTAAGCATATTCAGAAACACAATCTTGAATGATCTGATAATAGATCCAGCAGGTTTGAGAAAGACTAAATGGTTGAGCCCAAAAGCGAAAAATTGTAGAGATAGCAAAAGAGCAGGAGAAAAGATTAGATGTGATGGATGTAATGGATGGAGAGTTCTTGAATTGAGGATTTAATTTGAATAATAATTATTAATTATACTGAATTAACTAAAATAATTAAATTGGTTTAAATTTGTTCAAAATAGTTTAAAAATTAAGAAATAACCGTTGGGTTGATGAGTGGCATTGAATTAAAAAATAATCTATAGGATATAACAAAAGGATTGTTGGAAGAAACAAAGGCAGTGCAAATAAGCACATAGGAAAATCATTTACAGTCAAGTAACATAATCTCGTTATCTATCCAGAGGAATAGGTTGGAATTATGACACCAGTTGGGCAAATAATCCCCAATGCAAGCAGTTCTAATGGGATTTAATTCTATTTTATGTTTTATTTTTTATGTTTTTTTATTAATTTTTTGTTTGTTGAACAGACACTGCACTCGACTCTGAGAAGCACTCTGGAGCAGAAACAGCTCTGTCGCCAGAGGAAGCAAAAGCAACTGGAGGAGCTGCTTCTTCCGAGGGTTGAAGACGAAGCAACAGAACAAAGCCTGGAACAGGTCTCAGAAAGATTGACGACGAAGACAGCAAAGGCCAGCAGCTGGAGCTCGTACAGAGAACAATTGTGCTGCATCTGGGGAACATTTTGGTAGCATTTCTGATGAAGGTTGGAGAAAGAGCAGTTATCAAAAGTGAGGTAATGTGGAATTTGTTTGTATTGTGTTTTGGAAGAGGATGGAGTAATATTATTTAGCAAATATTATTATGATATTACAAATTATTATTATCCTTTGCGAGTTATAGGTTGTGTTTTATTATTATTATTATAATAATTATTATTATTATTATTATTATTATTATTAATTAGATTTATTATTTATTATTTATTATTTATTTCTGTTAAAAATAATCCCTATTTCAAGTTTTGTTGTTGATTCTTGGAGACGAGTCTAAATTTGATAAAATTTTATCCAAACTTAACCAAGTTCTGATGAAATGATTAAAAAACTCATGAGCAATTTCTCAAAATCCAATTAAATTTACTGAATTTCGTTTTTTTGAATTCTTTTTAAGTTGTTTTTAAGTCCTTTGCAATTCTTTTGGCTGATTAGATTTTGCTGTGTAAACTATCCACTTCTTTTGGTTTCTCTCTTGATTTCTTTACTAATTTCTTTACTGATTTCTTTACTAATTTCTTTATTAATTTCTCTTCTCTTCACTTTGGAATTCTAAATTCATTAAGTTCTCTTCTCGCTTTTTTTTATTTTCTATTTTGCATTTTGCATTTTTTGTATTTTTATCTTCTGAATTTATTATTACTTGGGTTTCTGTTTCTATATTCCTTTTATTCTCCCTCCAATTCCAATTCTATTCCAATTCTATTTCGAATCCAAAAAATCCTCAAGCTCTCTTTGGTAAATCTTTTCAGGTTTGTTGGAACAGCCCAAATCACAAATTATCTGAATCGTATGTATAAGTTTAACTTTTATTATAAATCCTAAACTTTTTTAGCCCTTGAACTCAGTGGACAGTAAAAATAGTTAATATTATTCATTATTATTCGTTACTATTCATTATCTCTCAACATTACTTCCTTTTCTCTCAATCTCTTGATCAACTCCACCTCTCTTCAGATCCTCCAGCAGACTCAAATACACCACCTCTTTCTTGTCGAAAACCTTTCACTTTTATTATATATAACCTACAAAGCTCCTCAATCTAAGTTTTCTGCTTTAATAATAATATTATTTACTAAATAATTCTCTCTGCTCATCCTGCTATCTTCTGGTTTGCACATCTTCCATCTCAGTAGCTCCTATCCTCTGCTTCTTCCACGTTGCCTCTATTAGATGATCATTGTGTCGACTCTCTGATCCTTCTTCTTCCTCCTCTTCTTCCTTTTCTTCTTCAATATGTCCTCCATTTCAAACCAGTTTCAACCAAACAGCTCTTCTCTTCTCTCCTCCTCTCACAATAACCTGTCTTTCCAGCAACTGTTCCTCCCAAACATGAACAACCACCCCCCCTACTATTCCTCACAAAACCACTCTACTTACACCTACCACTCCTCCTCCTCCATACAGCCAAGCGACCCTTCCTCCTCAGCTTCTTCTGCCTCCTCAGCTTCTTCAGCTTCCTCAGCTTCTTCAGCTTCCTCAGCTTCTTCAGCTTCCTCTGCCAAATTCACAAATCCTGACGACAAAAGTCTCTTGAATGATACCGAAAACGAGCCTGCTGATGATTCTGACAATATCCAGAGTGAAAATACCTCCCACAATATACTACTAAAGGGCACTGCTACCAACGACACCTCCATCAAAGAAAGAGACAATCACCTAATCTCTTCTCAAAACAACATCAACTCTTTTACCTCTATTAACCATATAAACAACCTATCTGACATCAACAATATGAACATCAATGAACTAAACAAAAACAAAATCCAACTGTTACACCAATACTCAAATCCAACAACCTCAACTAATACTACCACTGTAAATGCAACTTTTAATAAAAACATTCAAACCAACATCAATACTAACACTTTTAACTCAAATAGTTCTTTCCTAATAAACCAAGACTCCTCTTCTCTGTTCAACCAAATTAGTGAGGATAATTCCCCAAACATATTAAATAACAATATTCAAAATTTCCCAAATATTCAATCCACCAATAACAATCCTACTTCTTCTAACCCAAACAACCCAAACAAATCTCCTGCTGATCTAATGAACAATAACTCTTCAACTTTTAATCCACTTACTAATATCTCCTCTATCTCAAATAACTCTTATAACCAATCCCCAATGTTGTCAACTCGCTCTACCAACCCTATGCCAATGTACTCAACTCCAAGCTTGACCCCTTCAATCTCAACAAACAATACAAACCAAAACATCCAATCTGATCTCTTTAGAAAACCAACTTCAAATTCAATAGCTAGAATATCGTTTCCAACAAATTCTAAAAATTTATCTTCAACTTTCGATCCTACAAACCAAAACTCAAACCAAAACTCAAACCAATCCTCCAACCAAAATACCATCTTTAACACCCCCTCAAAAAACAACATAGCTGAAAGATTAGCCAGTCTACTTCCTGCTCCTCCCTTATCCTTTGCTCAAATAAGAAACGAGGCCTTGCAACCACAGCCCTCTAGAAGAGCTCGTAGAAGATCAAAGTATACTGCTGAACAAGATGAATTAATTGTCTCGCTAAAAAAAGGCGGAAGAAGTTGGGTCGATATAGCTGAATTAACTGGCGTGGGAAACTTTTTAGCTGCAAGAAATAGATACCAGGTCTTAATAGGCCAACAAGGTGGTGGTGCAGCTGCCTGGGGAACTGATGATGCTAATGCTCTACAGGCCTTACTAGATGAAGGTGAAACTGAAAAATGGAAATTCATTTCAAGAGAAATCCAAAAGGCAACAGGCAAACTCTTCACAGATAAACAATGCCAAAAAATTGTTCGTGAATTGTTTTGGAAGGATTCAAAGACATTTGGCATAACTGAAGAAAGCGTTGAACAATATTACAACGAAATCAAAAGTCGAAATGGCAACTCTTCAAATCAAAATACTCATTCTGCTACTCGCCATCAAAGTGTCCAATCTCAGTCTCAACCCCAACTCCAACCTCAACTTCAACTTCAACCCCAATCACATACTCATGTTCAGGTTCAAGCCCAAAGACTAAGGCAAAATGTTCCACCTCAAATGCAAATATCAAATTCAAATAATTTAAACCAAAATGGCTACTTGTCCTACTTTAATGACCAATCATCAAATCCAAATTCTAATTCCAATAACCCATCAAATTTTTCATCCTTCTCAACAACAACTGCTGGCACCACTACTAGTTCCACCAACAATACAGATTCTTTCTACTCAATGCCTCCTCCTCCACATCCTCAAAATCTGTATTCTTCAACTACCTCTCATTATCCTTATTCTAATCCAGCAGTATCAACAGCCTCTAATTCTGGTGGCGCTTTATTAAGTACTGGATTTGCTTTTTCTAATATCGATGAGCAGAATTGAAGAAAAGAAAAGAAAAGAAAAAAAAAATTTGTTAAACTTTTTATTCATTAAATCAATTAATCAATTTTTTCTTGACCATATATTTTTTATTTATTCCTATTCTTTTTTCGAATCCAAGTTTTTTTTAATTTCAATCTTCCTACATTATTTTGTTAGTTTGGTGTATTCTTTAAATTATTAATAATTCGTTAAAAATAAAACTGAAAAAAATTTATAAATCATAAATCTTTTTTTAACCCAGGGGGAAAAGTGATTTTTTTTTACAACTTTTCCATTCTATTCTATTCTCTTTTCTTTTCTTTTCTTTTCTTTTCTTTTCTTATTTGATGATTTTAATGATTATCTTATATTATATTAAACTCTTTCTTTTCTCTTTTCTCTTTTCTCTTTTCTCTTTTCTCTTCTCTTTCCTTTTTTTTTGTCATAATAGTTCCATTTTAAAACAAAATTAGGAATCTTTTTTTTTTTTACAGATTGATATTGTTTTTTATTAAAATTTTCTATTTATTCATTTATTTTGTTTTATTTTGTTTTATTCTGTTTTATTTTGTTTTAATCTATTTTTATTCAATCTATTGATTTACATTAAATTTTTATCAAAATTATATTAAATTTTTATCAAAATTAAATCAAATTTTTTATCAAACTCTAATTATTTTATTGAAAACCCATTTTTTACTATTTTGTTTATATATATCTCCAAGTTAATTCTCATACATATCTGTTTTCTCTTGATTTAAGTAATTAATATACAAATTATATTTTTATTAAAAGATATCATAAATCGCAAATTATACATTCGAGAATTGATCGATATGAGATTGCTATTATTCCAATTGGCAAATTAGGTTTCAAATTAATAAATATTATTAAAAAATTTATTATTAAAATTTATTATTAATGAACCTTTTATTATTATTATTATTGTTATTGATATTAATAATTTTAATTTAAGTCTGACTAGATTACAAATTTAAAATTTAAAATTAGAAAAAAAAAAAAGCATTAATCTATTGTAGTAAAATTGACATATAAAAATTTATATAAAAGCTAACTAGAAATAATTAAATCAGTTCAAAAAGACAATATGATTGAATTAGAATCTTTGGATGGTTTCGTAAAAGGTTTTACCTTGAATGAAAGCAACTTCCAATTCTAATTTAGTTGGTTGTCTGGAACCATCAGCACCAGCATAGGTACCAGCACCCCAAGGAGAGCCACCATGGACTTCATCAAGGTTGGTGAGTAGACCAAAATTGTTCTTGTAGCCTAATGGAACATAGATCAAGCCGTGGTGAGTTAAAGTGGACAAAGCATTTAAAGCAGTGACTTCTTGACCACCACCTGGAGTACCAGTGGAGANAAAGATTCCAGCAGGTTTGTGGTGTAAAGCCCCAGAAGCCCATAAACCACCAGTGGCATCCCAGAAGGCCTTCCATTGAGCTGGGAAGTTACCATATCTTGTTGGAATACCGAATAAGAAAGCATCGTAAGATTGCAAAGTTTCGTTTGTTGCAATTGGGATGTCTGCTGGTTTTGGTGGAGCATGCATAGCAGTCAATATTTCGGGAGACAAAGTTTCTGGGACTTGGAATAAATCAGCAACACCACCAGCAGCTTCAACACCTTGCTTGATTTCTTTGGCTAAGGTAGAAACATGTGTGTATAAAGAGTAGTAGATGATAGCAATTTTTGGAGCCATTGTTAAAAACTTAAGAGATAAAGTGAGATTGAAGGTTAGTTAGAGTGGAGTAGAATATGAAAGAACAGCGTGTTGGTAAAGAAGATAACCAAAAAAACACAATGCATCGTGGAAGTAAGGAATATATATACATCAGCCAGAAGAGCTGGGATCAGAAAGATGTAGCATTTTGAAAGATTGAAAATGCAGTTTCTAATCCAATTATTAATAATTTGTAAGGTTGTGAATTGAAAGATTACTAAGTTTTATCTAATGCTGTGAAAACAATGACAAATTGACCGACGCGGGCGCCATCGCTATGGAAACAGCCACAGTTTTGGAACCAATGCACGCATGTGTGCTGGTGCGTTTGGATAAAGTAGGCTACATGATCCATCAAGGTGGTATTTCTTATTTCTTATTTCTTAATGAACAGAGTTATTGAACATATCAATTGATCACTAAATATCTAAATATTTTGATTAACTAGCTTAGGCGGTTGATAATTATTAAAGGCATCCCCATCTACATCGAGGTTAATTGCATTTTCGTCAGTCTCACTCATCAACAAAAGATCAATTTCCTGCTTGTTGAAAAGCTTCAAAATGTTGATTCTCTTTCTTAGATTGTCATTTTTGTCTTGGGTCAAATTTTTCTCATTTTTCTCCAACATATTTACCAATCTACTCAATTCCTTCTGAAAGAATGCAACCTCATTGTTACCCAACTTGTTCAATAACTTCTCATAGTATTTGATTGAGTAAGTAAATAGATCATTACTGGAGTACTCCTTTTGAATTTCATTTTTGATTCCCTCAATTAATGTAGAAATCTCATTTGTTTCATTGGACTCATTTGTTTCTAGACTATCCAATAATTTTACAATTTTTAAATCAATTGTGTTTGATAATCTACCAGCATTATCATTTAAATTCCCATTAGATTCCCTATTGATATTAGTTTTTTCATTAATAAACTCAATAAAATTTTCAATACTTCTACCACCTCTATAGACTTCATACTTTTCAGTCAATTCATTTGTATCTTTAATATTAGAAGGTAAATAAATTATAGTAGGAAATCCACTAACACCAAAAGTTTTCTTAATTAAGTCTGCATCATAATCTGATGTTGGAACTTCATAAATTTCAATCGATTTGAAATCTGATTTAAATAACTTTGAAAGCTTGTACCATATTGGCTTTAAATTTTTGCAATGTCCACACCATGTTGCTGTTATTGCAATAAATTTGCTATTATTATTATTTAAAAGTTCTTTCTCGAAATTATCATCATGTAAAATTTTGATATTATTATCATTTTCACTTTTAGGAGTATAAACATAAACATTACTGTTTTCATAAATAAAATCTTTAAAAGCATTTATATCTCTAGCCTTTTCATAAGGAACTGGAATTGGATCGTTTGGTTTAAATAATTTTAATGTTGGATAGCTTTCAATACCATATTTTTTACCAATTTTACTGTTTTTGTCTGCATCTATCTTGATGATTTGTATTTCGTCAGTGTTTTTATAAACATCACTCAACTCATCGAAAATTGGCTCTAATTTTTTACAATGTCCACACCATGAAGCATAAAACTTCACAAACGAGTATTTTCCTGACTTGACAACTAAATCATTAAAACTTTTGTTATCTGCTTCAATGACACTTGATGCCTCAATCAAAGCGAAGATTGCAACCAACAAAAAAATCAAGCCTGAAAGAACTCTCATTGTTGAAACACTACAATTCACTTCTTTCACTGGTATTTTTAACCACACCAACAAGTTTCTGTTTTGCTTTGGACAAATCACTACAAAACAGCGGGGTCTCGGGAAAAATATCCGGGGGGGGGGGCGTCTAGGAAAATTGGTACTTTGGGGTGACCCGATTTCCCGATTTCCCTTTCTATTTTTATAGGTTATACATTATATTTGTGAGAGATCCTAACTACATAAAATAGAAATGAATAAAGACATATATAAAACAATATTATCCATTTAACTAGCCTGGAAAATGAAAAAAAAAAGCTATTTTTGAAGATCATTCTAAAAGCTCAAATATTAACAATTAGGTAGAGTATCTTATTATCAATTCTGTCTTTGATCAATTAATCTGTGGAAGATAAATGAATTCAATAACAAAACATTGAATAGAAAAGAAAAAAAAATTAAATAAAAAAATAATATGACAATAACAACTGATAATCGATTACTAATATGAAAATGACAACTGATGTGGATTCAATGATAAACCATCCAAAAGCAAAATAAACTTAAAAAGTAGTTCAATAAACTTAGTAAATTAATGATTGAAATAATAAACAACTTTATTTTTTTTAAAAAAAATATCCATGGGAATCATCCAAGTTTATATGAAATATAATTAAAAATAAAAATGAAAAAAACCTGAAAATTGAATGTAAAATCAAATGACAAAATAAAAAACTCCAATCGAAAAAAATAAAACAAGAAACAAGATAGTGAGAGAATAGTAAAAGATGAGAAAAAAGATAAAATGAATATTGAACTTAAGTTTAATAAATCTAATCTTCATCCATCATTATTGGTTTACCAATAGTCAGTTTAAGATTTTTATCAAGAACAACCTTTCTTTCTGAAAATTCTGGTAGTGAATCTGTACTCAAGTAGTCCTCAAAATCAAAACCAATTCGATTTTCGTATCCTTCAGTTAAACGACTTTGTAGATACTTATTTATATTAAGAAAGTTATTTGGTTTTTGTTGCAATTTATGCAAATCATTACCATAACTTACATTTCTTGATAATTTTCTTGAAACATCTTGACTATGATTTCGGACTTCTAAATCCATTACATCAAAGAAACCGTATCCACCAAGAGTATATTCTGGATCATTGTTAACCATTAGACTATCTGTTCTATTCATTGAACAACCAAAATTATTTGATGTATCATCTATTGACATTGTTATTGTTCTAATCATATCTTCTGCAGAAACTAGAGAAGCGTGGTTTTTCAATTTTCCAACATTTTTCCAAAGAAAATGGATTTCGTTAAATACCCATTGCAATGTTTGTAAAAATCTTTCATTTTGTCTATATTGAGAACAAATAGTTAGAGAGATCAAGTCTTCTTTTATAATATAGCCAATACCAAAGCCATTAGGATGAGTTGGAGTAACTGAGAAAAATTTCAAAGCAGGATTACCACAATTAACAGCTAATATTTCTGGTTCAAACACTAATTCGAATAAACCATTTTCATTGAATAAAAAGGGGATCTCTTCTTCAATATTGTTTAAATTTTCAATATTTGGAATTTGGGGTAAAAACTTATCATCTTTGTGCAAATTATTCAAATAATCTTTCATGATATAGGCCAATTTTAAAGCTTTAAAGTGTTTTTCAAAACCTCTACCATGCATGCACATTGATTTCATTCTATTGATTTCTTCACAACCCAGTACTAAGAAGCTCCATCTTTGTAGAGTTGATACGTTACTAATAAAATTTTGGCAGACTTTTAAAATAAGATCATTTTGAATGGCGCACATTTCTGATCTGCCATGATCGAATCTTCTTGTTGAAACAGATTCAAAAGTAGCAGGAGATTTTCCATATAGAGCATAGTAGGCGATTTGAATGGATAATTGAACCAAAGAATCTGGGTTTAGTTTATATTTTTTTTTAAAAGTATTTGTACCAACATAAGTATTGAAGTTTTTAAATTTGTGATCAAAGCGACATAGCAAGTCACTTAAATTTGTTTCAGATAAATGAACTTCTTTCATAAGTTGAGTGTCTGAGGTATCCCAAACTAGTTTGATTAATTTTGGCTTCTTGTAATGGGAGCTAACAAAGTTGATGTTGTCATTGAAAAGAGTGTATTTGTTGTTGTTATTGTTGATCTTTAACGCTAGTCTTAAGATTGTGTCTGAATAGATATCTGAAACGAATCTTAGAACCACAGTGCCATCACAAGAAGTTGGTTCCCACATTACACAAGTTTTTGAGTTTTTGGCTATAATGATTTGTAGTTTATCATACCATCTTGATATGCCAGAGCCAACCTGGATGCCATTTGATATTTTTGAATAGCCATGAGCAATTGAGGAAGGGAAGTTTTTATCCTTCAAGTATGATTCATCGTTGTCTAGAGTTAGAACGAACAAAGCAGTATCTATTAGATTCAAGTTGTTGTTGTTAATTTTATTTTTTGATAGTAAGTTTCTTGAAATTGTCCAAGATTTTCTGTTGGTGGCTGAAATTGCAGCGATTGGAAAGGAATCTAGGATTAAGTCTGAGATGTTGTTGATTGAATTTAAAATTAAATGTCTGAAGATAGATTCTAGTTGTAGATCGTTAAAGATGATTTCATTATTTGAAGTTAGGACCTTTAGGATGTAGAATTTTGAGTTTATTAGGATAGCAATGTGAGAGGAGTTTGGGTCTTGTTTGACGTTGATACCATTTCCAGCCTTTGAGGGAGATCTAGTAGAACCAAACAAGTTTTTGTAGGAGTTGTAGGAAAGTGGGTTGTTTGATTTTGGGGAGAAGTCATTAACAGCATAGTTGTTTGATCTGAGTGTTATAATGAATTTCAAGGTGCTTAGAGTTAGTACAGCAGCTCTTTCATGTTGAGTTGGAGGAAAAATAGAGAATTTTGATTTTGGATCAGCTTCGAGAATAAAGTAAGGGTTTCTTGGTAAGATGTTACCACGATATTCCGAGTAGATGTTTGTAACGTTGTGGTTTCGTGAGTTGTTGAATAGATCTAGATAGTTTTTGGTTTGAGGATTTGAGTTGAATTTTAGGAGATGGTTTTGTAGGATGTTGATGATTTTGTTGTTTTGAAAATTGATCAATATTTCTATGGAGTTTTTAAAATTCTCAGGAGTTTGCAAAGGTTTTAGAGCGTTGAGTAGGTTTTCAACACTTTGGGGTAGAGAAGGGAGAGGTAGTTTTGGAAGGTAATACGATTGAGACAAAAAGGGAATTGAATTGATAATTGGGTCAGAGTTTATGATTTGGTTATTGTCATTTTCGTTGGCCAAGTTTGAGTAAGAATTTGAGCGAGAGATTAGATTGAGACTTGAATGGGAACGAGCATTTAGGTTGTTTGAGTAATTTGAGTAATTTGAGTAATTTGAGTAATTTGAGTAATTTGAGTAATTTGAGTAATTTGAGTAATTTGAGTAGACATTTAGGTAGGATAGGTTTAAATTTGAATTTGAATTTGAATTTGAATCTACCATTATTGTATTAATATTATTACTTTATTACTTTAGTAGTTTAATATATTTGAATATGTTGTTTTGTTTAATTCAAATAAGGACTGTTTTGAATAATAAAGAAAAAAAAAATATAAGAATATAAAAATGTAAAAATATAAAAATATAAAATGAAAAATGGAAAGAATATGTAATGGAAATATAATGGAAATATAATGGGATCGTAAACAGATTATAATATGAGTGTAATGGAATGATAATATAATTATAATAAGATTGTAATATGAGTATAGTGGAAATGTAATGGAAAAGGATTGGGGAATTGAATGATTCAGATAATAGAATAGTCGAGTATTAAAGGATTTTTTTAAAAAGTAAAATAATTTTATTATTTAAATAATTATTTAAATTATTTGGATTGTATTTTAATATTTTTTTATCGTTGTTTTTTGTTGTTGTTTTTTTGGGTTTTTAGGAGTAAAGAAATTATTAAGATTTTTTAATAGATAATAAAAATTTTCTTTTATTAGCTGATCAATAGGATTGAAGATTGAGGATTGAAGATTGAGGATTGAATTAATATTGGATGGAATAGTAGGAGATAAAGATAGGGATAAAGACAGACAAAGAAAGATAAAGATAAAGGGTAAAGCAAAAACGAATATGAGGATGTGATTATAAATGTTGGGAAAACAATTGGGAAAGAAAATGGAGGTAGAATGTGATTACAACAGAATCTTATTGGGATGGGTTTGAGTGATAGAAAAAAGATTGAAAAGACTTTTGATTCCAAAATGAAATAGAGCAAGAAAACCAATGATATTGGTTGATTGGGGATATTTTGTGGAGAAAACATCATTCTGCATAATCTGCGTAACAGAATCTGGTTCCCAAAAGACAAGGAACCGAAGCAGAGACAGGAGCAGTGAGAAAATGGGCGGCAGAGGCAGCAGAGTCACAGGGCAGGGCCCAAGCAGAAGAAGCAGCAGCAGAAGCAGAAGAAGCAGCAACAACAGCAGAAACAGCAGCCGTTGTATTGTCTGCTTTACGGCTGCGCTTTGGGACCCACCTGACATATCCCGCGCCGCTGATTTGTCCGTTTTCTGCATATGGAACGTGATGGTGCATACACACGCCGCAGAGCAAACCGGCACCGCAGCCGCACGAAACTTTTCCGGAAACAGCAGCTCCCGACGCGTACTTCCTCTTGCGGGCAGCGCAGTGGAACTGGAGGCAGATGTCAGAACCACTCTGGTCTAGAGCAGCACAAGCAGCAGACTCCTCTAGACGCTGTGGAAACAGTGCCGGAGAATGTGATGGTCAGTTCTGCTATTTCTAGTATTTCCTCGGAAGCTGCCTCTGCCGCCATCCAATCAGCTGCGTCCGGGGTGCTGGGGAGTCTTTGGAAAAGTCACTTTATATGCTGAGGAAAGCTGTGTCAGTTTATTTTTTATAAATAAATCTCACTTCTGGGTTTCTGTTGTGAACCCTTGCTCTGCTCCTTTCGAGAACAATAGCCCAACCCCATTGGCTCCTTCTGACTGGATTTGACAAGAGTTAACAAGATTTTGGCAAGACTTGGACAGGATTTTGACAATAGCTGGTCATTTTGGGAAATGCAAGCGTTTTCCACTGGGTTTGGCTATTTTTAATCTTCCATTCAACTATCTTTCTGTAGCTTCTGTAGCTTATTGAGTCCGTCGACCTTACGTCAGTTCAAATTTGACAGTATATCAATTTCTCTTTCAGTTTATTTTTAACCCACCAATTCCACCCCCTCCTCTCTCTCAATCCTCTCAAATATATATAAATATCCATCTTCTTTTCCCTTTTTCTCTCTTGTTTTTTTGTTTTTTAGGCAATAAAAATCAACACAACCAACATAACTAGTTTTCCTCATAGCTCGTAATCAATCCACAATTTTCATTCGCTTGATACTTCATATACACATCCAAACTAAATATTTTTACCGGAAAAAAAAAAAAGTTTCTTTCCACTGCTTTAACAAACTCACCTTACTAAAATGAAATTATTATTTATTCTACCTTTTCTCTCAATTCTCCCATTATCTCTTGCTTTTGATGATCCCTATGGTTTCAACCAAGAAAACTTCGTCTCTAAATGTTATTCTCACTGTGATGCTGTTCTTCAAGCTGCTACCGACTGTCAATCTAATTCAGACTGCCTATGTCCCACTAATAACGCTTTAACTGCTAACCCAAATTATGCTACAAATACTGATCCTTGCTTATGGTGTGGTTATTGTGTTTTCACTGAACCAAGATACGCTGATTTACCTTCAGCTCTAGCCATTTGCAGCACTCAAACTTCTCCCTTTGGTACCTGGTGTTCTCAAGGTGGTGAATGGCCATCAGATTACCCAATTCCATCCACTTCATCTTCTTATCATGATTCACAAGATTCCTCTACAAAATCTTCAGAGTCCGATCTTCTAACTTCTGATTCAGTTTCTCACACTACCACTTCCTCTTTTTACTCATCCGACAGCGCTATAATTCCCTCTGAAACTACTAATCCAGCTTCTGATTCATCATCAATTGATTCTTCATCACCAATCGATTCCTCAATCATCGATTCCTCAATTATCCACTCTTCCATAATTGACTCCTCAGTCTTATACCCAAATGTTTCAACCATTCATTCCACTAAAACAGTCACTTGCTCAGAAAATGTCTGCGTAACTAAAACAATCATTTGTACAAATGATAATAAATGCTCAACAGATTCAACAGATTTTACTCATTCTGATAAAACTACTCTAAAACCTACAGACTCAACTTCAAAATCCTCTTCAATCTCAAGACAACCTCCTCCAATCTCAGAAATCACTATTAATGCTGCTTATTCTCAAGCCCAACTCTATGGTTTTGCTGCAATGTTTGCTTGCATTGCTGCTTATATTCTCTAATTTTATTCAATTTTATTGGTCAATTTAGTTACTTTTTTTTTTTTCAATTTCTACGATCTAATACTCAATATTTATCTATTTTTGTCTATTTTTATTTATTTTTATTTATTTTTATCTATCTTTATCTATCCGGTTTTTGTATCTTCCTTTAACGATTTCCTCATCTGTTTCTATATCTACTGTGACCCTTCTAGCTTTACAATTATATCTTTGTTAATAAAAAATTGTTTTGTTTTACGTATAGTTTACTAATTTTGGTATTTACAGCAAAAAAGAAAAAAAAATAACCAAATAACAAAAATGCCCATCAAATAATCCTCCCAAAATATAAATATAGCTACATGTAAAAAATCATTTCTTACTGCTTTTTCCTTTCGAAATAATCTTAAAATTCTCTTTTCCATCATTTTCCATCATCTTTAGATCTTTTTTATTATTCTTATTTTTATTTTTATTTTTACCAGTGCTTCTTACTGAACCATAATAATCAATGTCCGATAATTCGTCTTTATCATTATCATTATCATTATCTTCTCCTTCTCCTTCTTCTGATTCCTTATCATAAGAAATATCAATTTCCCCACATAGGTCCAATTTTCTACTACTTGATCCAACATAGATCTTATACACTCCTCTCATAATTCTCCAGTTCTGTTCATGAGGATCCCAGACACTCATATCACGACGTAAAATATCAAAGCTTATACCAACAGATGAATCAAAATTAATCTTAACTTTTTCAAATCCACGTAATTGTCTTGGCGGTGTGTCCAAAAGATCGGTGCATGTTTCGTCTCGAGGAAACTCAATGTATAATTGAGCAACATATTGTCCATCATACGGTCCTTCGTTTTTGATATCAACTTTGACATTGTATAATACATCCCATAAGGCTGGATTTCCTCCAAGTCCACCTCCAGCAGCAACAGGCTCTTTACGCTGTTCAGGCGAATATCCATTTGGATAACAATATTCATCAACAGAGGAAATTTTATCATTGAAAAGATATGGATAGATAAATCCGGGAACTGGCGTCAATTCTTCATAAGGGAACAAAGCATTTTCAGGATCAGCGATATCATACTGATCATCAAATCTATAAGGTGGCAAATATGGTAATGGGCAAGGTAAATATTCACTTGGACAATTGATTTCTTTGATCTTTAAATTGCATAATGAAAATCTCGAATATGATAATCCAAATCCAAACTCATATCTCGGTTTAATTTTATTTTCATCAAAATACCTATAATCAAGTAATAAATCTCTCTCCATAAATGAATCATCTTGCGGCTCGCCATCTCCAGGAATGTCCTCAATTATATCAACATAATCAAGAGGATTTTTAGCAATGGTAAATGGTAAATGACCCGAAGGATTGATATCTCCAAATAAGACACTGGTAATTGCAGCACCAGAATATTGGCCTAATGGCCCAGACCATAAGACTGCCAAAACATTTTCATGTTCAATCCATTTTTCCATATCTACTGGACCAACAGATGTAATGACTACAACAGTTTTATGGCAGTTATCTGCAATATGAGAGATTAGTTCATCGCCATTTTGCCATAAAGATACGTTTTTTCTATCACCAAAATTACCATCAACTTCAATGTATCCTTCACCACTATCAGCAGAAACAAAAACAATTGAAACATCCGCATAAGATGCCAATTCCTCAGTATGATCAAACTGATAATTATCGTCACTGAAATCAATGGCAATCATTTCTTTACGCGCCCTGGCAGAAATTGCTTCATACGGAGTTATTCCAAAAGGTTGATTAACAGTAGCAGAGCCCCAACCTTGAAATAAAGCACCATCAACACACTGTTTTTCCTTACAATTAAAACCCTTATTACTTGGTCTTGAAGCCGAACCTGCGACTAAAATACGACGAACACCATCTTCTCTACTGATCGGCAATAATTTTCCATCATTTTTCAACAAAACAATGGATTCTTGAGCAACTTGTAAAGCAGTTTCTTCAGTAAAATCATTTCTTGCATCTATATGCCAATTAATTTGTTTAATTGGACCAAAATTTTGATAAGGAAATTCTTGATCATAAGTATGAGAAGTCCAAGAGGAAAAATTTGGAATATCATAAAATACAGGCATCGATTTTAAAAGGAAAAAAGGAGCTAAAATTCTTGTTACCATATCATCGATTTTTTCTTCAGATACAGTTTCATTGTAAATAGACCTAGTTAATAAGGGACCCCAGTATGATTTACCGGATAACCACTCACCTATTACTTCACCGGGACAATTCATATCTAAGCCGGCTAAAACACTCGATACACCAGAATGAGTTGCACCCCAATCAGACATTACCCAACCTTGAAAACCTAATTCCTCTTTTAAGAGATAATTTAAAAGGTAGGAGTTTTCACAAGAATAGGTATTATTGAGACGATTGTAGGCACACATAACAGAGCCAACACCTTCATTGATGGCATCAGCAAAAGGCCATAGATAAATTTCATGCATTGCTCTATCACCAATGTTACTGCTAATTGCTTGTTCTAAATTATCCCAATAGTCTCCTGACCATTCATTTAATTGTCGATATCTTTCTTGCTCATTGCCTATTAAATGTCTTACACAGGCCACAATGCCTTCTTCTTGAATACCCTTTATGGTATAACGAGCAGAAACACCTTGCAAATAAGGATCAGCACCAAAGGATTCCCAATTTCTACCTCCTTTGGCTTTTAGACCAATTGGACCAATGGTTGGACCTAATAGGACATGAACACCTTTGATTTTATGCTGTTGGGCGATTGCTTTGCCTCTCAAGTAGATTAAGGCTTTATTAAAAGTTGAACCAGTAGCTAAACCCGAGGGGAAGCTTGTTATAAAATCAGTGAATCTAACGCCATTGGGACCATCTTGAATACATAAAGAAGGGATATTTAATCTTGGAATCGAACCAGTATTACCAATACAAGGACCAGAACCCCAGCCAGTGCCAGTGGTTAAATTGACTTTTTCCACAGTTGTCATTTGTTCTACTAAGTTTCTTGCTTTTTCGTAGGCTTCTTGCCAAACATTTTGAATTCTGCCACCATCTGGAGAGGGATAATAAGCTGGACTATAAACTTTGGGACCAAGATCGATATAACTGTCAACTACTCTATCAAATATTGTTCGCTTTTGATATTGAGTGTCATTGTTGATTTGAGAAGTGAAAGTAAAGGTGAAAATGTAGGTGATTGAGTAAAGAAGATGTAATAAAATTTTGAATTTTATTTTATGAAAATGCATTATCATATTGATTTATTGATATATTGGTATAAATAAAAATACAATTATCAGTTTATGAATTAAGCGCCGATAGAGAATGGAGAAAGAAAAAGATAAAACAAAACAAAAAAAACAAAAAAGAAGAAAAACGATAAAAGAAAAGAAAGTGGATGAGAAGAAAAAGATCATGCTTCCACTTCTTGTAACATATCAAAGGGATTCAACGGTTTTGGAGCGTCAGCATCAGATTCCTCATCAGAGCCCATGAGCTCCACGTCCATTTCTGCGGTTTCAGTGTTAGTCTCCAAGGTAGTTTTAGTGTCTTTGGAGTCAGCATTAGTGCTATCGAGTTTGATTTTTTGATTTATGACATCCCAATTGGATTTTCTTTCGTTTTGAACCACTTTGGCTCTTTTGATACTTTTTTGGACTTTATTTTCTAATTTTCCATCAAGTTTCAATGATTTGATTATTTTTTCTTTTAGAAATCTAGTATTTTTGAGGGTTCTCTTGCTACAGCTATTTTTACTAATTTTGTTATTCATATAGTTTATGTTTGAAGTCTTTTTATTTTCTAGTTTTTTTTGCAACAATTTCTCATTTTTAATTGTTGCCCTCATAATCAATTTGTTCTTATCGATGATAGTCGATTTTCTGGGTTCATTCAAAAGATTCTTCTCTTCAGGGGTCTGAACGACTTCTCTTCTAGCAGCTCTTGAGTGTTTTGAAACTGAACATAAAAACAGGTCAGTAAACAAGTAAACTTTACAAAAAACAAATTACAATCTACCACAGAACTGCCATACTTTTCTTCTTCATCTTTGATTCAATGTGTATTTTGCACTGAAAGACCTAAAAAACTGAAAAAGCTGAAAAGTTAAGAAAAAATAATTCAAACCACACGTGATCCATATAATAGATGCAACTATATGCATAAAGTACCACAATATGCGCAATTTTATCACGTGCAACTGCGGCTAAGCCAGAAAGTAATCCGCGGATATCCGCTGCAATGGTCCTGTTCTCCGTGCCTCCGCCGTATGGTTGCCCAAACGGCCGCGTGCACTCCGGATGCTCCCGTATCCTCCCGGATGCCATCCACCAGGTCCGCCGCATGCGGGTGGAAAATTCCTTGCTGAAAGATCCATTAAAAACCAGCCAGATCCTGCCTTTTCCATTTTCTTTTCTTCCATCCACCATTTCTCCAGAATCTCCTGTATCTGCTGTATCAGCCATTTCCTGTGTCTATTGAACGGACCAATCTACTCTATCACATATTTACAACCACTGTGGTATTACTGCTATATTCTTTTATTGTCATATCACTTTGGCAGTCCTACTTTTAATTGAACACCTTATTCTCCCTAATTCAAGTTTTAGAGAGTATGTTTGTTTTTTGTTTTATTTTTCTTTCTCGTGTATTGCCATAAACAATCGCGAAATCGTATTTATTTATTAGTTTGTTTATCATCCTTTGATATTCCACCTTCTGCTCCCATGTTCTTGATTCAATTGACTGATGACTAACTTCTAATTATCTCTAGCAATTGACAATGTCTTTTTTGCCCTTGGTAATAAAACCATTTTTCACTATCGATGAATCTGATCCAAACCTGAATTCAAATCACAGCAATGCCAATTCTAACACAAATAGCAACAATAATAATTTATCTCAAGTCCAAAACCGAAATGATACTATAAACGAAAATCTTAATAATTTAGCCAATCAGAACGCCTCAAACAATATTTCATCAAACTCAATTCCAAATTTAATCAATTCTGTTAAATGTAACCTATGTAATCAATTTATCTCATTAAACAATAACAATAACGCTGATAATAGCAATTTGTTAGTCAGTCACTTGGAATCTTATCATCAAGATAAACTTGTATCTTTGCAAAATGACTTGCCTCCAAACATTGACGCGACGATAGCTACAATCGATGTAGCCAATTCAATTGCAAATATAAACAACAACAATAACAATAACAATAACAATAGCAATAGCAACAATTCCAATTCCAATTCCAATTCCAATTCCAATTCCAATTCCAATTCCAGTTCTAATTCTAATTCCAATTCAAATAACAATAATCATAACAATAATCATAACAACCCCAATAGTAACCCCGATAATAGCCCTAGGAGTGATAATCCTAATAGTGGTAGCCCTACTGCCTCCAATAATGCCCCTAACTCTAATAACTCTAACATCCATGATATCGAAAACGAAATTAATAATAACCTTGGTGATATCACTGATATTAATAACATAAACAATCTCAATATCAGCAATCTTGACAATATTAATAATTTTAACAATCTTAATAATATAAATGATCTTAGTGAAATTAATGAAATCGATAAAATCAATTCAAAATCAAAAAAGTCAAATAAAAGAGACTATAATTGGAAAAAGTTTGTAATATTCGAAAATATTAACATCAATTCCGATGACAACAATGACAAAATCACTCCAAATACAATACAGAAAGTAAGATGTTTTTTCTGTGATCAACAAATGAATTATAAATCGAGAAATGGCCCCGGTGCAATAACTGACCATCTAGAACATCATCATCATCAAAATATTTTATTAGTTAAAAATTCAAATTTAAACAAGTTTCATCCTAATGATAATAATATCAACAATCTTAATAACATTAATATCAATAATCTTAATAACCTCAGTAACCTTAATAATATTAGTAACATTAATAATATCAATAATCTTAACAACTTCAATAACCTTAATAACCTTAATCACCTTAACAATCTCGATCTTAATAACAATAGCCAAATATATGATCAAAATAATATTAACTCAAATAATATCAATTCGGTTTCTCATCCAAATTCTCACTCTAACCCTCACTCCAACTCAGATTCAATGGATCTTTCAAACCGATTGTCCTCATCTATTAATGCTATATCAGGCAATAACACTGGCATAATCTCAAGTTCCATCCCAAGTAACGATATCCTAACAAACCATTTGAGAAAAAGAGACCGAAAATCTTTAATCAACTTGACTAACTCTTTAAATTCAAGAAGATTGTATAACTGGAAACATTATGTAGAATTCTTAAATCTTTGTAATAATGAAAAGGTCACACCAAATACCTCTCAAAAAGTCAAATGCATATTTTGTTCTCAGTTAATGAAATACAAATCAAGAAATGGTCCTGGAACAATCATTGATCACTTGGAAAATAAACACTTTGATTTATTAAGAGAATCAAATTCAAATAATCCGATAACAAAAAGATCCAATATTCCTCCTTCAAGAAGATCAAATCGTAAAAAGATTCAGACTTTAATTTCACATTCTCCTATTAATAACAGCAATAATGCAGCTCTTAATGGAAATCACGCTAACAATATTAGCAATAGTTTATACAATTCTCCAAATGTGCATGGCAACAATAATAATAGCAATAACAACAGTAATATTACCTTTATAAGCTCATCCAATTCATCTTCTCCGATAAACTCAACATCTGCCAGAAATTACAACCGAAATGAATTAGCTTTAACAAGACTTGATCCAATAAATGATAATGTCAGATATCCCAAAAGAGTCTATGATTGGAAAGATTTTATAACCCCTGTCAACCCAAATTTAAATGCTCCAAGTAATGTAACACAAAAATTAAAATGCTTATTTTGTAATCATATAATGAATTATAAATCAAGAAACGGCCCTGTTACTATAACTGATCATTTGGAGAATAATCATTCCTCGACTATTTATTTGACTAATAATTCTAACAACAATGCCAATACTAATTCTAGTAATAGCAATAATGGTAATAATAGTGCTATTTCAGGCTCTAACATTTTAGCCAACTCAGGTAAAATCAATAAATCTTATACCAAATACATGCCAATTAAATTATTAAACATTATGATTGAAAATAATCTAGGTTTTGATTTTCTTGATAGCCCAAGTGTCCAAGCATTGATTGCTGATACCGGTTATTCGATTCAAGTCACGTCAAAAATAATAAGGCCTAAAATTAAAAATTTGTATAGAAAGGCATTTTTAAATATAAAGGAATTGTTATCAAAGTCAATCGGAATTTCGATTGGATATGGGATTTACAAATTTTCATCAGATGTTTCAATTTTAGGCGTGATTGCACATATATTAATTGAAAATGACAAATTGATGCTAACTCAAAAGAAATTTGTGTTGAAGGTTTGTCAAATTGATTTTGAAGTTACTTCCAGGGACATATCGAATTTAATAATGAAAATTTTAAAAGAGTATGAAATTCAAGATAAAATCATAGGTATAATCTCCGAGGGGAATAAGTTCAATAAAGAAATTGGGAATTATTTGTATAGTTACTTGCAGAAAAATAAAATTATAACTAAAGATTCAATAACAATCGGGTGTTTGTATGACAAATTGGAAAAACTTGGCAATATTGCAACCAATTATTTATTGAAGAATATTTTTTCAATAACCGAAATCAAGGACAGTTTCAATCAAATTGAAGTTGAGATTCATAGTTCGAATTATGACAGTAATCTTATTAATAATGTTGTGAATGATATCGGTAGTGATGATGATGAATTTGGATTTGAAAACAATGAGGAATTTTTAAAGTTAAAGGCAAGTGTTCGAAAATGTTTGAATTTTATTAGGATAGTCAATTCATCGCCGAAGAGAAGGATTATTTTTAGAAAATTGGCCATTGATGGGCGAAATGAGAATAAAATCCGAACATTATATAATGAGTTGATTAATTTTGAGGATGATGAGGAAAAAAAAAGCAAGAGAAGATGGGTGACTTTATACTTAATTATTGTTCGATTTTTGGAGCTATTTCCAATTGTTCAGGATTATTTGAATTCCATTGAGCATGATTACAATGTGAACACGAGAAATGGGATTAATAGTATGGATAACGACCATGATATTGATAATAATAATTTGGATCGGATTAATTTTAGTAATGAGGATATTAATCTTTTGAATGAGTATCAAAGGATAATCCAGCCGATTTTTTTCAAGGAGTTGGAGATACACCAGCAGAATATAGATATCAGTGATTATATTTCGACATTGACGTCATTGAAGGGGATTTATTTGAGTAATTTGAATGAGCTTGAGTTCAATAAAGAGCAGAATAAGATGAAGAGTTTGAGTAAATTTTTCACAATTTATAAGAAGATAATTGAGAGAATCTTGAAGAAATTGGAAGAGTTTATTAATGAGAGTATTAAAAATAAGATATTGAATTCGTGTTATATTTTAAGTACTACGAATAATATTGGAACGTTGCGGGATAGTAATAGAAATGGGTTCCATGAGGCGTTTAACTATATCAAGAGTTTATCGTTGATATTGGATGAGAAAGAAGAAAATGTGAGCGAGACTTCCAGTGTGAATGTGAATGAGAATGTGAATGAAAATGAAAATGAAAATGAGAATAAGAATGAGAATGAAAATGAGAATTTGAATCAAAATGAGAATTTGAATCAAAATGAGAATTTGAATCAAAATGAGAATTCAAATTCTAACATGGGTCATCGCAATAGTATAAGTAATAATAATAATAATAATAGTAATAATAATGGCAATAACAATAATGAGAACGGTAATGGAAATAAAAGAAGAAAAATATATAAATACAATTATGATTATAATGGGAATTTGATTGAGGAAATCAGCGTTAATAACAATGGGATGATGAGTGATAGAAGCGGAGAAAATAAAGATACGATTGAGGATGAATTGAATGGATTTATTACGTATGAGATGCCCAACCGGATCGAGCCATTAGTTCGATGGTCTAATATCAAGGGCAAGTACCCCAAGTTGTTTAAAGTGATTAAGGGGCTATTCGGGATCAAGATTGATTTTACAAATGATATTGATAATTTGTTAAAGTTATCGTATAAGATTTACGAGACGTTTGAGAAAAGTGGGTGTTATGATGAAGGGTATAATGGTATTGAGACTATTGATTTGAGTAGCGATAATGAAAGTAGCAGGAAAAGTGATTATAATAATAATAATGTTAATAATGCTAATAATACTAATAATTCTAATAATAATCAAAATAGTGGTAACGATAATGGTAATGACAATAGCAATGGTAATAATGATGATGATGACGACAATGATAACGAAAATAGTAATGACGACAATGATAACGAAAATAGTAATGACGACAATGACGGCAATGAAAACAATACTGAAATTGGAAATAAAAAAGAGAAAGAGAGTGAAAAAAATTTGATCAATGAGTACGTTATTGTCAAGTTTTACTTGGAAGACCACAAGGAGATAATCAAAAATGAGGAAATCAGTAAGGCTGTGATGTTGATCAATGACTATTTGAACCACAATAACATCAACACGAGCAGTCGAATTGGGAGTGTCAATTCTGCATACGGCCACGGCGGAAGCAACAACGTTCAAAACATGGGTATTAACGGGAATAGCACCAGTTACCAACACAGCATCAACAACAACTTCAACCTAAACTACAACTACCAGCAGAATCCGGACCACGATCACAATATCGGGAATATTGGCAGTATTGGTAATATCAACGCCAGCAATGCCTCTAACGGCGGAAGCAGCAGCGGGAGCAGCAACAATAACTTGTTCAATCACTCATCGGTGTTGTTGCTTCAGGAATTCACGGATCAAGAGGGTGGAAATCTAAATATAGAAAATGGAGGTGGAGGCGACAGAAACGCGAACGAGAGCGAGGGCCTTGGAAACGAGGACAAGGCGCGCAGCACAACCAGCAGCGTGGGGCCTGGAACAAGCAGCGGGGGCCGAGGCAGCACAAACACGAACGACGGCAGGAACAGCTACAGCTACATGGAGAACCTCAACAGTGCATTCAGTCTCTAGACCCAGAATGAGGAGAGCAGTAACAGGAAGGAGCGATGCTGCGTGCAGCTGCCCAATGAGGCAATTGCGGCCCAAAACAGCACCACTACTGTGGGTTGGTGGCGGGTGACGTCACGCGCGTGTCCGCGCATACTGCACCTGTATCCGTGTCCGGCGCGGATTGGCAGTGTCGGCGCTTAATTTTGCGCTGAGCACTGTTTATATAGCGGTGTATCGTACCTGTGCTTCTTCTGCTTCCTGTGCTTCCTCTCCTGTTTCAGCATTTCTTCCTGTGCCACCTGCGCTGCTTGTTTCCTCTCCTCTGCTCCTTCTCTGCTCTTTCTCCGCATAATCCTCTGTTCTTGCACTTCTCTGCTCATCTCAGTAAAATTTTTACTTTACTTCTCGCATCAACACATCTAGCAACTAATTCATCTCAATCTTCATCATCTCATCTTCAAGACCTCATATCTCATATCTCATATCCAGTATCTCATTTCTAATCGTGCTTTTCTTCTTTTTCATCTCCAGCTTCTTCTTTAGTGGTATTCCCACTATTCTTTCCAAAACATCCTCTTCCGGCTCATTTTTTATGTTTCGTTACTCAGCGCTTAATTTTCCATCTTACATTTTCAAAAATTCTCTCAATAATTTTATTGTTTTCACAAATTCAATTCAATTAATAAACTCGTCTACAAATTCTTCCATAATCTATTCCTTTTATACTCTTTCTCCCCTCTATTCTCATATTTCTCTTCAAATATGACTGGAACTTGTGATGGCGATAGTTATATTCACACTCTAGCTAGTTATATCACCTCCCACGAACACCAAGTATGTATACATATTATCACCCATTTTCTTTTCCCCAGTCTTCCCTACTAACACTTTATATCTCTAGTTGGCTAACGCCTTATCTACTTACGAAAAAAAATTAAATATTCAAAACTCTTCAAAATCATCTTTCTCTTCAGCTTCTCTCACCAATAACATTCTGAATACAAACAATACTACCAATAATAATTCTACCGCAGATATTAATAACAACCATGCTCACACTCACAACCACACCTCAACCTTGTCTAATATTAATCTCTCTTTAAATCTCAATAAAAAACCAGTCAGACTATCTCTAACTCTACACCACCTTTTCTTTCTTTTGGAAAACTTTCAAAATATTGGCATCCAAGTTGGTCCCATGAACATCAGACTAAACGATAGTGATGACGATATCATTAACTATGTCTCCTTTCTATCTGACTATTCAACCTCAAACTCAACTCAAAATATTCAATCAATTAAATCAAATAACTACAACTACTCCAATAACAACGTAAATATCAACAATAACAATAATAACAATAATAATAATAATAATAATAATAATAATAATAATAATAATAATACATTCAATTCTAACACCACTAATAACAGTCACTACTCAAACAGCATCTACAATTATAACTCCAATAATATGAACAATAACAACAATTACTCATTTTCTGACACTGCTTCAATAAATTCTATAAACTCTGTTAGAACTGTTATGACAACCGTATCCGCTCTCTGGAAATCAATCTCAAACCCAAAATTATCCTTTTCAAGTATATCAAACAACAACTTATCCTCAAACATAAATAACTTATCAACAACAAACAACTCAAACACAAACACAAACACAAACTGTATAAATAATAACTCTGTCTTTAATTCTTCTCAAAAATGTATCGATTTAAACTACATTTACTCTTCCTTCACTAAATTGCCTTACCTAAGATTATCCCCAGATAAAACTGCTAAATTAATTGAAACTTATCAAGAATTTCCCTTTGATACCTCCGTTCCAATCAAAATCTTTAAAAACTTGGCCATTCTAGAAATAAACCAATTTAACCCTATAGAAATCTTTGGCTGGGATCAACTATCTCAAATCTTAAAATTCCTTATTATCAAAAACTCAAATCTCGATAACATCAATCTAATCCTTAAAACATTAGTTCTTGACGACTTTTACAATAGAAAAAATAAATCATTCAGTCAAAAACAAAACTCCTCTCCAAATTTATCAATAAACTCAACAAACTATAACAACAGCAACAATATCAACATAAATCTCAACAACAACTCAAATAATAACAGCAATAATTCTTTTCATCAATTGTCTCAATCCTATTCAAATTATTCAAATAACTTATCCCCCAAAGCTCTGTCGAATAATCTAACCAGAGTTAGAAGTTATAATCTACCCTACAATTATAACAATTATAACAACTTGAATACCTCTAATGAAAATACCTATTTCAATAATGATCACAATGATATCAACAACAACAACAACAACAACAATTCATTTAGTACCTCCCCTCCTTTATCTACAAAATTATTTAAAAATAACAACTACCAAATCAAACCAACTCATCGCAAGAAAAAAAAAAATATAAATAACAATAATGAATCAAATACTACTAAAAATAACAGCAATTCATCCTCTTCGGATCTGCTAGGAAATAATAAAAACTATACTAATGATTTCTACATTAACTCAAACTATAATTTTACGAACAATAATCTATTTAGCTCAAGCAATTCAAACTATATTTATAAACATCGTCACCAACATAGCAAAAGTAATAGTGGTCCTATTTCTCTTGATGACCATGAATTTTTTGCTGACAAATGGCTAAATTTAAGATATTTATGTTTATCTAATAATAGTATATCTAATATCTCAATTGATCCTTTAATTAACTTACCTTCTCTACTATATTTGGATTTATCTCATAATCAAATCACTCAAATTTCCTTTGCTTTTAAATCCTTTAATAGCTTAAAATACCTAAATTTATCCTACAACAATTTATCTTCAACAACTAATTTTAAATATTTAAAAAACTCAAAAAAATTATCCGTCATAAACTTACGATCAAATAAAATCGAATCTATAGAATCTCTAGATTTATTATTGAATCTTGAAAAAATTGATATAAGAAATAACAAACTATCTTCAATTATTGATCTATATCCTTTATTTAAAAATCACAACACCAAGAAAACTCCCTTAAAAAATTTAAATCTTTTGGGAAATCCTTTATGCTCAAAAAATTTTAGAATTGAAATATTCAATCTAGCCAATTCAGTTAGCTGGAATCTAAAAATCGATGGTTCTGGTCCAGGTTATTTGGAATCTAGATATCTTCTACATGATAGGAAAGTTCTTGAATTTAAATTTAAAAGATTATTTTCTGAAGAATTGACAAATAATGGAAAAGATACAGAAAATGCCAGTGATAATAGCAGTGATAATAGTATAACACATAAAATTACTAATCATAACAATGACGATAATATAGAAAATTTAGTTAGCAAAACTATAGACAGTATCGCTGAAAATAACACTGACAGCAATACTGACAGCAATACTGACAGCAATACTGAAAGTAACACTGACAGTAATACAGTCGGGAATAGTACTGTAAAGGTCAGCGATTCTATTAATGATGATTCAAATACTAATATTATCACAAGTGCTAATAGTAATTCCAATATTCGTATTCTTAATAATAAGTTGTTTATCGCAGATAACGTTCCAATTTCTCAACTGTTTTCCATAAACGCATCAAAATCGACAAATAACCTATCGGATATTTTAACTGATAATACTTTTGAAACAGTGCAAATTCAAAAAAGAAGACATAGTGTGATGGTTCCGTTATCCGCTTCAAATAAAAATTTGAAGGAATTATTGAGAAAAAGTCAAGATTCTGCTTCCACTTGTGCTGAAGAAGTTCTACAAAGTAGATTGATGGAAGCACAAAAAGATGATTTATTTATTGAGCGTCAACCTTCTATTGCAAGACATTTAACTTTCTCTGCAAAATCTCAACCAACTAAAGTGACTGAGGCAATTGATATTAAACCAGCTATCAATTCATTTTATTATAAATCTAAAGCTGGGGCTTCACTTCAGGATGTTTTATTGTCACCTCTTTCGGGTTCTTCTCCTATTAAAGATAATTCTATTACGAAACTTAAAGTAATTGAACCAACAGAACCTATAGACATTGTTTCTGCAACTCCAAAAATAACTCCCTCTTTTTCAGTTGATATTAATCAAGCAAGATCATTTTCTGAGGTACCCTGTAAATCCCATAAAGATGAAAGTAACAGTTACCTTCCTTCACTATCATATGAAATAATATAACTAAGTATTACATTTTTTTCACTCATTATCATTTATCTGGTTATGTCATTTTGGATTTTAATTTTGGTAGCTTTTTTTTAATTTTTCTGTTACAATAAGATGTTTTGTTTTCTCAAATTTGTCCTTATTACTACTAAACAAAAGTATTGTTCATTCTTTCTGTGAATTATTCCATTAACTTAGACTTTGAAAATTACAACAATAAAGAAAATAATGATAAGTTGTTTGGTTCTTATTTCATACTAAATCTATTTTCATTTTTTTTTTAGAATATTCAATTTCTTTTCATTTCATCTTTCTTTTTTTTTTATTTTGTTTTTAATTCATTTTGTTCATCTTTAATTTTATCTGTCCAAATTCTTTACGGTTAGTCATTTTTAAAGCTTATCTTTTTTCAGGTTTTGTAAATGTTTTTGTCTTTTATTAATTAGGATTCTTAATTGATAATTTAATTTCATTTTACAATGTTTACAAATTGTAGATATTTGTTTCATTCTGGAAGGTTGTTTTAGGTTGAAAGTTCAAATTCGTTAGTTATTTTTGTTTGGTATATTTATTGTGAAATTATGGTACAGGTACTAGTTTAATTTTCAATAATAACTTTGACTATAAAAGTAATATATCAGTATGCAATTTATATTCAAACTGGTTTGGTTCTTCATTTCATTATATTCGTACTTGTATTTATATTTTCAGCAATAAAAGTAACGGTTTTTGGTTGTTTTGCACCGTTTGCACTTTTTTTTGTTGTTTTTTTTACAAGTTTCTAAACTTTTTAGTTTTTTGTCCAATAAGGTTGCCTTACAATGATCATTACAATATAGAAATATCCTAAACGGTATGTGTTTTATTCATATAATTTCCAGAAAGTTATTCTTTAGTCTCCAGATATTGGATTTTTTGTTCAATTCTTCAAATTCTTCAAATTCTTCAAATTCTTTAAACTCATTAATATTCAGAATAACAAGTTTTTGTGATTTATTTTATATCAGAGTTTGTATGGGAAGATAAAAGATGATTTATGGTTGGTTAGTACATTTGTAAGTTTATCTTTGGCTTTAGAGGTTTATTAGTGAGGGTTTTCACCTTTGATTTCTCAACAAGAATATCTTCTTAAAATTTCCAATCCTGATATCGATACTGTGTTGAATTTAAAAGATTATTATTTGGTTTAATAGATTTATAGGTTGAATTGAACAGTTCTAAAAGTTTTTGAAATTGTTTTTTCAGTTAATTATACTTTTTTTTGTTTGAACACTTGAGTTAAATGTGAAGTGATTTTGAATAAGATAAAAGAATATAAAGGAAAAGTTTACCTAAATTGCAATTTAATTTATTTTCATAGGCACTATCAATTACAATTTTAGGTATTAAAATTGGAGATGTTGAAGAGATACAAGGCTCTTGCAATTTTTAGTAAATTAATTATTATAGGAAATTAGAGAATTGAATATTTACTACAAGTGATAAGATAATGTTTTGACTCAAATATAAGATATAACTTCTAATTCATAATTATAAATTATAAATTATAAATTATAAAATCTAGATTATTGGTTTTAAATAAATATATTAAAAGGTGAGTCAATTAATATATATCATTATGATTACCATCTGAAAATCATTTGCTTATAATTTATTAATATTTAATGGTATGAAGGATGTTGTTTTTTTTGTGCGAGAATTATCGTGATTATAAAGTTAAATAAAGTTAAATAGTGAGAGATGTTACAAGATTTGAATTATTATAAAATATTATGAAATATTATGAAATATGAAGAACTATGAAGAACTATGAAATATTAAAATCTAGCATAAAAATAATACAAAAATTAATTAATAAATATTTTTTTAAAAATATCTTTTTAAAAAAATCTTTCAAGGATTGTTAGCAGGTTGATTTAAAAACAAGACAAAAAAATATGGTTGAAATTTCTGATTCAACAAATGAAAAAAAAAAAAACATTGAGAAAAAAAATAATACAGGAAACAAACAGCAAATAGTAAAGAATAAAAAGATATTTCATTAAAAATTCAGTAGATCAGGTACTTTTTCTAGCTAGAGTAAAAAAACCAGTTTAAGAGTCAATATTTGATGAAAAAATTAAATGGTTGAAAACTTTAAACAAGAAGATGATCAATACCAGATTTAATTCAATCAAAAAAAACCAACCAAACAAATATATTAATACCATTAGTTAGAAATCCAAAATTGTGAGGTCAATAGAGCGTATTATGAAATTATGGAAACACGATTTGGATTTGAATTTGGAGGTGAAGATCTTATAATTAACGACAATTCGTTAAAATTCAAGAGTTGAAACAAATATAAAATCTCAAATGAATAACTTAAATTAGAGAAAGAAAACAGTTGTAAGTTGTAATACAGGCAAAAAAGGGAGAAAGAATTTAAAATAGAAGAATAATTTAATTTGAATTACTAAATAATCTAATATATAATATAATATAGTATAATGTAATGCGATTTAATAAATAATTTTTGAATATACATAAATAAGATAACCAGTACAATAATAGTGTTATCCTTTAAGGTAGCAAAGGCTATAAGGTATAATCTTGAGTTTATATTGATGACTGCACACCTTTTTAATGCGGATGAACCAGATATGCGGTTACAGAAGGTGTGTCTCAACACCATGCGCTGTATGTGTATGCATTTTAAACGCGGGTTGGTTTGTGGCGCTTTACCGTTAAACGGTTATATACCGTTAGCGGAACCTTCATTAATAGGACCTGCAGAAGTGGGATGTTTCTTCAATTGCTATTGGAGCTTATGTGCAAGATATGACGGAATAGGCGAACAGTGAAATTAAATTGTTACACAAAGTTGTTAAGAGATTTTCTTTTAATGCTGAAACCTTGAGCTGCATGCCCAATGCGGGCCAGCAGAGCCCTGGTGGCGAGCCCTGGCGCAGAGCCCTGAAGCTCAGCTTACAAAATGAACAAGCAAAAAGAGTGAAACTTGTGAAATGAACAAGCTAACAAAGAACCAAAAGCTGAGCAAAGGACTAATACGAGAATGGAGTGGAATTGTAAAACCATGTGGTGCACTTTCAACCATATAAAATGATCCGACCAGATCTTGTTTGTCTGCTTTTGTAAATGAGGTTTTGGCTGCACGTGAACATGCTGGGAGCATGAGCAGGAAAGCTCTTAAGGGAAGTTGGGAAGTCTCAAAGAGCCTTGAAGAATCTGGCAGACAGCTAGCTGAAATACAGCTGAAATACAGCTGAAATACAGCTGAATAACGAACGACAATTGCAATATTTGTCCATTCAGTTTCTTTTCTTGCTAAGTGGCACAATAAGGAGTAAATTATATATACTACACACCACGCTACACTGGTTTAATTAGGTTAAAGTGGTTTACCGAGAAAAAAGCATTGTGCTTAGCATGATCGAATAGTGAGTGGTGATGATCAGATGGAATAAGAAATAGTTGATCGATTTGTGATGAAAAATATAACGACTTTTAAAGTCCAATTGACTTCAGTGGAGTGCTGAGTTAATGTTGGTTACTCTGTTGAGAGAAGGAAAAGAAATAACAGAAATGAGCAAAAAAAACTTTATTGGTAACAATATAGCAAGTGTTTTCAGAGAAAACTTTTGTAGATGAATGCAGCTCTTGCTGCGAGAAAAAAAGAAAAAAAAGAAAAAAAAGAAAAAAAGAAAAAAAGAAAAGGCAAAAAATGGATATTTTGTTTCATTTGAGTGATGGCGATTCGAAATGATTGACCAATATGAAATTGAGATTGCAAAGTTCATGCCTCTGCAGCCATTACCAACAATTAGATAATATCACAAGCATCAAACAAGCTAGACCCGATGCATCGCAATATTTCGAGCCTTTCGAGCCCCAGCTTTTCCTTTAGATCTTCCTTTAGATCTCCTTCTGTTGTCTCTTTAGTCCATCTCCAGCTCGTGTGCCGGGCTGTGATTGGTGCTTTGGCTGCAGCTGCCTCTTTGAGAAACACATGCACCGTTTTTTTTCGGCTGCGCCGCAGAAGCTCCTTTCGGTAGATGCCTATTTGGGATATTTTTATTTCGAGACGTTGCCTATTCGAGAGTCTGCGACCGGCGCGTTTCCGTCCAATCGCGTGACGCACAAAATCACGCACTGCTCACGGACGAGATCACGCACTAAATCCACCAAAAAACCCACCAACAAAGAAACTGGAGAGAAGATGCAAAAATCGTCCACAAGAGCAATTTCATTAAGAGATCATAGATCATAAACAACCCTCAAGACCAGAGGATATTAAAAGCTATCCAGGCATATTCAGCGACAGATTGATCTCGTTTCTTCTTCAATATTTGTACTATTAGAATTACTATTTCCTTATCCTCCATACAACCTATATTCAAATGTCGTTCAACATCACCTGGGACTCATTTGAGAAGGATTCTTTGAAATCTTGGTGCAAACAGATACTACATGATTCTCTAAATAATTCAAACAAGAGACCAAGTATATTGGCTTCAAATATCATAATACAAGACTTGAATTTTGGTAAAATATCGCCCAATTTTGAAATTCTAGAAATTGGTGATTTAGCTTCTGATAGGTTTAGAGGTATATTCAAAATTAAATATAATGGCGATGCTCATATCACTTTATTTACAAATATTCAGGCAAATCCTATAAATATTTATTGGAAAAACACTGTTAATAATTTGCTTAACAACAACCCCGAATTCAATATTTTGCCAGAATTAGGTTCTATATCTCAAAATTTATCCATTCCTGTTAATTTGAAATTATCAAAGATTAAAATATCTGCAATTATTGTAATAGTATTCAGTAAATCAAAGGGTTTAACACTAGTTTTTAAAAACGATCCTTTAGAAAATATAGAAGTTAGCTCAACTTTTGATACTGTGCCTGCTATAAGAAATTTTCTACAGAAACAAATTGAAAAGAAGATTAGAGATTTATTTAGAGAAATTTTGCCTGGAGTATTATACCAATATTCTCAAAAATATGTAGCAAATCAACTTCATCCTCAATTGTTAAATCAAAAAAGACAATCTAAATTTAATAATTATAATAACAATATCGCTGCCACTACAACTGCAACTACTAATACTATTACTATTACTAATAATAATAATAATAATGAAAACGAAAACGATAATGAAAATGGAAGTGAAGTTAAAAAAATTACAATAGCTGACATAAATCCAGATGGGCCAGATTTATCTCCTGCCAACATGTTAAGATTATCGACTTTATCTTCTTCAAGACAAACACTATCTTTAGATGTTTTCAAAATTGATGATTTTGTTCAAAGATCTTCAATAGAGTTTTTCAATCTATATGATAATCAATTGACTCAATATTTAAATATAAATTCTTTAAATTTACCATTTTCACAAGACTATGACTCAAATAAAATATCCAAATACTTAAATAACATATCAAACTTCCAAATTAATAATTATAAAAAATCAAATGGAAATAATAGTAATCAAAAACCAAGGAGAAGAGTTATACACATAAACAAGAAAAAGAACAAAACCAAAAACAAAGACAAAAATAAACCAATAGAAAATGATATTTTAATTAGTAATCAAAATAATCAAAATAATCAAAATACTAATAACAATAATATCATTAATAATAATTTAAATATACACCAAGAGCCAAAGATTCAACCAAATAATACATCAAATAATACATCAAATAATACATCAATACCTGAATCAAAAGCACCCTCGCCTTTGGCTGTGTTTATTCAAAATTCAAAGCAAGATGATCACCCCATTCCCACTTATGAAGAATCTACGCTTATTGGCTCGGAAATATCTTCAGCATATAACTACGATACAAAATCTGAAAGAGATTACTACGATGAAAAGGCACTAATTAAGAGTCCTCCTCCTTTATATCACTCACAACCTTCGAGAAGAAACCAATCTCCTCCTTCTCGTAATAACCACCGCAGTTTCGAGATACGGATAAGACCTTCGTTATACACTTATTCTTCAGTTTTATCTCTTTCATTAGGAGTTTGAAATGTTTTCTTTCTCAAATCATATATTTAAACAAGAGAGATTTTTTTTTTTTTCCTTTATTTCTTCATACAATAACATACATATATCATACATAAACTATTTTTATTTTTCTTATTATTATTATTATTATTATTATTATCATTATCATTATGGTTATTTTTAAATAGCCACGAGTATATAGTGAGATGAATGTACAGAATGAATTAGTATGAATTAGTATTAATTAGTATTAATGATCAAAAATTCGTAGTAAAATCAGTTTATTCATTTGAATATGTAGGGTAGCCAAAAGAAAAGAAGCAAGCAAAATCCAGCTAAAATATTAACCAGATATTTAGTCAAAATCTTTAGCGAATAATGAATACTCATCAATTTTAATGATATGGAATTCCCACGCCCAAGATTATATTTATGTTTAATCTTTATGTATAATTTAGTTTCGCTTTGCTTAAAAGCAAAAAAAAAGGAAAAAAAGAGCAAATAGCATGAAAGTAGTAAGAAAAGAGTAAAAAAACAGTAAGAAAATATCAAATTATTAGTAACGAAAGTAACATAACGTTTCTAACCTTCAAGATAAAACTGAATTAAAATCAAATTGGGATAGTTTCGCATGAAAATTTATTTAAAAAGAATATTAAGAGAATTTTATCAAGGAATTAATGAGATTAATGGGATTGTTTGTTAACATTAAATAGAAGAGGCATTACTACATTTTAAATCATCATTGGATTACCAAATTCGGTTTCCAGTCTTTTTAATTTAGTTTAATTTAATTGAAACTACATATACAGAATTCTAAATAACTTGGAAATAGTTAAAATAGTAGAAATAAAATTAAGTGAAATAATATATATAAAAAAAAGCCAAAAAGGTGAAGTAGAAGTAAAATAAAAGTAGTAAATATATTAAAAAATGATGATGATTGTAGATGTGATTATGATTATGATAAATTCATATTAAAAATGAAGATAAAGAAATAGAGAGAAATAGAGAGAAAGAGAAAGAGTGGAAAAAAAACAAAAAAAGAAAATTAAGCCATTAAAACATTAAATACAACAATATAAGCAAGAAAAAAATTAATTAATTAAATAACACATAACAAAGAACTGAAATTAACATGAAATCTTGTAATATTTATAACCATGAAGTAGAATTTAATATTGATATTGATATTGATAGATAATTATATTAGGAATTGGAATTGGAATTATTGGATTATTGGACTATTTTTAGATTATAGAGGTTTAAAATAATTGAATTCAATTGCTTTGTCATTAGTTTAATAAAGATTTGATTGAGGTTTTAACTGATTTACTAGCTAATTTTTGTTTTGAATTTATAGAGTTTTTGAGACTTGCGTTGCCACTAACCAATCTTCTCCATCTAAATTGACAAGCATTTGGAGTTCTTCTGGGGAAATAAGTGGCTACAGCTCTCCAGCCCAATTTTTTTTCTTCTTTCAAGTATCTTAGTAGTTTATCGTCAGCATGGGACCAAGCACTTGCTTGTTTGGGAATTAGTTTCAAGTTTCCCTTCGATTGGTTTAAAGAGCTCAAGGGGGTGACGACTCTTTGGTATTGATCTAGAGGATAGATTTGAGGAGCTAAGGGAGCAGGAGCAGGGCCTGTATATAAATAGCTGGGAGAGTTTGTCATAAAAGGAGGAGTGGGCATTTGTTGAAACTGTTGAGCTTGGTAAGGGTAGTTTGGTTGAGGCAGCTGTATTTGTTGTGGTTGGACTTGTTGAATGGACTGAATTTGTTGCATTTGCTGGACCTGAGGTATTTGTTGCATTTGATGCATTTGAGGAGGTTGCTGGTGTTGTGGCTGGACTTGTTGAGACACTTGTTGGGGGGTTTGTTGTTGAGATTGTGAATTTTGGTTGATGGGCACTTGCTGAAGCAGTGGCAGAAGCTGGTGTTGTAATTGCTGGGTTTGTTGTAATTGGGGAGATGTTTGAGCAGAGTTATCGTAGGTAAGGTGAGGTTGAGCAGAAACAGGAGGAGTAGGTAAAGAGGGGGCTCTTACGTCTCTGTATTGAACAACGGGAGATAAGGATTGTTGACTTGGAGGAGGAGTTGGAATCGAGGGAGACTGTGATTGTTGCTGTTGCTGTTGCTGTGAAAGGAAAAAGCTTTCTTGGAATAGCTCCTTCAAACCAGGCAACTTGATCTTTCCATAGGATTGATATATTGGGACGATGCTGTTGTTGCACAAAGAAGGCAAGGAAAATTGGCGAGGTTGGATTTCGTTTATGAGAGTAGACATGATTATTGTATAGAAAACGAGGTATGGATATAGATATGGAATATAAGAGAAGCCACCAAATAGAAGTAATAAGTGATACAAAAAATACGTGGAAGTAGAGACTTGGAAAACAGGTTGTGGAAGGTATAGTATAATAGGGAGAAATAAAAAAGCTTGAAAGGAACAAGATAGTGAGACAATAGGAGAGGATACTTTGATAAAGATAATTTGGCAATTAGATAATTAGATAATAAGATAATAAGATAGAAAAAGATAATAGATATGATGAAGGAAAAGAGATATGGAAAGAAAAAAGAGGGAAATTTTCCATTCTTATATATTTGATCTGGAATATTAAATTCAATGTCTTAATGATCATTGAAAGGAGATTGGGATTTGAGAAGTTGGTTTTTGACTTTTCAAAGTTGAGAAGAAGAAATGAAAGTTGTTTTAAGACATAGATCAAAAATGCATATTACATACCGTTATCCGTTGGTTTAGCTCCAGACGCATACACGCACAGGTGTCTGCGTCAGAGTTCTGCAGGCCAAACTCTCGCATGCACCAGCCTGGTTGCTGTGCGCCCATCAGCAACCGTACAGCCTTAGTGGGTTGCCGCGCCGCAGCGCAGAACGCACAGTTTGGCGTGTTCTGCAGATGCTGTAGCAGCATAACTGGCTACACCTTTGCTACAGGGACCGCGCCCAGACGCGTCTTCCAGCAGGCGATCTGTGTTAGGCCTGTGGTGGAGGAAGTGCTTGTGGCTCTTCTGCGGAAGTGAGGCTCTTTTGGAAGTGAGCTGCTTCGCTGCCTGCAGAGGAGCAAGCAGTGGGTTTTTGTGGGTTTTTGTGGGTTTTCAGGCCTTTTCCCGGTGGCCTTTCGTGTTTTTTTATGCTTTGTTTGATTTTTTTTTTTTTTTTTTAAAAAATAACTGCTAAGAACACCTATGTTTTGTCTTGTTTTGCCTTGTTTTTGTTGTGCTCTGTGTCGGTTTATATGCAACGCTTTTTGTCTGGTCTTTTAGGAAGCAATCTCTTCCCGTTTGGCAGCTCAGATTGTGATATATACCCATTGTAAATGAAGGCCATAGACAATTGCAACGCTCGATTCTACTGGTTCAGCAAACACAACTAAGACAAATTAACGAATTAAGATTATTCCCAAATAATCTTAATTATTTAATCCAAATTATCGTGCAATGTTTTCAAAGATGTGTACTGAAATCTGATATTGCTCTTTTTCTTTTCAATAAATCCTACATCTTTCTTATTTGGATCTAATCTCCTAAATTCAATCTACCCAAAACCATCTAAAAATATTAGAAAATCCCAAACTATTCAAACCATTGTCGATCATATTGCATTTTCTCGCCTTGTTTATAATCGTAATTCCTTCAATTGAAAATATAAATGAAAAAAAGATAATCTTTTTTTTTCTCTTACTCCTCTGCCTTCATTCTATTTCTTATTTTATTTCTCAATTTAATTTGACTGGGGTTTGCATGTCGTTAACGCTTTTTCAAATCCCAATTTACATAACGGTTTAATTCACTCACTACTACACGACACTTTAATTCTTTCGCTGTTTTATTTATTCATTGCTCTACAATCACTCCTCGCTCAATCACTCAATTCAAAATTTTCGCCAAAACAAACACAAAAATTAGATCTATTGTATTATCAATTACGAAAAGCTGTAGGCTCATTCACTGTTAAACATCCAATGTCTCACCGAAATAGAATGAATTTTGCCCACTAAAACCAACTTCTCAGCCATAAAATCCACAAACCTGCTGAGAACAGATCTTCCACCATCTTCACTCACCTTACCATTACCAGAAATTCCAATCATAAACATTGTTTAAACATTGTTTAAACAATTTGATCATTAAACCCATAATCACTAAATACCTTTAACACCATCGCGTCACGTGTAAACTCAATTTTTTCCAATTTTTTTTTTTATCTTTTTGTCCCAATAAATAACCTAATCAATTGGTCCAATTCATTGAAACCAGATATCAGATATCAGTTTCTAGCTACTCGTTTCTAGTTATTAGTTTTATTTAAATTAATTATTAAATTAAATAATTAATAAATTAATAGTCTCATTTTAAATACACCTTTTGGTCTTTTGATCTTGAATATCGATCTAATTTTGATGAAGAATTTATTCGATCTGAATACTCACTTCCTCATGATTTTTTGATGAAGTTTTTTTGACACTGTTTATAAAGTTGAAAATATCGTCAGATTTTTTCTAAATTATTATTAAACACTAAATCACTATTAAAATGCTCTTTTTTTTGGTTGTCCTTTTTTTTTTCCATTTCAAAATCAAGTATACTAAACTGCTAATTTATTCTTAACAAAAAATTTTTTATTTTTTTACTTTCTAATCACTATTGTTACTGTTATCGTTATTCTTATTCAATAGATAACAGAAGTAGTTGACATAATTTTTAAATGGTCAAGATAAACAGGTTAATTTAAAACATCAAATAATTTAGTCGAATTAATTCAGCTACATTATTATCACTATCGCTATCACTATCACTATCCATATCCATATCCATATTATTTTAATTTTAATTTTTATTTTTATTTTTATTTTTATTATTATTATTATTATTATTATTATTATTATTATCATCATTAGTATTATTGCTTTGCTTTTATTAACTCTATAATTTCCATAGGTCCTAATAATTAAATAATAATAATCAACAATAGTCTCACTTTGATTAGTTTATGGTTTTTATTCGAAAAATTATAATCATCTCTTTCATCATTATTCGTTTTCATTCGTTTTCATTCATCTTGATTCGTCTGGTTTCATCTGGCTTTGTCTGCCTTTTTTTGATTTCTTTTGACTCTCTTCACTTGGTTCAGTTTGTCCAGTCTGTTTGCCTCTTCAATCTCTTTGGCTTAATAAATCTAATCTAAAATAAAAACTACAATGATCAAATCATACTATACTATATCATATCATATCGTATTGTATCATGTCCAGAAATTTTAATTTAATTTAATCAATTTGCTAAATGATTTATTAATAAATCAATATATTAATGTGTTTTAAAAATTATTGTCTTATTAGATCCAAAGTTTAAAAAAGTAATTTAAAAAAAAAAGAGAAAAAAAAGAGAAAAAATGAGAAAAAAATGAGAAAATAAAAAGGATCATTGGGTAATAAACTGCTTTTTAAAATTTATTTTACTCTAAATTTATTTTGAATTTATTAATTTTTGGGTATTTTAATCATCTATTTGCTAAATCTGCTAATCTCAAATTTTGTTTCTTGTCTGATAATTGGTAAAGAGTTAAACAAATTTTGTTACTGTGATTAAACTGGCTACTGAAAGTAAGTTTATCTGATGATTAAATATAATTGAATACAAATGAAAATCGTTGTAGATTTACCTTTTCAATTGTTGAAATTAACAGTTTGTTTTTTTCCTGGGATTTCTGGTGTTTGTTTTGGGTTTTTTTGGGTTTAGAATTTACAATTTAAAAAAAAATGAATCATCGTTATTTGCTAAATCATTAGAATTCAATTGCTGAGTTATCACCATATTCATTTCTGGATTTGAAAAATATTTTTTGAACACACCTTTAACAAGGGGAATTTATTAGTGTTGATAATAATATTAGTATCAGTGTTAATAGCTGGGCTTGATATAATAAAAATAAAGTAATGAATAACATTGGAAACGCTAATTAGTCATAAGTTTATTGGAATTTAAAAAGAATTTCAGTATTTTTTGAGAAAACAACAAAAACAAAAATGAGAATTTGGTAACTTGCACAGCATGCTCTTTTGCCTATTGTTTAATTATAAATAGAAAAATAGAAGAATACATGAGCAGATAATTGGACAATTTGTTAACTAGTTGCAAAAGCAATCAGCATATTTTGTTTTAAGACAACATACTATCTCAGTCAGCTGAAATTGTAGAAGCAAATCTCTGATCTTGCTCCAGTGTCATAGCCCTTACTCATAATCTTCCTCTAGTTCTAAGGGTATATCCTAAAGAGATAAACATATTATATGGTATTGTCGTCCGATGTTGTCTAGCTCTAAAACTACTCATTAGTATAACCGTTTGCACCTGCGCAAGCCGGCCATACCTGTTAGAAACGGAACTGAATTTGACTCCAGCTGCTTGCTGCGTACCAGGCGTCCTGATAGGGAGGCCATCCATAGTGGTGGAGCTTTGTGGAGCGGAGCAGATCCTGTTAGAAGCAATAGTTGCGTGACAGGGCATCACCCTCAGTAAATGAGAAAAACATTGCGACTCCATTAGACTTGGATCCCGCGTCGGCCAGCATAGTCAGATTCCCGGTACTAAGCTTGTCCTGATAGCAGAAGAGAGCGTTGGAGCAATTAAGCTTTGAAATGGGAAATGGTTTGCATGGAGTGGAAATGCTTGAGCGAAACAGTTTTCAAATCAATATATCTAAGCAGATTAAAATGAATGAGTTTAAGTGGAAGTGCTAAATGATAGGATCAGGCAATGAAAGCAGTTACTTTCGATTGGCTGAGGGGATGGTTGATAAAGAGCAGGATAGGTAGATAGTAACGAAAAACATTAAGGAAAGACAAATTTATTTTTAAAGATGATCAGTTGTAGATAGATAAAATTTAGACTTGTACTTAAGACTGTTTAGATTATTGCAAGTGGTGTTGTCATTTTATTGTGATTTGACGAGGAGTTGTTTCGACGAAAAACAAAAGTACACCGAAAACGCAGAGAGATTTGGGCGAAGTTTTCTCGAAGTTTTTTAATACCAAAGTATAAATAGTTGTACCGTAAGAACATCAACTCTGATAGATGAAAAATGGGATGAAATTTCAATTTGATTTGATTTTGATCAAATTCTAAGGATATATGAATGTGATAGTATGGCTGGGTAAAATAAATCCTGTTATTACTGGTTGAATTTGAAATGAGATAATTCACGAATCAGATCGAAATTGCATTGTTTTGTATTGTAGTGAAATCGATTGGCAATAAACCTTCTTAAACAGGCTTAAGCAGGACCTGAACTAAATAAAGATCAACAAAATCGAGAAAGTTTGGAGGAAACCTTGAAAGAAAGTTCTTAGATAAATCAAACAAATCTAGGAAATAGCCAATAGGCTAACCAAAAGACTAAGAGAAACAAGTGATCTGTAAGGATTTATGCTTTAAAAAAATAAAGGAATTTGAATTTTAAAATTTGGAAATAGGTTTAGCAAGTAGAATAGGTTTACAAAGCGTACTAAGTTAAATCAGTAATTGATGAATTTCTGACAGCAGTTGTAAAATGAAATGATGATTCGATAAGCATAATACTATTCACTTTTTGAGACAGGATAAATTACAAGTGAAGCCCCATCTGCCTAAATGGCATTTTTTTTAATTTTAAGCTTTTAAGTTACTACAAAGATTGGTTTAAACACAGTTTCTAATTTTTAAATAGTAACTAAAAATCACAAAACAGAAAAACCCAAAAAACCCAAAAAATTAAAACAAATTCAAAAATTAAAACAAATTCAAAAAACATTCAAAAAACATTCAAAAAACATTCAGAAAGATTCAGAAAAATCCAAAAATTGAAATAAATTTATTTTCAAATTTATTCAAATTAATAACCTTTGGATTTTCAAGTAACAATATTCGGAAAAATTGACCATTAGCTGAGACTGTGTAATATAGCAATAGATTATAGGATAACACATCAAGTAAATTGAGACTACGTAAAGGGATAGATATTCTTTTTTGAAGCTGAAAGCTGACTATAGACATGATTTTATTATTTGATTTGTAAATGATTGCATATTGACCATTAACCATCGACTATCAAGTAATCAAGTATAAAGTATCAGCTCTCAGCTTGGTGTATATTTTTGTAAATCAAATAGGAAGCTGAAATTGTGGTATTCTATTCGAACAGTTTGTGCTTTTTTTTATTCTAACATTTCTAAATTTATTCAGGTTATTTTGACTATGTAGGTATAGTTAATGAATTGTGTTGGATTGTTTTGAGTTGTTTTCAAAATTTGCGTAAAATTCAAGAGATATTTTAAACTTGGATGTCTGTTGTGCTAACCAAATAATTTAAACGAACACAATGATTTCATGACAAATAGATTGGAAATAATTTCAAAATTCTAATGATCATCTAGTTCTATTGTTATCGAAAACCTTAACGCATCTATTCAGGTTGATCGCAGCCCCGCCAATCAGCTTGCGCTATTTTGTACCATGATCGTAATGTGAAGCTGCTGGTATTATTTTAAGAAACGAATTCTAGTCTCATGTGCCTTAAAGAAGTCACAAATGGAAACTCGCCAATTTGGTAAACCCAGGAGAAAAAACTCAGCACTCATGGAAAACCGACCTATTCACGTGCAGAATGCCACACCAAACCGACATGTCTCTGTGGGAAACGGCACCAGCGGCAGCGCACAGGCTCCACTGGCATCATCGTTCCCTAGAACAATGCCCGCAAAGACGCAAATGCCCTACCAGCCAATCAGAGGAGCGGACAGGGGGTTCTCAAAAACCGGCACCGCCACCTGACCCAGCCGGTGTGTGTTGAAACCCACAGGGGCAAGCTGAGTGCGCAGGTTTTGTCTGGAGAGATTGAGTTTGCAAGAGTTAATAATAAACTGATATCACTGCGAGAAATTCAGCTGCTGCCAAACACACTCACGGAAATGGGATGATTTTCTGCAGCAGCACTGCACTGGCTGCAGTTAGAGTTTGGCTATGCAGACACGACTCAAGTGGTGGTCTGCCCGCAGTGCCTGTACTATCAGGATGCGCTGCCACACCTTGTCGTCTTGTCAAACGACACCGGTGAGCGATAACGTGGTGATTGAATAAATAACAGACCTGCATTAATTACCATCTGTCAACACTGTTATCATCCTCTTGCAGTTTCTGTAGAATCTGTGCTCTCCATTTCTATCTGTTGTGACGAGTTTCATCCAATTTCCCAAGCTTGTTGCCATGCTTGCTAACATGCTTGTTATCCAGAACCTGTGCGACCTTCGCAATTTCTCTTGTTTCTAAGGCCAGGGTGCCTCTATCGTTCTTCTATTTTCTCTCCTCAATTGTACCAACGTATCCTCTTTTTTTTTGGCTGTCCTTTTGGTCCATATCGATCTCCCTTTTGGGCTTTTTCACCTTTTTGAGCCCATATCTTTTTGCTGTGATTTGGAAGAAACTTAATTTTTAATTTGATCTGAAGCTAGTGTGCCCAATCAGGAAATCAAATTTGAGCTATTTGACTTTATCTACTCTTTTACTTTTCGTCACTTTCTTTTACTGCTGTATTGGCTGGGCTACAAATTTAGATGGTTCTCTCAACCGTATTGCTTTCTGCTTTCTGTTTTCTGCTTTCTCTCTTTCAACTGGCCAATTGTCTCTGGCTTTTTACAAAGTCAATCTTTTTTACTTGATTGAATACTAAACCTATCTTGCACTACGGTATCAAAGAAAGTTATTCATATCAAGATATTGAGTATTCATTAATTGAAAATGTATCTTGTTTTTGTTTTATCCCATTTCATTTTCATTTTCATATTCTATGTATTTTATTTTTTTGCTAAAAACCAAAAATAATTCAATAAATGTCTCCTTCCCAATTTACTCCAGAATATCTTGAGCATCTAGAAGAGATTTGTGTCCATTAAGATTGTTTTCGCTATTATCACTACGGTACCAAACTATATGAATAAATTTATGAAGTAATTCAATTAATTCCAGTTCTTATTTTATTTTAAAACTTTTTTTTTTATTTCTAAACAAAATAAGTAATAAAAAAATAAAAAAATAAAAAATAAAACTTCATCACCATTTTAAATCTCAATCTAATGTACCTTGAAATCACTAAGGAATGAATATTGAAGGAATTTACTTAATTTTTATTTTATTTTATTTTATTTTATTTTATTATATTATTTATTTTTATAATATTAATTTTTTGTTCCTTTAAAATCTCATTAATTGATTCATAGTAACGTGTCGATAATCAATTCAAAGCATTCAAATCGATATAATAAAGCGATTATTAGTTTCATTCCACGTCTTACAAAGATCTAATAAAGATTTAAGATCGAATTGTAATTCTAAAATATAAAGACAAAACCAAAAGAAATCAAAATTAATAACAGCAGCATCATATCTATGATAATATCGATACTATTACTGATTCTATCATGAAATACAATATAATATTATTTTTAAATTTATCAAAATGAACATCAGGCGTCTTACTCTATGTTAAAGGAGTGTTAATTTACAGTCTAAAAACAAGAAATCAATTTCAAATTTGGAAAAAATCCATTATAAAAGAAACTAATATGCTTTCTTATAAAAATTTATTCAATTAAAAACCGTTTCAATTTAATTTTTCTCATTTTCATTTACTTTTATAATGTTAATTCTAATTAAAATTATGACTTTATTCAATTCTATTTACTTGTAATCTAATATCTTATTTTGTTTTTAATATTTTGTCTCTCTCTTAATACTTTCCCACCTTAATACAAAATCAGTTTGTTCAGGCAGTTAACTTTCTGGCTAAAGCTCATTCAGTTCTCTAAAAACAATCTACATTCAAGAATTTAATGGGTATATGAATAATTATTGTAACCCATTTGAATTCTACCCATTTGCATTTGAATTCGATTTACCAAACCTTTATTTGCCCACTAATCTCTTTCAAATCTATAAAAAACCTCCCCAAATACCAATCAGCATGTACTAATAATACAACAATACTATGTTCATAAAAACTCTCATTCAAATTCAAAAATTCCACAAAATTCCTCCCAAAATCTGTTCAAACTTCCATTATATTTGTAATTTGATCTGGATTCCCAAAAGACACAAAGATTGCACGTGATCATTATCAAGTTCTATTTTTAAGGGGCTGCGCAAAACCACAGCAATGGTACCTCGCTACACAGCGTCAAAGACTGCATATATACGCATGTACTTTAGTTTCAGCAGTGTGGGTCTTTCTCCATTCAAGAAGGTACGACACTAAAAAGCTGGGGTTTGAGTTGGTACTATTCCTACAAAGTATTGCAAAAATTATGTTTGAGCTGTTTCCGAGAAACTGCTTTTTATCTCTTGCTGATTTATTTCTGGTTTCATGATCCACTTATTCAATCGATTTATCTCTCTTTATAACACTGCACTAACTCGAGTGAAACACAAAACTTGGTATGTTTGTGAAATGTCTGTGATCTGTGGGTCTTTGGGACGAGTAAATCAAAAGCCAAAATCGGAGTTGTGGTTAAATAATTTCAAATACCCATAAGAAATAAGTTGTTTTAGATAGGTTTTCGTTCAATCTGGTACTGTTCAAGGTCACTGATTGGCTCAATTGACTATTATTCATTATGGTTTTCTTTTAACTTTTTTAACTACCCTTTCAAAAGGTCAGCATCAATTTTGATTCGTAATCACTGATATCATCCTGACTTTTATTTTCCTTGCATCACAAGATGTAAAATACATTTCTTTGAGTCGAACAAACATAAAAAAAGGAATTTAACCTGTATTTTAACAAAATTAGATCAAAATTATTTCAACATTAAAATAAAAAAACAACTATCCTCGTTTGATTTTTTAATTTTCATCAACTATAACAATATTTACTAGTACGGAATAATCACCTATATTTTATTAATCTAGTTTCAGTAATTGATACAGTTCATAATGGAGAATAGTACTATAAGAATTGTCTTATTAATCACTTTTATTCTTCTTTTTCTATCAATGATAGTCTTATTAATTGCTTTAAAAATAATTAAAAGAAAAGCATTGGAATTAGTCAAGGAGGAAGAGTTCAATGTAATTAAAATCGCACTATATGAATATATTTTATTGTTTAAACCAATTGTATTCTTTCCAAATAAATCTTATTTAACGAATGATGGTAATAATAGTGATAAAAAGGAATTCATTCAATTTCCAAAATATGATTTCAATTCTCATTTCATTAATTCTAATGTTTATAATAATTATAACTCAATTGAAAAATTTGTCAATTTAAGAAAAGTAATTTGTTTTAATGAAGAAATACTTTTATCTCAGGAATTTTTTCAGACTAGGTATGAATTTGAAAATCTTAAATGGTATAAAATTTTCAAAAATCTAGAAGTAATTTATTTTAATGAAAATAATGCAAGAAAAATGGTTTATATTAATAATGTCAATGATTTAAAATTAGAATATTTAGAAATTTTAAAAAATCTAAATGAAAAAAAATTAAATAACTTAATTCAATTATCAAAATTGAGAAAATTATCTTATGAACAGACTTTATTGCTTAAATGTTATAAATTAAAAGAAAAACAGCTTCGAAAACTTAAAAAGATAGATTTTTTCTCCGATAATGACTTTTCTTATGACTTTTAAATTTATTCTTTAGTTTCCTTTAAGGTTTGTTTTATTTACACTTTGTTTTTAATAAAAATATCTGATTATTATACATATTAAACCAAAATAAAAACAACAAATAATAATCAAATCAAAAACATAAACAGTGAAAAAAAAATCGACTTCATTTTCTTGAAGTTTCAATCCTTTCCGCCAATGATTTATTACTCCTAGAATTGAAAAAGCTATTTGGTGACCTTGACCTTGACCTTGACCTTGATCTTATTCTTAATCTTGATGTATTTCTTGATTCTCTGAACGCTTTTGGCGCACTTGGTGGTTTTCTCGCACTTCTAAATCCAGGAAATAAATCATCATCATCATTATCGTTGCCATTGTCATTATTATTACTATTATGATTATTGTTCTCATTATTTCTATTTCCTACTATGCCCGTTTTTATAGAATTACTAAACTTATCTCCAAATAAATCATCCGCATCATCCGCATCATCATTGTTATCATTATTTTTAAGACGGAAATCTGGATATAATTTTGGATTATGATTATTTTGATTATTTTTAAATAAATATTTTTTACTTTTAAACAAATCATCTTCAAAACTATCTTCATATCGACTTTTATTTAATTGATCGCGATCTCTATATGAATTGTCTGTTTTTTTTCTATAGTTGTTTTTTCTTTGTGTTGTTTTATAAATTTTTTTCCTTGTAGGTTCGCCATGTAACAAATAATATCGTGATCTTTCTCTTGCATTTCTAACTTTTTTATCATCAATTGTGGATTGTGTTATTGTAAAAATGATATTATTGTTAGCATCTCTGTTAATTTTATAATCTTCCTGATTCAATTTCTCATCTTCCTGATAATTACTTTTTGAAAATAAATTCTTAATAAAAGGCTTTGATCTTCTCTTGTCTGTTATTTTTGAGTTAATAGAAGCATCAACGCTATCAAAAACAGATAAAATCCTTAAAGCATTTGAGCAATCATCTATCGACTCAAAAATCACGTTGAGCGAATTGTCATCGATCCATTGAATTCGAAATCTTAATATCTTATCCTGTTCATCAGAAATGGTATCGTTCAAATAATGATCCAAATAAGTTTTGATATCTGTTGTCGATAAATCATTGACACCATCAATCTTTAGACTATTTAATCTAATATTTCCATCCAAAGTAGAATGGTCGGTCTCCTTTTTTGCTTCAGCATTTATATCAATTTGTTCTATAACCTCAGGCCGATCAGCAACGCCCATAGAAACATCATTCATATCTTCATCCATCTCTGGTCTTCTGCTCTGATTTTATTTGTTGTTGGAAATTTAACTAAACTTTTGCTCAGTAAATGAAATAATCTAGGTGAATTAAAGCAGGGTTACTTTTCAAAAATGAACCACGCGTTTTAAAAACTACTCTGTTGATGTTGAAATTATTGCACTAAATAATATAGTGATACAAAGTTGACATCCTATCAAATAAAAAATAATCAATTTGATCAACTATCAAAAGAGAATCATCGTCAATAGATAATGATTTCTACTGAAGCAATGTTTCGACAACGGATTTGAAGTTAGAAACCACCAGAGTAGAATTTTCTGAAGGTACATTTCCATGGTGGATATTTGATTCCGCGGATATTATCCGATATATACTGCCGATAGATACTATTATCAAATTAATCACTATTAATTACTGAGTAGACTGAAAAATCACAAAAATCAAAGATAAAAAAAACAAAAGAGAATGAAAATAAAAAAACAAACAAACAATTAGGGAATAAATAGAAAATGTGGAGAAAATAAATTAAAAACAAACTAGAAGGCGATCAAGGTAAATTGAAGTCCTCAATTGAAAATGAGAAGTTGTTGAAAACCGGTTGACACATATTAAACCAATTTACAGCACCTCTAATCAACTTCATTTGTAAAACCTTCAGCATTATCAGTACTTAACTTTTCCAATAGAAATTTTGTATATGGAGTTTGCTGGATTTCAACTTGTGGCAAAGTAACTAAATCCTCAAGTTCACCTCCATAAGCTTTTGGCAATTTTTTGGTATTTATCTGTTCCGCCATTGTTGAAGCATCACTTAAAACTCTGAACTTGGCAACAGTTTCTTTTGAAATAAAGAAATTTTTGACAACATAGTTATAAAACCAAGCCAAAATGAATGGAATGTTTAAAAAGAATTTTCTGCTTAATAATTCTGGATAATAATCTTGGAAAATTTTAATAGTGCTTTTAGTAGATCTCTTAATGCTTGCATCCATTCTTAAAAAACTAATATCTTTATAATCATGAACCTGAGCAACAAATTGATTTTCTTTATCTTTAAAATCTAATAATTGAACGGATTTTTCCATTAAACCAATTCTCCATCTAAGAAATTCGTCTAAATCAATAAAATAATCTTTAGTTTGAGCAACTTGAACTGGAGATTTGGCACCATAAATATTCCAGGTTATTACTTTACAATTTTCAGGGTTTTCAGAGTTATTAGTTAAATAACCGATGTTATTAAACATCTTTTTATGTTCTTCTAGAAAAGCAGCGGATAAAGGCTTGAATTCTTTGCGCCAAATTAATGTATTCTTTAATTGAGATTCAGATTCAGGTATTAGAAAATCATTTGCTTTAAGAAATTTAAAGGCCAAGACTTTGGCTACAGTTTCATCATAAAAGTCTCCTGTGGGACTTAGTTGATGACCAAATAACTCATCATAATCAGCTTCCTTAGTAATTTCAGGTAGTTTATTAAAAAAAAGATTGAAGTTTTTCTTTTCTCCTGATGATTTAAATGTAACACCTTCAGGGTAAATTTGATCATCTTCAGATGTGGAAGTAGCCACCTCAGCATTTTGTTGAGATTTATTGCTAGCAGCATCATTATCCTTGGTTTTGGTGTTTTTTCCATTAATGGTTTCTTTGTTGTCGACGACTTCTTTGTTGTCAGTTGTATCTTTTATAATTGTTGCAGCTCCTTGAGTTTTGTCAACGATTTGCTCTTTTGACTCCTCAATGGGCTCAGGTTCAACTTTCGTAGAATTGCCCTTGTCCTCTGATTTTGATATATCATTAGAAACAACAGTCTCTGGTGCCTTTTCTGTAACAAAATCTTTCTTAGGTTCAACTTCAACTGTGGGATTATTCTTAACTTGAGTTTCAGTTTCAATTTTTTGATCTAAATCCTTTTTAATTTCATTTGTTTTATCATCAACCTTGGTGACTTCATCCGTGTCCTTAATTGAGGAGGCAGTTTTTGAATCTGCCAATTGGGTTATTTTATCATCAGTTGTACTAGTGCTTGTCACTTCTTTTTCAACAGATATTGGTTTAGTAGTGTCACCAGCAGTGCCATTGATTTCAGCCATGTTGAAGTAAATTTAATCAAACTAAAATTGAAATAGAAATTAAAACTGAAATTGGGTTGAATAGAATAGAATTGAATACAACAGAATAGAATAGAATAGAATTGAATCAAAAGAAATCAACTTGAATGAAATAGAAAGAGGAAAAATTTTAATAAAATACCAGAATCAAGAACACATCAACTCAAAAGTAAATATCTAGTTCAAACATTCGCTTAAAACGTCCCGTGAAAACAGTTCAGCACCTGATAGATCCATTGCACTGGTTGGGGATTTCTTGATAGATTTCTGGTGCGTGATCCGGATCACCATTAAGCTGTATTTGTAATTGCTGAGTCATCCACGAATATCCGTTTGAATCCGCAACAGTCCTGTGATTAATTTCTCGCCATCAACTTTGGTTTTATTATTTTTCAGTCAATTGGAGAGACTCCATATTTATCGAGATTCAGCATTGATCTTTATCGAGATGATTTTCTTGCAACAAATAAAATCATCTGTTACTTACCCCTCTTCGATATCGCCTCTTGCTATAAGCTTCCAGCAAGTGCGTCATGTCTCCAGAAGAAAATTAGCATATCCACCTAAGCATCTTGGTTTTCGTTACAATGGTCGAATGCCAAAAAAGAATCATAAATCTAATTTCAGATTTATGATGAACCAGTTCTTAGGGCCACAAAACTATAAAGGGGAATATCGTTTCAATATTTTTTCTGATCCACAAACAAATAATGAAACCAAGTTTATCACTCGTGAATTACCTGGAGACTCTGCAGTAGTTTTACCTGAAAACAGTAATGTTGAATATCCCCCTATTAATAAAAGGTTTTTATCTGATAGAAGGAAATTTCAACCATTTTTCATGAATCCACAACTATCTACAAACTTAATGTTGACAGATAAAACCAAAAGAAACATTTACGAGGATGTGGAAATTAATAAAATCCCAGTTTATGAACTAGCATTCAAGTATAATATCAAGATTCCAAGAATCGAAGCTGTTGTTAAATTGGAGAAAATTAAATTATCTATAAAAGCAAAAAATGATCAATTTTTTAATGACGTTAAAGATGGTGTAAAATCTGTTAAAAAGGAAAAATTGCAAAAGAAGAAAAGTAGTATAGAAGAGTTGAAAAAAATGTCATCAACAATGAAAAAAATCTTTCCATTGTTTGAACGTCATAGAAAACCAGAGAATCTAACCGAAATTCCTGCACCTGCTAAGACTCTTCAATCTAGATTTTTAACAATTAATGAATCTGAACCATTCGGTCCAGTTGACGCAGCTAAAGTGTTTGGTATTAAATCTGGTAAAGAAACATTGCAAGATATTGCTGAGACCGAACATAAGGAATTTCATCATGAAGAGCAAAAAGAAGGCAAAGAAGTTTACTATGCACCAGTTTTGGAGGGCGAGAAATCGGTGTTTAGATTTGTTAAATCTAAAGTTGGTAAAGTTGGTCATAGATATGGTGCATCAAATAGAGATAATAAAACCGATCGTAAAATTGGTTTTGACACAACTGGTAGAATGGTTTATATTTAGTTTTGGAAAACGAAAATTTCCTGTTTTTTTATATAATCATTACTTTGTAAATAAACAAATTAATTAAATGTAGTTTAATTGAGATTCTGATTTAAGGTTTTTTGACTACAGTATCAATTAGACTAGTAAAGTGATGGTGGAATAATAATGGGGTAATAATTATCAAGAAAAAAACTCCGATATTTGAAATTTGTAAAAATTTTAACAGCGAATACTAAGCTATGTTAAAACGTTATTACTAAATAGAGAAATTAAATACAAGAAACATCATATTATATCATATTGCGTTACGATATATCATATCAATTAACTCTAAATGTAATTGAATATTTAATTAGCTAATTCACCACAGTCATCGATTGAAATGACGCCTCTGGTTGCACCAGATGAACTACCTAAACTTTCAATTTTCTTGACAACAGAGTAGCCTTCAACAACTTCACCGAAAACAACATGTTTGCCATCTAACCAAGAACATGGAACAGTGGTGATGAAGAATTGAGAGCCATTGGTGTTTGGACCAGAGTTGGCCATAGATAATAAACCTGGTTTGGTGTGAGCAACCCTGAAGTTTTCGTCAGGGAATTTCTCACCATAAATTGATTTACCACCAGTACCATTACCTCTGGTAAAATCGCCACCTTGTAACATAAATTGAGGAATAACACGGTGAAATTTGGAGGATTTGTAACCGTAACCTTTTTCACCAGTACATAAAGCTCTGAAGTTTTCAGAGGTTTTTGGAACAATATCGTTGTATAATCTGAAGACAATTCTTCCTAAAGAGGAACCTGTTAAAAAATCAAAAATAGCCGAAAACCAGCCATATTGTTAGTTAGAATTTGAGAAAAAATTGAAAGAAAGAAAAAAAAAAGGAATTTAAGGATAACTAGGTATCAAAAGAATATAGAAAGAGCAGGAAAACAGAATTCACTTACCATTGGCAGAGACATCAAAGAAAACTTTAGACATTTTGGTATAGAGTAGTTATGTGGGCTTGGAAATTGGTACACGACAGTTAAAACTAGGAAAAAGTTGGGTAGAAATGTTGAGGAAATAGAATCAGAAACAGAAAAAAAGGGAAATTGAAAGGACTATTTATATAAGAATTTTATTGGGATGAGGTGAAAGAAACGTTTTCGAGATTATGTTTGTAATAACGGGAGAATTTTAGAAAAGATAACCAATAGAGTGATTTTTTCAGAGTAAACCCGTTGACAATTTCCCCGTGGAAGCAGGAGCTAAGGGCAATTTGAAGCAGATGGAGTAGGGTATTTCTCGACACTGAAAAGTCTAAAGAGTCAAGAAACAGAATGGGGGAAAGTTGATTTATTGGAAACCTTTTAAACCTTTTAAACCTCTTGAGCCTTTTGAACCTCTTGAACATTTTGAACTATTGAACTATTGAAAACTATTAAAGCGCAACTGAAACCCAATTGAAAACATGGGAAAGGACTTGGTTTGTATGTTAGCCAATGTAATTGCATACAAAGCAATATGGGAGAGCCAAAAAACCCCAACCACAAAACCTGGGAGGTACAGTTTAACGAGATATCAATGATATTAATGCTATATAGAGTAATTATAAAACAATTGTAAGATAATTATAAGGTGACAAAATTAAAAATTGAATACTGTTGGTTTGCTTGATTAACTCAATTGAATTATTTTTTTTCTTTCTTTTGGAATAGCGGTTGGCCAATATCTTTGCCTCTTAATTTAACGCCTAAAACTCTTTCCAACTTAGCAAGAACAGATTGAACAGGAATAGCTCTACCTGCCTCATAATCGTTGATAACGGTTGGTTTTTCATTTATCTTAGTTGCCAAATCCTTTTGAGTTAGTTTTTTCTCCAATCTGATTTTTGAGATAGTTTTACCGACGGCAAGATCAATTGTCTTTGGTTTAACGATTTCATCACTTCTATCTACTTTAGTTAATCTTTGACCTTCAGCATCGCCCTTTTTGTTGGCACCACCAAAGTATTTTTTATCGACTGATACGACACCACCAGTTCTTCTTGCTTGATTGACCTGACTTTGAGATTTGGCTACATTTTGTCTTGGGCCTGAGTTACCACGACGAACATTACGACCAATGACAGTTTCTTTATCCCAATCGACATTTGAGTTAGAACCCCAAGCAGACATTTTTAGTATTAAATGGAAGGAAATAGAGTGAAATGGATCAAAATAAAGTTTTAATTAGATATATTTATATAATAATAAACAATAATATTAGTATTGATATTTATAGTGATATGAATGTTGTAGAGATATTACTGATAAAGCAGTTGAAGAAACAAGACTGTTCGTTTTGTATGATGAATAATCATCATCTAAACCTGTGAAACTAGAACCTTCTATGGGGAAATGAGGTGGGATGAGCATTACCCGGTGTGAAAGTGCGTGATTCTTGGTTTAGGAAGTTTAGAAACCGCGTCATTCACGCGACGCCATTAGTGTGGGTTTTCGCTTTGTAATTGGTTTTTTTATTTATTTATTTATTTGCAAGTTTGTTTTACAAAATTAGCTACAGTATTTGAAGACTAATTTCGGTAGATAATAAGTTGACGAAATGGCGTATGTTTAGATTTAGTTATTATTTAATTATTGTTTAATTATTATTTAATTAGTATTCAATTAATATTCAATTAGTATTCAATTGAATTAGGGTTGTGAAGTTTTAGACATTGAATTAACCATTTTTTTCAATTGAAAATAAACAAAAAAACAATCAATAGAGGCAGAAAAATTAATCCATTAAACATAACGAAGTTTGATTATCTAAAACTTGAAAACAAGTATAAATTTGGAGCACATGTTAGTGCGAGTGGAGGAATTTACAATTCAGTTATCAATGCTAGAAAGATTGGAGCCAAGTCGTTTGCAGTTTTTTTAAAATCGCCCAGGAGATGGGTATCGAAGGATTATACACAAGAGGAAATTGATAAATTTGGAATATTGTGTGAAAAACATGGATACAATCCCAGAACGGATATACTTCCACATGGTCAGTATTTTATCAATTTAGCTAATCCCGAGAGCGAGAAGGAGGAGAAATCCTACAAGTCATTTGTTGACGATTTGAAGCGATGCGAACAGTTGGGGATTGGGTTGTACAATTTTCATCCTGGGTCGTCATTAGATTCGGACCATGGAGAAGCTTTAAAGAGGTTGGGAAAGAATATTAATAGAGGAATTAAAGAGACCAAGTTTGTTAAGATTGTGATTGAGAATATGGCGGGACATGGGAATTTAATTGGAAGCAAGTTGGAAGATATTGGGAAAGTGATTGAGATGGTTGAAGACAAGGAGAGAATTGGGGTGTGTATTGATACGTGCCATACGTATTCAGCAGGGTATGATATTGAAGACGAGAGCAAATTTGGAGAGTTTTTAAAGAAGTTTGAAGAGGTTATTGGGATGAACTATTTGAGTAGTGTTCATCTTAATGACTCGAAGGCGCCATTTAACTCGAATCGAGATTTACATCAGAAATTGGGGCATGGGTATTTGGGATTGGAGATATTTCGAGTGATTTGCAATCTGGAGAAATTTGAGGGTATTCCGATAATTTTAGAGACGCCTATAGAAAAGGGAGAGGATGATTTAAGGTATGGAGAAGAGATTGAGTTGTTGAATTGGTTAATTGGGAAAAAAAAAGAGGATGAAGAGTACGTGAAGAAGAAAGAGGAATTGAGTTTGAAGGGCAAGAAGGAACGAGAAGAGCAGATGAAGAAGTATTTGGTCAGGCAAGAGAAAGAAGAGAAAAAGCGAAAGAAAGAAGAGGGAGGTAATACGAAGAAGAGAGGTATAAGAGAGAATGGGGAAGATATATTGAGTCAATTGAGCAAGAAGAAGAAGACAACGACGACGAGGAAGGAAAAGGAGGAAAAGAAGGAAGATTGAGTTGGTGTGATATATAGATGATTGAATTAGTGTAAATAAAATAGATAAAGCAGCATTAATGATAAAAACGTTAGTTCTATGCGAAGAGATGAAAAGATGGAAAAGATACGGGAGTGGAGACCCGCCAATGGGAAGAAGGATAAACTATATAAATAGATCGAAAAAAGGCGAGAATATAGATTGTAAATTGTAAATAGTATTGAATTGGTATTTTTTGAGGGAAGGAAAATGAGAATATTATCGGATAAAAATATCGAGGAATATTTAAAGAGTATTGGAGAAGAAGAATTGAAGGAGTTCCAAGATGTGTTGATCGAATCGTTAATTGATTACGAGAAGGACGAAACGTTGATACCCAAGAGGATAGTGATTGAGAGCGAAGATAAGGAAAGCACGTATTTGATCATGCCATCTAAATTGAAGGATCGAGGAACAAGGGAAAATAAGAAAATAGGAGTTAAGGTGCTAACTGGATCGAAAGAAGGATTTAATGGTGTTACAATGATATTGGATGGGAATAATGGGAAACCGAAGAGCATTTTGAATGCTAGGACGTTAACAGCGTTTCGAACAGCATTGTGCACGAGCTTATCGTTGGTCAAGGTGCTACCAGTTGAATTGGTGAGAGAGTTGAAAGCAGAGGCAGATGGTGAATGTGATGAGATTACAGTGTTTGGGGTTGGGTTGCAAAGCTACTGGCATTTGAAGATTTCATTGATGATCTATTATAAGACAGATTATTTCCAGAAGATCAATGTTGTGAGCCGAAACTACGATAATGTGAAGAGGTTCATTGAGAAAATCAAAAAGGAAGGCAAGTTGCTTGAAAAGCGCGATGGAGGAGAGATTCAAGTGGAAGGAATCGCAATGGAAGAAGGTGGCAAAATCAAGAAGAGCGTCCAGAGAAGCTTGGTTGTTTTCGGCTGCACGCCGTCGACGGAGCCCATTATCCTCGGAGAGCACTTCCGGGACAGCACCGGGAGAGTCTCGAGGTTTGTCGGCGTGATTGGATCGTACAAGCCGCACATGACTGAGGTTGACAGCGAAATCATGGGGGAGTACACCATGGAAGGCGTGCGCAACAAAGTTGTCGTGGACAGCAAGGCACACTGTTTGGCAGAGGCAGGCGAGTTGATCCAGAACGGTGTTCCAGCGCACGCATTGCTATCCATCGCAGAGTTGTACGCCGGCACACTCGAGCACGTGAGCGGACGCGTGTTGATGGAGCGCTTTGGCAATCCACACGTGATCGTGGCCAAGTTGGTTGGGTTGAGTATTATGGACGTGTGTTGCGGAGCACATTTGGACGCGAAGGCCGAACAACACAGCGTCGGGCTTGAGGTGCGCGACTTCTAACGCAACCGCTCTGAGATAGCGGCCCATCATTGCACGTGCCCAAACGCAACTTTGAGCCAACAGGGACGCATGCTGTGTGCATGTGACCGCGCTGTGCGTGCGAGCGACGTGCGTGGACGGGAGAGGACGAGAGATAAGAAGAGATAAAGGGAGCGATTAGAGCACCAGCCTGGACACACCAGCCTGAAGCCACCAGTCCTGAAGACACTGCTGCCGCTGCTGCACGAAACACGTCCACCGCCGCCGCCGTCCGACCAGCGCCACACCGTCACCTGTTCCGAGCCCAACTCATCGCAGCTTCCTCAAACCTTGCTGATTTCACGTCTTTTCTCGTCGCCTCAACCCTCAACACCATCTCTCGAGCATCCCCAGATATCCCTCCAACAGCTTCCCTATAGCCTCAATATACCTCTCCAACACCTTCTCATAGTACTCCATTTCTCTCATTATATCACCATTTAATCTTCATTTCTTTCTCATTTCTTCCCTTTCTCTCCTCGAAGAACTCTATTCCTTCTCTTTCCTCAGCTCTCCTACGCACCTACTCCCCTACTCTCCTGCTCTCCTGCTTGATTTATAATATCTACTAAAATCCTCCCTTTTTGAAGAAGAGAATCTCATTTTAGCTGGTTCTCTTTAAATTCTATTTATTTTCCATCTAAACTCTATCTGGTTTCACTCCAAGGTTTAATTAACTCATTTATTATTTAATCAAGGGATTTTCCTTTTTTTTCTCTTGACTCTCAACTAATTATTATTTTAATCCATTTATTTAATAATATGTCTAATAACCGAAATAATAACAATAACCAAAATAACCAAAATAACCAAAATAACCAAAATAATAATCAAAACAATCAAAATAACAACAACAACAGTAACATCCAAAACACAAAAAAATTAATTCATAATGACTTGATCCCAGATTACCAAATCGATGCTGAAATTGGTAAAGGCTCCTTCGCAAACGTCTATAAAGCCATCAACATCAATTCCAACAAACCTGTTGCAATCAAAGCTGTCCTACGTTCAAAACTAAAAAACAAAAAGCTCCTAGAAAACCTAGAAATCGAAATCCAAATCCTAAAGGAAATGAAACATCCCCACATTGTCTCCCTACTCGATTGCAAACAATCCCTCAACTACTTCCACCTAATAATGGAATACTGCTCTCTAGGCGACCTCTCCTTCTTTATCAAAAAGAAAAACCAACTAATCAGCTCAAATCCAATCATACACCAGATTTTCAATAAATACCCTTCTCCTTCCCTCATATCCTCAAACAACAATGACAACAACAATGTTCCTTCTTCCCTCAATAACTCACTTTACGCCAATGGCCTCAACCACCTAATGATCCTCCACTTTCTAAAACAGCTATCCTCCTCCCTCAAATTCCTAAGATCAAAAAACTTGGTCCATAGAGACATAAAACCTCAAAACCTACTCCTATGCTATCCACTACACGATAAAGCCTCCTTCCAAAACCTAAACTACGTTGGTATCTGGGACTTACCAATCCTCAAAATTGCTGATTTCGGTTTCGCTAGATTCCTACCAAACACTTCAATGGCTGAAACCCTCTGTGGCTCCCCATTATACATGGCCCCTGAAATACTAAACTACGAAAAATATAACGCCAAAGCTGATTTATGGTCTGTGGGCGCTGTTCTCTACGAAATGACTGTCGGTAAACCACCTTTCAGAGCAAACAACCACATTGAATTGCTAAGAAAAATCCAAAAACAAAACGACAAAATCATCTTCCCCCACGACTTTCACATAAACACAAACCTCAAAATTCTCATCTCAAGCCTCCTAAGACTAAATCCAACCGAAAGAATCAGCTTCCATGAATTCTTCAATGACGAACTAGTCAATTACGATTTATCTCCCTACAACACCACCCAATCTTCTTCCCTCAACAACTCAAACATATCCTCAAATAACTCAACTATAGATGAAAACTTATTCATCTCAGAATTCATCACCTCACCCCAAATCAAAGCTCAAAATCAAAATAAAAATCAAAATCAAATCCAAAATCAAATCCAAAATCAAACTCAAAATCAAACCCAAACCCAAACCCAAACCCAAAATCAAAATCAAATCAGAACTCAAAATCAAATCAATTTTATCAACAATTCTCCTCCAGTTCAATTCAATACCATGAAAAACATCTCCAAAAAAAAATCGCTAGAAAAAAATATATCCCAGCCTAAACCTCATTCAAAATCACATTCCAAAAACAACTCCCAAAATCATGACTTGATTCAAAACGCTATTCAAAACAACAACAATAAATCTCCAAATGAAATCAATACAAACAATAAAAAACAAAAAAAACCCCAATCCCAAAATCAAGAACAATACTTATACCCACAACCTACACTCCAGCAGCAGAAGTCTTCTCATAAAAAGAAACAAAAACAAAAATCTTCCTCAATCCAAAAACAAACTTCAACTTCTCCTCCACAAATTCTCGAAATCCCTTCCAATCGACAAAACGTTCCAACAGCTTCCGACATAATCGAAAAAGATTATGTTGTTGTTGAAAAAAGAAGTGTCGAAGTTAATGCTTTGGCTGATGAATTGGCTGACATCGGTACTGGTGCCGTTGCTATCAATAACACTAACAACACTAACAACCTTAATATTCTCAATAACAATATAAATCTTAATAATATTCTGAATCTCACCAACAATAGTAATACAAATAATAATAATAATAACAACAACAAAAATACCAATAACTCAAATGGCACCCATAATAGGCAACAATCTCATAGAGGTTCTTTTAGTAATCAAAGAAAATCAAGTTTTGAAAATAGAAGAATTTCACTTTCGTTTTCTCCAACAAATCCTTTATCAAAGGCTTTAGGAATTGCAACTACAAGATTATTTCCTACTTTTAAAACCATCAACCCTACATCCAACAACAACTCTCCTCCGCAAAACAATGATTACAATAATCACCGATTTTCTCCATCATCATCTCCTAACTATGGAAATATGAATACAATCTCTAACACTGATTACGCAATAAGCTATGATGAAGAGGCTGAAATTATTATCCAATTGGAACCTCTAGCTGCAAAGTCCCATGCAATAAAAACTTATGCTGATACTAAATACTCGCAAATTGTCCCTGCTCCTCCATCTTCTGCTATTGATGATTCAGATAGTGATGAAGATGATCAAGAAAACAACGTTTTGCCTCCAATATCAATTAAATCGCTCGCTGAAGAAGGTTATGTTTTATATTATAAATGTTTGTCTTTATTAGCAAAAGCAATGCGCATAACTGGTGAATGGTGGAATAATAACCGAAATAATGGAACTCAAAGACCAGCTTCTGTCAGATTAAATAATTTAGTCCAAGGTTGTCGCAATGAATTTAATGATTGTTTAGATAAAGCCCGATTTTTAAGCATTAAAATTAATGATGTGGTTAAAAAGCTTAATTTAACCCAACAAAAATTAGACGTTTTTGCTGAAAAACTAATTTTTGATAGAGCTCTAGAGATATCTCGAACAGCTGCAGTTAATGAAATGGTTGGTGAAAATTTAGTCTCTTGCGAAATCGATTACACAACAGCATTATGGATGCTAGAAGCCTTAATAGATGATGATAATTCAACGCAAAATTATAATAATAGTGTTTTTACTTCTACTTTAGGTTCCAACTCTCCTACTCAAACTCCATTTAATTTTGACAAAGACGAGTTCAGTGGTTCTGGTAACAAGTTAGAAGTTGGTGATAGACAATTAGTAGAAAAATTCATTGTTACAATTGGGAATAGGGTTACTATTCTAAGAAGCAGGATCGATAACCAAAGCAAAGCAAACAATTATTATTCCATTTAAATCTAAATCCTGTCTTACTATAACCTATCATGTTATATCCTTTGAAACTCTTTAAAATTTAGTTCTTTTATTTTTATCTTTTTTATTTTTTTCTTATTTTAATTTGAATGATGTTTATGTCCTTCCATTGATCAAAACACACAACTCTATATACGACCTGTTTGATTCAGCTATATCTTCACAAGTTATGTTCAATAGTTTGGATTTATGAAATCAGGTTCAATATCTCTTTTATTTTTTATAATATTTTTTTTTTATTTTTGTTCAATTTCAATTATAATTTTAAATTTACATTTACAATTACACTTATTTTCAACTATTTTTTTTTCATTTTCATTTATTATTTTGATTATTATTGTACTGGCTTTATTCTGCAGCAACTCATTCATTTTTTATGTTTTTTAGTAACATGTACATAACTACGTGAAACTTTCCCATTTTTTACTTTTTATTATTTTTATTATTTGGTTTATTGTGGTTGGGATTTATTAATTGGTCTTTGGATATCATAACAAGTTTTGACATAATTAATAGTTTTTACAAGTTTATGTCAGCTAATACATTGATCATACTATACTTATGTATTCACTTATCGTTTTTATTTTATATTATTTTATTTTTCTCTTGATAGTTAATACAGATAAATCGATATAATTTTAAATTTATTATTAGAATTTTCATGCTTGGTTTTCTTAAACTTAATCAATGTGTTTGGAGTTGTATCTACAATTTAATGGGAGATAGTGTAAGTAAAAATTTCGACTTAAAATAACTATATTACAAAAAAAGAAAGGAATACAAAAACTAAAAATCAATAAAAATAGAAAATCGAAGTAATTACAAAAATATAATTAAAGAATTATATTACTTCTTGGTTCTCATCCTTTACTTGATTTAACTTTCTCTTTTTGGGTGGTGGCTGACTTTTATTATCTCCATTTTCATCATTATCACTATCACTGTTTTTTCTATTTTCTTTAATAGTGCCTTTATCACTTTTCTGTTCCACTTCATCAGATAAATTTATTTTTTCCTTATTTTCTTCGTCATTCTGATTTTCATTATTTTCATTCTTTTGATTGTTTTTCTTTTCATCTTCTTGTTTGTCTTCATTATTATTTTCTTCATTTTCTTCGCTGCTTTCTATATCTTCATCTTCTTCGTCATCATCATCATCATCATCATCATCATCATCATCATCATCATCATCATCATCATCATCATCATCATCATCTTCTTCTTCTTCTTCTTCTTCTTCTTCTTCTTCTTCTTCTTCTTCTTCTTCTTCTTCTTCTTCTTCTTCTTCTTCTTCTTCTTCTTCTTCTTCNTCTTCTTCTTCTTCTTCTTCTTCTTCTTCTTCTTCTTCTTCTTCTTCTTCTTCTTCTTCTTCTTCTTCTTCTTCTTCTTCTTCTTCTTCTTCTTCATCCTTTTCTTTTTCTTTTTTTACTACAATAATTTTTTCTTTAGAAGACGTCTCACTTTTTTGCTCAAGCTTTTTGTCATTAATATTTTTTTCAACTTCATCAGTCTTAATTGAACTTGATTCTAGCTTAATATTTTTCTGCTCTTGTGGTTTTTCTTTGATAATATCAATTTCAATTTCATCTGTCTTTTGAGAATGATTTTGGACAATTTCATCTTCTTCATCCTCCTGCTTTTCACCAATAAATAGCACATTATTGCAACGAATAAAAATTTCACCAATTCTACCTTTATTTTCGCCGTTTATATATTCATAAGCATCGTCAATTTTTAAATTCATGTAGCCATCAACAGCTAACAACAAGCCCTTGTATTCGGTATTATTCCATTTTAAACGTACAACAACTTGTTTGTTGACCAAAGATTTCATAAAAGGTTTGGGATTTATAGGTCTGACAAGCTAAAAGACGTAATGGAAGAATATTGTTAGTATACATGAATAAAAATAAAGCATTTAAAATGTGGATAGGCTTTTCTAATCAAAAACCCCACTGAAAAGCCAATTCAACATAATATTACTTACAAACATCTTTGATATTCTCTTTTTCGATGACACTTTTTATCAGTAAACTATGTTCCAAACCGAGAAGAGTAAAAAAAAGCAGATATAATCAGGTCACGAGTTTTAGCAAAGTTTGTAAAAATCCAAAAATATGATTATTTTATTGTTAATGTATATATAGAAATGGGAACATAAATGAAGAACTAGGTTATGATATCTTTGATATTACAGTTGCATTTTTTTTGTGGTCCATCAAAGAATCTAGAAAAAAAAAGCAGGAAAAAAAATGAGGAACAGTTTATCAACTATACTGCAAAATGATTGATAATCTACAAATTATTCTTTAATCATAAAGACAAAACTATAACTGTTTTGAAAAAAACAAAAAACCAATGTTTGACTGCTACGCCTGAATTTATTTCAATTCGCTGAAAATTTTGTCAATTTCAGCTTTAGCAGTAGAGACACTAATATCAGGGGCGATTCTAATATGAGAAGACTTCAATTTTCCATTGACAAAAATCCAGTGGGATCTGGAAATACTAAGAGCCTTTTTAGCACCCAAGGGAGCAATCAATTCCTTTTTAGGATCTGACAATAAACTGAAAGGTAATTCATGTTTAGTGATGAATTTTTGCTGAGTAACTGGACTGTCGCTTGATATACCAAAGATGGAAGCTTTCTCTCTTAAGGAGTCATAATTGTCACGAAAGCCACAAGCTTGTTTTGTGCATCCAGAGGTTAAAGCTTTTGGATAAGCAAAAATACATAAAATTTTGTTTTTTGAGGCAATTTCTGGTAATGAAACTTCTTCGCCCTTTTCATTCTTTAGTTTAATGTCAGGAATTTTATCACCAACTTTTAAAAAAGAAGATTTATCTAAAGGAACTTCAGCAGCTAAGGCTTTAGCATTTCTAGCATCTCTTGCAGCTTTTCTTTTTGATCTTTTTAAAGCAACTTTTTCAGGAGAGACAGCTGTTTCTTTTGATTTTTCAGCAACAGCAGCTTTTTTAACTTCTTTCTTCTTAGGAATTTCAGCTTTTTCAGACTTTTTGGAAGTTTTAGTTTTATCGGATTTTTTAGAAGTTGCAGTTTTATCAGCTTTTTTTGGAGTTTCAGGTTTTTTAGAAGTTTCAGATTTTTTAGAAGTTACAGTCTTTTTATTACCATTTTTAGATGCTTCAGCCTTTTCAGACTTTTTAGGAGTTACAGCTTTTTTGGGAGACTTTTTAGGAGTATCAGATTTTTTAGAAGTATTAGTTTTTTTAGGAGTTTCGGGTTTTTTAGGAGTTTCAGGCTTTTTAGGAGTTTCAGCTTCTTCAGAGGTTTTAACTTCCGCAGAGGTTGCAGAATTTTTAGGAGTTTCAGTCTCAAATGATTTTGGCGACTCAACTTTTTCAACCTCAATTTTTTCAACTTCTTTGGTTACGCTTTTTTCAACTTCAATGCTTTCAACTTTTTCAGGTTTTTCAATTTCAATTTTTTCAACTACGCTTGAAGATTCAGGTTTTTCAATCTCAATTTTTTCAGGTTTTTCTGAGGTTTCAGGCTTTTCGATTTCAATTTCAATTTTTTCAACGGTTTCAACTTTAGGAGATTGAGGTTTTTCAGTGGATTCAATATTTTCAACATTTTCAACGGTTTCAACAGTTTCAACAGTTCCAACAGTTTCGACAGTTTCAACATTTTCAGAGTCAGTGGGTTCAACTTGAAGAGTTTCAGGTTTGTCTTCAATGACCTGTTCAGCTATTTCATTTTTAGATTTTTTTAATTTTTTATCTTTTTTATTTTTCTTTTCCTTTTTTCTGTCTTTTTTATCTTTGAGATCAGAAGCTCTTTTCTTTGATGGACTAGATCTTGTAATCTTTTTATCAGACTTTTTGGCTTTAGATTTTGGAGTGGATGGGCTATCGCTGCCAGCAGGAGCTTTGGTAACTCTCAATGAACGACGAACAGACATTGTGGAACAGAAAGAATTGGAAAAGTAATTAGATGGGATAAAGTAATTAGTAATTAGAAACAATAGAAAATCTGCAAAGATAAAAGGATATATAATGCTATAGAAAAGAAAAAAAAGTGGGAGATCAAAGTAGATAAAGAAGGAAAACAGAAAAGTGGAAAATGGAAATTTGAAAATGAAAAACAATCAAAGAAAAGTGAAAAGTGAAAGTGAAAATAGAAAAATTAAATCAGGTCCAATTGACTTTTCCTCTGTTTTTCTCTGTGGATTTTTGGTTTTTGCAAGAAAATTTTTTCTCACAGCCTGAAAATTTTCAAAGAAAAAAAAAGATTTCTTCGCACTATTCACGCTCCGTGAACAGCGCGTCGGAAAAGACGCCGCTGAAAAAGTACGGCTCCGGTAGAAACAGCGTCGCTGACGACAGAGGCAGCAGCTGCCGTCCGGAAAAATGCGTGAGAAAAGTGCTGGAAGAGCTCTGGCGCAGTTTCATCGGGAGAAGAAGAAGCTGTTTTGAAAATCCTGTTGATTAGTAATTCGCAGCAGAAAACCAGACAAAACAGCGAAAGAAAGCCCTAGCTGTGGAATTTGCCATTCAAGGTGATTCAGCATCAGCTTATCAACCGATTGTCGGTGCAGTTCCAACCTGACCCACTGTGCCCAAGCCGGACCACATGATACAAGAGCTACCTAAATGGCACTGCGCATACACCGACATGCACCTAATGTCTCAATTAGGCAACACCATATCATTTGAATCAGAATAAAGAATCTTTGATTCAATAAACTTAGACACTAGTTTTAAATACATTTATGGTAAATCCGGAAGATATTCATAATGTTTGTTGATATTACTAACTTTATGCTTTGCATTACTTTTTTCCTTGAGTTATGCTGAATCTTACCACTATGAAAGACCAATTCAGCAGCAAATCCATTTATTCGAACTTCGAGTGGTTCTGCATAATCTTGCATCTAAGTGTTTCTTTATTAGGAATTCCGGGATAATAATCAGCTATTCTGGTCTTTTTCGGCCTCTTCAGGTGACCGGCTCGGCCACTTTCGGTGTGGTCGAAATTGTGACTATCTACTTTTCTCAATAATCTCGATAATCCATTTAAGAGCCCAATATAAATACACAGATTTTTGTTCGATTGCAAATGCTTTTTCTGTTGGCATTGATCTTAGAAACTGTCTGGAAATGAAGTATTTCACATTATCAAATGGCGTTAGGATTCCTGCAATAGCTTTTGGCAGTGGAACCAAATGGCAAATTATCAAAAAGAAAGGCAACGTCGACCCCAACCTGGTTGATCACAGTATTTTACTTGATCCTTTGATTCAATCCTTAATCTCTGCTGTTGATCTTGGATTTGAACACATAGATACTGCTGAGGTCTACACAACTCACAACGAAGTTCGTCTGGCCATAGCTTTGTCAAAATCAAAACGAGAAGATCTATTTATCTGCGACAAGTACTTTTCTGGCTTTCGTGATATTTATGCTGTTTCCAAGGGTCCATACGAGGCCTGCACAAAGGCTTTGAAAGAACTAGACGTCGACTATATCGACTTGTATTTGATTCATTCCTCAAGGGTAATTCCCGAGTATTGCCATGGCTTGACGTTGGAAACAGCATGGAAGGAGATGGAACAATTGTATATTGAAGGTAAAGTTAGAGCAATTGGTGTCAGCAGTTGGTCAAAAGAACATCTAACTCGCATCTTTAAAACTGCAAAGATTAAGCCAATGGTTAACCAAATAGAATTTCATCCTTATTTGCAAAATCAATCTCCTGGAATAATCGCCTTTTGTAAAGAAAACAATATCTTAATTGAAGCCTTTACCCCATTGGCTAGAAACCATATTGGTCTTGCTCATTCTATCCTCACTCAATTGTCTGAAAAATACAACAAAACTTATGCTCAAATCATTTTAAGATGGGTCTACCAACAAGGTATTCTACCAATTACAACTTCCTCAAAACCCGAAAGAATTACACAAGCTCTAGAGATTTTCAATTTCGAACTAACTGAAGATGAAATTCTCCAGATTTCAAATGCTGGAAAAAATGAAACTGTAAGATTTTTTTGTCAAGCTGAATATGGTCATTATGATAAATAGTCAAGACACAACTATACAACTATACAACTATACAACTATACAACTATACAACTATACAACTATACAACTATATAGATATGTAATTACATATATCCTTATATACTTTTGTATATATTCTAATTAGATTTTTGTCAAAAAGAAAAAAAAAAGAGAGCTTCTACCTGAAAAGCATGCTAGTTCACTTATACCAAAATTAGAAAAAGTAGATCTTTTAGTAAAACATAAAAGAAGAAATTTTATAATAATAAAAATAAATAAATAAATAAATAAAATACAACAAAAACAACAAAAAATAATAAATTAAATAATAGAATACAGGATTATTACACTGTTAAATTTTAATTGACACAAAATATACATTAGAAAGGAAAATTCGAAGAAAACATCATTGATGGATCTTCTAATTCAGTGTTATCATCTGGAAATAAAATCTTAATCAAGTCCTCACTTAACTCAAGATCATTTGCAAAATTGATATCTCCATATTCTGAATTATTAAAATTCACAAATGGATTCAATTCATTAATATCAGGGTTATGATTTTTTGTAGATGGATTGGATAAACTTGATTCAGATATAGTATCGCTGTTAACAATAAGATTATTAACAATATTTTTATTGTCTCTAACACTGCCAATATTAATATTGCTATTATTAATTTGAATAGAGGGAGAAATGAAAGTAGTTGAATTGAATTTCAGTAAATTTACAGAAGAAATAGAACGGGAACTAGGTGATAATAGCTTACTTTTATCCTTAGTTTCATTGACTTCAAAATCACCAATGCCAAGTATATCTTTATGATTATCATCTATCTTTAAAATCTCAATTAATTCACTTATTTTTTTTAAATCACAATCAAAAATACTATTTCTTTTTTTTTGAATTTGCTCTTTAGTTAATAATTTTCTTAAGTTGAACTCTCCTCCAAACGAATCAGATTCTAAAGCTTTTAAGGCAGTTTCAAGACTGATTCTCCATTTCCAACTAAAATAATAATTATCAGAAGCTTTTTTGAATTTGGTGAAAATGAACTTATTGGTATTTAAGAGAATGTCGAAAAGTTTTTTTAATCTTTTCTGCATCATAACCAACTCCCCTAAAGTATTTTTTGAAGAAAATTCATTTAGATCAACCTTATTTTGATTGATTTCATTTAAAGAGTATTCAAAATCCAAAATCTTAACTAATATACTGAATGCAAATTGAATTGATTGTTCAGCTGCAGAGCAAAGTACCGGTGTTAAAAACCAGCTAAAACTATTGTTTGACCCTAGATACTCTTCTGAATTTAATGACCAAAACTTAATTAAAGAGATAATTTCACTATGTGTAATTACACTATCTTTTAAAAACTCATATGAAGAGGAGGACAGGTAATTTTCAAAATGTAAATATAAACAATATTTTAAATGAAAAATGTAAATTAATCCTCTTAAGTAAAGCTTTAATTCAAGAATTTTAGATATAGCAAGAACATTATTTATAGGTAAACTATTTTCTTCTTTTAAAGATTTGAATCTCTCAATTAAACTCTTTGAATTTTCAAAGTTATCGTTGATATAATTTTCGACTTGTTTGATTTTAAAATATAATAAACAAATATCAACACCATTTGGAGCGTTTGAATGAGAGGTTACGACCTTTTTTCCATCAAAATACTTTTTTTTAACTCCAGGTGTTAAGGTCATCTCAATTAAATCAGATAAAACTATATTTAATTCATCTTTTTTAATTAGCCATTGGACAGAAACCTTTTCGATATTTAAATCTGCAGCATTTGAATTTTCAACAAACTTTTCAAAATTAGGTAAGGGGTTGTCATCAAATTGATTGAATAATTTCAAGCGTTCACCAAAGGTAGTAGAATGAATGAAATCTAAATCTTTTAACTCCAACCATAATTTTGACCATAGCCAGCTCAATTTAAATAGGCTAGTTTGTTGGTTTAATAATTGGCCTGGTTTCATAGGGCAAATTGATTCAGCTTGAACTTTTTGAGCCACAATATTTATATTATCATTTAAATTTTCATTGGGTTTGTTGATGTTTTCAAACTCCAAACAAGGTTTATTATAAGTTAAAACATGATAAAATAAAGAAATATCCCTATTTAAGCCAATGGATAAAGCAGTGCTGTTTAATAGAGAATTTAATATATTTGTATCATAGCCTTCTAAACTGTCACACCCTTCTGGAGCAAAAGATTTATATAATCTCATCAATAAGATAATTTGAAAGATTTCTAAAGAAGATTTTTTCAAATAATTATAATTATTTAGAATCAATTTAACAAGGGTTAAAGCGTATTGGTCAATTTCATAAAGCGAATTGTTCTCATTATAAAGATTAGTAAAAAAAGCAGATAAATATGCTAATCTTAAGACTAATAGTAATATAGCAACACTAAAAGAATCTCTTTTGTTTGAATAGTTTAAGAGATTCTTTTTTGGAGAATTATTATAAATATTTATAATTGAAGATCGAAATGATGACTCATCAATAAAGGGAAAAAATGGGTAAACATTTCTGAAAAATATATCAACGTATTCTAAAACGATTTTCTTTTCAGGTAAGAATTGATTGACTATACTTAGAATATCAGTGTCATTTGAGTTTAATTTTGTGCTCGAGGAAGGGTTTAAAGGCAAGTTTGAAGGTAGAGTTAGATGAAAATTGGAAGACAAATTTAAGTTTGTGTTTGCAATGAATTTTTTCCTTTTTATTATATTTGACATTTTCGTGTCTATTTTTGTGTAGCAATTATTGGAGTTATTATTGTTATTATTTGTTGATAATCCTAATTTTGCCTTGAAATAGCTGGAAGCAGTTTTGACTTTTAATACACTTGAATAGAGTAGTCTCAAATAATAATCTCTTTGAATATATATATACCAGTGAAATGGGCCCATTTTAATTATTTTAAAAGATTTTGAATATACTGGCAGGTATTTTTCAAACAAACTAAAAAATTGATTATTAATTGAACTTGTATCATTTTTATGGTTTTTATGATTTTTATGATTTATATTGTTTGTATCATCCTTTTTATTTAAATTTTTGTTTGAAGCATCGGTTGTTGATAATAATTGATTTTCGTTAATTTTATCATTGAACTTTAAATTTGGCATAAAATATCTGAATTTTTTATTTTGCTGATTGTTATTAGAGCCGTTATTGCTATGAATATTAGTATGTTGATTGTTGTTTTTATGGTTATTTTCACCATCAATGCTATTACTATTATGTATATGTGTTATCTGATTTTTGAGATGAGAGTTGATATTATCTTCTATTTTAATTTGATTGGAATGACTTTTTGATAAATCGATCAAGCCAATTGGCTGAGTGGCAGCGAGGAAGTAAGCAGGAGGTTTAGAATCTTTCTGGTTATGGTTCTCTGAATTATGGTAGTAATCATGGTCAGCTTGGTTGCTTGAACTGGAATCATCTAATCTGGTAGCAGCAGCTTTCCTGAAAATGGTATCACCGGTCTGAGCATTGCCATTAAAGTTATTATTATTGTTTGCAAGAAGATTGCTGTTGGTAGCAGTTTCAACCTTTTTGGTGTCCAAAATCCAAGTTGGCTCTTGATAGATACAGATGGTGTTGTTTTTGATGCACAAACTGCACGAGGGTCTTTGCCTATCACACTGTAAGACAATTGACAAAAAAAAGTTAAATAGAATTATACAAGGTTTCGAAACTTGGTTAGTACAAAATGGGGTAAACAAAATCAAGCAATATAATAATATCATCTAACATACTTTTCTCTTCTTTTTTCGACAATTGGAACATGCAGAAGTGTTTCTTCTTCTCTTTTTGACAGGAGGAAGATGTGGAGCCTTAGAATCTAGTTGGTTCATTTTAGTATTCAGTCTGGAAGTTATGAGCAAAAGTAGAATGACATTTTGAAGCAAACAAACAGAAATAACAAAATCTATTAAATTAACAGAAGTAAAAAGATATAAAATACAAAAAAAAGAGATGATATGAGGCGGCAATAGTCCCAAAATAGAAATCGCTAAATGTCACCCTATCCGCATTGGGAACTATATCCACAGAACCGTGGAAGACCGTGGTTCGAGTTCCACGGGAAAACCTTTTTTTCTTTTTTTCTTTTTTCAGCAGCAGCAAAAGCAGCAAAAGCAGCAAAAGCAAAAACAGCACGACTCTAGTTGAAGCCATTGAAACCCGACAAAAGAAAGAACTTGTGGTAGTCCTTTTTATGAATGTTGTTAGCCCACTCCCATGTACTTGTCAATCTCCCGTCGATACAACTTCCAGCATTGAACCAATCATCGCCTCCACTTCCATTAAATGCTTCGGTGAAGAAACTCGAGCAAATCTGTAGTTGTAAATTGGAAAACCCCCCATATTGTTCTTCGATCATTTGGGTAAGAAACTTGTCCTTTTTAAATATTTCTTCGTTTTTATCACTTTCAAGTTTTAGCAATGTGTTGTCTATTGGAGAGATAATCTTGGGAACTTGCAAATACTTATCCAAAAAGAATAGTGCGTTGGGAACTGTGGTATCTCCAAGATGAATATATGACGACCCAATCCAAAATCCCGATTTTTGTTTAACTTCGTTTAATATTTGGTACATTTTTCGATGGACAGATGGGCAGCTTTTAACTCTATTTAATCCCTGGCCCGTTGAAACCAATTTGTAGATAACTTGATCATTAAACAAATCATCATCGGCTAATGACCACAATTGAAACATTTCCTTTTGGACTACTGACCAAAGATTTAGTGATTGTAACACATAGTCATATTGTTTAGTGTGATCGTGAGATAATCTTGAGTTTTTCCTGCCTGCTCTAATAGTTAATGAATATTTGCCAACTATTTTTTCATTGACTGGAACTTTAGAATCAAATTTTTTTAATCTTTTAATCATTCTATCAATTGGTTTTCTATTAGAATTAATATAAGTATGGTAGTCACCAATTGAATAGATAGCTTGTTTAATTTCTTCTTTGTTGAAGCCATTTCCATTAGAATACGTTGAAGCTATTTTTTCAATAGAATATTCTTTAATTTTAATTTCTTTTTGGATTTCTCTTCTTGATTTATTAATAGGAGAAATTTCACTAACAGCATTTAATAACAAAGGGTTATCAAACATTTCCAAAATTTTTTTATCTTCTCTTGAATTCAAATAGTTATAAATTGTTGTAATTGGTTTATAAAAATCAAATTCCAACAAATTTTTCACATCTGGTAATCTTGAATCCATTATAATATAGCATAGCTTTCCAAAATTGTCATTAAATCTATTGGGATTCATAATTTTATATCTTCTACCGATTTCAAAAATATTTTTGAACCAATCTTCATTGTCTTTGAAATTTTTATCCAAGATTAATTCGGAACCAATTTTAAAATTTTTTGAGATAACCAAACCACAGAGAATGGAACACAATTCTTTTAAAGTTGCAACAATTTTTTTAGTTTTAGATCCATAACTGAAAATATCAATCTTATCAGTATATTCAGAGACTGTCAAAGCGGCATTTAGTAACCTGAATAGTTCTCTTTCTTTGTGGTTTAATCTTAAAGGGATATATTTTGATTGAATTTTGATTTGTTTCAATAGCAATAAACCAATTGATTCATTGTCATTCAAATTGAATGGTTGAGCTAATTTAGCTAATTCCTCTTGACTATATTCATATTCGTCTTCGTTTTGGTTTTTGTTACCATCAGCGATATTATTTCCAGTCTTCTGATCTTTTTTGCCAATCAAACCATTAGTAGTTTTGGTGTTATCATTTTTGAGAATCGTAATATTATGCAATCCTCGTTTTCCTGAGTTATGGATCAATTTAAAACAAATTCGGCAAAAGTCTTCATCACATTCTTTGCAATGAACTTCAATTGGCATATCAGTGCACTCCACACAGTTTTCGCTATTATGCTCAACGGTGCCATTGTTGATGTTGGTGTTATTTCTAAAGTTGTTCAAATCGCTGTTGTCAAATTCGTTGGAGACATCATCGATTTTGTTCAATGGATCGTCTTTATCAGACAAGTACAAATCCACATCGTCATTTTCCAATATATCAGTGAGATTAGGCTGAGCAATTTCCTGCTTTGAATCTGGGCCAGAGCTCATCGTCATATTATCTTGCAACACCACCCACAACACTCACAAATAAAAGCAGATAATACCACAGGAACAACGATACTAAAAGGATGCTTTGCTTGCTCAACATGGACAGAAAGAAGCTCTGAAGGAAAATTCACCAAAGGTTGCAGCAAAAAAAAAGGAAATCCGCCCTTTTTGTGCGCGGATGTATCCGGATCTGGATCCCACAGCTCTATCCTGCCACGGATGCGGATAGAGCAACGGACAGGGTAACGTGTAAAATATTCGCTGCTCATTTTCTGAGAGAAGTCTAATCTTGCTTCCAGGTTTTAAAGCACACTTAACGAGATGTTCACCTTCAAGACTATTGTTCCTCCAGGAAAGTCGCTGAAGTCCAAGATCAGGTCGTGCTTGATAACTTTTCATTCGGAGTCTGATCCAGATGCCTCGTTGAATATCTTGTGTGATCCTGGGTGGGATTGCAAGACTGATTTGACGTACTTGGAAGACATTTTACCATCCATAAACGTAATCTTGCTAAGTCATCCTACTTTTCAATGTATTGGGGCCTATGCGATATTGTATAAGAATAATTCTCTGCTTTCAAGGATTCCTGTTTATTCTACTTTTCCTATTTCCACCATTGGCAGAGTTGAGACCATTGAGAGGTACAGATCTGCCGGGCTTGTTGGTCCAATTTTTGGTGCACCATTGGAGATTAATGATATTGAGACATCCTTTGATTCAATTTTGCTTTTAAAGCATCACCAGTCGATTAATTTGAATATCAACAATTTCACCATAGTATTAACGCCTTTAAATGCCGGCCATACGCTTGGTGGGATAAACTGGTTGTTAAATTATAGTGGGGAAAAATATATATATGCCCCCGAATGGAATCATTCAAGGGACAGTTATTTGGAAGGAGCCAATTTAATCTCTCAAGAGAATCTTTTCAAGCCCTCTGTTTTCATAACCAGCACCAATGTTGGGAGTTCGTTGTCATATAAAAAAAGAGTGAACAAATTTTTAGAATTAATTGATGCAACACTACATAATGGTGGATCGGCAATTCTACCTGTTTCATTAGGCTCGAGATTGTTAGAGTTGGTTCATATAGTGGATGTTCATTTAAGATCATTGCCATTTATACCAGTATTGTTAATATCCAAGACTGGAACAAGAGCACTTACATATGCGGGAAAAATGTTGGAATGGATGTCTCCATCTGTTATAAAAGAATGGACCACTAATAATGGGAATAACAGTGGCGGTAACAACGGTGGCAATGGGAACAATAATAACAGCAACAGCAACAGTGGAAACAACAAAAACTCTGTGCCCTTTGATGCATCAAGAGTGGAACTAGCAGATGCTGTTGAATTACCTAAATATATTGGACCAAAAGTTGTATTTTGCGTCGGGCAAGATATTGAAGTTGGATCCGAGAGTCATTCTGCTTTTATACAATTATGTAATGATCATAGGACTACGATAATATTGACGGAAAGACCACAAAGAAACACGTTAGGATATGATTTATATAGTAAATGGGAGTTATTGTGTAAGCAGAAAAATGATGGGAAAGTTATTGATGGAATACCTGTGCCATATGAGAGTTCCTTTAAAACGTTACAAGTTGTTGAAGAAAAATTGAATGGGAATGAATTGAAGAATTATTTTGAGATTTTAAATAGTAGAAGAAAAGCCGAGGTAGAGATGAAGGAAAAAGAAGAGATGGAAAGAAAGAGTAAGAGTAAAAGTAAGAGTAGGAGTAAAATGAAGAGAAAGAGCGGTAGTATTAGTAAAGAGGATGGTGATAATACTAATGGTGATAATGATATTGATGAAGATGAAGATGAAGATGATGACGATGACGATAATGATAAGGATGGCATTGGAGAGGATAAGAAAAGAGGGAAAATCAAGATTCGATTGAATGAGGAGAACGATGAATCGTCTAGTGAAGAAGAAAGCGAGAGCGATAGTGATAGTGAATTTGAAAGTGATTATGAATTTGATAGATTTAATAATTTTGAGAATAACAAGACGGAGACGGATAAAGAGAGAATAAGGGTAAAGAAGAGTAAGAAAGAGAAAATGCTTGAAAAAGAGAGAAATAAGATGTTGATTGATCGAAATGTATTAAGAATTGTAAGTAGTAGAAAAAAAGTGTTTCCATTTGAGATTGAAAAAATGAAGTATGATGACTATGGAGAGATATTTAATTTGGACGAGATTGTGAAAAAAGATGCGAACAATGGAAATAGTGGATTGAATGGAAATGCTATTTTTAAGGGAGTAGTTAATGATAAGAGTGGTAAAAATGGAAGAAACCATGATGATGGTGGTAATAAGATGAATGAGAAAAACAGTAATAAGTCTAGTAATATTAATGGTAATATTAGTAGTAATTCTAATAATTCTAATAATAATTCTAATAACAACAATTCTAATAATTCTAATTCTAATTCTAACAGTAATAATCATAATCATAGTCATAATCATAACCATAATTATAATTACAATCATAATAATGATAATGAGGGAGATGAGATGATTGAATTTGATAGTGAATTTGAACCTAAGAAGCAGATCTTGAATCGAGTTGGGATAATTGCTAGATGTGGGCTAACATTTATTGATTTATCGGGGCATGTTGATTTAAGGTCGCTACGGGTTATATTACAAAATATTAAACCAAAGAAGATAATATTAATGAAAGATTTAACATATGAGAGAAATGACGAGCTAGTGAAGAACACATTGATTAGTATTAACAAAAGTAGTCAAGTGTTTGGAATGAATGATAAGGAAGATAAAGACAGTAAGGATGGCAAGGATAAGGAAGATAGGAGAAAGACATTTGAAGTTATTGAAAGCTTTGACAATACGGATATTAGTATTGACAAGATCTTTAATAATTTTGAAGTTAAATTGGACGATGAGTTGATCAAGAAATTAAAGTGGCAAAAGATCACTGGTGGGGTATCTATAGCACATTTGTATGGGCAAGTTTCTGATAAGCCAGAAGACGAGAGTGCTAGTCGACAATTGAGCAAGAATAGAGATAAATCAGTGAAACGAATTGAGTTGAAAAATGTGAACTCGAGCTCGTTGCTAGAATTGAGTAATATCAAGAACAACCCATTAGCAATTGGAGACATCAAGTTGAGTGAGTTGAAGAAAATACTCATTGAAAAATACGAAAGCTTGAACTATAAGATCGAGTTCAAAGGCGAAGGAGTGTTGGTGATCAACGAGAACGTAAGCATCAAGAAGTTTAGCGAAGGAGATGTGGTTATCGATGGGAGACCCAACAAATTGTACTATGAGGTGCGAGAGATTGTTTGTGGGCTACTCGCATATGTATGAATATATAATTAGCATTACCATTGCCATTACAATTTCCATTACAATTTCCACCAATAGTATCAAATTGTCTACAAAATTGAGACATAATTTTACCGCCAACACACCGAGGCTCAAAAAAAGAGAAACTCAAAATCAGTTGGTATGCTTATATAATCACACCTGCTGTTAAGTAATCAACATTGCCGAAAGACAACAAAGCAGGCGCGCTGGTCTAAGAGCATTGAATGACCGCGCCCGGTCCGGCCGCTGTAGCACGCATTGCTCTGCAGAAGCGCCGGGCCCACGCGGCGAACGCCCGCGAATTGGGGTCCAAACGGGAGGCTGCAGCGGGCGCGTGGCCGTTTTCTCCACACACCAAGCGTTTCTTTTTGGGGAATGCAGGCGAGCAGCGCGCTGCTTCTGGTGTGAAGGTCTTCTCCGGCGGCGGTGCTGCTGCTTCTGGGTTGCTTCTGGGTTGCTCCTGCGTTGGATGGTGCTGGTGCTGACGGTGAGGCCATGGTGGTGTGAAACACAGCAGCGTCGGCGAAAAGCGCAGCGCCAAAAGCGTCAGCAGAAGAGACTGAAAGACGGCTGTTGGATGCTGCAACAACCGCATAAACTGCATATTCCGCAGGTCAGGCACGGCCCGCAGTGCAGCGCTTGCCGTTGCAACTTTATTTCCTGCCATCTGACAAAAAAGAAAAAGCAGAAAAAATTAAAAGGTAAAATTCCCTTTGTTTTTAATGAATTCTTTCGTTATATTTGGTTTTATTCTTTGTTTTTTTTTTGTTCTTTTGTCTTATTATATCGTTGTATCTCATCATCTCAATATTATTTCTGATTTATTTCTAAATTCTACCTGTTTTATATCTTATTCCTCTGTTATTGTTTCATCCACTGTCTTATACTGTCTATTAGCTACTTTCCTCCCTTTCTATCTTCCACGATATATGATATGACATTATTCATCCAGTTCTTTTAATCTCAACCAACAATCACCAATAATGCCGTCAAATATCAGCAACAAGTATAATGATATTTTCTTCAATATCAACAACAACAATACCACAGATAACAACAACAGTGTAGACAACAACAACACTACAACTGATGAGGATTTCAGTCTAAACAAAGCCAATCTTTCAAGTCTATTTCTAAACACTTCTCCAACTTCTTCATCAAATAACAACACCAATAACGCCCTGAGCAACAACAATCTCCTTGCTCTCAACAACAATCAAATATTTAAAAGCAATTTGGTATCCTCAAAGGGTGTCAACGCCAAAAATATAAATCAATTTAAACAAAATTCCTTCAAATTGAAAAGAACTAAATCTCTAGGCATTTTAGATGGTTTTATCCAAAACGAAAATCACAGCAATAATCCCAATAACAATAACAATACCACTAATATCAGTAATAATTCCAATAACATATCCAATAATATTCCCAATAATATTGAGAAAAGTAAAGACAAAATAAACATAAACAACTTCAATAACATATATAACCCCACAAATATCGTATACAACAACAATAGAATTAATACTATAAATCTCAACAACAACAATATTATTTTAAATACTAACAGAAGATACATCCACAACAGTGTAATAAACCTACTGTCTTTACACCCTTTAAAACCAACAAACCCTCCTCCTGCACCTGTCCCTTCTTCTTCTTCCTCCTCTTCTGCCTCTGCCTCTGCCTCTGCCTCTGCCTCAACTTCAACATCAGCTTCGACCTCAACCTCGACCTCCCAAAATACGACTTCCTCTCCATCTTCTTTATCAATCAACAAGCTAAATAAATCCTTATCCAAAAAATTCAACAAATCATCCAGCTCTAGCATCAACAACAATATTAATATTTTAAACAACAACAATAACATCAATGACAACTTTATGGCAATAGATTTTCAACCCCAGGATGACAACGCTTTAATCCATAACCCCAAAAACAGAGTAGACTACTTCTCCCACAATTGGAACGTCTCCGATATACTAAAATCTTGGAGATACATTGTCTATAAGACTAGGAGAAATATAGCTCATGCTTCAAGACTAGAAAATGCAACTTGGAGAACTTGGGCCCAAGCAAAATATAATCTCAAAACCGTATCCCCAGAATCGATCAATTGGGATAAAGAATTTGATGTCACTTGGTTATATGGTCCTCTTTACAATGATTCTGATGATTCCCCCTTCTTGTACTCTTCATCTCCAATCAATTTAATCAATAAACATAGCGACAACCAAAATGAAAACTCTAACTCAAACGATAACCAAAGACAAAGCCAAAGCCAAAGTCAATTAAACTCAACGCTAACTCACAATACATCCTTTATAAAACCAATCCTAAAACAAAGAAAAATATCAGATAAAATCCTTTCTCACACAACTCTATTCAAATTATCCTACCAAAAGTTAAGCCAGTCAGTTATCAACAACAACAACCTACTAAACGAAAACAATTACTACTTCAATAACCAATATCCAAATAATCTTGATTTGACCAACAATACAGCCTCAAATCATACTTTAAACCACACAAATATATCCCAACTAAACTCCTCTCTTTTAGATGACCTGTTAATGTTTAACAACCTAACCCTATCAAATACCGCCATTAACACCACCTTCCACAACTTCTCATCTCAACGTCCTCCAATAGCAAAATTATCCCAGGTTCACCAATCTCCTCCAAAATATGATCCTGATTACAATTCAATCACAAGAAAACTTAATTCCCAATACAACTTTAAGAAAAATCCTTCTCAGAGACAATCCAAACTTAACGCTATCAATAATAACGTCAATATGAATAACACCAACAAAAACATTGTTCCTTATAATCCCTTTCTTTTAAGTCACTCTTCTTCTTCTTCTTCTGCTTCCTCTCCTTCTTCTCACCTATCTCTTTTGATGCCTCAAACCGATCCCTTGAACTTGAATGTTAATTTGAATGTTAATTTAAACTTAAATGTTAATTTGAATCTAAACAACAACATCCCCAATAAAAACAATCTAATTAAAGATGATTCTTCACCTACAACTATTAACTATAATAACGCCGATAGTAATACAACTATCAATAATATCTCATTGGCTTCAAATAATACCAATAATAGTAATATTAATAATAATTTGAATTTGAATCCTGCCACTAGCTTTGCAACTTTGAACAACTCTCATTCTCAAATCATGTCTCAATTTGATGATTCTTTCTCAATGAAATCAAATCCAAAGACTTTGACCTTTTCAAATGCCGAAAATGTTTATAATCCAATTGTTAATAATATTGATATCAATAACAATGATAGCGAAATTGCTCCTGAAGTAAACATAATTGACAATGACATCTCAAGTTTAATTGATAACAAATCAATCAATTCTAATAACAATTCTATTTACAATCCTAGTATCAATAACGACTCGTCAATTGCTCAGCCAATGAATACTACATCGAGTTACACTTCAAATAACAATAGTGATATTGCTAGCAAAAATAACAATTTATCTGTTTGTGATCATATATCCTCAAAGAAATCAAATTTAAGTGTAAATTTAAGCAATATCAATAGCGTTTCTTCAAGCAAAAAGGATTCTCGTCGTATTCATTTCTCTGAGACTGTTGATCAATGTATCGCTGTTATTTCCGGCTCGGATTCGGAATCTGAAATTACTGAATCTGATTGTTCAGATTCAGAATTTGATGATTCTAATTTAAACTTGGATTTAATGAAGGAAAAATCCAATACCGAATCAGAATCAGAATCAGAATCAGATCACGATCCAAAATCGGAATCAGATCATGATCCAAAGTCAGAATCAGATCGTTCTTTGCCTGTTGTTAACTCACAAACCCCAAATTATAATTCGCCAATTAAAGCATCTTCAATATCTAGTTTTCGTAATAAGTTTTATATTAGTGAATCTGAAGATTCAGAGGAAGGTTCCAGTGATAGAGCTACTGGAAATCAAAGTCATAACTCTAAAAATTCGTTCAACTCTGTTAACTTTAACAATGATAGTATTAACAACAAAAAGAAAACAATAAACGGGAATACTTATGATGGTAATAAGGAAAACAAAGATAGTGAAGATGATGATGAGAATGACGACGATGACGACGATGATGGAGGCTTTTTTATTCATTTCAAACCTGTTATTAAACGAGATATCTCAGCTTCTAAATCAAATAGCTCTCCTAACCCCCCCTTAAGTTTGACTTTGAATTCAAATTCTGGTAAAAATCTTAAAAAAACCAAAAAAATCCACAGGAAAAAGAAGAGAAAAGTGAAAAAACCCAAAAAAATGATCAAAATTTTACCTTCAACAAATATTATTTTTGAAAAGGAAGAAGAAGATTTTGGCTATTATGATTATTATGATTATGATTATGATTACTATGATGAAAAATCAGACAGCGATGACAGTAATGATAATTATCTTGGGTTCTCTCAGAATGAATTTGCTCAAATGAAACCTCTTCCTCAATTATTAAACCGATCTGAAGTTAGTTTGGAAAACAATTCATATTTCTTGTCAAATAACGTTAAATTTAATGGTAGTAATAATTTTGGATTTGGTTTGTTGAAAGACCTGAAATTCAATGAAGCTGATACTGCTGATATTACAGATTTACCTGAAAATGTTCTTAATAATTTAAAAAGTGAAAATTTGATCAAGACTGATGGTAGTAATAACAATCTTACAAATGAAAATGGTAATAATAATGGTGTTGATAATACTATTAAAGCTAATAACACTAGCAGTATCAGTAGTAACAATCTTAGCTCCAACTTCCAAACAGAAAATCCTACTTCTTTTCCGATTATGAAAGATTTAGTTGATCTGGAGAAACTTGATAAGGCTAAAAAACCCGATAGGCCTTCAATGAAGAGAAACAACTCGACATTTCTTTTTGATGATTCGGATGATGATTCAGAAGATTTTTCCGATTATAAAGGATCAGAATCCGAATATGATTCACACTCTAATAGTAATAGTAATAGCAATAGTAATTATAATAATGATAATATCCCACTTGTTTTGAAATCTGATTATTCGTTAAATCACAATTATAATAATTTAAATGGGAAATTTGATTTTAAAAGTTTCAATATCAGTAATTCTGATAACGAATTGAATAGTAAAATTTGCAATGGTGAAAATAAAATCAGTCCAAAAAATGATTTTAATGATTTTGATTGTTTGAGTAGTGAGAGCAAGATAGATTCTGATCCAAGTTTAAATTTCGGATCTACTAATACTAATAATGAGTCTAAGGATTTAAGTAAAAATGGAATTTTTGGTGAAGAAATACATTGTTTTAAAGAGTCATCAATAAAGCCAGCCGAAAAAGCTAAGAGCAACGTGAAACCTGTGATTAATTCAAGTAAATTTCAGTTTGGAGACACCAATTCTGATAACAGTGATGATGAAGATGAAGATGAGGAGGGAGATTCATATTCTATGAATCTGGAGCAATTTAACAATATTTCTAGAACGTTTCAAAATAGGAAAAATTCTGGATCATCTAGTTTCAATTGTTCTTATGGGAATACATTAACGAGAATTACATCTGGACCAAGCAGCAGCTCAATCATTATTTCTGGTGTTTCAGCCACTGGGTTTATATCCAATCCAGCCCCTGATTCTCAAAAGATTTCTAAAAATGAAAGGATCAATGGACTCAGAAAAGAGTTGAGTAATATTCATCTAAGACAAGATTCCACATCATCTATTTCCAATTCTATAAATAATCCACCAATAAGACCTCATACCAACTTGGTTAATTCTATTGCAAACAACATATTTAGTTGGAATCGACCTGATTCCAAATGATTCTTGAGGTTGTCAAGACCACAATTTTCTTTTCAAGTTTTTATTATAATAATGATTTAACAAAAGCATTATGCTGAACAACTTTCCTTATAACGTCTGATCTTCTATTTTTTTTATTTTTTTTTGATAAAACGCCCTCCTATTGTATTTTACATTTCTATTTTATAAGAAAAAAGAAAACCAAATCATTATAATAATAAAAATAACAATTAATTAGAATTTTTAAGTTAAATTAATGATAATTTTGAAACTGAAAGTCTTAAAAAGCATGGTTTTTTCATTATTTTTTCATTATTTTTTCATGATTTCAATTATATTTGTCTTCTATTATACATTATTTATGTTTTCTCACTTTCTTTTATTCCCTTTTTTTACTTTTACTTTTACTTTTACTTTTACTTTTACTTTTTTACTTTTTCACTTTTTTACTTTTTTGTTGTTTTTTTGATTTTATATTATATTATAGTTTTTATTGTTTTATACTTTTTTTTGTTTTATGCTTTAGATTTGTGTTGATCATGTTCATTGTTTCATGTTTTTCAAGTTTCCAAAATTTACAAGTAAAAATGATTAAAGGTCATTACTTCTACTATATTATTACAGATTTTTAACAATGAGTTATAAAATCCCATGATAGCTTTATCCAAGAGCTAATAACTAATAACAAAATTTGGCTATTGATGCCAAAATGATGATTAATGATGACTAAAAGTTTAACGAATTTTAAGATTTTTTTTTTCTACACACAATTTATTTTATTTTGTTTTTCTCGCCTTTTTGAATTTATATAATATAATAAATAACTTGACTTAGTTTGTTGTGTAGTGATGAGCAAATAATAAAGGGCGTACGTATCTTTCTGCTTTTCTTTTTTCAACTGTCCGATGTAGGAAATCGAACCCGTGTCTCTCATTGATCACATGCCAAAACTGCGATTCTCGGATGTGCCGCAATCCATATCGTTGGTCTCAAGACAGAACTGAGATTACCGGACATTTTGCCCTCAAGCGCGATGAGCTGGGTCGAAAATTGAATGCAGCAGAAGTTGGAGTAAATGGTAGAGTAGAAGCTGAAGTAAATGCTGGAGCAGAAGCTGGATGACAGAAGCTGGATGGCCACTACTTTCTTCCTCCAACGATAGCTGTTTGGGTGCTGATTCTGGACTCTCAGTTCACATTCCACTGTGGAAAAGAAACAACCCTTTCTGCCTTCGTTTAGAAATGGTACGAAGATGTCCGATGCAATGCGCTTCTCTGATTGGTCCATAGGCCGCTGCACCTTTTCGAAATGAGGATATTTTGGGCGACTTCGAAATAATCTCCCATAGGCGAAAAAGCACCAGCACAGAAAATCCCAAAGGAAAGCCAGAAGTTAGCAAAACAAGACTTACTTTGATCAGGAAAAGCAGCAGCTATTGCATCGATAGAATATGTTTGAGCTGGTGGTGTGTGTTTCCGGCAGCTGTGGTTTCTGACAAGATAAGCTGACAGTTTAGAGCCGGATTAAGCTTATCGCTTGGTTTGCAACAATCAGTAGAAATCAGAATTACATCAGATCAGTCCAAATTTTCTCCTGGCTTCCCGATTGGACCTCTTGGAAATGTTCGATAAATAGCCAACAAATCACATAACGAATCAGAATGAACACCTACGCACTTATTATTTTGGATCAGCATTTTGTGGGTCAGATATTTTGCTATATAAGTGCTTGTTCCCCCTTCGTTTTTCCTGCTGCTTTCAATCTTTGTTCATTACTTTTTGATTATACTTGTTATATTTAACTGCACTTGACTTCTTAACTGCTTGATCAATTAATTTGATATTTTCACCATTTGAATCTCGATCACATTTAATCCGGTTTCAAATTGCTCTTTAATCTCCTCCGACAAATCTTTCAAGCTGTTTTCCAACTTACTTAAATCTGTTCATAACCCATATAGCTCAAGGAAAACTTCATCTTCTGGCACGGGTACAAATATCCTATTCTATTAATTTACATATCAAGTCTTTTGCACTTCAAACCATTAAATCATTGAATTTTACTCCAAAATGACTGTTCAAACTTTCGAAGCTCCAACTGTTAAAGTTGCCTCAGACAAAGCCGTTTGGTCTCAAGATGTCTTGAAAACAAAATACACTTATGAGAATTCCATTGTTGAAAAGACTCAAGATGGTAAATTTAATGTCAACCCAATTTCAATTGATTACGAATTTAAAGTTGATCTTATCAAACCCAAAACTGGTTTATTATTAGTTGGTCTTGGTGGTAACAATGGTTCAACCTTAGTTTCCGCCATTTTAGCAAACAAACATAATATTTCTTTTGAAACTAAAGAGGGTGTTGTCAAACCAAACTATTACGGTTCTGTCACTCAATCTTCAACTATTAAAATCGGTGTTGATCAAACTGGTAACGACATCTATGCTCCTTTCACTTCATTATTACCAATGGTTAGTCCAAACGATTTGGTTGTCTCTGGTTGGGATATTAACAAGGCTAACTTGAAGGATGCTGCTAAGAGATCGAAAGTTCTAGATGTCACTTTACAACAAAAATTAGCTCCTTATTTAGAAAACATCGTTCCTTTACCTTCGGTTTACTATCCCGATTTCATTGCCTTGAATCAAGTCGAAAGAGCTGACAACATCATCAACAAAGACTCTAATGGCAAGGCTTTATTAAACAGCAAATGGAATGACGTCGAAACTATTAGAAAAAATATTAAAGACTTTAAACAAGAAAATGATTTAGATAAAGTCATCGTTTTATGGACTGCAAACACAGAACGTTATGCTGAAATCATTGAAGGTGTTAATGATACCGCTGAAAATTTAATCAACTCAATCAAATCAAATCATCATGAAGTCTCTCCCTCAACTGTTTTTGCTGTTGCTTGTATTCTTGACAAAGTTCCTTACATCAACGGTTCTCCCCAAAATACTTTTGTTCCTGGTTGTATTGAATTAGCTGAGCAATACAACTCTTTTATCGGTGGTGATGACTTTAAATCTGGTCAAACCAAATTAAAATCTGTTTTAGCTCAGTTTTTAGTTGACGCCGGTATTAGACCAATCTCTGTTGCTTCTTATAACCATTTAGGTAACAACGATGGTTACAACTTGTCTTCACCAATGCAATTTAGATCAAAGGAAATCTCAAAGCAATCCGTCATTGACGATATTATCGAAAGTAATGAGATTCTTTACAATGACAAAGTCGGTAAAACTGTTGATCATTGTATCGTCATCAAATATATTCCAGCTGTTGGTGACTCAAAGGTTGCAATGGACGAGTATTATTCCGAATTAATGTTAGGTGGACACAATAAAATTGCTGTTCATAATGTTTGTGAAGATTCTTTATTGGCTACCCCATTAATTATTGATTTGGTTGTTGTCACTGAATTATTATCCAGAATTTCTTACAAGAGATCTGATTCTAAATCAGGTAACTACGAAGAATTGTATTCAGTTTTATCCTTTTTAAGTTACTGGCTAAAAGCTCCATTGACCAGACCAGGCTTCAGACCAATCAACGGTTTAAACAAACAAAGAACTGCTATTGAAAACTTAATTAGATTATTAGTTGGTTTACCAGCAAATAATGAATTAAGATTCGAAGAAAGATTACTTTAGATCTTCTTGTTGCTCAATCTTAGCCACTATCAACCTATAGCCATGCTATCTCTCTATTAAATTTTCCAATACTACTATGCTTTTAAAATCACATTTATATACTTAAATCAAGTTTTTATCTTCTAAGAACCTCAATAAATATACTTTTAACATCATCCTCAAGCAAAAACCTGCTCGCTTCCACTTTTCGTTTTTGTGTTGCTGCTAATGCTGCTGTCTTATGCATACATATGCGTGTATCATTACATAGACGCGTGGGTTTTTCCTCGATTGTGATTGGATCTGTTAATTTACGAGCTTAACTCTCTTTACGGTCTCTATTTACGGCCCAATTTACGACCTCCTTTTACAATCTCCAGGTTTGCACCTTCCTTGCTTCTCAATTAACTGTTCTTGAATAGCCATGGTTATTTATTGAATCTTTCTCTCGCAGCTGGTTCTTTTGTGATTTATTCTCATCCACCTTATCTACAATTTTCACATTTTCTTTTACAAATCTCCTTTATTCCTTTAACTACAAAGAATTTTATTTCCATATCTCACAACAAGTTATTTGTCTAGAGATTTTCTCGTTTTTTTTTTTTTATTTTGTTTCTTCTCCTGTTTTAAAGTTCAAGTCTGAAGTCAGGAAAGGAAAACTCTGCAAAGATTAATTCCTGTTATAAAGTCTTATTATAATTTCAAAAAAGAAAAAAGAAAAAAAAAATGCTTTACCTGCGTTAACAGTGTTTACGAGAAATTATAATTCTAAAAATATATTAAAATCTTGATATTGCTTGGAAATTTAATTGATTTTAAGCAAGCATATCACAATTTGTGGTTTATTTAAAGTATAATGATTATTGAAATCTTTTTATCTTGGAGGAAATTTATGATTTACAAAAGAATATTGCAGCCTAAAATGCTTGAATCCAGTTTAGCTTTGCTAACCAGTTTTTGCTGATTCCTAACTTTGTATCATTTCTGCCTCAACAACTTTTTATTCCACTTTTATTGGCTAATCAAAAGTATAATTCGCAATCAGATCGTTTTATTTCTCAGCTATATCAGATTTAGATACTTGTTTTTTTGGCTAAAAATTGACTTGGGAATACAGAGAAGTAAAAAATGAGGTTACCCGGGCGTATTCCTCTACAAAAAAAAATTGGGATAAATTTCACTTCAATTTTTTTAGTCCTAAATTCTTTAATGAATGGAAAATGTATGGCTAATCTAAAAATTTGTTTTTCAAAACTTATTTTCTGTAATAAATTGCTAAAACTCTGTTGAAATGAATTAAAATAAATTTTTTTTTCAATCATTATTCAACTTCAAAACAAATAAGCTAAAGGAGTTTAGTAAAAGTCAATTATAATTTATTAAAATTTACAATAATCTACCAGAGTTTACAAAAATTTTAAAAAAACCATTCTTACAAAGGAAAAAGAATTTTTTTATCTTTAATATTGATTTATTTGTTTTATTCAACAATTACAATCTGCAGTTTTTAATTTTTAATTTTCAATTTACAATTTTTAATTTATATGTTACAATTGATATTTCAATCTCAAATCTACTTATAAAAGCTCTGTTTATAGAGGAGTTTAATTTGAAAAACAATTAATTTGTTTAACTATCAATTTCATATAAATATATAAAAAAACGATCTATTTTTTTCTGATAACTCACTTCTTTTCATTTCTTTTTAACTCAAATTAGTTATTGGGTTATTGAGTTATTGGTTTTGAAAATAATAAAATAAAAGTAACTCTTTTGTCTATTTAAATTTGAATTATATCATACATATTCTTGAATAAATCATTACAACATTAAAATAATAATTTTTACTTTGCCCTTACTTATTTTTTGTTGTTAAGATTAATAATAAAACACATAATAAAGTTGAATTCCTTTTTTTTTTGTTATTTTTTTCCTGTTTTTGTTTTTAACTGATTTACTTTAAACCAAAACTAATTTTTCAAGAGAATAAAGTCAATATAACTTAAAAAAAAATGAATTATAATAATAAAGAATCACTCTCTGTCTCTTTAATTTCAACCAAATGTGATGAAAAGCTGGGTTCAGCTTACACTGACTGTTCTCAAAAAAATGATAAAACGAGTTTACTAGATGAAAAAGCAAATTGTGATAGTCAATTTAATTTTGATAAAAAGTTATTAAATAGTTCTAAGTCAACTAAATGTTCAACTAGAAAAAAAAAATATAAATTCATTGAATTCCTCAAGGATTTTTTCTTGAATAAATTATACTTGGAAAAATTAATTAATCTTTTCACAAAATCTTCATCAAAGCACAATTCAAAAATGGGTCGTACCAATAAGAGAACCAAATTAACTAACAATCAAAATGCTGCTAGTCAATCTATTTCTTCTCACAGTTATGGTCCTAATGCTTCTTATGTTTCCCCTGCTGCAACTATCTCAGCATATCCAATTAATTCTCCTGAATATCAACAAGAAAAACAAAGATTAATTGCTGAAATTCGTTATATGATGTATGACAAAGAAAGACTTAGGGAATATTTTGACCAACAAATTGAACTGATTTATGAACAAAACAATCGAAAAATTGATAATCTTATGGCTCAAATGGATCAAATGAGATATGAAAATGAAAAAGAAATTGCTAAATTACAAGGAATTCTTTCTAGCTATGATTGAAAAAATTTGAAATTTTATACCAATTGATTAATGCTTCAATTCAAATTACTCATTTACTACATATTTGGGTGTCTTTTTTTGTTTTTATTTTTTCATTCCATTATTATTAATGGTTTTATTTTCTATCTTAAAAACATTGTTTTTTGTTTTATTTTTTGTTTTATTTTTTAAATTGAAAAGTTCGATGTCAAAAAGTTGTTATCAAATTATATTTTATTTTTTTTTTTTGATCATGCTCTGACTTCTGTTCAATACTTATCTTTGCATTTCAAAACACCATATCATATCATATTATATCATATCATATTATATCACATTACAGCTGCTTATTGGTTCAATTTGAATTGAAATTTTCAATACTTTCTTTTATATATTATAACATTGTTTTTTTTTGTTCTTGAAAAATTTATATTATAACATTTCTAATCAACATTACTTTCAACCACTTTGCAAATCTCAAAAATACATAAAAACAAAAGCAAAAAACTGGATTTGTAAGTTCAAAAAAACTTTGAAAATACAGAATATTAATTTAACAAAGGTGAATAAAACTAAATTATAAAATGTACAAAGGCTAAATTGTTTTTTTTCTGTAAAAACATCAGAAACCAAAAAGTTTAATCCAAGAAATAATAATTTCTCTTGTTCTGAGGCAAAACTTTTAATATTATTTTCTTGCCTTTGAATTAAAAAAAATTCTTTATGATCGTTATTCAATTGAAAAGTGGTAGAACCTCACTTTGAAAATAAGTTGGCCCTCCATGTACAGATTAACAGTATTCATGCATGTGAATTCATATCAAGGCAATGTATAGCAGAATCTTACTCTGAACCAACTCAACGATTATTTTTACAATAGAATCTTATTGAGCTTTTGTATGAGAAGGTGAATTTATTATAAAATATTTGGTCAAATTACTTTGTTGTCTTCAAATATTTTATATTTTTCTTAATTTTATATCAGCAGAAACAGTGGAAAGTTTGAAGACATAGATTTTACCTTATGTTCATCAACTATTACTTTTGTTCTCCAATTAAAACCCTCAAACCCAATCTCGCAGAAGTGAAAAATTTTGACTACTCTTTCACAAACCATATATCAATAATAGTTCATGGTTATTCAGAAATGTAAAATCTAAATGTTTTGCAATTGTTTATCTTAAAGAATCCACGCGACATTAGTGATTTTGGCTGGTGTCTAAAGAAATATTTCTTGTTTTTATTTATCGCTCGAAAAGATAACTAATAAAACTGGTATGAGAGGTAGAATGAAAATAAAAAGTAAAGTTTTTTTTAGTTCAAGTGGATCCAAAATGCAAAATAAAATCAACTGAGTTAAAAAAAAAGTAACAGTCTAATTAATGGTTTGAAATTGAGTAACTGAGTTAATAGATTCAGTTTGAAAAAATTCAAACTGAAAGTGTTAATTGGGTGTGTTGCTGAAGTTTCCAAATAGAGTAAGTAAAAATGGCAGAGCGATAGATGGTTGAAAGGACTCACCACTGTGAAATACGAAAACAATTCAGAGCAATTAATTGAATTAGACTCATTTTGAAGATTGAAGGTTGCAAAAATAAAAAAGAATATCTGACAGTAAATCATGTTATATGTTGCAACTTTATTGCTCAACATTACAAAAATAGACGAAGCTCAACTACTAACTATTGGACTCTTTGCAAAAGACAATAATCTAATAGAATGTAGTATCAAACAAATGCCTATTGGTGAATCGTTGCTCATGTCATATTCTCAATGGCTGTTGTTCTTGTCCGTATGTTCGGTATTTGCGGTACCACCGATATTACCGTATTTCGAAAAAAGACGTACACCCGTGACCCAACCCGACTCCGGCTCGAAACGAAAACCTGTAATGGTTTAACATTTAATAGTTTATTTTTTAATATCTTTATTAAATTTGATTGATAAAATTATTTGGCTTTCTGGCGATACTTATTGTTTGGGCAAGAAATCGGTTTATATGATGTAAATAATGGAATAAATAGCCTAATCCTCTAATTCAAACAATGTAAGTTTTTAAGCCAGATTTTTACTCATAATCAGTTAAATGGTTATTCATGATCAGATTACTTTTCTGTTATGTTGGTGCCTTTTAATCTTACTTTTATTACACCTTTTAATTCTTGATCCTCAATCGGCTGGTTTTAACACATTTTTTTTTTTCATATGCAGTCTAATTATCGTCAAATTTTCATAAAAATGGAATCATTAATTAAAATTTGTACAGATTTATACACAAAAAAAACACCACTAACTAAAAATCCATAAAAAAATTCATTATGTATGTACGATTTATTTACTTATTAGAATTGAATAAAAAACAGTCAGGCACTATATTTTTCCAATAAAAAAAAAGATAATCAAATTTCTGAATCAGAAAGGAAAAATAAAGCTTGAAGTAGAAATGAATTAGAGTTGGTAAAGATAAAAAAATCAAAAAACCCGAAATAAAAAAAAATAAAATCATGAAAATATGAAATAAAGATAAAGATAAAGATAAAGGTGGAAAAAAACCTCATTGTAGCATTAAATCTCATCAGAGGAATCAACAAAATCATCACTGTTGTACTCATTACCTTCATCGATTACTTTGACATCATTTTGAAGATTATGACTAAATCTGCTCAACTTTTGTGGCGCTGGTTCAATCTTTGCATAAGCATTAGTTGTTTCAATTGTATTTGTAGGGAAAGAGTGTCCTGGCATACTTAGTAAAGGTGCTGGGGAGTTAATATATTGATTATTACCGATTCTATCAATAATTTCGTTAAGTTGATTGTAAGAATTATTATTGCAAGAGAAATTTTTCAAGGTTGCTTTTTTTGGAAAAACAGAAGACCCATAACCATCTTTGAGATTAAAGTTCAAATTTGGATTATTAAGATTGGTAAGATTATTATTTGAAGATCTATTGCTTCTTATACTAAAATTTCTAACCATGTTCAAATTGTTATTACTTAAATTGTCATGATTTAAGTTATTTAGATTGTTTAAATTATTATAGAAATTAAAATTTAAACCGGAGGAATTTGAATTATTGTAATATTGAAAATTGTTATTAGAAATATTGTTGTAAAGTGGACCATTGTTTGATGGCGAGTTTGAATTATTTTGTCCCAAACTTAAATTATCATTTGACATGAAATTGTGTTTATTGTTGGAAATAAAATAATTGTTAAAACCGTTATTATTGATGTTATTATTATTGATGTTATTATTGTTAGTATTATTTAGAGGATTATTATAAGTTGTTGATAATTTTGAAGAAATGGGTGGATAATAATTGGGAGAAACAGACATGTTATGATTAGTTGGAGAAGGAGATCTTCCAAAACTATTTTGTCTGCTATGAGAATTTTGATTCAACAGAATTTGCTGTTGAGATTTTTGAGATCTGTGTTGATGGGATACTAATAAACTTGCAGATAGACTCTCACTTAATTCTTCATTAAAGGATTTCATTGATTGAAATTTTTGTAAATTTGTATATTCGTTACATGAGGATTTATTGCTAAAGTTATTGATATCAATATTACTATTATTCTTGTTATTGTTATTGTTATTGAGATAATTATTCATATTATGGGTAGTGTCATTTTTCAAAAAATTGCTTGTAGTTATTGGCTTTTGAGAAACATCATCAATCATTTTAATTAGATCTGAAATATCGTTTTCAGGAAAATTGTTTGAAACTGGATCAATTTCTGGGTTGAAATCATTAATTTGATTAAAAGAGTTTTTATTCAAGATGTTATTTTCCATGTAGTTAAGATTTACGTTACTAGAGCTGTATTTATTAGAGTTGATATTGTTATTTTGATATAATAGGCTATTTCTATGTCTTGAACCAAAGGAGGAGGAAAACCTTGGGGCGCTTTTGGAGCTATAGTTGTCGATATTTGAGCCATAACTTTGGTTTACAACAGAATTTGGGGCTGGAATTGGGACAGAAGTTATAGGGGAGTTTTTTTCAAGAGAGGAATAGGATCTTGGAATAGAGTTGGAAAAGTGGATGTAGTTTTGGTATTGGTTTTGATTTGAGTTTATTGGTATTAAATTTGGAATTTGATTTGGATTTGAATTTGGATTTGAATTTGAGTTTGAGTTTGAGTTGGGATTTGAGTTTGAGTTTCTATGAGTTCTTAGTAGAGCAAAAAGAGAAGCATTTGAGGAAGATCTATTGATAGTTATTGGGATAGTTTTAGTTGAAGGGATTCTGTGGATTGAAGAATCTAGGGATTGGTTTCTGTTTGTATTTGGAGGAGAAGAGGTTAAGGAGCCTTGGATAAAGGGTTGAATGTTTAGAGGTAGGTTTAGTTTTGAGTTGATTGGAGAAGAGGAAAGGGGAGATTTTGAAAGAGAGGACGAGATTGTTTTGGGAGGGATATTTCGAAATTGGTTTTGAAGTTGATTTTGAAACTGAGATTGACTTTTCTTTGAATGTTTTTGGTTTAATTGAGAAAGTTGATTATTTAGGAATTTTTGAGATTTTTGAGATTTTAAAGATTTTAAAGATTTTAAGGACTTTAAAGGTTTCTGATTTTTCTTGAAGATTTGTTTTATAAAGAAGTTTGAGTCCTTTCTGTAAGAGAGTTGAATTTTTAGGTCAGCGTTAATTATGTTGTTAAAGTTGATGTTGATTGGGTTGAATATTTTTTCATTCAAGTGGGATTGTAGGCTTTGATTTTTGTTGTCGTTGTCATTAATTTGGTTCAAGTAGGTTGATATTATTGATTTTGAAAAGCCTATTCTGCCCTTTGAAGAGATTGGTAGGTTTCCATTGAGGATTCTTGAGTTGATTGATAGATAGTTGTTTAAGGAAGGAAATTTGATCAAGTTTTGGATTAGTTTGTAGGTTGGTAGGAGGTGGATGAATGAGTATAGAGATCTGAATAAGAGGATGATTTTTTTGTAGATTGAGTGAAAGGTGATATCTATCTGATTGCTGTTGTTGTTATCGTTTAAAGGTTGGTTTTTTTGATAGTTTGAGATTGAATTTATATCAAATTTTATTACCCATCTTTCCAAGACAATTTCGTTTTTTCTTTTGGAAGAGTTGTTTTTGAGGACTAGAAAAGGATGGTTATCTTTATCATTTAGGTATAAATGGAGTAAATTATTTTGGTTATTCTGGGTGTTTGGTGTGTTTTGAGTGTTTGGTGTGTTTTGAGTGTTTGGTGTGTTTTGAGTGTTTGGTGTGTTTTGAGTGTTTTGAGTGTTTTGAGTGTTTGGATTGTAATGAGAATAGAATTTGTTTAAATCCAAATATGTTTCAATAACTAGAGGAGGCAAGTTGAAGATGGAAGAGGAGTTCCATAATTTCAAGGAATCATTTTGTAGGATTGCATTGGATAGATGAGTGTTTATCTTGATATTGAACCAGTAGTTTAGATCTTTGTTTGAGTTGTCATCAGTTGAGGTAGAGAAGTTATTGGTAATGATATTGTTGTTGTTGGTGGTGATGGTGGTGGTGTTATTGTGGTTGTTGATGATTAAATCGGATGACCTTGATTGTATTATGATGTGAGTAGCCTGTGAGAAGAAGTTGTGAACTATTCTCGATAGCTGTGATGGAAATATGGAATCAGGAGAGTCTAAGTTCATATTTTGGAGAGAAGATTGAGAGCAGAGATGGAGGATGCGAATAAAGTCATCAAAACCGAGAAAGATATGGAGAAAAGAAGCCTGGAAGAGATGAGGTTGGAGACAAGAGACGAGTGATAAGGTGATAAGAGAAGAAACAAGAGGAAGAGAAAGAAAAGAGACAGGGAGAAATGAAGAGAATAAATATCAGAGATATTCTATGGCAGTTGGCGTGAGTCAGTGGACATCAGATTAAAGACCAGATTGAAGACCAGTATGGGATATTATAAGATGATAGAGGTGGTTATTATTTAGTCAATAATTATGGACAGTGGAGGCTAAAAGTTATCAGCAAAGACGATAGAGTTGTTAGGTGATTAGAAATTAAGTGATGAAAGCAAAAGCTGTAAATGATTTGAAATAAAATAAGCTTTGAGTCTTACACCGGAGGACTGTGGCTATTTTTACTTCTTCTTCTTCTTGCTGTGCTGGTACTTCTGCCTCTTCTGCCTCTTCTGCCTCTTCTGCCTCTTCTGCTTCTTCCCCTGCTTTTCTTCCCTCTCCTGCCTCTCCTTCCTCTCCTTCCTCTGCTTCTTCTCCATCCGCCTTCCGCTGTCAAAAAAGCCGTCACCGGAGCGCTGCAGGTCCGCTGTTGGCCGGTGCAGCACGTGCAGAATCTCAAACCGCCCACCGGTGCGGGTGATAGTCACATGCACTTACCCTTCCCGCTCCAGCGCGTCAACCAATCGCAGCGCTTTAAAATAAGCATAGTAATAACATCCACTCGTGAATAATTTTATTTTCCCAGATGAGAGCTGGAAACTGGAAAATCCAGCTCTGGCCTATAACAGCTTCAGATTTAACTGTCTACTTTCCTTTCTTCTCGTCTGATTTGGTTTTGTTCAAGCTGTCTTTCTTGTTATAACACTCGTCGCATCCCACAGAGACCATAGAACATAGAGATTCCAGATCGTACCTAACCTACTCCCAGTTGCAAAATGTTCCGTCGTTCTTATGCCACTCTTGCTTCAAACTTGAAAGTCACTGCAACTGATTCTGAAGGCCCATTATCACACTTGGTCGTCAAAATCAATGCAGGCTCAAGATACGCTCCAAAAGATGGGGTCTCTCACTTGCTTTCTAGATTCAACTTTCAAAACAATTCAAAAAAATCAGCCTTGAGATTCGTCAGAGAGTCTGAACTTATAGGTGCAACTTTCAATTCCACACTAACCAGAGACTCTATCATCTTGTCCTCCACTTTCAAGAAATCGGATTTGCCATACTTGGTCAACCAATTTGCCGACACCCTTCATTCAACCTCTTTCAAACCACACGAATACGATGAAGTCGTCTTGCCAACTGCGTTGAACGACAACTACGTTGCAAACAAATCCTCAATTTTCCAGGCTGTAGAGTCTCTATTCCAAATTTCCTATAAAAACGGTTTGAACAAGCCCTTATACTACGACCAAGTCGATCCAGTCTCAATTGACGATATCCAGGCCTTTTCTAAATCAGCTTACACCCAATCAAATATCGAAATCCTCGGCTCCAATATCAACAAAGACGACTTGCTAAAATTCATTCAAAGTTCTGCCTTCTCTGAACTACCAAAGGGTGAAAAGCTAGTCGATACTGTTACCTTCAACAACAACTCGTTATACCAATCCAAAATCAGATCCAAAAACTCAGACCAAGTCATCTCAATTGGTATTCCCGTCACCCCTAATGAGTTCCCAGCCTACCAAACTTTGTCAACCTACTTGAACTTCAACTACAAAAGCACTCTATCAACGTTGTACAAATTCCACGACACCGGCTTATTCACTTTGATCGCCAAGGACACCGATCCAGCTTCTCTTTCAAAAGATTTCAAATCGTTGCTTGCTGATTTGAAATCAGGCATCGACTTATCTCCATTCGCCAACCTAGCCAAATTGGACCTTGCCTTGAGTGCCGAAACCAACCCTTCTGATTCCTTTACAATCTCCAGTGCTGGTGAAATCTCGACCTTCAGCTTGCCTGCTAATTTCAACTACGTCACTGTTGGCAGAACCTCCTCCTTGCCCAGCGTTGATGATTTGGTCAACTAGCTCTAATTTCATGTTTTATATCTCTAATACAATTTAACACTCCACATCTATATTTATATATTCCTCTTCTTTCTTTTAATTAGCGGCAACAAGTGTGCGCAACAAGCCCACGCAACTTATTTTCACAACTTAGCATCGCAACTTACTACCCCACAGTAGCGCTGACTAAGCACCACACGCGTCTTACGTAATATCCCTCTGTCCTTGCAACACCACGCAGCCCACCGCTTGCCCGGCCTTGCTGTCATAATTAGCAACTCTTTTCTACCTCTAACAGATCCATCTTAGAGCAACTCGAGAAGGTTGCTTTCTTTATTATCATCTTCTATAAATTCCTTAGTTTTTGTCTTGGTTTTCGTATTTCTTTTCTTTTCTTTTCTTTTTTTTATCCTTTTAGGCATCCTTTCTTCGTTTCTCTCTCCTTTCTCTATTGTTTGAAATCTAAAATCACCCTTCTTTTTTCAAATATCATTCAAAGTTAATTCACTTCTTCCATGAAAGAACTACTTTTAAGATTGGGCCCATTGGGAGATCCCATCGCTGATGGGCCTTCTAATGGTGTCTTAATTCTAAATTCTACCCCTGATGATACCATAATCAACTCCAATTTCCCAACCTCTCTCGATTCAATTCCCTCTCAGAACCCTTTATTCAAACTACACCTATTGATATCGGCTGCCTCCCCGATATCAAAAAATGGAAAAATCTGGACCAACATCCCTCCTCTGTCCTCAATCTCTTTCAACAGAAATAAACTTTATAAGTACAATATCCAAACCTTTTTCTCAAACGACTCAATTATCCATTTAGACATCTATAAACCTGGCTCCTTCTATTACTACATCTCCTACTCACCTCCCAACTCCTCCGAAATTAAAACAACAAGAAAATTCTATATCTTCGCTCAGCCAACCCTATCAATAAACAACAAGTTTCTTCCTTTGAACTCAATATCAATCCAATCTCTAGTCTCAAAATGGCTAGGCCCCAAAAAAAACTGGAACTCCATTTTTAATCACATTTCAAATGATAAAAAATACAACATGATCCATTTCACTCCTCTTCAATCTCGTGGTGAATCAAATTCTCCCTATTCAATCTACGATCAGCTCAAATTCGACCCAAACTTGTTCGATTCAACTGATGATGTCAAATCTCTAGTCTCCTCTCTACAAAAAAACCACAATCTTCTATCCATGACCGACATTGTATGGAACCATACTGCCAACAACTCTCAATGGATCAGAGACCATCCTGAAGTCGGCTATAACGCTAAAACTGCTCCTCATCTAACTGCTGCAATTGAACTAGACTCAGCTTTGCTAGAATTCTCTGATCAAATGAAATCTCTAGGTTATCCAACCATAATCAATTCAGTCGACGATCTATTGAAAATCATGGATGGAATTAAAATTCACGTTTTAGGCAGCCTAAAATTATGGCAATTCTACATCATCGATGTTCAATCCTCAATCTCAAACGTCTTGGACTTTTACAAATCAAATAAATCTGACCTCTTTTCAATCGACTTGCCAAAAGATTTCAAAAATTCTTTACCTAATTTAGCAAAATTCACTTTAAATTACTCCAAAAAGAACCCCTTTGCTCTAAAAACAAGATACTACAACCAACTCGACACCCAGAAATTCACATCCGTCTTAGTTTCCATACTAAATTCTCTATCAATTGATGACCCAACCCTAGACCAAATCAAAGATCAAGCAAGAAAAATCCTAGACGAAATTAACCTACCCTTCTACAAAATCTACGATAACGATGTAAGCGAAATTCTTGAACAGCTATATAACAGAATCAAATTTCTAAGATTGGATTCCCATGGTCCTAAACTAGGAGAAATCACCTCTTTCAGTGCTCTAACAGAAACTTACTTTACAAGGTTTAAAGACCCAAAAACTGGCGAACAACATGCTCTAGCCAACAACGGCTGGATTTGGAATGGTGATTCCTTGGTGGATTTTGCTTCCGATAAAACAAAAGCATATCTACGTCGTGAAGTCATCATCTGGGGCGACTGCGTCAAATTAAGATATGGCTCAAAACCTGAAGACTCCCCTTACTTGTGGAAAAGAATGATACAATACACTGAGTTATGTGCAAGTATCTTTCATGGCTTTAGAATCGATAATTGCCACTCAACTCCTCTTCATGTCGGCGAAAAATTACTAGACGTTGCAAGAAACGTAAACCCAAATCTTTACGTGGTTGCTGAATTGTTTACCGGTAGTGAAGAAATGGACAGAATATTTGTCGAAAGATTGGGTATCTGCTCTCTAATTAGAGAAGCTATGCAAGCTTGGTCCGTTGGCGAATTATCAAGACTAGTTCATAGACATGGTGGTAGGCCCATTGGCTCTTTAACCTGGCTTCCTTTAGATGAATTGCCCTACCCTTGTGATAAAGAACCTTCTCAATATCCTCAACATTCAGATTTTGTATCTGAAATTCAAATACCATTAACCGTAACTAGACAAGAACCCCATGCTTTGTTTATGGACTGCACCCATGATAATGAAACCCCAAACCAAAAGAGAACCGTTGAAGACACTCTACCAAATGCTGCTTTAGTCTCCCTTTGCTCTTGTGCTGTTGGTTCGGTTTTTGGTTATGATGAATGCTATCCAGAATTGCTAGACGTTGTTAATGAGAAAAGAACCTACACCTTTTCAAACACCGGTATTTCACTAGTTAAGAAGAAAATCTACGAAATAAGAGACGAAATCTCAAATGAAAGTACTCTAATAGATGACCATCAAATGCACGTCCACCATGAAGGTCAATTTATAACTTTGCATAGAGTCAACTCCAAAACTGGAAATGGCTGGTTTTTAATTGCAAGAACAAAATTTTCTAATGATACTGATCAATATCTTGCTCCCATATATCTTAGTGGTACAAGAGCTAAATCTGTGTTTGCATATGCTTTAAAAAAAACCGGCGAATATAAATATTCTGATACTGAAATAACTTCAATACCAACAACTTTGGAAAAATTAGATGATCCCCAATTCCAGTATGATCCAGTCAAAAATGAAACAAAAATTATCATGCCAAACTGCTTTCCCCAAGGAAGTATTGCTCTATTATCAACAAAAATTATCGATGCTGATGAAAGTTTAGATCAGTATATTCGAACTGGGGCAATAGCCGCCTCAAAAAACTTGACTTTATATGACTTGAATGCCTTATTGTTTCGTTGTGAATCAGAAGAAAGAGATTCAAGTGGTGGAAATGAAAGTGTTTATAATATTCCCGACTATGGTGATTTGGTTTATGCAGGTTTACAGGGATGGGTTTCTGTATTAAAAGACGTTATCAGAAAAAATGACCTAGCTCATCCTATCTGTTCTCATTTGAGAAGTGGAAAATGGGCATTGGACTACATTGTTAACAGGCTCAATAAATATAACAAAACTGACGGTTTTGAAGAATTTAAACTGTGGTTATCTTCTCGATTAAATGCTATTAAAAAGGTGCCCTTTTTTCTTATTCCCCACTATTTCGCTTTAGTGGTTGGTATTGCTTATGAAGCTTGCAGGTTTAGAGTATTAAAGATAATGTCTAGCCATATTAGCCATGGAACTTTATTTGTTCAAAATCTAGCCATGTGTTCAGTTCAAATGGTTGGATATATGAACTCCACCTCAATAAAGCCTTTTGAACAGGTTCCTTGTATGGCTGCAGGATTGCCTCACTTTAGTACAAATTATATGAGATGTTGGGGCAGAGATATTTTTATATCACTTCGTGGATTACTACTTGCTACAGGCCGGTTTGCTGATGCCAAACAGCATATAGTTTGTGCTGGAAGCACATTGAAACATGGGTTGATACCAAATCTTTTAGATGCTGGAAGAAATCCTCGTTACAATGCTAGAGATGCAGTGTGGTTTTGGCTTCAATCTGTTCAAGACTACATTGATCTTTCTCCTAATGGTGAAGATATTTTAGATATTAAAGTCAAAAGAAGGTTTCCACTCGATGACCGATTTATTGATTATAATAGTGATGAGGCATTTAGTTATTCATCGTCCATCAAAGAGATTATTTTCGAAATTTTATCGCGTCACGCAAAAGGAATCAAGTATAGAGAAGCCAATGCTGGTCCTAATCTCGATTCACAAATGAAGGATGAAGGGTTTAATGTTGAAGTGCATGTGGATTGGTCTACCGGATTAGTCCATGGTGGCTCACAGCTCAATTGTGGAACCTGGATGGACAAAATGGGAGAAAGTGAAAGAGCACACAATAAAGGAATCCCAGGAACACCAAGAGATGGAGCACCGGTCGAGATCAACGGTTTATTAAAAAGTGCCTTGAGATTTGTTGTGGATTTAAATAAGAAAGGTTTATTCCCTTATTCTAAAGTGACTACTCAAGATGATAAAGAAATCACGTTTAGTGAATGGAATGATCTTGTTCAAAGCAATTTTGAAAAATGTTTTTATATTCCACTTGAATCAAAAGATGACGTGGACTATGAAATAAAACCTAACATTGTGAATAGAAGAGGAATTTACAAGGATCTTTTCAAGTCAGGCAAACCATATGAAGATTACCAATTGAGACCTAATTTTCCAATTGCAATGGTGGTGGCACCAGAATTGTTTACACCTTCATTTGCACTAAAGGCATTAAAAATTGCAGATGATGTTATTGCTGGACCAGTTGGTATGAGAACGCTAGATCCTTCAGACTTGAATTATAGGCCATATTATGTTAATTGGCTAGACAATGAAGATTTTGCGACTTCAAAAGGTCGTAATTATCATCAAGGGCCCGAGTGGGTTTGGGTTTTTGGGTATTTCCTTAGAGCATATGCGCATTTTTACGCTGTTGATATAAAGGCCAAAGGAGGAACTATTCCATCAGAAGATTTGCAGCAATTTCTAAGTTCCAAATTAAAAGGACATAAAAAATGGTTGAGAGAAAGTTCTTGGGCAGGATTAACAGAGCTAACCAACAAAGACGGTAACCTCTGTGATGATTCCTCGCCTACTCAAGCTTGGAGTGCTTCATGTTTAGTTGATCTTTATTACGATATTTGGAGGCTTGAGAATAAGAAATAATCTTATCCTTGGAACCACAATGGTTTATTTTTGTGTTTTTGTTATGTTTTATGATTATATGAAAGCATGTTCGTGCTAAGTTGCCATTTGCATCAAACATTGTTTTAGAAATATTACACTATTATTTTTTTGGATTACTTTTTTACGATTTATATATTTTTGTGGTTAGTATTTTGTTAGATTTTTCCATTTAGAGTTGAATAATTCTACATTTTTCTATGCAAAAGTGGCACATGTACTTGTGGCGCAGAACCAAAACAGCGGTAATTTTCCAGATCCTTATCAGTGGAAACACAGTTCCCAACCAGTGCTGTGGATCCTAGCAAGCACTGCCGACGGGGCTCGCTTCCCGTTTTCCCAGTTCTCTTCCCGATGTTATCACCGCTTCATGATCAGAGGAAATAAAACTCAACATCGCTCAGATTGAGTTGGCTACTCACAACTTTTTGCTGGAATATTGACGATGCTGTCTTTTCCAGTCTGCAATGGTTTTCAATTTGCTGTTGCACTCCATTTTGTATAACAATTGGTGCTTTTCATCATGTGTTTTGCTTTTCCTGGGGTTTTCTTTGTTTCCTGTCCAAACTTCTCTGTCTTCACTCTGGCTTTTCTTCAGTTTCAGTTTGCGAATTAGTTAATTACTTTGAATTCTTCAAATATGTTGCCGGATAGTTCTAATGCTTTTATTGGAGGGGTTTTCTATGGAGCTGCTGAAACTTTGGTGGGGCATCCTTTTGATACCATCAAAGTTCGTATGCAAACCTCCGAAAAGAGATTTAAAGGTCCCTTGGATGCTGCAATGGTTACCTATAAAAACGAAAAATTAAATGGGTTTTATAAAGGCTGTACTCCTTCTATGTTAAGCTGGATAATCATGGACTCGATAACCTTGGGCTCTCTACATCAATATAGATATTTTTTGAAACAAAATTTTTATAATGATTATAAAACTTTGCCTTTATTCGGTCATTGTATTGCTGGTGCAATGTCAGGTTGGACTGTTTCGATAATCTCTGCTCCTTTAGAACAAATTAAGTCAAGATTACAAATTCAATATGATTCTCACTCAAAAAAATTCACTGGGCCAATTGATTGCGCTACTACCATATACAAATTGAAGGGTTTAAAAGGTTTATATTCCGGTTTACCTTCAACTCTTTTATTCAGATCAGCTTCTGCAGCTTGGTGGGGATCTTATGAATCTTTCAAAAATTATTTCAATAACAATACAAATTTATCTACAATTTCAATAAATTTTTGGGCCGGTGGTTTAAGCTCAATTGTTTTTTGGTCTGTTGGTTATCCTGCTGACGTTATTAGACAGATTATAATGACTGATAATATTCAAAATCCGGTTTTCAAAAATAACATTCTAAATGTTGTCAAATATGTTTATAAAAATAGAGGGATAATGGGCTTCTTTAAAGGTTTTGGCCCTTCAATTTTAAGATCTTTTCCTGCAAATGCAGCCGGTATAACAGCATTTGAATTTGTAATGAAATATTTATAACACGATTAATCTCATGATATCATTAATACTATAGACTCTGTTGCCGTTTTTTTTTTGTTATAATAATCATCAACTCCTTTTTTTTATCTTCAATATTCACGTTTATTATATTTATTGTATTTATTATACTATGTATCTGTATCAGTATTTGTTCTTTTTATTAAAATTGATTTCACTTTATTTTTCTTTATATTCTTGTTGCTTTTATCGTCTTTATTTGAATCTCCCACATTGTCTTGTTTATTTGTTCCAGGTGTAGTATCTTTTTCAATTGATGACTTTTTAGGAACTTCTTTAAAATCATTAAAGATATTCTCATAATATCTTAACTCACTTCGAGCTAAACTTTTTTTCATTACACTAAAATTATACAAATTATTTATATTAGTAATATTTTTAATCAAAATTTTGTTTAAAAACTTGATAGATAACTCATTTGGAATCTTGTTTAATATCATTATTAAATCAAGATAATAACTATAATTAAATAAAAAAACCTCAATTAATTGCATTAAATTTTCTTTGTTATTTTTGTTTTTTTCATTACTACTCTCATATTTCTTTAAATAATTATCAAATATTATTTCAAAAAGGTGTTCCTGAACTTTAGAATCAACTTTAAGATTTTCATTTGGATATAAAATCTCTTTCCCATTCAATTCAAAATCTTCAGAATGATTAATATCCAAAACAATCCCACATGTATTTGCAAATAATTCAACAGTTGTAAAATCATTCAAATCACATAATTTTTTAATAACTCCATCAAAATCTCTCAATTTTAGTTCAATAACTGCCAATATATATAAACAAAATTCTTCAAAAGGCTTTAATATCTTATATATTGCAATTAGAATATTTAATCCATCATCAGAACCTGGCCCAAATGTGCCATTAAAAATTTCGTTTCTATATTTTTTCAAAATTTCCTCATCATAATCTTTTGAAAAATTATTATAAATTGAGTCAATAATTTTAAAATAATAATCAATAAACTTCAAGATAATACCAAAATTATTTCCATCATCATCACTCCCATTATTCCTTAAAAGCAACCCGTATTGTTGTTTTTGCATCATTTTATTCTCAAAAGATAAAAACTTGCAAAATGTTATTTTTGGAAATTGATCATATTTTTCTTTATATCTCCTGATAATGTTAGAAACAACAAATCGAATTCGGTATTTTTCAGGTCTTGCTTTTATAGTACCCTTAATCTTGTTCATGTCCTTATTATTTGAATTTTCTTCGGTTTTAGCTTCTTTATTAGCCACTGCACTAGTTGATTTTCTCCTGATTCCTCTTGACCATAAATTCAGTTTGGGCGAATTTGGTATAAGACTTGCAGGTGCTGTTTTTAATTGTTTAACATTCAGAGAATCAGAATTTAATTCAGAAGCAGAATTTGGGTTTGTTTCAAGTTCTTGTTCTTTCTCCAAAAAAAATCTAATATAATTAACATATTCCATCAACAAATCATTTTTTATATCATCGGTCAAATTAGCTTTTGTTGAAATTAAAAATTCAAGATAAAGAATTTTAGCATTATAACAATTCAAATTTTCATAGTTTATAATATTGGAAACTCCAGAATGGGTCCTATTAACCTCTTGAAAAACATTATCGGTTTTCTCTTTTTCATCAAAATGTTCCAATATTTTAATCACTTTGTCTTTATCAAACTTTGAAGATAGTTCTCTTGATAGTATTATATCCATTATCAAAGTCTTATATTTTTTAAATCGGTTTTTATTATTTATAATTTTTTGCATTAGATAATACATTATTTTGATATCAAAATCTTTATTAAAAGAAAACAGTTTTAATAATTTTTCAAGTTTTTCTTTTAACATTTTTTCTTGTAAATAAAAACTTTCTTTGCATTCGATAATAGAATCAAAAACCAAATCCCAATAATATTCTGTTTGAATTTGACCTTTATTCTCAAGAAGTTCAAGTAAAAAATCTATTTTATTACTTTCTTTCAAAATCTCCTGAGCTATTTTCAGTGAACAAATAAGATTCTTGTTTAAAAATGTTTTTAGATCCAGGTCTGACTTTTTGGAATCATCATTCATGTCCTTAAGAAAGTGCAATAATAATCCTATTTCAATATATTTTGTAATATCCTCAAACGCAATACTTAAGTTCGTCAATATTGGAAAAACAGAATAAAAGCTATCATCCTTTTTATCGGCAGTAAAGACCATTTTGAGCTCATTTCTCTTATCTAGCCAATCTTGTAGTATAATTTTGTAAAAATTCTGAAATTTCTGCAAAAAATCCCGATGATTATTTTTAAAGCTATTTTTCTGATATTTTGTTATTATACACTCTACTATTTCAGAAATAGAATTAAAATAAAAAATCTTATCCAAATCAAGATACTTTTTGTAACAAGAAAAATCAAAAAAGCCGGAGTTATTACCGGATTTTATTCTAGAATCTTTAGATATTTTGGAATTAAAATTCTTTTTATCTAGGTTATTAATTCTCAAAAGAAAATATATCAAGAACCTTGGGTCTAATGAATTATTGAGTTTGCTGAAAATCAAAAGAGCCTTTTTGTTAGAATCAGATAACTTGATATTATCTTTAATTGATTTTATAGAAAAAATGAGACGATCCAAAGAAAGATGATTTTCGGTCCAAAATTCAAATGCTTTATCGACAAAAGAAGGATTATGAGAAAAAATTATGTTAAGCAAATATAAACTGCATATCAAAGTTTTCGTAATCTCAAAATGCAATAATTTTATCCTAAGATCTGCATTGTCTAAGTTTTCAGCTAAAATCATATCTTTTGACATATCTTTTGTCAAAGGGTTAGTCGAAGGACTATTTGGTGGAGAATAACTATTATCTAATGTAGAATCAATTTGATTTTTAACAATAGAGCGAAAAGAAAATTCATTGTTGTTTAAAGTTCCATGCTTTAAGAGCATATTTATGAGATCTACTTGTTTTTCATTTTTAATGTAATCAGAAATCAACAACTTTAAATCCGTTATGATTGAATGAAATTCCTCTTCTAAGTTAAAAATTAGTTCAGATATTTTATTTGCTTTGATAGTATCAGTAGTAATGTCTTTATTGACGGTGATCAACATTTCATTTAATAGTTGAAAAATTCTTATTAAAAAGGGTTTTCTGTATAGTACGTTCACACCTATTCTTGATCCATAAACAATTATATTGGACAAATTAGACAGAATTATCCTACTAGAAAGATCTTTTGCAATGAAAAAACAATCGTGATGTTCAAAATGATCATTTTTGTTTTTAGCTAATTTATCCAAATCCTTTAATATGAGTTTTTGAGTAGTAATTGGTACTTTTAAAATAATGGATAAAAGTTTTAGAAAGAAACTTTTTTCATTTTTTGAATTTGAATTAGTCAAACCAGAAGAAATATTAATTGGAAAGGTTTTAAAAGATTTTGAAATCAATATTTTAGAATCCAGAAAACTAATTGTTTGCAATAGTGTTTGATCATAAAGGGAATTTATCAAAATTTCATAATTCGAAGTAGTATCAGGTTTAGTGGACTGAAACGCAGCTATGCAAAACGGAAAATCAACTTCTATATTTGAAGGATACGATGACCAAGCTAATGTTCCTCGACAAATGTCACCATTAAGATTAATAGATAAACCCATTGAGGGTTCTGAAATATTGGAGCCACTTGAGCAACTGACCAAAAATTCGTTTTCATTAATGTTTTTGATGATTGGTAGTATTTCAGAATTGAATGAATTATCGACATTAGAGGCAGAAAGTGGAAACAAGGGAATTTTTTGGAAATTATTTAAATCAATTAAATCATAGTTTGTTTCTGTCGAGACCAAAGTATAGGACAGTTTTCTCAAACCTTTTAAAACATTTGGATAATTAACATCTTTTAGTAGTTTTATTGAGGTTGCTGATATCAAAACAATTCTAATTAATTTTTTTGTAAATAATACAACCGGCACAAAATTATCATGATTGTCATTAAAAGTTTTAATTATTTGCTGTGAAATTAAAGGGTCGTTTGATAATTTGTTGAGGCTGTTGAAATCCAAGGTAAAGTCGTTAATATCTTTCAATCGCCCGATATTTGCAGGAGATAATTCAGGTAACATAAATAGACTTATAATTGAGCCTGATTGAACAACAATTTTCTTGATAGAAGGCAAAATTAACATTTTTAAGATTGGTTTGGGTTCCTTAGGTTTTGATTTTTTATTTTTCTTGGAGGCTTTTTCAGTTGAATCTGAGAATTTCGTTCTTGAAATCAATATATATCCTGTAGTTTCATCAATATAATAATAATGTAGTATTTCTCCTTTAGATGTTCCAATATATATATTGGATAGATATGATTCTATAGAAGTTGGGTAAGATGGTTCTGGGAAGAAAGATTTGTTGGGAAGATCATCAGAGACTGGATCTGAGGAAGGCAATTCATTTTCATCATCAACTTTAATGGTTTCAATGATGTTTTTAAGAATATAGGGACCACTGGATATAGAGATCTTGATATCGTTCTTTGCCTTTGCATTTTCGTTTATAGGAGCAGATTCATTTTTAGAGTGCTCATGAGAAGTATTGTGTATCAGCAGTTTGTCATTGGTGCCTTTGTCAATTTTATTATCCTTCATGTCGTTATCTTTGTTGTTATTGTTGCTGGCAGAAACAGCACCATCTTTTAAGTCGTCTTTTAAGTCACCTTTTAAATCTTCTTTTGAATTTTGTTTTGAATTATCTATCAATTCATCCTTTGAATCATCTTTTGAATCATCTTTTGAAATCTGTGCCCCTGATACTGTGTTGTCTTTGTCTGACAGTGTTGATGGAATATCATCCTTTAGTGAATTAATTTCTTCTGGCATTATTACTTGATTGAACTAAACAATACACATGCCCATTATTGTCATGGATAATTGTAATACAAATCAATTGTTAGTTATTTGATATGTCAATTAAAAGTTAGTTGAAAGTTAATTCAGAGAGTTTGGATTACACGTACATTTTCATTTTTCTGATGCGTGAAAAGCTACACTTTAAATATCTCCGAAAGAGTTAGCCCAAAGTTTTGTTTATTTAAAAGCTTTTTCAAGTTGATAAGTAATTTACAACAAAAACTGCAAAACTTAGAAGGATGGACTTTTTGGTTGTACAATTATAGTATGGCTTTTAAAATCAGCAATAAAAGTGCGATAAATGGAGTTTTAATTGACTTTTTTATTTTTATTTTTTTTGATGAAAATGGTTTTCAAATTTTAAAGGTCAACTGTTTTGAGAGAAATTATAGAAACACAGGATGGTGTTTATAAATTCTAACTTGTTAGTTATCTTTCTTGTGGTGCCATTTTATTTTGAAGAATTGAGATTGTTTATTTGAAGAAAATACAAAACAATAAGCTACATTAGTTTTAGTTCTAGATCTAGATGTTTATTTTTTTTTTGAAGGTGAAAAAGAATTTGAAGATAATTAGATAAGCTAATAAGAGGAAATAGAAAACGAAAAATATTATTATTATTATTATTAATATGAGATCATATTTATATAAAAGAAAGCATACTCATTAATCATTAAAACTGGGATCAAGCTTTTCCTCCAGGTAAAAAAATAGGTTTGATAGTAATATAAGAGTTTTGAGGAGTTGCAATACCAGCATAAGCGTTGTACCAGGCCATGAAGGAGACGATGACACCTAAAACACCACCAGCTCTGGTCCAGCCAAGTACACGAGTGTAATCACCAATTGTTAATAAAAGGAAAGTGACAGTTAAGAGAGCAAACATTGAGAAAAATGCTACGGTTGATTTCATAGTACAAAGAGTAAGCATTCCACTGAAAATGGTCCAGCCTAGGAGGAAAAATGCAATTGCGTTGTTTTTTTCAACTGGATCAGTATATGAAGAAGCAATACCAAAACCTGGAGTTTGAATAGCAGCCCATGCCATCCAAAAACCACCATAGGAGGATAAAGCAGTTCCACCAAAAGTGTTTTCAATAGCAATTTCCCACATACCAGCACACAATTGAATAAAACCTCCATAAAAGAAAGCTAGACCAACGACAATTTTGGGGTTTGAAATACCCATGGCTCTTGCATTGATCATTGATAAAACAAAAGTTGTTAATGCAAAAGCAGACAAACCAAGAGGGCCTGGATTGGCAAATTTATGAACTGGAGGTGCAGTGACTCCTGTATATAAAGAACCACCAAAGGCACTTAATAATTCGTCTTTTCTGACCTTGGTAGAACCTATATGGATGTATTCATTGTTTTCTCCAGAATAAGTGATAGGATCATGTTCATCATCACCATAATTTGAGACTTCTTTGTTGCTCATTGCTTATTGAACGATATAAAAGAAAGATATTACTGGTTTCAACTTGTTGAATGAATTGGATTTTTGAAATAAAACAGATTGAGTATTTAAGATTTGAATAGTGAAAACTGAGTAAGTAAGAGAGTTCTTTACAAAATTTATGACTGGAAATAAAATTAGCTATTTATACAATTTTGTTTTGTTGTAAAATGGCCATTGTAGTATTCTCAGTGGTTGTTTGGTTAAAAGAAACAAAGAAAACTATAGTTGAGCAGAATTGAGGGTATAGTTGGTGTTGTTTTGCATTTTCTTAGTGGAGAAAGAAACGTCTTTCTTGCAATAGGATTGTAACAAACTGGGAAAGAATAATGTCAGTTTGGCTGCTCAAAGTGGCAGCAGCTACTTGCACAGCATTCCCTCAGGGTCTCTCAGAAGCATCAAAGGAAAAGCAGTGCTTGATCAAACAATTAAGGAATATATCTTCTCGTCCCCTTCTGGAAATAGCACACATCTAAAACACAGAGGAGTATTGCTGAGGGGTCCCAGAGCAGATCTTTCTGCTGTCCCATTGTGCTGGAAACTGAAACAGAATGCTAGTTCCAGAGGGAACACAACAACAAACCAAGACGTAACCCGACCTGGCATGCTTGAGCTGTCCTGTTTCTGCAAACCAAGACAGCTGACTTTTTCGGTTGATGCAAGGACAAGATTTTATTCTTCCTTAAAAAACCTTGTTTCGCGCAGCTTTTTGCAGAGCTCTGGCCAATCAGAGCCCGTTTGGAAGGAACTTTACGTAAATGCTTTTAGAGACTGAGTGTGGGAAGAGAGTTTTGTTGGAATAACGGATTCTTTTTCTCAGTATACAATTATCTAGCGTTCTCGGGTCTGTTCCCCAGTTTTTGTTGCTAATCTTCCAAACCCAGTTTAGTCTCTTGTCTCTTTGTCCTGAAAGAAAGGGAACTGCTACGAAAGATACCGAAGGTTCCTTCTCAAAACGACACCTCCCCCTCCGAAGCTGGCTGTAGAATTGGCTCTTATTTTTGCCAAATTTCCGCTGCAAAACATGTAAAAAGTAAACAATAAAAGTTAATTAATATTCAAATAAAAAATGTGTACACACAAAAACAAAAATCAACGGTGCACACCACAGTCAATAAGAAAAAAAACTTGCCAGCAGATAATCTCTAGCTCAAACCCCCATTATTCTGAAGGTTGTTCAAACTAGTAAATTTGCTCTACATCAGTTTTTTTGCTTCTTAAATAATGCTCGGTTTTATTGATAATTTCCAATTTTTCCCGTATAACTTGATCATATTTCTCATTTGAAAATCTGTAGTACGCCAAATCTCTTCCTCTTTGTCTCATTTTTTCCTTTTCTGCTTCATTTGTATTAAATGCTTCCAACATAACCGCACTCAATTTATTAAATTTTGGTGCTGTGCTCTTTTTTTTCTCTTTGGCATTCGAATCAATATGAAAATCAGGATCTAGCTCGGATTTGAAAAAAAACCCAGTTCTCATAAAGGGCTTATCCACTCCTTTCTCGTGGGTGAATCTATTCCACGGTATACAGATATCTAAATAAGGTCCAGCTGAGGCATGGACAATTGGAATCAATCCATTTGCCAAGTATTCAACGACTGCTATACCAAAATGTTCATTCCACATTGCGTTGATTCCGAATGATGACTTGTTTAAATATTCCAACACTTCAGAGTATGAGATATCCAATAGAAATTTGACAAGCCTATTGATTTTTAGTTCTTGAGATAACTCGATTAGATTATCAACAAATTTTCTATCATCCTCGTTCCTAATTGACCCAATTAACACCAATTTGGGAGTTTCCTTGTCATTGACATCTAAACTTGCAATTTCGTTTTCATCATATTTTAGTTTTAAAAACACGGAAAATTCTCGAATTGTTAAATCATGTCTTTTTTCTGGACGAAATTGGGCAATTGATAAGAAAATATTATCCCTTGTTGTTGATGGTGATGATGATGACAGTTTTGGCTCAAAATCAACCAACTCATACTCTTCTGATTCATTTGAACTGGAATTATTTGACAAATATTGAGTCTGATTGTCATTAAATCGTTTATCAATTTCCTTAGGGGAAGTAAAATCGCCACACGGAGGATAAACGATATCAATTCGATACGGATTCTTCAGATTACCATGCCCTGTTTTATCACTATTATCATTTAACCACCAAATACTTTTGATATGATTATATGTCCATGTTGAGTTTGTTAATGGAACCGATATAAAAGTTCCACAAAATGTATATAAAATCATAAACACATTCCAATAAATGTATTTCAAAATTATTTTGGGATTGGTTTTATGTTCACTAATATTCAATTTGTTTAGCATATCATTTGAAATAATAGGATAATGAGTATACGAAAGAATTGGAATTTTCAAAATTAAAGAAACAAAAAAATAAGTAAAAGGGAACCCCATGGTGTCAATGAAAATATCACAGGGCAAGGCATTAATTGCTTCCAATACCAAACGAATAGAACCATAAGCTTGACCCAACAAAGTCAAGTGTTTCCAGTAGTCAGTATCAACAAGATACCTTTTAGTTAAATAAATAAATACAATTCTTCTGTTCTCTAACTTCACATTGAATCTTTTTGAAACATTGGATAGTATTTCGGAAGGAGGACTGTCATCCCCAGTATAGACAACAACAAGGTTTTTGGGATCTTCGTTTAAAACCACTTTAACTGTTTCCCATAAAACTCGTTCACCACCACCACCTGCATTGCAATATGGATGAAAGAACCCGTATACCAATTTCCTTGAAAAATCTTCCAAAACCCTTGGTAGAATACCATTGATAAATGCATCACGATTTTCGGGATCTTTGTCTAATGGAGAAAATGATATGGTATCATAATTGTCTTTATTCGTTGAATAGAACGATGGGTCAAATGAACCAGTTATGATTCTCTTTCGAAGAGCACCTAGCTTATAACCTAGCTTTTTTTTGGTGAAACCAAGATTTTTCTCTGAGCTAATTGCTTTGAGTACCTTGTCTTTAAAATAGAAAGATGGAACGATGATGAGTTTGGAGCAGAATTTTGTTAGAAACTGATAGAAAACAAATACAACAGCAAACACCACAATTAGAAAGTAGTAGAACTGTAGAGCAGTAGTCTGGAACCCCATCATAGTCAAATGCAACGATCAATGCCCGTCACTTAATAAATAAAGACAAGCCAATAGGTATCAAAGAATGAAGAAAACAAGACCAGTCGAGAGATTGTGGGCTAATAAATACAGATATATAAATAGAGATAAACAGAGCTATCGAAGGCTGCCTTTTCTCAGCGTCGGCGATTTGCTGCCACCGGAAAGAAAACCGAAAAAGCAACGGCAGTCCGAAGTGTGCTGTCAAGTTTAAACTCTATCAGAAGGCGAGAAAGAATTAATAATCAACTTCAATGTATAAGCCTATAAAAACTATGGAAACGTACAGAAAAAGAACAGCAGAACCAACAACGCTGTCCCTAGTAGAAGCTGCAATTGTCTTGCAATGCTTTGATGGTGCTTTCAAGCTTGATTTGGACAGATGGCTTGATTTCGCTGCTCGATTTCACTTTAGCAAGTATTGCGCTGAGCTTGCTGAAGTTGATTATTGACCTGTTCAATTTTTTGAATTCCAGCTTGACTGACGATAAATTGCAAAGACATCTTAGCGACATGATTAGAATTCCAACATTGATACCTGTTATATTGGTCTGGGCTTTGTCTGAATTTATTATATTCAACCCATCATTAATATGTTTTTCGTATTTAGTTTCAAAAGGAATGTATTTGATGATAATTCTTAATAAATCAAAACCAACCAATTTATGATTAACGGGCCAATTTTCAACTATTTTCAAGGAAGTTTCAAGCAAATCAAAGGCCTTTTTTGAATCATTTCGAAATAATGAATTTGATAGATTTGAGCTAATGTCTGTCAATTCTTTTTTAGAAAGCTTTACTTGAATGTTTTCAATAGAATTGTTGCCTTTCTCAATACCTTCCATAATCAAGGAAGATTTGAAGGATTCAAAAGTTTGAAAATCAACAGGTTTGGTTTGTCGATCATCAGCATATGGATTATAAAAACTTGAAGAGTTTTGAGATTGAGTTGCAGATGAAGATTCCATGTTGACCTGCTCAGTGTTTTTCAAAATGAAATTAACAACTTCATCCAAATAGCTTCTGGGTAGGTCATTATCAGCAAGAAATTTCTCTGCAGCCAGATAAGGGCTCTCGGATAGGTTATAGCATAGCTTCAAAGGAGGCTCGTTTTCCTTTATATCCACATCAAAAACATAATCATACTTTTTGCCCTTGTACTCCTTTTTTGAGCTTGTACCTTGAGAGCCGCCTACTACTACACCAATTTTGACCCATTTGTTTTCTTCTGAGGACCAATTGTAAGCCAATACAGATGAACTATCTTTAACCATTACAACCTGACCATCATGCTTACCGGCTGTAGCCAAAATGGTTGAATCGTGAATTTGTGATTTGTCCAAAGTTTGAGAATTTATAGCAGAATGTTCAACATCATTTAAAAATTCTTGGTGTTTAACAGAATTTTGTCTTGATGGATCTGCTGAGAAAATGTAAATGTAACCGTCGGAACCAGCAACAACTATATCATCAGTGTTTGGTAAAACAGAACAAGACCAGATTGATACACAAGGAAAAGTTATAGTCTGAAGACAAGAAAAAGTGTGAATGTTCCATATCTTAATTGAACGGTCTTCACTCGTTGATATAAATTTATCATCTGATAATCTTTTTATAGTGTAAATAAAAGAATTGTGAGCGTTTTCAATTGAATTGATCAAAACTCTTTCTGAAAAGTTCCAAAATTTAATCGAAGAGTCATTTGAACATGTTATCAATAGATTTAAATCTTTTAATACCAACAAATTTCTTATGACATCTTTATGAGCATTCTCAATTGATTTGACTAGTCTATTCTTGAACCAAAACTTGATAGATTTGTCAGCAGAACAAGTCACATAGTTGTCTTTGTCAATGAATTTGCAATCCCAGACAGATTGAGAATGACCAAGTAACTTATACTTGACTTGAAAGTCTTCCCAAACAATTGCAGAACTATCCCAGGAAGAAGAAATTATCAAACTGTTCTCATCTTCAATGGAGTGCAGGGAATAAGAATTTAAAGCACAAACATTCGACTGATGGCCGATCAAACAATACTTTGGCTTATGGTATATTTTCTCATCTTGGTTTGAGCCCAAGGGGGTGAAACTAACTAGTTTGTCTTGACCACCGGAAGCAATCAAATAGCTGCTTTGGTATTTCGTCAAGGTGACGCTGTTCAAAAACGCACTGGAAACAAAGTTGATTGATGAGGTCCAAATCTGGTTTTTCACATCCACTAGCCGAGTTATCTTAACAGAAGCGTCTCTGGAAACAGAGACAATGGTGTCATCAAAGGGCGACACCACATCCTTCACGTCTTGGTCGTGCACCTTCAAAGAAGCTACCAATTTGAACATGTTTCCAGCTCTCAATTGCGCAAACCAATGGTGATACAGCTTATCCTCCCCCAGAAACAACGAAGACACTATTTGGGCATTATATTCAACTTTCCCAATGCGGACGGATCACGTGATATGCATGTGATACCGGGTGGCAAACATCCGCATCTGATCCAGACTCATCCGCACCAACAGACACCGGATCCGGAGTGCCGGAGCGTGTTCCGCAGCGGGCACGGATTGGTCCGTGAAAATTTGATACAAATCAGAGAAAAAGGTGACTTCAACAGGAACCTTCAGCATTTAAGCAGTTATTTGGCAGTTATTCGGCAGTCGTTAAAGAATAGTTGTTAAGTAGTTGTTGGTCAGTAGTAGCAACTAGTTGTTGGTCTTTTATTAGCAGCATAAGCAACACATCAATTAGCCAACAATACGCCTGAATCCACTTTTCACTTTTGGTTTCCTTTTTATCGCAATAGTGTGCTTTTCTATTGTTAGAGCACTCTTCAATCAACCAAACCAGTATTACAGCAATTTTGGTCATATCGTGTTCAACACAAGTTGCCTGGGCTTTTATAAAACTGTTCTATACTGTTTGCATTTCTGTTTTTGTTCTCAGCTTCTCAATTTTATCTGGAGTGCTACAGCTATTAATTTCATTTCACCATAAATTTGAACTTCTGGTTAATCATTCTCATTTTTTAATTTTGTAATCAATGTCTCAATATATTGGAAAAACCATCTCTTTAATCTCAAACAAAGGTGTTCGGTATGTTGACAATCAGTTCTATTATATATCTTTTAGATATTACTTACGCAATTCAATTGATAATTTACTAACTCTTTGGCCAATTTATTTACTTTCATTTTAGTTATGTTGGTATTTTGCACAATATTAATGGTGAAGATGCTACTGTTGCATTGAAATCCGTCAGAGCTTTAGGAACTGAAGGTAGAACTGGCGATCCATCTTCTGAAATCCCACCTACTCCTGATCCTTATGACTATGTTGTCTTTAGAGGTGCTGATGTCAAGGACCTATCTGTTCTTGATGTTCCTCCAGAGCAGGTTTTGCCTCAAACTCCTCAATTTCAACCTCCACCTCAACAAATTCCACCTCCACCACAATACTATGCACCTCCAATGCCAATGCCTCCTCAGCAACAAACTCAACAACTTCCTGTTCAACCTCCTGTTCAACAACCACAACAACCACAACAATATCCAATTTCTCCACAACATTTGTCTCAACAAACTCCCGATGTTTCAAACATTCCTAAAGAACCTCCTATTGCTCGTCCTCCATCCGCTTTATCATCAAATTCCTCCTCTTTATTATCACCTTCTCCACCACCACCACCTCCTGTAGCCATCAATCAACAAAAGCAAGCACAAAAACAAAGCCAACAACAACAACAACAACAACAACAACAAAGATCTCGATCTAATTCCTCTTTATCTCTTCCTTCTGATAAACCAGCTTTTTCTTCTGTTCAACAAAATGATGTATCTGGCTATCCAATCGGTTATTCAATTGGCTATCAAAATGAATATCAAAATATTCCATCTAAGGATGCTAATCAAAATCAACTCCAATCTAAAGCTCCATCTCATCAACTTTTAGACGATAATTTAAACAGCTTTCAAGCTCAAGCTCCATTACCACCTCAAAATGAACAAACTCAAACCAAACCACAACCTGAAGGACAAAAAGAAACAGAAACAGAAACAGAAATTCAAAACCAAAATCAACTTCAGCAACAACAATCTCAATCTCAATCTGACCTGTATCAAAGATCTTCTCATTATAATCAATATTATCAACAAAAACCTTACCGTAAATATCAAAATTCTTCTCAAAATCAATCTTCAAATCGTCGTTACAATAGCGGTCCCTCAAATAATAACTCTCAACATCAACAATTTGAAATTCCAAAACAAGATTTTGATTTCAATGCTAATAATGAAAAATTTGCCAAACAAGATAAGGAAATAGAAAACAAATCTCCTGAAACATTCTATAATAAGCAATCTTCATTTTTTGATACTATTTCTTCGTCAGCTGCTTCTGATGAAACACAAAATTTTAACGTTCAAAAAAATGGACGTCCAAATGGCAATAATACCAATCCTTCTAATAATAGAAATTTTGGCTCAAATAGAAATAACGCTCTAAGATATAATGATTTAGAAACTTTCGGTGAAACAAAAAAAAATGGTTATAATAGTGGAAGAGGCGGATACAGAGGCTCTTATAGAGGAAGAGGTAACAGAGGCAGAGGTGGCTACTACAATAATAGAGGTGGAAATAGAAGATATAATAATACTGGATTCAGAAAATTTCCTGAAAATAAAGAAGATACTGAAACCCCTCAATGGTAATTTTATTTATATTGGATAATTTATAAAATTTGTGCTTTGTTTCCAATTTATTTTTTGTTTTGTTTTGTTTTCCCGTCATATTTTTGTTGAAGATAAATTTTATTGTTGGTTTTTCTAGTTTGATTTTTCCTCATTTTATTTATCAAACATGCTTCTAAGTCTGACTTTCCTTTTTTGCAAAAAGCTTAAATTTACTAAAAATTTTTTATGATCAATTTTTTTTGTTATATAATAATTATTAACCATTTAATTACTATCTTTATTCTATAGGTTTTTTATTATTTGACTTGATGTTTTTTTTTTAATTCTAAGAAAAAAAAAATAAAATATAGTGTACATAAACAACCGATTTTAAATGCTATGATTATGATTCATTCATTATTCTATTTAATTATTGAAATAAAAAATCGGAATTAGAAGAAGAAATATTAATTCCTATATTATTTAGATTGGTGTTTGAGTTCGAATTGGCTGATTGACCAATCAAGCTGGTAAAGAGGTTCTTTACAGAAATGCCCCATTTTTTGCCATGATTTGTAATGGCTACTAACCAGGGCTTGACTGATAGCAACAACATGGCCATAGCAAAACCCTGAACAAGAGGCATCAACATCTGATCTTTAACAATGGCATATAATATAATGGATGGAGTTATGACTGGAATTGGCTCGATATTGTCTGCAGCTTGCAAGGAGAGATTTTGCTTTTGGATCTTTGCCTTTTTTGCAGCTTCGGCAGCAGCGTATTTATTCAAAGCATTTCTAAAGCTGTGTTCGAATCTCAAGTCAGGAATAGGAAAGGCCAATGGTTTTGACATTGTTGAAGTTGTTTGGGTGAGTTGGTGAAGCAGAAGAAGCTATTCGTTTCTTTGTAAGTGGTGGATGTGTAACATGAGACCTCTTTTACGTGGGGTCCGGGGAAGAGCAGCAATAAAAACATGGGGTCTGGGGTCTGGGGTCTGAGATCTGAGATCTGAAGAGGTCAAAACAAACCGCAGCGCCGGTTTTGCGGCGGAAATCCAGTTGGTTGGCGAAGGTTTCGATGATAATCTCAGTGCAGATTCTGTATAAATAACCCCAGATCGTAGCGAGATTGTGTTGAGTTCTTATTTTTTTTATATTTCTTCTTTTTGATCAAGACAGTTTATTGTTTATTACTTCTCCCGGGATTATCAAGTTTAGTTGTGCAAAGTTTCTTAACAAAATGACCACCAAAAGCCTTATTGTATGTTGTTAAATTCAGCTCGAAATCTCCAGTGGCAAGAATTATTTATCGGTATTACAAATTGATATTGTACTCAATTTACATTGACACAGTCACTAACATTACTTGGATTTGATTATAGGTTACCTTGAAAGAAGATGTGTCAGATGCTGACTACAAAAAGTTCAAAGATGACTTGATCAAACTTGGTGCTGAGATCACCCAAGAATATAATTTATTTAAGGGATTTAGCGTAACTTTACCTGAGGTTCATAGCGAGACCTTAACCTCCAGTGAACATGTTGCTACTGTTGAACCTGATGCTGAAGTTAAAATTCTCCCAATCGAGACTAAAACAGCTGCTACCTCCAAGATTCTTGACCCAAGGACAGTTGGTAAATAAGTGTGCTCAAACGGTATTGGACCGAGGAACGGATTGATTAGATTTACCAAATTTTTATTAATTTAATATTTATTTTTTTTATCAGGTACTTTATTTTATTTTATTTTACTCTATTTTATTCTATTTTATTCTATATTATTTACAAAAATGGTGATACAATGATACAATACAATGGTTAAATAGACTGAATTTTTATATGATTGCATTTCTTATTTCTTAACGATTAACCAGTTGAACGTACATATTTATTCAAGTTTTTATTTGACGATAATAAAAGTCCTGTTCTACAAGAAAAGAGAGAGAATTGCTTGTTGCAAGACTGTTATATTATGGTATTGACTGTGGTGGTAACAAAGATAAGATAACAACAATAAGGTTATCGATTGCGAATAAACGTAACGCAAGATTTACAGAGAAAGATTGATCGTGTCATGTGAATCGTTTTTCACTTTATTTTATTTGCAGCAACTATACATAATCAAAAACAAAGTGCTATTAGTGAATAAGAAAAAAACAATTGAAAATACATAAACAATCAACGAAGTGACAGAAAAAAAAAAAATAGTAGAGAACTAACAAGAAAAACAAATTGGAGTTTAAAAAGATTGACTGAAGAGAATATTGACATTAAAATCACTAAATAATTTATTTAAGACTTGCTTTTGTTTTTTTTTTGTTTTTTTTGTTTTATTTTTGTATTGTTTTTGTATTATAACTTTTAGTTTATAATAAATGCAAAATGAATTAAAGAAGTAAATAAAAGAAATGAAAAAGAAAAGCAGACTGATATTTAATCCTATGATATCCTGTGATTGAGAATTTTCAGATTATTTTTGATTTTTAATTATTAATTTTTGATTTGATTTTTCATTAATCATTGGATTTATTTTTCAAAAACAGTTTGCTGGGATCCAATGTATGGAACTTTATCTAAAACACCTTGCATAAGTTCATAAACAGTGAAAGTAACAGCTTGGCCTGGAGCGACTCTCATAATTCTTGGAGTAATACCTTTATATAAAGCATTGAAGCCTTCTTCAGCGATTAATACTCTAGCGATTCTAGTCATTCTTGCTAAACCAGATTCAGTTGACTTACCGGTTTCTCTTTGCATTCTTGTTTTGATGGTATCTAAAGGAGCGTTAGACAATGGACCTAAGGCACCGGAGATTAAACCGATACCAGATGTTTGCCATGATGGTAAGACTTGGGTGTTTTGTTCCTTTTGCAAGTATTCTTTTAATTTGGAGTAGACAGTGAAGTTAACACCTTGGTTAGAGGCTTGTCTGGCAGCGGTTAAAGTAACACCTCTGAATAGAGCAGAAAAACCTTCTTCTTTTATAATGACGTAACCACAATGCACAGCGTTTTTATACTTAGGAGCAGCTTCTGAGTTCTTTTGAGCCTGTAATCTGATTTTGACTAAATCCATAGGAGTGACAACTAAAACGGCCTCAGTGGTACCAGCACCGACACCGGCAATAAAGGTGGAACCAGTGGATATAGAACCATTGTCATCTCTTAACAAATTTCTGTAAAATTCATAAGAGGTGAATCTGATGGCCATTTTAGGAACAATACCTATACAGACAGCACCTAAACCTTTGTATAAAGCGAGGAAACCTTCATCTTTGACGATATTGATACCAGTTCTAACAAAACCAGCGGGTTTAGCACCAGTTTTTCTCTGCAATTGCATACGAACTTTGATAGTGTCCAACCAATGACAACATAATGCTTCAAATAAACCGGCGGTACCACCAGCAATTAAGTCGACAGCTGGGTTTTTCTTTTTGTTGTTGGAAGATGGAGGCATTTTGAGATAATTAGATACAAAGGGTAATCACAAGATAAGGGAAATAATATAGGGAGCAAAAGAAGCAAATAATTATAAATACAAGGATAATTTATATCTAATATGTGCTCAAAGTCTATAACAGTCCAAAACCACAAGGAAAAGAAAAGAACAATAAAAGATGGAAACCTGGGGATAATTGTATATTTAAATGAGGAAAAGTGAGATGGATCGCGAAGAAAGAAAACCAGTCAAGGTGGAAAAGCAGCGAAAATAGCTGCTTTCATTGGCTGATCCAAAATGGGATCAAACTGGGAATGAAAAATGGAAAATAGGTAGAAATAGCAGAGATCCTGCGCCGGTGCTCATCCGCGGCCGGGAATTGGCCACAAATTAGAACACCTCCAGGGCCAAACGACGCCGGAGGAATCTGCACGGACGAGGAGCGGCGGAAAACAGGAGCAGCCTTATGTAAGCGGTGCACGCGCTTCTCCAGATTTTTGTGCAGGGCCTGTCTATGTCCTGTCCACGCAGAGGCAGCCGCGGTCCTTCTTTCCGGAGAGCGGCCTGTTTTTAGAGGTCCAGTTCCGCTAACACAGGGCCACAGCACAGAGAGCAACTTAATCGGAACATGTTATGGGGTCGTTTTATTTTTGCTCTAGATGTTTTGACGTGAGGCGTGCAGCCCGCAGTCGGTTCCGCTTTTGCAAGCCGATAAGACATTGGGGCCAACGCCCGCCACGCTGGCGCTCCGGCAGCAGCAGTTTCCTCACAAGCAGCTTTCTCAGCACATCTGGTTCACAATCAGCTCGCACTGCTGGTACTCTTCGAGACTCTGCGGCACGTCGGACTTTTGCATCATCTCCTCGAGCTTCCGGAGCAGCACCTTGTTCAGCTCTTCCGAGAGCCTGTCCAAAAGCCAGAATCCATGCTCAAGATCTCTGTCAACTTCATTCACATTAGCACCATAATAAGCAAATATCATCTCTCTCAAACCGTCAAAATTCCCTGCCTTTATAGTTTCCAACAACTCACGAATCGGGTGGTTGATTTCCCTCAAAGGAATGCTTCCTGGCTCATTGATTTCTCTTTCGATTAACTGATACTCCATATCTGTCAATGGCGACCTTTTCTGAAACTTGAAAAACCTTCTCAACAACTTCAATCCCCTCTGTGCATTAGATATTCTGTTTTTATCGCTCTTTTCTAAGGAATTATCACTGCCATCATCAACCTTTCTGCCCTCCATATTCACTATAACCGGCCCCTTATGGTGTGGTCTTGCATTTTTAACTGTAAATTTATTTTTTCCACTCATCATCTCATCATTTTCCATTCTTCTGAAATTATCTCTAGTTTGGGCTCTCTCATAATGCTCATTGCAGTTCCCATTTAAATTATCTGGTTTTAAATTATCCGGTTTTTCGTTATAATACTCAATTTCCTGTTCATTAATATTATAATTGTAGCTGTCAAAAGCAACATCGTTATTAGAAATCGGATAGGAGTTTGGTGAGATTAATTGCATTGGTTCCACTTTATTTCCATTATACACAAATTTATTATTTCTAATAAGAAGATCACCACCATTTGAATATCTTCTCAAAGGAAATTTCATATTAGCAAATTTCATACCCATATTCATATTCATACTTTAGACAATTGATTCTTTATTTAGCAAATTAGCAAATTACCACTATGATTTTAAAATTAACAAATTATTATTATAAGCTAATGCAAAAATAAAAAAAAAATTAAAAGCTAATTATTAAAATTAAATTCTACTGCATTATAGTATAATATAATTCAATATATCACAGTCTATCAATTGCCGATTAAAATTAATTCAAATATACTAAATCTTGTATATTCATCAGATTGATCCAGAAATGATATCAATTGTTTTCCCATTCATTGGTTCAAACTTTTTTCTAAAATCTTCTGTGCACAAACACAATAATCTATCCAATTTCCAATCACAATATCATTATTCCACAAATTCAATTTCAAATCCATATCAATATTTTTAAATACAATTGCTAATTCAAAAGAAACAACATATCTTAAATCTAACAAAATTCACTTTGATTTTCTTTGATTTTCTTTTATCTTCTTTTATTTTTTTTCATCAGAAATGAACAAGGGAAATTTCAGCAAAGACAATTCCATGTCACATGCCCATTCTAATATCTTATACCATCTTCACCGAAAATCTCCTCTTCATCCAATTAGATGTGATAAAACATTTTTCTTCTCCAATTGACGAATAAACTGCTATCATTGGTTTGCTGATTTCTTTTTTAAATTAAAGATCAGATTCTTTCGAAAGAGTCAATAAAAATTATCATATAAATATGCTAGATAATCCCTCGATTCTTTTTCCTTCAATTTATTCTTTTGTAGTCTTTTTCTCTCTCACCAATCAATTACTTTCTTAAGTGATCAAGTATCTTTTCGATTGTATGTTCAATTATCTTTAGTAATTTCACAACCCCTTTAATTACTAACACTCTCTTTGTCAATCTAGATAAATATACCTTTTATTGATCTTTAATCGATTCAATTCTGTTCCATCCAAAATGTACGCATGACCGGTGCCATTTTATGGCTGAGATTATACGGTTGAACTTGATCTAGTTAATACTAGCGCAAAGAACATGCTATCATCGATATCTTTTATACTAACATCTTATTCCCTCTAGGTCTGCTGTCTTAACCGAACTCCAAACCAAACTCGTCTTGAACCCTCATGACTCCACAAATCAAACAAAAAAAAGTAACTCCCAGACTAGCTTCGCACAGGCCTTTGATGCTGCTGATTGGAATTCTTTTAAATTTAAACCAATCAGAGAGTCAACTGTCTCTAGAGCCATGTCTAGACGTTACTTTCAAGACTTGGACAAATATGCTGAGTCTGATGTTGTAATTGTGGGAGCAGGGTCATCAGGCTTAACTGCGGCCTACGCCCTTGCAAAGGCTCGTCCAGATTTAAAAATTGCCATCATTGAAGCCTTTGTAGCCCCCGGAGGTGGAGCCTGGTTAGGCGGTCAATTGTTTTCTGCTATGGTTATCAGAAAACCTGCCCAAAAATTTCTCGATGATATTGGTATCGAATACGATGATGAAGGCGACTATGTTGTTGTTAAACATGCAGCTTTGTTTTCTTCTACTCTTCTCTCAAAAGTCTTGGAGTTCTCCAATGTTAAGCTTTTTAATGCCGTGGCTGTTGAAGACTTGATCACCAGAAAGAACGATGTTACCGGAGAGCTTCGTGTTGCAGGTGTTGTCACTAATTGGGGTGCTTTATCACTAGCTGATGTTCATTCTACTCAAAGCTGTATGGATCCAAATACCATAAATGCTCATGTTGTTTTATCTGCCTGTGGCCACGATGGTCCCAATGGTGCATTTTCAGCTAAGAGATTGGAATCTTTTGGTCTTAAGAAATTAGGTGGCATGGCCGGCTTAGATATGAATAAAGCTGAGGATGCTATTGTTAACAGTACCAGAGAAGTCATCAAAGGATTGGTGTTCTCGGGTATGGAGCTAGCTGAATTAGATGCATGTAACCGTATGGGTCCAACTTTTGGTGCTATGATTGTTAGTGGTGTTAAAGCTGCTGAGCAAATCCTTAAAGTTTTTGACCAACGTAAATCAGAAAACTTAAACAGCTACTAATTTAGTTATAATTTTTTTCCTCTTCTTAATAACCACTATGAATAAATACATCATTACCTACTGAAAAACTTTTGACATAATATTATGTTCAAGAACAAAAAAAACAACACCACCCATGTAGCAATAAGCTTCTTTAAAAATAACTATCAAAACAGATTCAGATTAAACACTTGCAACCACAACCTGAAGAGCACTCTATCTCACTATATTCATTAAACCATTCTATAGCACAATGTGAATGCATTATGTGGTTACATTTAACGCAAATAAAAGAATGGTTTTTAACAGGCATGACACAATAAACGCAGTCCAAATTTGGATGTTTATCAAAATAATCATAGCCAACCTTTAAATATTCAAACTCTTTGGACTTTAATGTTTCTTCCAAAGTAATGTTAGGATAATTGTATTTTAAGATTTCTTGCTTTTTGATTGGAAATCCCCAAAAAAACAACATCTCAGAATACTTTTTTCTGAAATATTCATAATAAAAATTCAATTTCGGATTTAGTAATGGTACAGATTCTTGATACCCATGAATAGGGTTGTTCACAAAAGTCTCATATCTCATTGTTGGAAAATCTAAAATTTCAAAATATTCGTTTGAATAATAAGGATTATTTTTGAAGGTTTCCTCATCAGAAAATCTAGAATCTATTTTGGCAAGAGTGGGTATGTTGTTTTCTGATTCTTCGTTCATTATCGTAAACTCCTCAGTTGAACTATCATCTGCATTAGTTTTGTTTGAAACATCCAGTCTTTGTGCATTTAAACTTGAATCGTAAATGGAAACCAAGTTGGACTGTCTTTCGTCAGTAACTTGATTTGAGAAAGAATTTGCAATGTTATTTTCAGGATATTTAGTATAAGGAAAATGACATGGAAATTCATTTGGGATCCATGTTTTCAAATTTGGATTTACATATAATAAACAACTCATCATTGCAAACATTTGAACATTATCTGTTCGGCAAAAATAGCTAAATAAGTCGAGCACCAACTCATCGGTGAAATTTGAATAATACTCCCAATCAAATGCTTGTAAATCATCATTCATTTCGATTTTTTTGTTATTAGCCTGAGGATGTTTCATTAAGGCAACATGAATTGCTCTCCATGCATCGCTTAGTTCATCATATTCATAATGAGATGTTACAAAAGAATTATAGAGCGCTATTTTATCAGCAGAATAATCTTCTAACAACAATCTATAATTATGAGCTAACTCCTTTTTACTTGGAATCAAATGAGAAAAATCAACCTTTCCAATAATGTCTTTGATATTTGTCTCAATTGTTTTGTTATTAAAATTTGTGGCAGCACGAATCCCACCAACAATAGGATAAAAATTGAACTGATTCATGCCCTCGCTTGCTTGCATAAATCCTAAATCAGTATTAGATCCAGTATCTAAGTCACACATATCTTTCCAATATTTCCTCAAATCAGTATCATCAACTTCATCTGATTCTGATTCCAAACCACTGTCTTTATTAAACAGAGATAACAGTTCATTTTTAACCTTCACGGTTTTGAGTTGGTAGCTCATTTTGGATTTGTTGGTTTTCATGATATAACCATCAACTTTTGTTACCATTATATCATCGGGAAAATTGTTAAAACATACTAACTCATTTGATGCAGTCCATCTTCCCGCAGATTTAATCGGACTAGGAATCTTTACATTTTCCAATAGGCGATTTATATCATATTTGGGATTAATCTCATCATAATCACTTACAGATTCATTATCCAAATCATTATCATCTTTATACTGATATTTATCGTTGGCAAAGCTATTAATTTCGTCATCCACTCTATTGATATCAGGATTTGTAACAGTATCATTCATATCTTCCAAAGAAACAGTAAACCCAAGAAGATATCTTAGACACGGTTCAATGCAGACTGAATACTCTTGAGTATACTTTTTTGAAATTACATCTAATCTTTCCCTTATATCAAGTAGGTTTTGATGATCTATTTCTTTAGTATCTTCAATAAAAAATTTGGGATAACCTTTTCGAGGATACGTTTTGGGAAACTTGAAACTAATTCGCAAAAACAGATAGTCTCTTTCATTTTCGTCTTTTTCAGGCATCAAAGTATTGGCATTCGAAGGCTTAATATCTTCAATCACAAAATCTTTTTTATTATTCAATTCCTTTTCTAAAACAGTGTTTTGTTTATCCTTTTCCTCATTCTTTTTGGTATGAAGTATATCAGCATGTGTTTCTATAATTTTCTTCTTGACGATTGGAGAATTTAAGGAAAATGTCAAAATACCTTTTAATATATTTATATGTTCAAATCTTATTTTACTTTTCAACATACTTGCAACATGACTAACTTCTTCACCAAGATAATTATTTCCCACACTGATTCCCGAAATCCATTTCAAATTTATATTATTTTTCCTAATCTTCTCAAGTGTAACATTATAATTATTAGTGTGGTCAATAGGCTCATCAATGTAAGTTATGTAATCAAACTGGCCATTTTTACTATTTTTTTTCCCATTGAAAACATGATTGTCATAACTTGAATTTCTGGAATAAGATAACCTTGTGTAAGTAGAATTGTTTAACGGCCATAGTATCAATTTTTGGTCTCTTGAATATGTGACTAGCTGATATTCAGAAGACAAAATGTCATCATTTAGATATCTAGATCTCCATAAAAAGTCGCATACAGGTTGTCTATGACCCTCAAATACATGGACAGGATTTTCCAATTTAAAAACTTTGTTTTCAGGAGTGGGAACCGGACGTTTGCAAAGATATATTGAATTATGACCACCTCGCAAAGGCATTATACCACAGCCATGTCCAAAAGGCAAATGACGAGCTCTAGAAACAGGAAATGTGGTGTGAATTGTCGCAAATGGCTCTTCGCTATTTTCATAGTTCCAATATTTTACAGTGCAATCATTTGAAGCACTAATTATTTCATGTTCATTTTTTTTGCTGAAATCAAGACCATTAATTTTGGCTTCATGAGCCTGAACATTGTATAAAGGTTGTGCTTTATTCCTCAAATCCCAAATATAAAAACTAGAGCCATGGCTGCTAGCAAAAATGTTTTCATTTATGAAATTCCACTTGACTTGAGTAGCACCAGATCTCCAATCTGAACATTTCAACACTGGTACTTCATTTTTAGTTCTTAAATCCCAAATTAAAACATAACTGTCTACCGAGCAGGTTGCAAGCATGTTGGGATTTTTGGTGTGAAAATTTATATCTGTAATGGCTCTAGAATGACCATGCAAAACATGCTTATGAGCATCTGGAGAGTCAGAAGGTTTATTTAAATCCCAAATAATGGCCTTTTGATTAGATGTGGAGACCACCCATGATGAATTGGCAGGATGAGGACACCATTGAATATCAGCAACTTCCCAGGGAGTCAAATGAGGAATCATTCTGGGCGAGTGAAAGGGATCATCTAAATCAATTATATAGAGGCCCTGTCTACCAGCAAGGGCAACATCTCTTCCCCAAGGAGATATTGCCATTGCTGTTACAGAGCTGACAGCAGTTAGAGTAATGAGCTGACCAAAGGTTGAGGAGTTCCATGGAGAGAGTTTATCCTTAGTCATATTTGGGTCTTGTAGTTCATTGCATTGACCAGATTTCGGCAGATAGTTTTGATGAAAGATTGTTCAGACCAATTTGGGTTTGGAGGTCCAGACTTTTCAAATGGGGACGGCTCTTTTAGCTATAAACTACACTGACTAAGTAGTTACATAATCCACTGCTACACACCGGTCCTCTTGGTTTGTGTGATATTTCAGTGCAGGCGATGTGGCACTTCCTTCTACCGATTAGAGAACATGATATATAACAATGAGCAGCGATGGCATATCAGCAATAGACCAAGAACTAAGCGAGCTTTCTTTGGGCGACATAAACAGTTATCTTTTTGATGTTTTGGATGGCACTGACGAGTATCCCAAGCCCCAGAAAATATCCAAGGAATCTTTTGATACTGGTCTCAAAGATTTAATCACCAACTCAAAAATCTCCATTAAAGAACTTGATTCTAATGATAATTTTGATATTGATGAATTTTTGTATAAAAATTCTCGTTTCTATTTCTTGAATGATTTATCCAAGGATCTCGATGGATTGATCAAAGATCTCGACAATGACTTGATACTATTGATCAACGACGAGCTATATGATGATGTTATAAAATTAACAACTTCAATAAATAAGAATAAAAATTTTGAGGATTTGATAAGTAACTTGAAGGTATCTTTGATTGATTACATTAAATTTTTGAATAAGAATTTAATTGACTACCAATCCACAAGCAACATAATAAACGTTAATTTATACTATAAAAAGAAATTTTTCAAAGTCAACAAATTTATTGAAAAGTCAATATTGCTATTTGATTTGGTTGATGTTTTTGAAAAAAAAATGAATAATTTTAGCGACAACATTGAGCAAATAAAAGAATTGACATCTTTTTATTTCTCAATTCATCAATTAATCAATTCCTTGTCCTTTATAGAAGACATAAAAGAAACTGACAGACCAGAAAATAAAAATTGTGACGAGGTTTTGACCTTATCTTCATTAAAATCCTTTGATGTTCACAACAACATAACATATTTAAATAACATAACGTTAAATGATTTGTTAATAGCAGATGCAGATTCCAACGACGATACACAAAAAACTGAAACCAAAAATACATTGAACAATGAATCGTTTAAATTTTTAAAACAACTATTCAAAAAAGTAAATGTTTTGAGATTTGAGTATATAGCTCTACTAAATGAACATTTGGACAAGATAAAGGATATCAAAACAAAATCAGTTGAGTTGCATGATTTAATGGGGATATATGAAATAATAGGGAAAAATAAAGAATTTTTGAAAAAGCTTCATGAATAGCCATTTTCCTTTTTTTTCTTTAATATTTAATTTTCCTTTATCAAATTTTTAAAACTACAATATTTTGAATATTTGAATATTTTGAATAATAAATAAATATTTATTAATACGTCTGTTGAAGAACATTAAAAATGAATAAAAGTACAGTTGAAAGTCATTACAAATTTTTTCTTTGAAAAAAAAATTCAGAAATAAAAAAAATCTAAAAGAAGTTAACATCACATCACCAAAAAATAGCGAAAAAAAAAATGAAGAAATATATTAAACCTTTTTTAATTTTTTTTCAAAAATGAGAAAAATTAGGCCTTTTCACGGTAATATTTAGCAGCAGCAACCATATTAGTTAATTGAGCTCTAACTTCGTCCCATTTTCTAGTTTTTAAACCACAATCTGGGTTGATCCAGAATTTTTCAGGTTGATAAACTTCCAAAATAGTGGCAATTCTTTGAATGAATTCTTCAGTTGATGGAACTCTTGGAGAGTGGATATCGAATAAACCTAAACCAATGTGGTTTGGATAGTTGGCAAATTCTTGAATGTAGTTTGGATCATCTTTCTTTGAGAATTCGATAGAGACAACATCGGCATCTAAAGCTTTGATATGGTTTGGATCTAAATCTGAGTAACAGAAATGAGAGTGAATTTGGACATCATCTTGGACACCGGAAGTTGAGATTCTAAAGGATTTAGCAGCGTAATCCAAGTAATCATGTCTTTCTTGACCATCTCTTAATGGCAAACCTTCTCTAATAGCAGGCTCATCGACTTGAATGACATTAATGCCAGCAGCTTCTAAATCTTGAACTTCATCTCTTAAGGCTAAGGCTAATTGTAAAGATTGGTCTTTTAGGGAAATGTCATCTCTAGGGAAAGACCATCTTAAACAGGTGATTGGACCAGTTAACATACCTTTCATTGGTTTTTTTGTTATAGATTGAGCGTAAACAGACTCTTTGACAGTCATGGCTTGGGGTCTTGAGACGTCACCAACAATAATTGGAGGTCTGACATATCTGGAACCATAAGATTGAACCCAACCGTTTGTGGTGAAAGCGTAACCCTTTAATTTTTCACCAAAGTATTGGACCATATCATTTCTTTCTGGTTCACCATGAACCAAGACATCTAAACCAACTTCTTCTTGGAATTTGACAACTTCGTCAATTTCCGATTGGATGAATTGATCGTATTCAGCAAGAGTGATAAGACCTTTGTTGAATTTATTTCTTGTTTGTCTAATGGCTTTAGTTTGAGGGAACGAACCAATAGTGGTGGTTGGATATAGAGGTAAGTTAAATCTTGATTTTTGTACTTTGTAACGATCTGGGAAAACCGAGGCTCTAGCAGACAAACTTGGAGTAATCTTGGAGACTCTTTCTTGAACAGCTGGGTCGTTGGTGATCGTAGAGGTTTCTCTGGCATGGATGGAAGCCTTGTTAGCAGCTAAAGCATCAGCAACAGATTCTTCTCCGTTGGATAAAGCCTTGGAGATGACAACAATTTCATCCAATTTTTGGGTAGCAAAAGAAAAGAAATCTTTAATTTCAGCGTCCAATTTCTTTTCGTTATTTAAATCAACAGGAGAGTGCAATAAAGAAGAAGCAGAAGCAACAATGACTCTATCTTGACCTAATTTGGAGACGATTGGTTTGATAAAATCAATTGATTTGGATAAATCGTTTTTCCAGATATTTCTACCGTCAACAATACCGACGGATAATGATTGGTTTGGTTTTAAGATATCCAAGACAGCAGATAGTTGAGAAGAGCCTCTGACAAAATCGAAATGTAAAGTGTCAACGGGCAAACCGGTAATAGCATTGAGGTTTGGGATAACATCGCCAAAGTAAGTGGTTAAGGTAATTGATGGGATGGTTTCGGAAGCTTTAGCCAAGTAGTTGAAGGCAACTTTAAAAGCAGATTTGACGTTTTGAGGCAAATCCAAAACCAAGATTGGTTCATCAATTTGAACTTTTTTAGCGCCGGCGCTGGCTAATTTGACTAATAATTGTTGGTAAACAGGCAATAATTTATCTAATAAAGAGATTGGATCTAAATCTAAAGAGTCTTTGTCTGATTTACCCAAAAACAAGAAAGAGACTGGACCAATTAAAACAGGGGTAGTTTCAATACCGATAGACTTGGCTTCCAAATATTCGTCAATTGGTTTGGAACCGTTGATTTTGAATTCAGTTGAGTGAGAGAAAGTTGGTCTAACGTAATGGTAGTTTGAGTCGAACCACTTAACCATTTCACAAGCTGGCAAATCAATTGAGCCCTTTTGTAAACCTCTACCCATTGCAAATAATAAATCTAAAGGAGACAAGTTTTCGTTAGAGTATCTTTGGGGAATAACATTTAATAAGATGGAGAAATCTAAGATTGCATCGTAGTAGGAGAAATCGTTTGAAGGAATTGAATCGATACCAGCATCTTTTTGTAATTTTAGATTGTTGAGTCTAATTTCTTTACCGACCTTTAACAATTCCTCTTGTGAGATCTTTGAATTCCAGTAGGCTTCAGTAGCCTTTTTCAATTCTCTAAATGGACCAATTCTTGGGAACCCTAAGACAGCAGATGAAACCATGATTAAACCAAAAAAACCAAGATAAATGAAACAAGATAAGAATAACTATAAACCGATTATCCAAAGATGTAGAAAATTTGAATGAATAGGAAGTTTTAGAGGAAAAACAAAGGGGAAAAAAAAAGAAGGAAAAAAAAGTCAATTTAAATGACAATTGCAGAAATTTTCATTATGACTGCAATAAAAAAAAGTTTGAAAGGAACGAGAAGCTCGCTGAACGAAATTTCACGTGCGCAGGCACTGGACCAGCAATCAATCGCCAGCCAATCACAGCCACTTCAGAAATGACACCAGTGCTAAAATTGCACATGAAAATGGCTGCTGATTTTGTTGAACAGCCGGAGTTCGACGGAGCAGCTGCGGACAGGATCGTGATCTCCGGCAAGACTCCGGCGATAATCCGTCTGCAGATTCACCGGCGCCACTGCTGTGGATGCACAGAAAAAGAGTGCCGAGCGGGAGTCAAGCCTGCGCCAGAGCCGGTGCCGGCGTGGAGAAGAAAGGGTATAAGCACAGAGCAGCGCTTTGTGCTATTGGCTCACTGCCCAGCTCCAGCTCACGATGGCAGACCAATTGCACACCCAGATCAGAATTGACATTTACAGCTACCTCTTCAATCCCTCCTGTCCCAAAGACGAGAGGTACTGGAGCACCTTCTTCAGCTTGCCCATCTACGAGCCTGCTTTGAATGCCTCCTTTAATTCCTTGGACTTTACCAACTTGTCTCCTTACCAGCTATCCATTATCCAGTCCATTTTTGAGAATTCGCTCACCTATTTGGCTAAAGACAGTTCCAACAATGACAACATCTATTTGATTATTATCAACTTGTTTGTTATTTTGTTCGACAAGTTGAATAACACTCTCAATAGCCACCACCATCATCCTGCTCCAATTGAGAACAAGAACGAAATTCTTATTCATGTGTTAATTCTCAATGGTAATATTAACAATTTGGAATCCAATTTCAAGATGAAATTTTTGAACAACTTTTTGCTTAACAATGAAGCTAATTCCAATGTCAATAAGTACTTAAAATTGAAATTGATCAAGTTTTCCTTTATGTTGTTTTATAATACTATTTTTTTTCATTTTTTGGTTGGTTTAAACAATCTAAATATTCAGTTATTTAATTTCTTCAAAAATCTTGATTTGGACAATGATAATCAAAAACAAAACTTTAAAACTATCAATGACATCTTAATTATTTTAATTTTATTGTATAACAATAATGAGGTCACCAATTATAATAATTACAATACAAATAATGAAATATATGCTACTATAGACAATGAAAATGAAAATGAAAATGAAAATGATCTTGAGAGTGAGAATGAAAATTATATTGGTAATACCAATCTATTGGTTCAATTATTTAATAATGAGAAAATTTCAACGCATATAATTCATGTATTTAATCAATTGATTTCTTTAAATTTAATCGTTTTGAATAATAATAAACCTGATTTATTGGTTCAGTCTTCTTTAAATAATTCATTTTGGAATTTTTTGACTTTGAATAAATTCAATAAATTGAATTTCAACTATTCCGATTTTCTAATCAACAAGTTTCTAACCCCTGAAACAATTGATATATTATACTTTAAAAATAAAAAACAGCCCATCAATAACTCAGATTTATTGATCTTTAATATCACCTACTACAATCTAGTCATCAACAACTTTGATTTATTCAAACGCACCTTCATTCAAAAATATGATTTGATGGAAAATATTGAATTGTACTTGAGTCTAACCACTTTTCTATTTCAGTATCAACATAATAATAAAATCAACCATTCCTTGACAAGATTAAATCTATTGATTTTAAACAAATTCATTAAATCAAATATTGTCAATAATCAACATGATCAACATGATCAACATGATCAACATGATCAACATGATCAACATGATCAACATGACCGAGATGATCAAGTTAACCATAATAATTATCTATTCAATTATAAAATCAACAACAATAACTTTAAACTATGTCATCAAAAAAAACCTATTCTTGATGATATTGAGAATGACAATGAATTTACTTCAATGATTTTTTACATTTTAAATGCCAACCAAACTCTCATTAGATACAACTTGACTTCTAATTTAGACATAATTAGCTATAAATTGTCAGTTATAAACATCTATGAGATTCTATTAATATTAATCAATAACCACACGAAAACTTCAGACCGCTATAATTGGAGCAACTTATTTTTCTCTGTTTTCCAACTAATCAATTTCATTTTTAAAAACGTTGAAAAGTTCAATTTAAAAACAAATATTTCTCATGCTAATAATAACATAAACTCGTTGGTCGAAGAAATTTTAAATGTTTTACTATTGATTTTAATCAATTACAAGCATCTATTCCATGAAAATGATTTAGACAAATTCTTGGTGGATCTAATTTACAAAATGTTTGAAAACAATGAGGTTCTATCTCAAATTATCAATAAACTACTAGCTCACTCTAACAGTGACAGTACTAATATCAAGTTGTTTTCCGACATCATCAGCCACATTAACCAGGCATTAGACTACAACGAACTACAAAACAGCGATATGAATTACAACCAAATCCACACCAGCTTATGTCTAAAGTTGAAGAATTTGAAACTATCTGAGTTCGAAAACAAGGATGTTGCAATTACATTCAGCAACGACGACAGCGACAAACTAGTCTTTGGAAACGAGAGTTTCAAGTACATCAAGAAGGGCAGTTTGGTCTACAAAAACCAGAAAATCAGCCAGCTAAACCAGGCCATCGAGCTATTGATCGAGCACAATCGCCTGTTCTTCATATAACGAGAATTCTAAAGCTCTAAAGCTCTAAAGCTCTTTCTCATATATAGGAGGTTTAATACACATCCGCATCCCTGGCTCTGACCTCGTCTAATTGCCGTTTTGGGACATTTCCGCGATAATCCGCCTTTGAGTGGCCCAAAACGAAAGAAAATATAAAAAAGAGAAACAAAACCAGAGAATAAATCTCTTCACCTCTCACCACCTTCCATCCTGCTGCTGTCCCCAATTACTCTTGTATCTCATTCACTGTATTATAGTTAATCCATTCTTGTTTTTTCTAATACTCGTTTTGTTTTCTGCTCCTCGCCTGCCTTCTCTGCTCTGTTCCCTTTTTGCTGCTATCGCCCGCTGTTATCTGCCTATTGTTAACCTCCAACACAATGTCTGTCCCCCTAAGAGATGGTTTTGCCAACAAGTCCCTCGATGAAGTTTTAGAGGATCTTTTGGCCAGGTTTGTTATAAACTGTCCTCCTGAAGACTTGTCCTCTTCCGAACGTGTTTTTTTTCAAATCGAAGAAGCCCAATGGTTCTACACCGATTTTCTTCGTGCTATAAATCCAAACCTACCTGCCTTGAATATGAAAGGTTTTTCCACAAAAATTATTGAAAAATGCCCCACAATCTGGAAATGGACTGACCAGTACGACCCCAGCTCAGCCTTATCCATCTTTGGTAAATACAAGTCCACCATACCCGTCAGGGGCACTGCTTTATTTAACGCCAATTTGGACAAAATCCTCTTGGTTCAAGGCATCGAGTCTAATTCCTGGAGTTTTCCCAGAGGAAAAATCTCCAAGGACGAATCTGACACCAAATGTGCAATTCGTGAAACTTTGGAAGAAACCGGTTTTGACGTTTCTAATTATTTAATCGAATCTGATTTTATTGAAAGAACCATAAAGGGAAAGAACTACAAAATCTATTTGATCAAAAATATTCCTGAAAATGCTTCTTTTATACCAAAAGTCAGAAACGAAATTAAAGACATCAAATGGAAAAAAATTGACTTGCTTTCAAAACAAATCTCCAAACAATCAAAGTTTAGCAGAAAATTTCAAAATACCACCTTTAATATTAATAACAACAACAATAATAATAATAATACCAATACCTATAATGACCAATACTATATCATAAACCAAATGATAAAACCCCTAATGAAATGGGTCAACAAAGCTAAAGGTCTTAAAGATGAAGAATCTTTGAAAAAATATGCAGAATCTCAATTAAAATCTCAACTAGGAATTGGTGAATCAAAATACCATGCTCAAGACTCAATTGAACAAATTAGTAAAGGAAGAGAGCTTTTGAATTTCCTACAGGAACAACATTTATCTCTTACAAAGGAAAAACAATTGCAACAACAAAAGGTTCAACTGATTTCCACCCAAACTCAAATTCAAGCACAAAGTTCTGCTTCATCCCCCACTGTTCCAATACTTACTTCAAATTCACAATCAATTCAACAACTATTTTCCCAGTCTCAGCCTACTTCTCAAGATAAACCTCAGGAAATCCCCTTTTCTTATCAAATGCCCTATTTTCAATCATTTGTTCCTTCTCAAGGTTATCCAATTTCCGTTCCATTCTATCCAGGAATGGGTTTTCCTGTTTCTTATGCTCCTTACGCTCAGATTTTGCCTTCTTCCATCTCTCAAGAGCAACTTCAAAAGCAGCAACAAAAATTACAAGAACAACAGCAGCAAGAACAGCAAAAATTGATTGAACAACAAGAGCAACAATTACGACAACAAAAACATCTTCAAGAATTGCAATTGAAACAATTTCAAATGAAAAACTGGGAACTACAAGCTCAAAGACTCAACTTGCTCAATACATCTCCCAAAAGACAAAAAAATAACCAATCCCCAAAGAAAAATGTTGAAAATACCTTCAAAGTTGTCGATGACATTAATACTCAAAATTCACCTTACTCAAAAGTCAATAATCCAAATTACAATGGTCTTTCCTCTTATTTGAGCCCCGATCCCGAAGATCTCTCAAAACCATCATTTACCGTATCCGTCTTATCCAAAAAGAAAAAACAAAATTCAGATTCTAATTCCAAGGAGTTATTGTCTATATTAAATTCAAAATCTCTTTTTAATAACCCAAGCTCCTTGCCTGCAAAAACTGTCGATGAAAAACAAGATATTTCCTTAGATGATTTAACCAAGCAAATTGAAAAAAGCAATTTTTTTAACCCTAAAAAGATCGAAAAGGACAACTGGGATCCATTAAGATCTAATAACTACTCTTCTTCTGAATTCGATAGTGAAGATCATGAAGTTTCTACTAGTTTTGAGGAACACTCAATAAAAGATTTAAATCTGTTTCCTCCTCAAACATCTATTCCTCCTCAAACATCTATTCCTTTGAACCATGTTATCAATGAAATAAAACTTAATCACATAGATATCTTTTCCAATTCAAGCTGTGTCAATACCATAAATCAATCATCTAGAAGAGATTCTCCTATAAAAAGAACTCTTTCAATTGACAGTGTTCCTTCAGGCTCTAATGCCTCAGTTTCACATCAAAATCCGAATCATTTATTTAATACCAACTCAAATGGAAACCTCAATATTACTCCAAATTTCAATATTAGCCAAATCGCCTTTTCTAATAATAGCCAAAATGACCTTATCACTGAAAATATTCAACACTCTAATATTGAATCTAAGCCAAAGATTGCTATAAATGAAATCAAGCTTAATCCTGCTGAATTTTTTTCCACAAATACCACTCAAAATAATCTATTAAAAGGAGATGTATCTATAAAAAAAACTTTTTCTAATACCAGCATAAATTCTGTCAGCACAACCAATGACTCGATTTTGGGATCAAATACCTATAGCATTGGTAATCCCATCAATCAGAATCAAGCCATAAATAACATAACTTCAAAATTGATGTCTGAACGATTTCATGAAAATCTAAGGTCATCTCAAACGGCCCCTGCTCCAGCTCCAAAGAAAATGATTATTTTAAAACGAAATGAATCTTCATTTGAAAATAAATCACCATTAGCAAAATCCCCTAGTGTTAATGTTTCACAGGGTCATGTTGAAATTTCAAAAAAAAAGTTCGGTGGTTTACTCAACACTGATAACGCATCATCATCTGAAGCGGTATTTCGACAAAAGAAGTTGATAGATGTTTTAAAAAGAGACAGTGCCTCTCCTAACATAAGTTCATCCAATAGTAATATTAAAGGAAAATCTTTACTAAAAACTCCCTTAAAACTGAATAATAACAATCCTATTGATGGGTCTGAATCTAAACCGAAAAAAATAACAATTTTAAAACGGCCACAATCTAGTACCCCCGCAGATACTCCAGATGATTCATATAACAGTGGATTAGGCTCAAAAAATGTTTCTCTTGAAATTAAATCTAAAAACGACAACTCAGCTTCATCCAAGACTCAAAATCCCCTATTATCTGCATTATTCAAAACCTCCATTCAAGAAGAAAAAAAAGAGACCAAATCAAGTAGTAATGTTCTTAAAGAAGATTCTGCTTCCATTATGAAATTACTTTCCATATGTAAAGATAGCACATCTCCAAAAGAACAATCATTTTCTGATCGAACTCTTGAAAAAGATGACATTTTATACGACGATATAAAAAAAGGGAAAAGATCTAAGGATCTCGAAATAGAAAAACTTAATAATTCTGCTAGTTTAAATTTTGACTCTTCAAAAGTTCCTTCTTCATCTGGGTTGTTTTATCAAACGGCTAATAATAGTTTAAGTTCTAGCTCGAGTTTTTTAAATAGTGGGACTGCAACCAATACCAATTTTTTATCTTTTGATAGATCGCCAAGTATTTCTCATACAGAGAAAGAGGGAAGGAATGAACTTTTACGTGTTTTGCACAATTCTGATAGTTTGATAAAACCCAGTTTATCTAAAAAAAGTTCCAAACACAATTCATTTGTAAATAATGACATAGAATCAAATCAATTTCTGAACATTCAAACAAATTTAGATGAAAAAATAAACTTTGATGTTGAAGATGATCAAACAAATGACAAAAAAGATATATTTCATAAAACATTAATAGAAAATATATCAGATATTGAAATTCCACAATCTCAAAATGATGAAGACCATTTTGATGATTTCAAAAGCTTTGACGATTTTAAAAGTTTTGAAGATTTTGAAGATACTGATCCAGATAATAATGTTGAACATAAAATTGATTTTAAAAAATTCAACAACCAAGAAATTGATGATGTCGATGATTTCAACGGTATATATCGAAATAAAATAAACTATCAGAAAGCTGATGAATTAAATATTGTTTCAGATTTTATTAGTCCTTTTAATTTAGGTAATTCCAAAAACGTTCTAGGCGCTAGAGATGCTTTTTCCTTTTCAAAGCCAAGTGCAATTGGTTCTCATAATCAAAAGCCCCAATTTAATCCTTTTGGATTTGATAGAAACAAATTCAGTAATCGTGAATCTTCTTTTACTATTCCACCAGCTATATCAAATTCATTAGGGACTCACCAATTAGTTTCTACTCACTCTTTAAATCCCAATTCACAGTTGAATGCTAACCATCCTTTAAATCCTAATAATCAGTTAAATTCAAAATTCAAATTGCTGCCTTTGTTAGAGAAGGATTATTCAAGTCAAAAACCTAATCCTGTAAGCACTCTCAAGATAAGGATTTTGAAAAGAAATGAAGGTTTGAATGAATTTTATTCCAACCCGACACAATAATCTAGTTGTAGATGCTTTTATATATCCAAAAGGTTTTCGTTTTTGTTATTGCTAATGATTATGATTATGATTTTTATAAACTACTATTTTTATTATTGTTTGTTAGTTGCTATTTTATGATTTTATTGCAATGTCCTTTTTTAATTATTTGGTCTCTAAAATTGTTTTATATAGAAATTTTGCTTTATTTAAAATCAACGATAATTTTTTATATTTTTTTCGAATACTTAAACGTAAATTGATAGTGTTAGGGAATTTATTCTTGCTTAGATAGAAAAGAAGAAAACAAAACTTAATAAACTTGAACTAGAAATAAAATATAAAAAAACAAGATAAAAAAACGGTGAAAAAACTACTAATAGCTTTTATAAAACAAAAACTAAGATATTAGATAGATAGATTTGGCTGATTTAAAATGTCCAAAAAATAAAATAAAATAAAATAAAATAAAATAAAATAAAATAAAATAAAATATAAAATAAAAACGAATGAAAAATTAACAGAAAAAAAATGCTTCAGTACCAAGTAGCAAAAGGATCAGACTCGGAGTAAATGATGCTTTGATCATTGTAAACAGATACATTTTTACTTCCACTGTGTTTGAATGTAAAACCAATGAAATATCTATCGTCAATCTCTTTGTCGTTCATACGCTCAACAGCTGTCTTTTTAGCAATAACTTCTTTGTATTTTGCCATGTCTTCTTCATTGGTAAAATCATCAAAGTAGCCTGCGTCTTCTTCATCATCAAGCTGAGGTGTGAATGGAGGAACTCTGGTTCTTAAATTGTCCCAATCGATTTCATTGAAGTAGGGCATCATTTTTATTTGGGAAAACGATCTTAATCTTTCGTTGGGAGAATTGATCAAATGAACAATTAAATGCCATGTTCTATCTGAGAAAACATATTTTCCATTGTCATATTTGGGTCTTCTTAAAGACTGTTTCCAGTGACGAAGATTAGCATAAGTATCATTTGGTGTATTTCCAGAGAATGGAGGATAACCAACAAGAGTTTCAAATAGCATGCATCCCAAGGACCAGTAATCAATGGTATAATCATAGGGTTTGCCTTCAAGGACTTCTAGTGCCATATAATCAGGAGAACCAACAATTGAATTGGCATAATGGATATCTTTTTGTCTTAGGCTTCGATAGGATTTCTGTCTTTCAGACACTGAGCCAGTAGGTAAGCCATAGTTTAAATCTTTGACAGCAGCCAATCTCTGTCTCATGTTTTCAATTCTATCAGTTGATACAGAACCTGCAGCTAAACCAAAGTCAGTTAATTTGATGTGACCTTTGGCATCAATGAGGAAGTTTTCAGGTTTTAAATCTCTGTGGGTGTAACCCAATATATGTAAAGCATTAACCGATGCAAACATCTCACTGATATAAAAACGAGCATGAGGAGGAATTAGAACACCAGTATTGTTTAGCAAAGTTCTGTAATCGCCACCTGGAACAAATTCCATAGCCAAATAAACCGATTCTTTATCTTGGAAAGCATAGAATAGTTTTACTAACCATTCAGATCTCGTATTGGTTAGAATATCTCTTTCAGTTAGAACATGTTTAGTTTCATCCAATTTCATCAATAGTCTTTTGCTGAGAACTTTTAAAGCGACAATTTCTCTTGTATCTTTTTTTCTAGCCAAATAAACTTGGCCATAACCACCTTGACCAACTTGAGTGATGATGGAGAAGTCTTTATGTTTTGGCTTAATTCTTCTTTTTCTTAATAGAGCTCTTTCCTTTCCAGTATAAGACTTCCATTGATATAATCTTTCTTGTTGGTTTGGGATTTTGAGTATGTTTTCTTCAGCCTGTTGTTGTCTTTGTCTTCTAGATATAACGTAGTCAAACATGTCGCAATAATAATCTAAAAAATACATTTGACAGACGTTTACCAATCTTTTGTTCTTGGGAGAATTTGCTTTGAGATAAAAATCTCTATCTAATCTTTTTGCATATTGATAATGGGATCTATTTACATTATTTGAATAATTTGTGTTTCCATATTGAACACTTTTTGTAGGAGAAGCAGGAGGGTTATTTTCTTTATTTTTTGAATCATAGAACAAATTGATTTGTGATTGTTGTTTGTTTCCAAAAATGTTCATATTTTGTTGAGAGTTGCCTTGGTTTGTATAAAAGTTGTTATTGTTATTGGTGGGGATATCAGTAGTGTTGACTTGAATTGACAGAATTTTTTTTGTTATTTCTTCCAATTCAGGATGAGAAGAAGAATTTATATTAGTGTTGTTGGTAGAGTTATTAGTGTTTATGTTTGTGTTTGTGGTTGTGGTTGTGGTTGAGTTTGTGTTTGTAAGTTTAGAGAAAAAACTATTCATTGTAAGAACTCAAGGATGAATAAACAACGAAGGAAAGTTCAAAATATAACAAAATATAATGAAATGTAAATTCCAAGGAAAGAGAACAAATTCTTGATGTTTATGAAGGGATCCTGAACAACTAAAAACGAGAAAACAAAAAAACAGAAGAATCAGGGAATGAAAATAAATGCTGGTGATTAGATCAAATTCTTCAGGACGAGGAGTCAGGACATGAAGTTGCAACAAATCGAGGATGGTTGAAATCATCAAAGCATTTTTCAAGAGATTAACTGAATTTTTTGCACTGAAATGAAAAGGAAAAGGAAAAAAAGACAAAAAGATTAGGAATTGTTTACATTTTTCCGTATTGGGGAATACTTTAAAAATCCAGAAAGAGGGATCATATATGTGATTGTGTGCAATACAGTGCGGATATATGCATTTACATGCATAGTGCCTTTTACTTGAGTCAAAAAGAGTCAGAAAATAAAGTTATGGGCAAATGTATTAGAGTAATATAAGAAAATAATAAGAAAATAAGATGAGAAAGTAAAATATAAGTGGGAGAAGTGAAATGCTATATATTTATTAAGAGTAGAGACATGTGATGAGGGAGTTTCACCAGTCTCAAAAAACAAAAAAAATTCATCAAGTAAAAGGAAAATAATTCGTGAGATTAGAAGTTGTAGGATATTCTGTTGAAAGAAAAATCTGTTGATACCAACGATTTTAAGTTTGAAAAGCAGTGGTTGATGCTGTCGTTTCCGCCGTAATAAAAGTGAGTGTGATTGATTGATTTGTTGTAATTGAATTTGTTTTTTGTTTTATTGTCGTGGTCTTGGGAGATTCTGTCATTATTATTATTTTTGTTGTGTGAAGCATTTAGATGTTCGATGGAAAGTTTGTAGTTGTTTAGTTTTATTATTTTCAACTGAGAGTAATCCATATTATTGTCAAAAATGACATTTAACGAATAGGTTAGAATTTTATCAAGATTAAGCCTGCATCTTTTGTCGTTTAACACGTTTATTTTTAAAGATTTTAGAATACGGGGATTTAATTTTAGGATAGTTTTATTATATCTCTGGTAAATTATCGAATTGATTTTATTTGGATTTCTGAAATCTGAGATTGAAAAATCATTAATGTTTATGTTAATTTTCTTGGTTAAAATCTGGATTCTAGATTGAAAAAAAATTATATCTCTAGAACCAATAACTAATCTATTTAATTTGTTTGGATCTGTATTTGATTTTGAGTTTAATGATGATGGTTTATTTATGAAAATAGATTCAAATAGCTTTTTAATAGCTAGCATCGCAAAGAGACCGTTATCAGATAAAGAGAATAAGAGAAGTTTGTCAACAGGCAAAGAATTGATGATATCTTCAACCATATGTGGTGGTAATTTGTTGAGCATTTTGAGTGAGAATATTATTAATAGATATTAAAAAGTATAAATTGTTATTATAATTTAAAGAAAGCTGATTACAGTGAATTGAAATAGATATAATTGTGTAATTGTAATTGAACAATGATGGTGATTTGAATATATTGGAGAAATTGAGGAAATATGTGACAATTTATATGATTTCAAAAAAAAAAATTAGCTACTTCACAAATCTATGAGCAAAAATATAACAAGTTCCTGCGATGGAACTGCTCTTTCATTCTATTAAACTTTAACACCAAAACCTGTTCGTAGCACTGGAACTGATGGCAATATTAATAATGCCCAACTTATTCTACAACCCCATGGTCACTCAAAAAACGAGGCGAACCAAGCCAGAGAGCAAAAAGGAAAAAGAAAGAAAAAAAAAATTAAATGAAAATTTGAGAATTGACTAATTCTGTTGAAACAATGTTGAATTTTTTTTAATTTTTTTCAATTTTTGATTTTCCTTAATTCTTGTTTATGAATTCTGTGGATGACAGAACACACAGTTTCGACCCCAGTGTCATTTTTAGCCGATGCATCCCTGCTATTCGTGGGTGGATGGGCAAGACCAAAACTTCTGTGCACAGTTTACCCCTGCAGAATCAGCACTATTTGGGTGGTCGTGAACGAGGGCTACCCCAGATTTCAGTGTTGGACATGTGGATGTGGGAGGTGGTTTATTCTGGCTGGAGTGTTGATGTTCTCTGTGGTGATTCGTTTTTTTCTACTCTTTTTTGCCGTTGTTTGCTTCTGGTGTTTTTTTATTATTTTTAGAACACTGCAGTGCCCCAGGATTTCCAAACGTCGTTAAAATTATGCCGGTATTACGATGGACCATAGCACGAGCCGTTATACCTGTGGGTGCTCTTTTCTTCGCCCACGCTTTGGGTCAGACCCTTACTGCTGGGACTCTTGTCCTGTGACCTCAGCATAAATCCTTTCCCGATCCAGTAGGCTTCTTTCACTGAGGCCATTTCCATCGCAAAACACATCTGTTGTTAACAGATCGGCACCAGACACCGATACCAACTACCATATCTAAAGGAATAACACTGGTTTAATTAATCCATATTTCCCTGGCTCAATTGTTCCTAAAGAGCTTTTGCCATTTACTCGATCACCTGTTCCCAGAACCTTCCACTCGACGTAGAGTTCTGATTGTTTTCCACCGAATTTCTACCGTTTTTGACACATTTTTGAGTCATATGATGGACGCCCGCAAATGGAGTTATAATCTCGAACATTAAACACCATTTAGGTGTGAATGGCTATTAACCTTTTATTTCGGTATTACTATTATTGCACTATTGGGAAAAAATTATACTCACTTGAAATTCTATTTCAGAGGTTGTTTTAAAATGGCGTTTTTCTCTTTTCAATTAAACGACCCTGAGTGTGCTGACAAAGTATTTCTCTCACTTTTCTTTTGGGCTAACATTACATCCATTTGCCGAATGGCTAAAAGAAACTTCTAATTTTTTTTTTTCAATATTTTTTACGCGAATGATTCCTCAGATCATTACCACAATAATTTCGTAGCTTTCTCTAAGATCATGCCTAATAAAACGAAATTGCGAAATAAACGCAAATTCTTTATTTTCCCTGCTGGTTTTTGTGTTTGCTTTTTTTTTGTCTTTCTCTTATTATATTTTGATGAAATCAGATCCTTAAAATTAGATTCCTCGTAAACTGGACCCACACTTCTGGACCAAGTCCAGTATAATGGAAACATGTGAGGCAATGTGGGAACACGCCACCCGCTCTGGTGGATATTTTCTATTTTATTCCAAAGATAAAGAGAAGCATTGCTCTTTTCTGATCAACTGATCAACTTATACACTTCTTAACAATCTAATCTTATCCTTTGTGTTTCATTAATTAGTTTGCTTTGAAATACTTTTCTATTCTATTTACAATGGTATGTTTGACATGGATCCCATACTTTTTTTTTCCTTCAATTACCAATGCTCTTTTGTTGGCTTTTTGCATCTCATTCTTGTTTTACTAATCTTCTATTTGAATGGCAAATTGATAGTTTCAATTTCCTTCCTTAAACTTTGGAAATTTTGGAGGGATGAATTTTCCTCAAAATAACCATTTTGAAGACTATTTCAGATGCTATCCCATAATAATGATGCCTGATTCCTCAAGAAAGGACTCAGCAAACTACGGTGGAAAAATATTTCTACCTTCCAGTGCCCTAGATAAATTGACAAGATTAAAAATCAGATACCCAATGTTATTTGAACTACACAATGAAGAAACTAATAGCAAGACTCACAGTGGTGTTTTGGAATTCACCGCTGAAGAAGGAAGAGTTTACATTCCATATTGGATGATGCTAACTTTAAACATCGAAGCTGGTTCATTGATTAAAATTTCCAGTTTAAGTGATTTACCCTTGGGTTCTTTTGTTAAATTAGAGCCTCAGTCAGTAGACTTTTTGGATATATCAAACCCAAAAGCCGTTTTAGAAACTGCCCTAAGAAACTTTTCCACTTTAACTGTCAACGATATAATCGAATTCAACTATAACGATAATATCTTTAAAGTCAAAGTATTAGAAGTCAAACCAAAAAGTTCATACAATGGTATTTGTGTTATTGAAACTGACTTGCAAACGGATTTTGCGCCTCCTGTTGGTTATGTCGAGCCCGATTACAAAGCTCTTCAAAAACAAAAAAATAGTAGAAATAATAATTCACTAAATAATCCAAACAGGAATGTAATGTCCAAAAAATTAAACTACGCTTCAATGCTAAAGGAACCCTCAAATGGCTCTTCAAATCCCAACCTCCACAAGTTCGAAGGTCAAGGCCACAAATTATCAAATAAAAGAGCAAGAAATTCAAGAAGTAGAAGAATAAGCAGCTCAAATACTAATCAAAATAAAAAATCCGATAATTCTAAAGATGCCAACTTTGTTGATTTGGATAATTTACAATTGGATGATGTTCCATCTCCTTTAAGATTGCCTGTTGGTCAATTGTTTTTTGGTTTTGCTAAGAACGCTGTTATTCAGAAATCTGAGTCTTGAATAGCCACTAAATAAATATATCCGTAGAGTATATTTGACATATATATAAATGCATTATTTAATTTTGATCTTTATTCCAACTTTATCGCTTTAGTAATCGACATTTTCCGGTGTTTACATATGCCGTTTTATCAAGTTTATCAAGTTTATCTTATTGATTGTCACTAGAACTGATTTTTCAAAGATAACAATATATCATCAACCAACGACAATGGTATGTTTGGATTTCCATGACAAACAATAAATAGTTTTTTATAATTACAATCATGATCATGATCATGATCATGATAATAATAATAATAATAACAACAACAACAACAATACTGACTAGATAATAAACTCATCAATATCAGACAACAGACATTACAGATATCTATTCTCAATTATCACAAGAACAACTTACTCATCTTAAGGACGCATTTTCAGCAATAGATAATGACAATGATAGCTTGATTACAGAAAAAGATTTGATTCATACTTTTAAACAGTTGAATAAACCTATTAACAATGAAGAAATAAATAAAATGCTATCATACTCAAATGACAAGGAAATTACTTTTGCCACATTTTTAAGCCTAATGTCTTCTCAATTGGGCGAATTATCATCAAGGGAAGAGTTAATGAAGGCCTTTAGTGTTTTCGATATAACTAGTGAAGATAATACTGATGTCTTGAATTCTAAAGCAAAAGGCCACAAGAAAACCCTCTCATCAATATCTAATATGATATCAACATATGATAATTTGGATGAAGAAGCGGGTTTTAAAGGCAATGAAAAAAGGAAAGAATTAAAACTAGATGTAGAGGATTTAAAAGAAAATTTGAGAATAGTTGGAATGAAAGAAAAAGATATCGACAGTGCTTTAAAAGGATTTATTAAAGTTGAAATGGATGGTACAGAGATATTTTTGGCAGAAAGGTTTGTTAATACTATAAGAGATGACTAAGAATGATGAATAAAATAAAAATTGAATAACTATAATGAAAAAAAATAATAAGTTAACGCTAGATATAAGTTAAACGATAAAGTGGAAAAAAAACGAAAAAAATGAAACAAAAAGATAATACCGAAAATAAAATAAATATACATATTTTTTTAATTTTATATTTTTATATTTTTATCAACAATGAAAATAATAACTATAATGGAAAAATTAATGGTTGTTTGATCGAGTGAAAAATAAGTAAAACAGTGAAAAAAGACTTTTTAACATTTCAAATATCGACAAACAACTCATTACAAGCCCAATCTTCATAAGAACCATCTGGTAAGAATCTTCTGATTACCAAAGGAATTTTTTTCTGAGCCAATTCTTTCATTGCAATTTGTAAAGGATCAGTCTCCCCATCAATATCCACTAAAACTGGTGCATTCATTGATATTTGTAAAGCTCTTGTACCTAAAATTCTTGCCCTTTCGTATTTTGTCATAAAAGGTGTAGTTGTTCTTTTTTCTCTAGGTATGGCCAAATCTCTTACAGTTTTTCTTTTGTTAACATTTGAATCCTCTTCTACTTCCATTTTATCAACATCCACTCTTTCTTCGGCTTTTTTTTGGGGTTGTTCTTCAGGCTCAGCATATTGATCATCAGAAAAGTAGTCTCCATCTTCCTCGAGGACCTGCTCATCTAAACCATCATTGTGTGGAGCATCGTCACCGTAGTCACTCATCTTTGATTATGATAATTGAAACAAATAAACTGATATCTTGAAGATCTTTAGTTGTTCTGCTATCATTTTAAGATTGATAACAATTTTAAATAATTTTTTTTTCAGTAAAAAGTTTGTAGATGCTTACATAACAGCACGTGTGATAACATAACCACGTATTCTCTGATTCTATTTAGATCTCAACCCAAATGAAAATCAACTCCTAACGAGCCTGTATTTGTTTAATTGATTATAAAACAAAAGCAAACAAAAGCTAGAACCAGAAACGAGAAAGTCAAATATATTATTGCATACGAGATATATATTAAATAGACTGGATATATTGACCAATCAAAATGTCTCTTCCATCAGGCGAAGTTCAACAGTTTTTCACAGAACGTCAGCAACAACAACAGAACAATGCAATACCTGAAGAGATTTTAACCTCAATTTCAAGAATTGGTCAAGAACAGATCAACCGAGATCAAGCCTATGCTATTCAGGCAATTCGTTTATCACTTAAATCCAAATCTTCTTATGATGTTTTGCCAGTTTCGTTTAGATTGATAGTTTTAGATACATCATTGAGTGTTAAAAGAGCATTGAATATATTATTGCAAAATTCTATAGTTTCAGCACCACTATGGAATAGCAAGACATCAAGATTTGCAGGGTTATTAACCTCAGCAGATTTTATTAATGTTATTCAATATTTCCATAGAAACCCTGAGCAAGATCAACGTCATAATTTAGATCGATTAACACTAGACAGTTTAAGAGAAATTGAGAAGGCAATTGGGGTTGAACCAATTGAAAAAATATCCACACCACCATTCAGCTCAATTTTTTTGGCATGCGATCAAATGTTAAAGACAAAAGCAAGAAGAATTCCATTAGTCGATGAAGACAAAGCAACTCATCGAGAGATTATTGTATCAGTTTTAACACAGTATCGTATATTAAAATTTGTTGCATTAAATTGTAAAGAAACAAGAATGTTGATGAAACCGCTAAAGGATATCAAATTTGAAAAGAAATATGAAGAACTATCGGTAGCAAGGATGCACACTCCAGTTAGAACTGTTATAAATTTACTAGCTACAAAGGGCATATCATCAGTGCCTATTGTTGATGAGAATTTTAAATTGTTGAATGTTTATGAAGCGGTTGATGTTTTAAGTTTAGTCAAATCTGGAATAAATAATCAAGAGCTATATTTAACGGTTGGACAAGCATTGATGAAAAGACCAGATACATTTGAGGGTGTTTACGTTTGTACATTGAACGATAAATTAGCGACAATCTTGGAGCTTATTAAAACATCTAAACTACATAGGTTGTTTATTGTTGATGAGGAAGGAAAGTTGTTAGGGTTATTAACTTTAAGTGACATTTTAAGATACATTTTATTTGGAGAGACATGACGAACTTTGATTAAAATTCTAGATCCAACTATTAATATTGCTAATAATGTTATTTGGCTGTTATGTGTNTTGTTTTTTGAATTTTTTTTTTTTTTTTTTGCTGCATTTCATTTATTAAGACCCGTGAAATACTTTTTTATACGCAAATTTAAATATCTAGATTTATTGTTTATTTGAATTTCAGTTTCAAAGCGCAAATTTCGATGCTAGTTTTCTCTTAATTTTCAAATCAAATCAAATTTCAACATTTTTTTCAGTGTTTTTCAAAACTAAAGATAGTTTTAATCCGAAATCAAAATATTTACATGATATTAATATATCCAAACAAAGTACTACAATATATGTAAATAAACTAATACAAGTAAAAGATGTACGATCTGCCAGCCCACAATGATTATACACCAACTAACTGCAAGATTAGTGGTTCTTTTGCCAAACATTGCACAGGCATTGAGATGATCAGTTGGTCTTTCCAGATAGTTGACGCCCGTAGCCCAGTAGAAAAAGTGAACAACAGGCAACACGAAAATCCGGATTCCGCACGTTTTAACACGTTTGATTTAGAGAAAAAAGAAGAAGAAGGAGAAGAAGGATAGGAAGCACGCTTTTTGTTTTATACTACTAAATTTACAAAACGTTACCCGCTTTAGTATCCTCGTGCCTTCAGATAGGTTTGAGCACGTGAGCAAGTGGCTCTGTTGAGATGGGTCTCATTTACATGGAAGTAGAGACCATGGGAGTAGAGACTGTTGGAAATGGGATTGTAGAAATGCTAGAACTAAATAGAATATGTATTGAAAACTAGTTTGTAATGCAGAATTGATTTTTCAGAGCGATAGTATGAAAACTGGCCATTCCCACATCAATTTTTTATGATAGATATAAAAGTTTCTTGAAGTCATTATAATAAATTAAATATCAGTTGAATTGTATTGAATTGTAGTGTATTGAATTATAGTGTATCAAGTTTGCACTTAGTGGTGGTGTAATCCAGATGGAAGTTCTTCTAATACAAACCAGTCATCAGCGGCATTTTCAGAAGAGGCAGAAACTTCATGTGTTGCGGATTCGGTTTCAACTGCTTGGGCTTTAAAAGCATCTAAATCGGTACTCAAATCTAGTTCTGGAGATGGGACTTTTGGAGCAGCAGGTAAAGTAAATGGTTTGACATTTCCTTCAGCATCTGCAGCAGACAATGGAGTTGGTTTGTATGCTTTTAATTCGTTGATGTACAAGTCTTGGAGCAAGTTTCTTCTGGCCATAGAGCTTGAAAATGATCTGATAGCAACATTTTGGAATGATAATGTACGAATACTTGATTTAGAAATTTGAGATAACATTTTCACGACCTAATTGATAACTTTTGGTTAATATTGAACTTGCTTCTGCGAGTATTATATCTGCTGTGTCGATGCTGTGTCGATTCTGCTTCTTCCAATACGGCCTGCACGATTGGGGGTTTTCAGTAAAGGCACTGAGAAAATGAAAAACGATTGGCTTGATCTGATTTGTCAAAGATCAGGTGACCTGCCCAGACGCAAGGCCCCTGTGATTTCCCAATTGGAGTGTTACGGAGGGCCCTGCTGCGCTTGCCCACTTTGAAATTTCAACGCAGATAAGCATTGCCCAACTCACTCAGGACGAGCAGCTCAATCAGCAGAGAAATCGCCTGTATCACCAGAAAACAGCCAGAAAACAGCCAGAAAATGGTAGCTATATCTCCTTTGATGTAAGTTGTTGATGCGTTTGCCATATTTTCTTCAATATGTTAATGCTACTAACACCCCTTTTCGTGTATTAGCGACCATGTCTCATCTTCGCACTCCTCCCACAATAACCGATCTCCAAACTCTGATATCCTCAAAAATTTTGATATCAAAACTTGGCTAGATGAAATTAACTGCAAGCAATATTACAGATTGTTCAAAGAAAACGACATAAAATCTTTGGATCTCATCTTGAACTTGGATTACACTTTGCTAAAAGAACTAGGCATCAATAAAGTTGGCGATTTAATAATTTTCGAAAATTCAATTGAATTGTTAAAAGTGAGAAAATTAAACAATAACCTTAATAAAGATAGCCAGCTAATATCCCTCTTTATTGACCAATTTTTGAACTCTCAATCTGATATTCTTAATAAGAATGATACGGATACCAACCATTTTGATCATTCCCATAATCCCAAAAATAATAGCAACAAAATCAATAATAAAAGTATTCTTAAAAAAAAGAAAACCGAGTCGCCAACTACAGATACAATTAAATCCAATGATAGTGATGAAACCCTTAAAATTGACCCACCAATATTTATCCCAATAGCAACCAAAAACAAATCTTCGGCTTCCTCTCCTGTTGATAATAAGTCTACAGTAAATAACAAAGAGGTCACTTTTATCTTAATCGATGGTTCAACCGATAAAATTTATGTAGATGGCTGCTATAATGTTGATACAATTAAAAACAGATTATTAAAACATTTAAATATCAAAGATTTAGCTGAAAATTACAACACTTACTATACAATAGATAATACTAAGAATTTGCATTTAATTCATGATATAGAGTTAATGGCTATTTGTCATTCACAAACAAGGGAAGAGAAAAATAGAATCATTTTTATTAAATCAAATCAAAAACCATCTCAAAAGGCAATCAATAAATCCGTTGAAATAGCCTCTCAATCATCTTCTAATAACAAGAATCACTATATATCAAAAAATAAAAACAAAACAAACCAAAAAGTATTGCCTAACATTATTATTGACGAAACCATCAATCCAGATAATTTCAAGACTGTCTATGGCCAAAGGCCTCCAAGTGAATTGATTTCAACTAATTTAGCTGAATATTTCCCTGATGCAGACTCGACCCAATTGCGAGAAACTATTAGAAATTCGGTTAGATTGTCCAGAGCTTGCTCGAAATTATCAATGCTAGATCTATCTTCTGACATAAGAGATTCTATAATGTCTTCATCTTCAAGTTTTTCTTTCAGTTCAAATTTTTCAACTTTATCAATCAATTCCAATAAAAGGAAAACCATTGGTGATAATTATATCAATAATAACTTAATTTATAATAATGGTAATAACAGTTTTGAAGAGTTTGATAATTTTTCAACTCTAAAATCTCCAAAATACCATTCAAATAAAAAATCAAGCTTACAACATAGTATATCGATTTCAGATGATGAAAATGATAATAATCATAATAGCAGTAATATACCCAATAGTAATATACCCAATAATAATATACACAATAATAATAGTGATAATAGTGATAATAATAATAATAATAATAATAATAACAGATTATCGATAATGGTTCATAATAATGAGCTTGGTAACACTGAAACTATTGATATTGATATGAGTGATAATAATACCGATTTTTATAACTCAGATGCACAGACGATAAAGGGTGAAGATGAAGAAAGATCCATATTGGAAGATTTATCAATTTTAGAAGCAGCAAATTATTCACAAGGTCCTACTAAATGGCTAAAGGGTTCAAGAATTGGAGCTGGAAGCTTTGGTGTAGTTTATTTAGGGCTAAATGCACTAACTGGAGAACTTATGGCTGTCAAAAGAGTTGAAATTCCAAAGAATGTTTCTCCAAACACCAAGTCCAATCCAATGGTGGAGTCTTTACAACATGAAATTAGTTTATTAAAAGAGTTAAGCCATGAAAATATTGTGCGATATTTGGGCTCGAATTATGATTCAAACTATTTGAATATTTTTTTGGAGTATGTTCCTGGTGGTTCAGTATCTTCAATGTTAAACAATTATGGACCCTTTGAAGAGCCTTTAGTGAGAAATTTTACCGGACAAGTTTTAGTTGGATTAAAGTATTTGCATTCCAAACATATTATACACCGAGATATTAAAGGTGGGAATATTTTAATTGACAATAAAGGTTGTGTTAAAATTACAGATTTGGGTATATCCAAAAAGCTTACATCTAAAGACAAAACATCGAAAAGAGCATCTATGCAAGGGTCTGTTTATTGGATGGCTCCAGAAGTTGTGAACCAAACTGCATATACAGAAAGAACCGATATTTGGTCTCTCGGGTGTTTGGTTGTGGAAATGTTAACAGGAAAGCATCCTTATCCAACATTGGATATAACTCAAGCAATTTTTCGAATTGGTGGTAAAAAATATCCCGATATTCCAGAAAAGTGTACGAAGGATGCTAAAAACTTTTTGGAAAAGACGTTTGTAGTGGATTATCTCATAAGACCTTCAGCTGCAGAGCTACTTTATCATCCGTTTTTAAAGACATTAATTTTACCCAAGATATGACTTGTGATTTACATGAATTGTATAAATTGTATAGATTTTATAGATTTTATAGATTTTATAAATTCTATAAATTGTATCGTTTATATAATTTTGTGAGCCAAGTTATTAAAATTAGGAATTATGAATGATAATTTTAATATAAATATTGCAACATAAAATTAGTAGGATTGATAGTGAATATTGTAATAGAATTGGTTAGCTTTACTAGCTTTACTAGATTTATTGGTTTTACTAGTTTCAAAGAGAACGTTTGCAGAGTATACTAAAAGGATATAAATGAGATTGTCTTTTTTAAAGAGAATAAATTTAAACACCTAAATAACCACCATCAATAAAAAGAGTAGAACCGCACATAAAATCTGAGGCTTTTGAGGACAAGAAAATGGTAGGACCTTTTAAATCGTCGCAAAGACCCAATCTACCATAGGGAGTTTTAGCAATTAAAATGCCTTTAATTCTTTCATCTTTTTGGACATAATCAGACATTTTAGTTTCAACTATACCAGGACCTAAGGCATTTACATTTATTCCATATTTTGACCATTCATTTGACAAAGCTTTGACTGTTTGTGTAATAGCACCTTTGGTACTAACATAAGGAAGCAAGTTTAGAGCCCCCGAAACCGATAAAACAGAAGAGGTGAAAATAATTTTGCCCCTGACTTTGTTTTCAATCATATGTTGACCAACCAATTGAGCCAATTTTGCAGGAACTCTCCAATTTATATAAAAGATTTCGTCGATTTCGTCGTCAGGAAATTGAATGAAAGGATGCAGGACAGTGATCCCTGCGTTGTTGATTAAGATGTCTATTTTTTTCTTGTAGGATAAATTTATAGCTTTTTGAACAATTTTTTCATCAATTTGCTCGATTTTCAAGTTTTCAGAAGATAGATCGCAATCAATAGAGGAGACGATAATCTTGTTCTTGGATGCGTTGACTAACAAGTCTATTGTTTTAGTTGGATCTGTTGCTGGTCTATGTACGAATATTATCTGATAGATATTGGCTTCACTTAAAGCAACAGCCATAATTTGACCAATTCCATTTGTTGCACCAGTAATAAGAGCAACTTTTCCATCCAAAGAAAACAAATCGGCTGCATTTCCAGTTAGAACAGACATGATGGTTTAAGAATAAAGATTATGAAAGGGAAAGCAAGTGAATCAAGAAACAAATAGCTCAGCAGAAAAAGAAAGAAGACAATGTGAAATAAAAAAAAAAAGCTCTGGAAGATCCAGTCCTATTTATGCTAAAAATCACAATGCAGAATAACTACTCAAGCAAACCAACAACAAAAATGAGCCTGTAAAAGAATAGGGAAATCAGTTGGAAATATTGAACATAACTGGCTCAGGGAGATTAGAGTTCAGACCAAATTGCTGGAGCAGGCATCTTCCAGTTTAGAACCAATGAATTTCGCTTATCGGTGGAGGTTATCATGCTCCAAAGATTTTGCTTATCCAATGGGACACAAAGCGCTGGAAAGCCCAATTCTTCTGGAAATACTCAGATCCGTCTTTTCCAGCATCATCTCCAGCTCTGGAGACCCGTTTTCCCTGGCCCAGTGCTGAACCACCAGAATTACAGGCCGAGAGATAGCATTGTGCAGGACATAAACAACAAATCCGAGGCAAAAGAGCTCTTGGAAGACAGTGATCTGTGCTTGGCACCGCCAAAGCTGCACTGTGCTGCTACACAAGAACTGTTAGATTATTATTTCGGAAAACCCTAATTCAAACAAACGCCGGATATCTAAAATGCTCGGTTTCGAGTAGCATGACGGATCTGCCGTGGACCGTCTTTGACGGCTCCTTTCGTGCCGATCGCACATCAAGTTCCTCAACTGTGGATCTCCTCATGCGGGCTGCTGCCGCCAAAATTTAACCGTATTACATAATTGCTGACAGTGCGCTGCCACAACCTTATTATTTGTTTTTTCTACAAATGCAACGCAGGGTAAATGTTTTTTTCTTTTTTTTTTATTCATTACTATGGCCTACATTATATCCTTTTCTTCATGTAAACAATCTCCATCCAATCCAATCACACAGCCCAATTCTCTGGTATTGGCTGTTGATTTTCGAACATATCAACCAATTGATAGCACACACAAGCTTTGTTTCCAAAATGAATTTCGGTTCTTCTGCTTTCAACTTTTCCTCTAATTCAACTGCAAATCCTCCCACTAACACCTTAGGCACTTCAATTGGTGGTTATCCTGGTATTTCTCCTAACAACAATAACGGTATCAATAATAGTAACAATAATACCAACAAGAACTCGTTTTCTTTTAATTTCAATAACAAACCGAATCAGAACGTAAATCAGAACCAGAATCAGAACCAGAATCAGAATCAGAATCAGAATCAGAATCAGAATCAGAATCAGAACCAGAATCAAAATCAAAACCAAAACCAAAACCAAAATAGTCTATTCACCAACTCTTTCAATGCATTTTCATCCAATAATATTAATAACAATAGTAACAATTTTATGAACAATGATGCTCATTTTGCAACATTAGATGGATCCCCATATGGTGTCAACTTCTCAAGCGATGATTTCAAATTATCTGAAATGCCTTCTTCAATAACTTCCAATTCATCTTTAAATCAAAACAATACCACCAATTCTAACTCCTCAGCTTCAAACCATGAAAAGAGATCCTCTTTTTCAATAAAAAGATCTTCAATTCCTAATTCTCCCAATTCCCCCAGTTCTTCAAGCTCAACCCCAATCTCAAGCTCTCCTAAAAATCCTTTCACAAAATTATATTCAAAAAATTTATTAAATGACATCAAACTAGATTTAAATTCCATCAATAAAAACAACAAGCCTTTCTCCAATAAAGATGAAAATATCCCTTCTTTCACTTTCAATTCTTTTTTAAACTCCAACGCTAGATCCTTCAAAAATTCCTTTTTAAACTACAATAAAAAAAAAACTTTCTCCGGTTTGTTTTCCTCTTCGCCTTCAACATCATCCCTAATTTCCTCATCTTCTGATAATAACAATAACAACACAACAAAAAACAATGGCTTGTTTGCCTCCAAATCTTTTAATTTCAATTTCAATATGGACATTAATCCAAACTCCGCTTTTCTCTATAGATATAAGCAATTGAATTCAATCAATAACAATAATCTAAATGGTTCAAACAATATCCAATCTGACACCCCTTCAAACGTTAAAACCTTAGTGATTGATCCCGAGGTTTCTGCTGCTAAAAGAAGAAAACTATTATCTGGAATGAAACAAATTCATCAAATTCAAAATCATGAAAGTCACAGAAATCACGAAAATCATGAAAATCATGAAAATCCAATCGACAATTCTCTTGCAAACAATAAAAATACAAAAAATAATCGATCCCAATCAGATTCAACTCCACTGAAGAATAAAAGAAACTTTCAAGACTCATCTGATTACTCACAAAATAACTCCATCAAAAAAATCGATTCCATTTCTAATAGAGAAATCATTCCTCCTAGAAACAAAAAATTAAATGATTTAAATCAAAAAAATACTCAATATTCAGACTACTGGTGTTCACCATCAATCGAATCTCTACTGAAACTACCCCTACATAAATTATCATCCATTAAAGGTTTCATTATTGGTAGAAAAAATTTCGGTCAAATCAACTTTGATTCATCAGTAGATTTTGTTTCTTTCGTTCAAGACTTTATTCCAAACTTTCCAAATGACTCTTCTCCATTAGATTTCCAACTCCAAAGCACTAAATCTACAGCAATTGATAATAAAAATGTTACAAATAACATCAATAATAACATTAACGATAACACTAATAATACTAACAACTCGTTAGTCAATCATTTAAGGAAGAAACTATTTCACAACATTGTTAAATTTAACTCAAAAACTGTAGAGGTTTATTCAGACGAATCCATAAAGCCTGCCATTGGTTGTGGCTTGAATGTTCCTGCCACTATTACTTTAGAAAATTTATATCCTGCCTCTTTTGAAGAAAAATTAAACAATAATAAAACTTCAAAAGAAAAAATTGAGTTTGATGACAGCAACGAAATTAGAAAATTCATCCTTACATTGAAAAGACAGAAAGAAATGGAATATGTCAATTATATTCCAACTTCTGGAAGCTGGACTTTCAAAGTTAACCATTTCAGTATTTGGGGTTTAATTAGTGAAGATCCTTCAGATGAAGACGAACCAAAAACTGACTTGGAAGATAATATCCCCCAAAAATCACCTTTGCCAGAAATTATAAATCATTTGGAAAGCAAATCAAATTTAGAAACCAAGAAAGTTGCAGATTTAAAAATCTTAGAAAAGACAGTTTTACCAAAAGAACGACAAGCTCAAAAAGTACAAAAAGCTCAAAAAGCTTCTAAAAAACACTCAAATGATTGGTACACTCAAGCCACACAGTTTGATGTTAGTAACTACACAGCATCAAATTTTGATGATGAAAAAAACAATCATGTTACACAGGGTGAAAAAATCACTAAAAATATAAACCGGAACGAAACATACTTGTTTGAAGGTGAGTTTCCTGTTAAGAAAATAAAAATCGATAACGATGCATCAAACATTTCTTTTGTTCCCGGTGGTTGGAGTTTCTCTAATGACATAGTGCCCACTGAAAAATCTTTGAATGAAAAAATCAACATCATTGAAGAACCTGAGAAAAAACAAAATAAAACGAAAACTGATTATAAAATTTTGCAAGATGTGGAACAACAAGTTGAACCCAGCCTGAAAGACATAATTAAACAAACCGGTCTGAAACTAGTCCATGTTATCAGCAGTGATACTGAAGAACCCTATGGAAATTTACTTGATATTGATATGGAAGAAGATATTGATATTACCAAAGGTGTCAGGGAAAAGCAATACGAATCTTTAGGTGTTGATGACCGTGACTTGGAACTATTAACCATTGAGCCAGATTTTGCTGTTTCAGACAATTGGGAAGTTCAATTACAACTATCAGCTGCAAGCAATTCAGCGTTTTCAGAAGGTGCAGAGGAAGTTGTTGAAAAAATGCTCCCCAAATTGCCTTTTAGTGAGAAATATTCATCAATTAAGTTAGACAATTTGTTATTTGAAGATTTTGATGATTATTTAAATAAACAAAATAAAATTTTCAACAGTTTAAGAATTAATAATAGAAAAAACTTTGTTAAATGGAGCCCCAATGGTAATTTAATAATGAATGATTCTATTTTTGAACAAAAATCTGGATGTAAAATTTATTCATTTAGTAAAAAGTTTGAGGATGCAAATAAAACTATAAAGGGATCTGTATATGAAAAAATTTTCAAGGAGCATTTTGCTATATCAGATATTGCTACTAGAAAATCAAATGATTATCCTGTTTGCAAACCAAAGGATATCAATAAAACTTTGAGTTTTGAATTACTATCGAGTTGCTTTAAGAAAGATATTAATAGTAAATTCTTAAATAACGAAAGTGGATTTTGGGAATTGGCATCAATTTTATTTGAAGATAACCAAAAGGTCTTTACCAGTCTCTCCAAATGGATTGAGAAGGAAGTCACATTGGAAATTGATGAGAAATTAAGTTATGAAAAAGATGAGTCTGCTAAAATATTTCTTTTGTTATGCAAACACGACATCAAAGGAGCTATTTCGTTGGCAATAGAAACAAAACATTTTAATTTGGCTACTTTAATAACATTATTGGGAAGTGGAGAAGAAAGTGTATTTTTTGGTGCGAAAAGCCAGCTAGAGTTTTGGATCAAAACTTCAGCAATAAATTATATTCCTATTTCTGTATTAAAAGTGTATGGGCTATTGACTGGTGAGCCATTGACAAATGAATACGAATCATATTTTAATCTTGTTGAAAATTTATCATGGAAAGTTTGCTTGGGGTTGGAGTTATGGTATGGAGAAATTAAATTAAAAGCACATGAAATAGTTTATAATTTTATTCTAAACGAAAGCAAAACTGTTGAATTTTCTAAATTTTCAGAAGACCATTATTTAAATATAATAAAATTATATGGAAAACTCAATAATAACTATAACAGCAATGATATTGGACAAATAATTTCAGATTTTAAAGGGATAAATGAGTTTGATGTAAGGATTCAATGGTACATTTATAAAATCTTAAATGGGTTGAGCAAATTTGATAAAGTTTCTCAAGAAAAAGTTGACGAGATTGAAGATAAGTTAACAATTGGGTTTGCAGATGAATTAGAGACTATGAAAATGTATTCCGAAAGCATATTTATTTTGAGTAATTTAAATGAAGATAAAATTTGCAAGAAATCTATTGATAGATTAGTGATGAACAAAATTGAGCAAATTACACATAGAATTGATATCAAGATTTTGGAAACCTTGATCCATGGATTAAAATTACCACAAGAGTTAATATCCAAAGCTATTGCTTTAAATTACAGATACTATGGAGATTACTGGAAAGAAGTTATGACATTAATTAGTGCAAACTCTTTTGATGAAGCTCATAAAAGAATAATTGAAAATATTGCACCAAACTCTATAATTTGCAAAGGTAACCTTATTTTGAAGTTGAATAACTTGATTGAAAGCTTTCCAATAAACGAAGTTCAAATCAAGAACTGGTCAAATGGGTTGCAGGTGTATAAGGACTACATCTCACTTTTAAAACTTGCTGAAAAAGAAAAAGAAATTGAAGATAACAAAAACAATAACGATGCTGAGATTGATCTGTTCAAAAAGCAAAGGGCGTCGATTTTGATGAAATTATTGAAGAGTATCGACTTGTTGGAGAAGAAGAATTTCAAAATCAAAGCTGCCAGTCTAATCATGAAGAAAGACGTGAAAAGATTCATCAAGCACGACATTCTCAAGAATAAGTATCTCCAGGACATCAAAATTGAAGAGATTGTGTTTTCCAGATGATAAACACTCGCAAGCATCAAATATGTCAAATTTTTATCCAGTTGCGTTTATTTGGGTTATTTTATATTATTTCAGTTTTATATTTGATCTGTTACTTTTTATGATTTTTGTTTATATCTGGTGTGATCCCGAACGAAAAGGGATTCAGTGTAGCATATCCGGAAAAACAGTGTTTCCAGCGAAATTTCCCGACCAGAGCAAAGTTAGATCCCGTGATATCCCCGTAATGACTCACATTCCTGGGCCTTGCTGAAAAATTTGTTATCTCATGAAGAGCTGAGTGGTTTATCTATCCTTAGAGATAATAATTGTATATCAACACTGGCCTTTTAACGTGAATTGTTTGTGCGATTGAACCGAGATGTCTTTAGAATCCAGAATCCTCCAGACTTTGAACGACAGCGATGAAATCGTTGGCTCGAAAGGCTTTGAAAATGAGTCTTTCGATTCCATGAAAGCTGTATTGTCGTCTTTATTTTCCAGTGAAATGATCGATTATAGGACAAACACTATTGAAAAATGGGTTTTAACAGATGAGGGTTCAGACATTGCCAGCAATGGTTCATATGAATACAATCTTTTGAAAACAGTTATAAAATTGAATGGTTTGTCCTTGGCTGAAGTTTCGAAAATCAAAAATGGTAAAATTGGTCAAGCAAAAGCTTTCAGAAATAAATGGATATCAAAAAATGGCAACACATTAATTGCCAGCGATTTATATAATCTAGATAACTTGCCAATTGATGAAACCGCTGAACTTCTACTTGAGATTCAAAAAAATGGTACTTTAGATAACAAAAAGGTCTTAGCAGACTTGAAAAAGAGAAAGTTGATTAGCTTGACTAAAGTTTTCACTTTTGATATAAAAAAATCTTCTAATTTTGCCTTGCAAAAAACAAAATTTGAAGCAGACATTACAATGGATTTGATTCAAAATGATTCTTATAAATCAGCCTCTTTCAAACCTTACAACTTTAAAACTAAAGGTGTTCCAGTCAATTCTGGTGCTTTGCATCCTTTGAACAAAATTAAAACTGAGTTCAAAGAAATTTTCATTAGTATGGGATTCAAGGAAATGCCAACAAGTCAGTATGTTGAAAGTGGATTTTGGAACTTTGATACTTTATACGTGCCTCAAATGCACCCCGCAAGAGATTTACAAGATACCTTTTATCTTTCTGATCCAAGTTATGCAAATCCACCCGAAGATAAAACTTATTGGGAAAACACCAAAAATGCTCATGAGGGTGGTTATTATGGCTCAATTGGTTACAGATATCCTTGGAAAGGTGATGAATCTTTAAAAACCGTCTTAAGAACCCATACAACTGCTATTTCTTCACAGATGTTATATCATTTAGCCAAAGATCCTAAACCTATAAGATTATTCTCAATTGACAAGGTTTTCAGAAATGAAGCTGTTGATGCTACTCATTTAGCTGAATTCCATCAAGTTGAAGGTGTTTTAGCTGATTATAACATTTCTTTAACCGATTTAATTAGTTTCATGGAAGACTTTTTCAGCAAGATGGGTGTCTATAACTTGAAATTCAAACCTGCTTATAACCCATATACAGAGCCAAGTTTAGAAATTTTTTCTTATCATAAAGGATTAGATAAATGGGTTGAAATTGGAAATTCAGGTATGTTTAGACCTGAAATGTTACAACCAATGGGCTTGCCAAAAAATTTGAATGTTCTTGGTTGGGGTTTAAGTTTAGAAAGACCTACTATGATCAAATATGGTGTTAGTAATATTAGAGAACTTTTAGGTCATAAAGTTAGTTTAGATTTCATTGAACACAATCCTGCTGCACGTCTTGACGAAGATTTATATTAAACTAATCAGGATTAACGTAATTTATAAGCATACTCTGTATTTTTTCTTCTATTTTTTTCCTCTATTTTTTTCCTTTTCCTTTTATTATGTCATTTTTAAATAAATAGTTCAATTTTTAATTAGATCTACATTTTTTTATCTTTTTTTTTTATAAATAAATAAATAAACAAAAATAGAATGATTTATATTACAATCTAAAATCAAAGGAAAAACAAAACAGAAAAGAAAATAATAACAAAATAAAACAAACAAACAAACAAACTCACTATTTTTATTATTACATGGGTTTCAATTGAGAAAAATGAAAACAAAAAACATGAAAACTAAAATAAATGCAAACAAAACATTAAAAAATGAACATCAATTTTCCTTTTTATTTTATTTAAAAGCATCAAGTCAGTAACTAACTGTATATACCCTGAGTAATCAATTGAAATTGATCATATAGTCTGGTATAAATGCTCCCAAGACTTTTTTGAATCAAATAATTTTCAACAAATTTATCACATTCTGAATCTGTTAAATGCAATTGAAATCGTTGCCTTAATTGGATACCTGTTTGATCTCCTGCTTTAAAACAAGGCAAAGAACTTTCTTTTTGCATTAATTCTACCATTGTTATCACACTTTCAGCATGTTTTCTAATGATTTTGAAACTTTCTTTCATCAATCTACTAAATTTATGAAAATATTCTCCATCCACACCTCCTAATATATCTACATACTCTTGAGTTAATTTGAATGGAGCAGCTTCAAAACCAACACTACCAGGAGAATTTGATAGCAAAAACCCGAAATCAATATGAATAATGTGTCCTTCATTATCCAACATTATGTTACCATTATGTCGATCTTTTATTTGTAATAAATAACAAATCAATGAATATGGAGCCAAACTACAGGCAAAATTGTCTTGTGCTCTATTATATCTTAGGGAGTTTTCGTCACCAAATACTCTTTTAAAGTGCTCTGTCAAAGGTGGAACTGTACCTTTAGGGTTTTCTCCGTTTTCGATCAAAATTCCTGTTAGAGATTTTTTAATTGAGTGGATTGAAATAGCATTTGTGATAGTTTCAACCAACCCAGTATTAGCACTTGTAATCAATATTCTCATTTTTTTGACCCAAACTTTGCCGTTGGCTTCCTTTAAAATGTCTGCAATAGCTTGAATTAATTGACATGCAAATGCTTCTTGTCTTAGGTCATCGCCATTTTTTGCAATCACAGAACATAAATCCCAATCTTCGAAATGGCCATATGGGGATTCCTTTCTTATTCTTTCTTTCTTGGTGTCCCAATCCTCACCAAGGTATGAAGTTGAGTTTTTATTAGAGACACCACCTAATTTTAGATCATTTTCTAATTTTCTTTCACCTCTTTCTCCTCGAATCATGTAATCATTAAGTCCAAAATTATCTTGAAATGATTGCATTGATGCAATGATTTTTGCTTTTATAGCTGCGCTTTGATCAGAAGGTAAAGTATTACTTGGATTGTCTAATTGAGTTAACATGACAGCAGCAATTCTCATGTGAGTTGCAAGATCATCATTTGTCATGTTGGGATTTCTGCCTGGTTCTAAAAATGAATAGTTTGAGCTAAAGTTTAAATCAGAATTTCTAGGGGGTTCTGGAGCTAATTTATATGATTTTGTACCATTGACTAGTTTAGAATAAGAATTCTGAGTATTGTTGATTGGAGGAGAATCTAATATGGGCACATCCTGAGTATTGGCAACGAATAATTCTTTTCTGAGTCTTTCATTTTGAATTTCATTATCAGTGATTTTAATGACCGATAAATCAGCCAAATCTGCTTCATCGATGTCACCCTCCTTTTCATTTATATGCAAATGAGTATCGTTGTGGTCGATATTGTCATTATTATCATTATCATTATCATTGTAATTATCATTATCATTAAAGCCGGTTGATTTTGGAGAATTTAAATTTGTGGTTTGGATACCTAAATCAAAGATATAAGTTCTATCAGGTTTTTCTCTTAATAGTTGTAAATTTGTTGAGGAAGAAGAGTCAAAATCTAGATCGTTGTTTAAATACTCTATTAGTAAAAGAAAAGGAACTCTTTCAGCGGAATTTAAAACAGCAGCTTCATTTGGAGTTATTCTAACGATTTTGTGTAATTTTCCCTTTTTGTTTGGAGGAAATAGAGTGGGGATATCAACTTCAGCAGGTAAATCTTTATTTAGTAGAGATAGTTCAGCTTTGAGAGAAGCCAATCTTGCTTCTTTTGGGACTTGACTTAATCTTAAGGATATTTGTTGCAAAGCTATGGCAAATTGGGTTTCACATCTGTAATAGTTTGATTTTAGCAATTTTATTTTTGTTGTTGTTGACATTAAAGTGGGAGATATATTTCTAATATTTGAGCCATGGTGTCTTGAATTTGAAGATTTATTATCTCTTTTTCTGCAATTTAAAAGCAGAGAAGACCTACTTAAAGTCTGAGCTCTTCTTAAAATTATTGGGTTGGATAGAGTTGAGTTAACAGAGTGGGTGGAAGAGGTGGGAGAAGGAATATTATTATTATTATTATTGTTATTGTTATTGTTATTGTTATTGTTATTGTTATTGTTATTGTTATTGTTATTGTTGTTATTATTTGAATTTAATTTTAAATCTGGATCTGATTTTGAGTTGTAATTTAAATTTGGCATGGATTGAGAGTTTTGGTCTATATTATTGATATCGCTTAGTTTACTCAGAGATAAGTCATAGTCGTTATAAAAATTTGAGGATAGGTAGTTTTCCAAGATTAGAGAAGAATTTCTGTTATGAGACCTTGAAGGAGGTTTATTTTTATTGTTGTAATTGTTATATAGGTTTTTATTTTTAAGAGCACCACCATCGGTATTGTTGTTGAATAAAGAGTTTGGGTATTTATCGATTAGATCAAAGTTGTCAAAAGTTGGAGGAGTGTCGGGGATTGGTTTTTTAAATTGATCGTTCATGTTTTTTAGGTTTATAGATGAAGGCTGAATTGTGTCAAAATTAATTTGAGTGTTTAAGTGGTTTGCGTTATTGATGTTATCGAAACTATGTAGTTTGACTGGAGAATTGAGAGATTTTTGGTTATGGTCATAATTGAGATTATTATTGTGATTTTGGATATGATTTTGGACATGATTTTTGAAAGGATTTGAGGAATTTGTAAAAGAATTTGAGGTTGAGGTTGAATTTAAGTTTAGCTGAGATTTTGAGCTTGAAACAGATAAATACGAATTTTTTTTCGTATTTTTTAGAGTTAAATTTTTGACTAGTTCGTCGGAAAAGTTTTTAGCAATTTGGAAGACATAGGTTTTTTGTTTTCTGCCCTGGGATTTTGCTAGTGGGCCAATATGGGAAGCTAATTGAGGTAAAGCGATGGCACCAGCTATTGCACTTGATAAGATTAGAGCAGGAGCAATGTTTTCTCTGAATTGGTTGGATGGAGGAGGAGTAGCGTTGTAGATGACATATTGTAGAGAATTTAACATTTTTCTTGTGATTTGAAAGCCAAAGGATTCAGGGTCCTGGCTTAAGTCGTGCAAGTGAGCTTGTAGCTGCCAAAAGGCCAATAAGGTGAAATGGGGATGCTGGGAGGATAAATCCAACAATAAATCCTCAAGAGCCATGGACTGAGTCTCGACAGTGACTAGAATTTGGCATAGCTGGGGAACAAAAAACTGGATTTCGTCGTATTTGTAGGATCGTATTCTTTGGCATAAATAAGAAAAAATACCAATGTTTGAGGCATATCTCTCTAGATAGGAAATACATAAAAACAAGCTGAAATGCTGAGAGTTTATCAACCTCAAAAGCATTGCATTTCCACTAGACTGATCCATTTTGAATGAAAAGTGCTATGTATACAACAAGCAGGTAATTGATCGTGTTTGCTGTTAGAAAAAGCGCTGCAATTAGTAGGGGAGTGTGAGCAATTGGACCAAAACAAGCAAACAAGCAGCAGAAGCAGCAGAAGCAAGGAAAGCAGCAACTGGAGGAAGCACTGCAAATGAACAACAACCAGCAAAGAGCTGGAGAATTGCAAACCACTGCTATGTCATAAATCCGTCGTTCACCTGTAGAGAGACGCCGCTGCACGCCCCATCTGTGGCAGTGGCAGCCGGTTGAGCGCAGTGTGGCTGGAGCTTGTACTGCGCACGTGTGTCGGTGCAGCATAGGAAGCACGGATTCTACTGCAAGTACCGACTGAGACTTCGGGCGGCACGCGAGACCCTGTTTTCGTCGCCAGGACCGGGCTCCGACAGATCAGTTAGCGGCACATGTTGAACTTTCTGCTGCACTGCTGGGGGCGTCTCAGTGCTGATGAAAATGCCGACGCCACTGATCGAGGTGTCGATTCCGTTGGCGACAGTGCTGCCCGTGCTTCTCGTTCTGATACGACACGCCGAGCCCATGCTGCTGGAGCTTCTCGCACTGCTGTCGTCGCCAGTCTCTGTTTGGATGGCCTCGTCTCCAGTGCTAGCGCTGGAGGATGTCTCTGGTATTGTTGCAGCGTTTAAGTCACAGTACTTGTTCAAAGACCTGGAAATGTCAGTTCTGTTGTCTGAGTTGATCACGCCGCTGATGTTGGTGTTTGTGCTGCTGTTGATAGTCACTGCTTTCGTTATGGGACCTGACATGCTATGTGTTATTGCAGGCATCAGGGGTTCATTAATCTCATCTTCAGTGTGGTTTCTATGTTCACCTGGGAAATATCTTCTGTTAAATTCCAATCTATGATGGTTGGTGCTGCCTGTGTTTATCCTCGCTGTTGCTGGAACTGCTACTGCCATTGATGTAGAGATGATAGGCTGTGCTCCTGTGATTGCATTTGTCATTGAAAAGGGAAGCAAGACAGAATTCGAGACCATTGTTGGCAATGTGTTGGGTTGGGAGCTTAGAGACATGGTGGGAGACTTGCAAAAGGATGAATGCGACATGATTGAAGAAACAGTGGAGTTTCCCAACGAAGTGGACGCTGATAACTTCGCGGCGGATAACCTGGGTCGAACGTAGGTGTTGACCAAACTGTTGTTATGATCTAGAGAATTGGAGTTGTTAACTTCAACTTCATTTTCTTTGTCTATTTGGTTAATTGAATTGTAAGTTTTGGACAATCTGTTGACATTTCTAGATGCAATCAAATCATTGATTTCCTTATACTCTTTTGCTTCTATGTTCTCATTGATATTTTCAGGAATGGTGTAAAACTCCTTTGAAATTAAAATGTCGTTGTCTTTATTGTAGGCAAGATTGTTGTTGAAGTGTGAAAGATTATCTTCCAGTTGAAAATCTTCCTTTTTTTTGCCTTGTGATTTCAGAAGCGAGTCTATGTGAATATCGTTGTTACTGAAATTTTGAGAGGAGGTTAGATTGTTTAGATTGTTTAGATCTATGATATTTGATTCATTTGATAGGGTTGATTGGATTGAGATGGAATGTGTGTCGTTAAGGCTGGGTTCTAGGATTATTATGTTGCCACTACTCTGGTCGCTAAATGAAGTATTATCAATCTCGATCTGAATCTCATTATTAATCTTATTGTTGTTGTTGTTGTTGTTATTATTATTATTATTATTATTATTATTATTATTATTATTATTATTATTATTATTATTATTATTATTATTATTATTATTATTACTATTGTTATCAATCTCATTGTTATTATCATTGTTATTATCATTGTTATTATCATTATTATTATCATTATCAATTACATTAGTATTGATGCTATTTTGAATATTTGAGGAATTTGATTTCTTTTTTACGAGCTGATTTAGGTTTTTTATGGGAGATTTTTTAAGATTCAAGTCAATTGAATGAATCGAATGAGTTGAATGGCTAGAAGGGAATTGATCATTATCATCAGAATCTAGAAGGGGGTTTTCCAAGTAATTTGGATCGGGATAGAAAGAGTCTTCGATATCAGTTTGGTTTATGCTTCTGTCATCGTCGGAAGTGTAGGTTGGTTGGTTTCGGGGATTATTGATTGAATTGTTGGTGCTGGTGTTAATGTTGGTGTTGATGTTGATGTTAATATACTCTGTGTCATTTACGTTGAGTAGTTCTTGATTTATAATTGAAGCGCTAGAAGGGTTGTTTAGTTGGGACATTAGTTTTGATAGTAGAGGGTACTGTGATTTGTTGATTGAGTTCTTGGAGGAGAGTTTTTGGAGAGAATCATTTTTGTGAGTAAACAAGTTTTTTTCTATAAAGGTTAGAGTTTTAACGAGGTCTAGAATTGAGTCGTTGGATAGTTCTATTAGATTGGATAGCTGGGATAGGTTTGAGGTGATTTGAGAGAAGTTGTTTTTGAGGATGGTGTTGATGTTTGTATTTATATTGAAGTTTATATTTTTGTATTCCAGTGAATCTTCGATATTTTCAGAGGTATCAAAGTTATGAGAATCAGATATATTGTTGGCGCTATTAGTTGCGCTACTGGTTGCACTATTGGTTGCACTATTTGTCGAGCTTATAGTATTTGGATTGTTGGCGATTATGTTTATTGATTTCCTTTTTTTTTTGAATGAAAGATAAGTTGAATTTAAGTTTTTCTGGAGGATAGTTAGCTCATTGAAAATGTGGTTCTTTTGGAAACTGAATAGAAAGTGGATTGAGTTGGATAGATCTTGTTTGTAGTTTGTAGATACTAGCAATAGAGAGTTGACGAGGTTGATGTAGGCTAAGTTTATATCGTTATTTTTGTTTATAAGATGGTTAAGTTTGAAGTTGTCGATGGTGGGAAGGGGAATATTGTCTTTGTATTTTTTGTTCAAGTTTTTGTTAAAAGTGAACTGCTGAGGATCGATTGAAGACAAGTTTTGATCTGAGATTGAGGTTGAGTCTGAGGTTGATAGAGCTTGGGCATCTGGATCAGTTGGAGTGATCAGAATTGTGGTGGTGTTGTTAGTAGGGGCAACGGATGGGTTCTTGTTGGAGTTGTTGAGGATCGCAAAGGGATTGAAGGTGTTTAGATTGGGAGTGAAATTGGAAGCAGAGCCCAATATTTTCTTGGACAAGGATGGAGGTGTAGATGCTGGAAAGGAGGAAGAGTCTTTAAGGGAGATGTGGGCAGGAGGGTTGGTGTTCAAGATGTTGAAGAGGTCGTCGTAGAAGTTCAAGTTTTCTTCGGTGGAGCAGTTGATGGGGTTGGAGCTGACGTTGTTGGTGGAGAGGGCAGGCGAGGCAGAGGCCGAGAGAGAGGCCAACGAGGGCAAGCTGAACAAACCCATTGGTGAGAAGCAGAGGCAGCAGACGCAACAGAGGCAGCAAAAGAAGAGCCCTTTATGCCCCTGCCGTGGCGCATTGGCGCATGCAAGCACGCATAAACACACATGCTGCTCACGTGCGTCCTGTGCTGCTTCTGCTGCGTGGCGCGTGCTTCCAGTGGCGCGTGGCGGTGGGATGCTTTTTGCCTAACATCCCGTGTGGGTTCTTCTGGCACTGCTGCCTGTGCTGCCTTTGCTGTGTGGGACTTTGCAGAGCTCAGCACAACTTCCCCTGCTGCCACCATTGCTCCTTCTTATCGTTCTCCATCTCCAGCTCCTCGTCCAACACACCCTTCCTATCTTTCCTGTCCCATTCCACTGCCCTTTCCAATTCCAACTCCATTTCCAAGTTTAATTTTATTTCCAATTCTAATTCGAACTCGAATTCAAATTCAAATTCAAATTCAAATTCAAATTCAAATTCAAATTCAAATTCAAATTCAAATTCAAATTCAAATTCAAATTCAAATTCAAATTCTAACTCAAATTTTAATTCCATTTCCAACATTTCTTACCTCTCTCTGTTATTTGCTTACCTGTTTATACTTATCTTTCTAACAATAACATTACACTTTCTACCTTACTATTTTTACTTTCCTTAATTTCTATTCGCTTCTCTTCATTTCGTTTTCTTTCATTTCATCTCTCTTCTTTCAACATAACCTAATTTCCTCTCTTCTCTTCTCTTCTTATATTCATGTATTTATAATGAAACGTTCCAAAGAATTTGGATTTAGCATCTCTAATACCACCAATACTAATCCTAATCCTAATCCTAACACTAACACTAATACTACAAGTTCAAACTCAAGAACTTCCTCTTCCTCTTCCTCTATCTTTTCTAATTTCAAAAAACTATCCTTATCTTCAAAATCAAATAACAATAATACCGCCAATACAAATACAAATACAAATACAAATACAAATAACAATAACATATTTATAAATAGACTAGGTCAAAACTCAATTTTAAATCAACCCGATTCATCTTCAAATGATCCATCAATGCCAATCAATAACACATCTTATCCCAACTACAACAACCTCAACAACCTCAATTTATCAAAGATAAAATCAAACCAGTCCTCCACCCTACAGCCCTCCAACCTACAACCTGACCAAATCATTTCCTCAAAAAAAAAAAGACAAAACAACCTCAACATAAATGTCTCTCCATCACACTCTCATCATCGCCAATCCTCTGACTGGTTTATAACCCATCAAGAACTCAACTCTCTATCTGATCTACACCCAATTCCCACTGGCACTTCCTTTCTCTCCCGAAAACCTCCTCCCCCTTCCTCCTCCTCTCTATCCTACAACAACCTCCACCGCCATTCCTCTTCCTTCTCCAACAATTCCCAATCCTCAAGCAATGCCTCAATATCCCTATCTCTAAACCCTCAACCTCAACTTCAACTTCAACCTCAATCCCAACCACACCTCCTCCAATCCCAAAACATCCTGCCCCAATTCCCCTTGTTCAACCTTGAAATGCCCAAAGATGAAGAAACAATAGAAAAATTATTCAACCAGCTAATGGCAAAAAGAGACTTTAAAAGTCTACCTGACCCTGCTAAACTAGAAATGAAAAACTTCTCCCCAGCAAAAAAATGGATGCTTATCTACCAAGACGCCCTAGGCGACTACAAAAGACAAGAAAGATTGATATCAAAGGGCTCTCAGAACATGACTCCAGAATCTTATGTCCAAAAACTAATGGACAAAAGCATCAACATCAAACAGCTCAACAACCTCTGGATATCCCTAAGAACTGAACCTGTAACCTGGGTTAGAAGCTTTATCGATGCCCAAGGCCAAATCGCCCTATCTACCGTTTTACAGCAACTCCACCAAAGGCAAAGACTAACCAACCCTCTTTCTGTCGACGAATTCCTAGAGAAGGAAAACTGCATCATAAGATGTTTGAAAGCTGTTGTAAACTTGAGCATAGGCGCCAACAAGGCCTTGGAATCAAAAATATTCGTAACCGCTATAACAACTGCCCTAGTATCTCCTAGACTAACAACAAGAAAATCCGTCACTGACATGCTAACCTTCTCAGCTCACTGGATGCCTCCAGAAGGCTACAATCAAGTCCTAAAATCCCTATATTCGATAACCTCAAACAACATCTACTCAACTCTAAATTCAAACACCTCAAAAAAAAAAAATTCCGATAAACTCAAAAAATCAAAATTTGACGACGACTTAACAAAGAAAAATGGCTTTAAAAGATTTGAAGAATGGCTACATCTAGTTATAAACACTATCGATGGCAGAGGAAAAATGGGCTCACTAGTTGGGGCAAGTGAAGAAATCAAATCTGGTGGCACTGCTGGCGAAAATCAACTACTAGAATACGCTCTCGCTACAATGCTACTAATAAACACAATCGCTAATGGCGGTGAAGACCACAAATTTAGAACCCATATAAGAGCTCAATTAAGATCTGGAGGTTTAAATCTTTTATTCAACAAACTAAAAAGCCTTGATTACGAATTGATATCAGAACAAATAAGAAAATTCGAAGAAAATGCTTCCCTAGATTACGAATCCCTATTAAGAAATGATAATTTCGATGAAACGATCAACATGGAAGACCCAACAAGTCTAATATCAAATATATGGAAAAAAGTTAAAGGCACAGAAGCTGAAGGCTACTTTTTATCAACTGTTCAACACATTTTTTTAGCTCAAGCCGACCCGCTAAAATCAAAAGATAATCCGGAATTTACAAGATCTTTTAGATTAATCGATGGCATAATTTCTGGAATTTCAATGCATTCGTCGAATGATGAAACTACTGTAAATATAGCAATCCAGCGGTTATTTTCAAGTTTGCAAACTGATGAAATAGCCAGAAGAGCTCTTTTAGAATTAAAAGAAGCAAACAAAAAAACAGAACTTGCAGTCGCCGAAAGAGATGAACTAGATCGCCAACTCTCCTTAGGTTCCGAAGGAATGATTTCAAAACTTAAAATCGAACTAAAAGCTCAACAAGAAATTATAAGAAAACAGCGTGAGATGAATGAAAGAGTATCAGGTGAATTGGATGACCTAAAAAGACAACATTTAAGAGAAAAACAAGAACAGGAACTAGAAATGAGGGAACTTTTGATTCTGATTAATAATACTGGTGATGCGAAAACTCCCTTGACCGACGAAAATATCTCGAAAAAACAAATTATCAAAATGATCCAAGAAAATCTTACTAAAAACAAGAGCAATTTGAAAAAACAAACAAGAAAATGGGGAAACTCTGTTGAACCAAGCTCAAGATTGAGAAATTTAAGAGATAAAATGGACTCTCTTGAAAATGAAGCATGGCAACTACAAATGGTCGATTTTCCGGAACATGAGACTCCTACAACTCCCATAGCTCCTGTATCGATAGTAATAAATCAAGTTTCAACTCCAGAAAAAAAATCAAATCGAATATTTTCTTCTCCAATACTCTTGCCTAAAGATAAGCCGTCCAATAAATCAATGCCCACGACAAAAGAACTTGAAAGTGACTTAGACAGATTGACTGTCTTGAGGAAAAAGTTGGAATTATTGCAAAAAGATTCTAACGATATTATAAAATATAGTAGCAAGCTTGAATATGAAAAATTACTTAAAAAGAAAAAAATGATGGCATTCGATAGACTTAAAGAGTTGCAAAGCAACTTCTCTGACTTTAAGCTTGATTTTTCATTGGATGAAATCACATCACTAGCAGATGAAATAGGGAAAGAACCTCAAAGTAAACCTCAGACTATTTCTCCGTTTGAAACCGTTATCAACGTGTCTGAAATACCTAAAAATGGTACTTTGACAACATCAATTAATGATAAGTTACAAGAAGAACTTAATGGTATTGAAAGATTAAGAGAGCAGCTTGAAATCAAATTAAAACTTATTGATGAAAGAGAAAAAAGTATGGATGAACTATTAAAGAAAAAGAAAACTCAAGTTTATATGCAATCAGTTGCCGTTGGAACGTCAGATGATATAGTAAGTTCAGAAAGTTCAACTACATTGGCTGATGATGCATATGTGGCATCAAACGATAGTTTTGTGGGCGAAAATTCTACAATATTGGATATATTGGAGGATAGATATGCTCGAGGTAAAGTTCAAAGCAACAAAACTTCTGTTGTTCGCTCAGATCTGGTTCAAACTTATGTTCTGCCCGATACAACAAGTGATGGTTTTAAAGTTGATTTTCTTAAGGAATTGGAAAAGACTGTTTCAAGAGTACCATCAATTGATGAAAACAGTGTTTCAATACAAAAAATTAATAAGGTCCTGCTTTTAAAGAAAAAACCATCCAAGTTGAAAAAACTACTAATCAATAGACCTTCACAAGCACAATTAGATGAAGAATCTGATGAAGAAGGAGATAATGAATCGGACATTCAACAAATTAAAAAAAAGAGAACCAAGAGAAAGGTTTCCAAAACACAAATTGTTGAAATTTCGTCAGATGAAAATAGTGATACAGAAACTGAAACAAGTATTGTCAGAAAAGAAAAGCGAAAGCCATCAATTAAAATTGACTTAACATCTGAATCACCACCACCATCACCAAAATTACCACAATTCCCACCATCACTACCATCTCCTTCATCACCAATTCCTCCACCACCTGGTACCTCTATTTCACCTACTAACAGTGTGGATGAAAGTCAAGATACTCAAGAAACTATATCATCACCTCCACCACCACCACCTCCTCCTCCTCCACCTCTCCCATCTATTTTCATGAAGCCTCCAGCGCCACCTCCACCTCCACCTCCATTACCAGGTTTTTTTTCTGATATTTCAGCAGGTCCTGGACCTATTCCTCCGGCACCACCTTTCATTGAAAAATCGCTATACAGAAAATTTCAAATGACTTACGATGTTAATAATCCATTTAGTAATTATCCAAGACCAAAAAGAAAGCTTAAACAATTACATTGGGAAAAAATGGAAAACACAGAAAACTCTTTTTGGGAAGGGCTTGAAACCTTTAAACTTACTACAGATTTGTATGAAAAGGGTATTTTTGAACAAATGGAAATATATTTTGCTGCTAGAGAAGCAAAAAGAATTGCAAATCGAAATAAAGTTGACCAAGATAAACTCACTTTTCTTTCTCGGGATATTAACCAACAATTTAACATTAATTTACATGTTTTGTCTTCTCGTACAGAAGAGGAAGTTGTTCTTTCTATTTTGAAATGTGAAAAAATTGTAATGGAGAATAGCAATATCTTGGAATTTTTGGGTCGTGAAGAAATTGTGGAAGTTCCAACAAATCTTGCCAGAAACCTTGAGCCTTATAGTACTGACTGGTCTAGTGGAAGTGACAAATCTCCAGATAAAGATCCATCTGAACTACAAAGGGCTGACAGAATATACTTGGAATTAATTTATAATCTCCAACATTATTGGAAATCAAGAATTAGAGCATTAACTGTAATAACGAATTTTGAAAAAGATTATCTGGATTTGGTGAAAAAACTTAATAAAATTGATTTGGCAGTTGAGAGAGTACAAACATCTGAGAATGTTAAAGGAGTATTTAACATAATTTTAGCTTTTGGTAATTATATGAATGATGCAAACAAACAAGCACATGGGTTTAAGTTAAATTCATTGCAAAGATTAAGCGTTATTAAGGATGAAAAAAATAGCATGTCATTCTTACATTATCTTGAAAAAATTATCAGACAAAGCTATCCAAACTTTTCAAAGTTTACTGATGATTTGAATGCATGTGTTGAAATTAGTAAATTGTCTATTGAACAAGTCTCTCTTGACTGCACTCAATTTGCCAATTCTATAAAAAATGTGGAAGCCTCTATTGATATTGGAAATTTAAGTGATTCTTCCAAATTTCATCCTGAAGATAGGATTTTATCTAAAGTTCTACCAATGCTACCTGAAGCACATCGGAAAGCTGAATTATTAACTGAGCAGGCCAAAGTTATTTTAGCTGAATTTGATGATTTGATGAAATATTTTGGAGAAGATTCGTCTGACACATTTTCAAGAAATTCCTTCTTTACAAAATTTTCTTCATTTGTGAATGAGTATAAAAAAGCACAAAAGGAAAATATGAAGAAAGAAGAAGAACAGAGAGTTTACGAACAAAGAAAGAAAATTATTGAAATACAGATAGAGAAATCTAAGGCTAAAAATAAAGAGTCAGAGCTGACAATTCCCGAAGATGATGATTCTGTTGCAGTAATGGATAATTTATTAGAAAAATTAAAAGCTGTTGGGCCACCCAAACAAGATTCTTCGCTGAGAAGGAGAGCTTTGGCTAGAAAAAAATTGATGGAGAGCCGTAAAACATCCAATGATTCTTTTGATATAAAGGAACAAATTAAAGCCAATTTAACGGGCGAACTTTCAATGTCGTCAATATCCGAGGAATCTTTATCCCTGCCAAAATTAGAAAATGCAGATGGCTTGCCTGTTAAAACATTGCTGCATTCTGAAAGCCAACCGGATATGACAAACAAAGAGGATGTTGGCGCAAGAGCAAGATTGTTATTACAAGAGTTGAGAGGTGGTAACTTTTCACTAAGTAATGATGATTTATTGAAAAATCAAGATTTGAGATTACAACAGAGGTTCCGAAGAAGACAAAAATTTGGAGGGTCATCCCTTCTGCGAAATAACAGCAATTCTTCTTCGTTAAATAATTCGGACATCAAAAGATCAGACAGTTTTATAAAAGAGTCAGTAGTAGGGGGTCTGAGCATTTCCTTCAACTCAGAAGAAGTTGAAGAAAATAGTGAAAATACTAAAGAAAATAGTGAAAATAGTGAAGAAAATTCGGAAGAAAAAATAGATCGGCTGCCAACTTTAGATCAGAATTCAATTTTTGAGGATGCAGTAGAAGATGTTTCTGCTCAAAATCAACAAATTGAAGTTGCAAGTAATTAAAAAGCCCACTTGTCGCTTGTTTTGTTAATTTAATATTTTGTATATTTAGATTGTTTTGTTTTTAATTGTTTTTAATTGTTTTTAATTGTTTTTAATTGTTTCGTTTTCAATTGTTTTTGTTGTTGTTTTGTCTTTACGAATTTTGTTTTTTAATAGTAAGAACTTAAGGAAGTTCAATGTTTGCTGGTGAGAACCTAAATATGTATTTTAGAATTAAAGACATTAGATTATATTAGATTTTGAATGTAATAATAACTATTCAGGTTTGAAAAACTCATTTGCACTGGATACTATTTGGGCTTTTTCAGCCAATTTCCTGGCTTTTATATCTTCGTCAGATCCTGCTTCATGGCCATTTAAAAAGTTCCAGTTCATCTCTTCGCCAGCTTTCAAATGGTTTGTAAAACCATTCACTTTGAGTTTCCAACTATGATCCAAATCACTGAACTCGTAGGTATCAATTGCACAGGCTCCAGACCTGATCAACTCTTTTTTGTCGTTGAGATAGCTTCTTACACTTGCAAATCCCATTAAAGACATACCCAATGCTATTTTGCTTGCAGCATGAGTAATAAATAAAACTGTTTGCACATCTGGATACAATTGGTCCATTCTTTTCAAGAATAGAGACCAGAATTGCTTGCATCTCTGAAAAATCTCGTCTTCATCTTCGCCCTTTTTCGATGGCACCAAAGTAGGTTTGTTCCAAATGGAATTATCTAAATGATCAAAGAATCGAGCCAAATTTGTGTACGAAGCAGGTTCTGGGATAACTGGTCTTGTTGGTTTATACCACTCTCCAATGCCTGGCTCAAGCAAGATTTTTAGATTCAAAGCTTCAGCAGTTGGAGTTGCAGTTTGCAAGCAACGATAAAAGGGGGACGAGAAGATCAACTCTGGCTTTGGTTCAATGGTACTGATGTAGACTGCTAGTTCCTGAGCTTGTTGCTCACCATGAGGAGCTAGAGGGTGGTCACTATCAACACCTGTTGGGAGGAAAGAAACATATCCAGGAACCCAATTGGCTCTGAAACCATGCTTTGTATTTGAATGGAAACCAAATGATGTTAATTACTTGAAGTATTGACGAAGAATATAAGATTCAAAACAGAGACATACCCTCGCAATGTATATTGTTTTTACTGTCATTTTAGCAACTTTCACTTTCAATGTAGTGCAAACTGGTACAGATATATATATTAGTCTAATATCCAATTCAATTTGAATGTATCCAGATTCAAATCCAATTACAAAATTTTTTTAAACGAATATTTCAATCATATGATGGTAGAGTCAACTTGATATAATGTGATATAATGTTTATCGCTTTACTCCAGCTTATGCACAGTTGTTTATCATAAAAACTGGCTACACGATACTACCATTAAACTTCATTAACCATCGATAGTTTTCTTTTGTATATAAAAGTGGACTAAAAACCAGCTGTAGACGCATTTATTGAAGTTGACTTTGACAATTAAACAAAAAAAACAACCATAAATCTTATGTCATGGTATGAACTGAATTCAAAAAAGATTTTTCTGCAAAATACAATTCCAGAAAATTTTAGCAGCATTACTTGGAATTTCATAAGTTATATGATAATATCTTATTAAAAAGTTTATTTCTAAATTAAAAACTAATGCTATGTGCCAAATAATTTTTTTACTTATTATTTCAAATAGACAGCAATCTTTCAACAATTAACTAACCAAAAAAGCTTTACTGGCGTCATCCTCCAACCTTGAATTTAGTATATCCTTCAATGAAATGTCCATTCAAATTAAAACATTTATAGCATTTGGATCACCACGATAATGAGCCAATTCTAATCATTTTTCCACACAAAATTCTTTTACTGGTAAAGTCAATTCAATAAATGAGCTGGATGACGAGTTTTTGTCATAAACCCGGAAAAATCACATAAACAATACCTAACTCACTATTAAATGCTTTATATTAATTGTATGATTCAAGTAAATGACATTAATAAGAAATGATTTTTCTAATGGTATTGAAATATCAAAAGCGGAATAAGATAAATAGACGATAAGATAAGATAAGATAAGATAAGCAAACAAAGTTTCAAGACCAAAAAAAACAAATCGGTTCGATTTTTGGCTGCGGCGTTTTTTTTCTTCCGACTCCAGGTGCAAATGAAGCTCATTTGAAGTTGCTGCTTCTGCTGCACAAACAACATGGTATGCTGAAAGTTTGTTCAAATATCCTACAATGATTCCAGTGCTCATTGGTATAATTTGTTGCATGTAAAAATATGTACGAATTGAATCACGAACCAGTTATTTGCAATCATAATAATGTACAGAATACTGTTTAGAACTCCAACGTTATAATTCTTTAGATAGATGAATCTGTCTTCTAGGCCCATCACCTACTACATGAACCTCATTGTCGTTCACCAATCTTCGCAATATCTCGTTGAGATCCATATTTTCAACCCTTTCTTGAGATTGTTCATTGATTTTTCTAAACAAGTCGTTATAACCTATTGATCCACTACCAGTATTTTTAATTATTTTTATTACCTCCTTTGACAAATCTTCCTTCATCTTTCTTTGAGCCGATGATTGACCAGTTTGAATCAAATCCATATCAATTCTACCGGTGATAGGATCAGTGGCATAATCCTTGATAGCTGATTTCATTAATCTTACGGCCTCTTTTATGTCTTCAACCTCAACTTTAGTGGACATTCTCATTTTGGCATGCGCTTCACCTAATCTGATTAGACTTTCTAACTGTCTTGTTGTAGCTGTAATTCTTTTTTCTGATGATCTAACATCTTCACCTAATTTTCTCATCTCAACATATGATCTAATTAGTTCATCCTTAGCATCTGATTGAATTATTGGCTCAAAATTCTCTCTGGCATAACTGATATAAAGAGTTAAAAATTCAACAGGCAAAATTTCACTTTCTGATCCATTATCTGGAGAGTCTTTCAAATACATATTCGTGATATGTCTTGCTAATTCAATATCAATTTTAGAATCAATTTTATCCAATACAAGATAAACTAAATCAAATCTAGACAATAATGGGGGAGGTAAATCAATATTTGATGTCACCGGCAAATCGGGATTGTATCGTGAACCAATGGGATTGGCAGAAGCTAAAATCGAAGTTCTGGCATTTAATGTTGTAATGATACCAGCTTTTGCAATAGAGATTGTTTGTTGTTCCATAACCTCATGAAGAACAGATCTTGTTGACTCAGACATTTTATCAAATTCATCAATACAACAAATACCTCCATCTGATAAAACCAAAGCACCACTTTCTAGAACTAATTGTTTCGTGTCCAAATCTCTAGTAACATAGGCAGTTAAACCAACAGCAGAAGAACCCTTACCAGAAGTATAAACACCTCTTGGTGCAATTTTATGAACATACTGTAGTAATTGAGATTTGGAAGTGGATGGGTCACCACATAAAAGAATATTAATATCACCCCTATACCTACCACCTTTTGATAATACTTTATTTGTTCCGCCAAACAATTGTAATAAAATTCCCTTTTTAATATCATCCATTTCAAATATTGAAGGAGCAATTGACCTTGCTAGTAGTTCATACAAATCAGGCCTCTTTGATATTTCCTGAATTTTTAAATTCTCAGCTTCTGTTATTTTTCGTGAATTTTCAACACTATCTTGTTGATCACTGATTTGAGTCTCCAAGTTGGTATCGATGGTTAGTCTCTTTTTATCAATCTTTTTAATATGAACAACATCAAGATAAGTTTTAAATAATTTTTTTAATTGTCTTTGCCTTGCATTTACTCTCACAGGAATAGATCTGAAAATACCAGTAACTTCAATTCTATCACCAGCTCTACAACTATCCACCAATTCATCATAAATACATAAAGAAACCGAATGAGGTGTTTGACCATCAGGAACTAGATCTGGTGTCTCCTGTAATTTGATAACCTGTTTGTCAGAAAAAGAACATCTATTGTGAACGATCTCCATTGAGTTCATTTTGTTACAAGCTGCTCTTGGACATCTCACAGGTTCAGAAATGATACCCCTATCAATTTCCACAGTTGTACTATGATTGCAGACGTTGCATTTAAAGAAAGCAATTTTCATATCAGGTATTATTGAGGTTGATCTTAAAACCAAACCTTTTATGGAGATTAACTTGTCGATATCATTAGGATTTAATTCTCTCATTCCAGTTTTACAGTCAATGTTGAAGGGTCTAACTTTATAATTTGTTGTTTCGATTTGTTCCACATTATAATTTGGGTTATTTTCGGTAGCTAAATTCACCATGCAATCTTTAACAGTTTGATCCATTATCGGAATAACTTCTTGAGGATAATTTATTAATTGGTAGTATAATTTTTTAGTTGGAGGGTATTTTAAAAGATTTTTAGCATTAAGATTTAGATTTGTCAAATTTAGGGATCTCATCTCATTTAATAAGTTAACATAATACAAATCATTTTCATCATGATCATTGTGAGTATCAACATTGGCATCAATGTCAATATCAATATCAATATCAATATCAGCATCTTGCTGATCGTTGGTATGAGTAGTTCTTGATTGGTATTTTTGTTTAAATGACATTAGAAAGTTTCTAAAATTGTTGGAGCAATCCAGAATACTGACATTGGTACCCCAAATAACTCTAACAGGCTCGTTGTCGTCGTCATCCTCATCTATGTTTGTTTCAGTATTATTGCTGGAAATATGGGAAGAGAGATTCGAGCCTTTGCGCTCAGTGAAATATCTAGGTTTGTTTCTTGGAGAAGAAGCTGAAGCATCATTTAAATCACCTCTATGACGAGCATTACGGCGCAATCTTTCTTTTGTTGCATCTGAAGCCAAATCAGATCTAAAAACTGAGGATTGAGATTTTAAATTATTCAAAGCATCAGAGTTATAAACAGAAGACGAATAACGCAATGGAGATGAGATATTGTTAAATAGATTGGCATCAGGCGTTCTATAGTCACCAATTTCTGAAGGAGGAGGAACAGGAGCACTAGAAGAACTCTGGAAGAATAGTGGAGACGAAGGCACAGCAGGTCTCAGAGGAAGATTGGTTTCTGAAGTTTGAGAGACACCTGGAAGCTGAGATTGAGATTGAGATTGAGATTGAGATTGAGATTGAGATTGAGATTGAGATTGAGATTGAGATTGAGACTGAGAATCAGACTTGTTGGTATCACGTCCTGGAGAACTGCCAAACTGCGAGGGCATTATGGATTACCAGCAACAAAAGAATCAAAAAGAGAAGGCAAAGGGTATAGTGAATAGTTTACAGGCTGGGGCCAGGCAGTCAGATTGTGCTGGAGAAGATTGCAGTTTATTGTCGATGTTGTTTATCTTCTCTCATCCAGCAAAATTCAGAGCGAAGTGAAAAACACGAAAAGTAAATAAAACACTGAGATCAGTTGCCGTTTTGGGCGTGTGTCTGATTTGTGGCCAGAACCTGGAAGGAGCTGGACTTAATTGTGTATTAATGAAAGATCTAAAAACAAAAAATCTAAATAATGGAAGGACTACAGACTTACTAGTGTTTGATTGTGATTCTTCCCTCTAGTTGGTCGGCGATGTCCCTGATATAGCTCCAGTGGATATCCTTGGGCATTCTCTTTTTGACATTAGTTTCGAAATCATAGAGATGTCTAATGTTGGTGAATTTGAGTTTGCTTCTCTTGATACCCAAAACGGCAGCAGTGTTGACAATCTTATGAATATCATCGTCGCTTAGTAAATTGAATGAGTCGCAGTTTTTGAATGGCAGCAAAATCTCGGTTTTAGTCTCAATAAACTGGACAGCTCTAACTGCTAACCTAGCAGCCCTTGTTCTGTCAATTGGGGAAGGCATTCCACCTTGTTGAACATGTCCAGGAATCGCAGTTTTGGCCTCGAATCTGTGGCTGCTTTCACTATTAATGATACTAGCCAAAACGTTTGTTGTTAAAACCTTTGATGCGTTGGCCGATTTCAAAATCAATTTCCCAGATTTGGACTTGCCTTCTGAATTAATGAAAATTTGTTTCAACGAATTTATATCCATTTCTAGTTGATCCAATGAAATTCCTTCTTCTGGAACATAGGAAATTTGGGCACCACATGCCAATGCTGCCGATGTGGCAATATAACCTGAATTTCCTCCTTGAACTTCAATAACAAAAACTCTATTTCTCGATGCTGAAGCGCTCTGTTTGATGGTATCACAGTACTCGACTAATGAATTTAGACATGTATCTGTTCCAAGAGAATGTTCTGTTCCAGGAACATTGTTTGAAATTGTTGCAGGAATTAGAATAATTGGGATTCTGAAGGCAGGATAGTTGACTCTATTACGTTCCAACTGGTGTAATGATGTGTATGCTTCAAAACCACCAACGATGATCAAACCATCAATTTTATATTTGGTGAAATAATAGGCTATCAAACCAATATCGCTCTCTTCAGGAACTGTTCTATTTGTACCCAATTCCGATCCACCAGCGTTATTCCAGTTGATGATTTCTAGCCAATTTAAAGGTTTAATTGATTCATGCCTTGTCAATCCGGTGAAACCATTATAGATTCCAAATGGTTTGTGACCTCTTGACATACAATAAGTGGCCATTGAGTAGGTTGCACTATTCATTCCACCTGCCGGAGCACCAACATTGATAATCGCGATATTTAAACGTTTTTCTAAAGGCAAAGATGGGTTGTTGTGATCAGCAGAGTTCATTGCCATGAAATTGTGTAAATGCTCAACAAATTCTGAGTCTCTCAATTGCATTGCTTTTTTGAAATCTTTATTATTAATTGCTTCAGCAACGGATTTAGTCAATTTAACGGCATTAACTAGAGGTCTTCTGATAATTTTATTTTCTTCAATTGCAATCATTGGAGATGGAGTATCTGGTGTGCACTGTAAAACAGCTTCAATCGCTTCAAAGCCTTGCAACGTTGCTAGAATTCTGTCGTAAGCAACAGCTGTACCACCTCTTTGAACATGACCTAAAGTTGTGATTCTTGTATCTAGACCTAGTTTTTCAACTAGGATATCTTTGACTTCAGTGCAGGTGATTGGTTTTAGATCAGAAGTTATAGCACCTTCTGCCACTAAAACAATTGTTGTTCTTTTGCCTCTTTTTCTATGTTTGGCAACAATTTCAGTCATTTGTTCATGCCATTCTTTTGAAGAAGCTGGTTTTTCAGGGATTAGAATATAGTCAGCGGTTGTTGCAATACCTGCCATTAAGGCTAACCAACCACAGTGTCTGCCCATTACTTCTATAACAAAAGCCCTTGAATGGGAGTTTGCAGTCGCATCGATATAATCGATTGCTTGACAGATTCGTGCCAAAGAGGAATAGGCACCAATGGTTGCATCGGTACTTGACATGTCGTTGTCGATTGAACCGACAGTACCACAGATGTTTAAATATTTAAAGGATTGATGTTGGGATTGAGTGATTTGATTGGACTTTAGTAGAGTTGAAAGTAGCTCAGGCCATTCTGATCTAAAAAGATCAGCACCGGTTAATGAACCATCACCACCACAGACTATTAAAGCATTAATGCCTGCATCGATTAAATTTTTTGCAGCTTTCAACCTGCCTTCTTTAGTTCTGAATTCTTTTGATCTTGCAGTACCAATGTTGGTACCACCTTCACTTAACCAACCTCTAACATCATTCCAGGATAGTTCTTTGATGTAGTCTGAACCACCTTTGACTAGACCTTCGTAACCTTCGTAAATAGCAAAAGGTTTGCAACCTTTGTAAATTGCAGCTCTGACCATTGCTCTAACGTTTGCATTCATACCAGGAGCATCACCACCACTGGTCATTATAGCGATGTTTGAAGGGTTGTTTTTAAAATTGGCAAAGTTTTTGAAAAACTGATTGCTTGGAGTGACAGAGGAAGTAGTTAAAGAGTTTGTGTTGTTAGAGGCGTTGATTAAGAATTTTTCTTTGATTTGTAGTTGATCAATTGATGGTAAAGAAGTTTGAAAAGGGTTTTTAAGACAAGTTAAACCAATTAGATTTGATAAGGGATCAATTATGTATAATTCTATGGGAGCCAAATCATCAGGGACTGCTTGGTAAAGAATTTTATTGTAATGGGAATCGTTGACGAGCGAGTTTTTTACATTGTTATTGAAAATTTTAATTTTTTCATAAATTAGTTCGATTGAGTTAATTTTAAAGACAAAAGAAGATTGCAATGATCTAAAGTCTAAAGTGTTGACATTAAATTTGAAATTGTTATAGTTTTGGACAATTCGATCAGAAGTCAGGTAAATTTGGTTTTTCTCATAGTTTTTGTTGTAGCTTAGGATTATGTCAATGATGTTATATTTGTTAGAGTTGTCATGAAGTTGAATCAAATTATTTGAATTGACAGAAGACAAATGGGTTGTTGAAGATTGAATTGAGTTTTCGCTGGAAGTGTCATTTTTGATTTTAGGTTGATTTGAGGATGGAGAAGAATTTGAACTTGTGTTTTTGATGGACAAACCTAAGATCTGATTGTAGAACTGAATTGAGTGCTTGTAAGCCTGAAAGTCAGAGGTATTAAAGGTCAATAAAGGGCTTGAGCTGATGCTCAAGGAAGGAGAAGAATCTGGCTGTGAAGCCGACTTAGGAGCAGACAATTGAAGAGGCATGAGTTGACACGTAGCCCAAAGATACAGTGGTAGAAGTGTTAAGATGAGTATTCTGTTGAAAAGAAGAAAAGAAGATGGAGTAATTGCAAAGGTATATATTGCAATGGAGCAATTGGGAGGAAGGACATTATGACGATAACAACGGCAGCAGTAGCGAATAGTGCAGCTGATTGGGCAGAGGTGCGCACATCAGGATATACGCTCCATCGTGAGATGCTCCCTGTTGCACACAAGGAACGGAGGCAGCCAGGCACGTGTGTCTTACGTAAGTCGGCCGTCAGCAGACACGTGCTGTGCGCGTGGTGTGCGTCGTCTCCCGATTGGGACACAGATATAATGCTGGTAAACAGCGGCAAACAGAGGTAAACACTGACACAAGACAACAACATGACTGTGGTGGAGCCCTGTTGAGCCTGCCTCTTGCCTGGGCTTGTTTTGCAGGCTTTTTTTATAGTCTCCAAAGTGATAGCACAAGCTTTCTTTCTTGTTTTGGTTTCGATGCTCTATGCACACCGATATAAATACCTCTCCATCCTCAAGAGTCGTTTTTCATGAACCGGATTCAACTATAGTGAAGACCATACTTGTTTATACTGATTTCTCTGACTTTTGCTTTTGACATTGATCTTACTATTATATATTAGGTGACTTTAACTTTCTTATTCCAATGGTGTCAAGTGGATTATCAACTTTTGTTTCTTCGTCTTCGTTGATTTCTATCAATTGCTATGTTTTTCTAGTGATTTTGAATTCACTAACTGCCAATGCAGTTCCTATTCCGGCTGATTTATCAGGCAGTCTAGATGATTCAAGCAGTAATGATAATAAAGCAGATGATAAAGAGGATAAAGAGGATACGAAAATGACAGCAATTGAGTCAGCTGACTCAACCGACTCAGCTGATAACAAGAACAAAGACAGCGCTACAGTCACAATCACAAAAAAGGAAGAAATTGAATCTGAAGCCGAGGATAAGACTCAAAACAAGGAGAATACTGTTTCTGATGCTCCCTCGACCACTGTTTGGTGGACTCCAACTCAAACAGTATGGTGGACCCCTGAGTCATTATTGACTGCCTCCAAATCTGATGCATCAAGTGATAAAAAAGGTTTATACACTACTACAATTCAGGCAGTTGAATTAATAACTTCAAAGGACACAACTATAACGTCTAAATATGAAACTGTGATGACAATTGACGATAATGAAGATGATAGTACATCTGAAAGAGAGACTGATAGTGATAATGATAGTGAATCTGAATCAAAGTCAGAGTCTAAGAGCAAAAGCAACTCAACTTCATCTACTAGTGAATCTTCAGGATCGTCAAATGGATACAGTGGTTTCTTGGTTCAAAAAAACAATAGTATCAACTTCCGAACCAATTTATTGGTTACGTTTTTAATTTCTGTTATTTTCTTGTTTGGTTCCATTTAGTTTTTGGTGAATAATTATATGAGTTTTCTTGGATTAGCAGTAGATTTATTTTTGTGGGCTTAATATTTTTATTTTGTTGTGATTGGGCAATTTTTTCTTTTTTTTTGAATTTAGTTATATATTATAAATAGGCATTTTTTAATTTGGAGCTGGCTTCTTATTAAACATACGGTAACAGTATTGTAAACAAAACATCAACATAAACTTTGGGATTGTTTCAAGTGCAAAGTTGTTGACTGAATTAGGCAGAAACCATTTCGGGCAAAAAAAAAGTTAGAAAACGCGTTCCACTGGCAACGAGAAAAACAAAACAAGAAAAAACGAGAGAAAAAGAGATTTATTATTTAAAATCAGGAAAAAAAGAGAAAATGACAGGAAAACCAAAATAACAATAACAATAACATCAAAATAATAACAGAATAGCATTGCGTGTACATATACCACACATAAACCACACATAAACCACACATAAACTACACATAAACTACACATAAACAATAGAAATTCTAATTCCAAAAGCAAAGTGATTTTGATACCACACAAAGTGTTTCCTAAAATAAATTGAAATCACATCAATGGATCAAAAAGTGGAAGCAGTTTCGAAAGATCAAAACAACGTTAATCACGATACAAGTAGAAAACGTAACAATAACAACACTAATAATAATAATAATAATAATAATAATAATAATAATAATAATAATAATCAAAACATCAATCACCGTACTGATAGTAATAACAATAACAATAACAATCACGATGATAACGAAGAACTATTAAAACAAAAAATATTAAAGAAAATCAAAATACTACAATTATCCAGAAAACTTAAAAGTAACTTGATAAAAGCTTCAGCGTTTAACAGAAGAAAAGTAATTGCTGAGGATGTTAATAGCAATTGCAGTAGCAAAGCAATAGTGCCTAGAAAAGCAGTGTTTAAGATCAATAAAACGCCACCTAGAAAAAAAAAGACAAGAACCATTAGTAGCTCGCCATTGAAGTCATGTATATATGTTTATAATGAAGAACATGATAAAGAAGAAGATATAAATGATGGAAAGAAAGTGAATGGATTTTTACAACAGCTTAAGAATACAAGGAATTCAGATAGTGAAGGTGAAAGAGAAGAGAAAGATAGAAGTACGAAAGATGTTGAAGGAGCAGATTTGTTAATGTATTTGGCAGGAAGTCCATCACCTCGAAAGGAAGTAAGTAGATCATCGTCATCGATTATAACGTCTACACCAATGAGGGAATTTAGTAGGAGATCGAGGGCCAGCTCGCCTAGTTTTTATATAAATTTCAGTCCAGTTTCATTAGAAAAGAAGCCAGGGAAAGTTGGAGAGGATGATAGAGAAAGTAAAAGTGAGAAAGAGAAAAACAGGAAAAAAGAATGATGAGAGAAATGATAATTGTAGAAGGAAATGACGGAGGGAGATCAAGAAGGCCAGTACTAAATAAGGGGAATCAAGAGATATGGTAATATTGATAACATCGATAGTGTTGGTGATATTTTTGGTATTGTTAGGTGAATAGTGTGAAATTGAGATTGTTGGGCGAATACTATGGCGAATAGCGAAAAGCAGAGTGAAATTAAGGAAAGCAGTAAAGCACTAAATTGAGAAGGAAAAGTGCTGTAAACTGAAAGATGAAATGAGAAGTGTGACAATAGAAAGAAGAATAACAAAGCGAAAACCAGTGGGAATGAAAACACATTCTTGATGGTATTTGCAAAACAAAAGGGGACGGAAGCAACAAAAATGCGGGCAGAGCGATGGAACGAGAATCTAGAACAGAAAGGGATTGCAATAACAAAGGGGAACGGGAGCGAAACACGATCAGTGCGGAAAATGAATGTTGAGCAAATGAATGGAGCTTAAGAGAAATATGGCGGTAGTGAGTTGATAGACTTGGTAGTGAATGGGCAGAAAGTGAGAAATCAGGAAGGTATATATAATCGCAGAAAAGACATGGTGGAGTTTAGGAGAGTGATTTTAAATTTTGCACACAATACAAGTTCTGTATTAGTTTTTAGATATTAATACGAAATACCACTATAAGTAAAGAAAGCAAAATGAAGATCCAATTATATGCTATGATAATATTGTCCTTACACGGATTGGCCAACAGTGCTAGCACTGAGGAGGAAGAAGAAGCAGAAGTTGTTACTGTCACCAGATCATCCTCCAGCTCTAATGCAAGAGCCACCAGTGAGAGTGAGGACGAAAGTGAAAGTGAGAGTTCAGTGAGTCCCTCCAGATCATCTGCATCTCCCTCCAGTACTATCAGAGCCGCCAGCAGCAGCGTTGCAGTGGTCGATGAAGAAGAAGACGAAATTGAGTTCCTAACTGGGGCCATTGAAGACGACGAGTACCTCTACGGAAGCATGACCGGTGCTGACGACGAAGACGAAACACAAACCGCTGTGAGCTCGAGTAAAAGCAAAAAGGCAAAGAGCAGCACAGTGGAAGATGACGACGAAAGCAGCAGCAGCTCGAAGAAGAAGAAGAAAAGCAGCTCTGAGGAAACCTCTGCCTCGTCCAATGGATCCGGCTCAGTGAGATGGTTGGGCAAGAGAGTGAACGACCCCAGCAGACCCTTGTCAACAGCTGCGAGCCTCATGATTGGGGGTATGGTGTCTGGAGGTCTTGCTTTGTTGACCTTGTAGGTGGTAGGAACTGCCCTGTATCATTAGTTTTCCATCTTTGTCTTTCTATATCTATATCTATATCTTTAATTTCTATATCTAATTGCACTATTGTTTACCCTCACTGCTTGCTACTGTACAGTGCCTCCCATACCGTTCGCTGTTTACTCTACCGCCACTCCCGCCACAACAACACGAGACGCACACGTGTCGCGCCGGGCATAAACAAACACCTTCATTCTGTTTTTGTTGGTAAACAGCAAAGCGTAAACAAAGCGTAAACAGCGCAGCGTCACGAAGCGTAAACAACGAAGTGTCAACAACAGGAAACGCAGCACAAACAGCCTCTGCTGCCATTTTTGGCCTGATCCCAGAGTTCCATCGCCCTCACTGCTCCTTCTTCCTCTTCTCCTTTCTCAACAGCTCCATATCGCTGAGTCTCATATCATTCCCAGTTTTGATCCCTATCTTCAAATCACCAAATGTGTTTCTGATTTGCCCATTTTGCTGCTTTAGTTTTCTCGTCTTATTGGCTTCTCAAATATTCAGTTACTCAGCTATTTTATTTCACTAATCCCATTATTCCACTTTTTGCCAACTACTTACTCTTTCTGGATTCTTTTGATCTGTTCAATTACTTCTTCTCGTTTCTTCTCTTTTCTTTATTCTAATCATTTTCATTTTTCTTATCATTTTCATCTTCATTTTCATTTTCATTCATCTTCATTTAACCCCATTCAACCTCATTCTTCTTCCCATCTTTCTTATTTCTCCATCTCGTTTTTTCACCAACATGAACGATAACATCCATAACAACATTCTAACTTCTAATTCCCCAAAAATAAGATCAAAGAGATCTGTCTCTAAAATATACTCAAACTCTCCAACTTTCAATAACTCAACTTCCTCCATAAATTCCTCCTCTCATATACCCATCAACCATCTCTCTCAAAATAATTATATTCATAACAACAATAACCATAATTTCCCCAAGCACAAAAGTCATAAACTATTCAAATATTCAAATTCCGTTAACTACCCACACCGCTCAAACATCACCATAAATAATACCATAAATAATACCATAAATAATACCATAAATAATACCATAAATAACACTAATACCAATACCAACACCAATACCAACAATAACTTTCAGATTAACAATATTCAAAACAATAATATCCAGAATAACACCAACATATTGAATTCTATTAATATCCCAAAAAAGAAAAAATCTACCTCAATATTCAGATCAAAATCAGATTTTCATTACAACCCTCTGCGTCCTTCTCATTCAAAGAGATTTCCAACTCTAACCTCTAGCATTGACGACGATGTCAAATACTGGTCTCCCTTCAAACTCAACACAAACAATACCTCCAATAATGATACCGACAACGAAAACAACGACACTGATAATGATGCCGATAATGATGCCGATAACGACTTTTCCAACCACTCTCAAACAAAAATCTCAAACAAAAAATTTCTCTCAAACACTTCAAACACCTCAAACACTTCAAACCTCTCTTCAAATTCTCTTTTCTCCTCTTACTCTCCTCCAAACTCTTCCAACCTCTCTTCCAACGATATTTCACACCTATCCACTAATTCCTCAAACTCTAAATCTTTCCCAAATACCACCATCAAAAATAAACTAATTACCTTATCTGACTCAACTTTAAACTCACTACAAACTTCAACTCCAAATCATCATGCCCAACTTCAACCTCAATCTCAATCTCAATCCACCAAATTCTTTTCCCCAAATTCTTCAATACGGTCCTCTTCTGCTCCAACTATACCCAAAAAATCTTCCTTATCTAACTTCAAATTGTCTTTAAATTTCTCTTCAAACCAATTCCTCATAAACAATACCAATAACAACAACGACAACAACAAAAACAACAACAGCAACAACAACTCTTCTCTCAACCAAATTAACGATTCCTCAATCCCTTCCAAATCCTATAAATTCGTTAAACCCTTACAAACTGCCTTCATCTCTTCTGGCCTCCTATCAAAAAAATCAAGCAAAATTCGCAACTTGAACTTAAATACCCCAGAATCTCCCTTCACCTTTAAAAATAAGCATAAATTCAAAAATAAAAACTTTAGAAACCTATTCACCTCTATTTCTTCCTCTTCCTCCAACAACTCCACTACCGCCAATACCACCAACACAAATAGCCCTTATCCAAATAAATTTTCAAAAAAAATACCTGATACCCCCTGTAAAAAGCCTCTCTCGCCCTTAAAATTTCAAAATATTCAATCAAAAAAATCAAAATTATCAACCTCAATCTTCAATTCCTCAAACCACGACATAGAAAATCAATTAGAAATTGAAAACCAAAATGATCTTGACAACATTGACATTGAAATGGATTTTGACACCGAAATACCTGACAACTCTTCAATCAACGAAATTATAAACAAATCTTCCAAGAAAAAGTCTTCTAGATTTATTAACTTCTCCAACCCAAGTAACTCCTCACTATCCTCCTCCTCTTCAACAACCTCCCCTTCAAACAGTCCAACGATAAATTCAAAGCTGAAAATTTTATTCCGTCAACCGATCCGCTCTTCAATTTTATCAACTTCAAATCAAATCAAAAAGTCCCCTTTATCAAAACAACCGTTTGCAAACCTCTCTAACGAACCTTTTTCAAGGCATCATAACAGAACTTCAAGCTCCATAAGACTAGTAGCTAAATTCAACCAATCAAATTCCTCCTCCTCTTCTTTAAATATAAACAACGATAATATCGACATTGATACAAACTCTTCCAATTCTCCCCAAACTTTTTTAAGACACCAAATCTCCAACTCAACCATAAGGCAAGTCAATTCAAATAACAACAACCTCTACAACAACAACCACTCAACCTCTGCAAGCAGTTTATTAAAAAGCAATAGGCAGTCCATAGTTTATAACAATTTTCAAAATGACATCAAAAATGTAAAACCTGTTCATCGAAATTTGATTAAAAAATTACATGAAGTTAATGACATCAAGGATATATCTGATTTTAACATCAATCAATTTGACCTGAATAACTACAACTATAATTATAACAAAGATACTAATGAAAATTCAATTAGAAGCCTAATGGGAACTCCTCAGAAATTATCATCCTTTGACACTGATATTAATAACTCTGAAAAATTTTTTAATCAAAAAATTGAAAAAAACGAAAATTTTAAATCTAGATCCACCAAAGAAGATATATTCTCTTTTAATAATACCCATTGGCTGGCTCCCAAGACTCCTGTTGAAATGTACTTACAGCCTTCAGCCTCAAGCTCTTTGACCGGGAGTATTAATAACATGAATTCCAAACTCAATAATACCAATACTAATATCAATTCACTTAATATCAAAATAGACAATAACAATAAATCTGAAAATGTTTATGTTTATCAAGTAACTCCTAATAACTCGGCCACTAATCTTAACACCGAAACTCCTCCAAAATGCGAAACCTATGATTGCTCCTCAATCATTAATAATGATAATGACTCCTTTTATGAATTCTCTTTTACTCATAAGTCTACACTAATGGATGATTTTCTCATGGCAAAGTACTCCAATAATGTTAGAATAATCGGTCAGGGAGAATTTTCTATAGTGTATGAAATTGGATACAAAAATTTCAAATACGCTGTCAAAAGAAGTAAATATCCTTCATCAAAAATTTTTAGAAAAAGATATCAAAATCAGTCCAATGAAAATGACAAAGTGGCTTTTATTTTTAGTAATTCTCTTGAAGAAGATTTTTCAATGAATATTGTTTCAAATAATAAAAAATTAATCAACTTTAATCCTAATGAAGAAATCGAAATTTTAAATTTGATTAAAAAAAATAAAAATAAAATTTCCGGGTCTGACTACTTGCTAAATTATATAACAAATTTCAACTTTAATAATTTCAACTACATAATTACAGAGTATTGTGAAAATGGTTCATTAGACAAATTTTTATTAAAAAGTGGAAGTAATGAAAAATTGGATGAGTTTAGAATTTGGAAAATTTTAATTGAGGTTTTGGCAGGCTTGAATTTTTTGCATTCAAACAACATATTGCATTTAGATATTAAACCTGCAAACATTTTTATTAATTTTGAAGGCTGGCTTAAAATTGGAGATTTTGGATTATCAACAAAATTAGATAACGAATTTATTGATAACAATAAAAGAAGCATTATTAGATCTTCATTTGAGAAAGAAGGCGATCGTGAATATATTGCCCCTGAAATATTGTTAAAGTCTGAGTATGGGAAACCAGCAGATATATTCTCATTGGGATTAATGATGGTAGAAATTGCAGCTAATATTTATTTACCAGATAACGGTTTAAGTTGGCAAAAACTAAGGTCGGGAGACTTGTCAGATGCTGGAAACTTGAGTAGTAGAGATTTAAACTTGAATTCATTAAAAGTCTCTAGTACAATGTCAACAACTCCAACTTCAAAATCTTACAACTCTCGAGGTGGTAGTTCACATCTAACATTAACCAACATGACCAACATAACAGCAGATTCTTCAATTAATTTATTTTCTTCTTTAAACGACGTATTAGAAAGGGGAAGTAAGAACTTTGGTATGGGAATGGGCTCGATTGTTGACAAGCAACTAAATAATTTTATTAAAGATGGAGAAACTCTTGATTTAATCGTTCATTGGATGATTGAGCCAAACCCTACAAACAGGCCATCGACTGAAGAATTATTAAACCTCTATGAATTACAATACATTGAACTAAGAAGAAAAGCAGGAGCAATAGTTTATGAAGGCGAATATGGACCAAAGTTTGATTTGGAACAAATTAATGACGATGAAGTAATTGGAGAGGAAAATGATAATAATGACTGTAATAATGGTAGTCGAAGAAGATCCAAGATTTATTTTAAAGACTCAAGTTACAACGATATATTGAAAACTCAAAAACTGCAGTCAATCAAGAAATCAAACAGCAATACTGAAAGTAATATCTATGAAAACAATATTCTAGATATCTATGAATACTTGAAAAATTTCAAAAGTGTGAAGAATTATTACTATATTGAAAAATTTAACTTGAATGGCTCTCTTAGTAAGAACTTGAGCAATCAACTAGTCACCATCGACAGTAATGATAGCTACAAAAATGGAGCAATTAAAAATGAAATAATAATTAATAACAACTCCAATAATGGAGATATATCATATGCTGATATGACATATAATTACGACTTTTCGAATTAAGCCATATTGGTACACTTTGAATTCACAAACAAAACTATTGTATTTTATTTTCTGGTATATTAATGGTCTAAATTTATTTTTATTTTTATTTTTATTTTTGTTTTTGTTTTTGTTTTTAATTTTTGAGTTTTTCATGTACTTTTTTTGATAATTTTATTTCTTTTCAATATCTTATTATGTATTTTTGGATATTCTTTAATTTGTCTGCTGATGTTTTAAAATTCTTTTTGTTAATACCTATTCTTATTTTAAAATCTTCTTCTATTGGATCATTTTTGTACTTATATTTTATCAATTTGTTTCTTTCCTTTCAATAACTCACATTGTATTTTATGACATTCAGAATTTCCACTTCACTGGAGCTCCATGTAAGAGGACGCAATCTCTGTTGTGACCTTCGATAACCGGTTTCCGGCCGTTCGTTACGGGCTAATACACCTTCGAGCATTCGTTCTAGTCGTTCAAATCCGGATACAACATTCGATTCAATTAACTCAACTCTTTGATTTAATTCATTGATTTTGGAACCCATTAGTGGAGTATCAAGTTCTCTTTCGTTATCACTATCAGTGTTCTTGACTTGGATGCTGTCAGGTTGACAGTCGTCGAAGGAAGGATAGAGATTTCTTCTAGTGCTCATGACTTAGTAGACTTCTTTTTCCTTTTCCTCTTGTTTTATTTTATTTCTATCTAGCTATTTAGTGATCATATTTATATTGTTTAGATTGCAATCTTCATCAAGGTATTTGTGAATTAAATGTTTTTTACGGAAACACAATTTTTGTTTCAGAAGTGGTTAAGTCTTGTGTATTTGGTTTGTGGCAACGGACAATAATTGCTTCACGAACGTCCGAATTCGGATTGTGTTTTTCGACCACACATCGTGCAACAGCCTACGGTTGTGTTTCTTTAAAGCTTATGTAAGCAAGCGTGAGATTACGCTATTACTGCTTTTCAGGTTATTTTCAATTAGTCATTTTCCACTTTCAACTTAAGAATCATCAGCTTGAACAGGTTGGTTAAACAAAACAAGTGTGTTTTGGGTTCTTTGGCGTATTTATATATGTTGCAAATTGCCAAATTTTCTTCAATTCGTTTCAAAAACTCATTATCTTTATCTCTTTCAGCTTGTCCCTCAAAACCCCGTTTTTTCTCTTTTGCTTCTATTAGAATGTCCTCAAAAGTTGTTCAGCCTACCTGGTACAAGCCAGATTCTTCAAAGATAAATGGAGATAAACCTGTTTTAAAGTTGTATAACTCGCTCACAAGATCAAAAGATGAATTTATCCCAGTTGACCAAAAAAGAAACCAAATAACCTGGTATTCTTGTGGCCCTACTGTTTATGATTCTTCTCATATGGGCCATGCGAGAAATTACGTAACAATTGATATAAATAGAAGAATCTTGTCAAATTTTTTCAATTACGATATCAAGTTTGTTCAAAATGTTACTGATATTGATGACAAAATTATAACAAGAGCAAGACAAAATTTTCTTTTTCAATCTCATGTTATTGAAAAATTCAACACCATTGACGATACCCTAATTAAGCTATCTTTGGACTCAATTCAATCATACATTGTAAAGAATATTAACAAACTAGTCAATAAAGATTTGTCTTTGGAAAGTCCAGAAAACAATTTCTCAAATTTTTTAACTTGGTTAGATTCAATCAATGTAGCAGAATTTACATTGAAGTCTGAAAAATTTCCAATGTATATAAAACAAATAAAATTGGCTATTTATTCTATTAAAGAATTTAAAAACTTGCCGATATCCGAATTTTCAGAAAATCTAAAAGATATAGTTTCTCCAATATTGGATTCAAAATATGGCTCAACTGTATCAGATCCAGATTTATTTAGACAATTACCGGCTTATTGGGAGAACCAATTTGATCAAGACATGACTAAATTAAACGTTTTGCCTCCAACTGTGAAAACCAGGGTATCTGAATATGTTCCCCAAATCGTTGATTTTGTTAGCAAAATTATTGATAAAGGCTACGGTTATGCAACTTCTGACGGTTCAGTTTATTTTGATACTGCTAGGTTTGACTCTTCACCAAACCATGACTATGCTAAATTGCAACCATGGAATAAAGGTAAATTGGATTTGATTGAAGATGGTGAAGGTTCTTTATCTGTTTCAAATACCACAGGTAAAAAATCACCAAACGATTTTGCCCTTTGGAAAGCTTCAAAGCCAGGAGAACCATTTTGGTCTTCTCCTTGGGGTCAAGGTAGACCAGGCTGGCATATTGAATGTTCTGTCATGGCTTCCGATATTTTAGGTTCTAACATTGATATTCATTCAGGAGGTATTGATTTGGCATTTCCTCATCATGATAATGAATTGGCACAATCTGAGGCTTGCTTTGACTGCAAGCAGTGGATCAATTATTTTTTGCACACTGGTCATTTGCACATCGAGGGGCAAAAAATGAGTAAATCTTTGAAAAATTTTATCACTATTGATGAAGCACTAAAATCTCATTCATCAAAGCAATTAAGATTAGCATTTGCAATGTGCCAATGGAACAATCAATTAGATTTTAAAACAAGTTTGTTGGCAGAAGTTGAAAGTGTTGAAAAAAATCTTGATAAATTCTTCACAAACATAAGATCTCATAATAATGAATATTTAGCTAAAGTATCCAAGGGAGAAATAGTTTCCGAGACTTTGAGGGATGATGATAAAATTCTTTTTGGTGAATTGGAGAAAACCAAACTAAAGATATACGAACAGTTTTGTGATAATTTATCAACTCCATTAGTGATTAGATCTATTGTTGAATTGGTCACAATAACCAATAATTATTTATCCATTTATAAACATGATTTTAGAATTAGGATTCTTTTGGAAATTACAAGATATATTACCAAAATTTTAGATATAATTGGTTTTGAAACTCGAAAGGACCAATTAGGGTGGGAAGATATATCTTTATCTTTATCTACTTTGAATAACTCAGCTTCTTCTCAAGAAGAATATGTTTTGCCATTTATTCAACTAATCAATGATATTCGTGATGAAATTAGAACTATAGGAATTGAATCAAAACACTCGAGATTGCTTGATTTATCTGACAGAATTCGTGATAAAGATTTATTGAATTTAGGGATTGGTTTAGATGATAGAAATGGACAAAAAGCATTAATCAAATTTTTATCAAGCAATGAGAAAAGAGATTTAATAAAGTTACGTGATGAAAAAGAAAAAGTTCAACAAGAAAAATTAAATAAAAAGTTAGCCCAGTTAAAGTTAAAAGAAGAGCAAGAGAAAATAAAAAGAAACAAAGAAAAGGTAAATCCTATTGAGTTATTTAAAAGCGAAGAAATGAGAATTAAATATAGTGAGTGGGACAATGATGGAATTCCCACAAAAACCCAAGAAGGAGTGGAGATTACTAAAAGCGCAAGAAAAAAACTAATCAAGCAATGGCAACAACAGAAAAAATTATATGAAAATTATTTAAAGCTGCAGTAGAAATGAAAGAATCAAATATTAATTGAATTTCACTTAACAGAATATAAATGAGCATTATATTTTTTATAGATATTTTTAATACATTCATCAAACTGAAATTTTTTTGTTTTTGTTTTTGTTTTAATTCTTAATATTTTGAATTTTTCAAAATATCAAAAACAACAACATTTTAAAAGGATGTTTTCTAATCTCATGAATAAATATAATTATCGACTTGAAAACTTAATATAAATGATTTATCAGATAAGACACAGGATTAATGCTAAAGCACTGCATTAATCTCATGACAGATAAGTGAAAATAAACAAGCACTGGATAAGCTTCTTAAAAATTGTGTTTCTAATGAAAATTTTAGTCATAGAGTTTTTTTGAGGTAATACTTCGAGTTAAAAAAAGCCTGATTTGTTTTTTGGTGAGCTTTTGATGTTCAAATTCATCCCTGAATAAGAAGCAGATCGTCTTAATTTTATAGTGGCTTCATTTTCAGGAATATGCTCCAAAACATTATTAAATTTATTATTCCTTAATGGTACCAGGTGTTTTCTGCTAATAAGCAACAGCTGAGATCTTGATCGTGTTTTTTTGAAAGTGTTCATGTATCCACTAGTGGTTGAAGGCTTGGGTTTATTTGGATTTTTTTCGATGAGAAACTGCAATGAATTAAGCCAAACGTTATATCGCTCTTTTGATGGACAGGATATTTTGATTTCTAGATAGCCTGAATATATTACGATGCTCCTATGGTAAAGACCTGGTGGCAATGGATTATTGTCTTCCACACTCTCCACACCAGAGATTGCTATTGCCTTTACTCTTGTATTTGTTGGATCATCACAAATAGGATTACCATCAGACCAATAAAGTGTCAATGTGTATGGATGAACCCAGAAGAAACGCTTGTGACGATTCTCAGAGATGACAGATAATGGACCAAGGGTTCTGTAATACTTATAAAGGAATTCACCAATCACTGTTTGTGTGATAGAACCAATGTTTGACTCTAAACTGACAACACTTTCATTGTTCATTGTGGCCAATAATGAACGAGCTTCTTCGGGTCCTAAGTGTGAATTGTGCTTTATGTTTTTAGGTAGTGAAATTCCACTAGCTATGGTTATTGAATCGTCATTATTCAAAACAGTTTTTAAATCATCTACACTGTCATTAAATTCCAATAATTCAACCCTCTCATTGTTAGTATTTTTTACGGGAAGTGGAATGGGATCAATTTTCTGAGCATTATCAGCAGAATCGTTTCTTCCATTGAGTATTATCTCAAGTAAATTTTCAGATTTCAGATTTTTTAAATTGCTATTTTCAAAGGATGCTGAGAATGCATCTAAAGCCTCCAAATCTGATTCAGTTGAGGTTTTTGATAATTGGCTATTTTTACTTATATCGCTACCAACAATGTTTTCGGAACTTCCATATTTCAACTCTAGAAAAGTTTTCTCTTTTAGTAAACTTTTGTATTTTTGCGAAAGCCTGGAATAATCATCTTCTAGTCTAATGAAATTTTTTGTTAGCAAGTCAAAATCAGAATCTGCTTTAAAGCTTTCAAATTTATTTGATAGCTCCTTGATTTCAGTTTCAAGTTGTTTATTTTTGATTGATAAGGTGTTTTTTTCGCAGTTGGATGCAATCAATTCAGAATTTAGACCTTTATTTTGGTTTTTTAAAGTGACATTTCTCAGAAATAAAGAGTTAAATCTTGTTGTTAATTCCTTTAAATCCTTTGATAGCTTATCTTTTTCTTCAATAATCAAAGATTTTGAGTTTAGCAATTGATCATATTCACTTGAAATTGTGTCAAGTTTTTTTTCTAAGCTTTTAATATTTGCTTTCAAGTGAGAATTTTCATTGTCAAGTAATTTGGAAGTCATTTTTAAAGATTTTCTGTTTATATCGCTGAGATCTTTAGCGTTCAAGTTAGAAATATTGTCGCTATTATCAATATGATTTATTTTATCAATATCATTATTGTTTTGGTTATTATTGCTATCGTCAGATTTTAGGATAGATGAATTATTTATGATGTTGGATTCAATTATGTATTTATTTTCGCCAATATATTCACTATCATTAGTTGATTTAAATGATTCATTATCAGATAAAAGCATTTCATCATCTAGATTTCTAGGGGTATTTAAATTTTTAAGCTGTACTTGAAATTGATACTGAATTTGTTTTAATTGGTTATAATCAATTGAATTTAATAAAATTAGGTTGTTTTGATGAATATAATTTTCTACTAAACTTTCAGTAAATTCTTGATCGTTTTGATAATAGTTTAATTTTTTATTTAATTTTTGAATTTCGTTATTTTTCAGATTAAGTTGTTGAGATAGTTTTAAGACGTTTTTTTCTAGGTCTATTATCGCAATGTTAATTGACTCCTTTTCAATTCTTTTTAAATTTTGAAGATCTTCAATTTTCACATTTAAATTTTGATTCTCAATATTTAATGCAATATATTTTTTGTTTAACTCATCGTAGTTATTGGTTGTATTTGACTTATAATTGTTAAATTGAGAGTTTAATAGAATATAAGAATCTTGAGATATTGATAATTCAGAAGTTAATTTGTCAATTGTGGTGTTTAAATTTAAAATTTTTAGGTTTAGATTATTGTTTGAATTTGTTAAATCTCGAATTTTGCAGGAAAAATCAGTTTCATTTATCTTTTTTAGTTCTTTAACTTCTTTTTTCAAGGAGTTGATTTTTTTTAAATTTTTAAAATTATCAACCTGCAATTTTCTAGATTCAATAGCTAAATTTTTCGATAGGGCTAAAGTAAAGTTCAAATCCTTGTTTATGTCTATTGTCTTAGAGTTAGATACTAGCAGCAGTACATTTTGATTTTGATTTTGATTTTGATTTGAATTTGGGAAAAGATTTGACTTATGAACAATAGACTGGTTTGCAGTTGTTGTTGAATTTATGGAGTAGGTAGAGATACCTGAAAAATTTGATGACGTTGTTGAAAAACGAATACTTGAATCTAGAGTTGCACTTGAGTCACTCAAAGAACTAAAATTGTATTTTTGATTAATTTTTCTACTGAACAGAGACATTTAGAAAGTAAGATATCAATAAATTATTCTTGGAGATATAAAAGAAGTGTATCGAACAAAAGAAAAACAAAAACGAAAAAATAAGAAAGTAAAACTAATTGCTGAACTAGATCTCTCAAAAATCTAGATGCTAACTAGTAACAAAAAAAAAGGACAGAGATTGTGTGATGAATCTTATAATACCAAAGGATAAACAGATGAGAAAAAAAAATTGAATCATATTGTAAAAATAAGTATCTGAGACTTCAATGGTTACAAAAAATATTCAGCAAAGTCACTTTAATTAAACTACCAAGTAGGTGTTTGGCTGTTTTCAAATAACAACAATCCGGCAAAAACCGTTGCAGTCTCACATATCACCGGACAAATTTCACAATCAAAACAAGGTTCGAAATTCACCGCTAAACAATAGAAACGCGGATCCGTCATCTGCACACACACGCATTGATAGGTGTGTATCAGTTTTTGATCTCAATGAGTAAAAGTGAGCATGGTAATTTTTGCATGGTCACATGCTCAAAATGTCCCATTTTCCGGTCAGAAACAAGACAATTTCAAGATATGCCTTTTGCTGCTCCTTCCAGAATCTTGGAGGGAGCTTGAAGTGACAAAACAACTGGATAGCGACGACATTCAAAATGGGTCTATTGTCCATCATCAGAAAGCAAAAGCTTAAAGATAAGGAGATTCGAATCTTGATGCTGTATGTTGTTTTGCTTCGGTTACATAGTGCAATGTGGGTAGAGAGAATTGAGAGACTAACAAACTGGGGTTGTACTGTAGAGGCCTCGACAATGCTGGCAAAACTACAATTGTGAAGAAGCTTTTGAACCAAAACATTTCAGAGATATCTCCTACAATGGGATTCCAGATCGACACATTGGAATATATTGATCCAGACTCAAAAGACAGCTTCAGGTTGAATGTTTGGGATGTTGGGGGCCAGTCGACGCTCAGGCCCTTTTGGTTTAACTACTTTGAGAAAACAGACTCGTTGATTTGGGTTGTGGATATTCTATCAATGGAAAGGATGCAGGAGAATTTTGTTGAGTTCGAGAAGGTATTGAAGGAAGACAGATTGATTGGGTCGAACTTGTTGATCTTGGTAAACAAAACTGATTTGCTAGAGGGAAACGACAGCAGTAGAGTGGACGAGATATGCCATCTAATTGAGGAGTCGTTGCAGTTGAAACAGATTAAAAACCACAACTACAAGCTACTACCATGTTCAGCCTACACTGGTGCTAATATCGAAGAGGGAATCAAGTGGATAGTGGACGAAATCAAAGAGAGATTGTATCTCTACCACTAAACCACCTTCATGAAGCACCAAAAGCACCTTCCCTCAAAGAGAGCGCGTCAAAATTACCGGAAACAGAAACTCTGCTTTCAATCACACCAATCACCTGACTTTTCAGTCTCAAATGCCGAGAGGTCTCACGTGCCCGGTTTCTTTTGTTACAATTTTTGTTCACTCCTCACTCTTTTTGACTGTTGAAGACCTAGGGCTTTATTAGACAGAAAGTTCAATAATTCAATCTCATAATCATTTATGGAATCTGAGCAGACTACTTCAAAAAAAAGAGCCAATTTCAATGCTCGAACTGCTCCGGCGTTGGTTGAACCATTAAATGCCAATGACCAAGCTCCGAAAAGGCAAAAGATCCATCACCTTTGCAATCAGAATGACAAAATAAAAACTATCGTTCCAAATAAAGGCCAGGGTCATGAAGTTGAAAGTGTTGAAGCCCAATTTTCTGAAACTGAAGATGTGGAGCTTCAAACTGCTGAAGCCGAGAGTCCTGAAGCTAGGAGAGCTGATTTAAATCATTCTAACAATGACAGGGCAAATGACAATCAGGAAATAAAAATTCATACTGAACGAACTCCAATTGATCAAAACAATAAACCTGTGGATGTTACTAGTGAGATACACACCAAGGTAAACTCTAGCTCCCATACCAACCAGATTGATGAAAGAAAGAATAAAAAGAATTCAAATAATGACAAAGATGATGAAAACCATTATAAAAAACCCTTGAACATTCGAGCTTTGTTGAAATCAAAAATGGCAACCTCGATAATCGACAAATATAACTCATCCTCTTTTTTCAATCTACCTCCAATCTCACAAGCTCAAGCTCAATTGGGTGGTTTGCCCTTACCATTAATTGCTCCATCTGGCTTACCTCCTAACTTGCAATTAAACATCAATACAATTCCAATTCTAGATAATCTATCAACTCAAATTCTTCGTGTAATCATTTCGACTTCCTTTTTTAAGCTTTTGGAAATCGTTTTTAAAAAGGAAACCACGCCTTTAGGTGCAACATTTATTGATTTATCCCGGTTGTTTGATTTAATTAAAACAATTTACTCTCAAAGCAATCCCTTTTTAACTGTTCATGATGTCTTGCCCGGATTTTGGAAGCCTGGAAATGTCGCACCCTCCATTTTAAGAGGTAAAGAAGATATCATTGAAACTGCTCTAAGAAAATCAAATATTGCAACTTTTATCTGTTGCACTTTGGGAATGATGGATACAGTTTCATTAAGTGATTTGGATGAAAACTTTTTAAACGTCTTCTGCCCTGCTTCTAATGCAGTGACTCTAGATACAAAACTATCCAATCCCTTGTCAAACCAATCACAAGATGATATCATTGCAACTGCAAATACTACTGGTGTTGGTGGTTCTGGGAAATTACTAAAATCTCAATCTGTTCTTTTTCTAGAGTTGAAAACACAGGTTTATATTGCTGCCTTATCAGAAGTTGAGAAACCGAAAATCGAAATCGCCGAGGATATCTTTTCCTCTAACATTGACCATCTTTTAATTAAAAGAAGAGGTTCCGTTAATACTTTAACTCCTGCTGAAACTGATTTTGTCAATAGATGTAGTTCCCGTAAAGAAAGCTTGTTGAAAGAAGAAAATTTGGAAATTTTGGCCAAAAAGTACGAGTATTTTCAATTTGTCAAGGAATTGATTGAATATATTAAAAAAAATCTTGGATTTATCATTTATGGCAGAAGAGGAAGAAAGTATGCGCTTGAGCTAGATGACAATCCCACAAACTCCAATCTCAAAATCTTAGACTTGCAAAGTAATTTCTCAAATTCAAAAAGTGAAAAAAACTTTGACGGTTCTTTACTGCAAGGATTTAATCAATCTNATGAACTGGCCACCCAGCCATCCAAAACTTCAAAGATTTTGGACTCTCCAAGTATTGAATTGGAATCAATTTCAAAAAATTTAACCGACAATTTTTCTTCTAGTTNAATTGATAATGATGTTGATATTAACTTAGAGTCTTCAAATAAAGAGCAACCACACAACCAAACAGTGCTTCAAGATCAAAGTAAGCTATCGAATCAAAACAATATAGATAAAGTGTCAGGAAGTGAAAATGGTTCTCATGACTTTTCCACTGCGTTAATTGAAACTTCAAATCAAGCAAAGATTTCCGATTTCAATCACAACCAGTCTACCTCTCGTAAATCTCTGCAATTCACAAATAACCCCATTGAGGCATCTCACTTTTCCATTTCTAGTTCATCAAACAATAATTCTGCATCATTTAATGCGCCTTATAACTTATCTTTGCTTTCAGATGTTTCTAGTTCTATTCC